AATAAAAACATAAAATCCTTAAGAAAAAAGAAAACACAATGAAAATTCATAATTAATTAATTAATTAAGAAAAGAGTACAAGAATAAGAAAAGCTAAAAAGACAGTAAAGCCGAAATAAGATAGAGGTAAAAGAGATAAAAGATGACAGATACAAGATAATCGTAATTTAACATCGTAATTTCCCTTTGGGAGACGTGCACTCTCAAAGGGTTACAGTAGTAAAGATAAGAGGGTTGTGTGCGAAACACATGACAAGGGTGCGCAGGAATTGTAGCACAAGAAAATGCCCCCCCTCCCATTTATTGTGTTTCGGAAATAACTGCCAAATATTAATAGTTTTTTTCATATTTTCACATTATATTCATGAAACTAAACAGATGTGTAGCGCCTGAGTCGATATGAAGTTGATCTGGAGGATGCCAGTGTCGTGTTAGCTTCAGTCCAACTTCATATCAACTCAGGAGCTACATGGCCTAACCAAAGGACACAATGAAAAGTTTACGAAGCGAAATAAATCAATAACCTTTCCACTTACTTCTTTGCTTGTCTTCTCGCCGTCGTCTTCTGTGCCTAGATCGTAAAACACTGGTGCATCACCATTATTGGTCCCCCTCAGCTCACCTTAGTTGTGGCTTTTTTTATTTGCATCCTTTTATTTTCATGTAAAGTAACTTTTTTTTTTTTTCGCATCACCACTTTTTTTTTTTGCGTCATTTACTTCCGTTGCATTTTTTATTTATTTTTTTAATCTGCACCGTTTCTTTTTGTATTTGCAGCGGGCCTTGGTTTCTTTTTTTTTGCACCAGTAACTTCTGCTGTGATTTTTTTTGCATTCTTTATTTTGTATTCGCAGCAGTGGCGGTTCTGGGCCACCGTAAGCTACAGTTGGGAGTTTGTCGTGCTATTCTACAGACTGTAAAGGCAAACTTTCTGAAAATCTTGGCTGAATCACCGGTGGTAGTAGGCGGTCGTTACGAACAAACAGACTTCGTGTCAGCGTAATCTTCGGAGGGCGTGGCTTGTTAACGTTCGTTTCTTTCACGCTAACCTGTGGAAATGTTAGCTAACTGTCACACCGTGGTAGGGAAGTTGTGTTTTGGACTTTTACACCTTTACCTGTGGTGGAACTTGGCTAAATCTGCTTCATGGGACACTTTAATCGGTAAGTCGATCGCTGAGATATCGGTTAGTCGAGCTACAAACGCTCGTTGAAGTCATGAACGTAAATTTTCTTAGGAGTAGCGAGTAGCCGAACAGTTAGCTAACTAAAGTTTAACGGCTGTTCCAGTCGCTGCCGTTGAATTTAAGTTCACCCTGAAATAGTAACGATAACTATCACATATTTAAAGACAGAGTTTTGCTGCAGTATTGCTGATGAATAGTGTTGTTATAGGACTGTGAGGCATTTTAATGGAAAAAAACATGAATTCTACTTCACAAAATTAGCTTTAATGCCTTTTACCGTCTCTTATTCAAAACCCTCGAATAAACCAATAAAAATTATTGACTCATATGATCAAAAATAAGAAATATACATACTTTAAAGCAACAACAACAAGTTTTGTAAGATGTTATATTTGCTTTATCCTTTATTCTAGCTGTCTCTGACTTGCAGATTTGATGGTTTACATAGAGTTGAGTGGATAGCTATGACTGTTTTTGACTATTTTTGCTCTATTTAGTTTAATCTAATAGGACCACTAAGCTAAGATTCAGAGTTTGCTTTGCCATAAACCACTGAAGGATGTGTGAGTGAGACTTTTCTAATGTCGATCATTGAAACTTGTATGAAACTTTAGTCAAGAGATGACAGGCTGTTGGCAATGATTTGAGGCAGGTGCACAGTCAGTCAGGCTTTTCCTGTTGTCGGTCTATGCACATAACTAGATGTCAACTAGCTGTGTATATTGAATTTGTGAACCATGAAGCAGTTCACTTCATTTGTTCTGACTTTTCATTATTTGCAGATCTTGTTTAATGTGGCTCAAACAAGAACTGATTCTTGAGGAGAAACAGCTCCTCCCCATCATAAAACTGTCCCCTCAGAGCGTTTGACGAACTGTTTTAAAACCATGTTGTGTTTAGCCTTAATTCAACCCAAGGACCCTTAAGCCATCTGCAAGCTCTGGTGCAAACCACTGTTTATGTTTGGGCCAACATTGGAGACCACCTTGTGTTTCCTCAGCAAAACTACTCGAATTGCAAACATCAGGGATTTGATTTTTGACTTACTTGACCAAGCATGCCTTAATATCTCTCCTAAATTTCTCATCTCAGGTTCAGAATGAAGGTTATATAGGTTCAAGCCTCTCTGTTAGTTCAATCGTTTATCTGGTTTTAAATCCAAGGAGCGGGTCAGCGAGTTAATGAGTTTCATTCACAAGGCCTTGAATGTGAGCAGCCAGTCTAACTCAGGGTCACCTCACCATCAAAACACCCTAAATGTAAACCAATAAAATCATTTAGTTCGATGAAAGCAGTGTGATATTGGCAAGATTGCTAAAAAAGTAGTGAGATACTTGTGAATGTCATTTAAGTTCTGACTTGACAGCCTTACCTACACCATTAAATTAAATCTTTGGATTTTTCATATGTATTCTGCTGAAATTGTTTTGCTGTTGGAGAGCTAAAGTGAGCTGGTGTACTGGCTTTTTAACAGAGTATTTTGCGGTTTACTCTGTACTAGTTACACGACTCTGTCTTACTTGTATACAAAACTTCCACATGTTTGATAGGTTATCCCTCCTATCTCTGTCTTTCCTGCGTGTGGCTTTGTCAGGTCCCATCCACTCGTTTTTAGAGGAGCACTGAAGCGGCTAATGTGCTGGCGGGTTCTGGCCATCACAGTGAAGAAAGCTTGGGCAGTAGCTGTGCGTGTCTTTGTGCCTCCTAAGTCCATACAACCTGTTCCTTTGTGTCAAAGAGAGGACCACCTCAGGGACAGTCAGATCGGGTCAGTCGCTCACTGCTGTTTTCAGGTACAATACAGTGGTTTTGTGAAACATAACATGGTTAATTTTTTAAAATCTATTTTAGAAATGCATTCTGTACTGTGTAGTTGACAGGTCGTAAAGTACTTAAAGGTGGGGTAGGCAGAATTCTGTTAAAGAAGCATCTTTTTTGTGGTTTATATACAAAAGCTTTTAACATCAGCCAATAGCTATTAGTCATTGATGACATTTGGTAATATAATGATATCACTGTGTTTTGTTATGTCTGTGTAGTCAACATTTAAAAATTTCAGAGCAGTCCGCTCTTTCTGACTGTAAACAAAGCCATTCTCCGCCTCCCCTATCCTGATTGGTTGTGAGGTAGACCCTGCTCCTCCGTGTCGTTCAGGAGCCCAAACAAAGTTAGCGTGCTACAATTTCGTACAGTAGAAACCAACCAGAAAGTACAAAAAACTGTCTGAAAGCTCCTTTAGCCACGACTGCCAACACAAGCAAGAAAGCAATGTAAATACTGGAGACTCTGGCGGAATAACGGGCGCTTAAAAAGGAGGTAGAGATAAGAAGCCGGGTCAACAATGATGGGGGACGCTTTGGGATCTTACGGACCCTGTAGCCTTTATGCTGGACAGGTAAACCGCTTTAACAAAGTAAGCCAAGTGTCTGTAACAGAAGTGTTTCTCCCCCAAACTGGAACTTCCTCAGATCCTGACTACCCCAACTTTAAAATATGATTAAATTTGATCACAACATGGCAGACTTCAAAAGCTGCTGATGCTTACCCCAGCTAAGCCTTTCTTCTCAACACTGTGTACTTTCAGATCTCCTGTTGCGCCAAGTCTCACATTTGATAGATGCTGTCAAATTGAGATACATTTAAGTCATATAGGTTCTAGTGAGTAGCAGCATTTCTGTGCAGTTACCATTTTTAGCAGCTACTTTTTCCCATCTAAAGACGATGGAGGTTAGTTTTTGGTTGATTCCTTTCCTGGTGGCTTCCAGTAAATTCAAGAGCACTGGGGAAGATTTCATGTCAGTGAACATTACGGTAAAGTTTTTTTTTTTTTAAGGACATCTGTGCTAGTTTGGTCAATTATGACCACAGAGAGACCTCAAGATGGCTAATTTGTCATCCACTGACGTGAGTGTATCGGCGTGCTCTAAATAATTTCAGGTTCAGCTTTGGATTTGTCAGCTATCCAAGTGGTCCCAGCGGCTGTGTCAAAATCTGTTGTAAAACCTGTCCTCCATTAGTGGGAAAGCAAGAATGAAGCGTAACAGCACCGGTCGAGATGGCTAAGCAAAAACCTCCTTATTACCAGTGCAGTCAGTCCCGCTGGTGATTCATTTAGGCACATTCCCCGAGAGTTCAATATTGTGATGGATCTCTTGCCACCGAGCTGTCAGCCCATCAGTATTTGTGTTTGCTTGTGTCATAGCTGGGCCACATGAGCGAATGATTTGTGCAGCAGTGTTGCAGACAGAAGGCAATATCATCAGTGCTATTCATTAGTATGCTGCAGTATACTGTATGTGGAGAGAGCTGCTATTAGATCAGGGGGAAGCCTTGGCAGGAGAGCAAACCAAAAAACAGATAGACTTTTAGCGGTCTTGGTCTGAAATTAGCAGCAGATATCAAGTGAAAACTGAAAAGATCCTGACAACCTGAATTGTATTTGTAAAGTTGTATTATTCAGAAATGGATATACAGTCCAAAAAATACTGTGAATGTGATTTTATTAGGCTTAAGATTATGAGTCATTCATCTTTGCACTGTTAGGAAAGACTTAACATTCACTAAGAGATTAAAAAATAAAGACTGAGGTAGAAAGGTTAAGAAATGACGACGATCTTGTCTGTTTTGGTAGACTTTCCAATCCAATGCACTAAAATAAGATACTAAGATGTGGCTGCAGAATTCTTTAATACAAGCCACTCACCAGCTGTCCTGTATTTGTGTGTGTGTGTCTGTGTGTGTACACGTGCACTCAAACACGTGTGGTGGCATGGGTGTAGACTTTCTGTGTCTACAATATCAATGTGAACTGTATGTGTGATGTATAGTGAGTCGGGCAAAGAGAGATGTTAGAGGATATTTTTTGCCTGCGTCAGCAGCATCGCAGGGAGGAGAGGGGGGTAGGGTAGAGGAGAGGGGGGAGAGAGAGGCAAAGCAATACCAGTAAACAGGTGCCGACTCCATCAGCACCTCTTTCTCTATTCACCTCTTTTTCACTGCGCACATATCCAGACATACATTCTTCATGAGCGTAGAAGCTATTTTTACTGTAACACAACTGTTTATAACCAGCCCTTGGTCTTTTGTTGTGTGCAGGTCAGAGGGGGGAAAGAAGGGTGGGATACCAGAAGAAGAAGAAGTCAATGAAGCAGACAGAGCTTTGGTGATGGTATTGGATCACACTTCTCAGTAACTGATGAGCCAACAGTATGGAATAACCACCGACTGCTCACAGCCTCTCTCTGACATACACAGGCACACTGCACCAACATCCTTGCAAGGGTACCAATCCTGTCTGCTGCAGCGCCTAAACACAAGAGAGGGAGAGGGGAGTAAAGAGGGAGGGGGGAGGAAGAAGAGGCAGTTTTTTTCCCTCATGCATGTTTTAGTTTTTTTTTTAAATTTCTACTGGTTTCCTGGTGTGTGTGTGTACGTGTGTGTGTGTGAGAGTGATTGCGTGATTGGCTGTGGTGATGACGGTATCCCTGTGCAGCCCAGCAATCCTCTACAGATGGACTCACAGCAAGACTATGAGATACTGAGAAATTAAATACAGGAAAAGGAAACGAAATCAATGCAATGTGAGGAGGGAGCGCTGACTTTGATTTAGAGCTGCTCCGGCTATTCCTTAAATGACTGTCAGTTCATTCCTCTGTAATCTTTGTTGACGGGGAGGGTGAGCTTTGTTTAAAGCAGAATACTAAAGCAGTGAATGGGGAAATGATGTACAGAAGGATACAAGAAAGCAAGTTATTTACTGATATTTACCTTTTGCTCCTCTTGCACAGAGTGGTAGATTAAGAAGGGAAGCATCAGAGGAATTGAAGAGGGAGGTGTACGTGAGCGTTAAAGAGAGGGAGAGTGTGTGAGCAATGGAGAGAGAGAGAGTGAAAGAGAGCTCCGCTGCAGTAGCATCCCACAGCAGACGGTGAGGACTGCTGGTGTGTGTGTGACTGCACTGCTGAAGAGGAGGCGGAGGCAGAGGGTGAGCACGCTCGCAGACTCTGCAGGGCCATACAGGAACGCACAACAGCAGCAGCAGCAGCAGCAGCGCTAGTGTCGGCCGGCACCAGGTAGACCACTGGAGGATCTGGACGCACCGACACTGCAGAGACCACCGCCATGGCACAAGCAGCCAAACATCTCCGCAAGAACAAGGATTTAGAAGCCCAGGCGGAGCAGGAACGCAAAGAGAAGGAGGAGGAGAGAGTCAAAAAGAGAAGTCGCTCGCGGGATAAAAAGCGCAAGGTACTGGGACTATTCACAGGTGGGGTAGTCAGAGATGGAGTGATGGGGGAAGGGGGTGAGGAAGGAACGGCTAGAGAGGGGGGCAGGAAGGTTGAGACGCCCCCCACCCCTCCTCTTTCTCTGTCATGCTAAGCTGTGATCAGGGGTGCCGGGGCACACATGGAAACTCAGTCATGAGAGTGTTTCTACTGTGTGTACACAGTCTCCCTGGCACTCATGTATGTCATGTGCATACAGACACAGGGAAACGGTACAACACACTGCATGCTCTCCTACTGCTTTCTACCTGCTTTATTGACTGTCCTGTCCAAGCCGTCTGATAAGGCAGTGTTGTACTCTACTTCTCACTTTGTCTCTGTCCCTCTTCACATCTTGTCCCCTCTCTCTGTCTCCTCTCTCTTTGTTTTCACACTGCGGTATGGTGGCAGTAAGGGAAATTTCACTACATCACTTAAAGCCCACAAAGACTGTGAGCTCGCCAGTTTCAGCAACAGCCCGTTCTGGTCTACTCTCGGCTTTTTTTTCTTTCTGTGTAGCATTGTAGTGACTGCAGAGCAAAACCTGCAGGCTTTTCTGTCTGACTGAGGAGTCCCAGGCAGAGCTGGCAGGGCTGTTGTAAACCGTAAATCTCCGCTTCGCTCGTCAAAGACTGCAGGGATGTGTTATCAAGCTGCCTGATCTACATTATTCCTTTTGGCCCTCGTAGGATTTTCTACTCAACTCATTAATGAAAATGAGTCATCTGCAGATTGTGCTATTGGTGGCAAATCGGTCCTCAGCAAAGGAGTGTGAGTCCAGCCGCCCTGTGAGCCTGCACTGTGCCAGGCTGGCTGTAAACCAATCTGATGCTGATGCAGTAGAGACAGTGTTATGGACAGAAACACAGTACAGCTTCCACTTTCCCAAAGAGGGGAGGCAGGGCTCGGAGGCTGTGATAGGTATCAAATTTTCCCTTTAGTTTATCTTGTACGGATAGGGTAACAGGAGGTTGGAGGTTGCATTTGAACAAAATCAAGGGAGAATGAAGCACAAAGAGAGATATAAGTATGACTCAGATACCGTGGGGGTTGTTTTGGAAAGTTAAACAGAAACCTTTTGTCACAGAAACACACAAATACTACCATTCTGTCTACATCGGCTGACATGAATGCCTATGCAGAGATGCTTGTGTGTGCGTGTGTGCATGTGTGTGCATGTCTGGTCCAATGGAAGGCCCTGCAGCTCTAAGAGTATGGATGAGACAGGGCTGGAATTTCTGGTGAGGGTACTAATGTAGCCCAACTTTGACTGAAAGTGTATGGTTTCAGAGGATCCCATATCGCTTACGTAACCATGCAGCTTAAGTCTTTCAAATAAGCTTCCTGACTCTCCTCCAGCTCCCCCCCCCCCCCCTCCTCCCAACCTCTCTTCCTTTTTTAACACCGGCTTACAGCCATTCCTGGTTTCTGGAGCAGATGTTGATGCTGAGGGAATTCTGTCTCTTTATCTCACTTTCCTTTTGCCCTCCCGGTTTCCTCTCAGATCCTCAGTCAAATTCCACAGTAATTATTTGGTCGACTGATTTTGTGTTTTGTTGTGTTGCATACAGCGAAATAAAACCGGTAAAGTTTTCCTTTTAGCTGTGTTGTGTCTAAACCTGCATGTTAAGAGTGTCACTATCATCATGGCACAAGGAAGGTCATCTCTGGAGTCTTAATGTGTGATAAGTACAGTTTTTGTTTAACCACCTCACCTTTCCGCTCACGAGCACACTCACATGTTTCTTTGTGTTTAGTTAGAGGAAACCCAGTTCTGTTATGTAAGCTTTTTTCGATCTTCACTGGAGGTGTTTCCCTCGTGAATTATACACAGTTTACATGCTCAGAGTTAAGATTTCTTCTGGTTACACTTGTTTTAATCAGTAGTGGATGAGATGTTTTTTTAACCACATCAGCAGGAACATCTGGTTAATTTTTTTTTACCAAACATGTCCAATGGCATCTCAGGTTGCCAACAAAGTCTTACTCATTGGATGAATAGATCTATAATTTCTATTTAAAAGCATTCTTTCTCCTTTGCTCAAGATTTTATTGATCCTCTTTATTCTTTTTAATCCTTTTAATCTTCTGTTTTTGCGACTGTGTTCTGGTGTCGTACAATGATTATTTACATGCCCATAGGGACCAGAGCTGTGTCCGTTGATGAATGTCTGGAGCCATAAAGCTAACAATTCGTCATCAAAGGGTGAAAGTGCTATTTTAATTGGCTCCATGGTGTAGTGGTATTATACCGCTCAGGTCAGTTGCTGAGCAGTGGATAATGTTGTCCTCAAATTACTTTTATTGATGAGTTTGCCCCTACTGAAAAATGAGCATTGTCAGGATGTGAACAAAGCCCTGTTCTCCAAGTCAGCACCTATTTTTACCTCATTTTGTGGATGTGTTTGGGTCTACATCAGAAGTGGTTTACCTGCTGAGAATGTCCCTGAAGTAGGATGGCGTGCTTTGCTGTGTCGTTACGGTTTGTCTCACATCAGCACAGGGGGATAAAAATAATGAGAAATGTATCAAGTGCAGTTTTCATTTAGACTTCTTACTCTTCAAAGATTTAGTGTTATTCCAAGGTCATGCAAAATTTACACTCAACATTTATTTCTCAGCAGACAGGGCTGGACTGAAGACACACAGCGGTAATATCCTAGTACCACATAGTCTCTCTGACTGCTCACAAAAGGCTTTTCAGTTATTGCAGTTATTTCTATCACTATGCAAGCACAAGTACCTCAGAGAATAACCGCAAATCTGTCAGAGGAGCTAAACTGATTTAACACAAGTAAAAAATTTAAAGTAAGATTGAAAAGGAAGCTCCTAAAGCAAACAGGGGAACTTCTTTTTTTTTCTCTTTTGGACAGCAGTACAATCAATCAGCCGGATTCTCTGACCGTAGAAAAGACCACGGACCATAGATGTGATCTTTTTACCAAATGGTTTAGTGCCGCAGTATGTGGTAAGTATCTGGTGTGCCCCCAGGGTGTTAAACAAATCCAATAGTCCAATTCAGGATGTATGTTCGCAGCAGTATTTTCCTGTGCAGCAGTATGGATTTCTCTCTGGTGTCATTCGCCCTTTGCTCGTTGAGTTTTCTGTTTCAGTCATGTTTTATGTTGGTAAATAAAACAACACACATCGTTTGTTATTGTGGCGGTTAAACACTGATCATTTCCATTATCAGCCTTTTTTACATTTTTGCCCAAAGAACAATTTAACTTCACATTCGAAGAAAACTGAGAACGCCCCAAAAACATTTATATGCTTGTTTTTAAGTATAACAAACATATAATCTGATTGATACTGTTGGATATCCTTTATTTGTTTGTATTTTTGAAGACTTAAAAACTTAGTTACCTGTAGGATCAGTGTTGCTTGTGATTCTGGATGGACTTTTCTGTCACTTCTGTTATCTCCTCTTGAAGTATAGTCTGTAAATAATGATTTCTTAAACTTTTTCACCATGAGTAATGTTAATTTAGTGTAGCTTTCCATTTTGTCTGATAACACACTCAGTATCATTTTACCTCCCCATCCTGACAGTAATCAGCAATCATTTAAAATATCTAAAAAAATACAGTGTGGATGATACAGGACTGTGACTACAATAATTTTCCTGTAAATGTATTAATGTAAAAAAAGGGATAGTTGTCAGAACAACCCCTTTACTCACCCCTCCAGTTGTTGATGTTACCTGTATCAACAGTCTTTTTAGGACAAGAAACCTCAGTGGAAGAGGATTCTTCATGTATAAATGAGAGGCTCATTAAAAGTTTAAGCAGGATTTTATATTTAGGCGATTGTGTACTAAATTAGACCGACTTATGAATATTGTATTTCATTTCTGCCAAGTCTGTCCTGCTTAAGTCCACTGAACACCAAACATTTCACCTTTAAAAGGGGGATCTCATACAGAAAGATGTAGTTTGATGGGATCAGTCCCACTACGATCGTTTTTTTTCTGATTTAAAGTGTTCTCAGTGGTCTTTAAATTGTAATTCTGAAGTTTTAACCAAAAATCATGTTACCTGTGTCCTTTTTTAAGAGCTGTTCTCCTGCAGAGCTCCAGTAGCTCATTAGAAATTCGCCTCTGAGTTGTGGGCGGAGACAGCGCTGCTCTGCACTCTCCTCTTCACGTTAGCTTGTAGCCTAACATCGCTGGTGTAGTAGAAGTAGCAGGTAACATAGGAGATATTCAGCTCTCAGGCACTAATGGAAGCTAATATCATTGTTAGCTTTCTTATGGGCGCTGCAATATGTTAACGCACATGCTTGTTCCACAATTTTCCTCTACTTTTCCGAGTGTAGCCTGTATAGCGGCGCTCCGGGGGTGGAGCTTGGATGTGCAACATAGGAAATGCAGAAATGCAGAAATTACTTACTTTCTCATAATATGTCCTGTAGCATCAGAAAAATGCCATATAAACATGTAGACATTAAGAAAAACATGATTTTAATCAGAGTGGGTCCTTAAGTCTCCTTGTTGATGCTGTCTCATAGACCCATCCTGAAATAAAAAGGAGGAAGACCATGCTAGTTCATTGGGAGGAGTGGTTTTGTCAGGTCTACAGTGCATAAAGAGTCTGGATGGACATGGAATTGAGTTCCTAACTGATTAGCAGAGGCATGCAACCACAGGGTATTATTCAATCTATTTCATATGGAAACTCTGTGTGTTAGATGTAGCTAAAGGCCGTCCTTTGTGTGCAGGCAGTGTTTCTGTTAAGTCAGAGTCAAGGCAGCTGACCCATTAGTGGTGCTGATGCTCCGACTCATCAATACAGTAAGTCTGGTCAGGATGCACTATGGCTTCTTTATTGCTGTAAAATGGCTGGCACTCTGAGGTGTTGGCTGTTGTTGTTGTTGTAGCAACAACGTCTTAAAGGTTTTTAAACAACAGATATCGGGGTGTAGAACGTCAAGGCTAACATGGCTGTGTTGATGAACATTGCAGTGTTAACAGTCGTATCAAAGTGCTATTTTTCCAATGAAGCAGAGGTGGCAGCAATGGATCAGCATTCCATCCACGTCTCTGTCTGCCTTCCAAAATCTCTTAGCCTGTCTGCCCAAACAGGGAGCAAAGCCTCCACTGAGGTGTTGATGTCAGAGACAGATTGGCACTGTAAGGCTGTCTAGGCGTTTAAGGTTGTGCTTATGTTTATGTAAAACTGAGGATTGAGTGTGTCTACAGGTTTGGTGCAGAGGATTAAGTGTGCTGCTGCTGCTGCGGTGACTAAGCCAATCATAGTACCTGTCTGCTGTTCAGCCCTGCGTTTCTCTATCCTCACTTAGTCTGTAAAGATGTAGCAACAATCTCTTTTTCATTTTTCTCATTATTTTGGGATTGATTGGAAAAATGAGCTGTGTGATAATTAGTAGATTTGGGCCCACTGGTTCAAGGATTTTGTTCCCTTATGGCTGGGCTGTTGATAACTGACTGTCAAATTGAAAATCGCCCAAATAGAGTTTTATGATTTAACAGCTGAAATACAAAATAAAGAGTAATGAAGGAAAACAAACTTTGCTTACCATATTACACCTGGGTGTTTCCCACACATCCACTGTATCTGGGTCGCCCAGGTATTCTTTGGCCAATTCAGTGTATTTTTTAAATCTGTCCATCATTTTTTAAAAACATTAATTAATGGTATAGCAGACAGGATCTCCACATATGAGCTTAAAAGAGACACTCAGAATAACAGGTTAGCTTACGAGTTAAAGTTACTTAGCACAGACGAAAGTTAAAACAAAGACGTTAAGCAAACTGTTCAAGCACACAATCTCTCCTTCAGGTCGTTATCTTTGTAATGTTTGTGTTTTTTTATCAAAAATCACTCTGTTCTCTGGCACGTAAACGATCAGCCGGTCGGCCATGTTGGATATTATAATATATATAATCTGACGTAGCAACAACACGCAATCTGATTGGTCAGAAGTGGACACACAGTATGCGAAACTTTAGAAAAATCGACCGTGATGCGCAAAAATTAATTCCGCAATATTGCAGGACGGGAAAACGTCGCTGATGTGAACGCTTGTATTGACAGGATACTAGTTAAAAAAAATATTGACGTCCGAAATAATCGCACAAAAAAAACGCTCCCGGTGTGTAAGGACGTTTCTGCAGCTTTGATCATGTTTTCATGTTGTCATAAACAACAAGCCTCACTAGAGTGTGGCTCACCTGCTGCTTTTTCATGATGTAAAAGTTATCCTGTCATTTGGGAAACTATGCTCAACCTACTGCTGATAAAGTAAGTAATCAGAGTAGACAGACAGACAGACAGAAGAGGAAAGGAGAGAAAAAAGAGAAGTCAGCTACCCCTCTACTGTAAGGCCTTGTTGTGATGAGAATGGCTCTGTCAAAAATGGTTTTCTTTCCTTTGTGTTTCCAAAAAAAATCAGTGTTCATACGACAACCTTACGAAAATGATCCACATGCTCACTGAGCCGAAGAAATGATTGGAAACACTTTGGTTTACATGCCAGGCTGGTAGCTAGTGGTATAATTGTGTAATTGAACACAACTGAAGAGAACACCAAGTGAAAAGCTACAATCAAATGAGGGGATGACGGCGAACGCAACACGGCTACACTTTGATGGAGACGTGTGAATAAACTCAGTAGAGTTAGCTGCACTAACAGCTCATTTGTTCACTGTTATTGTTCTCTTATGCCAGCTTTTTCAGAGGATTTCTATGTTGTTTATTAACATGAGACAGAAAGACTAGTTTTCAAAAGATTTCACCCTGGAACCTGTTTTCAGAAGTTTGTGTCGTCAGCAGCCAAAAAGTCATTTCCATGTAAAGGAGCAGCCAAAACACAAAACTAGTTTACAGTATCCTGTATAGAGCCCTGTATAGAGAGTTACTTTATATTTTAGAAACTATAAAAAGCCTCTTCTATATGTTAACAATTAGGGCTGGGTGATATGGGAAAAAGATTATCATGATATATTTTTTTCATATCAGTCGATATCGATATATATCACGATATAAAAAATTAAATTAACAGTACTTATTGGTTGCATGTCTTTTGCAATACAATAAGCTACTGCATCTGTGAGGTCTTTGTGTCTCTTTGATGTTTCTTTGTAAGGTGTTGCACTAGAGAAAGCGGACTGCTTAGGCGCCGTGGGCTCCTTGCTCTGCTCGGGGTTTGTTACCTTGTGCATTGCACGTGCACTGCCCCGTGAAACTGCTTTAGGTGGTATACCCCGACTTGGCGAGAACATGTACTCGACATAATTTGCACATTACTCTGCTTTATGTCCGACCTAAAAAAAACTAAAATACCTCCACACCACCAACGTTTTCGTGCCAGTGTTTTCAACGATGTCGTCATCTGTTGAGCCTTCATGGTCATTTCTGCCGGGGGTAGTGTTCATTTTCTTTCTTTCTCACCGGCAGTGCTGTCAGCTTCACGTGTTGCAGTTCTATGGTTGCGTGTAGCTGCAGTCTGCTACTACGCAGTTGTTTGCTACTTGGAACTAATTCGGCACCTGATTGGTTCAGCGTGAAGCGAACTTGGAGCAACTCCCCTTTTCGTTGGCTATTCATATAGTCTACCAAAACATGGCAGAATGCAGAATATCGAAAAGCATATTGACCATGTTTCATACCAATATTGAGTGAAATCAATTTTGAATATTTATCGTTATCGTATTATCGCCCAGCCCTATTAACAATCATGAGCGAACTGCAAGTTGGGGCAAGCAGAGTGGCTACCAAGCCAGCATCAGAGGTGGGGGGCTGTTTGCGGCCCAGGTGGCCTCGTGGAACCCCTCAGACAGATGACTCAGCAAGCCTGGCAATGGTATTCACTCATGTTGATGGAGCCTTAGATGAGTCTTATTGAGTCCAGCTCCTGGCTCTACAGGAAGTGCTGCTGGGGCATGTTGGCTGGGGGGTAGCAGCCTACTCTCCTTTAATTAAAGTGAGAATGGGAGGCACACGTGAGGCCCGTCCTGCCCCCTCTTAACTGAGGTGATTCCAGGTCTTTATTGATGAGCCAGCAGAGCGTTTTCAAACAGATACCCACCACACCCAGTTAGGATTATTTATTGAGAGCTCTGACAGATCTCCCGATGAAACAGCAATTGTCTTTTATTGTTTGAATTAAAAATATGTGGATAATGAATTAAACTAGAGGGAAATAACAGCAGGCACTCCCTCTCTGCAGGGGTTCGGCATCCCTGAAACTCCAAGACCTGAGGATATTTTCTACATTTTTGATCAGCGATGAAGATTTCTCGCCATATTTTCAGTTTCATCCTCACTGTTATGAGTCATTCTTTTCCCGATTTGAAGCTCGGAGTCACAAAAGTTGAAGCACCTGCTACTTTTGTCTTCTTGTCTTTGTAAGAACAGAAATCTTGCAAGACACGCAGCGTTTGTTGGTGTGTTTCCTCGCCGATGAATGTAAATATAGCTGATCCTACACGTAGCACTGCGGTGCTGTCAGTCCTCAAAACAGATTTGTGTAAACCCCCCATAATACTGTACGAACAGTGGCAGCATCCGTCTGTGTTTATCCTCCCTGCACAGTCCCATCGACTCATTTGAGATAAAAACACATGAAATGATGTGTCATACTGTGAGGGGCTTCCTTAGATTTCCCTTCTCCTGTTGTGCCTCTCTCTCTCTCTCTCTGTCTCTCTCTCTCTCTCTCTGTGCCTGATTGCGCTAATCTCTCTCCCCAATTGTTATTCTAATGGTGCAGCTGTTACGTAACTCCCTGAAACAAGAATTGAGAGATCAGGGTTATTGAAATGGGTCCTCATCAAGCCCAAACAAAAATGGAAGACAGGGTGAAAGAGAGGGTAAAAAAAGAGATGATATCTCCTAAAAAGAATTTGGTGGGTCTTTGCCAGACTCCTTGGTCACTGGTCACCAAACCTGAGGTGCTAAGCTCCCTGTGGCTGATGGGAGAGTAGAGAGGACAGGAAAGGAGGAAATGGGATATGGAGCTTTGTACAGTTTGATGTTCAGGTCCTACAAGTCCGGTCTCAATATCCCCGGACCCTGCAGCACCTCACAGCTGATATGTGCAATATCTAGGAGCCAATGCATGAGCAACAGCTTACAGAATTGATCTCTTTTTCAATGATTTTATGTTGGATATTTGTCTTTAACTGCATTTAATTTAATCCCCACTTGCATTTGATTGACTCGATGGGATTTCTGTCTTTTAATGATTAATATAATTATTGATGGGGACGGTATAAGTGTTTAGATTGGTGTGTGATGATGCTTGGTTTGCCGAAACTTTAGCTGGTTTAAGCCCTTCTGGCTGTAAAACATATTTATTTGAAATTTATTAAGATGGGATAAACCCCTTGAGATGTTTTGAGGGGGTCCCACACAAAAAAACAAATACAGTCCACAAGACAAATAGAAATATCACGTGTACAACACTAACAAAACAATAACAGCATGTAAAAAGAACAACAAATAACAGCCTCCATCTCCACAAATAAAAAAGAAAAGAATCAACACTACATATTTACATTACAAAATGAGTAGTTACATAGCGTATCATATTATTGAAAACATTGACATTCAGGTTTTAAATGTGTAAACAAAACAAAATTAAATATACAAAGTGAGGACAACAGACAAATATGATCAGCGACATGTTTGGGAGTAGACTGATTATTTTTGATAATGTTCTAAAATTCTGTTTAACATTATTCTGAAATGTTTTATTCTGACAAAAAGAGACACTAAAAGTAAGCAGGAGTAACATGGATGTGGATTAGCAATCCATTAAAGCCAGTATTGACTGCACTCCACCAGGTGATCTGATGAATGTCCCTGCAGTGGCATTCTATTGGACAGACTGACTGACTCAAATTTGTGCATTTGTTCCCTGGAGGCGAAGTCAGTCATAGATGATCGCCTGATTTATCCTCTTTTCTTCCATGAGGTTGACGTTTCTGTTTTCTTCAGGGAAATGTCTTAAAAACAATAAAAAGCAATGGAGTGAGATCAAAAACTATATCAGGTTTATCTTAGAATAGGAATGACCCCCACATGGTTTCTATTTTCAAAATAACCTATGAGTCAAAAAACACATACACGTGAGCATGCGTTTTGATCGATTGCGTGTGTGTTTGCTTCTCTAGCCAGCATTTGTGTTTGTGTAGGAAGTACCTCATGTGTCTGAGCACGTACCAGGTCCAAAGCAGAGCTCTCAGACTGAAAGAAAACCCCCTAAAGGATGAGAGTAGAAGCAGGAAGGAGTGATATATCAAAGTTTAGGTGACCCCGCTGTGACTTCACACCTTTTTCCTCTGAATTACGAGTGTCTTATTTACCTGATTAGTATGATAATTCCTTATTTCCTGTCTACCAGTGGAAAGATGGATAATTCAATTCAGAACCGAGCAATACAGTAGATCATTACAGCTGAGCAGCTGTAATTCTCAGTTCCAGTTCTCTGAGTGCAGACAATAGAGAATTTGTGATTCATTTAAGGCAGCAGGCAGGAGGAGAAGATAGAGTTCATAATTAGGGTCTGAATTTCTCGACTATACTAAACCTCATAATCCAAGGTGACGGCTGGAAATGCAGTATATATGTTATGGCAGCGAAGTAAATCTCCTCAGGAAGGAGGCAGATTAAGTTTTCATCAAAGCAATCTTTTGGATGATCAGTGATGCTTTGCCGAGGAGAGGACTTGGACCACGATCGGTGTCTGAGAATATCACAGTCTGACGAGAAACCTTCCACTTAACCTGAAGTGGACTTCTTGAGTCATGTAATCCTCATGTCAAGTGTCATCTTCGTGTCATAGCCTTACGTTTCGGTTATTAAAAGCTTAGCAGTTTGTAAACCTCTTTATCTGAATCCCCAGGGGTGGGTGGGGGTCACTTTGATTGGATCGCCCTCACTTCTCATCCCACTCAATCACAGGGATACACTGCTCTTCAGGAGGACGGCTCTTTGGATGGAGATGCACAGGACATGCTGTGCTGAAGCAGCTACTTACAAACATTATTATTTTGTATCCTTGACTGAAAACTGTTGCAGAAATTAAAGGAAATGACAAAAACACTTACAGATATTGACAATTGCAATTTTTCAATGAAATAATAAAACACTCTTTTAGTTTGACACAAAATAAGTGGGATGTGTAACTCAGAGTTTGATTAAGCACAATTTCAAATCAGACAGCAATAACAAATTACACACACTGTTTTAAAAAAGTTGTCCCCAAGAAAAATGAAATGAGTGGACTAAATTCCCACAGCAGTTTACTCCTTGTAACACAAAACTGAAGGTGGAAAACTTGTATATTGTTTACATGTATTATAACAGTACTCTAGGTCCTAAGTACTCCAAACCTCAGTAATCTGAGTTATTGTGGTCATTTCATAGCTCACTGATTATTAAGCATCCAACATACTGTAAACACAGATATCCAAGAGAGGAATTAGATCTTCTTTTACGTTAAAAAAAAAACACATTTGATAGCCAATTTGCCAGTGTCAGAATAATGTTTGTATCCAGTGACTTCCTGGTTAACAGAAATCACAGATATGATGTAAAAATATAGATGATTATTTTTTTAGATAAATACTTTAGTGAGTGTAAATATCTATGTCTCTGTCTGTTTTCATATCATACCAACATCAATATGCCTCAACACACCTCAACCAAAACGCCACTCTATAGCCACAAATAATGCTCAGAACAGAACCTAACTTCATCAACCGTAGGGTCCCAGCCATAGTACTAGCCATCAAACATCTTTTTACCTTTGCCTGATTTCTTTAGCAAAGAGACTAAACACAACTCACCCACTCTCCTCCAGCAGCTGCTTGTTTGTAGGGAGACCTCGGACGAGTCCATCTGAACTCAAATTAGGTGGAATTTCAATCTTAACCAGCAGTTATTACAGAAGGGACTTGGTGCTCTTTACTGTCAAAAAGATGTTTTTAATGTCAGTACAGCCAAATAGGTGTAAAACCAACAACATATCAGATATAAGTTTAAGTTTAGACACAACCTTTTGATTTTTACAGCACTTCCTCTCATGTTTGTAAGATTATCATCAGAAAGTAAAACTCAACAGATCTTTCTGTGTGTTTTAATGACACCAGCTCTTATCAATGAATTATTCGCCATCTGAGTTTGTGATGTATAGTATTTCAGTCACTTTAGGCTCATTCAAGTATTGTCCAAGGTTTATCTTGGTTTGATCTCGCTCCCGACTTAAACACTCCTTTTTCTGAGTATGTGAGCACACAGTCATTACACAGAGGCACGTGGGTTGTCTTGTGGTGCAGAATTTACTAGGTAGCTAGGAGTATAGTGGTGTCATCCAGCCTCTAATTGGCTGACCCCGGAGATTTCTCTCGTGCAGATGCAGAGGCAGTTCCCACCCCCTTCTCTATCCTTCTCCGTCCTAGAGCACATTCCTCTGTCTCTCCTATAATCAATTCTCCTGCTTCAATACGGGCCAGGGCTCCTTCCTCTCTTTCCCTGCCGCAGTTACCCGCTGTATGTTGCAACACTTAAATATCATGCCTTTGGTGGCAACATCTCCCTCTCCTCTTGGTCGCCCTGTGAGTTTTATGATACACTCTGTGAATTCACAATTACAAGGGGAGAAACAAGGGGGATGTGAGCAACAGAGAGAAGTGGGGCGGGTGGGGGGATGAAGCATCAGTCATTTCGAATGTTGCGGCAGGGAGAGGAAGAAAAACCCTGGATGCAGTGTAGGTAGATGCAGAGGATCAACTTCATCGTGAACATTTACTAAACGTCAAATGTAAAGAGACATTTTTGACGATATTGTAGAATCTCCCCCTTCGTATACTGAGATCAGTCCGGCTCAAAGAGGGGAGGGACGCTCCTCTGGGACTGTCGTGGTATCGACACAGGATGAAGGAGAATCTGCGCTCATGCAGCAGCAGCTTTACAAGGTCAACCACACCTCGTACATGATCACATGTGAGCACACATGTATGTAGACCTGGCACGAGCAGCACATACATAGTCAGCCAGCCCTTAGTCAGCATTGTGTGGGCTACTCTGTGAGGAGGTTGGATGTCGCCACCTAGTGTTTATACAGAGGACTGACCTTGCCTATATGAACACAGGCGTCTCATTATTATTCTCCTTTTTTTCATTCCTCTCCTCCTGTCAAGTACTCCCCTAAATGGACTTCTACTTAAATCCTCTCCCTGCCCTCACTGTCCTGCATGCCTCCCTCAGTTCTTTTGAATACACACACTATAACTGTCTGTAATGCTCTCTCTGATACAAACATCCATATTTCATTTCCTGTGCTACCCTGTGCTTCCCTATGAATCCATCTTAACTTTGTTGAGGGGGTCAGCTTAGTTCAGCTCTGCGTCCTCTTTTATTCCAGGCTGAGGATCGTCAGAAGGGTATGTTGGGACTGAAACACGTCATTTCAATAAATCGTGCATTTAAATTGTTTGCCAGGGGTAATTTTGTTTTACTCTCTATTTGACCACATTTACCACGTCCTCTGCTTTTTCTGCCTCTTTTCTATCCTGCTCATACAAAAGCACGTCCCTTCTTTGCTTTCTCTCGCCCCTGTGGCCACTATTCTTTTCAATCATTTACCCCACTGCCTTCCTGCAGAGTCTAAGTGAAGCAGAATATATAGTGGAGCTTGAGGCAGTGCAGGACAGTCAGTGTGCGCTAATGGAGAAAATATTTGTCAGAGAATAGAGCAGAGTGACTTTGGTTTGGCAGCCCCTACGGCACGGACCTTTAATTGCCTACACACAGTGGTGGAATGCTTCTGCAGTTGACGTAAGTTTCTGTGTATGAGATAGTATCCATGTGTGTTCATCTTTATATTTCCATACTGCATAAGGGCGCTCTGAGTGACTAAGATAACTCCTGGATCAATATTAGGCCTGAACTGTCCTCTTCATCAGAAACCAGAGTTAATTTTTTATACTCTTTAGCTTGTTTTTAGTACAAAACCCAATTCCACTGAAGTTGGGGAATTGGTTCAAGTTGCTTAATAAAGTTCATCATGATCAAACCATTTCACCAGTGAAACAAAACACATTTTAAAATCGAGGATTCTTTTATCCATGACCCTTTCTCCTCTTTTCATGTTTGTCCTCAGTTAGGAAGCTCAATGTCATGAAAATCCAACCCCCTTTAAAGACTCGCTGTGTCGATCATTTATCAGTGTTATGACGTCTGCATCCCCTGCTGTCACTCAGTTTGACTCGTTTTTGCCTTCCTGCCTCCTGCTGAGATGATGAAACTGATTCCCCTTCAACACTTACTCATGCCTCTTTCTTATTTCCATTTCTTCCTACTTAACCATCAAGTCTTAAAAGCCTCTTCATCTTGACAAAAGATGATGGTTTTAAGCAGTATTCATACTTGTATGACGTCTCAGCGTCAAATCGTTTAGAAGTTATGTCAAACAGTGCAGTTTTGTATCTGTATGTTCTTCAAATAATGGTAGCACCAAAATATTGAGGGAAAATAATCTCAAAGACAGCTGTCCACAGCAGATCTATACAGACAGAAATGTCCATAGCTAAGTCTATCCACTTAATCCCTTTTAAATTTAAATCTATTCTCATGCAACAAAACCTCATTCTTATTTCTGTTAGAGATGCTTATGCCATTTGACCTTTTGACCTGATCAATTCTGACCATTTTACTCAATAATTCAATAACAGTGCGCCCTCTCATTCAACTAAAGTGTGAAAAGGCTTTTTATTCTCGTGTGATTAAATGTAATCGTGTCAGAAGTCGATCTGCATACAGCCCACTCCACTTGTGTGAAATATACTCAGAGTGAAGTTCACAGATTATTTTGCTTTTTCATCATTTATAATTTATCCTGACATCCGTTTCTGTCTTGAAACTTTTGTTGTACATGCCTGGTTTTACACACGAGTAGACCCCTTGAACTTAAGCCCCCGGTATTATGTAATCAGCCCAGAATATCTTGTTATTGTGCAGAGGTGTGCGCTTGAGTGTGAATATCTGGCATGTGTTTCCACTGAGCTTTTGATGTTCTGTTTTTGGTTCTGTTTGAAAATTTCTCAGCAAAATGTGAATGTGGGATCTTGAGCTACGAACATATTATGAACTTTGATATAAGACTTAAGAGTTTTTATTTTTGGCAAATTTTGTCAAATCCAGTCGTCCACCACTTAATCTAAGCACCTGAACTTAAATAACTAAATACAAAAAACTCTCTAAAGCTGTTTTTTTTTCAGCACAAGGTGTTTTTTGGACACTGATTCATGTGGCATTTCTTCTCTTATCTTTTTTTAATACTCTTTTTATTGGTTTTTCACTTATATAAACATACATTATAAAAACAAATAAACAAAACAGATCGCAAAACAAAACCAAAAGAAATCCCACCCCAAACTAACAATGAGTGATGCATTTCATATTTCTACATTTACGTAAGATTAAAGAAACAATTAGTGAATAAAGAGACGACAGGAGACTAGTAAACGAGGGGCACATACAGAAAATAAATGAGAGGGCAGACAGTCCTCATCTTCAGGGACAGATGTTGAATTATAGTTTGTGTAAAAAGGAGCGCAAAGGTTCCCAGATTCTCCAAAACCTGTCCGATTTCTGATTAAGATCACGAGTCAGTTTCTCAAGAGGAATTCTTCTCTTATCTTAATATGAAACTTTAAACTTAAATTAAAATGCTGTCCTCCTCACAACTCATTTAAAAAGTAATCTATTATCTGTGAAACATTTGTTTCCTCAGCAGGAAGATTCATGAGAACTAAAAAAGATGCATATCCAGTTAATACAGTGGGGATAAAAGTGAGAGAAATGGTGCATAGATACAAATATGTGGTCATGACAGACGTCCTCTCAAAGACAGTCAAGCTAATAAGACATTTGCTCTGACTGATGTGATGTATCATATCATCCTCACTGGGTTTGCTTCTCTAAGATTATTGATGACAGAGGACATGTGAAGGTTAGGCTAAGCTTAGCTCCCTCTGCTGGTTGCAGCAGGGTCAGATCTCATTTACATACATCTTAACTTTGACTTGGTCAGCATCTGAGAAGGTTGACACCCCGGCATGATGCAATCAGCGGGCTGACAGCTGGTCCAAAGATCAGCCACAAGTCACAGACAAATTCAAAAGACTGTCAAGAGGATAGAGGAGAGATGGTGTGAAGGACAACACTCTGCACTGCTATCACAAAGAATCTGTTGTGTTTATCCCAAACACACATAGTCACACATTGCCCCAGATACAAGTGCAATGTGCAGTGCACACACAGGCTGTGTTCACACCCGCCTCTCCCTCTTATCCAGTGCAGCAATTCAACGCTGTACTGCAACACTGTTACGCAGAGTCATCAATTATTCATAAGGGTTTTCTGCTTTTGTTCAGTCATAGGCTTGATAAACAGAAAGATGGAGTTCAATGAGGGAAGGTAAAAAAATGGTTATTGTTTCGAAAAAGTCACAATGAAAGATTTTATTTGGAGAATTACGCTACAAAAACACGCATACTGTGAATTTTATTGATACTATCAAAGATCGGTTATTCTTAACCTTAAATTGTGCTATAGGTCCATGAGTCACGGTGCTTCATATCATCCAGAACCTCAGATTTATTTGTCAAGTGGGAAATATTTGTGTGGCTGAATATAAAGTATTGCTATCTATCTATGTCTGCCTCATCAGACCGACACATCTCTCCATATTCTCTGCACTCATTGCTTTGTCAACGTCTATAAATAACCTCACCAGAGTAATGTAAGATGCAGACCATGATAATATTGGTTATATTAAGTACATTCATATTTATGGTCATTCATCAAACAGACAATTTCTTCAAAGCGATTTCCAAATGAGGAAGAATCTCTGTCACATTAGATCAGGGAGAAAAGGATTTAAGTCAAGCTGCCTCAACCCTACATTCTATGTCCTACCTTGCACAAATGCCTCTAGGCATGTAACTGCATAAAGAAACTAATAACTGCCTTCGCAAGCTATTGATTAATCAGAGCGTTTGATGACTAGTAAGACCGGAAAGGATCATACGAGGTGAGAGAATATTCTCAAAAATAGAAAGTTCTTCGGATGTTTTAAAGACATAATCCTGTTCCTGATCTTCACAAGGTAAATCTAACAACATGCACAATTAGGAGATTGATGCAACAAAGTTGATCCTCATCATGTTGAAGATTTGAGCAGACTTAGTGGGTGAAAACGAAACAGGAAAATAAAGCCATGGCTCGTAGGACTGTCAAGGTTAAGGTAGTTCAGATTTGAGTCAGGTTGATGTTGAGGTTTCAATCTTTTATCCACTTTGAAATATTATCATTCTCATGGTCGTGGCCATGGAGCAGATAACTGACTGACTGAATGGATGCATGTTGAGATGGGTTGATGACAATGAATAGATTCATGGTGGTGTCCTTGTGAAAAAAGTAAAGGCGCCACTTTAATTGTGCTTATTTTGAGGTAGAATTTCAACCAATGCAGTGCCAGTGTTGAGTAGGGGTGGGTGAAAAAATCTACACAGCATAGTATCACGATATTTTGTCTGGTGATATGTTGTATTGTCTCATGTACCAAGTATCGATTTTTCTATTAATTGCTAATATGAAGTCAAATCTATGATACTGGAAAAATAAAATCAACTGTTTGTCCAGTGAGGTTGGCAGAGGTGACTTGATAGAGCAGGAGAAAGTTAGTGCAACAAATATATATAAGGTTTGCACAATGTGCTACATGAAAATAAAATACAAAGTAAATAAGACAACAAAAAAGGAAAGCCAGTATCGTGATAATAAGTGGCCCAAGTATTGTAATGATATCATTTTGTGGCCCATGTATCGTAATGATATCATATTGTGGCCCAAGTATCGTGATGATATCGTATTGTGGCCCGAGTGCCGTGATAATAAGTGGCCCAAGTATCATGATAATATCGTATCATGGCCCAAGTATCGTGATAATATCGAATCGTGGGGGCACTGGTGATTCCCACCCCTGGTGTTGAGTGAGTTGACTGGGGTTTTGTGATGCACAGTATCATACTGTAGCGTCACTGTAACACTAAGTTGTCCTCGTTCATAAGCCGGCTGCTGCTTGTTTATGGACAAAACACAAAAATTAGTGGAGCAGTCAGAACAAGTTTGTAGATGTAAGGCTCATTTGCTGTTAAGAATTGTAGAGACATTAGGAAAACCTCTAATGATTCATAAAAAGGCCAAGGCACAGTAGGCCTGTTAGACCTTCTTCAGGCCTCATAAACATAGACTATAGTACAATGAAGGAGTGAGGAACGTTGTGCAGAGAAAGTCACTATTAGAGCGAGGAGGAGACCTGGACATGTTTTATTGATTGATGCTGTCACTGAGGTAAGTAGAGGATACAGGTGTATGTACCAGGAGCTAGGTGGACACAAATAAGTACTGACTGCCTGAGTGTTTTTGAATGTGTGCGCCTGCTTGACTGAGCATTTGTAATTGCTGTCTACAGAGAATAATTTTAGCACAGGGTTAAAACATTGAGTCTAGCGATGTGTGTGTGTTTACTGTCAGAGTGGAGACACAGATTGGTTCAGGCAGGTCTGGTACTGTGTGGTCCAAAGTACTGCAGGGTCATAAATGATTTAATGGCAGGAGAGGTGAGCTCTGTCTTCCAGCTCTCACGATGCACATGCAGACATTTATAACCAGCAGGAGTGATTTATTTTCATGACAGAGCCAATTGTGCTATATCAATACTCTGAATAAATTGGATTTCTTTGGATTCTTTGAATTTACGATGATGTGTGTTGATGCGCGTCTCCACAAGCAGCGCTGCGCCTGCATTTCTCTGTGGCAGGAAAAAAAAAGTTAACTCCTACGGTCTTGTGATGATGTTATCCTGGAACATTTTCTGAGTAGACTTATGTAAGTTTCTCATACAGTGGAGGAGGAGGAAGACTTGTAGGCCCATTTTCTTAACTAGTTTGTTAAATAACACTTTGTTTTTTCTCACAGAACAAAACCACTTTGTCATTTATTACGATGATCATGAGTCTTCAGTGTGTGCTGTAATCAGAGTCTAGGGTAGACTTGATTTTGTCCACCAACTTATCCGAGAACTAGCTTTATAAATAAACTATTGGACATTACCTCTGCATGGCCTGATATACCTAACGAACTTCAGTGACTTGCACTTAAACATATAAAGCACTAACACTATAAAACAAAAAAATTGAATTGGAAATCCAACCTGCTACACTGAAAAAATGTCTTTTATAATTTGTATGTTACACTGTAAAATAAGATGTGAGCAACAGAGAGAAAAAATTCTTTCTTTTATTGTTTTTTCAACATTTATTTCCATCCAAGCACCAAGAATCCTCCCTGTTCCTCCTGTCACAGTGGGGTGTGAATTTCTGGACTTTATTCTGATCGACTTGTGGGAGACTTGAATGCTAATCAATGCGATGCTCTTCCACTGAGGATTCACTCATGCAAATGATTCGCCAGTTGGGCGTTAAATCTCCTCCTCCTGTCAGTACAGGAGTCATGTTTTTTTTTCACAGTCTTCTTTAGACAAAAGTGGAAATTTGGCTGTGATTGTTTCTTTTTTTTAAACATTGGAGAAGTGCTTTCCTGCAGCTGTTCTCTGTGTGCTGCTATGATTTAATTTGGATGAAAGTTAAACTTCACAGCACTGTTGTGAACATGTGAAGGTGTTGACCCTGAATATGAGATAATCCCATTTTTTTCTCTTGTTTTGAAGGGGCAAACTTGTCTTATATTCTGACCAGTGTGGTTATTTTTATTTTGCATTTTGTCCCACCAGACATTTTGGATCATATCTTTATCTGCTGCATTAAAGCCGGCAGATACAAGCTAACTTAAACTAAGGCGATGATACTCTTGGACTGCAGCCAGGGAGCACGGTCATATCCATTCATGAGGACAGCTTTATTCATGTGAAAGGTCATGTGTCATGTGTGAGATCAATTCAGCTTCTCATATTCTACTTGCTTCAGGATTATGTTAATCCCAGTTTATCCTCCCATTGATGATCTAGGAGTTAAAAACAGCCTTTAACTTATTTTTCACTGAATTTTCTTTTGTTCGTTCCTTTTATCTCCGGAGATTTTTTCCTTTTAGTTTCTCAAGCCGTGTCTTTTTCATTTAAAATAGAACCAAAACAACAAATTAAATTCGAACACTTGAAGTTCTGATTTAGTCACGCACAATAACCTTTTCACACACTAATATCTAAATGTAAAACACGTACAAAGATCTGGATCTAAATAGACACAGAGTGACTTCTCTCTGTCTAAACTGTTTGAGTAAAAGTGTTATTACACTTATTTACTTTTCTGCTCATGGTGGATCTTACTTTTGATGTGTCTGCGGCAGCCTTTCCCAAACTTGTCATGGCTGAAGAGTACCTGCATGAGATCACATGCCTGGAATCACGGGCAGAAGGACTACTTCTACTGACAGATTAATAACAGAGCATGACAGGAGTGAATATGAGAAAGAGATGAGCTCAAAGAAAAGAGAGGGGGAAATGGTATGTTAAGTGTGCTTGTAGCAGATTGAGGAGGGCATGGGGTGGTGGGTTTCTAGTCTAGCTTGGCATTTCTTTGGCTCTTCATCCCTCTTTCATGCTCCATTTATTCAAGTGGAAGCCAATGTGCTGTTTAAGGCAGAAAGTATTTTCAGGCATTGCTTCTGGATATAGACTTTTTTGTTTGCTGATAAAGCTATTTTTTATGGCTGTATACAATCAGCAAAGTGTGCTCCCTCGTCCTTCAGGTAAAAATAGTGCATTTCCAGACAAAAGACGGTGTCCTTTATGGTCCTGAACTTTTTATCCTTCCATGTCTGTATATTCTGAATCAACTTTAAGGTGATGAAACTCATTCACTAAGAAGGAAACTGCTGCTTTCATCACTTCACACTCTCAGGCTTGTTTTGTCCTCTTCCATCCTTCCTTGCTTCAGATGACTGGATGAATGGTGGATGTATCAGTCCTTCCAGTATTTGTACTTGCTTACCTCTTACTGATGATAATTATTTCAATTCTTTTTCAGTCTTTTCTCACACACTGTGCCACTGAGTGCAAACATATTCCTTTTGGTAGGGCCGGTAGTGTATCACCTTTTCACTTTCTGCTTTTTTCTTCCTCTTGACCCCTCTCATCGTGTACAGCTTCAGTTACAATGTTCGCTCTCATTGCATCCAAACCTTACCGCTCTCTCCTTGCAACTGTCCTTTGTACTACTTTTTCTCTATTTCTGTCTGCCTCTCCAGTTTTCAAGACACTCGCATTTCTTTGGGCTCTTCTGCTTTTCTTTGGACGTGGTCCTTGAACTGACCCCGGCCTCTCCATGTGTGCTGCTTTATTTGTTCTCAGCTTTGACAACCCCCTCAAGCCACTCTCCTCATCAAACCTAGATTCAAGTGCTCTCTTCCTGTTTTGGAGAGCTTGTATGAGGGATAGTGGACTTCTCCACTGTTGGTATGCGTCTCATTTAGAGGGGTAATACATTCTTTGTGAGAACAGAAGTGTGTTTTTCTTAGGCCACAGGTGTGCAGTAGAGTGAAGCTTGGATTGTGCCTTAAATAACACAAGAAGAAAGTGGATTTTGATGTAGACTAACAGAGGAGATTGAGTTTGTAAGGTTTAGCCTAGCTCATGGTGTAGGGCTTGGCGATAAAACAATAACGATATATATCGAAAATTTATTTCCCTCAATATCAATATTAATCATGGTCAATATCCTTTTCAACAGTCGGCATTCTGCCATGTTTTGGTAGACTACACAAATAGCCAATGGAAAGGGAAGTTGCTCCCGTTCCACTTCGTGTTGAACCAATCATGTGCTGAATTAGAACCAAGTAGCAAACAACTGTGTAGTAGCAGACTGCAGCTACACGCAACCATAACACTAACACGTGAAGTCGACAGAACTTCTCACAAAGTCGGGGAATACCTCAAATCTTTTTCACTACCTGAAGCAGTGCCACGCAGAAAAACACGCGTAATGCAAAAGGTTACAAACCCCAAGCGGAGCAAGGTGCCTACGGGACCTGTGCAGCCGATACAGCCGACCATTCAGTCCGCTTTCTCTAGGGCAACACCTTACGACAAAACGTCAAAGAGACACAAAGACCTCACAGATGCAGTAGCTTATTGTATTGCAAAAGACATGCTACCAATAAACAATGTTAAATTTAATTTTTTTATATCGTGATATGTATCGATATTTACTAATATTAAAAAAATATGTCATGATAAACTTTTTCACATATCACCCAGCCCTAGCAGGGTGTGCAATATGCTTCATGTTCTAAGAAGATTGAATAACATAACTGGTGTTTGGAAATCCTCTTCTTAGGGCTGGGCGATAAACCGTAAATTTACCGATATCGAAATTTACGAGAATAACCAACCTCATTTTGCCCATATTGATATATTCAGTGTCAAAAAATTAAGTCAATAAAAGTTGGTTTTGGATGTGTGTAGGAAGGCTAAGGTCTCATGTCCCTTTAAGACATTAGAATACATGTTGGAGACATGACTCCACCCCATCCAGGCCATAACAAAGAGGGAAAGACAGGTGAGGAGATGAAGGACGGTTCAAAAGCTGAAGCGGCTGAAGTAGACGAAGTTAATGTAGGAGGGGGTGAGCAGCTTGTGGAGTAGTTATCCTCCATTTATCGTTATCTAGATAAACTGCTCAATATATCACGATTTAGGTTTGAGGCCATATCGCCCAGCCCTACTTCTACTCCACATTCCTTTGTTGTAGCTGGTGATCTGTGTGAGGAAAGAACTGTTAATGAGGAAGTTTTTCACGATGATCCAAAATAAGTTTGTACAGAATGACACCAGAAACAACCAGCTGCATCTTAAAAAGCAACACTATGAGATGGTTCACACTAAGTATGAGATGTTGCACACCAAGCAGTTCATTAACTGGATAGTAAGCATCAGACACAAAGGAAGAAAAGGTGTCATCTAAATCATCGATCCCAGTTTTGAGATTGTAATACAAATAAAGAAATATCAAAATGGTTTGGACAGGGATATACGTACCTGTGAAACACTGCATTTATCAATTACATTCCGTTTTAGCAATCATTGCCTTATTCAGAATGAGTAACCCCTGAAATTGTAGCAGTTAGTGCTGTATTAATATCTTCTATGGTACAACATAATACAAATGATAACTCTGGAGATTGTCCCCTGTAATCCTCCTAACTTTATCACCTCTGGTTTCTCCTGTTTTGTTTTTATTACCCCATCTCTCCTTTTTTCATTTTCAGTCTTTGCCTTGTTTCTTCTCTTGTTTGATTTGGTTGGTGTCATTACGTCTTCTATATTGGCAGGCTTACTGCTCCAGTAGAAATGTGACCTTCTGTCAGCCCTCATCCCTACCTTCCATATTGTGGTGGGTGTCACTTATTGAGAGAGGGAAAAAAGATGAGTATGAGTGGGAAGGGACGGAGAGGTACAAGATGGAAGTATCACAGAGGAGAGAGGAAGGACAGAAATTGAAAAGAGGGTATGAGGAGGGTAGTGTGATGTTGGTGTCGACGGGGAGGCGAGGAAAAGCTCCATGAAAGCGGCTTGACTATCCACCAACTGAATGAGCCCCACACTGCTGATAAGGAAGATGAAAGGAATAATGATATCAGTGGGGCTGCCAATAGGGGGCTATTTTTAGACACATTCAGCTTTCCTGCTGTGTAGGATTGTGTACGTTTCTTTATTTGGACCTTCTTGTCGATGTGCAAGTCATTTGTGAAGCAATGTGCAGAGCTTAAAAGGTGTGTAGAAAGGTATGTCCTAGGATGTGCGAGCGTGTGTGTCTGTGTGTGTGTCTTAGCTTCCGTTCTAGTGCGCACATGGGTATAGATCCAAGCCACGTGCCGTAAGTGCTGACTACAGAATCAGGGAAGAGCTGCAGTGAGGAAGTCAACGTGCCCCCTTCATGAGCGCAGAAAACGGCTTTTCAACAGCTGTGCCGTTCTGTGTGTGTGTGTGTGTGTGTGTGTGCTCCTGTGTGTGTGTGTGTGTGTGTGTCTGTGTGTGTCAGTTTATGAATGTATGTATGCATGATTAAGGTGTCTCTGTGCTGCGCTTGTCAATGCTGCAGATGGATGGGACTGTAAAAGGACTGCAGAGCTGTGTGTGTGTGTGTGTGTGTGTGTGTGTGTGTGTGTGTGTGTGTGTGTGTTTGCCTCAGTTTTCCGTCTGAATTATTGGTGTCAGTATCCACATTTTTTTCTGCTTTGTCAATTTAAAAAGTGCGACATAATATCGGTGGAAAAACACTCATTCCTTAACGTCTCCGTCTGCGTTGTTTTTTACCGTCACATGAGGGATTTCCTGACACTTTTTGAACAGGCTTAGATAACGTTGCGGTTAGCTTACATGCTACATATGTCCATTTTATCTTTTTGCAGAGCTAAGCACAATGAGGAGGACAGAGCAGTGTGTGAGTAGACAGAGACAAGTCGCCATACTCAGGTTTAGTGTTGGGCAGTATGAACAAAATCTTCTATCACAGTATGAGTAATTTCATATCACGGTATGTTTTTCCCCCTGTAAATTTTATTAATGGCTTAAAAATAACCATACTGTTGCATTTGTTCATTTTCCTTTTATTTTTAAACTCAGATTTGTAAACAAATGCAAACAAAAAGCCAGGCCAGCTTGGCGATTTGTTATAACATGGTGTACCTTTGGTAAAAGACTCTGCCAAGCTCTTTTGGGAGCTGCTGCAACTTTAGTTCTTGGTGCAGCAGGTGCGCCACGCATCTTTTGGCTCTCATAATAGAGCTTGGCGTGTTTCATCTTTAGGTGGTGGAAGAGGTTGTTGGTGTTTCCTCCTCCAACAACAACAGCCACATGACAGTCTTTGCATAGTTTTGTTTTTTGATCATTTTTGGATTTTCTAAATCTGAAGAATCTCCAGGCAACCAATGTCACGACTCACGCACTTTTTCAGAACGAGTTCCTCCTCCTCTTCCTCGTGTTGGGTGGGTCGGGCTGCCTCCATTTGCTCTGTACTGCCACTAGTCTCCGCGTCCACCATGACCACCACCAATGAAGCTGTTTCCTCTTCGTCGAAACGATGCCAAGCAGTCTTCTGGACACGCTGGTGATTATAGGGAGCGCACCCAAACCTGACCAATCAAACGGAGCGAACAAACTCTGTACGACACGCTGGTAAATATACGGAAACGCACCCAAACAGATGCGCTCCGGCTTGCCTGTTAGCGAGCGCAGACAACTGCACACTGACTCAGAGAGATGCAGCAGACATCTGCTCTCTCTCTGGTATAAACTGTATCGCAAAATTTCTACCGATGGACACTTTAATACCGTCGCACGGTATATACAGTCATACCGCCCAACACTACTCAGGTTCTGGTGTTGTCGCTCCAGCCAACCAGTCATACACCAGATCGGGCAGGACTTGTTATCCAGGTAACCAGGAAAAATAGCTGCTTTTCAGAAGACCATCCCAAAGACGCAGAAGCCCGAGTTAACCAAACCATTTTATTTTTATATTGAGGTGATTGGAACACATTTATGAATGTTATATATTTCATTTATACCTAGTCTACTCTGCTGTGAATGCTGCTTTAACTTCCTCTAACCACACAAGATTTCCATGTCAATATGATTTCAATTTCCAATTAGTCCTCAATTGAAGTGCCCGGTGTAGAGAGGTGAGATGCGAGATGGACACACACTAATGCATTCAAGCCTGATGAAAGTGTGTCATTTCAATATAGGCGATTTAGTATGCTGCAGCATTAGAGCAGATTGAAAACTGCATGTCATTTGCATACTCTCTGTTTCAGTGTCTCTTTTCTTCTCTCTTTCTATCTAGTCTGTCCGTCCATCTCCCTCTTTTTCTTGTCCGTACACACAAACACACACACACACACACTTACACACAAACATCTATCATCAGCAGCAGTACTCAAGCCCTTCTGAAACCAAGCCAGGGCTGGCCTCATGGAGGAGTCTCCCTGAGGGCTGAGTCAGCAACAACAGAAGGGAATAAAAGAATAAAAAAAAGTAGGGAAATGGACGAGGGAGGAATTTTATCCCAAACTCTAAACATCAACTGAACCGTCTTTTTCTTTTGTCCCGGTCAGCTAAGTAACATGTTTAAGCTCCTCATAATAGTCCTTTTCTTTGTCCCAATCTGTGCCTCTGTGTCTTTTTTGACAAGACATCTGTGGCACAAGACAGCTTGTCTCTATCTTTGTCCTTATTTTCAATACATGCTGCTTGCATTAATATGCAGATACTGTTCTGTGTTTAGCATAACTATTACATGTTTTGAATCCTATTGTTTGTAGCTTTGGTGAGTTTGAGTGCACTGTTAAGAGCTGGTTTGCCGGCGAGGTAGACTTGTTTTTCATGAAAGGATCAGATAGAAGACAGCTGAAATGGTACAAACCTTTTATACAGAGCCTGCAGGTGTTACGTTAAACCTCCCCAACTGTAATTTTCTCTCCTTATCGCTGTTACTTCTGACCCAAGAGTCTCTCTTTTAGGCTTTTTATGGTCTTCCTCTTTTTAAAGGTCAGAGAGACAAAACCATATCTTTGGGTTTGACATGATTCATGCCTTTGTCTCTCACTATCACAGCTCACTGTCACTGTTTTGTCCCCTTTCTTCCTGAGAATATTATCCTGCAGATTCAGTTTCCCTGCTGGGAATCTAATCATCAATACTGGCAGTGAGGATTTATCCTGAGAACTGTGCAGCAGCCACTATAGCCTCTTTTTTTCTATCCTTAAACAACCACTGCACTGTAAATAGTGCATAGAGGTTTGTCTCCAGAGAGCAATTAAAAAGATTTAACCTGTCTCAGTGTGATGTTTTTTTTTTATCTTGAAAAACTAAAATATTCCAGAAAACCAGAAAGAAAAAACGTGTCTTTACATCTGTTTGTATACTAGCGAATGTACTGTGTTGCCTCACATTCGATTGTCGCACACAGCATTTTGCAGGGGAAACAGTGACTAACCAAAGGTAGAGGCTTAATAAGCCCTACATGTTTCAGTGATGGAGGGGGCATCTGTCTTTCCGTCCCAGGAGGGAACTGGAGAAGGTGATAGTACAGCTCTGATAGATGACCACCTGACTGCAGTTTCTCTCTGCCAACTGCTGAGCACACACATACTCTGTATACTGCACATACACACACACATATACACACACATTAAATCCCTGACATCTACAGTATATGGGATCTGTTATTTTTTTGATCACACCTGTATTAACCAAGGTTTTTGCAATGTAAAACAGGCGTATTATTGCATGGTAAAATTCAAAATGGTAAATTACAAACCAAGCTGCAGAAGCATCAATCACACCTAATACAAAATCACATTAGCCCTAATTTGAGGTTGTGTTTACCTACAACTGTCTCCTTTATCCTAGTTTTTGGTGTCCATTACTTTGTGGGAGGAAAAGGTGTTGATGTGTACATCTGCTAGTTGTTTTTTATTGCCTGTTGGTTAAGATCATGATAATCTTTTACAAAATAAAGTTAATAAAAGTTGCGAACCAAAGTAAGAACATATATATTGTAAGTAGTGGTGAGAGAAAAAATCGATTCACAAAAGTATTGCGTTTTTTTTGTTTTGCAATTTTTAAATTGATTTTTATGTTCAAAAATCGACTTTTTTATTTTTCAAATTTAAGAATAAATCTTAAAATCTGACTTAAATGTGATGTGTATTTTTTGGGGAAATATTGTTCCTGGAATAGTCAGTAGACAATCATAATCATCCAACTGTTTTACCAATATTAAAAATGCAGACTAAAAATTGAGAAAATAGAAAATATCGTAGAATCACAACTAAAATGGAGTCGGCATCCAAAAATCCATAGAGGAATTGAATCGGGAGAGAAGCATATTGTCCCAGCCCTAATTGTAAGTCCTTTATATTAAATCCTACTGTAGTAAAGAAGATTTTTTCTATTGTTATTTTAAAGCATTGGAAGTTCTTATATCTGGTTGTGTTGATTGAAAACTACAACATAATGAATTTGTTGTGTAAGGCCAAATGTTAAGCTAAGAGCCACTGCAGTTTGTGTTTCTGCTTCTTTAGCAGATGATGACCTCAGGCTTGTCAGTGACAAAAACATTACTTGTCTCACTTTTCAATGTAAAATCATATTGGCATTTAGTTTGATGCCTTGTGTGGCTAGACTATACACCTCATGCTGATTATCAGTGGACAGCTATAGATTCTGTCCAGTGTCATGATAGGCGTGTCCTGGTTTGAAGCCCTAGATGTATTGTTCACATTGATGTCTGCAGCACAGCAGCTGTTCTTGTTGGTTTAGTCTTGGCATGGCTGTTTGGCTACACTTATTTGAGCATGTAACGTTCATGCTACACTTGGCAAAGGGCTTTCCCGTGAGTGGTTGGTGGTTCTGTCGTGAGTGTTGACGTGAGGCTGGGTAATCCACCGGGTGCTCCACTATGCCTGTGCACGACTCTGGGCTGGCCTTATACAAAGGAACAGACCTGAAAAGCGCCATAATGAGGCACAGGCTGAATGAAAAGGCATGTCTCTTTCCATTTCTCTGAGCGAAAAGAAAAGAGCAACATAAAAGAATAGAAGACAAGAAAGAAAGATGAAAATAAGCCTCCCAAATCCAGGTTTTTGGCTGTGCTGTCTCTTTGAGTTTATCTTTTTTCATGCATGTGTTTTATTATGGTAATGAAATGTTAGATAAAAATAGTCTGGGATGGAGGAGCAACGTTTTTCAATGGCGAGAGGAGAAAAACAGGAGGGGGGGTGGGAGTGCAGCAAAATGTCATTGATAAAACACATAAAGACTTGAAGCTGGTTTCTCTCTTCTTCATATAACTGATTCTGTCCTTTCCTTCTTTTATCTCCTCTTTCTTTTACAAGCCTTAGTCCAAACTAAGTCCAAAGAGTCTCTCAAAACATGTCGACATTGTTGACTTTGTTATTTCACAGTTGAACTTCATGGTCTTCCAAAAGCAAGTGAAGATTGTAAGACATCATTTTCATTCAGTATTAACTGAACAGTGACATGCATGTAAGAAAAACAGAAATGAGGATCAGAAAAGGTCAAAGTGTCTCTCCACTTTGAAAAACATCAAAATCCTCTCTGTTCAGTGCACTGTAATGTTTATTTTCGTTATTAATGACCTCTGACCTCCATAAGATCAGGTGAACTCATACAAGTGGACACTATTTAATTAGTGCATTTTTTATACAGATGTAAAACAATAGGTGTGGAAATCACCAGTGGCCCTACGATACTATCACGATACTCAAGCCACAATATGATATTATCACGATATGATATTATCACGATACTTGGGCAACGATACGATGTTATCACAATACTTAGGCCACAATACAATATTATCACGATACGATATTATCAAGCTACTTGGGCCACCATACGATATTATTATGATACTTGGGCCATGATGCGATATTATCCTGATATGATATTATCTCCTTACTTTGGCCATGATACGGTATTATCCCGATACGATATTATCATGATACTTGGGCTACAATACAATCTTTGATGTCACCTCTGCCAACCTCACTGGACAAACAGTTGATTTTATTTTTCCATTATCACAGATTTGACTTCACTTCAGCAATTATTTTGAAAAATCGATACTTGGTAAATGAGACGATACGATACATCACCAGATAAAATATCACGATACTATGCTGTATGGATTTTTCTCCCACCCCTATAAAACGAGTTTGTCCTGTTGTTTTTTACCCTTACACTGCAGGACCTCACGCCACATACACTGTCAGGTAGAGAGCAGGCGGTAAAGATGAAAAAGGTGACACTGCACATGTTTATGCACGAATGTGGAGCGTGAGCCCAGATGGAGAAGTTAGCCAGAGTGGAGGTGTTAGGTGAAGGTGACTGCACCATCCTTCCCTTTCATCCCACCTGCGGGTTCCACCTGTGCCACTCCAGAAACCTCCTCTGCTGATGGAGCTCAGGCTGGTCGCTGGCAGCTCACTGCCATGTATTATTTATCAGGCTGAGATCTGCAAAGCTCTGCTGCTCATTCTCACTCCGCTCTCTCTTAACTCTCCTTCACTTCAGCAGTCTCCTCCGTATCTTCTCTCATTTACGTCTGCTTACATGTAAAACCTCTCACGCATTTGAAATGTTTCAGACAGTGATGTTTTATTTATTTGTTTTTGGGGAGTTAGCCAATATCTTTTTATAATGCAGCAGCGTGTCTAACTTATTTAATTGAGGATATTTTTGCATGCAGGTATCACTAACAGTGTTATTAGTTAACTACTGGGAGGAGAAGGTTTCCGGAAAATCTAGGTGTTTGTGGGGAGCTTTGTGGGTAGTATTTAGACTAGGGCTGGGCGATATGGCCTCAATATCACAATATATTGAGAAGTTCACCTCGATAATGATAAATGGACGATAACTACTCCACAAGCTGCTCACCCCCTCCCACATTAACTTCAACTTTTGAACCGTCCTGCATCTCCTCACCTGTCTCTCCCTCTTTGTTACGGACTGGATGGGGTGGAGTCACGTCTCTGACGTAGGACAGCGTCTTAAAGGGACATGGGACCATAGCCTACCTACACACACACACACCAGATATACACACATATTGACTTGGGCAAAATGATGTTGGTTATTGTCGTAAATTTCAGTATCAGTAAATTTTCAGTTTATCGCCCAGCCCTAGTTTAGACTCAAATCACTTACCCTTTCGTTTAAATGTATGACATTCCCAGGCCTAACTCATGGCTAGAGGATTGGGCACGTTGTTTAAAGTGTCTGCAACAACACTGTTAATATAATGTCGTAACTTTTAATCATTTAATGTGAGTTCTCAAATATGGAAATTATGCAGTGTTAATGGATACTCTCAATTAATCTGACACACTTACAGTCATGTCTTTGCTTGTACAAACCATGGAGTGCTGTGACGGTCATGTTTTCAAATCTTTTTCAAAATATCATTACTTTCCTGTCCTTTAGAGAAGCTGCTTCAACAGGTTTCCTTCAGTTTGGCTTAAGATCAGCTCTAATGTGCATTTAATGTATGTACATGTTTGCATATTTTTGGGTTACTAGTATAAGCGCTAAACCCCAGGTATTGCGTTATCACTAGTTCACCCTCTGGTTCCTATTTAGTCAATCCTGATAGCTTTCTTGAGGTTTAATAGAAATATTCAGTTGTTTGGCTTCTTGAAGACCATATTTTGTTGCACGTATTTCATGAGGTTCCTATTTTTTCTATCCTTGTAGCTGATCTCTTAAAAATCACATTACTCCTGACAGATCCAGTGAAGCTGTGTTGAAATGCGACCTGTAAATGTGATAAATCAGGATGTCTGATATGATTCTGAGGAGAGCTTTTTACTGTTCAGCACCTCGGTGGTGATGCTGCGTTGTTATAACTCCACTTGATTTTTTTTTTTTTCTTTTTCAGGAGTTGAATAATTTAGTAGGGGTCCATTTAGTTTAGACACTGTGTCAGCTTTTCACAAGGAACTAGCCTGGCGTTGGCCTACTTTGACTCAAGGCATTAGAGCTTGATTACCTGATGTTCCAGCACTTGAGGATAATGGACGGGAAGGTGGATGATCCGGAGAGCGGCTGATGCACTGCAGTGCTGAAACAAACTGGACTGATGAATAGGTGTTTTGAGAAAGGTGCTTGGTTCTTAATGCCAGACATTTGTATATTAGAGCTCCTGTGTAGCTTATTGTTCTCTGTGTGTGCTTTCAGAGGGAGTGTGAGTTATTGAGGCAGTGCAGGTCCATTGAGCAGCAGAGAGCTGTTCTCTCCCAGTGGAGTGCTTATTGTAATGAAAGCTCCATGCAGCCAGCAGCTTAACCAGTTAAACAGTATTCTGTCTGTACTAATAATCAAACTTAACTTGATTTTTTTTGTCTCACAGTATCTTCATGCTGGATTTAAAAAAAAATTCTTGCTGTCATCGAAGTGATTAAAGACTTGTGTGGTAGAAGTACAGGCCACATGCAGACCTGTTCATTGCTTTGAGATGATGAATGAGCATCAGCGATTTTAGTTCATAATTAATTTGTTTAGCTCTGTAATTTTGTTTTCAGCTCATTTCTGTGCACTGCAAATATTTCACATTAAAAATAGAAATGTGTCAAGATGACAGCTGAGTTTTCTTTAATTTCAGTATTTTGTGTTACGTTTGCTTCAGTTTGTTTGCCTGTTTTGTTTGCTTGTTTGTTTGGTATTAACCCAGTTTAAATCCAAACCATAGACTGTATATACTATGGACAACTTCTACCTTCTGCCAGTATACAGATTTGAAGCTGAAAGTTCTCGGTATTTCCATGATTTTTCTCCATTTCCTGAAACAAACATTGGGCAGTGGTGTTGGACGCATTTGGTGGGAGATTTGCTGTGATGATGCTCGGCTCAAACAGCGGGTGAACTACCCAATCTTCGTACGCCCATAGGCTGTATCAAGTGTCAGTCATAGCAAACATGAACCCCCTAATAACTTTTAAAAATGGAGCTGTACAGAAAAAAGAGGACTTGAGCACAAACCAGTCTCAAAATAACTTCATGCCAACATCGCAACCAGGGGGGAGAAAAACTTATATTCTGTGTGATTAATTTCTAAAGTTTTTCCTCAGCTCCATAGGGATTACTGGAGGAGGCGGGATTTATGACCTATACTGCAGGCCGTCACCAGAGGGTGCTGTTCTCAGAGCGGTGGCAGACGGCGTCCATTCTATATACAGTCTATGATCCAAACCCTGCTTTCACACAAGATGGATCACAGACAACTTGAGCAAGTGCAGAGAGCCTCTGTAGATTTGAAGTAATGTGTGATTTTAATGGAATAATATAACGTAGCTTGATGAAATCTTTGGCTGGACTTGGGCTGTAGGGACCCTTAGGAGGACATATTATCAGACTTTAAAGAAGTTTTAACGTTAAAGTGAACTCAACGATTAAAGGAGATATATTTTTGATTGACTGGACTGGAAAGTGTTCTTGTTATTCCAATATTTAACAGAATTTAAAGTATTTTTCAGGTTTTATGATGTACTGTATGTCGTCTGTGTCAACATACGGTATAGAAAACGTATGTTCTGATTCATCAGTTCTCCTCTCTCGCTGTTCATAACTTTGCTATCACTCTCCCTCCTCTCCTTCTCTCACATTTCTTCTCGTTGAATATGAGTCTCCCTCTTCTCTCTTTTGACTCCTGTCCTCAGCTGTACCCTCGTCTCTGCCTCTGCAGCTGATACTCAAAACTCTGAGCTGCAAATGTGGAGAGGTAACATCCTCCTGAGTGGCTCTGCTCTGAGGGCCATCGAGGAGGTTTAAAAGCACATAGAGCAAACAGAGACAAACTAATGTGTCCTTTTTCTCTCCAACTCTTCATGACTCATACTGATTGTCTTATGTTTGTCTTGAGTTTGATGTAAAGTATACTCAAATGCCAAGAGGCTGCTAGTTGGACGTCCAGAGACTTCAAGTGTTATCCCTTTATCCCTATAATCTACAGCATAACAATTTGAGTTCCCTCTGCGCGTCTGTTTGAAGCCCTGAGGCTCCCAGAGGCTCTGCAGCAAATGGCCTGTTACTCTTATCAGCACCCTCCCTCTCCTCCACCTCCTCCTCGTCTCCCCCCCTCCACCCCTTCGCCTCTCTCTCCCTGTCATCACTAGCCGTCTGCTACTTAATCCAATTATTCGTTTAAGCTGACACGCTCTGTAACTTACCACAAACTCTACGGATGACGCTCTGTGCATCACGTACACACACACCCACAAGTGCCCCAGACATAAACACATGCACAACCAAACACACACGTACACAAAATTAACACATTGCTACTTAAGACTTTAACTACAAATGATTTTCAAAGCTGAAGGTCGTGCAAAGTGCTCATTCATGCTGAAAAAGTTAGAGAAACTGTCTAAAATGCAGCATGTGTTCTATGTTCCTGTCTGGCTGTACATTTTAGTCCCCCCTTCTGCTTCCTTTGTCTATTTTTGGGTGTCCTAACTTAGGGCTTTGGCCTCTGCTGTCACCCTTTGATTCACTGTACCCTTGAGGTGACTCCGTCTGTTTCTCTGCGCTATCCTCCACTTTCCTGCTTTGTGTTTACCTGCTAATGCATCTGTCCTCTTAGTCACACCACCTGACACTAAAGGTCCCTCTTTGTGTGTGTGAGGGTGTGTGTTGTATATTTGTCCTTTCAGGGGATCAGATGTCCTCACCATTGTAAAAAAAGATGAGGAAAATCATAAGAGGGACCTTTTTCAAGAGCAGGAGGTCCTACAGTCAAATTAAGAGTCAGGGTAAATGTTTCTCTTTAGTGGAAAATTGAATTACTACATATAAAAGTGGGTTCTCCTGTCGAAATTTGCTTTGGGATTATCTTTATGTTACACTTAACTTTCGCCTTAATGTCAGATGGTTAAAAAGCTGTAGATATTTGGATTTCTCTCTCAAGAGCCAGACTCTTACGTCCAAAGAATTAGGTAGGGTCATGGTTTGGATGACCAAAAGGCTCTCTGAGCTATAGACGCCTATTAGACATCTAGTTTTTATTTTTTAAGCCCCAATTTCAACCGTCTAGATTCTGTATGTGTTAGACCAGAGGTGGGTGAACTAAGACCTGGGGGCCACATGCGGCCCGATCAACAATTTCATCTGGCCTGCAGAGCCGTCACAAAAAAATGAACATTACTCCATGAGCCAAATATTGTGAGCTTGATTTCTGAGAAAAACTTTCATTTGTAGATCTGTGGTAGCCTGATTTTAGACCAGTTTTCTAGGCTACATTTAGACGTCCATTAGACCTCTTTTAGACCAAAAAATGCTCATGGGGGAATATGCTGTGGAAACCAGTTATCGTAAAAGATATGAGATGGAGCCTACAGCGTTTCATCCTCATGATATTTAGTTTTTGTAAAATATGGGGGTAATAATATAAAGGTTTTGCATATAACAAGAAATTAAGCCCTTAAAGGACCTGCACACTTGTCAAATAAAAAAGAATTGTGGTATGGTTCTGGAAGATTAGTGACTTAAATGTCATGTGCAAATATTTTGGACATTTGTTTTCTCACATGCAGCTTCTCTCCATAGTTTAAAGACAAACTCAGGGTTGCAGTGCACGTGTGAAAATGGTCAAACTCTTAATTTTATTCTTTACTCAAAGATTTTTTACTGCAAAGCACAGTGAAACCTCTCTGAAAGTAGTCAACGTCTTAAAGACTCGTTTTGAGGAGTCTCCATATTAATGTTTACATCAGTACAACAGTTCTTAGTACAGTAATACTTAAATGCATGTGTGTTTGTGGTCGGATAGTAATATTTTCACGGCAGGTTGTGTTTAATAGCCACTCTACAGTGTTTTCTTTCATTCAACAGTTTCTTGCTAAGTAGCCACTCAGTCTAAAATGAATGTTATTCTGTGCTGGCATGGTCTGACAGCCTGCATCGCTGCACTTTGAAAACACAGCATGTGTAACTGTAAATTGTGAATGTGCAGCAGCAGCAGCAGCAGCAGCAGCAGGGTCATGACTGAGTTATTTATCCCTGGATTCTGCAGTTCCTACCTGGGCAAATCTTAACAAGTATTCCTGTCACGTTGGGGCCGCTCACATCACAAAAAGAGGCTACGTTAGGCTGTTTTCGGTGCTGACACGACAACAGTCAGGAGTAACAGATGGAGTTTGGTGTGTGTTTATGTGTGCGTCGTGTGTGAGTGCTCGAGGGCACTACAGAGTGCTACAGTATGGGTTTGATTTGGATCACAGCAGAGGCCGTGTGAGCAGATCTCTGACTGTCTGGAGGAGGATGTTTCGGAGGCTGTTTGCCTGTTTCACTGTCTTGTTCCCTGAGAGGAGCAGAACATTTTTGTGCCTTTCTGGGGGAATGAAGCGCCATCTGGTTGTAACTTGCTTTTTTAACATCTTTCTTTAACATCGTCTGCACATTTACAGCAGAGTAGCCGATGAAGTCTGTTTACATTTCTCTGACGATCTCTTTAAAAGGTCAAACTCTCTCTTTCTGGATGTTTCCTGTTTGTGTTATTGTGTTATAAAATATATGTAGTGTTTCTGCACATTTGTGAGTTTTGGGTAAGTACACGAAATTTTGTGTCCACTTGCACATACGACACAAAGGACTACTCAAGTAACTCCAGTGTGTGTAGGTCGCAGCAGCTCTGACACAGCTAACCCATCCGTGAGCCACAAACCATCAGCACCAGATCCTCCTCCATCGCCATCAGTGCGGCGTTGCCCAGCGCTCACCACTGTATGTGTGATGTTCTCGTGTCGTGCTGCATCGTGCTTTCACACTCATACCACTCATCCTAACCTGACCTGTTTCCCACCGGGAGAGTGTTCTAGGGGGAAGGGAGGGGAGGGTTGTGCGGGATGGGAAGGGATGGATAGGACAGGGCGGGGCGGGGTTGTCCCTCTTCCTGCTCTCCTCCTCCTCCTCCTCCTCCTCCCCCTCCCTCCCCCACCTTATTTTCTCTACCTGTGTCTCAATCGAATGTTCGCATTTTTCCTCTTTGAATCTCTCTCTCATTTCCTCATCGTTGTTTTCTGTCCACTCTGCCCCCTCTTCTCTCCTCTTCCCTTCCCTTTTTCCTATTTGTCTCTCCATCTACCTGCTTCTCACTGTTGCGATTAACTGGGCTCTGTCTTTATGTCGTATGTTCTTTTAGGCCCACGCCGTGCATCGCTGGCTAATCGATCAGGACAGTAGTGTGAGCTCTGAGATGCCCGATGGCCAAGGAGTATGGCACTATGATGATGAAGTAAATATCTGCAACACGTATATCTGGCTTTTCCTATTTCTCTATATCTATATGTATATGTATATATCTTTATATTGTATTTTATGACCATCTTGTATGTGTCACTCAAAGTGTGTGTCACTATTGTTGCCCCGCTGTTGTTGTTGTTGTTTTTTTTTATATCTTTATCTCTCTTGTTTTTGTTGTGTGTTGTTGCTTATGGTACTGTAGTTCTGGTTCCTTTGACTTTCTAGTGTCGCTGTTGTGCTGTGAGCTGATTCAGTCAGGTGTCGTGGGATCAGGCTGGAGCTTTTTCTTTGTTCCTGTTCTTGCTTGACGTATTGTACTAACTTGCTTATATTATTTTCGATTATTTTTCTTTCTTTTTAGTGTGTTTTTTTAATTTTTTTACATATATAACATAATGTTTGTTTCTGTACTTATATGAATTCTTAGTATAGTGTGTGATTTTCTCTCAACTCAGTGTTTCTCAAGCAGAGCATATTACACGGCAAGAGTCCACGGGCAAAATATAGATGTGATATATCTCCTAGCGACTCCATCCAAGTTTGAACACGTCTGTGTACGATTGAACACAAAGGTCTTTGCACCACACAGGTTCACAGTAGTGATAATACACAACTGTCCAACTATTTTTCCTGTGGGTTCTTTTGGTTTAGAAAATATGCTTGCATCATTTGTACCACCTTGTTTGTGTGTAGGGTTAAGTCTAGGTGTGTATGTGTGAGAGAAAAAAGGTAACGGAGAAAGTGTGAGAGACGTTTACATTTTGGGGTCAACTGCTTTCTTTCTGTCAATATGCTTGTGTGCATGATTTTTGTCTTTTTTGCATGATTCTAGTGTGTGTATATGTTTGGGATGTGATTTGAACGTCTGTTGTGTTGTGTCTGTGCTTCAGTCTGCGTTTGTGTGGTGTCTGTGCTGTAGATGTTGTGGTCGTGCCTGCCTCTGCCTCTGCCTGTGCCTTTTGATGTGCCAGTGTTGTGTTTTGTGTATTGTGGCCGTTGTGTATTTCCCCGTGTCGCTGTTTGTGATGTGCAGTGCCTGTGTTTCGTCTGGATTATCTGTTTAACGAGTCTGGGATAGGTTCCCCAAAGGTTTTATTGCATCTGCTGCGTAGATGATCTTGAATCCATGTCCACTTCCTGGAGGAGAGATTATCTTGGTGCAATAAGGCTGCTGGGAAACTTGTTCCAGACAACTCTTGCCTATGATTTTATCCTGGCTCCCCCCTTGCTCTCATGTCAGATTCCCGAACCCACTCTTCTGATCTCCATATTGCTCCCAAACTCTCTGGAGCACCGTTTAGTTGGCCTTTACTGATCTTTAGCCAATTAAGCATTTGAAGTCCCAGAGACTAAAAAGAGACCACAACAATTTGCTTCTAAATTGTGTGAACACAGAATTAAGCGAACGCACTAAGGCAAGTGGATGAGTATTTCAACCATTTTACCTCTTTGGCCAGAGGCCCGACATACAACAATATGGAGTACTGTCTTTCCTTTGGTGATGCTCTTGAATGCTGATGCTCTTGGAATTTGTATATTTACTTTTTCTTTTGATTCTTTTTCCTTGTCTATTTTGTGAATGACTAAAAAAAACAGTATTTTTGTTTTTTTCTTTACCAGTCCAAAAGGAACATAAAAAACCATCCTGTTAGAAGTATGCATTTTAGTGCAGCTGAGACTGTAGAGTCATTACAAAACAGCACGAATGGTAAAATGTGAGGAAAGGGAGGATATAAAATACAGCGATGATCACCTGGTGGGATCAATAGCAGATGAACACTTTGGCAATCCCAAGGTATTGAGACATGGATCATCATGGAGGACCCTGTTCGCCCCAATGGCTCAGAGCCAACACAGCAATGGAGATTATCAGCAACATAAATCTCTGCCACTGTGTCTCTGCTTCCCTAACGTGTGTTTATTTGAGAGTGATACAACGTCCTTTTCTGCACACAACCCCCTCACTCCTTCTTTCAGTGCCCGAGTGTCACATCTCAAAGGAAAACCAGAGTTAATTTGGTTTTAGAAAGTATTATTTGGTAAACATTTTGACACTTAAGAGACAAAGATTTCCAAAGGTACATTTTTTCTCTAAAAATTGGGAATTACATGAGCAATTAGATAGTTTTACAGATTAGAAACAAGCCATCGGGATAACCAGATTCTTTCAGTTTCTTGAATTGAAAAGTAAACATATCTCTAAAACAACTGATGATCCTCAGCCGAAACAAAAGTAAATACAACTGTTGATTGAAGTTAATCTGGGAAATTGGTTTCTTCCTTTGTTAATGTTGTTTTATGCACATTACAGTAGATGAAAATGTCAGGTAAACTTTGGGGCAAAGCTAACTTGTGATTTTTTTAAGATGTGCAGGATTCAGTGTCTGCACTACAGCTTCCAAAAATGGTTTCTATGGTCCCAAAAAAGGTGTTGAGCAGAATCACAGACAGTACTTGAAAATGCTGACATCTAAAACCACTGAATAATGTCCAGGTGGCTGTTTCTTATATATAGACTCAGTGCAGTTTTTAGTCAGTGAAATTAGAGCTTGAATTGGCTTGAAATCCTCTCAATGTGGCCAAGAAGAATCTTTTTGTATTAAGTTCTCACCAGTCACTCAAACTGGTTTGACAGGACATCATTAATTTTGCATCCAGGTTGTGAAACAGCCTGTAAATAATCATCTTATGAGTGATATTATGAAAACAACCTCGTCATAACCAAAGCAAGGTAGATGTCATGATTATACTTTGGAGTTCAGTCAGGTTAAATTTGATTGAACCAATTAGAGTCATTTAGAGCGGTCGGTAAGCAGCCCTGCGATATAAAGCTTTCAACCACCTTAAAACCAGACTCATGGTGTTTCCCTGTGGGCTGATTTAATTTACCCCAAATCTTACGCTTCATCAAACACCCCATCCCACCACACTCCCTCCTCAAGACAGAAGTGTTGGATGTCAGAGGTCTGTGTAAGGGCCCTGTCCCTTTTGCCACCATCAATAGTCAGTGGGCCCGGGGTATATTCCATATCCTCCCACAGCTCTAATTACCCCTCAGTGAGCCCTTGGAGACAGATGCTTGGGGAGCCAAGCCCCATTCGTCACAGTACGGCTGCATGGCAGACTCAATATGAAAAAAAACAAACTGTCACACTCTGCACTGTCACATAAATTCTCCCCCGTCTCAGTTTCTCTGTTCCAGCTGCTCCCAACCCACTGTAGATACAGACTACATTAGGAAGCCCATTCATGTCCAGCCACCAGCAGTTGGCTGTAATTTGTTTCGGCTAGGGGGGCAGAGTTGAATTTACATGTGAAAGGCCACGGCCTATTCAAATATTGTAACTCTCATTTTTATCCCAGGGTTATTGATACCAGCTTCACAGACTGCAGATTAAAGGTAGAGGGGGCTTTACTGCTATTGTTCAAAACTGCAGAAGTCGTGTAATAACGTCTCAGTTGGCCAGATACCAACTAACAGAGGAAGAGAGGAGGGCAGGTTTCTCTTTGTCTTGCTGACCCATTAAGAACTGATTTTTTTCTATCTTTTTGCAACAGTGAGATGGCTCATGGGAAAAATCTGGCCAACACTGATATTTCAATGGAGCTATCCCAACCAACACCTACCTAAATGGTTTTATAACGTAAAGCACTGCTAAGTACCTGGCTGAAAATACCTGAACACAAAGTGATTTAGAGGAAAACGAAATAGGTGTTCATAAAGTAATGATATGCTGCTCTTGGCTGGGAGAACTCTGATTTCACCTTCTAGGTTAAAAAATAAATGCATCATGTCTCACAGAGGTTTTAAGGAAGCTCATTTTTCATAGTCTACTGAAACCTTTTTGCTGACCTTTCCAAAAGTCTACCTTTAAAACTTATTAATTTTATTTAGATAATTTAAACTGTAAAATTCCTCTTTTTTTCCAATTACATCTTATGTGCTTAAGTTACCTGCAACTTTATTTTTTTTACTTTCCAGAAAAACAGAGAAAAAAAAAAGAAACTTAACAACATCAGTGTGCATGCATGCATGCATGTGCATGTGTTCAAGGTGAATGCGCAGAGTGCATGGTAAAAGTGGAGGTATACTCCAAAAGAAGTGCTGGTCAAAAAGCTCAAGAATACACCCCCCTTTAATAAACAATTATATAACAAGTATTCAAGAAGTTAAAATATTCCTAATGTTGGGTGAACCACTGTCACTCTGTTGGCATTGGCAAAACAGGAAGTCAAAACGATCAGTCATGACTTTCTTTCTGCTTCAGATCTTCAGCTGGTTTTCTCACATAGGCTGAAACAGGAAAAATATGAATACTGTACCTTTATTAACATATATAATACAAGATTAGAGGATAATCAATGTTGGGTTAAAACATGAATGTGGTATCAACTGGTTTTAAACACCAGCGGTTTATGATTATTGGTAGTACATTCCATTGAATACTTTAAATGGACACCACTCAGAGAGCTGAGGGACATGTAAATATGTAAATATGTAAATATAATGAAAACTTTTTGAACCCTACTGTGCATTTTGAAGATAAAGAATCTTGAATTTGGATTCTTCTTCACAGTACTCAGTTTATAACTAAAGACAAGTGAATCATCAATGTAGAGTTTGATTTGAATTATTCATATTTATACATCTTTAAGTCCACTTCAGTCTTTCTCTCCATTTCAACCCTTCTGAGAGCCCATCAGACGTACTTTGATAACCAGTCTTCTTTAAATATATTATACATAACCTTCCTTCCTCAGATGATAGGATGAGAATTTGCACGGCCTTGTTCAGTTAGAGTATACCGCTGCCTGAACTGTATACCTGCATATGGATGGTTGCTGCATATGAGTGTGAGTTGAATGTAAGTGAGTGCGCGTGTGTGTTTTGCACCAGCATGTACTGCACTGTAGGTGAATGCTTGTGCCAATGAGTTCATGAGTGTGTATTTGTGAGAGTGTGTCTGAATGTTAGTGTGTGTGAGGCAGCACTAAATAGGCAGAGGCAGAGGAGTAATTGACATCAGTTTTATAATCTTTCCTTCAAATGCCCTTGTCCTTACTGATGAGTGCATCTCCTTTAATTGCGGATATTTAATATTTATTAACAAGTAGATCTCTGATATACCAGGCAGCGCAGCATCTGGCCCATGAGGCAGCACATTAACCTTTCAAATGAAAAGCATCTGGATGGATGCATCCGTTATGGATTTATTTGTTAATTAAGAGCTGTCAATATATTGAAGCCTGTACGGTTCTCTCTCGCTGTGCTTTCGCGGCCTCTCTGCTGCTTCAGTGTAGATAACATGATGATGGAAGGTGGTTGTGTGAAAGGGGAGAGGGGGGTCGACAGAGAAATAAGGATCTGACTCAGCAAGGCTGTGCAGATGAAGATGCCGTCTTGTCAACAAGGTTGTGGAAGAAGATGCAGCACACACACCTACAGTATCATGTGGTCAATGAAGCTCCGCAGGCCCATTATTTATGATCACAGTTCTCACCGCACCCGAGACGCTCCACGCTCTTTTAGTACTTTTTTGTTTTTTCCATCCATCTTTTTTTAATCTTATCGTTCCCAGCCTGTTTTCTCGACATTTCCGATGTCTGTGGTGAGAAATGAGGCCGGTGCTGGAGAAAGACAAGAAAAACAAATGTTTGGAAATGTTACTGTACCTGCTCGAAACATAATGTCTCACTGTAATGTATAATTAATGTAAAGTAAAGCATAGTGAGAATGATTCAGGGGTTGGTTTTTGTGGTTATCCACAAAGTTTTTAAACTGAAGTTGTAGAAAATAATGATACTTTTAGACTTTTTCAGTCACAGGGAAAAAACACCAGTAAAAGATCTGTATGTTGTTGTCCAGGACAGTCAGTCGTGTCTGAATTGAGTCTGGTATCTTGGGTCACTTTGGCGCGGTGTCTTATTACACCAGAGTGAATAACTGTCTCGAGTCCTGTTGTGTCTTCTGGTCAAAGTCTTTGTTTTTGATTTATGGACTTTGGTCCCGGTTTGTGCTCGGATACCGCTCACATACAAATAAGGGAAACAGGGAGAGATTTGTGGATAGTTTCTCCACAGTGGAGCTGTTTCTCGCTCCTCCTCCACATCTCCACTCTATATCTCCCCTTCGCTCACTTTCCACTTATGAAGATTAATGGGAGCCCGACCCCGCGCTGACATACCGCTGCTGTCCTTCCTTTTCTATTGCCTTCATCTTTTTCATCCCTCTCCCATTGTCCTCTTGTTTCTAACTTCTTTTTTGTCTTCCACAGGTCCGCCTTGCTTTATCACGTTGAGGCCCATGTGCGTTTGCTGAGGCATCTTTATGCGCTGTATATAATGATATGTATATACTCGAGCGACTCAATACATGTGCTCTGACATGTGATATGTAATCTGTCTGCGGAGTGAAAGCGGTTGTAACACCCGCCGCTGTTAATGCTGAGCTCTGTCAGTTCAGAGGCCAGGCAAGCTTAATGTAGCTTCTGAGGAGGAGCTGAAGCAGGATAAGGAGTTGAAAGTGTGTGATGGGTGTGTGTGTGTGTGTGTGTGTGTGTATGTGTGTGTGAGATGAGGGGGGGTTGCCAGGGCTGCAGTAATCAGCCCAGCCCAGCCCAGACTCTCTTTGAAGCTGCTGCAGGCCAAAACTGTACAGCATTACACCGACACTAGAGGGCCATTACACTAAAGTGAAGTAAAAACAAGCTCCTGAGATGCATAAAATATATCTAATTTTTCATTTTTAATCGTCACCCTGTTCTTGTGTGGATCAGGCGCACTCGTAAATCTTGTGTTATATCCCGGGAGTCTTTCAGCCGTCAAATCAATCTGAAGAGGTGCTGCTTTGCTGCCCCTCCTTTTGGCCTAGAGGGTGAATAAATGACCATATGCCCTTGATAATTCATGTGTTCGCGGTCTCTTCTTTTGACCCGTGACTGTGGGCCTTATCCAGCAAGATGAACTGCACAATAATTTTAAAGTTGTTTCCTACTCTAAGCAATCTTAACCCAGCGAGTTATGTCAATGTTTTTAAATCCCTAGTTGGCCTCCCAGGACAAGAACTTCACTGAGCAACGTCAGATGCTTATCAGACCTACAGCATACTGAAATGGAGGGTTTTTGCACAAACAGTTTGAATCTTGTACAATTCGTGGATGTTAGTTGTGCAAAAAGGAGACGAGACAAAGAGCAAGAGTGTGTCAGGTTGAAGAAAGACAACCGACAGACCATCAGTGTCAAAGCAGAGTCCTCCCCCGTCTTTTCAACTCCAGCCATTACTCTCTGACATCAGGACATGGGCAACAACAACCCACCACAGGCAACACACGTGGACATCTATAGCTCTTTATCCTGCCAGAAAGAGGGGCTTGACTCAGGGTGCAGAGGGTAAGTCAGACCCAGACGTAAATCAAACCTGTTACTAAACAGGAGAGGGGTCATGAGCCCCCCATTAGCCGTGTATTTGCACTCTTGCAAACACTTGCACAACCCTCACCCTCAGGATACAGGTCCGATGTATTTGATCTGGTGTATTTACCATTGTGGTAACACTTTACTTGACGCCCATGTAACGCATTATAAATAAATGTATAATATGTTATAATCACGTAATAGCACTGCATAACTATAGTTACAAACACTCATAAATGATTATAATGCTTTATGAGTCTTTATGCTTTAATGCTTCAGGTATTAAAATGTGTTATGTTTATTGTTATAAAGCCTTATGATAATTAATGAGTGTTTATAATGATAGTTTTACAAGTTTATAAGCAAATTATAACACAAAGTATCATGTATCATCTATGTGGGCATTGCCAGTGAGGTGTTAACAGTTATAACACATTATAATACCTGACCTTGTAAGTTATGATAAAATGCTTTACAATGTGTTATGATTATTGCGATAAAGCATGATGATCATTTATGAGTGTTTATAACTATAGTTATACAGTGCTATAACATTATTATAACGCATTATACATATATTTATAATGTGTTATAGAGACAGGTGTCAAGTAAAATGTAACCAGTATTTTTAAAAATTAATTCTTTCAAGCAAAACCAAAAGCTAAAAACACTTAATTAAAAATACTGAGGTCCCAATAACAAACTTAAGTTTCAAAAATAAGATAATCACAGGAAAACCTTCTCTCCCTATGGGGGTGAAATCTAGAAATAAAGTAAATGTCAAACTCAAACATGAAATCTGAAGTCCTGATTTGAGCTAAATCATCTCTCTCTTGATTCTGCCACATCAACAAGAACTTGATCAGTAATCAGTCTTCCTCTCACAGTCAGAAAAGGTCAAAGAGGCTTAAGTTAGTTGCCGTCCCCTTTTCAGGGAAGACCACTGGATAATTTGTCATGTCTTCATGCCCATTAATGACCAGAGTGGCCCGCGCTACATTCCTTGGCAGAGGAGCCCTCGTCACTGTCCAAACTCAACACTGCGGACAGGAGAGAAGTCCCACGTGATGTTTTTGACCAGGTCACGGTCCAGCGACACTGAGTAGTGCGTAGCCTTCTTTCTACATTGCCCCCTCCTTCCCCTCTCCTACCAGCATTTATCTCTCTGCATGGTTTTGGCAGCGATGTGCTTTTCCCAGCATTTAGCCAGGAGAGGGAGAGAGGAGGGGAGAGGAGGAAAAAAAGGGGGCCTTTTCAAGCGGGGAATGACGGACGCTTTATTAAAAGAGGCAGGGCTTTTTGAGAGGCTGGCCCCTCAGTGCTCCCCCCGCCCCGTGTGTCTGGCCCATTGTCATGGGGCGGTGGCAGCAACCCCCCCGCCAGGCGCTTTGTCACTGTAAGTCACCTCACAGACTGAAACAGACCCACTCTGAAATAAAATACACCCATTCTCCACAGTAACTCTACGCTTTTCTGGTATCGCCTGGTCCTTGAAAAAAATGATTGTCTGGCTGTCACAAAATATACAGGAGACACAGAGATGGGCGTGACGTGTGAAGAAGAAGGGACAGGAGAAAGGGGGGATAAAGTTGGGGTGCTACAAACCCCAAAGTTGGAGACCATAGATGAGGTGGAGGCTGATGGCGGTAGAGAAGGTGAGGAAAAGTTGAAGATGAGAGATAAAAAAGAATTAAAAAGAGTAAGAAGAGTCTGGCGAGATAATTTTGACGACGTTTTTAAAGAAGTTGCCAAATTGAAGCAGGCTGCAGAGAGTGGGGAACGCATTTGTTTTTGGCCGGGTGTGAAATGTGTGTCTTTAGATACAGGCAGCATTCCTCCAGAGATAAAAACCCTGGGCCCCCATCCCCTCAACCCCCACCCACCCCAGTCTCTCCACCCACCATGCTTACTCAAGTGAGTGTGTGTGAGTTTGGGCGTGTGCATATGTGTGTGTGAATGTGTGTGAATGTGTGTGTGTCTGTGTGTTCGTGTTTACGTTTGACGGGGGTCCTTGTGCCCTGCGCCGCGGCACTTGCAGGGGGGCAACAGAAAAGACAGCTGTGTGTTTGAGAGAAGCAGAAAACGTAAGAAAGCGAGAGTGGAGGGCCAACAGGCATGCCAGTCAAGACCGTCACTTTTGGAGTGAGTACCACCATCTCTGTGTCTCTCTGTCTCCTCTTCACCTTCCTCCTTTGATGATCTCACTTCATCTTTTCTCCTCTAACTCTCTCTCTCTTTCTCTCTCTCCACTTCTCTTCGTTTCTCACTTTATTGCTTTCTTTATTGGAATATTTTGCTCTGTAACAAAATCCTCGATTGCGTTACTTTGGATGGAGCGCACCTGCCAAAGCTTCCCATCTTTCCCTCTAACATCAGACAGTAGCGGGTCAATACCTTCGCCTCTTGCTTTGCTTCCCCGCTTTTCTGATTTACTCAGTTTCAACATCATGTGCATCGATTTACCTGTATGTACTCTGTCCATTTTCTTGCTAACTCTCTATTCTGCTCATGTTTGCCTGCTTGCTGAGAACAGTTTCTGTTTTCAAAGTTTGTTCTTGATTGAGTCCCGAAGAGGCCCTCGTTCCTACTGATGGGGAAAGAGATGAAAAAAACGCTGTTGTTCACAGAGGAGTAAATATTGCTTCTGCTTAACGAGAAAGTGACCTGTGTTACAGCTACTCGAAGTATGTGACACAAATGTCATTGCTCACGAACATACTCATTAGACAGAGTCTCCCATAGCAACGTAGAAGGAAGCTCGAGTATCTTTGAGAGTTGGGATATACGTATGTCTAAGATCAGTGTAAGTGTTTACGTATGGGCGTGTATCTTCTCCTCATTTCCTCTTTAATCTCGTTCTCGAGTTCATTTGTTTCTCTGTTTGATGTTCAGATTGTAGGATGTCAACCAGGATTAACTCTGGTAAGTGAACTGGAGGTCAGTAAACTGATTAGTGGGTCAATTAATGAGAGCCTTTCATCGGGGCTTCACCAGACACTGCCTGGATGTGTATCACGACTAGCTTTGTTTCAGCCTGGGGTGACAAAGTAAGACATCGGCAGGTTTTACTGCAGACAGTGCAGCTTGCAGAAATGGGCCCATCATAAGTCCTCTGTCTGAACTGCAGTCAGTTTGATAAAGCTGTTGTGTTTTTTCATAACTTGCAGTCTGTCGTCAATCATCCTGTAGAAACAATTCAGCAGAATTGACCGGCTAGTCTGAAGGAAAAGAAGTCTCTGAAGGGTGATTTTAAAACTGAGAATAACTTTGATCAGTGGTGGAGGATTAGTTTGGATCCTTTACCCAAGATAAACATAAAAACCAGAAAGCTTTAGAGTTTGAATCCTTGAATGAACAGACACAGGTGAGTACATAAGTGTTGGTTTGCTGCACCTCACACAGACTGTACCGGTCTGAACACTACCGGAGGGATGAACTCCATTCTGCAGAGATAATCTATAGATGTTTGGGTTGATTTTTGGTGACTACAAAGACCACAGTGTCTGATTCTCAAATTATTATGATGAAAACAGTCAGCTAAGACAGAAACGGGACAGAAATATCAGAGGATCATGATGATCGAGCGCGATGTGTTTCTCTACCAGGCGAGTGAACCCAATTATGCGTGCACCCTAAAAAAGCTCGAGCTACCAGATCCTTTTATCACCATTTCTCTACTTTCGATGCTCTTTAGATTTGGTCTTTTTCTCAGTCCTCTGACTGAGGTCTGACTGTATAGATATATTTGGTAAAACCTCTTCTTGAAAAACTGATCAGCCAAGCAGACTTATGGTCCTATAAACACTAAACCCTCTTGTTTTAAAGTCTCCGAAATTATGTTCATATTCGTCTGAACTGGACCTGCCTAAAAAATTCTGAACATAACACAGAAAAGAGTTGATTTAACTGTTCATGCGGCAAAGTTTCTTTATTCCTTGTTCAGGTTTTTCTCTATATTTTCACCCGTCTGCATATGCATTAGAAAAATATATATACTGTCGGATAAACAAAGCATTTGGACTAATTCTCAGTTACATCAGTAAAATCTTATTTTAAGAGTAGTATTAATTAAAGTCAAATGAATGCAGATGTCTAAAAAAGTGCAGTATTACACAAACAAATGAGAAAAAGCGGAAATAATATCAAATGAAAAAACTTAGGGAATACTTAAATGTTCAATTCCACCCATAACACTGTGTTTTCTGTTGCTCTTTTAACTGAGGCAACATTTAATGACTTAAATTAAAATAATACTATCATTTTAATAACTTTATATCATCAAATTAAACGATAACAGCACAGTTTTTTAGTTTCAGGTTCATCCAGCCCTGGGCTAGAATTACTTAAACTCTTAACTTTATATAGTTTACTCCGGTCTCAGCAGACTGTCATAATCTGCATAATAACTGATGTTTTACTGTGCAGTGAAACGCAGGATGTTTACCATATCTTGAGCCTATCCTCCATAGGTTCTAAAGCCCATCTCCTCCTTATGGCTTTCACCCTCTTTGTCACCCTCACAAAAGATCACAATAACCATGACAATCTCATCTTCAGGCGCAGAGGCTGCAGCAGGGCACGATATAAAAAGACAATCAATGAGTGCAGCAGGGACAAACAGAGGGATCCAGAGAGGGGGGGTGGTGGTTAGGGAGTGTGAGAAAGTAAATAGTATAAATGGGACATGACGCTTCACCACATTCAGAAGCAGACTTTCAGATTTACATACAGACAGACTGACAGCGTTGAGTGAGGAGAACGTAACAGCTCCATTCAAGTGCCTCGCTCACTCGCTTCCTGTAAATGTGTCCATAGCTGAACGCTCCCAGGGGTCTTAGTCCGACTGACTCCACACTTACTCCATCTCTGTAGCCGGAAACAGACCCGCTGCCTGCCTGCTCAACCTTCTTAAGCAGCCTGAGAGATGAAGGCAGAGATGGAGGCCGGAAGAAAAAAAAAGGGACAGAGAAAAAAAAAATCAATTTCTTGAGCAAATGCAAGTCAGCAGAAAAGGGCAATGAAATGGCTGTTTAAGCACTCTGCAGTATTCTCTATACCCGCTTTTCACTGTATAGAAAAATGTATAGAAACAGCCCAGTGCTCTGTTAGCTTAAATACATCAAGATATCAAGTTAAGGAGGGAAAAAAGCAAACCAGACATTATCTAGAGTGTACTGTGCTTGCACAGTTAATGTTGTTTACACTTGAGGAGGCGTGTGAAGTGAGAGTAAAGCAGGACTTGTAGCATATTGGACATACTGTACATCCCGCCTTATTTTCACCTGTCTGCTGGATGCAGCAGAAGCTGTGTTGCTTCTTTAAGTATTTATGATTTGCACCTGATGCTGTGTCTGCAGATTCATGTTGTTGTTGTTTTAGTGAGTGTGAATGTAAGAGGAGGATAACCCCTCTGTATGTGGTGTTTATTTAGCTGATTTTGAGAGTATGACTGAAACATTCTGAAGTCTATTATAGTTTATTTGCTGTATTTATTATAATATTAGGCCTACAGATAAGTCCCCTTGACTATCCAGCAGACAAATTGACATTCAGTGGAGGTGCTGTAGGATTTGCCTCTTTTTAATTGTAACAGCAACACAGTCATTGCTCTCTTTCTCTCTCCAGCAGCTATGAGACATGTTCAGATGTAAAATCACCTGTCTGAGCTGTTGGGAAGGACATGAAATTTATCAAATGACAACAAAAGCACCAGAACAAAGGAAAAACCTTATTTTCTAACAGAGAATCTACCTGATCTTTTGCTGTCAACTGGACCCATTTTTAAGTTCATTTTAACTAAATACAAAACTCCAAATCAGTTAAATAAAACTATTTAATATTTGATATCATGACCTGAAACTGAGGGGACTTCATATGCAGGCACTGATTCGGTTTAGGGGCGGGCAAGTCATCTTAAAACTTCTTTACTTGCAACAGACGAAGTGTGAAGTATGGAATTTACTGAATGACTGTAGCTAGCAGGTTGTTCACACACTGCCGTGGGATTGACAGATGTAGATGTGATTGCCGTTACTGTAATCACAACAAAGCCGAACTGTGTCTGCTGTAATCCTGCAACTGTGCATGCAGCTACAGCAAAGAGACAGAGGGTTAGCAGTTTGCACAGAGATAAAATTCAGATGGAGAGATAGCAAACAGATGTTATATCAGGCTTTTTTCAAGCTCGGAGTAGACGCATAACAGCATGTTCTCAAATCCTGGTATTTACAATTAGATCGCACACACACTTGTTCAGTCTGATCCCATTCAGTTCGTATGTACACACACACTGACACACACTGACACACACACAAACATACAATCTGTCCTGAAAGAACGATACTTCAGGGTTAGTCATCCGTTGCAGAGGGTCTTAGCGGCTGAGATGTCAATTTCACTCATGCTCTCTACACACAAACGTTTACACTTGCACAGGTGAACATTACATTTCTGAACACTGCAGTCCACCAGCAAGGGGGTGATGTCATTCTGTCTGCTGCAGCGCCAGCAGAGGAGGTAAGCGAGGGTTGGAGGGGGGGGTGAAACGTCAGAAGCAAAGGGATGAAGAGAGGGGGAAAGACGACAACAGGGGGAAGAGAGAGCTGAGATCAAGAGGCTGAGGGGGGAGTTTAGGGCAGAGGATTTTCTATGATGAGATAGAAGAATAATTTTACTTGGTAATTTCTCGCCTGATGATGAGGAGCCTTGTGCCGTCTAAGCCCGAGGACAGTTGCGAGCACGTTGCACGACAGCTTGTATTTATATTGGTTATGTTAACCATGGAGCTGCTGAGCAGGTTATTGTGTGTTCTTCGCTGCAAACAGTTTGATTAATGGGTTCGCTCATTTTCACTCAGCCACAGGGACCAAAGCTTGTCCGCTCCCTTTGTGAATAAGAAACACACATTCATCTAAGCTCTGCTGCAAGATGTAGTGGAGGAATTACCAAAGACCATTTTAGACTGATTCTTCTATTTATGTGTGTGCGTGTATGTTTGTGTGTGTTTGTACTGTACCTGTTTACATCTGCGTTTGGGGTTGGGTGTGGTTCCACTACATCCTTATCTCCCTTCAACACACACACTTTGACGCAAGTAGATAAAAATACATGTAGACGGACATACAAGTGCAGAGCTGATCTAAAACAAGGTGGAGATGATCTTTTCAGGAGGATTCTAGTTCAGGTCTCCGTGTGTTCTCGTAAACTTCAGCAGGCTGTCTTTGGGGTCAGTGAACTGAGTCCAGGGGAGTGGGAAGCCTGCAGTCAGAGTCACCATGGTGTTACCATGCCACCATTTGCTCAGGGAGCATGCATATTGTGCTAGCTTGTGTGTGTTTGTGTTTGTGTGTGTGTGTCTGCTTTAGCTGTATTTGCTCATACTTGGACCAAAGGGTTCCTCTTGTGTCACCATGGCATAGCCGGCAAATATTTCATGACACAGAAAGTAGATACTTGGATTTATCCGTTCTTATCCCTGTCTTTGGTCATTTTAATGTCAAGTGGATCTTAAGTAAATTTAAATTTTTACTAGTTTTAAGTCTTAATATTCCGATCATATCTCCAGAGACTGCTGTGTTTCATGTCAGCAGGTGCATCAGGGTCAGAGAGGTCAAAACGGAGTAAATATTCTTCAGTGTGAAAGTAAATGAAGGAGAAAGTGACTGCGGCTTATCATGAACATAAAAACGTCACAGAGACACTAAACTGTCAAAGTATCTCATTATTATATCTCTGTTTTTTCTGTACACTGACTTGTGTTGGGTGTTCATTTATTTATTTTGCAGGAGAAAGTTTGATAAATTGTCTGTTGGCATGTTTGTGTGAGTGAGTGAGCTTTTTATTGAATAGTTTACCTCTCAAGTGTCGTGTTAAATAGAAATGACTTGGAGGCAGACGGTTTAAAAACACAAGATTTACTTCTGATCACACGATGCTGCATACTGTGAGAATTTATCTGATAAGAGGAGGAGCTTTCATCTCTAGGAAGAAGAATCCCAGACAGTCAGATCCTGTTTTCCTGCTTGGATCAGCTGGAGTTTTCTGTTTCCCTGCCATTGCCCCTGTCTTTCTTTAAGTGACCTCTATCTTTGCACAGCGCTGTGCCATTGGTGTCATGCTGAGGGTGTGTTGTGTCATTTGTTGCTATGCCTCTACTTCAGGCATGTGGATCCTTTCTCTTTTTAACTCGCTCACTCTCTGTCAAAAGAGGACTGACGACCCTGTCACAACAATAGTCAACACAGCTGAAAGCAGCCTGTTATGGAGTTCAGGGAGGCATTTTTCTTTGGCGTGTTTGATGTTTGCAATTTGTGTTTTTCTGTCGGATCAGAAATGCAAGCGTATGGGTTTTGGACATGAATTTATTCTCTGTGTTTACGGAAAAAACATGACCAGCGTGTTGAGATAGCAGGTTAGATGGAGGCTGGGGATGGGCAAATGGGGGAGAGAGAGAGAGAGGAGATTATGTAAATGTAATGAAAAAGTGCAGGGTTTGCCGCAGTCGAGTTTCTCCCTGTGGTTGCTCCTGCTTCTCCTCCTCTCACCCCCGCCCCCCCCAGTGCCGCATGAGTGATCCTGTTTCAGCAGCACCCCTGCCTGCCTGGGAGAGGCATGGAGCCCACAGACACAAACAAAACACAGACAAAAACACAAGACGTGCCATGTGCCGCTGGCCCGTGAGCCAGGACACACCAAACCCTCTCTCTCTCTCTCTCTCTCTCCTTTCTCCATTCACCTTGTGTCTCTTTCTCTCTTTTTCATTGACACACACAAACTCAGAGTCTGGACAAAGAGCCAACAGTCTGTTGGCCATGAAAGGCACTACAGTAGCTTTCGCTATTATCACACTTGCCTTATCACCCTCGCGCAGGGCTGCAGAAAGACTTGTGGACACCTTTTCGGAGGGTTTTATTGAGCCAGGTGCCCAGTTCACATTCAAAGGGAAGTGTGTGTACTCCACTTCTCCACCCACGACACAAATTTAAGGTGCAGTTGCTGATTTTCGAACTGCACCGTCCAAAATCTCATGGGCAGAGTGACATGAGAGGAAAACCAGTGGACTACTTCTGCACTTTTTTCAGTCAAATATTAACCAATCTGTCTCCCTCTCTATTTTCCCTCTCTACTCCTCTACTTTATGTGTCTCTCACTTTTTCTTCTACCCCTTATTCCCCTCCTCTTTCCTTCTATCTGTTCCGCTTGCAGGCAGATGCTGGAAACAGTTTCCTCCGAGCAGCCCGGTCTGGCAACCTGGACAAGGCCCTGGAACACATAAAAAATGGCATCGATATAAATACAGCCAATCAGGTGGGAGAGCTGCACACGCTCTGCTGAATGTTGTAGCATGATGGGCTTTAAACCACACTGAACAGTTTTGATCTGTAGTGTAACGAGAATATTTGAGTAGTTTTGGATAAGTGATAAATGCCGAGGTACATTTTAAAATTCAGGAGAAAGAAAAATGACGATTTTTAATGGACGACAACTGACAACAGGGAGTGATAATCAGACGTACCGTGTAACGTGTTATCATTTACATGTAATTGTGTTTTTAAGTGTCCAGTGTGCATGTTGTGCCTGATGTGAACATCGTGTGCTGTTGTGTATCATTAAGTCCGCGCACTCAGTCATGCATCAAAGTGTACACGCATGCTCTTGTAAACCGTAAATCAGCGGCCGAAGGTGGCAGGTGGAGTGTGCTGGGCCTCCTGGGAAGGGGATAAATGGGGCACGGGGCCTCGCCTTCGCCTTGTCCCCTCCATCCTGCCTCCTTTACTCTGACAATTATTCCCTCAGTGTCCAGGAAGAGGCAGCATTAGTGTGTGTGGACTGCTGCCCTCAAGCAACTAAAAGTTGGCCAAAGTATAATGTGTGTGTGTGAGAAAGAGAGAGAAAGAGAGAGAGAGAGAGAGTCCTCTGCATCATTAATCCAACTTAGTCATGGTTTCCCCTCTATTCACTTTTGCTGTCCTCAACATTTTTGTAATTATTGTTGGTTATGGTTCTGTCAGGGTTTCTATGAGGCCTCATATCAAGCTCTACATAACAACAGATCTATTTATGCAAAGTGACTCTGTGTTAAAGCCACAACTGGAAAACTTCACGTGGAGCAAAAAAACCCCACTCACAGAAATTCCTCCTGATCGTTGAAAATTTATGAGCCGTCTCTTCTGCAAATTGATGCAGTGAAGAGTGTGTGTTGCTCTCAGTCAAGTAGCACTATCTGATTCAGTGCTACCACTGGATGGCAGCAGAGTAAGGACACCTATTGGCTGATATTCAAAGACTACAGTCCCCCGTTTTGAAACAACAATAATACAGAGTCACATGAAGCTGTTGATTAACCCCTAACACTCCGCTCACCCGTCATCGCGGTGAGAGTTGTGTGGTTTTGGTTGTGCGACTGTTTGCTGTCTGTGTCGTCTGATGGGAGTTTGTACAGGTGCCTGCCCGCCCTGTGTTGTGGTCTCCTCCTCTGTCCCTCTCAGTCTAACAACTGCTCCACTACTCTCTGATTTTTTAATTCATCTCCCAGTTTTTTTGTTTTCCTTCTTCCTGTTGCATCCCTCTGTTCCTCCCCCTCTCCTCTCCTCTGTCTACAGTAGAGTGATGGTGTGCTGTGGTCTCCTCACTCAGAGGAATAATATCAGTGGTGTGGGAAAGGTCCAACCTCACATGTCCTGTGCGGCTGAAGGAAGGCTGTGTGAGGTCAGACCTATCCCACACGGCTTGTATTCTTCCCAGCCACGAGACCAGCGGCCTGCCATCCCCCTCCCATCTTCTTGCCCTCCTCCTCCTCCTTCCCCACCATCATTAATCAAATGAAAATGTTCACACCCTGATTTTCATTCCTGTCGACATTGTTTTTGCTAATGACCAATCTGAGAGTACTGCATGCGTGGTGTCCAGTGTAAGTATTTGCCTGCTTTGGTCTGCGAGTCTTTCAGTCTCTTTAAAAAAAAAAAAAGCAAAACAGACAAACCCAGATTGTTTCAGTTTGCATGATCTTTGAGTGTCGGTGTGCATATGTGTTGTGATTATTTTCCTTTTGTAGTACTTGTCTTCATAGAGTGTGAAGGACCTTTCAGTTTGAGGTCTACTCTGCTCTCTCACTCAGAATGGGCTAAACGGGCTGCATCTGGCCTCGAAAGAAGGCCATGTTAAAATGGTGCTGGAGCTACTCCACAATGGAATAGTACTGGAGACCACCACAAAGGTAAACACCCTTGAAATAAAGTCCTGAGATCTAACTAGAACTCCTCAAACAGTAACATAATAATCCATATCTTTTTGAATTAAAAACAAATGTTTTTTGTTTCTTTTTGGCTTGAATGTGATGAACAAATAATCTCTCATTGTGTCTCTTACTCAGCTGAGGAAATCCCAGTGTGTCTCTTTATGTACAGTATTAATTCTTGGGGATTGGGATAAAACCTGTCAGACAGTTGTAGCAGCTATTATTGTAAAAAGTAAAATAATTTCCTATTGTTGATGTCTTTTTGAGTAAATATTAGAATGTATTGAAACCAAATAATTCCCTGCAATTTAAATTTATCATTATTACATTAAATCTATAAGGCTTACTCTCTTCTAACTACATCAGAAACAGTGTGAGGAGTCTCGTGATTCTTTTGCAAAACTGACTGATCTAAATTAAATATAATCTTGCCTCCAGTCCAGCTCTTTTTTACTCCGGTTTCGGTAGTTGAAAGAAAAGGTATCGTACAATTCGGGGCTCCCACACACTGATACGATCAGTTTGTCCTCCATTTCAGATAACAGTGAACAACCGTCCGTTTTCATACATCACCCGGCAGCGATATCAGCCAATCAGAGGCAAAGGAGGCGGGACATTCCCCCACCATCCAACGAAAAAAATATCGCCACCCGGCAACCTGATCGCGACACGAATATCCGCTCAAATTGAAACATTTTCAGCTCCTTCCCAATTCGCGTTATTCGTGCTGCCAGAGTAGTTCAAGCGTCTAAATGCGTCTTTGCATTGACTTAACATGTATTTCCTTCGCGCGGATTATTTTACTTGACAGTTGGAGTATGAGGAGCTAACTGCTAGCTAAAGTTGTGCTAACTTACTGCTGTCATGGCTGTCGCTTTGTATTTAAGTGCAGGCATTAGAGTGGTCCTCTTAACTAACTCTTGACTTAAAAATAGTCCTCATTAAAACACCAGTTTCATTTTTAATATCTTGGATCTTAAGCCTCAATATTTTATGAAACCAATGAAGATGAAATGAATTCAGCTTCTCTGAGTTAAAAGCAGTGAAGTATGAAAGTCACTAGCTGCCCATACTTTCATATTTTGAGACTGTTGCTTTAATAATAAGCATCAACATTACTGAAAATTTATAGAAATATAGTGTGATGTTTTTTCGACCAGTTTGAACCAGTTAACAGTCTTGATGTGAACAAAACTATATCAAAACGCAAAAGATCTGTCTGAATGTGAAATCTACAAAAATGTGTAACACACTCAGTCTTTGTTAGTGTCTATGTTTTATGACTGTGATCTTTTGTATGTGTGTTATATCAGAAAGGGAACACAGCCCTGCACATTGCAGCCTTGGCAGGGCAGGAGCAGGTGGTCACAGAGCTGGTGAACTACGGGGCCAATGTCAACGCTCAGTCCCAGGTGAGACTCAGCGCTGCTCTCTTGGCGGCGATGAAAGGAAACGCTTCGTGACCTTTACTGTGAAACCATTGTAGGAGCTATTGCAATTCCATCTGTTAACACGTGTATCTGTTCCTATATTTCTGTGTGCTGCTGTTTCCTCTCTACGTGTACATCCCGGTGTGTGCATCTGTGACTGTCTTCCTGTCTTTCTGCTGTTGTGCATGTCTCCTCTGTTGCTGTGTGTGTGTGTGTGTGTATGTGTGTGTCTGCCGTGCGTCTTCCTGAGACAGAAGGGTTTCACTCCACTGTACATGGCTGCACAAGAAAACCATCTAGAGGTTGTGAAGTTTCTTCTGGAGAACGGAGCCAATCAGAGCATTCCAACAGAGGTACTGACGGACTGAGCGCAGTTTTCAAAGACGAATCTCCCAAACTACTCCATCTCATCCTTGCTGATCCAGACTTTGTGTCTCATTCTGTTTCGTTCTCATGAGCCTCTCTCCTCTTTCATTTTCTCTCCCCGAGTCAGCCTGTCCTCTGACCCTCTCCCGTGTGTTACAGGACGGATTTACACCTCTCGCCGTGGCTCTTCAGCAGGGACATGAAAACGTCGTAGCCCTGCTCATCAACTACGGCACCAAGGGGAAGGTTCGCCTCCCTGCGCTGCATATTGCGGCACGCAACGACGATACACGCACAGCTGCAGTGCTCCTGCAGAATGACCCCAATCCTGATGTACTCAGCAAGGTAGGTACCGCTCCTGTGTGAGTGATTGGCTGTAGATATGACCAAGCACAGGGTCAGTGTATGTAAAAACAGTTGGAGAAATCTCTATTGGGTGGATGGAGGATCATGATAGTGAACAGTTCTCTGTGTGTGTTCCTGCAGACTGGATTCACACCCCTCCACATTGCTGCACACTATGAAAACTTGAACGTAGCTCAGCTGCTGCTTAATAGAGGAGCCAATGTCAACTTCACCCCAAAGGTGAGGAATAATTGCTGCAGTTTGAAGGTTAATCTATGTCATTGCGGTATTTTCTCCATGCGTTTGCCCGTCTAAGTGCATCTGTGTCTCTCTGCAGAATGGTATCACTCCTCTGCACATCGCTTCCAGACGAGGGAATGTGATCATGGTTCGGCTCTTGTTGGACAGAGGGGCTCAAATAGACGCCAAGACCAAGGTGCGGCAGACATCCATCCTCATCTTTCACCATCTTAAAAGTCTTTGTATCTAATTTTCTGCATCATTTGACAAATCAGTAACTCTCCTCTCTTTCCAGGATGAGCTGACTCCTCTACACTGTGCAGCCAGAAATGGTCATGTCAGGATAATTGAGATCCTGCTGGACCATGGAGCCCCCATTCAGGCAAAGACCAAGGTAATCCATCTGTATTCATGCCAAATGAATCCTTTACTCCTCTTAAGAGCTGAAAAATTGAACCGGACACAAACTTGTTTTGATAAATAGGTGTGTATAAATAAACATGAAATGAACCAAAGATTTTTTAGCCACAGGAAACCTTCGCCTCATCCTGCTGCTGTTTGTAACAAATGAGAGAGTAAACAAGTTTCCTTGTTTTGCAGAATGGCCTGTCTCCAATCCATATGGCAGCACAGGGAGACCACATGGACTGCGTCAAGCAGCTTCTGCAATACAACGCAGAGATCGATGATATAACTCTGGACCATCTCACCCCTCTGCATGTGGCAGCGCACTGTGGCCACCACCGCATGGCCAAAGTACTGCTGGACAAAGGGGGGAAACCGAACTCTCGGGCATTGGTCAGTGGCAAACGTAGACACAGTTTATCAGTTTAGTCAAACCAGAGTTTTTCTTTTTTCAAATTTAATAATGCTGTTTTTTGTTTTTGCAGAACGGCTTTACTCCTCTACACATCGCTTGTAAAAAGAACCACATGCGTGTCATGGATCTCCTGCTTAAACACTCGGCATCATTAGAGGCTGTGACCGAGGTGAGGGTTGAGGACAGAAGGTTGAACTCTTTATTAATAAAGTAAACATGATTTTTGCTCATTTATCTGGTTCTTTTGCTCCTCTGAACAGTCTGGCCTGACCCCCTTGCATGTGGCGTCCTTCATGGGTCACCTCAACATCGTGAAGATCCTGCTGCAGAAAGGAGCTTCCCCCAGCGCTTCCAACGTGGTGAGTGTCTTCCTGAAATCTAAACCAACTAAATAATCTCTGCTTTGGTGATGTTGTTGTAACAGTAGTCAGTCTGAGCGTAGGAACTGTTGTGCTGTGTTTGAATAGAAAGTGGAGACCCCTCTACATATGGCATCTCGAGCGGGACACTTTGAAGTTGCAGAGTTTTTACTGCAAAACGCAGCACCGGTGGATGCTAAGGCCAAGGTAGAGAATTTATGTACCATGAATCATCAGTGCATCCATGTACTTAGGATTTCTGTAATCAGACAAGAGATGTGACGCCGTAACAAAGATGGTTTCTACTCACAAGGGTTTGATATAATCTGATATAAAAAGTCCAGATCATTCTAGTGAAGCTGAGCAATCAAAACAGGATGATAAACACAATCAATCAATCAAATCAATCAGATTTTATTTATATCGTGCCAATTCACAACAGTCGTTATCCCAAGACGCTTCCCAAAAAAGAGCAGGTTCATTGTTTGATGAATTATCAAGACCCAACCTTAAGATGGGACAGATTTGACCCATCTCTTCTAACATGAGTGACAGTGGCAGAGGAAAAACTTTCTTTTAACAGGCAGAAACCTTGAGCAGGACCAGACTCATGTACAGAGATAGGGAGGGAGGGAGGGAGAGAGAGAGAGAGAGAGAGAGAGGAGTGGGAGAGAAAGAGAACAAGGGAAAAGGAAGTAGAGAGAGAAGGAGTAAGGGAGAGGGAGGGAGAGAGAGGGAGGGAGAATAGAGAATGAGGGTGAGAGAGAGAGAGACAAGGGACAGCAGCAACATTAAAACAACAACAACAACAGCTCATACAGAGTTGTGGTTGCAGAGCAAAGATAAAACACACCACTTTAGTATTTTTTTCTACTTCCCATTTCAAGTAAATACTTCTTTTTTTTCACCCTCCACTCCTGCTCAGGATGACCAAACACCTCTGCATTGTGCTGCACGTATGGGCCACAAGGATCTGGTGAAGCTGCTGCTGGAGCACAAAGCTAACCCGAACTCCACCACCACAGCAGGTCATTCTCCTCTACACATCGCTGCCCGGGAAGGTCATGTACAAACTGTGCGCATCCTTCTGGACATGGAGGCTCAGCAGACTAAGATGACCAAGGTAAAGTCTGCCAACTCTTGATTGCACTCCTCTGTTGTGTTATAAACCTGAACTTTCAGTTTATGGTGTACACCTTTTCTTGTTGTCTCTGCAGAAAGGCTTCACTCCCCTGCATGTGGCCTCAAAGTACGGGAAGGTGGATGTTGCAGAGCTGTTACTGGAGAGAGGAGCCAATCCCAACGCTGCTGGGAAGGTAAGGGAAACAAGTTAGACCTGATCATGGCATGAATATACAGTATTTTTCGCACTATAATGCGCACCTGATTACAAGACGCACCATCAATGAACGCCTCTATTCGCGTCTATTTTCATACATAAGGCGCGCCGGATTATAAAGCGCATTAAGCCAAACAAAACAGTCAGATAAATCAAACCTTATCGAACTCATTCAATAACTCCGCGAGGCTACGGTAGCTGCAGTGCTCCAACAAGCCAAAAGGATTTAAAGTGCGCCTTTTAGTGCAAAAATACGGTAATCAATGTGTTTAAATGTTTGCTTCTGTCGTTCCAGAATGGTTTGACTCCACTGCATGTCGCTGTACATCATAACAACCTGGATGTTGTTAACTTGCTGGTCAGCAAAGGAGGGTCACCACATAGTGCAGCCAGGGTAAATATTCAAAGACATTTGAACAAGTACACACATTTATGCTGGCTGGCTGTACTAAGCTAAAAAGCTGCTCTCGTGTCTGTGCTCCAGAACGGCTACACTGCCCTCCACATAGCATCCAAGCAGAACCAGGTGGAGGTGGCGAACAGCCTGCTGCAGTATGGAGCTTCAGCCAACGCTGAGTCACTGCAGGGGGTCACGCCTCTTCACCTGGCCTCACAGGAGGGAAGGCCCGACATGGTCTCTCTCCTCATCTCCAAACAGGCCAACGTCAACCTCGGAAATAAAGTAAGAAACAATAAAAGTATGACTTTGACTCCTTTCTCTGTAGTATATCTGTGTCTGATGTTCTCTAATGATCCTGGATTTGTTTTCCCCTCCAGAGCGGATTAACCCCTCTGCATCTGGTGGCTCAGGAGGGACATGTCGGCATAGCAGATATCTTGGTAAAGCAGGGGGCTTCGGTATATGCAGCTACAAGGGTAAGACCTCTTCAGTCTCTCAGAAAAAATCATTGTTTTTATTTTCTCAACACAAGTTTAGAGATTTTCAGAGAGTGTTGAAACACAAAGACCAGCCTTGAGCCACAGTGGACAGTGTTTAAGTGCTCAAGCATAAAAAGAACAATAATCTCATGGTTGAGAGTTATGTTACCGTCAATACATGACCAACCCTTGAGATATTAATACATTTTAGACCTTAACAGTCTGAGAGTAACTAAAATAGTTAGCGAGATTTGACTTATAACTTCAACAGCATGTGTAAAGATCATCTTAAGTAATAATTCTGTGATTTTAGATGGAAGATTTTAGGTGAAACGTTGAAGCTCTTGCTTTCGTTTCCCTTCAAATGAAACTGTAAAAAATATTATGATTGCTTTGGTTGTAATTCCTGTCCCATTTAAGGAGTTTATTGCATAGTTTCTTGTTTCTATGTAAACAACATCCTGAGTATATATTTTTAAGTAAAATACGTTTAGAAGAATCAGCGTACTGGACTATCTTTGTGTGTGAATTTGAATGTTGATTATTAGTTTACCTTATAAAGCATTTAACTCAAGAGAGAGCAGAATCTACATCACGCCTTCAGGACTCTTGTTTTTTTTCTTTTGACCACCTTAACTTGTCATTTTTCCTCTCACTATCAGATGGGATACACCCCGCTCCATGTAGCGTGTCACTATGGCAACATCAAGATGGTGAAGTTCCTTCTGCAGCAACAGGCCAGCGTTAACGGCAAAACAAGGGTGAGGGCCTCCCTCTGGTTTTAAGTGTAACTGCAACTAAATCAAAAGAGGTGTGAGTCATGCAGTTACACTGTGTCCACAATCACCGTCTGATTTATGAGGAGCAACAAATTACCACACATTAGGCTGAAAAACGGTTGTTTTCAAGACAGATCGATTTTTGTTGTAATTTGTGGAAAAAGGGCAATTGACCACTCCGAGGAACAATGTCTGTACAAGAACTATTGAGTGTTACTTTCTCAGTATTTCCTTCAAATTGAACTTTATTCATATTTTATCACTTTAAGAAAAAGAACAATTATTTCTGTGGATCAGGAAATTGTTTCAGATGTTATAGTTGTTGTTTTGTGCCTCTGCTAGAAGAACATAAAACAACTCTAAATGTACGTCAATAGATTGGGTTTTATACTAACTAAAGAGGGCTGACTATACTGAATAACTCTAACAAACACAACAGGACAAATAAATCAATCGTTTTCCAGATGTCACTGATGTCTCGGTTTTGTCTCTTCCAGCTTGGTTACACTCCCTTGCACCAGGCCGCCCAGCAGGGACACACGGACATCGTGACACTGCTGCTGAAGCACGGGGCTCTGCCCAACGAGACAACAACAGTAAGCAGAGTTACAGCTCTCCTCTCCTCTAAATAACTCATGCCGTGTTTCTCCCAAAGATCTCACAGGTTTGATTCTGTCCAACAGAACGGTACATCCGCCCTGGCTATTGCGAAGAGGTTGGGCTACATCTCTGTGATTGATGTCTTGAAGCTTGTCACAGAGGAGACAGTCTCCATGGTGAGATTTTTTTCACACTTGCATTATGTGATTATAATGATTACATAAAAATACCTGTAAGTTTGAGTTGTGATTCCTCTTGTAACCCGCAGACGACCACAGAGAAACATCGCATGAGTTTCCCAGAAACAGTGGATGAGATTTTGGACGTGTCTGAGGACGAAGGTAAAGCACCACAACTGTCAGATAGTGTTTGGATCAGTAGGAAATAAACCCATAATTAACTGCGTTGATATAATCCAGATACTGTTTGTTCAAAAGGCTGGTTGAGCCGGTCATATAAGTATTTATTTTTTTCCAATCCTTGTTTTGCTTTTTGCTCTTTTTTAGGAATTGCACAGCTAACATTAGGTATGAATGTCTCTTTCTTTCTCTGTGCGGCATTCATAGGTCAATGTTTTATATCGTCTGGCTCCATTTCAAGCGCACTCTCTCAGTCTTTATCTCTCTCTCTCTCTCTCTTTCTCGTTCCCTCTGTAATGGTGCTCACTGTGATGGTGGCTCTGGTTCCTCATCGGCATGCACCCATAGCACTCATGTCCGTAACCTTTATGTGTCCCATCAGTAACACTCTCATTCTCTAACCCTCCAGGTGTCTGTTTCCTCCATTTTGTAACCACAGTCCTTATAATTACAGTTACAGTCAATATGTATAGATCCCCTTTATATTACCGACAGCACACAAAATTCAGTCAATCTTAGTTTGATGTAAGACACTGAATTAAAGTGAAATAGTTTTGTCTTTGAGGATCAGCGATGTCTAATACGTGTGTCGACGTCTGTCTTCATTTTGTCAGACATGTAAACATCACTTACGTCTGTTTTGTGTTACAGAGTTTTAAAGTTTATTTCATTGGCTGGGATGGCTACAACCCAAACTTTTGCATTAACATTGGATCATATGACTACTTGTTTCTAAAGGCTAAAACCTACAGGATCCGTATTGAGTGTGTATCATTAGCGTCGTATATCACGCAGCAAATAAGTTGCCATTCTAATCAATGCACCATCGCACACAGGACGCGAATCAGAAGCGTATCGAGCGCGGCTCTGCTAAAGATATGCAGCGAGTATATTTTTGCTGCTCTGCACTTCCAATGCGCGTCGATCCACACTGAGAAGATCGTTCTAGACAGGAAGTCAAGCACAAAAACCGTGCATATCACCCGGTATTTCAAAATAAAACACCATATGCAGACTCCTGACTGTGTATCAGTTCTTGTAGATGAGAAATACTTCCTGGTTCTGGATTTATCAGTAAAACAGAACAATGCAATGGTCGATCCCTGATCCATGTGGACACCAACAGGACTTTAACTGCTAACTCTGTCTGAAGGTAACAGCACAGCATAAAGGAACATAGTTTACTTTATCAAACACGAGTAAACCTGCAAAAACACAAACTGTAAAATCACATTAATTTTTCACACACAGTAGAAGCTCAACAGTCACTGAATTATATCCAAATTAGAAGGAAATCGACCACAGAAAGGAAAAACAACCTGTTGTGAGCATGTTGTTTACTCTACACTGAGCCCAGCTGACCGGGGCTGCACTACACGCTCCAAATATGCATCCTGTATGCGATAGACAGTGTCACTCTACGGAGCAAATACGGAACACGCTCAACACGGATCCTGTATGTTTCCGGCTTAAGAGAAGAAGCACAGAATAATTATCCAACCTGAGATTCTACCGAGGCGTAACCCATCCCACCATCATGGCTCGTTTGTCCTCTTTCATTCACTCTTACTGATGTCTTAGTTTTTGGTTGCTAATGACAGTTTTTGCACCAAAAACACTTTTAACTTCAACTTTAAAGGTCGACAGATAAAGACAAAGATAACGCCAAAAAACTGTCAAGAGTAAAATTCAGACTTGCTCTCATCATATGAACATAATCAGGCTCCAAATAAACGCTAATGTTGTTCTACTAACATGTTGATCACTAAGGTGGCTACTGCTTGTTTTTGCTGCCCCCTAGTGGTTTGAAAAAAATCTCTTATTGTGGATTTAACTTCTAATTCCAGAACTTAACAACCTCACAAACAGAGATGCTAAAAGACTTTATATCTTGATATTTTTAGCCTCCTGATAATTCAACTGACAGATTGTCACCGTTGCTCTAAATATAGAGAGTTAGCCGAGTTGCTGTCTTAAAGACACATCTCATATCCGGGATGGTAAAACGATACGGTCGGGTTATATGATGGGCACACTCACAACCACGACACGGTACACAAGACAGAGAATGTATGGGACACGGGCTGCCTCATGTGAACCCTCGGGAAGTGTACTCATGGAGTCAAACATGGTGTAATGAAACCCACCACATCACTCCGGCTCTGGACTGCATAGAGACACCCACTTGCACAAGCTGTGCTGATACAGTCTCAGTTTAATACACACAGGGAAGAGTCCTTTTTTTTGTTGCTGAGGATTTCTACAAAACTGCTGTGTGTGTTTTTTGGGGGGGTAAGTAAGCGAAAGTCGTGTCTGCTTACGTCACGGTGTGTACGGCAGTGTGGGGAGGACAGCCTGTTCTTGCGTCATTATGTGTATTGTAGTGAACTGATGCTATCATGTGTTTGTGTTCATATGCTTTTCCAGCAAACCTCATGTTTGTCTCTGTGAAGGAGTTATCTGAAAGGTGCAGCTCAAAACTGTGTATTTGACAGACAGCAGACTTTAGAGTGAGATTACGCTGCTGCATGATCTCCCCTGAGATAGTCCACTCTACACATCTGTGACGCTGGTGTCTCTAATTTAACGAGTTTTATAAAACCCCAGACTAGATTAAGAAGGTTTCTTATCTTATTGATCTGATCACATGTTCAGGGATCCTGAATCCGAACTGTTGAACTCAGTTTCCAAGGTTACTGCTGATTACAGTGATTACAGTGGTGCCGCTCCTGCAGTTGTCGTGTGATGTTTAAGTGTCTGGTCCAACTTATCAGCAGCAGGGACATCCATTGTCACTATTGTTCCATCTCACCAGTCTAACCCCTTAATCCCAGAGCCATCTCCTAGATCCTGGTCTGTCATGCTCTGTCTAACCCCTCTGGTTAACAACCTTGTTCTTTTTTTTTTCTCTTTCTCCTCTTTTGCTGTTTCACCAACCTGACCACGGTCTGTTCGCTCTCTTTGGCATGTTGTTCTCTGAAGGAGAGGAGCTCTTGGGGACAGAAGGGGCCAGGTACATGAAGATGGATGACATGAAAGACCATGATGACGATTTCCTCTCCCCCAAGAAATCACTGGAGTACGAGAGAGGGCTGGGCACAGCGTAAGGGGGGCTGGGTGGGGAGGCAGGCAAGAGAGCCGAGCTGGTAGCTACACATTCATAGGTGGATGTACAGAGGGGGGATGATGCACCATAGACACTCACTTCTCACCAGGGATGAGCACTTGGGTGGAGATGTAAGGAAACTTCTTCAGTCTGACTTGATTCATGTTCTTTTCGTACAACAGAAATTACTCACCAGCCATTCCCAGGATCCCCCGAGTTTCCCCAGAGACCGTCATCCTGAAAGAACACGAGATAGATCAGGTACTGTACCGCTGTACGGCGCAGCAAGGAGACTTACAGGAGTCCTATTAAAGGTGGGGTAGGCAGGATCTGAGGAAGTGCTGGTGTTTGGGAGAAATCTTGAATGTAAACTCTACCCCTCCCTACCAGTTTTCCCCTCAGCTCCTCCTCTCCCCTCCCTCTCTGCTCCAGCAAGCCCCACCCACAAACAGATGCTCCTGCTCGCTCGTAATGTAGCACGCTAACTTTGTTTGAGCTTGTGAGGAGCAGCGTCTGCCTCACAACCAATCAGGTCGGGGAGGTGGAGAATGGCTTTGTTTACGGTCAGAATGAGCGGACCGTTAAAATATTTTAAAATGTTGACTACACAGACATCATAGAACACAGCGAGATCCTTATATTCCCAAATGTCATCAATAACTAATTGCGATTAACTGATATTAAATTTTTTTTTGTAAATACACCGCAAAAAAGATGCTTCTCTAACAGAATCCTGCCTAACCCACCTTTAACTCTTGGTCTCCAGTTGTGAATCAAACAGTTGAAAGGCGAGCTCCTTTATTTCCCATAATGCAACTCTAACTGTGTAAGTCTTCTGATGGTCTGAATGTGAACCAACTGATTTAATTTCAGTCTTGTCCTAATGTAAGTGTGTTATTAATGGAGTTTCAGTTTCTCTCCATATCCACTGTAATGATATATTTAAATTGAGAACATCGTTGTAAACTTTCTTTGACAGCTCACAGATTCAGAATCACAGATTTGCATTTATTTATAACAGTATATGAGGAAGTCTACTTTTAAGATTGTTAAAGACTTTGTCTTTCTCCCTGATGTAGCAACACACTCCTCTCCCACTGCCCAAAGAGTACGATGAGGACTCCCTGATTCCCAGCAGCCCTGCGACAGAGACATCAGACAATGTCAGCCCGGTCGCCAGCCCCATACACACAGGGTCCGTTCAGTGATATACAACTTCATTTAACCTCATCTCTGTTAAACGTCTGATCTAAGTGTCACAGTCTGTGTTCGTTAACAGATTCCTGGTCAGTTTCATGGTCGACGCTCGGGGAGGCTCGATGCGAGGCAGCAGGCATAACGGTCTGCGTGTCATCATACCTCCGCGGACCTGTGCGGCACCTACCCGCATCACCTGCCGCCTGGTGAAGCCGCAGAAACTGACCAGCCCCCCTCCACTGGTGGAAGGAGAGGGGCTGGCCAGCAGGATCATCTCCCTGGGTCCAGCAGGCATGCAGTTTTTGGGGTGAGGGAGAAACATCCAGTGTTTTCATTGCTTATATTTTCACATCTCCCTGGTAAATAATCAACCTCCCCATGTGTGGTCCATGTGCGGCAGGCCTGTTATAGTGGAGATCCCTCACTTTGCTGCCCTGGGTCGTGGCGACCGGGAGCTTGTGGTGCTGAGAAGCGAGAACGGCTCAGTTTGGAAAGAACATCGCAACCGCTACGGTGACGAGGTGCTAGAAACAATCCTAAATGGGATGGATGAAGGTACGAGTTTCAGGGTTTCGTCTGAGGCAGATGGTCCGTCATGTCACTACGTGGATTCACATCTTAACCGTCCTCTCTCTTCCTCTCAGAGTTAGAAAGTCAAGAGGAGCTGGGGAAGAAGAGAATCCGCCGCATCATCTCCACCGATTTCCCCTTGTACTTCGCCGTCGTATCACGAGTCCAGCAGGAGAGCGACCTGATTGGACCGGAGGGAGGTTCACTGACAAGTAAGCTGGTGCCAATGGTCCAGGCCACATTCCCAGAGACAGCTGTCACCAAACGAGTCCGCCTGGGGCTGCAGGTGAGATGGGACGATGAGGAGAAGGAAGGAGAAGAAATGCAGAATCGTTAGTGCCGATGTTGCATGGAAAAAAGCATGTTGGATGTACTTTGATCATGGAATGACCTGATCCTTTCAGCACTTGTACCAGTTTATTTTTTTCTGATTTAGAGCTCTGTTGCTTGTTTGGTTTGCCTTTATTTCAATAGGACCTTTGATTTCAGACAGTGCATGCACTTTGCACCTTCATATAACTCTGGACTGCCTTTAAAGTGCTGATTTATCGTTAGTCTTTAGAAATTTCTTTTACAACATGTAGTCACAGTAACTGAGTTTGAGTCAAATGAAACTTAAAACTTGAAATATTCAGTTCTCTTCCTGTAGGTTTGAAAAACTGAGTTTGGTATGTTTGATATCATAAATTTCTGGAAAATGTGCCGAAGGCTTTTTCTCTTGAAACTGAAGTGTCTCCTGACTTTAAAAGGAAGGAAAGGGCACCAAGTCTGTAAAACTTTAAGTTTTGTTGAAACTTCAGCTGTATTTCAGGTTTAGGCATACACGCCACATAAAACTGTGCAAATATTTTACAGATATCAAACATGTCTTCCTGTTTTATCAAATCAAACCAGCTGTTTAAGCTCATCAGTGACCTTTATGTTTTTATCTAAAGTGACCGGCCCAAACATCTTGTTTCAAAACTAAAACTAAAAATGAACGACACTAATCGAGTAAACTTCACTGATCCAAACCAGTCCAGTCACCAAGAACATTTTTTTTTTTCCACCAGTTTTAAACATTTATCTGGATTTCTAAAAAAAAGAACATTAATGTCATCTTTTATTCCCTTATCTTTTTTTTGTTGTTGTTGTAAATGCACCTTTTGCATGTGATTTTATTCTCACTGTATGTTTTTGATTTAAGAATATGCCTGTTTTTTTCCACTTCTTAGCTTGTTTGCAAACTTTAAAATAGCTGAAATGAAAAGTAAATAATGAATGAAATCGTATAATCATATCGAAACATGAAATTCTACTTTGAAAGTAAACCAAAGTAAAAGACAAAAACAGTGTAAATGGACCTTCTGCTGCATGTTTGGTTCAGCGGATGTTGTGTAGACACACTAATCAAACTAACATGCTGCTAAAAATGCAGCGGCAGAAAATCATGAATGTAATCAAAGACTTTTTTAGAGTTTCAGATATTTTATCTATTTTATAACCTTTTCTAACGTTAGAGATATTTCTGACTAATGTGATGCTGTAGTTGGATGTAAAACCATAGTGCCTTTCTATAAACTGTGTTGTACTAATGATTGTAAAAGCTTCATGATAACACAATAAAGAAGAGTTAAGTCATACAAACACTGTGTTGCTATTGTCTCTTTATGTTTAATGATTAAACTGAGTTTTTTATTCATAGTGGACTTCTTTCTCTCTTTCTTCCTCTCTTTTGTTCTTTTCCCTCTTTGGTTGCTGTTGCTCCTGTCATCCTCCTCTCTTTTACCTCCTTTCATGAAACCTCTACCTCATATTTGTTTGTTTTCATCTTCTAATATTTCCTGAAATCCTTATTTTTACCCCATCATGTAACATTCCCGTGTTACATACCCCCCCTTTCTCTCCATCGTTTGTCTTCAACCTCAGGCTCAGCCAGTTCCAGATGAGCTGGTTGCGAAACTGCTTGGTAACCAGGCTAACTTTAGCCCAGTGGTCACTGTGGAGCCTCGGCGGCGCAAGTTCCACCGGCCCATCGGTCTGCGTATACCCCTGCCCCCGTCCTGGAAGGAGAGCCCTCGAGACTCTGGGGAGGGCGACACCACGAGTCTGCGTCTCCTTTGCTCCGTCATAGGTAACACACACCTGAACTTGGAATTGGATGGGTGAATGTTTAAGAGTGTGTTTGTGTCCAGAGGAGCTGTTGTTGTCCAGGGTGAGAAAAGGGTTAAAAAAAAGATTGTAAAACATAAAAAAGTTGTATTTAAAGTTATTTTGTCTCTGCAGAGCTTACTTATTTCACTCTGCAGAGATAAACCAGTTCTCTCTCTATCTTTCTCTCATCCTGTCTGATTCCCAGGAGGCACAGCTCCAGCCCAGTGGGAAGACATCACTGGAACCACCAAGCTTATGTATGCGAACGACTGTGCCAGCTTCACAACCAATGTTTCAGCACGGTAAGTTCAGTTTGCTTCCCATAGATCCTACTTTATAAAAGGAAGATCAGTTTATTACAAGTCTTTGCCTTTTCCAAATCATGTTGGCGAGCAGCTCAAAAGTGTTTACAGCTGACAAAGAAAGGACAGATTTATGTCCGGCGCTGTGATTACATGTCATTGTCTCCTCTTAGATTCTGGCTCGCAGACTGTCCTCGGACAGCTGAGGCCGTCTCCTTTGCCAACCTGCTCTACAGAGAGCTCTCAGCTGTACCGTACATGGCCAAGTTTGTGGTGTTTGCAAAGATGAATGAACTGCGTGAGGGCCGCCTACGCTGCTACTGTATGACCGACGATAAGATGGATAAAACCCTGGAACAACACGAAAACTTCACAGAGGTGGCTCGCAGCAGAGACATAGAGGTCAGTTCAGAGTAGTGCTGAAGGTGATTCATGCCTACTCTTGGTACCGCAGTAAATCGACTGTTAGAGGTTTGCACACTGTCAACTTATTCCTTTGTTTTAATTTGCAGGTGATGGAGGGGATGCCTCTTCACCTGGAGTGTTCAGGAAATCTGGTGCCAGTCAGGAAAGCCACCCAGCAGCCTCGCTGCTTTAGCTTCCAGGCCTTCAGAGATAACCGACTTCCTGTCTCTGTGAAGGTATCATCATCTGGGTTCCAACTTTCAACAATAATAATGATAATAGACACATTTACATGGGCCCAGGTGAGCTACGCAATCTTTGTACGCTCATAAGCTGTATCAGGTGTCAATCATAGAAAACATGAAACGCAACCCATGTAAACGCAGCTAATGATACCAATACAAATATATTCTTAATTTATATATCACCTCTTTTAACAGGTTTTGAAGCGCTATACAAACTAATTAAGAGGAAATACAATGATTAAACATCTAAAACAAAACAGTGGAGATTAATGACAAAAAACCCCAAAGTGACAGAAATGAGAAGGAAGTAAAAAAGATTTTGACGACCAAGACGACCGACAGATAAAAAGGTTGAAATGATTAAAAGATTTTCTGTATATAAAGATCTTCATCAGTCGTGTTTGTGTTTTTGTGTCTAAGGTGAGAGACAGCAGTAAAGAGCCCGCTGGATTTCTGTCTTTCCTGCGTAAATCCACAAAGTATGAAGACAGCCAGCATGTTCTTTGTAACCTCAACATCACAATGCCCCCCTGTATCAAGGTAAGACTCCCCCTTCATTGGAGAGCCCAGCAGGACACGTACGCTCTGTGTATGAAATGATCGACTTTGTTTGTTAATTACATTTGACTTGCAGATTATCGGGAGTGAAGACAGGAGGCGAACTCTGACCCCGCTGGCTCTAAGAGAAAGATATAGCGCCCTTAATGAACCCGCCATGGGTATGTTTCTATAAATCCTCCGTGTACCGACATTTTTATGTTAACAGAGTGAAGAGGAAGTAGAAATGGTCTTTGTGGTTTTGTTTTTGCAGCATCAATGACGGCCATGGAGAGGACAGAGCTGAAGATGGCTGTGATAGCAGAGCAGTTGGGACTGAGCTGGGCCGGTAGGCGAATACTCCGTCTGGTTTCATGTGCTGTAAACGGTCCATGTTTACCTTATGTCTGACAAGCTTGCTGAGCTCGCTGCTGATTACACAAAGTTATAACATGGCGACCAGCCAACCAAACTAATTATTTCCTGTTTTCCTGCCAAACACCATAGCTGTTAGATGGACTGACTGTTCAGTCTCTTGTGGGTGAAGCTCCTGTGAAGCTTTGTACCATCTCAAAAACAAGACTCTGTGTGCGATGTCAGCGTGACTCAGGTGACTATTATTTCAGTATTTTCTTATTTTACTCGAATCTTCTCATTTCTCATAAACAGAGTTGGCTCGAGAGCTGCAGCTCAGCGTGGATGACATCAATAAGATTCGCGTGGAGAACCCCAATTCACTGCTGGAGCAGAGCTCTGCGCTGCTCAACCTGTGGGCCACCCGCGAAGGCAAGAGGGCCAAGAGTGAGTGTGAACCATCTGAGGTGGCTGTTGTATAATCTGTCAGTCCTGATCGTTCTCTAAAACCCTTTCGTCTCGTCTCTGAAGTGGAGAGTCTGTACGCAGCTCTGAAGAGTATCGACCGGATGGACATAGTCAACATGTTGGAAGGTCAGCCGCCTCAGCCCACAAGACAAGGCTCCCGTGATCTCAGCAGACGCCGACACAACGAGAGAGAACACCTCTCCCCTGGTATGACCAATGGTGAGTCCCCCTCCCCAAATTATCCCACAGAGCAGTGCCTGCCCCTTGTACCTTTTGCCTTGACCCTGATCTACCTTTCCAATAAATACATCCTACCAGCCCCTCAAATAAAAATGAAGCTTGTTTCCCCCTGAACTCTCTCTGACTTCCCCGTGTTACTCCTTTCTTCTCTGAGATGCTGTTTGGTATGAAAGCTGCCACAAACTTTTGCAGAGGGACTCAGGACACTCCTACTTTACTCCTATAACCTCATTAGTACCTCAGTATAATAATCACTTATTGTGGAAGTCTCATGAAATCCTGAATCTTCACTTTACTGACTGAAAAGTATCAAAAGAAAACACCACATAAAGATAAGTAAAGTATAAGTTTTCCATTGTTGTTTTTATATGTTCTTGTGTCACACAGTTAGATCACTTACTGATGATTATAAAACTTATTAACATTTTAATGTGCTACTTTGTTTATGAAACAACATATTGTCATACATGGTCAGTCCACATAGATCATATACTGTAAGTATAGCCTAGCTTTACTGTCCTCCTTACCAAATGTCAGTCCGTGGTCTTTACTCCTTTTCCTCATGGTTTCCTTCACACATGCATACCCTACATCATATTGACTCCATTTTCACCTCTGGACTGGTCTAAGCCTTCTCCTTACTGGACTGGCTTCTCTTCTCTATTCTCAGAGCAGATGAAGAGTCAGTTTGACAGGTTACAGGTCCTTTCCTGTGAAAACTGGAGCAATAGTCAGAGATGTAACGATGCATAAAGAAACTACCATGAGGGCCAAAGGGTGAAAACGGAGACATTCAGATCACAGCTGCCGTGGATCTGATAACTGTGTATCTGTCTTGTCTGTCTATCTGTCTGGCTACCTGCCTCCCAAAGGCCGTTCCTGCTTTGGTTTTCAGCGTAAGGTGGCCGTCCTTAGAGTATCTGGATATTTTGGTCTGTGCTTATATCGCAGTGACGCATTCAAGAGGTCGTATAAGCACAGTGACCCGGTGGAGGGACAAACCTGACTTTTGAGGCAGACATAAATCCAGACAAAGATTTAAATGGCCGGATACATTCAGAAATAATCCAAAAAATAAACAAACAAACAATCATTTCTGAAAGAAATCAGAAATAATCACCCTGTTTTGTCTGTTTTTTTAATGTTAGATTTCTTCATCATTTTTGCTCAAATCCCTGTTCAGAAATATGAATCAGCTATAATCAGGACTTCCCAAAGTAAACCTGAAAAAGTCAGTCCATCAAGGCAAGAAGGAGAGTTTCTGTAGATTATTTTCCTTTTATAAAAAGAAAAGTAAAAACATAAAATGCAAACTTTACAGAAGTGAGTCATAGATGCTCTCTCTCTGTTTCCTCTGTCCTGTTGGCTGCTAAAGGTTACCTTAGCAGAAGATTTTACTATTTGTGTTGTATATAATGTAAATACTTGTATATTAGCTCTATATTTTTACTCCCTTCACTTATTTTATCTATTTATCTCTATATTTTTACTCATCGTATGTATTACATATTTACTGTGGCAATAGCAGTTTCTCCCAGGGGATTATTAAAGTATTTCTGATTCTGATTCTGAGATCAACTTTATGAATCACCTCATCAACATTTATTCAACTAATTCCTCAAAATTTCAAACCACACTTCTGAGTCAGGTTCAGTCCTCCATGTCAAAGAGAGCTGTTAGTGAATTTTGACATTTAAAGTGTTTCTGTAACTGAAGACTAAAAGTCTCTCGACTCTAAATATCAGTTACCCTGCGGTCTTCTATCTCTCCCTCTCTGCCTGTCTTTCTCTTGTTTGGTTGTTTTGTCAGATCTGGATTTTTGCTCGCCGGTTTAGTTTGATAGTTTTCGTACTCTTTGATTATAACTCGGCGAGTTTCTGAGGTTTGCTCGGTCGTATTTCCAGTTTAGAGGACGATCCGTTGACTCGATCCTGATAGAGAGGCAGCTCTTCTCTGAAAAGTCTGTAAATCCTCTCTGCCTGTGTATGCATGGGGAGTAGTTTGAGTCTCTTTAGGGCTAATGTTGGTGCACTGAATGTCCTTTTGGGAGCCCTGTTTTCATTCCCTGTGAATCTGTCCCTCTCTCTGTGTTTCTCTGGACATGTCATCTGCAGCCTAGCCGTCCTACTCTTCCTCCTTCTCACTCCTCTCCGAACTCTGACCTCATGCCGACCTCATATTGACCTCTGACCCACATCTTTATTTTTTCTTTTCTTTGCGACTAGTCGTGCATTTCTCTTTTATTTTTTGTGCCCTTGAAAACCCCACCTTTTTTAAGTGTACGCTCTGTGATCGATACCCTTCACACAGACTGTGTACTCAGCACCCACTGGGAGGGGGGAGGTGACCCTTGCTCTCTACTGCTGTTTCTGTCTTTTGACCATCACCCTCTTTTATATTCCTCTCCCCCTTTTGCAGCCTTTCTTTTCTCTTTCTCCCACTCTGTCCTCTCCTTCTTTTCCCATACTCTCTCCCCTTGCTCTCCTGCCTGTCTGCATGTGCACGAGGCTGATCTCACCGTCATCTCCCCCTGTGTTTGCATGGAGACACCGGGTTGGGGGCTGCTGGAGTCAAGCTGGCTTGTAGGAGATGACAACTCGAACACTGCATTGTTATCTAACTCTGCTTGACGTACAGACATTATTCTTTGCACGGCATGCACACTGAGCATGACTCTACAATCTGTCTCTGTTCCTCCGACGATCTCTCAGGGGGGTGAAAAAGGCCTCGAACCTTTTTTGTGAACTCTGACTCGTGTTTGCTCTGTTCATGTATGAATGTTGTGGTTGTTTTGTATGTCACTGATTTTACATAAACTGTGTCGATTTGATTGATTACTTGTGTGAAATATGTTTTTATATCTAAAGGTCATTTTGAATCAATCTTCCATAATTTCCTTGTTATTTAATGTGAGTGTATCAGTCTGAGTGTCTCAATATGTGTGTTTTAGTTTGTATCCTGTAAGTGTTTTGTGTCTTCCATACACTTGTGTATCAGTGTGTCAGTACATGAGCAAAATCAGTGTGTTTTTCATATGTTTACATGCGCTTTACTGCTTTTTTCTTCTTCTGTATTTTTGTCTTTTACATTTGGGGGATCAGGAAAGTCACTGACAGTGTTTTTCATGTTTCATACTGGACCATCCACCAGGACTGACAAACTCATTCATCCCACTCACACTGTGAGAAACAATCAATAATCCTTATTTCTAACACACACCTTATTAACACGCAGAAGAACATTTTCAGGTACTTTTCAAAGTAGACTTCATCTTCTTCCTCAGATAATAAGAAATCATAAAAGGGTTTGATGACACATTTTTTTGGTGCAAATCATTATGTAGTGTATAAGGTGTTGGCCTGTAGCAGGCCATCTGTGTGCAGACAAATATAATAATAATAATGATAATAATGATAATAATAATAATAATAATAATAATAATTATTATTATTATTATTATTTTTCAAAAATAATTTTAAAAAATAAATAGTAAGGATAATTTAAAAAAGTAAACTAATATTGATTAAGAAAAAACGAATAATAATAATAATTAAATAATGATGATAATAATAATAATAATAACAATAATAATAGTAACAAGAATAATATATTTTTTAAATCAAATAACAATATTTTTTTAAATGAAATAATATTAATAATTAATAATAATAATTATTATTATTATAAATATTATTCATATTATTTTTTTAATAATAATAATAATTAAGAAAATAATTAATAAAATTATAATAATAAGATAATAATAACAATGACAAGATCATCATCATCAACAACAACAATAATACAAAACTTTTAAATTATAACTTAATTTTTATAGCACTTTTAAAAACAGAAGTTTACAAAGTGCTTTGACAAACAGTCGTAAAGCACAGAACATCAGCACATGGAAATAAAAACAAATAAAAAGCAAAAGCTCAGTTAAAATCAAGGCCTCCGAATAGAAGACCAGTTTCATTTGTCATAAGGAACTCAGACAATACAAGAACTGTACAACATAAAATGAGACCATGCGGACCAAAATAAAACATAAAATAGGTAATAAAAAGAAATGTAATAAAAGAGGGGGGTAGAAAGCTGGAAACAGGATAGTAAATATAAAAAGACGATACTAATAATGATAATAAAATCATAACAAAATAATAATGATGGTAATCGTAATGATAAAATGGAATAACAAAATGAGCAGGAAAAAACAATAAAATCAATAAAGAGCCTAAAAGGTTGAATAGGAAAAGATTATAAGTAAAACAAAGACTAAACAGACAGTAAGTCTAAATAAGATAGAGGTAAAAGAGATGAAAGAGAAAAGACATTAGTTAAATATGTCAGTATCATTAACAAAGCCAAAGGATGAGTGTACAGTATGTTTCTTCATATACAGAATGATATCTTTGTGTACACCAGTTTACATCGACAAAAGGCAGCAGTCGAGAGAGTAAGAAAGAGCAGAAAGTAGGACAAGAGGTCTCTGTGGCCACTTGGTGTCACAAATATCTCCTGCACTCTCAGCAGGTTTATGAACAGCAGCTCCATGCCAACCATGAGTCGAGTTACACCCTGCACCCTGCTCTGCACAGTCTTCAGTACACACACACACACACACATACACACCCACAGTGTCCCTCTTTCTCTCTCTTCTTCTCTCTATGCACACACACAGGATCATGCATGATCACCTCTTACTTATATACTGTGCAACACCTGGTTAATGTACCTGCTGGTTATGAGCTCTGTGGTATTCAGGTCATAGTACCACACACACTTTACCAACATTACTTTCATCAAGATTATAGAATTAACTATTCACTCTTCACCGTACAGGTCGGTCAAAGTCAAAATAATCAGTTTAGTATGTAAAGAAAGATACCAATAAGGATCTTTGTGTATTTGCAGGGTCAAACAGCAGTCTTCTTATTAAAAATAATCCTTCCTGCTGCTGAGACTCTGAGCCCAATCATCACAGGTCTACATTCACAGAACAAAGATATTGTTTCTAGGAGTGACCTGAGTCCACGGCATATTGAAGCGATGCATCTTTACAGATCAATATCGGTGCATTTCAATTAAACTCCAATTTCAGTTTGAGGCAGCATCCATGTGACTTCATGGACGGACAAACAAGTCTGCTGTATGTTTCTGTGTAAATTAAAACAGTATTTTTATCGAATTCATTATGCAAAAAAAATGCATTGTGTGTTGGTGAGAGAGTGAGAGTCTGTGTGGAGTGAGCGGATGTACGAGTGCACATGTGCGTGAGTGGGGGAATGAGATTGCCTGCGTGCATGCTATCCAGCCTGACAACAATATTAACCTGCCTGTTTTTGAGGGAGTCTGAAGGCATGCACTCTGAGAGGAAGTGTCTGTGTGTGACGTGCGAGACAGACAACGGTGAGAGTGTGTGTTTGCAGCATGTGTATGCGTGACAAAGTGTGTGCCCCTGCCACACAGGTTTGTGTTGGGGGGCAGAGGCAGTAATTCCTGTCCGTCTCCCCGCAGGTGGCAGCCAGCAGAGCAGCATCAGTCACTGCTGGGCCCGAACCTCAGAATCAGTCTCTCTCTCAGTCTGTCTGGCTGTGTCTGTTGCTGCTGCCGCTGCTGCTCGCACCGTCAGCGCTGGCTGATCGAGCTTGAAAAACCCTTGTCTCAAAGCTGCCCTTGCTCTCTCCTAAGCTCCTTCCACCTTTATTCCAGTTTCTATTGTCTTGGCCCTCCCTTTCTCCCTCCCCACTCCTTTCCCATTTGTCCCTTCAGCCTCCTCTACTCCTCCCCTAGATGCCCCCTTGGGCAGAGGCACTTGCCCCCTCCCGGGGTCCCGGTGCTGTGGGGGTGAGGTAGGGAGCGAGGCGGGGGGCCGGGTGTCAGTGTGCCTCTCTCTGTCTCGCTCCAGGTTACGGGCTCGCGCAGGATGAGCTTCTCTCTCCGGCTTCCATGCAGTACAGCCTGCCGTCCCCTCTCGGCGCAGAGCCGTACTGGCAGGAAGTCTCCAGCCTGGACTGCGCGCCCATTGCCACCACAGAAGAAGATACCCTCATGGAGATGTCTGATGTGCAGGTGTGGCCCTCAGGGAACAGCCCCTCCCTGGTGCCCGTGGAGGACTCCTCGCTGGAGTGCAGCAATGCCGACGATTCAGAAGGTCTTCTGGGGCTGCCGTATGGAAGTCTAGGGCGGCCGGCGAGTCAGGCTAGTGCGGCCAGTCCAGGGGGAGGAGTGCTGAGTGGCTCCATTGAGCTTCCTGAAGATGATTCAGAGATGGGCGTTGACTCGCTCAGCACTGCCACACCGGCCTCGCTTGGAGGCACGATCGCCGGGATGAATCTTAACGGGCTGAACAATGGTCAGGGGTCAGAGGCAAGTTCGGAGGTGTCAGCGTTCACCAGTACAACTGGTGGAGATGGAGCTGGAGGAGGAGGAGGAGGAGGAACGCCAGGCTCAGTGGAAGGGCTTTCTCTTGTTTCAGGACAGCAAAGGGTGTATGCTCGGCTGAGTGAGTCACCTGGTCTGAGCTGTGTTGCAGATCGAAATGGAGACAGGTGAGTCACGTCTTCGTCTACCTGTCAGGTGACAAAACCATAGTTGTTCTAACATCCTTTGACCTTCACTGCATGTCTGTGGTGGACTTGGGGGTTTTCAAGGAAACTTAGTTGTTTTCCTCGCCTTGTCGGCTGCATGTTCCTCCTCCTTATTGATCTGTTCTCTGCTTTCAGGTCCGGTAATGGTGGAAACGGTGGCGGCGGCGGTGGAGGCTCCTTCCTGTCATACCTACAAGAGCAGACAGGCCCAGGCTGGATTCCTGTCACTGACCCCACACAGGCCTGGGTGGGCAATCAGCCTAAATCTAGACAGGCCATGGACACCATGATGTCAACAGTATGTAACGCCGTGGATGGCGACCAGTCCCACATGTCCCAGGAGGCCTTGCTTCAGCCTGTGAGGGACATGGGGCACTCTGAGATCTTACGAGGGCACTTCAGAGGGACCCAGCCGTTTGAGAAGGGTTTGGGTTTCCCACACCGGGTACCAGAGCTGAGGGCCTGGGACGAAATGCGCCTGAAAGGCCAGGTGGGTTTGTTTATGATACATGACAAGTGGTTATGTTTGTCAAAGTCTTTCTTTCTTTTTTTATCTAAAACTTTAAGAACAACAACAACAAAAACAACTAGAAACAAAAACACCAAACAAAATAATACATATGTACACTGAACATCTGAACATGTCAAAGATAAATTTACACAAACATATGTATGTCAAAAATAAACAGTTTGAGTAGGAACAGAATAAAGCAAAGAGTTATCGAGTCCTGCTGCCTCTGCACAAATTAGAACCAATGATGAATGGAAAAAAAATCTAATTGTGTAAATTACGAAGATCTGTATAAATATCTACATATTATACACAAAGATATCTGCTCAACACTACATATGTTACTTAATATAATTATTTGCATATTATAATAATAATCAGTGTTATGCTATTCACTTTACTTCTATTTTTTTGTTAGTTTACTTATATACACTCACCGGCCACTTTATTAGGTACACCTGTCCAACTGCTCGTTAACACTTAATTTCTAATCAGCCAATCACATGGCGGCAACTTAGTGCATTTAGGCATGTAGACATGGTCAAGACAATCTCCTGCAGTTCAAACCGAGCATCAGTATGGGGAAGAAAGGTGATTTGAGTGACTTTGAACGTGGCATGGTTGTTGGTGCCAGAAGGGCTGGTCTGAGTATTTCAGAAACTGCTGATCTACTGGGATTTTCACGCACAACCATCTCTAGGGTTTACAGAGAATGGTCCGAAAAAGAAAAAATATCCAGTGAGCGGCAGTTCTGTGGGCGGAAATGCCTTGTTGATGCCAGAGGTCAGAGGAGAATGGCCAGACTGGTTCGAGCTGATAGAAAGGCAACAGTGACTCAAATAACCACCCGTTACAACCAAGGTAGGCAGAAGAGCATCTCTGAACGCACAGTACGTCGAACTTTGAGGCAGATGGGCTACAGCAGCAGAAGACCACGCCGGGTGCCACTCCTTTCAGCTAAGAACAGGAAACTGAGGCTACAATTTGCACAAGCTCATCGAAATTGGACAATAGAAGATTGGAAAAACGTTGCCTGGTCTGATGAGTCTCGATTTCTGCTGCGACATTCGGATGGTAGGGTCAGAATTTGGCGTCAACAACATGAAAGCATGGATCCGTCCTGCCTTGTATCAACGGTTCAGGCTGGTGGTGGTGGTGTCATGGTGTGGGGAATATTTTCTTGGCACTCTTTGGGCCCCTTGGTACCAATTGAGCATCGTTGCAACGCCACAGCCTACCTGAGTACTGTTGCTGACCATGTCCATCCCTTTATGACCACAATGTACCCAACTTCTGATGGCTACTTTCAGCAGGATAATGCGCCATGTCATAAAGCTGGAATCATCTCAGACTGGTTTCTTGAACATGACAATGAGTTCACTGTACTCAAATGGCCTCCACAGTCACCAGATCTCAATCCAATAGAGCATCTTTGGGATGTGGTGGAACGGGAGATTCGCATCATGGATGAGCAGCCGACAAATCTGCGGCAACTGTGTGATGCCATCATGTCAATATGAACCAAGCTCTCTGAGGAATGCTTCCAGCACCTTGTTGAATCTATGCCACGAAGAATTGAGGCAGTTCTGAAGGCAAAAGGGGGTCCAACCCGTTACTAGCATGGTGTACCTAATAAAGTGGCCGGTGAGTGTATATGATCTTTAATCCAATTCGCTTTATTTATAGACTCCATTAAAATAAAGTTTATCAAAGTGCTGCACAATAGAATTAAAAGAAAAGACACTGCAGAAAACATCATGATGAAATAAATAAAAGCAGGTAAAAAACATTTACCATGAAATAAAATAAATGAAATAAAAACACAAAAGCATAAAAGTGATAAAAGGACAGAGATCACACAACTCTCACGCTGAGCTAAAAGCCAAGGAATAAAAATACATTTTAAGAAGTGATTTAAAAGTAAAAAGAGTAAAGGGAAGGTTTTTATCTTGTATAATCTTATATGAGTCTGTTGTCTAAATGATTGATTAGGAGGCTTTGGATCAATGTGATCTTTACCAGAAGCTGGTAATGCATCTGAAAAGATAAAGAAATTAATCTACAAAGTGTTATCGTCTTATATTTGGGATTTAGTTAGTAATTATGCTGCTTTCCAGTTACCTCGGAAGTCGGATGTCGGAGCTGGGAATGACGTAAACAACACATAACACAGTATTTTACTCTTACAAACACCATAGTGTTGTGTTCACGGTTAGACGTTGGGCTGTACAACATAAACCACTAATTTAATTTCACAAAAACAAAACAGAAGCGCTAATAAATAAAACATTAGGAGAGCTTTCACTGTTTCTCTTTACTGTTGATGCACTGGGCTGCCATCTTGGATTATGATGTTGTTGCCAAGTCGGGGTTGGCGAGGATTGTCCAACTTTCCGAGTCGGAAATCCGACTTCAGGGGGGTGTTCCAGATGAATTTCCAACGACTTCCCGACTTCCGAGTACAACTGGAACGCAGCATTAGATCAGCACCTCATATGACATGTTACTGCTTTGTTTACAATCTCTGCTCTAAAAATAAAGCAGCATGATGTAGCGACTTATTGTAAAACCTGTACTGCTCTACTTCATCCACTGCTCAGACACCTGTGAACACACACAACACATGAAGAATATAGACACATACACACACACACAGAAGCACGCACCCAAACACTCAGCCAAGGGCCGAAGATGGGCACAAACAGCATGTTGAGCCAAATATAGCAAACATTCTCCCCGTCTCCTCATGTTACATGATCCCCACCCCGGTCGTTTCCACGTGTTGACTTCCTGGCACAACACCACCGTGACACACAGTGAAGGACGATCTCAGCCACTAAAGTGTGTGAATGCAGAAATGGAGGGTTCGACTCGAGTTTGTTATTGACACTGTTGGAGGAAGAGTTCCTGAACTCAGCTAAACGGCTGTTACTTCTTGTTTTTGTGTGCGCTGTTTTGCATTATTGAGTAATTGTGGTGTTTTTTAGGGAAATGTGCACGCTTGGCTTTGTGAATGAGAAGTAGTTTATGGTTTGAGTACCTGAAGGGAGTCAAGGGGGGCCGGTTTCTTTGTGATCCTACCACAGCACACACAGAGAGCCACACTGGAGCAGCCAGAGGTATTTAAAGCCCACGGATCACATGGTCAGAGAAAGGGAGAGAGAGGTGGGAATAGAAGCCCCTCAAGGTTGTCTTTCCTTAGATTTGATGTCATTGAGCGGAGGCTCCTGACCTGACGGAGGGAAGCAGTAGATATAGAGACCTGAGGGAAGGGCCCGCTGCCCCGGCCGGTGGAGGACAGATATGAACTGAAAGACAAACAAGATTGAAACAGTGAAAGAAGGCCGCAGGCTGCAGCTGTTACCTTTCTACTCTGCTGGGAGACGTGCAGCTCGGAGGACAGGAGCCACAGAAGGCAGAAGAGCGTGTGTGTGTGTGTGTGCTTTCTTGAGCGGCTGAGGATAAAAGCGGGGTGATGTGGGCCTTAGTGACGGAGCTCCTTTTCAGCTTTGTGCTGCTGGCTTTCCTGGTCATCAGCTGCCAAAATGTCCTCCACATAGCCAGCGGCTCGGTGCGTTCTGTGCTTACCTACATACACGCTCAGCTGGACCGTGAGCTCGGGGAGGTCGAGGGAGTGGCTGACGAGGAAGAGAACGTCACCACCAGAGTGGTTCGCCGCCGAGTCATCCTTAAGGTACAATGAGGGAGGAGGAGGCAAAAGAGTTCAGAGAAAGGCTGAAGATGTGAACATAGAAGGATAAGTTTGTGGAAATTAGGGTGAATGATTTTACACTGATTACTAAACTGGATTGGAGCAGGTTAAAAGTTGCAAAGAGGATTAATTTAGGAAAGAGTGCATAAAACTGACCAAATGTAGTAAAATTAATGCATTCTGCTGCTGTTAGTGATCTAAAAAGAAGTCTGCAGCTCAACAAGTTTGGACTCCAGCTCTTCTGAAGTGTCTCACTGACACAGTCTCTCCGCTGTATCACACACTCGGGGCTCTGCTGTCGTTTGTTCTCACGTCTGTAGCTGGAATTTCTCTGAGATTATAAATAGCTGTGTAGACTTACTGCAAATTATGAGGGGCTTTGACAGCATTGTCCTGAATCTCATGAGCTGTAATTATCAGAGTTGCTAAGAAACATTAGTAAACTCGATGGATCCCGACTGTTGGAATTACATCCTCCACCCAAATCAACATCACCCATCTGCCACTCATCTGCCTCCCGGCCTTTTTATGGCGGAGGAGGGGGTTTATGATTACGCAGCAGTGACGACTATTAAACAGTCCATAATTTAAGAGTGCTAATTCATTTCAATTTGAGTTTGTTTTGTTTTTGAGTTAAATCTTGTCCCGGTGATGTCAAAGTTCAAGTCCTGTATAATCCGCTTTCTTATCCGCAGGGCGATGAAGTCGAAGATCTGCCCGGAGAGCAAGTAAGCGAAGAACAGTTCACCGATGAACACGGAAACATCGTCACAAAAAAGGTCAGACATTGATCCATTTTATTAAACTTCAGCATCTCTCAGCTGAATGATTATACATCATTATAATCATTTCTTTAGAGGAGCACAGTAGGGTTGTAGTGCATGAACCCTAACCATGGAAAGATTTAATTTTTTTAAAAGACAATGTTTTTATTTTCTCCATAACGATTTCTTTACATTGTGCAAGCTCTGCCTTATTTCCACTCTCTGCTTCCATCCATCACTCTCCCCCACCCCCCCTGTGTGCGTCTGTGATAGATTGTGCGCAAGGTTGTGCGCAGAGGGAAGGGTTCAGGTGAGGAGGGGGTTCAGGAGGTGAGCGTGGAGGGTTCTCTGCAGGACGCCAACGAGCTGGAGGTTGATGCTGAGCAATTCATTAACTACGCCATCCTGGGCCGGGACAGCAGCAAGGTGGGCTTCTGATCTGCAGGCAGACAGCTCTCTGTGCAACACCCGAGGCTCAGCGTTAGAGATGTAGGGAGCATTTGAAGCCTGAACGGACTGAATCAGAGCAGATGAAACAGCTGAACAGTATCTGATGAATGCTTGTTTGATTTAAATACATGTTGTAGTCAGTTTAAGTGTTAAAGTGCACAGGGGGACTTGAAGCTTGAGTCCCAGTTATAAACAGGCTGAGAGCACAAGTTGTGTGGACAAGTCTTAAAATGCCTGAAATCAAAGCAGAAGATTGAGAGTGTAGTTGGTTAAAGGGATATTCTGGAGTAAAATTAATTTAGGGTCAAACACACCGTAACACCGAGTTAGACATCCCCTCGAGAGATGAATGTTGCCGACCGCTTTCTTCTCTAGTTAAACCAACTTTAGTAACAACCGCAGAAAGCAATACAGAGAGCCACACACTCAACCAAAACGCCACTCTATAGCCACAAATAATGCTCAGAACAGCAGCTAACTTCATCAACAGGACATATAGAGTCACAGCCAGAGCACTAAATGTTCATCATAAATCATCATCATAAATGTTCTTCCTTGAGCTGAGACACCCCACTGTAGTCCGTAATGGACTCACTAAAAACAAGCAGCTGCTGGAAGAGAGTAGTTGAGTTGTATTTAGTCTCTTTGCTAAAGAAATTAGGCAAATCTAAAAATATGTTTGGTGGCTAGTACTATGGCTGGGACCCTATATGTCCTGTTGATGAAGTTAGGTGCTGTTCTGAGCATTATTTGTGGCTATAGAGTGGCGTTTAGGTTGAGGTTTGTTTTTGGCTCCTCAGACTGCTGTGTATTGCTATCCTGTGGTCGTTACTAAAGTTGGTATAACTAGAGAAGCAAGCGGTCGGCAACATTCATCTCTCTCTGGGATGTCTAACTCTGTCTTATGGTGTGTTTGACCTCAAATTAACTTTACTCCTGAATATCCCTTTGGTTAACTGTTTGATTGCTGATGCTCTGTCACCCTTTTATTTAACCCAGTATTATGACTTCATGTTCACCGCCTGCATGCAGAAGGATAAAGAGAGTCCACTTTGCTCTGGCGCTCTTATGTTGTTGCTTGCAGTTCACCGCCTCACTCGGGGTTTCATCATTTCAGTCCCCACTAAGCCGCACCTCCACCTGTTGTGTTTTTACTTGCGTATCAGTGATTGAATGAAACCACTATGGCTCCCTGCTATGCCTTTATTGTTCATTTTGTCCCATCAGTTTCCTCATTGACCTTGTCTTTTATGTCTTCATTAAAAATGATAGTCCTTCAACTTTGACTGTGTGCTGTATCACTCAAATATGCAAGACGATAAATTAGAGCTGGGTCAAATACTGTCAACAAACCTGTTTTTACTTTTTCCTGACTGGAAAAAGTAGAGATTGGGGTTTACTTTATAAAATCATGATATTTAAATCACATTATTGAATTATAGACTTCTTATTTGGAAATCTGATTTGACACAGATCTACTCTGAGTCCCTTCAAACTGTTTCTTATACCCTCTTATCTTCAACTGTCTTTTCCAACTGCCACCCATCACTTCTGTCCTTTTTGATTGTATATCTTATACATAATTTCTTTCTTTCTTTCTTTTCTCCCCCTTTCCTCTCCCCTAACTTATTTGTCTCTCACTTTTCTATCTCCCATCGTGGCATTTTTCCTCTCCTCTGTCATATCTCCTTTTTCTTCTGACTAATACTCCCTCAACCTCTCATTCTGTTCCTGTCGACCCACCTTCTTCTCGACCCTCACACCCCGTCTGCCGCCAACCCCCTCCCTCCCTCCCTCCCTCCCTCCCTTCCCCCACCTGATGTAGCCCGATTCTGTGGATGTGAAGAAAGGTGCTCAGATAGTGAAATGTGCCAGTCTGCGGAGAGTTAAGCAGTGAGGAGGTCCCCGCAGGTACGGGACTTACCCACAGCGCCTCGTCTGACCTGTGGGCTAGACCATTTAATCCAGTCTCTCTGGGTTAAATGCATCTGAATGTATCTTGATTCAGTACTAATGATATGTCATATGATGCTGGCACAGCAAAGTGACACCTCAAAACAGAGAATAAGGAGCTTCTGACAGCAGTAATGGAGGTGCTGCAAAATAGATGAAAAATAAAACTAAAGTACCTCTGTGTTTTAGAATAAACATATATTTTTTTTGCCCTTTAATGCCTTTTGTATCATATTTGATACATACTTTTATACTTCTATTTTTCTATCAAATCAATATGATCAACAAATTACTAAAAAAATATCTGAAAACAGTCTGATAAATGACAAAAATGTACTCTTGTGGTTTAGTAGTTTCCAAAAACATCTAATGTATCCAATGAGATAAATAAATATATTTGTTAAATTTTAATAGTAAGTGAAAAAAACATTTCAACTCCAAAAAAAATGAATTTTCTGGCCATAATTTGTGGTTTCAGGCATTAAAGGGTTAAAAAATAGAAAAAAAGACATTTTGAAAATGTGATTTTTATGGTTAGTGTATCTTTCAAATAAGTAGGGCACAGAATAGTCCCTGATTTACATGATAAATGATCTTTAATATACAACACCTTTATGTTTGGTCTCATTTACTGTTTTACTTGAAGTTATCTCAGGCCAGCTCATTTCTCGGTGCATGTTCTGACAGGCTGTAAAAAAAAGAAAAAAAGCTGGCACAGTGTCTACTCAGCAAAAACGAGCCTCCAAAAATGATCCTGTAATGTGACAGCTCTCAAGGTCAAAGCTGTAAGGCTAGTTGTCCCGTGAATCGCTATCCGGAGCCGCTGTAGTGGGTGTGAGTGTTTGGGGCGTGTAAGAGAGAGACTTAACCTTTCTAACGAAAAGGTCGTGACATTCTTGAGATTACTGATATTTCATGCAGCTCACGGCTGACTGTTAAAACACTTCTGCCAACTGCTTTTTTGCTCGTATGCTTCTGCAGAACCAACAAACCGTTTAACAGAGAGCTGATTAAAATACAGGAGAACTTTGATAAGTGATAGGAAGTTGAAGAGTTTACATGCATCTAATTAAAATAATAAAAAACAAACTTGCAATGATGCACTGCAGCTTGCATGGACCCTGCTTTGTATTTTCTGTGTAGTTGCTTGCAGGTTGCACAAAGTAGGCGTGATCCGTCTTTAAACTACTCTGTTCTTCTCCGTCCACAGAGCTCTCCACAGGATTCAACCCCTTCACCAAAACCATCCTACATGGACACATGACCAGCAGCAGCTGACAGGAGGAAGAACACACACTAAAAGCCAGACAAACAGAAACGAAGGGCAAGACACACCAATGACAACCACAGCGGCTCTGCCGACTATCAGCACGCACCCGAAGAGAAAAGACACAGATTATAGTTTTTATTACCTTTTTTTTTAAGAAACAGTGGAAAAAAAATCTAATACTAGGCTAGAAGCATGATTTCGTATAAAAGAAAAACCAAACACAAACAAAAAAAAAAGAACTAGCAACCAAAACGTGCTTCCTGTTATCTGTATCAGCATGAGTGACTGCTGCCGCATGGCCTGTCTTTAACTACAAATACTGAGGGAATAATAGGGAGGGGAAAAAGGGAGGGAAGGGAGGGAGGAGACACAACTGTGTGGGACAGGCATGCAATATGGGGTGTGGTCAATCACTCACCCAGTTTTCTAAACCAACCAGGGAAGTTTATCAGTCAAAAAAAAAGGGGGTACATAAATTCTGAGGATTCCATCATCTCTAGGCAACAGGTGACCCTCCTCCTTCCTGTCAAACTCTTTCAGCAAACAGCGTCACAGAGTCGTTTTAAACCTGTCCGAGTTCAGTCGAGCTACAATTATCACCCAAGGATATCAGTGTTGTACATAATATCGTATGCACTCAAATGCTCAACGTGACTGTGTGTTACGTGTGTTGTTTATGTTCTAAGGTCCCTATATGACGCCACTGATGCTGCTGTTTCAGGTACATAAGAATTTCCTCCCTGTTTTTCTCCTTTTGGTTCGTTTGGTCTGAACCTATATATTATTCTATATATCTTGAGATCTTTGTGGGTACAAGAACATACAAATGTTGTGTCGCTCTGCCTGTTTTTAAATGTCCGATTTTGTGCGTCACAGGTTGTTTCTTTGTGCTTTTCATGTGCTTCCACTCTTTGCTTTTCGATGAGTTGAACTATAGAGGGGAGACGCACTCTACTGTGGGGGGTTTTCAGATTTGGGAGGCAGGTTTCTGTTGTGCGCCTGCCTTCCTGACCTCTAACCCAGAGTAGTTTTCTTGGTGTGGAGGGTGACAATAAGATACATGTGAGAGATTACCTGAGATGAACCTACCGATCCATCCCACTCTCTGCTTTTTACTTGTATCCTCATGAGTTTTGATGTTAAAATCCAAATACCTGAATTCACCCTGAAATTTGCCCTTAGTACCCTACCTCCACCTCTCACCCCTTCACCCCTCCAATCAGCCTCTCAGAGTAGATGTAGCAGTCCTGTCCTCCTCCAGCAGGGGCAGGATCTCACCTTCAGTGTCTGATTGACCTCATCATCATCATCATCATCATCATCATACAGTTTATGACCCGCCACACATGAGGTGCACTTACACACACGCCATCTCACCATCGCTAGATGTCATTTGACGCGGGTGAAGTAGCTGAAATGCTGGTAAAATGTAGCCCTGGTCTGATTGGGTGAAGATGAGGAGTCAGCTGGGTGGAGGGAGGAACGTGTGCTGTTGAGTGTCGAGGAGGACGTGTTGAGTTTCGATGTTTGTCTCCTTGGTAACCCTTTGGAGTGTAGCAAAGACAGTCAGTCACCAATCACTGTGAAGAGAAACTGTAATACTGACCCGCAACTGTGAGCCTGACCCTTCCAGGAGCGTGATTCACTCTTTGCTTTTGTTTTGTTTTTGTTTTTTTTTCCATGTCTTAAATGTTCTTAAGAAGAAGCAATAACCGCAAACAAACAGGATTGTTTTATGTGAGTGTGTTTTAATTTATTCCAAAAGAGAGAGGATTTTAGGTTCATGTTGTTTCTAAACTTGGACTTTCGGTCCGTTAATCGCAGCTTTAGGCTTCTCCGCACTCCACTCAGAAATGATGTCAGCACATTAGTATCCCTCATTGTGTCACTCGGCCTTTCTGTAAAAGAAACATCCATATGTTTGTGCTGAGGTTGGACGGATAAAAGTGTTACTTTATACCAGCCATCTTTGTCTGCAAAATGTCCGATCTCTGTTTTTGTTACTCATTGAGGAATGTAGGTGTGTTAAATCATAGTTTTAAAACTTATTTACATTCATATGCACCTTAAAAAAAAAAGATATCCTACGGTTTGTGTATCTGTACGTGTGATTCAAACATCACATTCAGTCCTGGAGAGTGAAGATGTGTCAAACCTGTCACATGAAGAAATACCCAGAATGGACAAACTTCACATGTAAATCTAACTCACTTACTTTTTTAAAGTTGATTTACCTCAATAAGTGTGCCATCATCACATGATATAAACTACATACCTGCTGTTTATTTCAAACATTATGTACAACATTGAATGGTTTCTTATGGACAAATATGTAAGTCACAAAAAACGTTGCAATAATCACTCATTAATAAGTGTTTGTTAAATCTGGCCTCACAGCCAGAGATAATGAATGTAAGGTCTTGGTATTCTGTAAGTCTTGTTATAAAGTAGTCATCTGTGTTGGCTTTGTACTTTAGTAGATGATAGGATATTCACTCAACCCAATATCTGCTGTTGAGCATCATTGTCCATCACATGCGTTCATATAAATCATGTGAGAGGAGAGATTTAAAGAGAGAAGCCTCAAAGGGGGTTTGGACACAAATATCCCATCAGATATTATTTCTATTATATTTTTTTAATAACTACAACTTGTAGGATGTCAATAGAGATTACACAGCAGTGTAATGTTGTATTAGCCCTTATGTTATAGCATACGGTCTGCTCTCTTCGAGCTCATAGTTGAAGTATGCTTGGGTAGATTTTTGAAGTAGGGACTGTTTGTAAGTCCACTGCTGATGTCAGGGTTCGAGTGAGGGGGGGTCCGATGAAAAGACACAGATGGAATTATGGGACGGCTTGGTGGCTGTGATGGCTAGTCTTTCAAGATGACAAGCATTTTTCCTCAACACAACCCACCCCTGATTTCTAACCCCCCCTTCCCCTTTACCAAAAATACGAGTGAGCCAGTTCTAAGGCTTCCACGAGGTGACGGTTCGAAACGGTTTAAAAGGAGGAGTCCGGCTTTGTGCACAGAGAAGGAGACGTGGTTTCATCCGAGAAATCAGCTCTGCACTGAGGGACGACTGAGACGATGCCATGCACCAAGTTCATGCAAAAATATTAACTGTTGCAAAAACTAGAGAACACATGTATATTCCTTTAGAATGGATTGAAGACATTATTAACGCAATAGCATATTACTCAATACTAAGGAATGCAACTGCGCACATGCACAGAAAATGTTTTTAACATAAAGGCTATATATATATGAAATATATGAAAATATACATATATATTTACTTAGAATGCTATGCACCCTTACTTGTCAACTGGGATTCTAGTTATGTTATGGATGTACTTTTAGCATCATAAAGCTGTAGCTACCAAGAGACTGTTGAGTTCTGGGTAATGCCTGCAACCTGGGGATAAATAGGGGTCTTGTGGGTATTTTAACCTGTTTTGTTTGCTTTTTTTTATTGTTATGGAGAGTCAAACATGAATTTAAAATATAAATGTAAAAGCCTTTTAATCCAATTGAATCAGAAGGACATCTACTGACAATATTCTCTGTACACCAGCTCAACATTTACAAAAATTAATAAAGAAATGAAATGTCTTTGTGTATAATGTGTATACTTTTCTGACAAATACATACACCCGAGAGTCGTGATTGACGTGTAGTGAAATCATGTTAGGAGTGCAGAAATTAATGCAGTCGTACAAAATAAGCAGTCGTTGTTGAAGTTTTCAAAGGCTGATGAGGACTTGGTATTTAAAAAGTTAACTTTAAAGCTGATTGGTTTTGTTTGAGATGTTTCAGTAAGTAGGATGAAGGCTAAACCTTTCCCAAGTCTTGTGGCCTCATGGAGTTGTCATTGTTAGTTAAATTTCATCACTGTTTATACTCCAGGTCTACATGATGACATGATCTGTTTGACTGGCTCTGCAGTGCAGGGAAGTTTTAGTACAGACCCTTTCCATAAAGATTAGAATATCATAGAAAAGTTTATTTATTTCCATAATAAAAGTCAAACTTTCATAGGTTATAGATTCAGGGCCAACAATTTAAATGATTTCAAGTATTTATTTGTTTATTTTTACATAATTTGGTCTTCCAGCTCATAAAACATACGAAAACAAGAATTCAAAAAAGTAGAATACTGTGAAGAAATCACCATTTACTTCTCAGTTTTTACAGAAAAAAAATGAAAGAAATCAGGATCACATCAAATCAATCAAAACATGGTACTTCCAAAACAAAATGTCAATCTTCAATACTTGGTTGGGAATCCCTTTGCCCTCATCACCGCCTCGATGCACCGTGGCGTTGCCTGAGAGTTATGGAAGCCCAGATTTTCTTGATACTTGCTGTCAGCTCTTCTTTGTTTTGGTTTGGTGTCCCTCTTTTTCCTCTTGATAATCCTCCACAGATTCTCAATGTGGTTCAGGTTTGGCGAGTTGGCTGGTCAGTTAAGCACTCGGATGGTATGGGCAGGGGGCCAGGTCCTGCTGGAAGATGAAATCTGCCTCTCCATAGAGATCCTCAGCAGAAGGAAACACAAAGTCCTCTAAAACATTCTGGTGGACTGTTCTGGTGACCTTGGATTGAAGAAAGCAGAGTTAACAAACACCTGCACTGGACGTTGCACCCTAAATCATGACTGACTGTGGATATTTCACACTACACCTCCAGCAGCTTGGGTTCTGTTCCTCACCCGTTGGACCTTGATTCCCCAGTGAAAGGCAGACTTTACTTTCATCAGAGAAGACGACCTCGGACCACAGGCCAACAGTCCAGTCCATGAGACGCTTCTTACGTTGGCTCAGGCTCAGAAGACACCTGGGGAGACCTGTGCATGTGCTCTGAGTTTAGTAGATGATCAGTGTGTGACACTCAGTTTAAAACATTCATGACCTGCAAATTTTTATGTTTTATGAGCTGGAAGTCCAAATTATGTAAAAAATAAATAAATACTTGAAATCTTCTACCCACATGCAGTTCACTTACTAAACTCCTGACAGTACCGCCGGACAATACTCTGTGCAATATCATCTGTGATGAGCAACACCATGTGCAATACAGTAATTTTTATACCTCATCTATCCCATCGACTTATCCTCCATCTCATACAGTCACTCTCAGCACCTTCTGCACCGCTTCTTCACTTTGTAAATATCTCCTTTTTCACTTGCAAATATTTCTCACACTTTGTAGATATTTCTCCTCTACTTTTATTCATCTATAATATATATAATTTCTCTTTTTTTATCCTTATTTTATTGTATTCCTTCAGTACTCTTGTGTGTTTTATCTGTTCCCCTTTGAGTCGAGCGGTCCTCTCATCCAGGGTATTTCACTCTACTGTTGACCTTGTCTAACATCCACATGACAAAAAAAAATCTTGAATCTTGAAATCGTTTAAATTGTGGGCCCTGAAAGTTTTGAGTTAAAACTTTACTATCTTCAAAAAGGTAAATACTCTCTTGTTTTTGTACATGAAGCCCGAAAAGCCGCTAAGAAAATAAAAATAAAACACCATCAAACTTCCCAGTGCTGGTGTGTATAAAGAATTGCTTCTAACATCACTTTCTCATCCTCAAGGACGGCCTGCAGAGTAGTAGACAGTGAAGATGTGCATCAGCAGGATCAGTAAGTATGTGGTTTTGTTTGAATCTTGAATCTTGAAATCGTTTAACCTGTGGGCCTCTATGAAAGTTCAACATTTTTAATTGAATTATGGAAACAAATAAACTTTTCTTCTGTATGCATACATAAACAGGAAGTGTTGAACTCTCTGCTCAGCCATGGCACAGACTTTATCCTCCAGTAGGGGGCGGTATAAGTTAATTTTGTCCAGCTCAGCAGCAGCAGCAGCCTGCCTGCTGTCCGTGTGTCTGTCTGTGTGTGTCTGTTTGTGTTGCCCTGTGTGCATGAAGAGTGTGTGGGAGCAGAGGGACGTGTGCTCAGGTCTTTTTTAAACAAAGAACCTGGACACTGAGGGTGAATGTGTGTGTGTGATGTGACGACTTTGGACTTGAATGATTTGCACTATTGAAAAAAAGGTAGTCTGTTTATTTTGATTTATCCAAAAGCAACAGCAGAAACAAGCACCGTGTGGCTTCGCTGCTTTACCAAACCTCGACTCTCTGCTTGTTTCATGTTCTTTAGTATCTAGTTGTAGTTTATACTTGAGAGAAGATGTCCACTGAGTGCCAGAAGACCACTGCCAAGGCCATCCCGTCGACCAGGAGGGTGGCCGTCAACGACGCAGCGCACATGCCCCATGACTATTCCACCACTCCCGGAGGAACCCTGTTCAGCACCACCCCGGGCGGTACGACCTGCTTTTTAACTCTTTATTTAATCTAAAAATGTGAAGATAACATTTGCATTAAGTTTCTGTTGAAATGCTCCATGTTGTCTGTGAAATAGCTCAGTTGTCAGAGAGCTGCACTCAGGTGAACTCCAGGTCTCCTACCCTCATTCACCTCTCTCTGCTAACTGCTAACTCTCCGTGTTTGTCTGTCAATACAGAGAAAATAACTTCAGATACAGATACAACAAACTCCATGTGACTCCTACCGAGAACATTGTGAACGCTCACACCCTAGTTTTGTCATTATTTGCTGTCTTTGTGTGGTTCATTTGAGTTTAACCAGCTGATGTGTGAATTGAAGCGACACCTACTGGGCGCTGATGGTACTGATCCTCGCGGTGGTCATTGACGTCTCAGTCAGTGATTGGTTGTTTGCAGAGCTCACTGCAAGCGAAAACATCAACATGTAGGCCACAAGAGAAAATATTATAGGGGAGAGTGGGGTAAGTTGATCCACCCTCTGTTGGTCAAAGAAATTGATCATGTGACCAAATATTTAGGAGATGGGCAACAATTCATGGAGTCTGTGAAGGTGAGAAGCACATGGGTGAAGAGGTTAGACATTTATTTACAAAAAAACATAATTTTTCACTCTTGAAAGTGAATTTAGTCTGTCATAAGTTTGATTAGAATTGTGTTCAGACCTAAAAGATCATATTAAATTAGTTTTATACATCAATTGTGGTATCTATGAGCTACAACATGAGGTCAAAAACCTACCAGAAGTCCACCATTTTAGCTTAGAGGACTAATAAAGTCATCATAGTAGTTCTGGGGTAACTGAGAAAGTAAAGGAGTCTGATGAGAGGATCAGAGTTTCAGTTCAGATTGTTGAAATGTTTGACTTGAACATCCTGAAATATATTCAGATACACTAGTTAGAGACAAAACTATGATTGACTTGATTTAGTGATCCGAAATATGAAAAATGGCTCATCTTACCCCACTCTCCCCTATTAGACCCACTAATTCACTATCTTAAATTACACCAATCTCCAAAAATATTGTACTGTGTGAACATAAATGCAATAATCTGCATGTACCCCAAAGCCCTAAAAGACCAAGAGACTGATTTTGAGCCCCTAGTATAACTTTTTTTTTCTGCACACCTGAAACTGTGCAACAGCTTTTGTCCAAACACCCAAAACCATCAACAGTTTAAGTTTGGGATGGATTTTAGTTATCTTAAGTATTATTTTGGTCCAGTTAACCTTCCTCCTGTGTAGCTTTTTCTACGCACCCACTATGTTAAGGGTATGTTAAGTATCTTTTGTTTAAATACTCATAATTTGTCTGTTCAGACTGTGAAACCTAAACTAGCTGTCTTGGAGTAGTGTATAGATTAATGGGTGACATATTGCACTCAGAGTTTAGATTAAAATGCTCCTTTCCTCGTTCTTCTTGTGGGTATTGCAACGGTGGCCTCTATGGACATAAAGCTGCTGTGATGGACACAAAAGACTAATTTAAAGTAAACTAAAACAAAAGGATCTCTATATTCAGGTGTTAACACTCTATTTTGAACATACTTATGGAGATTATTTCCCATTTCTACCAAGTCTACTCTGCTGTATGCCACTTTAATATACACACCGCTCCTTTAATTAGCACATGCCTGTTTTGTTTTGACACCACCACTAAAATCTTGTGGTAATCACGCTGAGCTTTCTGAGTGTATGAGCGGAATAATGGTGTCAGGTTAAAATAGATCCTCTACACTGCATGAATATGTGAAATAATGACTGACTTTCCACCAGTGGAGCGCGATAAAAACAGCCCAAGATCATTTGTCTCTTTCTGTCTTCACCCACAAGGTACCAGGATCATCTACGATCGGAAGTTCCTGCTGGAGCGCCGCAGCTCCCCGGTGGCCAAAACTCCTCCGCAAGGTCTGCCCAACATTCCTGGTGTGACCAATCCACCCCCCCAAGATGCCAACGATAAAGCCCAACTACTGAACAAGAACAACAACCCTGTGCCTGAAAGCAGCCACACCGGTATGTCCGCACCTCCAAAGAAACACTGAGATCGAAGGATACTGTGTTCAGATGATCATCCAAACATAGAAAACCAAACAGAACCTGTGATCACTGAAGTCAGCTGTTCCTCAGTTAGCTGATAACCAATGAGGCGCAAGTGATGCATCCATTCTGTTTACCCGTTACAGAAGCTGCAGTCAAAATTTACATCCTGATTTCCCAAATATGTCACCCTGAAAGTTGTTATTTCTGCAGGTTAAATCGCTGCATCACAACGACATAGTGTGACATACTTTTGTCAGCACTGGTTTAGATTGGTTATCCTGAAATTAAAAGCTTTGAGCAGCAAAACATCAGATCTATTTCTTCTTGAATGGAGTCTGTGCTGAATCTCCACATGTTGGATTTATACAAATGTGCTCATAAAAGTCCTTAAAAAAAAGGTTAAAATCTAAAACTAAACTCTCACAGTTTATCTTCCTTAAAGGGATATTCCGGTGTAAAATTAATTTAGGGTCAAACACACCATAACACTGAGTTAGACACCCCATTGAGAGATAAATGTTGCAGACCGCTTGCTTCATCAACAGTACATATAGGGTCCCAGCCATAGCGCTAGCCACCAAACATCTTTTTAACTTTGCCTAATTTCTTAAACAAAGAGACTAAACACAACTCACCTACTCTCTTCCAGCAGCTACTTGTTTGTACAGAGATCTCAGGCCAGTCCATTACCGCAGCAGGGGGACATAGTTCAAGGAATCTATAGAGCGGCTTTTTGGTTTAGCGTGTGGCTCCTGGGACCGCTGTGTATTGCTATCCTGCGGTCGTTACTAAAGTTGGATTAACTAGAGAAGCAAGCGGTCGGCAACATTCATCTCTGGAGGGGGTGTCTAACTCTGTGTGTTTGACCCTAAATTAATTTTACGCCGTAACATCCCTTTAATGCTCGTGCCTCAAAATGAACAACAGGAGAAAAAGAGACCACCCCAAAAAAAAAACCACTATTCTGATATGATTTTTTTTAAGCCCATTACAGCAGCTGTGGTTTAGACGTACATCCTCACCACACTGACATTACTTGAATTTTATGCCACTGTTTAGTCCACAGGGGGAAAGAAATCCACTGAAACCACAAAATTTTTACAGGAGCTTCAAATCATCCAGTTAGTAAATGATTAACTTTTCTTTTCAGGTGATGACGCACAATTCGAAATGGACATCTAGATGATCCTGGGGTACGAGAAACAGTCTGTGGCTTTCCCAACAAGAACCTGTGAAGAGAAGCGAAGGAGCACTGTCTCTTTTCCGTCACCCATTCCACGAGGACAGAGGTCTGCCCTCAGTGTCTTTGAGTCTGTATCAAGCCTTTTTGTTTGTTTTGCCGAGTACAAAGAATTATTATTTTTTTGTCTGCCTAAAAGTTTAAACTTGAATAATGTGTGAAAGTGTGCCTTCCTTTAGTGGCTGGAAGTTTAAAGTCAACACTAAGACGACTTCGACACCAACTGAGCCTAATCCCTGTTAAATTCAGTGAAAAGACTTTAAATCTGCAGACTTTATGACCATTCCAGACGATTTTGATATCCGTGCATTACCAGACACCTGTATTCTGATACTGCCTTGAAACCGTCAAGATTATTAACTGATTGTGCTGTTTTTGAATAAACTCACACATTTCTTAATGAAGATTTAAACAGATTTTCACAAAGTTTGTAGACGGAAAAATCATTAAAGCAAGAGAAATGAAAGCAATCAACTCTTTGTCATGTTTTTACCCACACTTCACCTCTTAAAGATCTATTTTAAAACCCAAAAGAGCAAGCTATTTATTGTTTCTGTAATTAAATGAAAGAAAATTTGATAGTGCAAACTGAATATCCTGCTGTACATGGTCCTAACATCTTTAAAATTCTCATGTAGCTGTTCATCCATCTACTGTTTCCTGTGCTGCTCTGATTCAGCTCCAGGAATTCTTCACAGAGCTCGCAGCCGGCTGATAACCTCAGTCAGTGGACTGTATAAAGAGAGGTCAATATACAACTGACCACAGCTGGACCCAGATCAGAGATACCCCCTTGAGCCTGATGGGGTCCTGTCATCGTTTTTCTGTTCTAGCTCTGTCACTGACTCCTCCGTGCTTCGGCACGCCAAGGTTTTCCTAGTTTCACAGTAAAGTAGCTTTAAGGACCTTTGTGTAACCGGTTTGTTATTATCAGATCTTAACGCTTGACTTTATCCAACAGTGATTGGCTGACATGACTGAGAGGCAAGTACGTTTGATTCAAACAGACACAACTGAAGCCTTTGAAGGATATTCAGGTGTAAAATTAATTTAGGGTCAAACACACCGTAACACAGAGTTAGACAACCCCCCCTGCAATACACAGCAGTCTGAGGAGCCATAAACAAACCTCAACCAAAACGCCACTCTATAGCCACAAATAATGCTCAGAACAGCACCTAACTTCATCAATAGGGTTCTAGCCATAATACTAGCCATCAAACATCTAAACACAACTCACCTACTCTCTTCCAGCAGCTGTTTGTTTGTACAGAGATCTCAGGCCAGCCTGCTACGGACTACAGTGGGGTGACACAGCTCAAGGAAGAACATTTTGTTTGACCCTAACTTAATTTTATGCTGGACTATCCCTTTAATACCTCACGTTTGGGTTCTTTTATATGCTTAAGCTCGCTAAGTCAATGAAAAGTTCCCTTTTCTGTGATCTACTGGATAACAGGACCTCATAATAGCTTGTGAAAAGCTGATTATCCAGTATCCTGAAACATGTTTGAATCTGCCTTTTATTTTATGGCTTTTCTCGCAGAACAGCTCTTCTCTGTTGAAATTACTCTTGTTAGGGCGAGGATATCAGGCTCCTGCTGCTGCTGGTTGTTGTATTTTCTTGGTGGTTCTTCTTGATTTTCATAAACCTGTTCAATCATACCAGTTTTACACATGAGAACAGCCCATTCAAAGAAGGAAACAGATGTTACCGGAGTCAAACTGAAAGCAGGGATCTCTGTCTGGTCTTGTCTCAGATGGATATGTGGATTGATCCATTTCCAGCTGATCAGATCCAGTCCAGCCTGTCTTTCCTCCACAGTAGCTCCAGTATCCAGACATGGACTCCCTCACATTGCTCTCTGTGTTTCTCCCCTTGTCACCTCTGTTTCCTGCCCCCCTCACCCCCTCCCCAAAGTAAACAGTTGCTACTGCTCCTTCTCTCCCTCTCTGTCATTACTTCTCTGTAGTTTTTGTCTAGTTCTCCTCGGCCCGCCTGTTTGATCAGGATTACAAAAGAAGCCTGGCCAGGGAGGACACTAATGACCCATGATGATGATGATGATGAGGAGGAGGAGGTGGAGGGCTCTGGATGTGGATTGGAGGTGAGGAGGGTGAATACACAGAGATGTTTGCTGGGCACAAGCCACGCAAGAGGGATTTAAGATGGAGATGAGTTTCGGTGGGCAGGTTGAGCCTTTGAGTGTTTGTAGTTTTCCCACAGGGATTTGGTTTAACAGAAAATTTCATTGTGAAATTATATGTCTAAAAACAGAAAAACTCAATCAATCTAATTTTTAACACCTAAACTGAAGAGAAGATTTATGTAAGTATTTTTTAAGTGAATACCTTAAAGTTAAATTTATGCTAAAAACCTTTATAACCTCATATCCTGAGCTACTAAAATTCAAACATTCAGAAACGAACAATTTTCCATATTTATGACAAAGCAAATGAAAACTCTCAGCATCACAAGTCATAAAAATAAAATGTTTTAATATATTTTAGATATTTATATACAGATATACTCTTTTCATGTATAAATAGATAAAAACATTCGACATCTGGATGACGGAACTTTCTCCAAAAACACCCAGTATGGATGAAAAATGTACATTAAACTTTCAGACGTGACTTTGAACATTTACGTTTACATGAAGACATCAGAGGAAAAGTCGAATTCCAGTCCAGCGTTGTGATATTTCACTACTTCCTTCTGTGGCTGCAGTAACTCTGGTGTTTGTCCGTCTCTCAGTGACAACCACACTCTTCAACAATCATGTCCTCATGGTGCCGCAGGGCCAGATCGTCGCTCTCGTAGTACAGCATGGAGAGCGGGCTGAGGCGGGTCGGCACACAGGACGCACAAGACACTCTTTCAGGATGGTGATGACGTAAGAGGCTCTGGAGGAAAGAAGGAGAATTCACATGAGGACATGTTCAAAAATGTGATGGTTGTCATGGTTACTGAGGATCAGTTATCATCTCACCTGCATGTATGCATGGTTGGTGGGATTGAAGGATTCGTCCAGTGGAGCGGGACACTCCCCCTCACACCGGTACGCATTAAAGCGTTTTGGGTGCACGATCCACTCGTCCCAGCCGATGTGGTCAAAGTCGACCCACATGTCCACCCTCCGACAGAGCGTCCTCTGAGCCGGCTCAGCCGCTGCTGCTGCTGCTGATGGTGCAGCTGTAGAAGAAGCTCCATCCGTGACCCTCATCCTCTCCATCCTGTTCCTCTTGTGGCGTCGACTCTGACTCTCACTCCTCACTGTGTCCATGGTGACGTACTTGGAGTTCTCCACAGTGTGGATGAGGCTGTACGCTGTGTGGCCTTCAGTAGGCAGGTTATGTTTGGAGAAGATCACCATCATGACCCTGTTATTTACTGGGTGGTGAACTTTTCTTCTTAACTTTCCGTCCATCATCCCTTCATCTCCGTCTCCACTCCCCTGATCCACCTCAGGCTCTCCTGAGGCCTCCTGGTTGAGCGCTCTGTCTCCCTGGTACAGCCAGTACTTTAAGAGAGCCGTCACATTAAAAACCTTCCAGGAGGACTTTGAGCTGCTCGGTGATGTGACGAAACTGCCCAGAAGAAGCTGCTCAGGTCGGCATGACACGCTGTCAGGGTCACAGCTCTGCTTTCTGGAGTGATACAGATCCACAGTCGCCCGTCTGGAGGCAGAAAATGCCGGCAATCGGATCCGAAGTTCTGCTTGTTGAACAAGCTCACTCGTAGAGACGGATGACATGTCGAACGTGACCGTCCACCTTTCTCCTTCTTGATAGCACCCTGAAAATTAGAGAGGAAACTTGAATTCACACCAGATTCAGCTGTCTGGTTGCTTCAGGACAAACCAGATCCCTGGACAAATGTCAAAACACTGCAGTGGGAGGGAGACAAGAACAGGATGTGTATTGAACCCCCCTGTGCAGGGACGTCTGAGGGTCTAATATACACACCCTCTTCACATTAAACACACAGAGCCTTTTAAGTCCAATAAGCATTTTGACACTTGCTGGGTTGTAAAGGGGAGTGACTGATAACACAGATAACACAGAAAGCATGGAGCTGCAGGAGGATGGAGCACAAGAAACTTCCACAGACAGAACATGACTGTTTAACACAAACTATAAAAAAAAACACATAATATATGGAAGAGTCCACTCACCTCTGGCCATCAGACTGAGCACAGAGTCGGATCTGCGCGCTGACAGATTGTCATCTTGTGCCGTTATGGTTTTGACAGCCGGTGAGGACGAGGAATCAGCGGTCCTGAAGGAGCGGTACAGCTGCATCATGTACAGAGGATATCTGCTGTTAGGATGTACAGACAGATTTCTAAACACTGAACTGGTTTCACGCCCAGGATGGTACCTTAACCCCTGAGAGGAGAAAACAGACGCCAAAGAGCAGAGGAGGAACATGCAGAAAACTGTGAGGAACCGAGCTTCCATTTTAACTGAGAAAATCTGGTCTAACAAGAGTAAGAGGAGCAAAGATGAGCGTCCTTCCTCCAGCTGGTCTCAGACTAAAGTGACACGATGTGCAGACGCCTCTTTATAGTAGACAGCTGCCCTTTGATGACCCCAACCACTCCTGGCATGTGAACAGCCCCTGTGATCACCGGAGCACATCACAGGGGCGGAAAAAAAAGACAACATTTAGCCAAGGTCATTGTCCCGTCAAAGTGCTCCACCTTTAGGAGTCTAATCCCTTAGAGATGTAAAAATCCATTAACAAATAACAATCCTGTCCAACCAATCGAATCTTTCTGTTAGCAAAGGGTTAAAAAAAAAAAACAAATACAGAAACTAGGAAGGAAATCTTTAAAAAAAGGAAATGTGACAAAATGAGAAAAAGACATTTGTTTTATTCAAGGTCAACAAGAACAACTGTTCCCAAATGTAAAAGTAGTAACAGCAAAAATATCAGTTTATGATCTACAGATGATATTATCACCGACCAACCTGCATTTTAGTCACTCAGATATATGATTCAATATGAAGAGACACAGTTTTGTGCTATTCAAGTGAAGTCAAGTACAGTACAGAGAGTAACTTTACAAGAGTGAACGTCTAAATAAACAAACATACAACAGAAACACTGGAGATGTAAAAAGTTTAAACATTTAAACAGAGAGTTACAGAGATTCATGAGGTTATGGTTCTGAGGAGACTGTAGTTTATAAAAAAGAAAAAAACCTTTAATATTATTTTAAATCTCTGTTGATGAGAGGTTTGGCTTGTGTTTTGGTTTATATGTCAGTTAAAAGGTTTTACTGGCTTCATCCGTCACCCGATGCTGTCTCCTCATAAAGTGTTAAAGAAGTTTTTCACCTGAGAGTAAAAAAAAAAAAAAAAAGCACTGTAAGTCACTAAAACACATAAAACATCAGACCAGAAAGTAAGATGCATCTGTATCTAAGAGTATGGCAAGTTAAGATCTGCCGCATTAGAACAGAGCCCTCTTGTGGTCGTCCCTGGAATAGCAGTTTCTTTGTCAAGAGGTATAAATCAAAACTAACCTTTGTTATGAACTGTTCCCGCACCTCCTGGTCCCTTAGAAACTCCTCACTGGCATCAAGTTGTAACACAGGAATCTGTTTTAACTTCTCAAAATGTATCCTGAAAAGAGAGGCCAGAGCTGAATCACACTCTTCCCTAAGACCCGGACCACACACTGCTGACTGTCATCTGTTCACAGGCGAGCTGCAAACAGCTGCAAGGAAAGGCATTTTCAATCGCCAAACAGGAAACCGGGAACAGAATCCTGTTAGATGGTGTCTGCAGGGAGGATCGTCCTTTCACTGTTTGATTTACTTTATTTCAAAATAGAAATGCATGCAAGCAATTACAGCAACTACCCTAACATAGAAAATCTTTAACGTTAATTTTTACTCATGTATTTTTCAGACACAGAAGATCTCATCAGCACTCACTCAGTGCTCTTCTCAACGAGCCACTTCTCATGTTGAACATGCAGCTTGTCCAGGTAGTCCAGCTTCACTTCCTTCTCCTCTGCTCTCCCCCGAAGTTTCAAACGCTCCATACATTTCTGAAGAACCAAAAGCACAATGTCTCTAAGCTTGTGATAGTCAACCACTTGGATTTGCTGTCAATATTACTAACATGTACTTTTAAAGTAGGATCTAAAGGCATCGTTTTTCCTCATGAATTATTGTAACATTACTGATCTCTTCAGTGAACTATAAAATCTCTTAAGTTGATACCTGTGGGGGAGCTCTGAGGTAGATGATGCCCTCCAGCTCCACCTGGTGTCCAAACTGCTCCACTAGGAGGGAGTGCCAGTCCTGATATATGGCCCACTCAGTGGGGTTTATACAGCCCAGCTCAAACATGTTCAGGGCAAAGATGTATCTGACAGGACAAACAGTGAGCTCAATATTACACAGGAATAATAAAGAAAAGTGCTTTTTCAATAGACATTTATCAATACCACATAAAGTCTGTGGGGTACAGTGATACTAATAATAACATTAATAACACCAATTAATTATAATACTATTGTCATACCACTATCATAAAGTGATAATGTATCAAAAACCGTTAATAACTCTATGTAGTTCTCCCGACTGTCATTTTAATGATCCTATTTTTCCCTGATTGACTCACCTGTCACTGTAGACTGAGCGTTCGTACACCTGCACAGGAGTTCCCTCTGAGCTGAGCATGCGCGCTGGAGGAGGCTGCAGCTGAGTCCTAAAGCGGCTCATACATGAATATGTCTGGAATGTATACGACCAGCGCTGAGGATCCTCGTACATCATCTGCAGCAGGTTGCTGACTGTCGTCTGAGGGGATGCTGCTTCTTTCTCCTTTCAGTGATACACACAGACATGATCAGCACTTTGACTCTCTTTGAATGATGTTGTAAAGACCGATAAAGGTGCAGAATGAGGCCAGGTGAGGTGCTCACCTTTGAGGTCCCACTTTCGATGTTCTGCCATTTAGAGACAGGCTCTGCCATCACCTCCCAGTCTGGACAAACTGACTGCAGGAGTCTCGCAAAGGTCGACTTTCCAACAGCTGGTAGAGAGAGACGACAGGAAACAGCATAAACCAACACTCACAGTTTGGCACCATAATATATATTTTTCTTTTTCATTGTATTACTTTTTTGGAACATGTGCGTGCAACACCAAAAGGAAACTGAACCAGTGAAAATATTCAAAACAACAATAATAAAAATCAAAGCAAAAGAGTAAAATTAAAAATAGAGTTAACTTAAAAAAAATTAATAATAATAATGCTTTTTTAAAACCTACCCCTTCTCCTTTACTCAATAATATCAGTCAGTATCCAGCTAAATTAAATTATATTAACAAAAATGTACAACATAAATAGAATAAATAAGTACATTAATCTTTTGTGAGAACACTCGATAGTTAATGCCCTTCTTCCTCCCTGTACCTGGTGAGAACCATGTTTTTGGACTGCTGATGCTTTAGGTTAAGGTCCCCCCTCAGATGATTACCCCCAGCTCTGTTAGAAAACTATTTTGGGATATTTCCAGGCAGTAGATTGTTCAGATTGTAGTAGTAGTAGATTATTGCTTTGTACATGATTTGTGGTGTTTGAAATTGAACCAGGTCAGTGAATTTTAATGTTTTTGATTTTAAGAATAATACATTTGTGTGATCTCTATAACCGGTATTATGAATTTTTCTTATAGCTCTTTTCTGCAGTATAGATGGTGATTGTATTGTACATTTGTAAGTATTTCCCCAAACCTCTGCACAGTGGTGTAAATGTGGATAAAATCAGTGAACAGTGAATATGAATAATAAGAATAATGTTCCCCCACAAACCCCGTAAATACTTGAATCTTACCAATGTTGCCCTCGATAGAAACTCTCTTCACTCGAGCTGGTCTGGTCTCTGAAGGACTTAAACCTGACAGGTACCTGGAGCAGGTGAGACTGAGCCTCGAGGTCTTCTGAGCCATTATAGCTCTGAGGTCTGATGTTGTTGGTGGTGTTTGAAGTGTTTCCAGCCGAGGACGAGGACCGTAACACCCAAACCTCCTCACCTGAAACCCGATCAAACCTAAACTTTCTGTGAGTTTGGAAACACGGTGGAGTGGAGAGCACATACCGACAGACAGGTGGAGGTTTTCTTACTTTATCAGGACTCTGTGAACCTCATGGCAGCACGCGCATCCTCTGAGTGACGTAACAGATGTCAGTTTAAATAATCGATTGAAATCTTCATTTATTATCATTTTTTATTTATTATCACCTAAATAAACGCGTGACTGTTCGTGTAGCTTCCACAACCTCAGAATTTAACTATTCTGTGCTGTTTAATGACATTTTTTAAGTTCGTTTTAACTGCGTGCTAATGCTAAAAACAGTAGCCGCAAGTGTTTCCGGTATCACTCTCCTTCAAAATAAAAGCATTTTCTGTCAACCATAGACTGTATATACAGTCTATGCTGTCAACCAAACAAACGATCAGATCGATTGTTTTTATGCTGTATGATCAACAAATGTATTTAATGATTGTAATCAATTCAGCACAGTTTTCGATGGTAATAGTTAGAAGTTTACTTATAATCACAGAACTACTTGAGTTTTGTTTCCAGACCCGCCCCCACAAGAATTAATGTATTATTGGGACCTGATTTTGCTGTATATCTACGGCTCTGGTTGTTTTCAAGTTTGAGAGGTCAGCTACGTGATACCAATTTATGAAGAAATATCTCTGTTTTTTTTTTTTTTTCAAATTATAAAATCTTGTGATGCTTCATGACAGAAATTAACTTGAGCCTATGATTTTATTTAAGATATAAACTAAAAAAAACAACAACAAAAAAAAAAACAACAACTTTATTAAAGTTATTGGGGGAAATTCACATTAATGTCACTCAACTACCGGTTTACTTGGTTGGTTAGCAATCGCAGGATAATTCCTTCCATCAAGTTTCTATGCACTGCTTCATAATCCAACAAACATCATTTAAATTCGTAAGTTAAAGTTAACATTAATATATTTTTCTGTTTTACGTAGCTGTTTTTTTTTCTTGATAATGTTATGGGTCATTTATATTTCATCATTCGAAAATTATCTTCAATTCGGCTGAGAATGATGCTGTTGTCTGCCTGTGTGTATCACAGGCTATTTTTGTTATTCTTCTTATTATTTTGTGCCTCTCAGACCCAAAATTAGAATATATTATTATCCTCAGGGGATATCAATTATTAATTTCCCCCCTAATGTATCATATCATTCACAGCACTATACTGACTCCTGATCAAGGTCTTCAAGCTCTTAATCTAAACCATTTCCATGTATTATTCTTGCTCTTTTCAGAGTATTGAATTCACAGTCACTTGCCCATCTGCCAAAAACGGGGTTCAATGATGTTGAAAGAATTGTGGCTGAGTTTTCATACACGTAACGTTCCAAACATGACAAAGGCTACAAGTTCTTCATTAAACAAAAATAAAAAAAATAAAACACAACATCACAAATGCTTTATTTGACTACAGGAATACAATTCATCAATCATAGTATAGTATGATATCAAATGCCATAGTATAGTATGATAGAAATGTCATTGTAAAGTATGATAAAATGTCACAGTATAGTATGTTATAAAACATTATAGTATTGTGTGATTTAAAATATCTAAGTATAGTATGATAAAAAAAATGTTGCATCATAGTGTGTCATATGGAATGATATAAATGTCAGAATAGAATGATAAAGAATGTTATAGTATGAAAAAAATGTCATAGTTCAGTATGATAAAAAATGTCAGTACAGTAGGATACAAAAATCATAGTATAGTATTATAGAAATATCGTAGTATGGTATGTTAAATTATGTCATAATATATTTAATTAAAAAAATTCATAGTTTATGTAAAATAATTTCATATTATAGAATGATAAAGAAAAGCCATAGTATAGTATAAAAATATCAAATTAAAGTATGAAAAAAAATCATTGTTTTATATGATAAAAATATCATAGTTTGGTTTCATGAAAAAGTCAAAGTATAGTATGATAAAAATGTTATAATGTAGTGTGATAAAAAATGTCAGAGCATAGTATGTTGAAAAATGTCGTAGTTTTGTATGATAAAATGTTATAGTTAAGTATGATAAAAATGTCAGTAACGTAGGATTAAAAAATCATAGTTAAGTATGATTAAAAAAATGTTACATTACAGATTGATAAAAAAAATGTCATAGTATAGTATTTGTGATGGCCATGTGTAGTGGTTGCTTGGCACTGCTGTCTTTCTTTGGTTTTAGGCAATGACTCCATCTGGTGGTGGTCCGCTCTGGTTATCTTTCCCTGCAGTTTGAAGGCAGATCATTTCCTGATTGCTGACTGGCTACACCTGTACAGAGAGGGATAAAAGCCAGGGTTTCTCAGGAGTTTTCCTCTCTCTTCCCTTGGACTGGGAACTCAAAACACCCATTATGTTTGGTCTGTGTTTTTGTGGAAAATAAATGTTATGTTTGCTTCAAAACCTACTGTGTGGACTTCCCTTCCTAGTTATGAGCTAAACCACCTGGCCATAACAGTATGATAAAGATTTAATAGTACCATAGTGTGTTAAAAAAACATAGTAAGGTTTGATAAAAATGTCATAGTATAGTATTATAAAAATGCCATAGTATAGTACAATTTAAAAAGTGCATGGAAAAGTATGATAAAAAAAAGTCATAGTAAAGTATGAAGTAGTATAGTATGATTAAAGAAAATGTATCATAGTGTGTGAAGAATGTCATGATATAGCATGATTATAATAATTATAGTCTGAAAAAGTAATTGTTTAATAGACAAATATATATAGGTATAATTATGATGAAAAAAGTTATAATATAGTTTGTGAAAAGCCATAGTATAGAACGATTTTGAAAAATGTCATAGTATAGTATGATAAACAGGTCATAGTATAGTATAATGATAAATGTCAGAGTATAGTTTGAATAAAATGTCATAGTATAGTATGATAAAAAGATGTTGTACCATGTAAAAAAACAGTGGAAGATGTAACAAAATGTCATAGTTTAGCATGATAAAACATCAAATAAATCATGTTGTAGCATAGTATGTAGAAAAATGTCATAGTTTAGTATGATACAAAATGTCATAGTAAAGTATGATACAAAATGTCATAGTATAGTATGATGAAAAAAGGTCATAGTATAGTATGATAAAAAAAAGGTCATAGTATAGTATGATAAAAAATGTCATGGTATAGACTAATTAAAAATGGCATTGAAGAAAATGTTAAAAATTCCAAAGTATAGTATGATAAAAGTGTTAGAGTATGGACTGATTGAAATGTCATAGTATAGTATGATAAAAAATATATCATACAATATTTTGAAAAAAATATTCATAGTATGGTATGATAAAAATGCCGTCGTAAAGTATGATAAAAATGTCATAGTATAGTATGGTAAAAGAAATGTCATTTAATAGTACTGAAAAAAATGTCGTGGTGTAGTTTGTTAAAAAATGTCATAGAATAGTATGATAAAAAATGTCATAGTATAGTATGTTAAAAAATGTCATAGTATAATGTGATAAAAAAAAAATGTCAAGGTGTAGTACGGTAAAAAACATCATAGCATTGAATGATAAAAAATGTCAGAGTAAAGACTGATTAAAAATGTCATAGTATAGTATGATTAAAAAAAGGCAAAAAATAGTATGAAAAAAATGCCATAGTATGTTAAAAAATGTCATAATACAGTATGTTAAAAATGACAAAGCATAGAATGTAAATGATGTCATAGTATAGTATGATAAAAAATGTAGCATAGTATGATAAAAAAAAATCATAGTATAGACTAATTACAAATGTCATTGTGGAAGATGTTAAAAATTCCGAAGTATAGTATGATAAAAAGTGTCAGAGTATAGACTGATCAAAATGTCATAGTACAGTATGATAAAAAAATGTCATTAAATAGTATGAAATAAATGTCAAAGTATAGTATGATAAAAAAATGTCATGGTATAGTGTGATGAAAATGCCATGGTAAAGTATGATGTCATAGTATAGTATGATAAAAAAAATGTCAGTAGAGTATGATTAAAGATGTCATAGTGTTGTATGTTAAAAAATGTCATAGTATAGTATGATGAAAAAATGTCAAGGTGTCATACGGTAAAAAAAAAAGTCATAGCATAGTATCATAAAAAAATGTATGAGTATAGACCGATTAAAAATGTCATAGTATAATATGATTAAAAAAATATCAAAAATTGGATGAAAAAAATGCCATAGTATAGTATGTTAAAAAATGTCATGATATAGTATGTTAAAAAATGTCATAGTATAGTATGTAAATAACGTCATAGTATAGTATTGTAAAAAAAAGTCATGGTATAGACTAATTAAAAAGGTCTGTAGAAAATGTAAAAAATTCCAAAGTATAGTATGATAAAAGTGTCAGAGTATAGACTGATCAAAATGTCATAGTATAGTATGATTAAAAAAATGTCATACAATAGTATGACCATATGGTCATGTGGCCATAAAATTAGGGTTTTAAGATATGACCCTCGATTCATTTAAAGGCATATTTTCCCAAACTAATTGTAGAAACATATCAACATTATTATTGTGTGATGTTCTTTAAAATTTGCACTTTTCATGAGTGAAGTTATCAAATATTTTTGCTGCAACTTTTTCCAGAATTGCACCTTGTAGATGGTCCCTGCATGCTCAAGTAATTGCTGGCTGTGGAGGGAGGATTTTTATTAATGGTTAAGTTCTTGAAAACACGAGAAAGTACTTATTTTAAGTAAATTATTAAGACACTTTAGTTGAAATAAGTTGAAACAAGGTATACATCTGAACCGGTCAGGTCAGTGTAACTTCTGCTGTTTTGAGTAGCATCATAACTTAATCAGTTGTCACTTGCTAATTCAAGATTTATGTGCAAAAACAAAAATTGACTATTTAAAAAAATCATTCACAGTATTTATTTTTCCAAAGTGCAATCATGCTTCGCCATATATTTGATCTGAAATTCCAAAGGTGCGTCACAATCCATCATACAAGCTCAGCATTTACAGATTAAAGGGAGTTTGTTCACAGCAGAGTCTAAATCACAATTCATTTCAAGACCAACTCATAATGAAAACACTATGACAAGCCGCTGACCACTCATTCAGCTATGATAATAACAGACTACATAAGTAAAATCACAAGTGAAGTCAGCAAAGAATAAAAACGTCAAACTGCTCATCTATCACTCTCTCATCTTCAGTCGTTGTTCAGTAGGTTGAATTTTTGATGGTGATCTTTTGAGGCTTCCCAATCTTATAATCACTGATACCTGAGGGAGAAAGCAACAATTCTTTTTAATCTTATTGAAATGAAAATTAGAGAGACAGGTTACAAATTATATAAATGAAAGCTAAACTATCAGGTCATTGTGTGTTTGCGTGTCCTCACCCTGACTGAGAGCAGTGCCGTCAGAGGAGAGTTGCCAGTATCTGCGGTCACTCTGTCTCGCCAGCTCCCCATTCACCGCACTCAAGAAAGGCCCCCAAAGGCTGGTCTCTTTCTCAAACCTGCAAAAAAAAGTATCAAAATGAAGAATACCAGACAATCATGGGGGACCTGAAAAAAAAGAACATTGCACAAACTTACGTAAAGCCAACATTTCCTGTAGCAAGCAGCTCAAGGGCCTCCAGCAGAGAGCTGTCCTTGGGCACATCCACAGAATACTGAGCAGTAGCCCCACTGGACATCACCACCTCTACGATCACCGTCACTGTGGTCCCACTTGGTAACACCACCACAGGATCTATGGGCTCCAGCACCAGAGTGTCTGAAGAATAACACAAAGCCTGAGCAAAGCAGGGAAAATGTTGAACAGTAAAAAGGGGTTCAAACAGAACAACCACACAAACCATCCTCATCGAGGCACTCCTTGGTTTTAAGCGTCAGGTAGGATGTTTGGTGCAGAGCAGGAAGAATCTGAGATGAGGCCATGGGGTTTTCGTATTTGCTTCCTCTGGCGTCTGTTCTCATGGCCTCCATCGAGGCGGCACACTCTGCAACTGGGGTGCCCATCGCTAATAGAGCCTGAAACAAAATTAACAAAATAACTGTTAAAGGGATATTCCGGCGTAAAAGTGATTAAGGGTCAAACACACCATAACACCGAGTTAGACACCCCCTCGAGAGATAAATGTTGCCGACCGCTTGCTCCTCTTGTTATACCAACTTAATCAATTCTTCATCAGACCGAGATGCTAAAGCAGAAGAACTACTGCGTCTGCAGTGCAAAATGATTAATATGGTAATTATTACTTCAAGAAAATGATAAAGAAATTATCATAAATGTTCTTCCTTGAACTGCGTCGTCCCGCTGTAGTCCATAATGGATTGGCCATAGGTCTCACTACAAACAAGCGGCTGCTGGAAGAGAGTAAGTGAGTTGTGTTTCGTTTCTTTCAGGTAAAGTTAAAAAGATGTTTGGTGGCTAGCGCTATAGCTAGGACCCTATATGTACTGTTGATGAAGTTAGGTGCTGTTCTGAGCATTATTTGTGGCTATAGAGTGGCGTTTTGGTTGAGGTTAGTTTATGGCTCCTCAGACCGCTGTGTGTTATTGCTGTGTCGTGCCGCTGTGTCGTGCCGCTGTGTCGTTACTAAAGTTGGTATAACTAGAGAAGCAAGCGGTCGGCAACATTCATCCCTCGATGGCGTGTCAAACTTGTTGTTACAGTGTATTTGACCCTAAATTAATTTTACACCGGAATATCCCTTTAAAGAGGACTCAGCTCTATCAGCTTTTACTATTGTACAGAGAAAAGGAGAGATAAGTACTTGAACTGCATTGCCGGTGCTGTACTCATTGCCGATGTGACCATCAGGTCTACGGGCCGCCAGCAGCTTCTGCTTGATTTGGGCGAGGGCTGTGTTGAGCTCAGCAGCATTATGAACGTACGAACCAGCTTCCTTCACACACTGGAGAGCCATTCCTGCCATGGCAAAGGTGTCTACAGAGAGGAAGAGTATGATCAACATTGTGGTTAAATTTCAGAAAATCTTCAACATCATTATCCCATTTGTAGCACTTAGGAAGCTTTAACTCACCAATACTCTCAGCGTCTCCATGCGTGAAGTGCTGATGCTGTGTGGCCTTGATGAGCTTGTTGCTGACATGGTTGTTGACCCTGATGCCATTCACACACAAAGCGAGCGTACCCAGGGAGTACTGGTAATAGTTGGTCAAAGGGCGGTGGCTGACTGTCAGAGGAATGCAGGTAACATGTTAAAATATAAAATTCATTCTTATTCAATGAGTCCAGTCAACAACAGTTCACCTGGACTTTCTTTTTGAGGAGATTCTGATTCCTCTTTGAGTTTCTTTCATAAGGAATATTGTTGCTACATAAACTTTGAACTCATTTCAACTCACAATGTAAACCAGGATGATGAACACTTTTTATGACACCTCTCGGCCTCAAACAGGTCAAAGGAAACTTACAGGCAATGTGCTCTTTCTCTTGTTCCATCTGCCTCTTCAGGTGTGTCAGCAGTGTCTCTCTCGCCCCACTGACAGTAAATGTAATGGTGTTGAGATCGTAACAAGACGACTTTAAAGCCATAGCGTACAACGCCAAGCGGCCGGTCACTGCCTGGCTGTTTGAAAGGGAGCTGAAATAGAAACACAGGGGTGGTGAGATGAGCTGAAACTCAAATAGAAACAGAGATTTGACACAATAATAAGCACCACAGTACTTTTGAATGTCATTGTGAAAGTGGTTTTTCAGCTGGTTCAGGTGCTCGCTCTCCTTGGCCAGGTTGTGGGAGTTAGCCAGTCGTAACGCCAGGTGAACGCTGGGATTAGGGAGAGTACCCTGCCCCTCCAGAGAGCGAAGAAGACTCTTACTGAGAGACAAGAGCAGCTCGCCGTTGGATCCCTGAGTATCTGTTTAAAAATTAAGGGAAAGGTAAATGTTTCTTAAACAGTTTTATAAAGAACATTTAGACATTACATAACGCTCTTGTGCTGACTTTAACGTGAACCTTTAAAGTGTTGCAAAACCACAAATGCAGCTGATGCATGAAAACAGGAAACAAAGACTCCGCGGAGATGAGAGCTTTTCAGGATTGGAGAAACATAACTGTGTAAAAGCTCCAAAGAACTTCATTGCCTTCCTGAAAACTTTACTCTTTCATAACTTCTCATCATTGAGCAAGAGACACAAAGACCATCCAAATTCACGAACTCAGGAATTGCAAAATCAGTGAATGTCCAGATCGTTGACATTGATAGTATTTGTTTGACTCATGTTTATCTTTCTGTGATCAGACCGATTAAGCAAGACTTTTCTGAGATTGGTGAAAACTAGATTTAAAAAAGAACTTACCACATGGTGTAGCACTGGTGAAAGCCAGCAAAACTGAGATTATGATCAATGGCAGCATTTTTCAACACGTACTGATGGACAAAACAAAAAGTGAAAATGAATCAATATAGGTGAGAGTGGGGTAACATGAGCCATCAAGTCAATCCTAGTTTTGTCTTTAACTAGTGTATCTGCATATATTTCAAGATGTTGTTCATCCCTGCAAACCAACAGAATGAGTGTAAACATTACTGTCTTGATAATATAACATGGCAAAAAAAGTGGTCTCGAACTCAACCAGTACAATAATTCTTCTTACTGCATATTACTGCTAAAAAGCTGTTTTGTAAAAAGTCATTTTAACATGAGAATGTCTTTAAGTGATTCAGAACATTCACAGCTGTATTTTTGAAAAGGAAAAGTACAAACATTTCAACAATCTGAACTGAAACTCTGATCCTCTCATCAGACTCCTTTACTTTCTCAGTTACCCCTGAACTACTATTATGACTTTATTAGTCCTCTAAGCTAAAATGGTGGACTTTTATGTTAGGTTTTTGACCTCATGTTGTAGCTCATAGATACCACAATTGATGAACAAAACAAATTTAAAATGATCTTTTTTGGTCTGAACACAATTCTAATAAAACTTTTGACAGACTAAATTCACTTTCAAGAGTAAAAAATGTTTTTTTTTTTTTGTAAATAAATGTCTAACCTCTTCACCCATGTGCTTCTAACTCCATGAATTGATGCCCATCTCCTAAATATTTGGTCACATGATCAATTTCTTTTAACATTTTTAAGCAACAGGGGGTGGCTCTACTTACCCTTTGGCTCAACTTACCCCACTTTCGCCAAAAATCCTTACTAACAACACATCGTGTACAGTAACATTGGATCTTTAAAACCATTACAAGTTAAAGATAGCTTACAACTTTGACAAACTTACAAAATATCAGTCCGTAAATAATGACGACCGATGTTTAATTAATGGAAAATACCTGTTATATCAAAGTCTTGTCGCCAAGTAAAAACGAGACTGTTATGAGATCGTTGTTCTCTTTGTGAAACAGCGGTCAAAAGTTAGTTATCTAGTTCGTTAAAAGAATACGAACCCTCAAAGTCTGCCATAAACAACTTACCTCTCCGGGAGAGACACCAGTGTGAAGAAACTGAGCTGCTCGCAGAGACAAAAGCTTCCATCCAGTATTTCAGGGTCACATGACTCCGTTTTTTGCGATGACAAAGCGATGTAAACACAAGACCGTCCCTTTAAACACGACTGCAGAGGAAAACTGAAGGGAGTTCTCTTGTCGACTCCTTGTACTCTTTGTTAGAGAGAGTTGCCTTCATGGACACTCGGAGTTTTTAATTTCAGATCGGCATGTCATTTTTCCATTTTGTATTCACCAGCTTTAGCTTGTCTTCTTATTGCCAATCGTTATTGAATTATGTATAGAGACATTGTGTAATGTAAAATCGATCAATATCCAGAAAGATCATATTATATATCAACAACAACCAATAGTTATCACCTTGCACAACAATTAACGCTGTATGTGAGGAAAAAAATATATGCAACACACTGTGAATAAAAAAGGAGAGATTCTAGGTATCAGTTTTGTTCACTTACTAAAGCATTTTTCAGCGTGATGAGTGTAAAAAGTTTCTTTCTGTGTTGCAATTATTATTTCCGATTATTTAGGCACAACCTGAACTGCGTTAAAAGTATGTCTTCCGGTGTTGTGTCGTAGAATGCACCCCTGACGAGAGTGCAGTTAAAAGTAGATATAAAGACGAAATAATCCAAGTTTTCCTGACAGTTGGATGTATCCAAAAGCGTATGCCCTTAATAATGTAATTCAGGCTTTCGATAAGCCGAAAACAACAGCCCTCTGATTTGGAATATTTGCTGTCTCTACAAATGTTCTCTACATTGACAGCTAACTGTACAGTTTACACACCCAAGTGCACCTCTATAAGTGCATTTTTGAGAGACATAAACACAGAACAACAAGTTTCCCGCTCAATTTGACCTGTTGTCATGATTCAATATTCGTGTTTTTTTAATGTGAGATAATTTTCTTCCACTTTAAGGAGCTAATGAGCGGTTGGGATGAAGGGGGTGCATTCTACGGCAGGGGTGCATTTTCCGGCAGAACACCTGTCACTGGTTGAGGCGAATTGGTCGTTACCCTAGTAACAACACATATTGATCATACAGCCTTAATGCCAATGTATTTAACCTCTTTGCTTGACCAGTGTATTTCCATTTCTGAGTCTTATAGGAAAATTACCACCGAGAAGACATCGTACGACACTGTTTGTCAATCATGACTCCATTTCCCAGAATTCCTCTGACGCTATCTACGCACGTTCTAAAACCTGAGCGACTTTTCCAGCGCTACTTACTTTTTCCAGAATAGCTAGCTAACGTCCGCCTAACCAAGCCTCCTTTTCAAGCAGTGCACGCCACAGGGAGCCTTCATACTGGGATTTTGAATGCGTGGAAGTGGTGATATCTTCGGTTAGTAAAGATTTAAACACGCAGAGTCCGGTGCTGCGTGGAAACTAACTCGTTGGTAATATACCCGGCGGTAACGATGTGAAGTGACTTGCTAGCCAAACATCATTGACAACAACAAACAAGAAGGGGCAGGGCAGCAACTTAGGTCAGTCTGAACGCTTCTGTTTCAGGTCAGCCGAGGCAAAGTTGTAAATCAGCACAGGGATAAAGCTGTGGCTGCGTGTTACCGAGTCACTATGATGTTACAATCGTGTAGTTATGAAGCGATGGGATTGTAGCTAGCTCGCTAACCTGACAGCTGTCCTCGTGTAAACCAAACATAGACACACACACACACTTAAATATATTTAACTTCTGCGTCATGTAGGCTTGAAATAAGGGCTGATTAGCTCTCTGATAGCTACCACTGACCTGACTCTAGACAGTATTTGTATGTAGTTATCCATCTCTCTTCACCATGCATCACTCTGCTCCCACAAACACTGAACTGGGGTTTCTGCCAGCCATGTATTCATTCTCAGGGCCCACGAGCCTCCCTGAATTTGACCTCGGACCCCCCAACACGTCCAGCAATCTACGGAGAGCAACACTATCCAACAGGCAAGTAGCTTCATTCATAACAGAGTGGGGTAAGTTGAGCCAAAGGGTAAGTTGAACCACCCCCTGTTGCTTGGAAATGGTCAAAGAAATTGATCATGTGACCAAATATTTAGGAGATGGGCATCAATTCATGGAGTCTGTGAAGGTTAGAAGCACATGGGTGAAGGGGTTAGACATTTATTTACAAAAACAAAAACATTTTTTACTCTTGAAAGTGAATTTAGTCTGTCGTAAGTTTTATTAGAATTGTGTTCAGACCAAAAAAGATCAATTGTGGTATTAATGAGCTACAACATCATGTCAAAAACCTAAAATAAAAGTCCACCATTTTAGCTTAGAGGACTATTAAAGTCATCATAGTAGTTCAGGGTTAAGTTTTGTCTTAATGGTCTTGAGCCTTCTTATCTTTCAGAAATGCTTTTACCTTATGAACCTTCACAGACCCTGTGCTCCTCTGGCAGCAGGCACCTAGTCATATCAAAAGTCAGGACACACTCATGGTGAGGCGTCTTTTCAATATTACAGCCCTCGTCTATGGAACAGCCTGCCGGAGGACCTCAGAGCTGCAGAGAACGTTCATGTTATTAAGAGCAGACTCAAGACCCACCTTTTTAGCTTAGCTTTTAATTGATATTTATTTTTTTTGTCTTCATTTATTCTAGTTAGCCTAGGTTTATACTAGGTCTGTGTTTTAGTTTTTACTTGTTTTTATCCTTTTATCATTTTTAGGACCCCAGTGTTTCCTCTGACGGAGCCCTCAGCACCAGGAGCGGTGGTCGTTTGTGGTCCCTGTGTCTGTGTCCTGTAGCTGCGGGCGACTCTCTGCTCCTGGTGCTGATGGCTCCTCTGATGGCGCCTTCTCAACTGGCTCATCTGCACTCAGACTTGACTGTAAAGCACTTTGAGTCACATTCCTGTAGGAAAAGTGCTGAATAAATAAAGTTTGATTGATTGATTGATTGAAGTTGAGCCAGTGGATTAACTGAAAAGTAAAGGAGTCTGATGAGAGGATACGGCTCAACTTACTCCACTCCTATGGCCAAGTTACCCCATACACGGGGTGAGTTGACCATAGGAGACCACTTTTTTTTGGGGCATGCTATATTATCAAGACAGTTCTGTTTACACTCATTCTGTTGGTTTGCAGGGATGAACAACATCTTGAAATATATGCAGATACACTAGTTAAAGACAAAACTAGGATTGACTTGATGTAGTGATCCAAAATATGAAAAATGGCTCATCTTACCCCACTCTCCCCTCTGTCTTTGTTATGACCACTTGTGTTTTCCTCACTCTACAGCTGGGAGACAAGATGCCTCAGAAAGCACAGGAGGAGAAGTGATGATGAGTAAGTAAAAGTAAGACTTGCATAATATTCGTCAATATCTGAAAACGTCAAATGTAAACAGAGAAATCTTGAATGTTTTCTCAGGGGTTGTAGTGCAAAACGGAGGAGATTAATGTGTGAGGCAGAGGTGGCTATTCCAGACAACTCGGACAATCAGCACGACTGGCCTGCAGTCAACAGCTGCCCTCCTACGTCTACACAGCAAGCCAGCCCCACACCTCCACAGCCCTGCCCAGCACCTCAGAATTTAACTCTGGCACCGTCTGACACCACCCTGACCCGATCTGAGGCAGAGAGCTCCTGCATGGAGATAGAGGCAGCTCAGAGGAAACTTCAGGAGATCGAGGACAGGTGTGTAACGAGAAGAATATGCAAAATAATAATTATGAATCCTGCCAACTGACGGCTTGTCTGTTCAAAAAACAGTTTAATCACACAGTCATCCTATCACCACAATCCAGTATCTACTTGATGAAACAATGAGAGAAGAATGAAAATGTATCCTGTAAGATTTAGAGCTTGTTTATGAATATAGGAGGCAACAGCATGCAGGGAAATCATTGCTTTCACTTGAATTTAGATAGAAAAGAAACATAAAAACTGCTGCTGGAATAACAAAGTGCTACTAAATGTTTAAATGGATACAGAGTTTACTTTAAAGTGTAGAGAGAGAGATGGAAGCACTTATATTTGTGACACGACTCCAAAGTGTCTTCCATTAGGCGGACTATTACAGTTTTAAAATAACCAGGCAAAGAGGCTCTTATTCTCTGAGGGGTTATCAGTGAAGCATCTCCTTCCTCATGATGAGCTATATAAAGCACAGAAGTGTTATTTCGTGGTTTTGTCCTTTTTCCGGTGAAATATTTATCATACTGAAGCGACTGTAATTTAGTGTTTGATATTCACGACATGTCTTACCTTTTTGATGATCGTAAACCAAACTTTGCTCAGGAAATGTGGCTGATGGTTTGTTTTTTTGGTGTAAATAATGTGGATTCATCTGGTCTAGATATTGTGTTACATAACTCCTGACTGTTTGTTTGAGAGCTTGTTTCAGTTGATCTGTTAAGTCACTCATGAACTCACGAGTGGATATTATGATATTGGTGTGTCGCAGAATTACACTGGAGGATGACGATGAGGATGAAGATCTGGATGTAGAGCCAGCCCCCAGACGGCCAGTGCTGGTGATCTCTGACAGTCTGAAGGAGGGTCTGCAGCGGGGCATCAGCGACATCCTGCCCCACACAGTCGCCCAGTCTGTGTATGTTCTCGAATCAGAGTCTGGGCAGCTCTACTGTCTGTCTCTCATGTGTTTGCAAACTTCTTTCTTCCTCATCTTCCTCCTCAGAATGAAAATGATAAAACTTTGCACAATCAAAAATACATTTAGAGCTCATCGATCCAATGGAGGTGCGAGAAAAATACTTCTACTCATAAAAAAATCGGTTTTCAACTTTGCAACCACATATAAAACAGTTAAGATGGACCAATCAGGGATAAGCGTGTACAATACTGTGTTCTCAAAAGAAAGGAGAAAAACAGTAACATCCTCTGTGGATTTTTCTTAATCTACTCCACCTGTGCCAAAGTCCATCTCCAGACCAATCCCTCCAGAGTTAAATTCATCTTTGGATCTATCTTACCAGAAATTTGTCTTCCTCAAAAACTTTTTAACACTTTCATGAAGTGACAAATTAGTGCAGAAATAACCCATTTCTTATGGTGTTGGAGTACACAGTTTTCTGAACCTTTTCTAATGAATGAATTAATATCTGAAGTTGTGAAATCTTCCTCCAGTTCTTTGTATGTCACTCACCAGATTTAAGTTTATATTTTTTCCTGACTCTTCTCCTTTTCTTTAGGAGTCATTCCTGTATGGAGTTGGTTTTGTGGCGGCCGCTGGATGATCCCTTCTGTCAGAAAAAAAAGGTCTCACTGCCAAAGCAGCGTAAACAGCAGACGCTTCCTCGGCAGCCCCTGACTCCGTGTCCATCTCCCACCCCTCACTGTTGCGTCAGCTCCTCCAGTTCACCTGCAGACACACCTGCAGAGACACACTCTCCAGTATACAGCTTTTCTGTGGTCCACAACTCTGGTGAGGAAGACATGGAGATGTGAAGATGCTCTCTGACTAAAAAAAGCCAAAGTGAGGACTCGACATGTCGGCACAATAGAATGAAGAGACTCTAAAAGGAGTCTGAACCGTCTGAATGCTTCAGTTCAGCATGTTTGCTGTTCTATCAAACATTGTGCTGTTTTAAGGTTAATTTCAAACACTGCTTCTGCTTCACAGTTACTCGGTTTAGGTGTTTTGAAAATTAATCCCCATGTAGCTATCTGTTAAGTGAACGACATGATTTAATCAGTCAGTTGTTTTTTATATTCAGATTCCAAGTTAATGATCTGTGATGAGTTTGAGAAGCTCTGTAGACGGCATTGCAAAAGTTAATTTAACACAAGTATTAGCATTAAATGTTGATCTTTAAAGTTTGTACATAGTTTTTGTAAAAGCTTAGCCAACAACAGGCTGATGTTCTGTAAATATTTTGTTAAACATCAGAGTGAAGAATCAGAGTTTTTGTACAGTTTTTATGTTCTGCTCTTTCAGCATCTTTAAAAACTTGCTTCGTATTGCTGGCAGCATGACTTCCTGCTTGCGGTTGTACTTGTTGTGTTAGAAAGAATATCTTCCAATGAGGCAAAGCAAGTATCTGTGAGCTTTGAGGAATTTGCAAAGAAGTCAAAAAAATACATTTTTTTGTGATATGATTGTATTTTCATATGCACATTGCCAGAGTTTGAAACAGCCATCGAGTGTTATTACTTTTTGTTTCTAAATAAACTCTAATATTGTCCTTGGAGATTGTAGTTGAATGAACCCATGTGCTTGGTGAACGTATTTCATCATTACTTACAGAACATAGTGAGACCTGGTGAGAACCACAAATGGCTTAACCAAATCTACCTACAATTCTGAGGTAAACACATCCTCATAATTTTCAAACTGATGACCTCTTATGCAAAACACTCAAAAGAAATCACTTAGTTTAATCTCATTTTATGGTAAATCAAAACCATATCAATGCCTTTATTGAGCACAATTGAAAATACTACACCGCCTTTAAAAATCTGGCTTTACATTTACACAAAGAGAACTCAATTTGACTAAGTTTATCAAGATACTCAATACCATTCTCATATCAGAATACAAAACAGTTTTTTAACATGCAGTAACACTGATCATTATACAAGGGATTCCCATAGAGCTCAAAGCTTTATGAGGGTTCATGCCTGTGTGACATAACTCACATGATGTTCAGTAAAATGTCACTTACTCAGCTCAGTGAAGCTCAAGGCCGTAAAATCAGACGGCCTTCATTCAGAGGAATGTAGACTCAATGAGTAACCCTCGAGCTGTGTCATCTGTCACCGTGACCTCCTATCTTTAGGAGAACAGTAAATGATTCATTCCTGAGGTCACTAAAAATGCCTTAAAATGCATGAGCCTCAGATTTTAAGGACACTTGACACTGATGTGTGTACCCAACACACACACACACACACACACACACACACACACACACACACACACACACACACACACACACACACACACACACACACACACACACACACACACACACACACACAGAGTTTAACTTTATGTCTTTAACTTGAGACTGTCCTGATTGATGACAGGTTCTCGATCCCAGAGATATCCTGAGTGATCTATAAAAAAAAAACACCAAAGTCAGACTTACTAGCCACGTTTACGTGTGCAAAATTTCTTGATCCGATTAAAAATTTGAGGGATCGGATAATCTGAATCCACTGTTTATATCGGTGCAAAATCAAATAATCCGATCATGTCGTGCGTATACATGCACAAAGTTTTATTCATATTGAAAGCATTTGGACATGCGCAGAGTTGTCTAATTTCGCTAAAACAACCACAGAAGAAGAGTTGTATTTCCGCCTGTGCTGTCAACAACCCAACAAACGCAGTAGTAGCTCACTAAATCCAATTCAGGAGTTTTCCCCCTGTTAAATCATGTCACTGGATGGCGCCCTTGCGTATTTACTTTACTGTGCGTGTAGATTAAACATCTTTACGCCTTGTTATGTTACCGAAGGAGCAGACATGGCACCTGCGGTTGTTTTTTATGCCAGAGTGTTAATAATGAAACCTCCTGTACTGGCCTACAGAACAGGCTAAAGGCTAAAGAGTGTAGACCGAGTCAGGTAAGAGAGTCACGATCGGTATAAGTGTTTACATGGACGCGTTTAGGAGTAACGATCGGCATAAACCATAATACAGTTTCGTTCCGATTGGGCCACATTGGATCAGAATCCTTCGACATGTTTATATGATGCATTTTAATTCCGATCGGGCATTTATTCCGATTATTTGTGCCCATGTAAACTCAGCTAATGTTCGCAGTCATTCGCAAAAAATCATTTTCTAAAAATCAGTCGAGTCAAAGTCAAAGTCTTGCAAATGTACTTTTTAAATGTTTTGTGCTCTCTTGTTTATCACCACAGTAAATGTAACTGCTGATTAAACTGAACGAGAGAGAGAGAGAAAGAGAGAGAGAGAGAGAGAGGGCAATAATGAGCAGTAACATAAAATCACAGCTATGCACTCACTTTTGCAAGATAGGATCCTGAGAGATCTGAAGGGACTGTATTTGAAGACAAAGGAGTGGATGTGAGGACTTGGTTTTCTAAACGGAGCTGCTTCACTCTTCTCTGCAGGTGACTGAGGAGCTTTAATGAAGCCACATCTGAGGAGCTGTGGGGAGCAGCGACAGGGAGGGATGGTGGCCAAACTGAGTTCTGGACTTCCTGATGAGGAGGAGAAATAGACAGACAGTTTTGACTACAACAATAAGAACAACACCCTCACCAAACTGAGTTAAAACTACTGATATATTATTCACTTTGGTACACAGCATCGTGTCTTTCTGAGGCCCCTCAGGCTTTCTCTGCGTCTCCTCTGGAGTCTTTGATGTTTTCCTGAAAAACAAACAAACAAACCTGCGTTAAAAAGCTGCTCATCGCGGGTAACTTATGTTGCTGCATGAAGGCATGCAGTGAAGCCTGAGGTTTAAAATGCAGATCCTAATGAGACGAGGCGAGGACATGCTGTTTTGAGAACAGATGGAGGGTTAGTACGAGGTCTAGTTTTTAAAGTTTACAGATCAGTTACCTGCCCCTTAACAACTTTGTCTTGCACCTGGGAGAAAACAGAAACCATGGCAAAACTCAAAAACCAATCCTGGATTTGATTCACTTTCTGGACTGATGTAACGTTTAAAGAAGGAAAAATCTGTTCAACATTAGTGCTCAAAGCTCAGCGGCCAAGACGAGTTTCTTCACCTCTGCAGTTCAGCTGTCAACTCTTCCTCAAACTTGCATGCCAGTCGAACCACAGTCTGCTCCTTCCACTGGGCCATGCTCCTCTGAACCTGTCGGAGCTCCAGGTCTTTGGCCTTCAGCTGTCTGCGCAGAGATGCTGCTACTCCTCCTCCTCCTCCCTCAGCTCCTCCATCACACATATGAGCCACATTCAGACTGCTCAACTCCTCGATGTGCTCCTGCAGAAACATATGAGGGTGTGTCACTGCTGTTTGTTTCATGTATGTGTTCCCCTGACATGAACCGCATGTTTACGTTCAAACCTGAATGAGGCGCTCCTTTAGACAGTCCATGGCCTGGTCCCTCTCCATCCTCAGCTGTTGTCTCTGTATGCTCAGTTCTCGCTCCTGCAACCATAGAAACATATCGGTATGTATTTGTGTGCTGTATTCGCAAACACCACCTCTCTCTGCAGTATGTACTCTGTGATACCTTTGCTCTTCTCAGCTGCTCGATGGTTTCTTTCTGTGTGTGGAGCTCCTGCTGCAGATGGTTAATCGTGTGCTTCAACTGCTCTCTTCGTTCTTTTAGGCTTTGAAGGGCCTCGGCTACTGTGGAGCTGTACAACGAGAAATATTACAGCCATAAACTCATGCTGCCTACACTGTCGATTTCTCTCTGATATATGATACGTATGTTAACCAAAGCAGGAAACTATACCCAGGAGATATTTCTGCAGAACTTTGTCTGGCTCCACTCTGCCTCACTAATAGGAGAAGATGTTGGCTCTCTGCTCGGAGCTCCTGGGCACAGTGCCTGAGCTGCTGATCCAGCTCAGCTGTGATTTCATGATGGCTGCTCTCCCTTTCTTTAAGCATCAGCCGATGCCTGTCAGCCTCCGCCTCTGCCAGCTGCACGGCCTGCTTGAACTGCTGTGCTGTCTTCTGGCTCTCCTGCGACCACAAACCAAACCATGTCAGCTTTTCTACAGCACCAAACCTCTTTATTTACCTGCAAATGATTTTTTTTTTCTTCTCGCACCTCTGCCATCTGCCTCTGCATCCTCTGCACCTTAGCCTGGTGCTCCTTTTTCAGTGATTTACAGGTTACTGCCAGCACAGACTCCTGCTTTCTCTGCAGTGTCTCCAGCTCTTGCACCCTCTCACAGATGAGCAGAAAGTCATGCACAGACAGAATGAAAATACACTAATGTGATGCTGTATCTCTGAGTGCATGCCACCTTACTGTTTTTAGCTCCAGCACTTGATGTTGAAGAGTTGCTGATTTGCACTTCTCTTGCTGGATCTCGCTCCTCATACTCTCCGCTCTCTTTCTGTTTTGCTCCTCCACAATCCCACAGTGAACCTGCACAGCTTCCACTTTTTCTGCCTCCCACTTCCTCCTCGCCTCCTCTAGTGCTTTATGCACCTGGAAATACACAGTGCAATTAATCTTAATGGAAAAATTAGGTTTATTTTCGTCTGTGAATAATCTGTGTACCTTTCCTAATGCTTCCAGTCGCAGCTCCTCTTCACGGTTTTTCTGCTGCTCCAGAGAATCCCTCAGTCTTCTCACCTCCTTTTCTTTTAGCTGCAGAAAGGAGGAAACTATCAATAAACTGCAAACCTGTGGACTGATTTTACTCACTGTATCGATCATATAGAGCCCAAAAATCTGGATCGGACTTAATTTGGTGTTTGAGAAAAACAGCTTGTTCTCTCAAAGTTTTGTCCCTCTCTGCTTCACTCTGCTCGTTTACCGGAGAACAAAACACAGAGCTACAATATTATTAAACTTTAATTTGCAGACATTTGTCACATTTAGGAGAGGCTGCACATGAACCACAGCCAAATCTGTCTCCTGCTGCTGAAACGCTGCCTCTTAGGTTGATTACTCACTTAGCCTATCAGTGGTTACTCGGTGTTACATCAGAATAATCCAGCCTTGTGAGCTTAAAAGCTAAGGAGGATCCAGTTTCCTTCAGTACTTACTGTCAGTCTGTGGACTTGTTCCTGTGCCTCTTTCAGAGCAGTGCAGTGTTGTGTTTGTAGGTCTTGTAGCTCCCCCTTCAGTCCATCCATCTCTGTTTTTAAGGTCCCACACTGCTCCTTTAAATCCACCAACTGGAGCTCCTTCTGAGTCAACATCCTCTCCAGGGTTCCCACTCTGATTCGACATTCTCCGAGGTCACCCTACACCAAAAAAGATAAAACACAATATATGTAGGGAGCCCAGAGACAGCCGATGTTGACAAAAAACAAAGATATTAATGATCCTCACCTCCATTTGATCCTTCTCCTGCTTTTGTTTCTCCTCCAGACAAGCACACCTGGCCCTCAGTAAACTCTCCACTTCTGTGGCTCTCTGGAGTTCCTCTCGAGTCTCCTCTAACTTCTGCTTAAAGATTAGGCGCAAACGAAAATGTCTTCATTTACAAAGAAACATTATCTTTTAAGAAAAAATACAAATATCTTCTCCTTTAATTAAACTGGAGACAGTACAGTTTTACATGAATGTTTAATTAATATCAACATAGTTTAAAGAGTTAATAGCCTTTCCACTTTAAAACACGTATGAAGACGCACCTGTTCACTTGAGCTTTGGGGGAAGTATAGCTACTTTTATTGGGTATTTTATTTACTTCTATGTTTATCTATATTGTTGTTTTATATTTTTATATGTTTTTATTGTTTTTATTGTTTCTGGCTATTTTACTGTAAAGCACTGTGGTAGGCCACTGGCTGTTTTTAAATGTGCTATATAAATAAAGCAGACATTGACATTATCAGCTGTGATACAATACTCAACAAATATCTAGAGTTATGGCTTTAAGAAAAATTCAATAGATATTTCACCTGCTGTTGACAGAATTATATATTATTAAATCCGCTTTTAAAACAGATAATTGTCATGATAATCACACAGACCTCCCTCCAACTCAACGCCGTCTTGCCCCCCCTCTGTTGTAGTGCAGGTACTGCAGGTATGGTTGTGCTCACTCCAGGATCGGTGCTGCGACGCCCTCCCTGACACCTGCCCTCCTCCCACATGTGCAAGCTCTCGAGTGTTTTTGTTGTAATGTCATTATTTTGCTCATGTGCTGAGGTGTATTTTTTTACTGATCCCACACTGTCCCTCCTATGGGAGCAGAGTTTGGAGTTGCTTTTTTCCCCTCTTCTTCCCTCCTGTTCTTCTTTTTCTCATCTAAGAAAGGGACGCCGGTCAGGCTGGCGATCCGACAGCTCTCCTGTTCCTGTCACCCTGTATGCATCTGTCTACTGTATGTTTCTTGTAAAGGATGAACTGTAAATAAGAATTTCCCCTTGTGGGACTAATAAAGGCTTATATTATCCTATCTTATCTTATCTGATTGATTTGATTTATTTGTTCCGTAGGGAGATTTGTCTTCACTGACAGTACATGGCACACCAACAATAAATGACATAAAGAACAACAATGATGACAAACTTAAACAACAACACAATGACATTAATAAATGATGTGAACACAGTACTTCTTGCATGGACTCTATCTTCTCTCTTGCACGTTTCTGTTCAGCGAACAGCTCTGCTTTGGCGCTATCCAGCTGTCTGTCCATCTCCTCCCTCTCCAGCACGGATATGAACACACTGGGCTGTTTGTGGAGCAGCAGACAAAAACTTACAATTAAAACAGAAGACGTTAAAACATGAGAATGACTGAGCACAGACATCTCCTGTGTCTCTTACCTCGGCGATACCAGACTGTCTCTGCCTCTGCAGCTCATGCAGCCGACCTCTGCAACACATGGTATGAATGTTTTATAGAGCTGTTCTTTGTTCAGTATGATGGTGATGCAGAGTGAAACAAGCGTGTAAATACAGACGTTTTTGTAAACAAGTTTAAGCAGGAGTTTGAATTTTATACCTTTTAAAGTCTTTCTCTGCTCTGTGGTCTCTCAGATCAAACTCCAGACTCCTCTTCTCCTTCTTCAGCTGCTCTAACTCCTGCAAGGCATGCTGGGACACACAATATACCATATACTGTGAATATTTCCATGCCTTTTATTCCTCCTAAGTTTTTTGGGTTGTCTGCTGTTCATGCTCCACTTTACCTTCCTTCTCGTTTGAATATCAGAGAAGGAGAGCTCAACATCTCTTAACTGAGTCTTCTTCCGCTTCAGTGTCTCCTCTTCTTTCTGACATCTCTAAACACATGAAAGAGGAGAATTTAGCCTCAAACCTACTTCTCAAACTTTATTCATAAGGTGCCGAAATTATAGGAGACTTTATTTTACCTGTTGGAGTGTGGAGAGCAGCTCTTTCATCCTGGCATAATCTGACTGCATCTTCTCTGACGTCCTGTGAGGCCTGCATCTCCTTCTCTGATGGTTGATTTCCTCGTCTGTGTCCTTGTCATTGTCATCAGAAGGACACGCAACTCTGTGATGGAGAAACATGAATAGTGTATAAGTATAAGACGGAGAGTCCCGATAGGCTGAATGAAAGTGGGCTTAAAATCAGAGAGAAGATGAAGAGAGTGTTTTTACCTCTGAACCTCTTTCTTGTCACGGTGAGGGATACAGGCGGAGGAACTTTGAATTATTCCATGTGATGATTTTTGATCTTGGTGAACAAAAAATGCACATTTTGTAATGATCAGAGATTAAATCACGGTTTATTCTTGCACTGCGGAGTTACTAAAGATTACACCCGCCTTACCTGATGAATGCAGAGGTTCACCGTCTTCCTGAGTGGGTGTGTCACAGTCACTCTGGTTGCTACTCAGACTATCCACATCCATGACAGACTGAATAAGAGAGTGAAATCCTGGGGAAAGAACATGTTAATAGTTTCTATATCTGGTTTGTCATTACAAGTCGACTTGTTTTCCTCCACTCTGTCCTCGGTCTCTCACCTGGTTGCCAGTGGATATGCTGTCTGACTTGTTCTGTGCTAACAGAGTCAAGGTCACAGTCAATGGACACTGTGTCAAAACTCCACACAGGTACCCCTACGACAAACACAATCAGACACTGTCAATAGAAAACGAATGTCTAACAGACTAGCTAATATCTGTTAGTGGATTCAGTGTAACCTGTGTATGTTACCTGCCAAGCGCTTCGTCTTAATGTGCTGCTCTGTTTCTCTTTCTGCATCTGATCTGTCAGAGACTGAAAAATAAACGTCAAATGAAAAGATTCTTAAAGAAATCAGACTTTTGGTGAAACAACGATGAGACTTTAAAAAAAAACTACAAACACACATTCAGGGCAAATTCAGTAAAGAGATAAGATGGGAAATCTTTTTCACAGGTCCCAGAGAGGTCGAATTGTAGCCTAGACAACTGGTCTAAAATCAGGCTACCACAGGTCTAAAAATGAAAGTTTATTAAACGTCTAAATTTAGACCAAGTTTAGACTAGCCGGCTAACAGAGGTCTAACTGTATATTGCTCAATGGCTATCATAATTTGGTTAAGTACTTGGAGATCAGTTATTCAACTCACAGTTGCTTTTTGAAATAAATAGTTATTGAATAATGGGTTGAAGTGCATCGTCTAAATTCTGTCTAAAATATACAGAATCTAGACGGTTGAAATTTGGTCTAAAAAAAGAGACTAGACGTCTAATACCCGTCTATTGTTCAGTGGGGTGGTTCAAACTCAAATTTTATTTTTTTTCTAAATTTGGTCATCAGGACTAAATGTCAAGTTTCTAAAAGAGGAGGAAAGGTCTTGTTGTTTGTAAAGACGGTACTCACTCGTCTTGTCTTTACCCAGCATCTGAGGTGTTTCGTATCTCTCTCCACCTCCTGCTCTGTCACAACAAGATCTATTTACTGCGTAGCTATCAGAGAGACCAGACTCCAGTTCCTGTCTTGAACGAGTCTTCTTTGACTCTGTTTTTGTGTCTTTATCATTCATCCCAGTTACAGTTTCTCCTCTATCAACACTGAAAACACTTCCTGGCTTTTGTTCGCTCTGAAAATCATCACAGTCTGATTTCTGTGTCCCCTCAGCCTCTTCTTCTCTGCACTGTTGCTGCGAATCACTCTCAAGTGCGAGCTCAACCATCTCGTCCCTGAAGCGCGTCACGAAGTCCTCGGTGCAGATGCTGTCTGAAGGAGGGTGGCTTTCTCCTGCCATCCCTTCATTATCGCAGGTGTCACCGAGCAGTTTCTCCAGCCTCCAGATTACCTGCTCCTTCCGGGACTCTCGTTCTTTTTTGTCTTGTGGTCGTCTGTCTAACATCTGTTCAACTTCCTCTGGAGTGACAAGATCCCCCTGACGGCCTGTGCTCCTCTCTATAGGAAGAGCAGAGAAGAGATAAAAGTGTTAAAAGTTAATTTAATAAAACAGTCTTAAAATCAAACAATAACAGAATGTAATTAAAAGAGGTAATAAAACACAAAAAAAGTTACTCTAGGACTGAAATTGGGTAAAATCACATAATGCAGATTAAAAGATTAAAACAAAATTCAACTAAAAGCCAGACTAAAATAATAGGTCTTGATTTTCCTTTAAAAATATGAACATTAGGATTCGCTCTCAGGTCTGCAGGTAGGCTGTTCCACAGATGGGGACCGTAATGTTGGAACAATGATTCACCATTAGTTTTAGTTTTTATTTTGTGAACAATTAAAAGACCACCACCTGAAGACCTGGGGGCCCTACCAGGATCATACGGGAAAAGCAAATCAGACAAATAGGAAGGACCAAGACCATTTAGAGCTTTAAAAACTAACAAAAGAACCTACTCTACTCTAAAACTATATTCTTTAAAATTATACTCTTAAAGCACATGGATCACTATGTCGACAGGAAACACCTGCTGCCTACCTGATGTTCGCTCCATTGTTTGAGAGTGTAGAAAACCGAGACGAGACATGGGAGAGTCATTCGTCTGAGTTGTACTTCCGAGGCCGGTGTCTTTGCTCAGAGATCGGCTCCAGCTGAGACAAGCTAGGAAACAGAAAATAAATTCAATCCTCTAAAAAAAGAAGATCATAATTGATTTACTGTGTGTAGGACATAAGTTACCTGGATCATTACAATCACAACTCTTGAAAATATCTTGGCATGTCTTGTGCTGGACCTGCTAGAAGTAAAGACATTACCTATTATCATCAATTCAGTTCATAATCATTAAAAAAAAATGTGATCAACAGACCTGCAGCTGACAAAGTTGAGCATCTATGGCATCTAGGAGGAGGTCACAGTGGTCCAGTTTGAGAGTTGGAGGATTCAGTACCATCTCATCACTGTTGACATTGAGATCTGTGGGTGCAGACAAACAGGCCAGTCAGAGTGAATACAAACTATCAAGGGACCAATATAAATGATGCAGATGTAATAATCATTAAACACTTGTACCCTTGTACAGTAGCTCCTCTGTGTCTCTCTGCTCTCCATCACTGTTGGTGTCGGTCATTTCCTGAGGCTGAGGAGAAATGTGCAGACATTCACCGTAAAGCAGTCTCTGGTTTGGTCAGGGCTGGCTGGGCGCTCATGAGAGTGGGGGGTTTATGTTGCTCAGTTGTCCAGGAGACCAGGACAGTTTAAGCTGTTAGCAAGTCAAACTGACTTCTTCTCAGGGGAGGGGGGTAATAAATTCCTGTGCCTTACTGTCTCTCCCCAAATCCTCAAAAACCAACAGGAAAACTAAACTTCTCCCACCACTTCAGACTGCAAAAAAATTAGATTTGACCAACAAGTCCAAAAGATAATGTTAGATATTTTACAGTCTCATTCTAAACAGGCTCATTTGTATACTTTCCCCAGTCATTAAGTCTTTACCATTATATTAATATTATTTGTTTTAAAAATGCATAGGGAGCAAAGTTATTGGTACAAGTAAAAAACACTGATAACTCGCAGACTCGCTTGTTTGTCCAGACTCAGACTCCAAAGGGATTTCGTTAGATTAGCTCAGTTATTAAAAGGCCCTAAATACCACATTTACCTCCTGAGTAATTCTAACATCGTCCTTATTAATTAAACAACACAGAACTTACCTCAAAGAGACAGCAGTAAGTTTTAAAGCCGATGCTGAACTTGAGTTTTCAGGGCAGAGTAACACAGTCGCTGCTGCTGTCCTCTGTCTTGATTGACAGGAGAGTCAGTTGGTCTCCCTGGTAACGGTAAAACAGCTCGTGGCCCACACAGGAAGTGAATTTCGGCGCGCTGAACGACAGTATTAGCGCCGAACTGTTAACTTTATAGCTTCATACAAAGTCAGGACTGGAGGGCATTGATAACTAACACTAATTTAGAATTTCCTGACACTGCTCCGAAATAAAAATCCAAACTCTTTCACTCTGTTTTTATTAATTCTTTCAACCTGTTTGCTTGAAGCGATTAGGCAGTTTGATTATCACGGTTTGATTACAGGAGGTGTGTAAGAGTCTTTGTATTGCTAAACTATCAGATGATGCAGCTCTGAAAGTCCATAATTGTTTGCACTTAAATTTCTGGTTATGTTAACACTGGCGCCTCCTGTGAAATTATGTTGCGTTACAGTTACCTCAGAAGTCGGATGTCGGAGCTGGGAATGATGTTACACCCGAGTTGACGGCATCCCAGTTAACAAGTCGGAAAACCAAGATGGACGCCCACAGTTACCTGTTGTTACCTGTTGTATACAATTGCCAGCTGTCATTAGCCGTTGTCAGTTGTTGTCAGCGATACCAGTTGTAAACAACGCACAACACAGTATTTTATTCTTACAAACACCAAAGCATCGTGTTCACAGTTAGACGTTAGGCAGTACAACATATACCACTTATTTAATTTCACAAAAACAAAACACAAGTGCTAATAAATAATAAATTACGAGAGCTTTCCCTGTTACTCTTTATTGTCGATGCACTGCACTGCCATCTTGAATTATAAAGTTGTCAAGTTGGGGTTGGTGAGGATCGTCCGACTTAAGGGGGGGGGGGGGGCCCCCCCCATTCCAGATAAACTCGGAAATCCCCACTTCCGAGTACAACTGGAACACAGCAAAACTCCTCTGATCTTTTGCTCGATACATATGATTAGTGTTTTCACAAAAAAAGAAGCCATGTACAGTTTTTTTGTGTAAAAAGTAACAAAAAAAGCTGTTTTTTCCCCAGCCTGCTGTCAATCAGCATTTAACCATCAAAAATTATATTTTTGATTATATATATTTTGATTATATATTTTGATGAAACATATTATGCTGCATTCAAGTTACCTCAGAAGTCGGAGCTACCAGTTACCAGCGTCTCAAGATGGCTACATTTATGAAAGTTATTTTAGCGCTTGTCTTATATTCGGACAAGGCAAGTGCTAAAATAACTATCGTAGATGTAGCCATCCTGTTTCAGGCCTCTGATTTTGCTTTTTTCCGACTTGGTAACTAAAACGCCTGTAACTTGGGTGTGACGTCAATTTCAGATCCGTCATCTGACTTCTGAGGTAACTGAAATGCAGCATTAGACTTGTTGCTGATGGTGTCATTTGTTTTTGAAGGTCATAAAGAGGCATAAGTATCATTTTCTGTTTTTCGACCAGTAAAAAAACTCCTAACAGTGCCTTTAAAATTGCCTATTGTCAAATACAGGAAATTAAACCTATCCAGCTGTTGCAAAGAGAGGAAATAAAGCAGACAGATATCCAGTGTCAACAATAACAGCTTTATTATCTTCTTTTTTCAGTATTATGTCTTTGCTGTTTAAAGACAATGTTATGCAAGTATAAATTAAGGGAGAAAATACACAATTTAGAAAAAAAGAAGCAAAACCTCAGTTAAATCCGCAGTAACACCTGAATACACCAACGTGTGTTTTGGGAGTAAAAGTTGTCAAGGCAGGTCAGTCACCTTTGACCTTCTGTACCAGGCCGCTGTTGTGATGTGTCTTAAAATTTTTAACATCCTGTTCATAAATATCGCCGCTGTGTCTCCGCAAAGCTGCGAGTCACAGTCCAAGGAGAAGTAAGGTTCAGTTAAAACAAGGCAAGACAAGTCTCCCCATCGTCATTAGTTCACTTCTTCAAAACTGAGCAGCATCAAATGAGGAGGAAATGTGCGCTGCAGACGCACACAAATCAAGCTCATTATGCGTACAAACAGTATGAAAACACCAACATAAGAATAATGGCACCCGTGAGAAGAAGATAGAAGTCAGAACAGAGAAATAAAAAGCATAAAAATTAAAGCTAAAAACACCCCGTAGAAGAGTTAGGTGAAATGAAATGACCTAAACGATGAGAGGGGATTTACATTACGACCCTCTGAGATAGGGAAGGCAGACGAAGAGGTTTGTTGAGTCTACAGTACACTCTCCACGTACACTTTGGTTGTTTTTTTTTTCCCTTTCTGCAGGAGGCCGAAAAACTGTTCTGTTTGAAGAAACAATGACCATGAAATCACAAATCTACGCCTCACTGCATTATTGCTACAGCTGTCGGAAAACTGTACAGGTTCACCTCACCAGGGCAACTTCAGTCACCATCAGGTACTGAGGTTACTTTATTTGGAAATACATTGATTTGAACATATGATGAGCTCTCCTCTGTCATTCAAAATATAACACGTATTTTCAAATATAAAATCATCTCATGAACAATATATTAAAGTAAATCTCTAGTAACTTCAAATTGATTGCTGAGAAAAGAACTCTATACAATTTTTCACCACCGTTTGGCAGTGAATGATCAGTGTTCTTTCAGACCCCGTTACTGTGCACAACGATACAGGACGACCTGCAAACTGACACTATAGAGACAGAATAAATGTATCATCTCGCTGTATCTGGTTCATCCTCATATCTGACTTACTTCAGAGGGTTTTTGAGTGATTACAACCCATATTTACAACGTGTATCTGTGTGCAAGACAACTGTATCTATGAAGGGGATGGAAAAGAGGGGAAGCGCAGGAGTATTCCAGTGAGAGCAGTAGATTAGATTAGATTAGAGATTAGATACAACTTTATTTATCCTTCTGGGAAGGTTCCCTCAAGGAAATGAAGTTTGACATTTTGGATTCACACTTGCCAAAAGTTATCTGAAGACTGGTATCACTCTCGTGTGATCCACATGATGCTGAAGCTCGTAGCCTGTCAGTGTAGCTCAGCTTCAAGACTGGAAACACTGAGAAACAGAGAGCCTGGTTATGTCCAAGGGTTAAACAAAACACCAACACCTCTTTAAGGCTAATAACTTAACACACACACGTCTTGTTTGTGTCAGTTAATAGACTTTGTGTGCAAGATTATTTCTTGTTAAAGCATAGATTTCCCCCCTAAATTAAAATATCAAGATGTTACGTGTTAATGAACCTTAGAGGTGTTAATAAAGAGGGTTTAATATGTTTGGACAGAGCCAGGGTGACTGTTTCTGTTTGTTATCAGGCTTCTGACTCCAGCTTCATAATAACAACCCTATCAGAGGGGGATGGATTTACTCGTTTGAGGGTATATTTCCCTAAATGTTGAATCTGTCCTTTGGCAATCTACACAAAGAAATCAGTGACTGATCAAAATGTGCCCTCGACTAAAAAAACGCATCGTAACTTTTTATGTAAACAAGTAGAAGAAAGAAGCTCTTTGTGGCGGAAAAGCATAGAGTATCACCTTTATAATGATGATTTCTGTCTCTTTTAGTGTTTGTAGTCTTTATGAAGGAACTGAAATCCTCACTGAATCACGAGTACAGATATGCTAGCATCAAGAACACTACAAAAATATTTTCTGTGTATTTTTTGGGGGGAGAAGAAGAAGAAACCCGCAGTCACAGATTTGCCTCAGATTTAACATCCATCTATGCAGAATCAATCTGGATGATCAGAACATCCTTCAAGCTCACTCAGATTTAGTTTCCAGATTTAAACTTTGCTGTACAGATAACTTAATACTCAGATTAGTATATTATTCTTCAATTTACAATATCATTCATTTATCACAAAATATTCACACAAATAAACGAGGTGGTGGATACAATACCTCCAGCCCTGAATTCTACATTCCTAACAGTAATTACAAAAAAATACTAACTGGTTTTCTCGAAACTCTTGTCACTGGAGACGTGTAGTGCACAGGTCAGGGGACGTTCCCTTGTTCAGTCAGTTAAAGGCAAAAGACCGAGGGGGGTTCCTTCGTGAGCTGATCCCAGATCAGCTTGTTCACAATGACTGAATGAAAGGACAACACATGTGGGCTGTATGAAGACTCGAGCTCCTCTGTGTCTGCACCTGAATGCACAGTGGTGAGCGGTGACAGGAACCAGCCCTGTCTGCTTCCATTAACCTCTGAGCTCTTGTCAGCTGGAGACACGCAGGACTCCGAAAAAAACAGCCCCAGCCTCACGTCACGTCCTGCTGGAAATGTCTGAGCTACAAACTAGCGACTGTTGGAGGCTGTGGAGCTGGTGAGATGCAGGTCAGTGGGTTCACTGGGTTGTTATCACTCAGTTTCTCAGCGGTTTGGTGCTTTGTATGGTCACTGAGAATGGTGTCACTGGAAGTAGTGAGTGAGGATCCAGTATGTGTTGCTATGGGAGAGCACCAGAGGAGAAGGTAAAGAACACCTAGAGAGGGGAAATCTGTCACCATGAGAAGAGAGATATGCACTAACATTGACACTATTTCAAAAGTGATATGAGTGTTCATCGTTGGACTGCTGCGTTACACTAATGTGTTACAACTAAAGGTCTAATAACAGCAGAGTTTCACTATTCAGAATCACAAATGGAAAATGTCTGAACAACTTCTGGATGAAAATGCATCGAAGCATAGAGAGGTAATATATATTAAAAACCTTTTCTACACGGACTATCGTCTAGCTGACTTTAAATTTTCATGTACCTAAAGGGAAACATCAACATTCACACTTTACAAAATATACTTCTGCACGGCCGCAGAGTTCATCTGTTCAAATAAAACCAGCCTTCTCTGCTGAAGATCGAGGTGCTTTGCCTTTTAAAATAGAAGCTGCTCGTCGTGGAGACCCAAAGTTTTCAAAAATAATATGAGACACCGTGTGGTAAACAATGATGTTGATACATGCAGACAATAAAACGAAGCATTAAAATTGGATCATTAGTATCAAATGTTATTTCTCCTTTTAATTTCTTCATTGATGAAGTTTATCGCAGACTAGTTGTATTTCTTTCTGCAGTTTATTCACTTTTTTTGTATATAATTTGTACGTTTTTTGGCCTTTATTGACAGATAAAGGAGAGTGGATACAGCAGGGAAGAGGCCACAGGTTGGAATCAGCCTGTCCTGGACTGGCGCCCCTTTCTGCAGTTTATCTTACAAGCTGTTATGTTGGAAAAACACACGCGTAACTTCCCTACTTTTGATTTAAAGACAGTAACTTTGAAATGAAATGAGAAATAACATTTAAAGGTAATAAAACAAAAGCAACAAAAAAAATCAGAGTTTAAGATGCGTTTTTTGTCTGCCGATATTAACCAGTGTTCTCCGTTCAGGAGGTCTCATTGATTGAATTTACTTTGAACACTTTGGATCTAGTCGACTTTTTAATTAGACATGACTGTGCTAAAACTATTTTTTCAGGCCTCTTTCTTTAGCAGCTAAAAAGGGCAAACCATAAGCACTTGAAATAGTCGGCCAGAATAAAAAAAACAAACAGATCCAACTGAAGACTGACAAAGTGCGGCGAGCGTAATCTCAACTGTGCTGAATCGAATGAAGGGCGCGGACTCTTCCTTTGTTTTGTCTGCCCCTGTTGGCTGTCAGAAGATAATCTGGAGCTAAAATGGGTTCCTGTCCAATCTGTAAAACTCAAATCATGGGGGTGGACGCAGAAAAGTGCATTGTGGGTAAGATTTAGAAAGCACCTGATTTCAGGCTGTGCAGGTGCCTTTATAGATGGGTGCTACAAGTCCAGCACCACCTTTCATTTATACAGTATCTAACTTCTGTTTCAGTAAAGTGTCAAAGAGGTCTACAGAGGAAACACTCTGTCATTTTCTCCACAGTAACAACAGAATGAGAGTGCACATTTGGAGGTACAGTGTAATCCGAGAGAGTGTCAATCAAACACGCTCTCGTGCTCATAAAAGGTCCACAAGGTGCTCGAATCCCGCTACGCCCCGGTGCTTAAGGAGCAGAGGCAGAGCAGTTCCCTGTCCGATGAGGTTAGGTGTGATCTGGGTGAGTTCCTGGGTTAGAAGATATCAGGACACATGCTCCAGTCCTGTCTCTCCTTTGACTCCCAGTAACCTCCCTTGTACACAAAGTTTGTCTCTCCAGTGACTGAGTCTCTCCTCTGATGAAACCACAGGGGTTGGTAGCCTTCGTATTCTCTACCTGTGGGGAGAAGCATCGCTGTAACTCAGTCGCTCTCGCTGAAACACACACTCTGGTGGAGAAGCCACGCAAGCAGGCAAATCACTGAGTGATCAATTTCATACATACTATAAATATATGTATGGGACGCAATTTATCACTGTGCACTACATTTGGGATGGCTCAAAATGTGAACAGAGTTTGTACAGTGGTGAACAAGTTCAACTCAAAGAGTGTCGTTAAAACCTGGACTGGAAATTTTGATCCAAAGACTGGGACCTCTCGAATGAATAAATCTAGAAACTTTGTCCAAAACAGGGAGAAACTGCAGTTTTGTAGCAGTTATCTAGACCCAGTAAATTTAACATTGTGATGTTCCCCCTAGGGCTGGGCGATAAACAGAAAATTCACTAATACCGAAATTTACGACAATAACGTCATTTTTCCCATGTCAAAATATTTGGTGTCAAACAGTGTTGCCAACCTAACGACTCTGATTTAGCGACTTTTCAGACCGCCCTAGCAACTTATTTTCAAAAAAGCACCTAGTGACAAATTTAGCGACTTTTTCTGGAGTTTAGAGACACCAACACAAACGCAGGAGTAGATGTTATTCTTCTCAACGGAAGCCAGTGTGCTTCAAAAACACAGACACAGATGCTTCGACACCCCGTGGAAGACTCCTTCCTCCTCCTCCTCGCGATGATGTCATCTAGCGACTTTTAGCGACTTTTACAACAGCCACTAACGACTTTCCTTTCTGAGGAGTTGGCAATACTGGTGTCAAAAAATAAATAAATCAAAGTTGGTTTTGGATGTGTGTAGGTAGCAAAGACTGTATATAGAATGGACGCCGTCTGCCTCCTCGCTGGGAGAAGCCACTCCGAGAACAGCACCCTCTGGTGACAGGCTGCAGTATTGTTGGTTTCAGAAAATGGAGAAAGATCATGGAAATACCGAGAGCTTTTTGGCTTCACATCCATATACTGTCGGGAGGCGGAACCAAGTTGTCCATAGTGTATACAGCCTACGGTAGGTAGGCTATGGTCTCATGTCTCTTTAAGATGCTGTCCTACGACAGAGACGTGACTCCGCCCCATCCAGTCAGTAACAAAGAGGTAAAGACAGGTGAGGAGATGGAGGACGGTTCAAAAGTTGTAGCGGCTGAAGTAGACGAAGTTAATGTGGGAGGGGGTGAGCAGCTTGTGGAGTAGTTATCGTCCATTTATCATTATCGAGGTGAACTATATATCGTGATATTAATTTGAGACCATATCGCCCAGCCCTAGTTCCCTCCATAAAACATGAAGTGAAGAACTGTATATGGTTGAACTCTATGGAGCTGAACATGTGGAAACTACTCTATTGTCAGACAGTGTCCACAAATGTGCGCACAAGCAGTCCAATAGAGAAGATGAGAGTGCAAACGATTCACCTGCTAGTGAGGCTTCACCACGGCACACTTAGAAAACACTCGGGTAAATATAGAGTTGTAACTGTTGTGTTTTTACTTATTGAAGCCAATTCTGCATGAAAATGTCACGTGTAAGTAAGCAGGAAAACGTCTCTTTTTTCCTGAGTCATTATCATGAGGGGATATCATGCAGTTCCCACATTGAGGCAGAACACAGAGGACACAAAAGATGGGGGGATATATGTGTGCGTGTGTCTGTGTCTGTGTGTGTGCATGTATGTTTGTGTGTGCATGTGGGAGTGATGTACAACAGAGGGGCACAGAGCAACCCCCACTCACCAGAGTCATAATCACACTCTGACAACCAATAGAGGGAGGAAAAGAAAGACAAGTCATGGGTACATTCAAAACAGTCTAGCCTACACACAACACACACAAACACACACGTACACACTGATCTACCACCAGGATGAAACGAAGGTAAATCTGTTCGTGTGATACTTTTATTTTTGTGATCAAGAAACTTAAAAATCGTTTAACTTAGTTATAGCTGCTCCGCTCTTTTCAGTCATTACGCTGAGGTTTTTGTATTTTTCCCAACAATAATTCTCTGTGAACTTCTCTAATGTCAAATTTTAAAGACCGCAGCCAAACATAATTACCTGCTTGAGTACATCTGAAGGGACGAGAACAAGAAGATTCTTGGGGTTATTTTCTTATTTTAAGTTTTTATGAGACTGTTATAATCTTAAACACAGAAACTCTACTGGGAGTCGACTGGATAGTCAAAAAATGCTGGAAAGAAAACACTTGATCATCCTTGCAAAAATCATTAAAAGTTTACCCAAATGATTAAAACTGCTTATTTTGTTATAAAGGCACCACAATGCGAAATCTTTGGCTGTCGCCCAAAAAACTTCCAGCTCAGTGATTGGATTTTTTTTCCTCAGGGTTATAATTAATTCTCTCTTTGCACCGAGCTTCTGATCTTTGGCTTTTGTGAAAAAACAGGTATTTCCTGATTCAGTGGCTTCTCTATCGAGCTGATTATTTCATTTCATGCTCTAACTTCACCTTACCTTGCTGAAGTAGAAAATTAATGGGACTTTTTAGTGAAGCAGCCCGGATCGCCCTTCCAAAAAAACCTAAGCTCTTTTCCTCATGCCCTCTTTCTTTATCCCTTTTCTTTTTAAACATCTGCCTATCAGTCACATCACCTCCTGCTTTTTACTTCATACCTTCATCCAGAGCGTCTGAGGCCTCTGCTTCCCTCCTCCTCCTCACAGCTCTCTGTTTTTCCTCCAGCCTCTGTTTCTCTGAGTTTGCTTCATCCCATCGGCCGTCTTCCATCAGCCTCTGGTCTGGTCTGAGTCGGCTGTCGGTCATCCCCACTCCTTCCTCCGTCTCGTTCAGGGTCAGTGCCAGCGCGGAGAAATAGTACATGTTCTCAGCGTTTTCTCTGAGAAATTAAGAGAAAATTGACCAAAGTTAAGACAGATTGCTGAAACTTGACGACGACTTCTTCAAAATATGCAAAGCTGATGAGAGAAGCGCCTACGGGAGAGGGTATTTCTTCCACAGCAGTTTGGGGGACAAAGTCTGATAGACGGTCTTCTGTTTGCCCTCAGATCCGCTGCCCCCTCTGCTGCTCTGAACGATTTTGGCACTCTCTATTTTATCATCCCATGTACCGGAGAGGATGTAATGAGCATGTCCACCACTGTCAGCCACCACACCTGTCACCTTGAATGAGTAAAGAAAAGCAGGAAAAGGATTTATTGTGCCTCAGTTGAAAGCACTGAGCTCCACATTTACATTATCAGCAAAACAGGCTACTCGACTGCAATGTCACCTCATACGATTGGTTTATCTGTGAGTGCTGTCCAGTAGGAGGCAGCATTACACAAATGAACCCCTCGTCAAATGACGTCATGTCAAGGTCAGGTGCTCACAGAGTGTTCAGGTGTTTACCTTCCGTGGAACGTCTCTGGAGAAATAACTGTAGGGAGAGAACTTGAGTTGGCAGGTCTCCTTTGTCCTGTGATTCACGATCTCAATGTCCCCAGACTGCACAAGTGACAACAAAGAGAGACAGAGTGAGGGGCGAACACACAGACACGACGACGACAGCGTACTGAAGATATTCACTTGGGTTATTTCACAGTGTGTTACAGCACAGACGGTATCCAGAGGTGAAAATTGCAAGTAGTTTGAGATTAAAATAAAATGTGGTCTCATTTTTTCCTTTTTTTGTTCACTCTAATGTCTCATATTTGTGTCCTTTGTTTTATCTTACAGCCATTGTGTTTGTATTTATAGAAGCAGATATTGCAAAAAAGTTGTGTCCTTAGTTTTGTACAGAGTTTTCTAGCTGATCCTCTCCTGCAGCAGAGGGCAGCAGAGAGGCAAAGTCATGCATGGGGATGGTGGGATAAGGGAAAAGGGCTGAATGGAAACAACAAATGAGGCTTAAATGGACTAACTGAACTTTGAGACAGTCTGCATCAATGTAAAGGTTGACTTCCTAGAGGTGTATTTCTACTTTTTTATCAACAATTTTTTTTAAATTTGGTTTTATTTATGATTTATGATATCAAAAAGGTAACCACAATAGAAAATCAAAAAACAGGTGAAGGTTTAAAGCATCAAGGAGAAGATTTTGGCAGAAAATGCTTTGGAAACGTACACCTAAGAGGACGTTACATCAAACAAAATACTAAAAGTAATAAAACAAAGCTCCACAGGTTACCTTCATTGTAAACAAGAACATGATAAATACCTTTACTGTTAATAGACACTGCCAACCTATTAAACTGGAGCTAATATTCCCCTGTTTGGCTGCAAGCGAGATTTTCCACATCGATGTGCTTCTGAGAAAAATAACTGAGAGCTGCGAGTGAATCTGACTTATCCTTACAGACAAACACAAACACACAATTACAAACAGGACAGGCTGCTGTAACACATCCAATACAGATGATGTGTGTAATGTTCAGACACATCTCTGCTCTGACTGACATGCAGATGTGGATCTGCCTCCTCCCCCGTATATCTGGGCCATCTCGGAGGAGGAAGAGGCTGTTATTTTAGGGTGTTATTAGAGATCAAAGCTATAGATAAATCCCCAGAGATTGTGGAGCTCCTTATTCATGTGCTGTAAGGCTTTGCAGCGATTCTGTTCCTCACATCTTTCTGCTCAGCAGCTCTGTCCTACACACCAGGAAATAATCTATAGACGACTATGGGAGGTTTAGTCTGGAAACTGGGAGGGGTTGTTAGAAGGACAGACAAATAAAAACCAACCTGGTCAATCCACAGCTTGCCGACAATGATGTTGTGCACTGTGGAGGTGACTTTTCTCCACACGTAGTGGTTACCGGTGTTGTGGAACTGCAGGTGAATGGCACCTGAAGAGGAACATGGTACAAAAGATTCTTAGAGGGAAGAAATATGACAGCTGCTTTCATTAGGATCAGACCTGAAGGGGTTCTGATTTTGCATTTTGATTTTATGATTCTATATCCGTTTATGGAGGAGGTCAATTCTACCAACTGCAGCCTGATCGCACCTTTTTGCAATAGTGACTTAACCCCAGAGGAAATTACAGATGCTCGTTTGACTATAAATGTTTCTACTTTAGAGGTTTTTTTTAAATTACAAGACATCTAACAGCAAGAATGTATAAAATGGGCAGTTTAGAAAAATCAAGACAGTATCATGGCTTAACCTCCATCCCTTGAATTGCTCATCAATCTGAGCCAACAGAGCCCTTCCCTCTGCCATCCAAGAGCAATTGAGAGCTTCCTTTAAGCCAATACTTTATGTGCGTGTCAAAAGGGTCATAAAATCCTCCTGATTCATTCTCCCACAATCTCTTCCAGCTTTATATTGTGTTCAGGGCAGGGCTATCTTTTCCCTCTTTCTCAAGCGGGAGTCTTTCTACCCTGTGTGGCTTTAAATTTGAAAAGTTTTCAATTTGAGGGAAACTTTATTCACATATTTGATTGTTTGACTTTCCAGGGACGATAAAATGTCTTACCCAGAGGCATTATGGAGAGGTATTTGCCGCGAAACTTGCTGGCAATGGTGATTTCCTGCCACAGGGTCCAGCCTCGTTGGGAAATCACATGATGTGCGGCTGCAGGGGGGTGATGACTTACCTTAAGGAACATAAAAATGTGTAAACAGACTAAAAGTGTACAAACAAAAATCTGCAGATAGGCGCGCTGTTACCTGCTCACACAGCGAACGGTAGCCAAACTCTTCCAGGCGGTCGAGCTCGTAAGTCTCGCCCAGTAGAGGGTTGAAGGGCTTGGCTGTCCGGTGGACTGTGGTGGAATATGAGGAGACGGAGAAGGCGGCGACCAGGCACATCTGCTCCAGGGAGGAGTCGCAGCGCGCCGCCTTGTCTAGTAGTTCATGATACTCAAGATCCTCAGTGAGGCGCTGTAGCATTGAGAGCGGCTCGTTGAAGTTTACCTGAACAAGAAGATTAAAAAAGGTGTGAGACATAAATCTTTAGTCTGGTTTAACCTCTTATCATGTCTCAAACACTTACAGGCATTGGAATTTTCGAGAGCTCCTTGCCGATGCAATTCTTCATGATGCTCCACAAATTAAGGGAGTAGTTGGGCTTATCCGGGACATGAGTCCGCCTCTGTCTGCGGGGCTGTAGCTCCTTCCCGCACACGTCATTGTAACTGGGAGACATCTAGGATCAGGTGGAATGAGAGGAGGAAGAGAAGATGCTTTTTCAACGTTGAACTTTTGAAGATGAATGTTTCATACATTCACGATTGAGTAAAACTTTATGGACAGCTTGGAGTTCGACCATCAAGTGAAGGCAGAGAAACAGAGCAGGTGAAAGACTGCGAGAGACGGTAGAGGAGACACAGATGTGAGTTAAAGGAGAAGAAGGAGCCGTGGAGAGTTGGAGAGAGACAAGAGCAGATGCTTGACTGGTAATTAAGATTTATATGAATGTAGCAGCTGCGCGTCTGTGGCACCACAGGGATGACAAGCTCACACAAAAACCTGTGCGCGCCAGATTTGCAAGGTACGAGAGGGGGAACTGTGAGAACAAAAAACTGAAGACTATTATGCAAATAAATCGATGAGCTGTGAGCTCCGAAGCTGAACAAATGGATGTATAAAAAGATGACAAAAGTCAGCTGTGTTCACAAATGTCAGTCCTGTTAGTCAGGCTTGTTAGGGGGGACAGAGGCTTACATGGTTGTCCTGGTTCCAGTCGCTGGATTGACCTCCACTCGCTCCACTCAAATTACTTTGGGATCGCCTGGAACATAATGAAAACATTTACTGCAATGAGACGCAATCTCTCCCTCTCGCTCTCATTTCTCACTTGCACACTAATCCAATACAAACACAATGCACACAAAGGGGAAGCCAGATTGCTGGATGTTAAAACTGAATGCTGTTGAACAATTTCTGTTAAACCAAATGGTTCCACTGGAGTTAAAGAATGGACAAGAGGCAAGAGATAAGCCGAAACAACGACGAGGAAAAGGCTCAAAGGTACTCAAGCTGTTTTGGAAAAATAAAGATCAGAATTAAATCTGGAACACTGAGTGGAGACACAAACAAAAGACACAGTCATACTCAGAGGACAGAAGTGTTACGTTACTGTGCTGAATGAGAGGTTTTATTCCTGCTGGAGGGAAGATCAACATTTTGATAAAAACAACCGAACCTTCATCTGGATCTCTGCCGGTGACTGACCTGTGCTGTGTGCTCTCAGTGGCAGTCACTGTGATGAATGCAGGGGAATCCTCCATGGCATCAAAGTATTCAGTATCCTCATCATCACTCGCTTCCTCCTTTAACAGCCTCTCACTCCCCTCTGTCAGGACATGTACATTAGACGGTAATTGCTAACAGAGTTTCAAGAGCCGCAGAACCATCACATGAGCGTTAGATTGTTTTTAAGCGGAGTTTAAGAGAGGGTGGCCTTTAATCACAGACCCATGGCAATTAATCAAGGAATAATCAGCTTAGTAAAATTGGCAATGTTCCTTCTCGTTAAGTAGCCTGACTGATGCGAGTCCCTCAGAGTGGTCTTCTGATATTCTGTTTATATTTAGCATGGTCTGCGTTACATAATGTGTGTATCCTGAAGTGCCTGTGAAGATTTTTTTGACACTGAAATTATATTAATTTATTTTTATGATAAACAACACCGTTAGCATCAACACTAACTGTTTTTTTATTGCCATGGTGTGAGGGAATGGGTTTCAGCAAAGGAGCTTTAGAGACAGTCCTGTTTTTACAATTTCAACTTAAAAAATTTATAACAAAATCTACATGTGACTTTAAAAAGTCAGCAGGATGACATGTTTGGTCAAGAGATACCAAGTTAGGCATCTATATTATGTGAAAGACATACAAAATGGACACAAACTGGGAGTTATTTTAAAGGCACGTAAGTCATCAGTAGACCAACGAGAAAATAACTCCATGCATGTAGAGTTAGAGGGAAAAGACCACAAGACCTGCAGTCCTTAATAAAGACCATTACCATCCCTTACTAAGCATTAATCTATTTCCAACCTTCTCAAAAAACATACAGTTTTCTTCCTCCGCACAAGGAATGTCTGTAATGAGAGCCTGAGGTCCCACATGACTTTTATTAAGTAAAGTTGGATTCCCACTGAAACCCACAGGAGTTAGAAGCATGCACACAGACAGTCTCACCCTTGTTGATGGTAGGAGCAATGGGTGTGGTGGAGGCAAGCGTGGGTGCTTCTCTCCACGCTCGCTCCAGGCTGTTGTGCTGCTTGGCTAGCTGCTCAATGGTCTCCTCTAGGTGAGTGCGCTGCTCTCGCTCATACTGCAGCGCCCGCTGCCATCTCCTGCTGTGAGTCTCTGCTAGGTCCAAAAAGTCTCGACAAGCCTGGAGGAAGAAGTGTACATGAGTGTGTAACCATGTAGACAGCACAGAAAGTTCAGCTGAGTTCCTCTTCACCTGCTGTTACTAACAGATTAAAGTTGTGGATAGGGCTGGGCGATATAGGAAAAAGTTTATCACAGTATATATTTTTTTCATATCATTCAATTTGATATATATCACAATATAAAAATGAACTTTATCAGTGCTTATTGGTAACATGTCTTTTGCAACACAACAAGCTACTGCATCTGTAAGGTCTTTGTGTCTCTTTGACGTTTCTGTCGTAAGGCGTTGCGCTGTTAAAGTGCTGTGGTTGCGTGTAGCTGCAGCCTGCTACTACACAGTTGTTTGCTACTTGGTTCTAATTCAGCACATGATTGGTTCAGCGTGAAGTTGACCCAGAGAAACTCCCCTTTTTCATTGGCTATGGCAGAATGCCAACAACCGAAAAGCATATTGACCATGTTTTATATTGATATTGAGGGAAATTAATTTTCAATATATACGGTTATCGTTTTATCGCCCAGCCCTAGCTGTGCAGAATAAACTGTAGAAACTGTAGAAGACCTTCAAATTGTTTTAACTTCAATCACATCATGTGGATTTTCAAAGTGGGACTCTTCCAACTTGATCAAATTTAATTGATAACACCAAAAAGATCAGGAAATCTCGTCCTCTGTCAGTTTCAACTCTGAGAAAGTTAAATCTGGGATGGGAATAAGTTAAAAGTTTTAATGTTACTTATCGTAATCAAGCCTATTTATCATGTTTGTTTCATGCAGCCATCAATCCTTGATTACAGTCCTCCTGCTGTGTCAAATGTGCCTCAGAGCAAAACGTGGAAAACATCAGTGAGTGATGAACTTGGTTAAACCCCTCTGCGGAAACTAAGCAGGCACTTCATTCGAGTCAAGAGGGGGCATCATTGTTTTCATCTTGATTTTACAACTCAATCAAAGAGGTTACTTTAGATCAATTACATACATCACGTCAGCACCACATCATATGTCTAACGGCCTTGCATCATAATAAGCTCAAAGGTCAATGAACCTGAATAACACATCACAGCTGACACTGTGCATGCTGACAGTGTCATGTGATGACTATTGAACAGTCAGCATAGCGCGCCTCTTAAAACATTCCCTGAATAATCATTCAAGTATACTCCACACAACGGAGAATATAATGAGGAGGTTCATTAGGGCCCACTCAGCGTTTACAGCAGAGAGCTCAGAGCTGCTGAGAATCCGCTTCAAGGACGACTGGGTCACTCAGATTAAAAAAAAACGGCCATTTTCTGTCAGGTGGATGAGTGAGTCAGTTTCGTTTTAAAGCAGCAGGAACAGAAACAGAGATGCAGTGAGACCTCACTCTCTCAGAGACAGGTCCAGAAAGCAGGATTTGGTGGACTCTAGGTATCATGTTCCTCAGCTTCAGGTCTAAGTTTCTCTATTTCTTTCACACAAATAGTCCAGAAAGCTATTAATTACAAACACATGATAACATTATGAACAAATACTACTTATTCATTTATAATTTTGGAAAATATCAAATTTACATATCCTGCCTAAACAGAAGAAGCTTTGACTTTCTATTATAGTAGGGCTGGGCGATATGGCTTCAAATTGATATCACGATATATTGAGCAGGTTAACTCGATTACAATAAATGGACAATAACTACTCCACAAGCTGCTCACCCCCTCCCACATTAACTTCATTCACATGTTTTATCTGAATAGTTATTAGCCAAAGATGCTGTTTGTATCAGTTTTTCACAAATTAGTGAAAACAGTCATAATCCACGCGCACATAAAGAAAGTGTTTGGTTTTAATTTATGATCTTGGAGCTAGGGCTGGGCAATATGGCGTCAAATAAATATCATTGATCAGTTCACCTCGATAACGATAAATGGACGATAACTACTCCACAAGCTGCTCACCCCCTCCCACATTAACTTTGTCTACTTAAGCCGTCGCTACAACTTTTGAACCGTCCTCCATCCCCTCACCTGTCTTTCCCTCTTTGTTGGAGTCACGTCTAGGACAGCGATGTAGGACGGCGTCATAAAGGGACATGAGACCATAACCTACCTACACACATCCAAAACCAACTTTCATATATTTATTTTTGACACCTAATATATTGACATGGGCAAAATGACATCAGATATTATCGGAAATTTTGGTATCGTTAAATTTTCAGTTCATCGCCCAGCCCTATATTACATTATGCATAATTTTTATTCTGTTGTTACTTAGAAAACCAAACATAATCAAACAATTCTAATGTCTAGAAATTTATATTTAATAATTGACTGTCAAGTAAGATATGGACACAATTTTATAATATATTATCCATGATATATATTTACATACACTGTGAACAAAGATTACATTTAAACAGCTTCATGTAAAAAGACCATGAATGAAATCACAGATGATAAAAACGACCTATCAGTCTCTTACCTGGAGCAGTTTTCCATCAAGTGTCTAAACATCAGTGTCTGAGCCTTACTTTAAATGTTAGAGCGACATATGACGTTGGTCCACTTCCTCAGGAAGAATCACGATATGAAACTCGACACCCACTCAAAAAGTATAATGGTTCCACTTTTTTGTGCTGAATAGTTATTAGCCAAAGATGCTGTTTGTCTCAGTTTTTCACAGATTAGTGAAAACAGTCATAATCCACGCGCACATAAAGAAAGTGTTTGGTTTTAACTTTGCAGATGAGAAGAGATGAGGCGAAGAGTATGTTAAGTTTTGTATCATGAAATCAAAAGTGGCAAACATGTAAATCCCACAGTCAAATAAACAAGAGTCTGGATTTGGTTACACACTTGAGAGAAGTTACATCATCACGAAATGAACTAGAGCAACCCTCTCCAAGACCTGGGTCAGATCACAGAGACGCTGCACTCACACCTCCCTCTTAAGTAAATCCCCCCAAATTCCTGTTTTCACACAGTCTTTGTCTCGACAGCAACAAAAACACGGCTGCTAAAGTGCAAATACTGATTCTTGTTCTGCTCTGCATGCTGAGGAGAGCCGTTTAAAAGACCTCAACACTTTTTCTCATTAGAAGCACATACTCGACAAACGTAATGGTGTTTTAATGAGTACGGCAGTCCAAAAGGGTCGTTGTTTGGACGGCAGTTTTCAATTTCCAACACTAATTATTACAATAAATGGATGACAGAGAAAAATAAGGTCTCGTTGTGCAGAGCGGAGGACTGTCACGTAATTGAAACACAATCTAAAATCCTTCTCTCTTCCCAGATCACTTTAAACAAGCTGAATTACCGCATGCTTAAGCATTCTGGGGGTAATTACCTCCAACTGCCTCATTTCAAATCTGATCTGAAGGTCAAAGTACTTGCGGATTTACTTTGTCTAAGTCTAAGCAAAGGATTTTACGCCCACCAGCCAGTCATTTCACAAGCAGATCATTCAGACATTCACTCCAACGACAAAAACAACCACTGCCGCGAGAATAAACAACTCTATCTACGAAGCCACGGAGGGAAGCAGCAGAAAGACAAACCTGGTGTGATTGTCTGGCTTTAGTCAGAGCAGGTCTGTCTGTCTGTCTCACTGTGAGACCAGGACCAGCAGGCTCTGACATTCCCCAATGCAGGGAGGGTCCAGGGTGTCAGAGAGGGGGAACAGGGGCTATTCCTGTCTGCCCCCCACCACCAACCCACTATCATATCCAGTATCATTCCTTCAGGACTTCAACCCTCCCTGAACTCTTGCCCATTGCTAGCATACTGTAAAGCCCTCAGTGACTTCCGTTCAAGGACAGGGATAGTGGTCACATAAAGTGAATGAGCGTACAGACAGAGAAATCAAAGTAGGAGCTGGGACCAACAGACTCTGAGATTTCAACGATGCAGATGAGAAGAGATGAGTGCAGCAGCTTTTTTTTCCTCTCATTTTTCTTTTAAAAGGGTTTCTCTTTCTTAAAAATCTGTTTATCTGTCGTGATATTGTACTAAATACGAACATGCTGTGCCCTCAGCATTCAGCCAGTGGTTAGATAAATCACAGCTAACAGCATGACAGCGAACACTAAGGGCTCTATTTTGGTGCTTCGCCGGAGACGTGCCGCAAGCGCAGAGTCAATCAGATCCGCCGCGCTGACAAGGCGTTCCCAAGCACATTTTGGTATTTTGGTGAGCCGCGCAGCCCGGCGTAAGTATCCCCCCTCCCTAACTCAGCTCCTCCCGGCAGCATAAATCATAGACGGGGAGGAGAGGGGGTTTAACACAGCCGAGACCTGTTTTCACCAATCACATTAGCTCCTCTCCTCGCCTTTAAATCCGCCACAGGCGAGGCGTATTACTATTTTCATGAAGTAGTCAAAGAGATCAAGAGATGTCTGAAGACAGTTATGCCACACGATGGCGACAGAGGGCAGCTGCTCAACAAGTGTCCTCCACACTCTCTCATCTGAGCACAGATGGATTTGGTGTGCGTAATGTTGGACCCACTGGTAAGACAAACACCCTTTTCCACAAATAAAGACACTCACATAAAGTTGCATATATTCAAACCTCACGTGACAAAGGTGGGTTGTGCGCACAGATCACAACATAAACTCCAAAAAGGCATTAAAATCGGAACCATCTGTGCGTAAATGACGCATCGCGCTCCGTGGCCTGGCTCTTTCTTTCATAGATGTTGGCATATAAAATAAATTTGGCTCACAAAACTTAATATTATAATATCCGTATGTCGGCTTAAAGTAGATAACGCATCTGAGCACTGAAACAAATCATCTGTTCAGCCGCAGCAGCTGCAGGAAGACGGACAGAGGACACGGAGACGTGTCCAGGTCGAGCTGTGCGAGAAATAAGAGGAGGAAAGAAAAGGAGGGAGACACATTACATATCTTGTTAACTTCATCATGTGCGTTTATTTACTAGATATTTAATTTAATTTGATGCAGTTTCAGCTGTATTGATTCGGTCAGGTTGTGTGTCCAAACGCGTGCCAAACGCGTGCCAAACGCGCTCATCAGATCAGATATAGATCAGAATATATCGATATAGATCTAAATGTATGTGCTGACTCAGATTAATAGTTGATGATGATTATTTATTGCACTGAAATCTGCCTGACACTGTGGAAACCTGCCGGTGAGGCATCGGTGACGTATGTCGATACGCCGCCGGTCTACCAAAATACTACTGGACCAGCTGCGTTCCGCCTTGCGCTGAAAGCTGACCAGGTTTGAATCGGCGAGCTTTCAGCGCACGTTACACGCCAGTGGCGAGCACGAAAATGTCACTGCGCCAGCTGATTCTGTCAACACCTCCCCCTGCCACGCCACCACGCCCAGCTTGGCGGATCTCGGCTCGCCTCCGTGCGACTCAGTCCACGAAAATACCAAACTCGCCTTACACCGGGCTCCGCCAGACGAAAATACAACTGCGCGGGGCTCGCCGCCCTCCGCCGCCTCACCGGCGCGAACGAAAATAGAGCCCTAAGTGTAATAAGACCTTCTACAGCAGGTTCAGCTTGGTGTTTGGAGAGGACTTTTTAACATTTACTTTGTGGTTTCTCTCTGCAGCACTTTGACTGTTTAACGTGTTACACTGTGTGGCGGGTATTCCTGTCACATTAATCAAGCTGAAGCCTGCTGATTGGTGGTCCCTCTCTGGCGGCTACTTACATTGATCATAGCATTGGAAGTGATGCGGAAGAGAGTCGCTCGCTCGTTGACCGCCTTGATCTTCTCCCCGCCCTCCACGGGGACCTTCAGACCCTCGAGTTCGCTGAGGGAGCGCTGCAGAGCTGCCCCATGTTTGGCAATCAGGTCGTTACATGTGCTGAGGTCATCGAGTTTGCTAACAAGTATCTTCAGGGTGCCCTGGAGTTCGCTGCGGTCTGACTGAGACGTGGGTTCCTCGTCCCCTGAGTCATCTGGAATAGAGAAGTAAGACATCACAGTTAAACCAAAGGTTAAGTAGGAAATATGATTAGGAATGTTAAACGAAATCTCACTGACCTCAGCTTAATCAGCTCATTTGCAAATAATTAATTTAAGACTACAGTACGGCTGCAGAGATAAAAGTGCTGGTTTAGTGCAACAGTTGATAGGGGCCAAATTAACGGAGGCCATGGTCTGCATGTAGGGCTGGGCGATATGGCCTCAAATCAATATCACGATATACTGAGCAGTTCACCTTGATAACGATAAATGACAATAACTTCTCCACAAGCTGCTTCAGCTGTATCAATATGGGGTTTGGTGATTTTCATGGTTTGTTAGATTCTTTACAGGCTCGAGATAAAATCATTCACATGTTGTGTCTGAATAATTATCGGTCAAAAACGCTGTTTGTATCAGTTAGTAAGTCCAAATTAAACAGAAAGTCAGAATCCAAGCAGACATAAAGAAAGTGTTTGGTTTTTAATTTATGATCTTGGAGTTAGGGCTGGGTGATATGGCCTCAAATCAATATCACGATATATTGAGCAGTCCACCTCGATAACAATAAATGGACGATAACTACTCCACAAGCTTCTAACCCCCTCCCACATTAACACAGTCTACTTCAGCCGCTACAACTTTTGAACGGTCCTCCATCTCTTCACCTGACTTTCCCTCTTTGTTACGGACTGGATGGGGTGGAGTCACGTCTCACGTGTAGGAAAGCGTCTAGCACACATCCAAAACCAACTTTTACTTATTTATTTTTTTGACACTGAATTTATTGACATGGACAGAATGATGTAGGTTATTGTCGTAAATTTCAGTATTGGTAAATTTTCGGTTTATCGCCCAGCCCTATCTGCATGCCATCCCCACACTCTCCAGTACCCACAGTTCCTGTCTTTCTTCAGCTGGCTTGTCAAAAAAAAAATAGAAACATCCCTCTAAAATGATAGAATACAACAGAAATGTGTAAGGTTAAGCATAATTTACAGAGTAGTAATTTTCACATTTTTTTACTTTTTTGTTTCATTTGGTTTAAATAGAAGTCTGTTCAATAACAAATCCCTGATAGTTTAGAAAATTCACCTATCAGACTACAACATACAGAACATGAGTAAGTCTGACTGCAGATACATTTAACAACCCATCAAAATGTAAAAAGAGGCCATACTGGTGCATTTAAGTGAAGAGAGCAAGCCCATACCCATGATTCTTTGCGAGAGCAGCTGTCTCGCACTGTGATGTCACTAAAGAGAGGTTACTCGAGCTTAAACAGAACATACGAGAACAGTGTTGCAGCGTCAGCCTTACACACGCACACACTGACACAGGACGAGTACGAGCAAACACACACAGACAGAAATACACCGAGGGTAAAGCCAAGGGTCATAAAACAACGCTGTGACATCGTAAAAGGAACACAACCGAAGAGGAACCTCTGATTTACTGAACTGAGATCACCACAGAGTATGTCCTGTTTTATAAGCAAAGAAAAAGAGCATTTTAAAAATATTTGCACACCTGTGTATCACATCTATTTTCACAGAAATAATATTTCCAGACTGTGTTTGTGTGTTTCAGTTTGAATAAATACGGCTGACAAAACAAGCCCATATGGCTGCAAAAATTCAAAGCCTCGGCTTTAATGCGAGCACCATCACTTTCAACTTGCAGAAAAGCAACAACAATCCCAGCAGAGAGCTGACATATTAAAGAAAGAGGAGTATGAGCAAAATGAGCAAAGAGAGATTTTGTTTATCCTTTAGAGGAAAATATATTTCAGGTCAAAGGCGTGAGCGCAGAGGGGGGCTGTGATGCAGACAGACAGTATCCCCACTCTCTAACTCACCCCCCGAACCCTCTGATGCTTTAGTGTCTCTGTTTTCTGTGCTGCACAGTACTTTATGGTCTGCTCTGTCTGCTCTGACTTTCAGAGTTTTAGGAGGAGACAGCAACACGAAACTACACCAACACTTTTCCAAAGAGCCCTGCAGCTGGCTGTGACCTTAGAGATGGAGAGACCATCACCTCCATCATGTCCATTTGCTTTCAGAAAGAGAAACATGAATTCCTGCTCAGGGGATGCGGGTAGCTACCAGTCTCAGGACTGCTACAAATAAGAGCGTCATGCTGAGTTTAGTATCGACCCAGAACTTTGTCCTCCAGGGGAATGTCAGCCTCGACTGAAGGAGCGCTCCCGTCGGACAAATAAAATATGCCCCAATTATTACGATGTTTTCCAAGTGGTTTTTATTTCAATGACACCGCAGCACGTAGGATTAAGAAGTTTAAGACCCACGACAATGAAAATCATGTTTTCCTTGTTTTTTATATGTTCATATGGCATTTCTCTGATGCTTGAGGACATGTCATGAGAAAAGTAAGTGCAAAATTGTATTTCTGAATATTTCTTTATCCAAATCGCTGTGAATCTCTGATAGATCCAAAAGGCACGCTCAGACACAGTGGGATTTTCTATGTCACAAAACTATGCTCCGCCCCCAGTGCCCCACTCTGCTGGCCAGACCCTGAAAGCTAATTATGGTATTAGCTTTCATCATGCCCTTAAAGACACTAGTGTTCAAGAACTGAATAGCTCCTATGTTACCTGCCACTTCGACTACACCGACCATGTAGTCTCTGCCCACGACTCAGAGGCGAACTGCTAATGAGCTACTGGAGCTCTGCAGAAGAAAAGCCCTTAAAAATGACACAGGTAAAGTGATTTTAGCTAAAGACTGATAACTATTGAGTATGACAGAGTTAAGGGATGAGGCAGGTTTCTTAACCTACACTATAGTCAGTCATGAGGCGGAGCTAAAAGTAATGGCTTCAATATTGGGGAGCTGTTGTGTCGTCCATACTCTGTCTTTTTTTTTCCATACTCTAAACTCTATACTTTTGCTGTTGTTGTTTGACTTGAAAAAGCAGAAAAAAAAACTCTCAAGGACCCTTTAGTTTGTTCACAGACTTGAAAACAGCAAAATATTCAGTCATTTTATAACTACATTCATGATTTTATCGAATCAACTAGATCTCTAAACCATTTAATTTAATGGCAATGAAATGCTATTCTTCTGACTCCTCATAGCTCTGGGCCCCGGACCATTTTTCACTCAAAATTTTTACATAATGATGACAAAACCTGAAAGAGTCGGGATTGCTTCAAATTGCGTTTTGCAGTGTGTGTTTGTTTTGGTTTTTATCACTTTTACTGCATTTTAATGGCCAAAGAAGGCGGTAAATTTTATTCTACCGCTAACCAGAGCAGCAGATGCCAAAGTTAAAACTCATGGTACACTTAAATTAAACTTAATCTGATACATTGAGCCTCAGGCCCATGTCAAGAACAAGGGTTTGGATTTAACCATGGAGAACAAAATACTGTGGATTCAAGGAAAGGCTAAACAGCGTCTTATTTTACAAACATTTGCAAGTCAAGCCAGCTCATCTAAAACAAAAAGCAAATCAAAAAGGGCAAGAGAGAAGAAAATCTGTGAGGATGAGCAAGAGACGAATGAGAGGTAAAGATATCTCACCATGTTTGCAATCCTGAGTTTCCATTTTCACCCAAAGGTAACCAGAGTTCAGGCTGGAGGAAGCGGCACAGACAGGCCACACACAGAGCTAACGTGTGAACATGTTGAAGTGGATTTCAGACACACAACTGTCTGATCATCAAAGTCAAAAACAAAACAGTGCAGCCAAAGGTCAACCGAGCCGCCCGACAGCCGGACAATGAAACCTGCTGAGACCATGAATCAGAGGTGACGCTGGTATCCACTCATTCACAGGCTAATGAAACCACATTTCGATGCACTCCACTCACTGCAGAGAAAGTCCGGTAAATGTAGAGTCAGAGTATAGACTTGAGAGTGTGTCCAGAGACGTACAGCTCCAGTAAAAAGAAAAGCATGACACACGAGTGAGAGGGGGACGAGGAAGAGCGAGTTCAGACAGAGCAGGATAATGAAATAAGCCTCAAATTGATCGAGTGTGACCAAAGCAGCGCTGCTTTAAACAGAGAACTGATTTGGTTAATTGGTGCAGTTCTGAACTTCCTCTCACGAGGAATAAATAAGCCTGCCCAGAATCACATTTAATTGGATTTATTTTCAAAGTTTAGAAAACAGTCTCAAACTATTTAAACTGACGGAAAAATTAAGAAATACTGAGAATTTTTGTTTTGATGTATTTTCTTGAGCAGAGGACATATTTCAGGTTTTAGAAATCTCTGAATTTGAAAAGCTGCTGATGTCCTTTCCACAGAAAGCCACGCAGGATAGTTGATAATATCAGGATTACTGTTGTGATCACTTACAAACTCAAAACTGGGTTAATATCTGATTTTAGGGACCTATCAGGCTTTTCTGCAGAGTGAACAAAGCATTATACTTAAATAAGATGGTTTTAATGTTGGTGTTTTGTAGTTTTTACATTTTAATATCTTAGTTTTTAAGTGTTGCGTGAATTCTACTGTTTTATTAATTCAAATATATCTCATCTGCAGTATTACAAACAACTGATATGGTTTTGTTAACTACTTTAAAGCTTTAAAGCTGATTCTAAATAATCCAGGTTTACTAAGTTTTTTTTGTTTAAAATCAGTCTGTAGATTGTCCCAGGAAAAAGGTGCAGAAAACCTTAAACTTTGGGAACAACAAACTGCACACGAACAAAGATGGTGAAGTCCATCCTTTCGAGGTTAGAAGGGAGGAAAGCTGCTATTTCACCCAGAATGCCTTTCTAAACAAAGATATACCAGTGACCAAGCCGGCGTGTCTTAAAAACAATCCAACTGACCAGGGAATATAAAGTACAATGGTAAATAAATTAGTAATAAATCTCAGTGCACCATGACACACTGACATTTACACTTATTACACCCAGCTCCACTTTCATTTACATAACAGTTTAACTGGGTTTTTCATTCAATAATTTTCAATAAAATCAATAAGAACTGAGGAGCATTTGAGGGTCTGTTTCAACACCCAACTTGTCACTCCTGACTGTGCAGCAGGAAACTCAACCCCGGCGCTCTGCCTCACGCCCACATTTAAGAGTGTGAAATTTCAGTGTAAGGACTGGATGATATTTAGGTTATCTGCAGGGACACTGGCTGGTGTGAAGACATTTTAGAGGGAACCATGCAAAGCTTTGGTTGAATCTGTGTCTATAGAGAACTGAACATGTGTTTGACACCAGGGCTGGTTTTCCAATAAAGTGCATGTGCAGTTGTGATGTAAAGGGATAAATTAAAAAGATGTGCCTGAGTAAAGACATGTTAAAAACACTGCAGCCAAAGCCTGCTCTTATTATTCACCCTCATTCTGCCAATGAGTTCAGCAGCTCTCAGCGCCGCAACTTAAAAATAAACTGTCACATGTACCGAGGCGTATTTGTTTAGAGGAGACTCTGCTTACAGCACGTCGCCTGCGAAGCTAATTTTCTCTCCAAACCTCACTGAAACACGTTGTGAGCTCCAAGAATGCACACTTTGGCTGTTGGCTTTTTTTGTGCAGACACCATTAAAAAGGCGAGGGGGAAACCAGGACATAAGCTCAATTCACGGAAATGCAGCTTCCACTAGTATGTCAGAAATGTCCTTTCTGTTATGTCCTTTTGTTCACAGAGGAGGAACCATTGATAAAATGTCACGCACTGACAGCCATGTTTGACTACTGGAGATGAAAACCTCCTCAAAGATGCTTTAACAGATTTTCTCGCCTGTAAATCACGCCGACCCGGAGTAAAAAGTGAGGGCAGCATCGTCCACTAAATCTGTATCAATAGAGATCCTGTCTATATACCGTCTGTGCTCCAGATTGACTGTCCAGCTCAGCCCTCGCACTTCTAACACCTTCCTCCCTGACAACAGATGTGGATAAATGGCTCTCTGTAAGAGGAGTCGACACCATGAGGCAAGGCCAGGAGCCCATTACAACACCAGTCATGCCTCAAGGGCAGACCCCCACCCCCCCTCCTCTACAGCCCATCACCTTGGAGAATACCCTGCATCTACACAAATGTGGATATCTTTCCAGCTCCCTCTGTGTCTCTGCAGGAGCCCCCTCCTCCTCCTCCTCCTCCTCACAGGATGATAATATAATTTGAGCAGCACATAAATGTGTCTGAGGCAAGTAAGGACACACATTTACAGGTCACAGCTCAGAAGCCACATTAAATACACTGAAACGCTTCCATATTCTTCTTCCTCTTCTTAGCGTGCAGAGATAGCGTCTTCGCTCTTCGCTTTTTCATTAGTCCAACACAGTGTCAATCACAAAAGAGTGAAGACAAAGAGAGACGGAGAGAGAGAGAGAGCAGGATGTGGGAGAATATAATTGAGAGAGAGCAATACTCTCTCAGCTGTCCCACAGTCAGGGCTCATCTCTCTGCTCGTCTCTGAGGACAGGCTGTCAGATCAGCCAAGCAAGGCCTCCAGCTGACAAGATGTCGGCCTGTGGCAGAAAGACAAGCATATAGGAGGATTGTACTTCTCCTCTGGATTAAAGGTAGAATTAAAAGTTAGTTGAAGGCTAAACCCTGATCAGAGTAAATGCTCAAGTCAGAAAAATAGGTATGTTTTAGTAAAGAGCCCACATTTTATTCCTCTGTTTGTGACCAACTTTAACTTAATCTTTACAGGTGTACACCATCTAATGACGATTCATGCAATTATGCAATTTTAGGGCTGGGCGACATGGCCTCAAATCAATATCGCGATATATTGAGCAGTTCACCTCGATAACGATAAATGGACAATAACTATTCCACATGCTGCTCACCCCCTCCCATATTAACTTCGTCTACATCAGCCGCTTCAACTTCTGAACCATCCTCCATCTCCTTGACATGGGCAAAATAATTTTCAGTATCGGTAAATTTCCGGTTTATCGCCCAGCTCTATGCTATTATAACAAGGACACTGAAAAAACAAAACCAAACCTGCAGATGTGCATACCTACAAAAAAGTAACCCGAGAAGCATGTTTATTTTGCATCGTATTAAATTACATGTAGTGTTCAGGATGTTTGCAAATCACCAGCCAGACAGTAAAATAACCATCTCTACAGATCATGTTTGAGCAAATTTAGAGCGCAGAGTGTTTTCTCAACTTATGAGCTCCAGAAATTTAATATTTTGTGCGGGTTATGCAATCCAATCCAAGTTTATTTATGAAGCACATTTAAAAACAACAAAACGCTTTACAGTAAAAATTTAAAAACAATAAAAGTAACACAAACAATAAAACAAAGACACAGGACCACATTTAAAAAACAGGGGGACATAGATGGTTCAATAAAAACATGATTAAAGGCCATATTTGTAATTCTGTGCTGAAATTTAAGCCCTCATACACTTAGTTTCCCCTTTTTTGTTTTGTTTGTTTGCTTGTTTTTACCATGATTTAACCTCAGTACAAATATCAGTATTTATAAAGGCATAACAATCAGATTTGGTTGTAATGAGCCTGTCTAAATGCACATCCAATCTGCACAGAGAGTTTACACTCCTGTTCGAAAGGATTTCTTGTAGCAGTGAGAGCACAGAGGAGCTGGAGCAGACTGTTTGGCAGCTGACTATTTTGATGGAGTGTGCCAAAAAAAAAAAAAAGAATATATTAGAGGTATATTGGAAACAAAAACCAGATGAAGAGTGAGGAGCTATCCCAGAGGAGGAGAGTGAAATCCTGGCCAGTAATTGCTAACTTTCTCCGTCCTTCCCCTGAGATACATCACAAGGAGACAAAAAGAGGAGACAGCAGGTTAAATCTAGTAATGCAGCATCCGGCTTTCTACAAGCAAATGAGAAACTGTGCAGTGCAACTCATCACTGTCCCCAAACCTCTGCAGTACAACTCTAGCCATGCATCTAATCGAACCCTCTCAGAGACGCAGCAAACAAAGGGAGAGACGAACAGCAAACTCCAGAATCTAAGCAATGAGTTTTAATTCAGCAACATTTCACAATCTGCTGGGATAAACAAAAAGAAAAACAATCAGTCTGCAGCGGACTAAATTATAGATTTATTTGCCAGTAAGCAGGGGGCATTTTTAAATCCCAGCTGGTGCATCACAGCTTAGAAAGAGAAAATTGGTTCTTGCATAACTGTGTAGATCTTAAGGTAGAGGTCATTCGTTGTCCTACGACCTCAGGATGCTAACTTAGCTTGTCTACAACAGGATTACCAGAGTGTCAATGCAGTCATAAAATATTCAAGCACAAATGTTTCTATACCATCTCCAACATCCAGTGGTCTGTTGTACCCAACAAATCATCTAAAAACCCATGTGCATATATGATCTGAATGCCTGCTCACATACAGTAAATCTGAATCTACATACATGTGAACAGCTGCCAAGGCTGAGGGAGGATGAAAAATACATGAAAAAAAAAAATGAGGATAAAACTATAAAGAAAGCCTGCTCTCATTAATTAATGTGCTCAGTGTTTTGATGTTTTTCCAAAACATAGCGCTCATGAGATTGCCATGGTTTAAAATAATATATATATATATATATATATAAAAATCAATGAACAGAAATGCTTCCATGTGGAAATAAGAGGCTATTTGTGAATTTTGTGATGAAACATCTTGGAAAATGTTAAAATCTCTGGCTTGGCAAATACAGACAACTTGTACAGACCTACTTTATATACTTATTGTTTGTTTGCAACATCCTGATTATGGTCTGTAAAACACGGCAGTATGACGACTTATATTTGGGTTCTAGCTCTGCAACATAATGAGCAGAAAACAGGTGAATGACTGACAGAGCAGCAGTGAGGCGTCCAAACAGTAACTCTCAGTTCTGTGCATTAATATTCAAAAAATAAAGTAATGAGGAGGAAGAAGAGCTCCGGGGTCTGACCCTGCACTCTAACCTTACGCTTTCACCCTCTTTAAATATGCATGCAAGACTTTCTAACTACGGAGAGATAACAGTAAAATGATACTTGGACACTAACTGAGTTTCCATATTCTCATGAACACAAACAGATTTCACTAAGAACTGATTATCTAAACGATGTGGAATCTCACATGACAGTGCAGCCTTAGAGGAGCTTACATTTGTGTCTCAGATCAAAATAATTTGATTTATAATGAAAGAACAGCCAGATGTTTCCACTGGATAAGAAGATTTCTCAGATTAATAATCACAAAGTTCTCATAAAGAAACAGTGAAGCGACGGTCAGGAGGAGCCGCTCATTGTAGGTGCTCTGTTTGTGCCTGTTATTTTTCAGAACCAAGTGGTTGTTTGAATTTAATTGGACCGGAGTTGCAAAATATTGCAGTTACTTGTCACATTGCAGCTCGGTCCGTCAGCATCGAGAATTTACCCTTCCTCACTTTCTCTCCAGTGACTCTTGTGCCGCTTTCTTCTTCTTCCTCTTACATTTCTGCAGATTTTCTTTCATGATGATGACAATGACATGGTTATAAACCAGATGTAATGATTTTAATATGTGTGCCTCCACATTGTTATTCAGGCTTGGTTACCTTTTACAACAGCAGCCCAGTTGGAACAGCAAGCCTCCAATTTTATGGGCTAAAGCAGTTTCTACTGGCTCAGAGCCATCAATTTACCATTGTTACTGGAGTCATTTACATCAAACTGTGCTCTGCTGAGGATCGGTCTGCGCTTTCATTGGTACCAATGAGGGCTGATTTACAGTACCTCCTTAGTAAGGAAAGCTGTGATTCCACTCTAACAGCACAGCTTCCTTGTTTGTTAAGGCTACAACTTTCCTGTATGCATTATTTTGAAATTTACCTTTCATTTACTTTACATTGGCCAGATCAAAAACAGAAAAATGTAAAACTTCAGCTGTATCAATATGGGGTCTGGTGCTTTTTATGGTTTATTAATTTCTTTACATGCTCAAAATAAAATCATTTCCATGTTTTATCAGAATAATTATTGGTCAAAGATGCTGTTTGTATCGGTTTTTCACATATAAGTCAGCCCAAATTTAACAGAAAGTCATAATTCAAGCACACATAAAGAAAGTGTTTGATTTTAATTTATGATCTTGGAGTTAGGGCTGGGCGATATGGCTTCAAATCAATATTATTGAGCAGTTTACCTCGATAACGATAAATGGACGATAACTACTCCACAAGCTGAACCGTCCTCCATCTCCTCACCTGTCTTTCCCTCTTTGTTATGGACTGGATGGGATGGAGTCACGTCTCTGACGTAGGACAGCGTCTTAAACGGGACATGAGACCATAGCCTACCTACACACATCCAAAACCAACTTCTATTTACTTATTTTTTTGACAAGTATGTTGACATGGGCAAATGACGTTGGTTATTGTCATAAATTTCAGTATCGGTAATTTTCGGTTCATCGCCCAGCCCTACTTGGAGTTACTCAAGATTCAACACTGAGATAAACTCAGTTATCAGGTTCAGCTTCCTTAGACTCACACCATAGAACCATATCCAGAATAAGGTATCTCTCATTATCGCCCTGTGATCATGAAACAGTCATTAACACACTGATACTACCCAGAGTGCACTTCTGCAACTTATTTTACCCTCCTGGTATCACTCCAACATTTCCCTATTAATCACATCTTGTCCAAAAAGCTGCCTAGTTATTATGAACAGATCAAAAACATCATTGAATCCCTCCTATCCTTGAATCTTCACAATAGCTGCCCTTTTAGTTCAGAATTCACTTCAAGTTTCTTATGATTCGTATTTATGGTTTTGTTCCTTTATTCATCTCAGAGTTTCTCAACTCTTACAGCACTAGAGGACCCCCTCAGATCCTCCTAGAGGGGCTTACTGGCTGTGCCCTGATCAAAAAGGAAGGCCAGGAGAGGGGCTTTGTCTGGAGGAGCTCCTTGGCTCTGAAATAGCTTTCTGCAAGGTCATTAGATGGGCGGACTCTCTTGAGGCTTTTCAGAGACACCTTAGGATCTACTTTTATCTCCTTGATTTGAAACGTGTTTCTATTTTAGTCCATTTTTCTGCTTACATGCTGTATGTATAGGCTATGAACTTGTTTTGCTATTATTAGGTGCTATGTTATATAAGTATAATAAACTAAAACTGTTACATGGGGCTTTCTCATGGAGGCCTCTGTCATCTGGACAATATGCAATCACACGACAAGAGAGCAGTAAGTATCCTATTGTCCTCGGGGGATCTGGAGTGATTAGATCGATGTCCACAGATGTGATGAGCTGGTCTTTAAAAGATGTTCTTCATAAAATCTCCTCCTATAGTGGAGTTCCTATAGGGCAGGAACTATGACAGGTCATAAAACAAGACAGCCCGTACCACATATGCCAGACTCATTTCAGTGAGCAAACACAGAAAGTGAGGAGACAGAGCTCCAGGTTTAAAGCACAGCTGTTCGATTCAACAACGTCCAAATCTGCCGCTGGCAAGAACAATAAAACCAGCAGTGACGTGAGAAAGGTGGAGGAAGTAAAGGATGAAACATTGACGGAAGATTTCACAGATTTGTACTCCATTCAAGGTCGAGACAGAATCATTAAAGGTGGATTTGATCCTATTTAATTGACTTTTCACTGGTCCTGTGCCAAATTCTCTGCCATCTGGACTCCATGTTTTGCAGGTTAATTTTCCTTTTCAGTGGAAAGTGGAAACATGTTGTGAATCAGCAGTAATTAGTTACCCTCATAACCTTTGTGTCGAATTTGGACCACAGGACACTTCCGGGTCTCTAGATACACGAAACGCTAACCCATTTAGCCGTTTCTGATGGCACAGGGAATTCTTCACATAGAATACGCAAAACACAGGTGCATGTTGCCAGTACAACATGAAGGCCCGGCAGACTCCAACTCATCCATATGCAAATGTGAGGTGGAGCAGGCGCAAAGAAAAAGAGAGGAAATGAGTCTGAGCGAGAGAGCGGCACAGGAGGAAGAAAGAAAGAGAGAAGGAGACCGCATGCAGTGAGGAGTGACAGATCAGACTGCTCCTTTTACAGCACGGAGCGCTGCTTTGTAAAGGGAGGCTGCTACAGTGTGAGCATCCGTGGCGACAAGAGGACAGATGCAGGAAGGAGAGAGAGAGAGACGGATGGAGAGATGACAGCTAACTTTAATGCGTCCGATGAGAGAGAAACAGCAGAACGATGAGGGTTTGTTGGAAAACAACGGCTCCATGCTCCTGTGTTTTAGCTTTAGCCGTACCGCTGTACTGACCCTTGTTGAGTTTACTCAGGCAGCCCGAGTTGCAGAGGGAGCGGACCGTCCCCGACTCCCAGCAGCTCCGGCCCTTCATCACACTCTCTGCAGGCCCGATCCCTCTCCACACTCCCTGGGACGCAACACTGCCCCGGGCCACTACATAATCCCAGCAAGGGGGGGCCAGAGGCAGCGACGTCCCCGGTTCAGGATTGCATCGTGCACACGCATACATGCAGAGTCACACACACATACATACAGCACAAAGACAGGGATGCAGTGTAGTCGCCCCCACTTGTAATTCCTATCTCCTCCCCTGCATTGCTTCCCTTTTTTTCCGAGAACACACACACACACACACACTCACACACACACTCACTCAGTCAGGGTACACACATTCACAAAGCTCGGCACATTTACAATTCTCCTCCACATGCTTCTCTCAGTGCAGTGCAGAGTGGAAGAGAGGGTGGGAGGGAGTGAGTGAAGCAGAGAGGAGAGACACTGGCAGCCAGCAGTCATCTACTAAACTAAGACCAGAATGCATTGCTTCCTCTCTGTTAACCCCTGCCTGCTGCAAAGAAAAATTGACGACCGTATTTGGAGAAAAGAAAATGTTTGAGATCGGCTGTGTGTCCTCAACAGTGACACTGAAAGGAGTTTATACAGGATGAGATATGAAGGATAAAAAGGTTTTAAATTAAGTTTCCACATACTCATGAGACAGGGTGCTACCAGACCAGGGGTGGTACGGTAAAATAAAATATTATACGATTAAAACATTGTCATTTTCTACCAGCTGATCCATCTTTATTCTGCTGTCCAATCTGATTATTTTTGTCTACATCGTTTATCTTATTAGACGGACAGTTTTAGATCAGTACCTCTTAAAGGAAGGTCAGTAAAACTGTAGCGTAGCTGTCCCTGAAACAATCCTCCCCCCTCCTCTGAAGCCGCTGAAGGTTATCATTTCAGTGTTTCAGCATTTTTGACACAGTGGTGCAACTCAAGGTCATCTTAGTGATTTGAACCAACTCTACGCTCGACATCAACAACTTCTCACATTTCTTCTCGTTAAAGGTGGGGTAGGCAGGATCTGAAAAAGTACCTGTTTTTGGGAGAAAGCTTGAATGTAAACTCTACCCCTCCCAACCAGTTTTCCCCTCAGCTCCTCCTCTCTCCTCCCTCTCTGCTCCAGCAAGCCCCGCCCACAAACAAACAGATAAATACTTCAGATGATTACAAATGGGGCCCAGTCAACATGAAAGTAAAAAGCATTGGTGCTACAGTAGATGCCAACAGACTACCAGCAGAAAACAATGTTTGCAGGACTTCTACAACTAGGATAAAATGACATACAACACGCAGCAGGTCCCGTTTGACAAGAAACACTTCTGTTACAGACACTTAGTTTACTTTGGTAAAGCTGTTTACTTGTCCAGTGAAAAAGTAACAGGGTCCGTAAGATCTCAAAGCGACCCGGCTTTTTAGCTCTTGTCCGGTCGATCTCCTTTTTAAGCACCCATTATTCCACCAGAGTCTCTGGTATTTACTTCGTTTTCTTGCTTGTGTTGGTAGTTGTGGCCAAAAATGAATTCAGACGATTTTCAGTACTCTTTGGTTGGTTTCTACTGTCCGATATTGTAGCACGCTAACTTTGTTTGGGCTCATGAACGTTATTCAAAGACGTGGAGCGTGCCTGACAACACGAGGGAGCAGCATCTGCCTCAGAACCAATCAGGTCGGGGAGGTGGAAAACGGACCGCTCAAAAATGTTAAAATGTTGACTACACAGCCATAATAAAACACAGCGATATCGTGATATTCCCAAATGTCATCAATAACTGATAGCTACTGACTGATATTAAAAGCTTTTTTGTATTTATACCACAAAAAAAGATGCTTCTTTAATGGATCCCTGCCTACCCCACCTTTAAGTTAATGAATCACATCTTTAAAATCCTGCTACAGTAGTAACATTTTAATCATATCACCTACACTTAAAACTGAACAATAAAAAAAATCTGTCATCTTAATAACAAAGAGAGCCCATGCTCAAACATTTCAGGTTCAAAAACATTAAATTTACTTCTCCAGTCTTTAAACTACTTTACAGCTGCTGCCACTGATAACATTTGTGCTTCAAATAACTGAGAAGAACTCACTTCAACTTGGATGACACTTCAGAAATGTGTTTCCCCACTAAAATTAGCACAAGTCTATTAGTAATGCTTTTAACTTATGTGGAATATGGCTTCAAGAAAAGCCCGGGCTGAGACAGCTTCATGCTACATCGATTTAGTGCATAACAGCGTGAATAAGTTGCACAAAAATAGTTATGAAATTTAGGCCAAGAGAACACCAAGTCCCTTCAATGACTAAAAACATAGGACTGCATTAAGTGTGCCCATTCTCATTTCTTGGTTGCAGTAAAATATCTGATAACAGCAAAAACAGGTAACAGGGGAGCCGGGCTGTGCTCCGTACGAGGGGTGAAGTGCTGACAGAGACAGATTGCTGGACTGTAAATAAATAACATCCTCTAAATGTCCTGATCATGTTCGAGCAGGAACTGAGGCATGAAAGCTCCATTAATTTCATACATGACTTTTTCTCCAATACTGTTGAGCTTAGCCACACACAGAGAGCCGGACCCAACTGGTGCAAACAGCAGGCTTTGTGTGAAGTAACAGCTCAGCTCCTCAAGGCCCTCTCACATACGTCCAGAGCTGAGGGTTTTCAGAGCAGTCAGTACCCTTTCTGTAAAGTCCTTGGAGCGATTTGTGGCGAGTTAAAAGGGCTTTAATAAGTTGAATACAATGATTATCATTTATAGTTAAAACATGGATATAAAAAGAGGACTGATTTAAGTACTTATATCATATACTGCGCTTATTAGTCTTTAACCAGAGCCTCCACGCTTGTATCTACTGCAGAATCTGGGAAGAACAGATGCAGCCTTATTTGAAGGATGACTTCAGCCTCTTGGTTATCACCTTTATTTAAGGAAAGTTAAAAACAGCCAAACTCTTGAGTGTAGTACAAAAAGGTCAAAATATCACATGATATTCATGCAAAACTCTCACTTTAGTAGAAATCTAACCATACATTCGACCAGACCATGTAAAAGACAAACTAAAGAGAAAGGGGACATTTAAAGAGCACGAATTAGTCTCATTAGACCAATTACTGCGTTTAGTTCCAGGGACCCAAACACTCCCCAAAGCCTGAGTGCACAAACACCGAGCTCATTAAAACCAGGACAAACTGTTCCTCTCAAATAAAAAAAAAAAAAAAAAACTTTCTGACCCCGGCGAGGGATTCATTTTGACGAGGTGCCTCTCCAGAAGTCAGATTCTGAGTTGCAGTCAGTTCATTTCCAGCAGCAGAAGCCGTATGAATCAAACTGATTTCCATCAAAGACCACACCATGTCTGACATTTGGATGCCTTATTGTCACCAAGGCAACAAAAGATCACTTATAAGGAGAACCGGAAAGACAAAAACCAACTGCAGTGAAACATTAGCCTGTATCTGAGGGCCTCTAATTGACTGAAGCTCTTACTGTGGCAATAATAATCTGCTTATCCGAAGGAGGTGGAAGATCTTTAATTAACCACAAATTTAAGAGTGACTGCTTCCTGCACCAGCATGGCTCACAGCAGAGAAACCATACTTCAACTTGATAGTTAGCATCCATCTAACAGACACAATGCCAAAGGAGGCAGTATGAAATTACAGCAGATCCTCCTTACACTCGAGTAATGAATCACTCAGCATTGAATCATCTCTGACAAATAAAGTTAAGTACAATTTTCTGCCTCTTTGCATGACAGCTACTGTAGAGGGTCTTTCCTAAAAACTTGCATGTAAAGTCAACTCGACCTGATGCGCAGATTCTTGTTAAAAATCCACAAAATTTGAGCAGATAATCATCAATCTTACATTTTTAAAAAGTATGTGAAAACTACACTGATAACTCGATGAAGCATACATCCAAGAAATCCCCCTGACCCACTGTTTCCATAGCTGCCGACCGGAGCTGCAGCATTGAAGCAGTACTTTTAACATTTGCCCATTTAAAAAGCCTCAGCACAGTGGTAATTGCAGGAAGTCTTGCATGTACACTTTAATTGGCTCGGTGTCAGAACTCGGTGTCTAAAGATATGTGGCAACATCTCAGCAGCCAAAACCAGCTTCTGTGAGTCTGGTGTGAGTCATTACCACCAGACTGATCTCACCTAAACTCACATTCATGCCTGAAACCACGACTATTAAATTCATTTATGTTTATTAAAAAATGATAAATTTGTGTGTTGTGTCACGATGAAAATATTCATTAAGAACTCCTGCTGTGTGCATGATCCTCCCTTTGATGCATGTTCAACTCATCTGTGTATCCAATTAGCATTGTAACAAGCAGTCAGCCCACTTAGACAAATGAATTAGTCAATTATTCTGTGGTGTATGTAAATGAATAGAAAGGTTTGCATACAGTCATGATAAACACCATAGACTTTTAATGATATATCAAACCAATATACGTGCGTTTCCGGATAACTGAACTTGTCCTATCTTTCCTCTCGACCAAAGGCTGCCTTTCTGCCATGTTTTCAATCGCTCGCTCCTCATATTATTGATCCACATACATCACATACTTGCCGCAGCTGCACGTAACTGGGGTGCATTCAAAGTGTTTTAATTAATCGTTTTTCTTTGGTTATAATGTTTTTATGATTGTTAGAAGCCAAAATCGAAATCATGATTAAAATTTGATCAATCATCCAGCTCTACTCTACTCATCTCTACTAATCTTGATGTTTTTAATGGGACGTGTGTCAGTAAAATCTCACTCCTGACCCAGAAGTATCTTTTCACTGCACTGTTTGATGCCCGTCTCTTGAATACAGCTCAATTATAGTACCTATCAAACAAAATGGTTTCAGGGAGTTTGATTTCAATATTTAACATGAGGAATAAGGGCTGGGCGATAAACTAAAAATTTACCAATACCGAAATTTACGACAATAACCGACGTCATTTTGCTGTGGGAGGGGGTGAGCAGCTTGTGGAGTAGTTATCGTCCATTTATCGTTATCAAGGTGAACTAATCAATAAATCGTGTTATTGATTTGAGGCCATATCGCCCAGCCCTATGGGAAATATATTTCTAATATTTTCTGCTTAAAAACTTCTTCCTCTCAACAGAAAAAGCACAAACAAAAGCGACAGAGTTAGAGGGAAAAGTTTAAAAACAGCTGATATACCAGAAAATGGCTTTGTATAGTTACAGACCATGTTTCTTGAACCTCCTGGTTTAAAATAGTTATCAGTAATGTGGTGGGACAAACCTCTCTCAGTCTATTGTGGGATACAGCAAAAGTTGGTTTAAATAGCTACACCTGACCTATGAAAAGTGGAGTCTCAACAACAGAGGTCGCCGAAAGTACGAAAAAGGACAAACTCTGACTCCTGATCCGACATTGTCCTGTTTGACCGCCTAGCACATGATTAAGCTAATTTTAATTTTAATGATCTGCCTGGATGGGCCTGTTCAGTTCTCAGCGTCGTCTCCTATCTGCTGATGAGGCAGAAAAGCTTCAGAGAGCGGCAGAGAGAAAGTGTGGATGCCAACTGGGGCACAATGTGAGCTGAATAGTGAGCTCAGGTTTCATTCACGGTACAGCAGGTCATCGGACACAGTGACCCATACGGAGCAGACACACCCCGGCAAGTCGAACAAAGGGCAGCACAATCATACCACTAATGTTGGATTGTGTAACAATGCAGCGAGTCAATAACACAGTCTGCTGATTGTGGGGTTACCAAGAACACAGTTGAGAGATTTACACCAAGGTGACACCGACCAAACAACAAAACTACTAAATTAGGGGCAAAATAGGGAAATACTAGATGCTGATGTGGCAAATCAAACATCGTGACAAACACAGAAACACATACAGTACAAAAATAAGCGGAACAGATTAATCCTTGTATTCTGCTTTTAGACAAGCGGGCCTTCTTTACGGAATAATTCAAGTAATTTACAGTTAAATCCTCCTATTTATGGTCTGATCTGGTTTCTGGTGAATACAGCAAATGCTCAAACAATGTCAAAGCTGCCACATCAAAAGATAATTACTCTATTTATTGTCAATTTTATCCACCATGGAGTCTTTCTGGCACCTCTGGTTACCCTTGGTCTGTTTGTTTCCTGTCAATTAACGTGTATTTGAACAAATCATAAATGAGGACGACCATGGAAGAACAGAATAAAAAGCTACAATAGGCTCGAACGTTGGCTGTAAAATGCTCATGGTTTTCTTTCTCAGAAGAAAAGGCTTGTGGTCAAACCATTTATCAAACATCCTTAAAGCATTTCTGAAGCAGGAAGCTGTTGTTTTACAAGTATTTCAATAAATTTCAACTAAAAAGGCACAGTGGTTTTGAAATCCACTGACAGATAAAGACAAGAATGAGACAAGAGGTGAAAATTCAGATGTATGAAGAAGAGTTAAGCTGGAAAACAGGACGTGAGCCTTATTGAGAGAAAGTGAAGATAATGTTTTCGATTAGTTCTCATTGTTTCGGATCCACTCTAAACAGCGGGACATAACTGAGACACAATCGTCTCAAAGAGCAGGTCAGACCGATTGGAGAGGAAGTGGGTGGTTTGTGGCTCCAAGATCGATGTGTCCGTGTGACAGCAGTGGCGGGTGGGTGGGATGTGTAGCTTAAAGGGGGAGTGTGAGTTCAGAGAGGTCAAATCCATTATGAGTCAACCGAGATTTGACACCACAGGGATGCCGTGCTGTTACATTCAGATTTAAGTGACAGAAAAGGTGAGAAACAAGGTGGAAAGCAGGAGACAAAAAGAAAACAAGAAAACGAGGAAGAAGAATCAGTCCCAGAGGAGAATTTCTGTCTAACAGACGGCGGGTCTGTATGTGAGGTACCAACAAAGAGCTTCATTTAGGGGTGATGCTTTTTAAGATACAAGACTGAGTCTAACTTTGCTGTTTCTGTCTCCATCTCCCCAGTGACTGAGCCAATCCAACAAACCGACCTCTGCCTGCACGCTTTTTTTACATCCAAGATATACAAGGACAACCAGTGCGATACAGAGCCTCTGCAGGACTAATTGATGAGCTTGATGAGCACGCAATCCGTGATATCTTTACTGCTTTTCATATGTTCAGAGAGTAATGCAGGAAAAAACATACGGTATTTTAAAACTCCACTTACACCAGTGCAGAAAGGGTGAATATTGTCTGTTTTAAGGGTGCCAGTTTTACTGATCTTTCATGTTTAAACATTATTTTCTCAACAGTTAATTAACTAATGTTTTCATCCTGTGGGACGGATGCAACTCTTCCAACACGTATTCCCATTCAGACTGGTGGTGTAATAAACTAGTTCAGTGCACACTCATAACTACTTCCTGAATCTCCTGCCTGGCTCACAGCACAAACATTCAAATCTTTGTTTTAGATTCACATCTTCCACATATAACTGTCTCCTCACTTTAGTTCTGCTATGGCGTGAAATTTCAAAACAGAGTTTGTCTCCTGAAAAATCCTGGGACCTATGGTTCCTGTAAACAGACTATAATTCATGTTGAAAATAACAGATATGCTTGTATATTCATTGTAAACGAAATCGTACAATATTTATACACATCTGCATCTTATCATTTTCCCATACACACGTGTATGCACACATACAGGGGCGTGCACGCACACACAAGCACACACACATTCTCTAAAATGGAAGAAAAGCCCAGTACTTACAAGAGAAAAAACTGTGCCTTATCCGGTTTCTACTTCTTTCCCTAGACTTTGCAGCACAATGAAAATGTCTTGAGAGAAAGAAACGAGTGGAGAAAGCAGCCGAGGGTCATTCCATTCAGGACTAAACCCCACTGGGTGAAAAGCAGAGTAAATGGCTTACCGAAAGAGAGGGAGAGAGAGAGAGAGAGAGAGAGAGAGAGGACGGAGAGAAAGAGGGAGGGGGCGGGAAAACCAGACAGTGAGAGGATGAAGAGCAAGTGCCGGAGCGAGTGTACGGGGAAAAGACACAGGGGGACATAAATATGATGAAATCAAGCCCGTCTCAGTAGATCTTAACATTGTTGAGTTTTTTTACCAGTTCAGAACCATGGACAGAGCACTACATTTACTGTAAAAGCATGAGCTAGAGTGTGATATACAATGAGCTATGGAGAAGATTATAGAAAAATAATGAGGGACAAAAAACTAAAGCAGGACGATGAGGAAAATATCTGAGCTTGAAAGAGGTAAACCTCATGAAAACCAGTTTCATCACAAACTAGAGTAACCGCTGTCAGATGATAATCAGATGCTGATGCTGATCAAAGCACTGTTGTTCCTGAAATGATGAAACACATCAGTTGTATGCTGGGAAAATCGAATGTGGATCTGAGGCTGCTGCTGTTCCCCTCCTGACTCCTCGACTTGAACTCAGTCAGACTCAGAGAAACCTCTGACTGGATGATTGGTTCCACTGTATTTGGCTTTTTCCCAGACCTCCTCCCTTCTGTCATCAATATTCACCATGTATGCATGTGCTAGGTCATGTTGCTTATGAATACGAATCCATGTCATGCTCTCAAATAGAAGCCACCACTGGAACGGTCGTTTCAGCGGGTTGTGATCCCACTTTCACAAGCAGCAGCAAAAAAACAAGGCGAGCGAACCCATGGGAGAGGTCACAGCGAAGTGAGGGGAAACGCTGCCATCTGCTGGCTGAATGCCTCTGACTGCAGGCGGGAGCGCCAGTTGGCTGTTTGAAATCCAATCTCAGGTTAAATTAGAGCAAGACGCACTCATGGAAGGAAAGGCAATTTACAAGAGAAGCCTTATGAATGGTAAAGGCTTCGGGTGTGACATTGGTGCCAATGAGTAGCTCTCGTGATTGATTTGAGGGGCCAGGGTTCGAGGGGAAAGAAACAATCCCAGAGCTCTCAGACAAAGACAGATTTAAGATTAAAGTTAGGATGTTATGAAGGGAGTCTTACGGTGCATTATTGGATTTAACTTTCTAAACCCTTCTGCTCCGGTTAGAAGACAAAAAGGAGCAAAATTAGACAAAGTAAATAAACAACCAGTCATGTTCAGGATACCAAATCAAATCTGATCTCTATCATGAAGTGCCAAAGCCGAACACTGTGTTCTATTGAGATTAATCAGAGCTCTTCATCTCCAGTCAGAGAGAGGACAGCAGGTTTATAAATGTAGGATCCCAACTCATCCCTGTTCTGGTTTTGTATGAGATGCTACGAACAAGATTAAGACAAAACAGTCAACAAGTAAATTTTGGGAACATCCAGTCATTCACTGCAATACTAAAACATTGACCTTGTTAGCGTTTTCTTTAACATGCTTTATTTTCTGTAGACAGACTCACACAAGTGTTTCTTATCTCACATTCGCTGAAATCCTCCCCCCACAGATAAGCTGGGAAAGGAAAAGCCTGAAAAAACACAGACGTGCACATATTTTTCTTTAAGCTTGGCAGCAGTAACTGAGTGAAACAAAAGCAAACAACTAGTTCCTTCATAAGATTTAAGTCTAACGCATGATATTAGGTACTGTTCTGTAAGCTTACGTATTCATAAAGGAACAGTTTGTCTTTCAGACCTCGGGGGGTAATTTATTGGTATTTGAAATTAGGGCTGGGTGATATGGCCTCAAATCAATATCATGATATATTGAGCAGTTCATCTTGATAACGATAAATGGACAATAACTACTCCAAGCTGCTCACCCCCTCCCACATTAACTTCGTCTACTTCAGCTGCTACAACTTTTGAACCGTCCTCCATCTCCTTACCCGTCTCCGACATCGGCGTCTTAAAAGGACATGAGACCATAGCCTACCTACACACATCCAAAACCAACTTTTATTTATTTCCCTTGACACTGAATATATTGACATGGGCAAAATGATGTTGGTTATTGTCTTAAATTTCAGTATCAGTAAATTTTCTATTTATCGCCCAGCCCTACTTAAAATAAATATCTGGGTGCAAGATTGGGTTCAGGAGAAAACCCTCAATCAAAATTTGGAAAATGGAAAATAAGTCTGTTTCACTTGTTTAAATATTCTATATTTTATCAAACAAACTGCTCTCTTATTCAGTGTTGAGTTCGTTAGAGCCACAGAAAGAAAGCAGCTAATGGATTAAACAGGAATGAAACATTAAAAAAACTGAATGGTGAGTGTGCTGCTAGTGGGAAAATTAACATACTATAATTGGATACAAAAATAAACCATGCTGGAGAAAATTTGCCCACACACACATACAAAAACAAACACCATGCTTACATACAAATCAAGTGCTCTGCATTAATAGCTCGAGTTTTCCGACTACAATTATACCAGCTATCCTCCACCTCTCTGTCCTGCTGGAAGTAGTGAACCCAAAAGTGTTCACATTCTTTCCCAGCCTATATTTAGTGATCTGACTTTCAAATGAAGGCCAGAGGAATATATAGCCCGTCTCTGTAGACCCTGTCTGCAAAAGACTGGGGTAGAGCGGTTTTGGGTTGATGCCAAGGTGAAGTGAGGAATAATGGCCCTCCCAGGCTTTTCCCACAGCCTTTGACCAACAACACTTAATGCAACCACACAAGAATAAGTCCCCTAAGAAAGGAGAGTACTGTGTGGTCCAGGGGAAGCTGAAAGGAGTCTTGAGTTTTTACTCTGCCATGAGCATACCACTCTGTTTTTCACACGATAAGGCAGACCACAGTGCCCTCTCCTGGCTGGATCTGGAACAAGCTCAACATTAAGAAGGGGGGGGCGTACGCTCAGATGCCAGCTGTGCCGAATATCAAATGCCATCAATATATCTAGGCTTGCCTGAGGACTATTGCTTTACACTCTCATCCTGTGCTGAACACAACTCCCATTCTGTGAGGATCTTGATAACTAGCTAAGATAAACAGACTTTTATACGTTTGCCTAAGGCTGGATCAGGCCAGCATGGTTAAACCCTGTCTGTTAATGTCTTGTATTGTCTCATGGATATATTACGCCCCTAGAGATGGTACTTAGACCATAAAAAGCACGCCACGTATCCCAAGCTTTCCATGTAAAAAGCTGCACACTCCAGCTGTCCTTACCAGACTGATCATTCATCATGCGGATGGCTTTCGCTTTGGCCAGCTCCAGCGCTGTAACCCATCTCTGCCGCTCCACTTCTGTGCTAGCCTTCAGGTGGTAAGTGCGGCCGCCGCTGCTCAGGACGATGTTGCAGGCGTCCTCTGTGTCGATGTGCGCCGTGGCCAAGTTGATTGTTCCACGACAAGTGTGGGCCATCTCTGCTTGTGTTCTGTGACAAAATACCAGACAGAGAAGAGAGAGAAGACAGAAAACAGAAGACGAAAAGAGAGAGAGAAAAAAGCAGATAAAAACAGTTGTCTCAAACATTGGCATAATTTGCAGAAATAGGAAGCATAATTGACAGTCCTACAGCCAATAAGCACAAGCAGGGATGTGCAGAGGAACAGAGAAAGCCACAGAGTACAAGGATTCATGTTGAAAGCCAAGCAGCAAAGGGAATTTCTCTAAAAAAAACATTCATGAAATGCAAAATCTGTCTCTGCTATTGTTCAAAAAAATTAAACAAGCTTCAAATTTTACCTCACTCAGCATGACCTGCTTGAACTACTGTGAATATGCTGAATTGTGGGTATTCTGTGTAGCCTCCACTAAGACCAACTGTTGCACATTCAGTGGGCCACAGTAGTCTAGATAACAAGGCCATTGTCTGGCTCCAAGCCTCTGTAGTGAGCAAAACTAAACAATGAATAACAGCGTGAACAAAGGGAGGACAGAGTGTAAAAAGAACGAGAGGGAGAGAGAGAAAGAGAGAGAGAGAGAGATAGCAAGAGGGCGAGCCAAAGCAGCAGAGTAACAGATTAGAACAAAGAGCAAGGGCAAGAGGAGGATGTTGTGCAAAAACGTGCTGTGCAAGACAAAGCCAAATGTAAAGATAGTATGTGTCCATAATAGATCTTTATAAGAGCCAAACAGCATGCAGCATAAATCTCCAAGACTTTTGAACATCATATGAAACATAAAAAACACTGTGAAGTTCATCAAAGGGCATGAAAAAAAACAAGGCTACATCGTGGCAGGTTTCTGAATAACGTCCTTGTAAGAACAGCATTACTACAACTAATGGGATTATATTTAAAAAAAGAGAAACATTGCGTTTTCAATTGAGCGGTGGAAAAGTGGCTTCCTGTCATTCTGTCACGGTTAGACAAGCTAAGCTGCAGGCATAGTTCGTTATGGCCCTTGGGGGGGGCTGAGGCTTACGCAGGTCCCCACACCAGCCACAGACAGCTGATTTTGCTGATTAACACCCTCATCCAGAGAGCAGCAGCTAATCGGCAGAATCACATGCTGCGTTGGCTGTTTCAAATTAAACAAACACATCCTCGACCCCACCGTGTCACATGAATGCTCATCCATGTTCTCGGAAAAAGCAACTTCGAAAGCAATCATGTGAAAGTGTCTGTGTTTGTCTGTGGGTGCGAACACCCGGTCATCCATCCACAGTGAGCCCTCACTGCCAGCAACAGCTGCCTCTCAGTGGTGCTAAGCTCTCCACCAGCTCCAGTCTTTGTTGATACTGACAAGGTGGCTGCTGCCGCCTCATTAAGTCACAGGTTGAAGTGTGTTTGTACACCCTGGCAGACTCTGATTTCCCTCACACTGCTTCTGCTGGTTGGAGTCAAGACTTCTTATAGTGCCAAAGGAGAACAGGCGCTTCAGTGTGCTGCCCTCCTGCTCCGTGCACATCAGTTTTGAGAAAAAAGACCGAGCTGGGGCCATGCGGAGCCATGCGGAGGTCGGGCAGGGACCCTTAAACAGCTCGGTTTCTAGTCAAGCCCAGCCAAGATCAGCTGTGTGGAGTCCCTGCTGTAAGTGGGTCAACAGACAGAATGTGCTGCAGATGAGTAAGACGAGATCCGCCGCACTGATCGCTCCTGCCCTGTGGGGAGGCGAGGCCATGCAAAGGCCATGAAATTATACAGTCAAAGAGTCTACAAATGCTGGGAAAGTGAGATTAAAGGGATATTCCGGCGTAAAATTAATTTAGGGTCAAACACACCGTAACACCAGGTTAGACGCCTCGTCGAGACAGCTTGCTTCTCTAGTTATACCAACTTTAGTAACGACCGCACCATAGCAATACAGAGAGCCACGTGCTCAACCAAAACGCCACTCTATAGCCACAAATAATGCTCAGAACAGCGCATAACTTCATCAAAAGTACATATAGGGTCCCAGCCATAGTACTAGCCACCAAACATCTTTTTAACTTTGACTAATTTCTTTAGCAGAGACTAAACACAACTTGCCTACTCTCTTCCAGCAGCCGCTTATTTGTAGCAAGACCTCAGGCCAGTCCATTATGGACTGCAGCGGGGTGACACAGCTCAAGGAAGAACATTTATTATCCTTTCTTTATCAATTTCCTTGAAGTAATAATCACCATATTAATCATTTTTCACTGCAGACACGGTAGTTCTTCTGTCTTAGCGTCTTGGTCTGATTGTATTTCCATGAAGAAATGATCATAAATGTTCTTCCTTGAGCTGCATCACCCCGCTGTAGTCCATAATGGACTCGCCTGAGGTCTTGCTACAAATAAGCGGCTGCTGGAAGAGAGTAGGTGAGTTGTGTTTAGTCTCTTTGCTAAAGAAATCAGGCAAAGTTAAAAAGATGATTGATGGCTAGTGCTATGGCTGGTACCCTATATGTCCTGTTGATGAAGTTAGGTGCTGTTCTGAGCATTATTTGTGGTTATAGAGTGGCGTTTTGGTTGAGCGCGTGGCTCTCTGTATTGCTATCATGCGGTCGTTACAAAAGTTGGTATAACCAGAGAAGCAAGCGGTCGGCAACATTCATCTCTGGAGGGGTTGTCTAACTCGGTGTTACGGTGTGTTTGACCCTAAATTAATTTTACACCAGAATATCCCTTTAAAGACTACAGGAGTATCTAGGCACTGATAGGGGAGAGAGGGCGGAGGTGGGATGAGGGCAGCTGAGAGCACGAGACAGGGTCCTGCATGACGTGCTGAGCTAAGACAGAATTTGCATTGCTTTACCTGTCGGTCCCCTGTGCACATATCCTCATAAAACACACATCCACCGATCTGGAGCATGTAATGACAGAATAACAACCAGTGAACAACACAGAAAAGACAGCCGCAAGCATGAGGAGGAGGCGTACACGCAGGCAAGAATGAAGACAGGGTTTGCGGTAAGGGGCCAAAAGATCATCAGACATGGAACAGTTGGAAAAATGAAACAGAGAGGAAACAGAACGCAAGATTACCAAAGCAATGACACTGCAATATGGACAGCATGACATGACCTGCTGAAGACTGAAATAATGACATAATGGGAAGATGGCCGGACCGCTTAAGCACTGTCACCTTGATATATAAAAAAAAGCTCTCCTGGACACACACATAGAGACACTAACACACACACATACACACTAAGACCCACAAGAAACCCATTAACAAGATTAGATCACAGCATCTATGTCTCCTGCTCCAGTCACTTGGCTGCTGTGCCAAGCGAGTAAACAGGGCCCAGGCCAGGCTCTACCCTCCAGCTGGGCCGAAGGTTGGCTGGCTGACCATTCTCCCCCCCGCCGCCATTCCCCTGCGCCCATTGGCTGTATGTGCTAACACTTACACCATAACCTGACTCCCAGCAGGGACACAAATGGTGCCGATACCCCGCCAAGCACATAGATTGATAATATCTTGTTACTCCCCTGCTGCCGAGGAAGAAAAGTGGCAGGCTCACTCTACTATGAAAGATGTGGGAACTCACAGGTTCATGCTAATCATTTAACCATCACATGTTCACGCTAATCATTTAATCATTGATGACAATCATTTAATCATTGTTTCAGGTAATTAACTGTTTTCTTATTGTGTTTACATTATTTTGTGTGCTCATTGCGGACATGTACTGATGAGTCAGATTAGAAGGTTTAATGCTAACACGGGGGCAATTGACCACTGTGTCACAATGTATAGAACAGAGACTTTCAGTATAGAAGGATTTTAGCTTATGCCTAGAAGTGCCAAGGGTTGGTAAGTATGGTTTTAAACTGTTCTGCCTTAACAGTCATTTATTAAAAAGTGTGCTTTATAATCATCACAGCCATTCATTAAAAGTGTTCCTTATAAAAGTGCTCTATGGCCCTGACATATGCCTTAGATAATGATGTGCCTTTCATAAACAGATGTGCAGGTGCTAGTCAGAGATGTGAACAACAGGACGAGGGAGGAAGATCACTCTGTCCTGAGAAGATGGGGAGGTGTAAAGGGGGGGTTTGCATGCCCAGCAGTCTGCCCAGTGGGAACTCAGTGAAAGCTTGGAATACATGACGCAAATATGATAAAAGGAGACAAGCGCTGGATGCATCCAAGATCAACTTCCCTGAAACCACGGTTTCGGTCAGGTAAAAAAAATAGAACAATATGTGCTTGTTTGTCCATAGAGAAACACTGGGGGCTGCTGGTTATGTAAACTCTCCGCCCAAAAAGATGATGAGACGCCTCCTAGGGTATAACTATTAACTACTGAAAAATAGTAATCAGACCACCTCAGAGATACCATTGGGTTGATGTTGTGCTCTCCAAGATATCTTGTGTTATTTGATGTGCCGAAATAAAAGGTTTGTTGAAGACACCTTTTTGCCTCAGTGAATCCTCTGTTCCAGTCTCCATCAACGGACTCGGGGAAGTTTGAATTAACTTCAACAAAGACCAGGCTGGGTCCTCTGATATGGCAGCTCCAATAGCACTCAAGGCTCTAATGCCCCGTAATCTTCCTCAGTGCACCAAGAAAAATATACTTGAAGAGGTGAGTAATTTTGACTGAGAGTATGAAAACTGTGAGAAAAAGTCCGTTTAGAAATTAAAGAGATGTAAAATTAAGTTAGGGTCAAACACACCGTAACACCGAGTTGGACACCCCTTCGAGAGATGAATGTTGACGACTGCCTGCTTCTCTTGTTATACCAACTTTTATAACAACCGCAGCAAGCAATACAGAGAGCCACACGCTCAACCAAAACACCACTCTATAGCCACAAATAATGCTCAGAACAGCACCTAACTTCATCAACAGTACATATAGGGTCCCAGCCATAGTACTAGACACCAAACATCTTTTTAACTTTGCCTGATTTCTTTAGCAAAGAGACTAAACACAGCTCACCTGCTCACTTCCAGCAGCCGCTTGTTTGTACGGAGACCTTGGATGAGTCCATTGACTGCAGCAGAGTTTCACAGCTTAAGGAAGAACATTTATGGTAATTTCTTTATGGAAATGCAATCAGACCGAGATGCTAAGGCAGAAGAACTACCACGTCTGCAGTGAAAAATTATAACCATGATTATTACTTGAAGGAAATGATAAAGATATGATCATAAATGTTCTTCCTTGAGCTGCGAAACTCCACTGCAGTCAATGGACTCACCCAAGGTCTCTGTACAAACAAGTGGCTGCTGGAAGAGAGTAGGTGAGTTGTGTTTAGTCTCTTTGTTTAAGAAATTAGTCAAAGTTAAAAAGATGTTCAGTGGCTAGTACTATGGCTGTGACCCTATATGTACTGTTGATGAAGTTAGGTGCTGTTCTGAGCATTATTTGTGGCTATAGAGTGACGTTTTGGTTGAGGTTTGTGTGTGACTTCTCAGACTGCTGTGTACTGCTATCGTGTGGTCATTACTTAATTTGGTATAACTAGAGAAGCAAGCGGTCGGCAACATTCATCCCTCGAGGGGGTGTCTAACTCGGTGTTACAGTGTGTTTGACCCTAACTTGATTTTACGCCGGAATATCCCTTTAAAAACAGTGAGGACGAGATCTGGTCACATGTCTCGGAGGAAAAAGGTGCACTGAAGCTCCCTCTGTGCACTAAACTAAAGAGGACAGGCAACAAGGCTGATGTGGTATTAAAAGACAGCCAGCCTTGCAGTGTTGGGGCCAAAAGTAATCAATAACAAGTGCAATGTTGAAGTCATTACATTTTAACAGGCACAAGTGCTGAGTCTGTCAGTCTATCCACAGAATCACAGCATTGATTACGATCCTCCATTGCCCTTTGCCTCCTCAGCTACAACTTAGAGTGCTAAGACACAGCAGGCCTTGAGAAGGAAAGTGGTCCCTCTGTTATTAGCTGGACCTTGAATTGGCAATCACTAAGTTAGTAACTATTGATTTGGTTATAAACTGGCCTTTACGCAAGGCAAACAAATCTCGCATGCTGATAATCAAGGAAGAGATCAGGCGAGCAAGAAGAAAGAGGAACTCCCTTGGGCTAAATCTTAGGATAGAGTCTAATCACTGATGAAACATCCACCTAATGATCATAGACTTAAATGGCAATAAATCTTTAACAAAGGGGATCTTTGTTTCCTTCAGTGTGTCAACGTCAGCAAGACAAAACAAACACAAGATACCACAGTGGTAATATTTGGGATACACTAAAGACACTTCTGTTGACATGCTATTAAACTTGTCTGACTGTTTCCTTTCACTGTGCTCTTAATAGAGGAGCAAACAGTCGGCCAGTGGAGGTACAGGCAGACACAGACGGTGCCTGAAGTCAGACACTCACAATGTGGTCTGCCAGGCAGGGAGACATCAGTGGAGACGACGACTTGTGCGCTTCACTGCCTCTGTGCTCAGATGTCGTCAGGCTTCCCTTACTTTAGGGACAGCAGTTACCTTACAACATAATGGACTATTAATAAAGGGGAGAGGCAACAGGCTTCTTTCCTTTCACCACATGCAGCTTTGGCTAAACTACCTCTGTGTCAAATAACAGTGTTGAGAAAAGAAAACACAAACAAGGGCTGCTTAGAAAAGTGTGGCACCAAGATGTAGCATGGAATGAAATGGCGAAATGCCTCTATGAGATCTAAAAATGGATATTTTCTGACATATATTCAAAGACTCTAATCTACGAGGATCGGCTTTGTGCTCTCTCAATTATTTAAATCACTGCTCGCAGTTGTAGGACAGTTTGAGCTAAAAGTTTTCTAATCAGAGCTGATTCATGAAAGGATCGAAACTTAAAACAGTCAAAGCTTCGGCCAGTAATGCTGGTTACTGATGACGGTAAACATCAGTGGATGTGCCTTTATTCGTCATTCTGCGGTGAGTCATCTAGTTCGAAAAACTGCATCAGACAGGGTGAGAAACTGCTGCAAAAAATACTGTATCTTGCCTCATATATAGATGAATTGCTGCAAAAGGTCCAATGATAGCTCTTTTCATGAGTAGTTGTATTTCAACACTTTGGCTTGTTGGAAATTAATATCTACTTAAAAAATGTAAACATAGAAGGCAATTTAGCAGTATTTTTTATGTCAACATATGCAGTGAAAGAATGCTGTTTCGACATGCAAGAGCCACGCGATGAAAGCACTGAAATGTCAAAGCACCTGTGTGACAAAATAATTGAAACTCAGAGGTCCATTTAAGTCATTTTCCCAGGCTTAATTTGCTTCTTGCTCTCCATCAGAAAACTGAGACCTTAAGTAAAGAATATTTGTCACAAAACAGAGTACTGTCAGCTAAGACAAGAGTCAAGCTGACACATGTGACAGCAACGAAGTTAAAGAGACAATAAACTGACAATGAGAAATTATTGATGTTATGGAGGAGAAGCCAGTCTTTTTACTGTAAGTCATAAACTCCTTGTAAAATATTCAGCTCTGTCAACATGAGTTATTCAAGCTGCTTTAAAAACTAACCAGTCTTTGTTGACCGGTTTGTGTTCTCTGTGTTGAAACAAACTGAACGTTTCTGGTTCATTTATTGTTTCCTTGTTGAGCCTCACACACAGCTGTCTTGCATCAGAGCTACAGGTGTTGGCTAGGCTTTTATTTAGCTGTTAGCTTAGAGTAAAAAACTGTGATCAAACAAAGATGAAAGTGAGCTCTCTTAACAAATTTCTCATTGTAGTGACCAGATAGTCTTGATTCAGAAAGATGGGGTAACTGTGCGGAGAATTAAAGAATTCAACAACATTTAGGACACTTTTTATGGAATATGGAAGACATTAATAACAAGTCGACTCTGGTGATTGTATCTTTAAAGGGAGGTAGTATTGTTGACAGTAGGAGAGAGTGAGGTAAGATGAGCCATTTCTCATATATATATAGCCAAAAAACGTGGTCTCCTATGGTCAACTTACCCTGTGTATGGGGTAAGTTGACCATCGCCTTTCCTCACCTTCTCTCACTTCTTCACATTCATATTAATTTTTTTGGTCTGAACCATAGACTGTATATAGAATGGACAGCGTCTGCCTCCTCGCTAAGTGAAGTCCCCCTGAAAACAGCACCCTCTGTTGACAGGCTGCAGTATAGGTCATAAATCCCGCTTATGTAGTTATGGACAAACTTTAGAAATTAATTACATGGAACATAATTTTTTCTCCCCCCTGGTTGCGATGTTGACATGTAGTTACTGTGAGACTGGTTTGTGCACAAGTCCTCTTTTTTCTGTGCAGCTCCGTTTTTAAAAGTTATTAGGGGGTTCATGTTCTCTATGATTAACACTTGATACAGCCTATGAGCGTACGAAGATTGCGTAGCTCAACCAGGGGATACGCTGTTTAAGCGGAGCGTCATCGCAGCGATTTCGGCAACTCTCCCGCCGAATGCGTACAACGCTACTGCGCAATGTTGGTTTTAGGAAGGCTAAACCAAGTTGTCCATCGTATATACAGTCTATGGTCTGAACACAATTTTACTCAAACTTATGACAGACTAAAACTACTTTTAAGAGTATAAAATGTAATTTTTTTGTAAATAAATGTCTAACCCCTTCACCCATGTGCTTCTAACCTTCACAGACTCCATGAATTGATGCCCATCTCCTAAATATTTGGTCACATGATCAATTTCTTTGACCATTTCCAAGCAACAGGGGGTGGCTCAACTTACCCCAGTCTCCCCTAACTGTGCAGAGAATTAATGAATTCAACAAAATTTGGGACATTTTAAGTAAAAGAAATGTTGACATATGCAATACAATACTGAAGACATTAATAATAAGTCGACACTGGTGATTATATCTTTACAGGGAGGTCGTATTGTTGATAGTGAAGCTTTATCTCCACCTGACAAGTGTTGAAGCTCGACAGCTAGCTTGGTCAGCTAGCTAGTGTCTGATACTCTCTATTGTGGACGTTTTTCTGCTAATTATTAACTTAAACACCTTCCTACTTTAGTGATATGTCTACACCAATCTACAGTGGTGCCTTCCCCAAAAATACACGATAACTGAAGTAAAAGGTGAATGTTTCAGTCACTGTCAGCTCGAAGTAAACAGACTCTGACCGTTTGACAGCTAGCTTTAGCCCGCCGTGTTAGCCAGCTGAGCAGCCAGCTGTAATGATGCGCTGACACACACACACACACACACACACACACACACACACACACACACACACACACACACACACACACACACACACACAGGACTCTTTTTAACGTTCATTTTCACTCATTTCTACACACTCTATCTGCTAAATTTACCTGTAATACGAGAGGAGGCCATTGCTGAGGACAAACCATCGCCGTTGGTACCCTTTCAGGTAGTTGGTCCATTTAAAAAGCCAGCCTTTGTAAGTATCCGACCCCGGTGCCGGGGCCGAGGCAGAGGCGGATGCCGAGCCCTTCCCTTGCTCGCTCATCCTCCGCTCCGCCGCACGCCGAAGGGTGCAGGATAAACCGGGGGACAGCGAGGGACGGGGGGAGGCTAACCCCACCGGAACTAACCGGAGCGAGGACACAAACGTCTGAGCTCGACGGGAGAAGGGTCCGGGTCTAAGGAGAGAGGGAGAGAGACCACCGTGAACTCCGCTCACATGACGCCGGAATGGACACTGAAGGAAGGAGGACGAGAAGTGATGCTAAGACACTTTGCTGATGCAGACTGCAGAGGATTCAGAGCACAGAGCTGCACAGGCTAGAGAGGAAATGCCTCACACAGCACCCATGTTCACCGATAAGGCTGTTACTAAAGCAACAGGGATTTCCATGACAACAGTGAAATCCACTTCATGTCAGTGATATGAAGAGAGAACGGCCGCTAACCTGGTCATTCATGAAGTGCGCAGATGAATGGAGATACCCGCTCTATTAATTCATATCTATGATTCAAGCCTCCAACACGTGATGTTGTTATCTAAACATTCCTAAACATTTGACATGCGGTTTGGAGGCTGATTTCAGTCCCGAGAAACATCTGGTGAGAGTAGTTCTGGATGATAGACGCTGTTCTGAGCAGATACACTCATAAATAAAAGTAGACAAATATGCGTATTAAATTATAAGGCTAACTTTTAATTGGAGGACTGAGTTCTCCGAAGTTGGAGGTGGTATTTGAGGTCGAATGAGGAACAACTTGGTAATCAGGGTCCGTGCTTTTTAAGGCTATCCACAAAATATGATTTTGAACACCACATGCTCTTTGCTGGTTCCTGTATAGTTTTGGTCTTGCACAAATAAGAAGTATTGATCAAAAATGACAAAATAAGACAACAGACAACAGGTTATGGTTATCATGTCTAATCCGGGTTAAGTGTTGTTTAATAATGTGAAGAATTGTATCAGGCCAAACATGGTGAGCAGCACATAGTAGAGGTGCACCGATCACAATTTTTTGGCCGATCACCGATCTTTAAAAAGCTTAACCTGCCGATACCGATTTTGGTCATACCTTTTTTTATGTATAACTAACAACATACACCTTTGATGCTCCAATCTTATTTTAATGAAAAACATACAAACCTTTTTGTGTTTGTTTTAACTGCACAAGGTAGTTCTCTCTCAAATATAAATGAAAAGTTAAGAATATTGCTGTCCAAACCACTAAATTATATCAGTTCCTTTAGTCTTTTATTTTCTACATTTTAAGAATTAACAATTCCTGTGCAACAGGTCAAACTGCAGGCCTGTTTTGAGCCTCTTACCAAACTAAAGCACACAGGAGTATTTTGCGTTTACAAATAAAGGAAATCACAAGGTTTGAGGAAGTTGGTAAAATAATAATCTAAATGACAAACTAAACTGGTGGGCGGGCCTGTCATTCTGGCAAAGCAAACAGCTACAACAGCTGACTTTCAGACCTTTGCTGAGGTAGATAAGATCGGTGGATAAAATCGGTTTTATGTGTAAAGATCAGCCGATCACCGATCCCCCAAAATTGAGGAAATCGGTGCAGATCGATCGGCCGGCCGATTTATTGATGCTACATTTAGTAAAAATAGGTCCCATATCATATAGGAGAGGACACCTGATCGCAATCTAGTTTTGTTGGAGAAACATGAAAGCAAAAATACTGTAACTGGAGGACGGTTACTTGCCTTGGCTCCTAATAACAGTGTTTTACCACAAGGTGGCAGTGCTGTCAAAATGACTTGAATGTGGTGCAATACTGTGTGGGATTCACAAGTGACCAGAGTTTGGATGGTGTTCTCAAATGCAATTTAATATTTCTACATGTTTCTAAAAAACAGATTTACTCACAGTACTAACACAGTAAAAATAAATAAATACAGGTAACATCTCTGATAAAAAACTGTAGCCCTTTTTATTTGGAAATGCGCAGCAGACAAACTGATGAGAACTCATGCTACACACAGTTGCTTTCTAGTATATCTCTGCTACATATGTCTTTTTTTTGTCACTAAAAAAATCTAACATAGCCATCTGTCCTTATTAGGATCAGCTCTACATCTCGGGATAGAGTCATGAGCTTGTGCTCTCACATGCCAGTGAAAAACAACCACATTCACTCCACACAGCTGCTCATTACAGTGTCAGAAAACCATGTATTACAAAAATTAAACACAATATCAAATTTTCACATCAGTGCAATTTAACCCTGACCCGTTGGCTCTACCAACAAAAGCATGCAATTCAATAACTCTATGACTCACTCCTATATACATTAGGTCTGCGTACTTTCAGTGCAGCCATGTAATACCACCTAGCTAGGCCTAATCAAATGAAAAGCAACTGCAATTCTCACAATTTTACCGAGTGAATACTGATATGCAAGCTTTATTAAGGTTCCCTGTGTGTCTGTCTGTGATGCACTCATGGGCTGAGTCATTGAGATCTGCTTCCTTATTTCTGCATGAAATCTGAGCACGAGTGCAGTTCATCTATTGTACGTGAGGCATTTTCAGTAAATATAGTGGTACATGGTCAGCTAGGACTATATGGGATTTTATTGCTCCTTCCTAATCCAAGATTCAACATCTGTCTTATCATGCTGAGTCTGTCCTTTGCTTGTCTGAATGTCAGCTATCAAACCTGCCTCTGTGTCTGACTCTCCCTCACTCCTTCTCTCTCTCTCTCTCTCGTTTTCACACACATACACTCACAAGCATCAGCACTGCGTGCACAGGTTCTTGTTTCAGGCTCTGCAACCTCCTGCAGGTCCCAAGTTCCCTGGATTTAATGTATTCATCTGAAACAGACATACTGAGTGAGGGGAGGGAGCAGATTAAAGCCCTACGGTATATTGTGAAAGGGACTGCAGCATTTTCAGCTGCAAGATAACCTTCATTTGAACAAACAGCTTTTACTTCAGAGAAAGTTTGAAATAAGGACAAGGGGGAAAAAAACGAATCGGGCTACTTCCTTAGAATCTAAAATTAAACTCCATCTAATCACATCTGTACATATCTTCATCGTCTCTCCGAGCAATGAAGCTGTTTTTTGATCTTTTTTTTATCTGTCTTGTCGACTTTTCACCACACATCTTCAAAGAAATCCAAACATATCGGGTATGAGCGTGTGCTTGACATTTTTCCGAATATGATCAATTCAAAAGGAAGACTCGATGATATTGCTGCCTCTCTGTTTTTAATCTGACAATCACAGCTTCCATCCTGTCAGGCCACAATTAACCCTCTTTACATCTGCTGCTGTGTCGTTTTGGGAAGCACAGCCTCAAACCCGTGGCTGTCTAGATGATGTGAGCAAAAATAACTGTGCTATTCTAGTCATACAGGTTTTCACCAGCTTCCTCTACCTCTATCTACTTCCTTGCACTTAAACATTTGGCAGATTTCGAGTAGGAAGTGGTTGGATGACCATGTGTGGAGTTATAGTGTCTTTACAGCGCAAGAGTCTAATAAACCTCATTATGAAAAATCAGCTCAGTAAAGCAGGAGGCCACAGGGTATGTTTCCAGCCATTTAGATAAGAAGTCCTTTTCTCCACTGCCACTCCTCGCTTAAGGTGAGGGAGGGGGTGGACGGGGCTCTTAGGGTCACATGATGGTGCAGCGGTTCCTCTGTAGTGCCCCTTGCAGACGGATAGAGGTGTGGTTCTGGCGCATGCCCCGCGCCACAGCAATGCCCAGCAGCTCTTTGAAGAGCAGGACTACGTGCCAGTTGAACTTGGCCGAACACTCCACATAGCCACATTTCCATGTCTTTTTCACCAGGACTGACACGGCCCTGCGAGGCATGAAGCGCTGTCGCTGCAGATCTCTCTTGTTGCCCACCACCAGTATTGGCACCTCACTACTGCTACCTTCCCTGTAGGAGTGTGTGGAAAACAAAAATAAAAATTTAATTAAAAAAACAAGAGAAAGAGGGGTCATTACAGAAAGCATAGATATCATGTTGGTGTTTGTCACAGTGGGTTACTGGAGGTGTGAAAGATGTCTATGTGCTGTGTTTTTCCCTCCTTCCTGAGGTGTGCGGGGGTGGACCGGAGGATTACAGCTCACAGGCTCAAGGGGCCTCCCACCACACTCAGCAGCAACTGGTTTACAGCACTCTGTGGTGTGAAACAGGATGCACCGCCATAGGTAGGGAAAAATAAATGATTTTAGACCCGTGTTTGTGCTGCTCAGTCATAACCATTTTTGTAAAAAGACTCCAGTTTGGAAAGCAAACCTGAACACTAAATAAAAGTAAAAGATCGTCTACTTGAGCTTATTAAACAGAATAAAAGAAACAGATAACTGAAGACGGAGGAGAAAAATAATGAAGCTTGATTAAAAGAACCTGATGTCAAACACTTTTCTGAATTTCTGTGTGGTTCGATGCCAAAAGCAGAAAAGCTGTGCACTCTAATTGTTTTTCAACATTTATAGGAGATCTATTCCGATTTATTGATGACTAATGATTAAATCAGCGACCTTGGGGAACCTTGGATGAGCAGCGGTGTGTGTGTGAGCCTAAGGCACCTGCTAACGTGGTGTAAATTCTTAAAGCTGCTGCATGAACAGTTTAGCTCTTCCTCTATCTCTGAATTAAGCTTTCTCTTTGTTACATCAGGCCTTATTGTCTGACGAGGATTTGCCTACTTACGCGTATTTGCATGTCTGCCTTAACAGATGGACAGACGGCTCAACAGAAAGGAAGACAAACGAGAGAAATGTACAGTACAAATCTTCGAGTCTCTGAAACAAGGTTCTTCAAGATGTTGGTTTGGAACGCACACTGCAGTTATCCTCTCACTTTTCTGCTCTTCACAGGTTGCGCTCACATAACAGACTTAAAAATATCTCCTCACATATTTTTAAGCTTCGGTTTGTTGGGGCAACGTGATGTGGTGTTTGTGTGTGAAGATGCAGGAGTAAGACTGGAGTGATAGAGCCAACATTGGCGTAGTCTTTTTTCCTCCGTGAGGACAGCCAACACAGATAAAACAGAAAATCTGCATTTAGGTTTGTTTTCTATTGATTTTGTCAGCAGGATTTAATGTGTGTTTTTGATTCAAATAAACAGAAACAGACATCTACAGCCCCGTCCTTTATGATGACAGTATAAAAACTGTATCTGTCCCCTCTTTGCTCTCTCCTCCCCTCCTCCACTGTGACCTTAGATCCTTTCCTGCAGTATGAGCAGACATTTCCGCTGTTTTTCATTCCTCTCGCACTCACCCTTGCTCCCCCAGCTGCTGGTGATAATGGTTTTCTGTCATGGACCATAAACATTCATGGTAACACATTTGGAGCTGCAGAAAGGTGGGGATGATCTTTGCTGGCAGTTTATTCATCTAGAACATAGTAGCGCAAAGGAGGCCACCTATTGCTTTCAATATGTAAATATATGCAGATATGCCAACAGCATGGACGACTGAGCAGGTTGTGCCTTTCTTGCCTTTTCCACCCAGTGTTTTCTTCTCTTGGCTTTAATGGAGGGAGACCTAGGCTCTTCTGGTCCCCAAAAAACCAAAACCATCCTGAGAATTATCTTTAATTCAGCAGGGATGCAGCGGTGTCTGAGGCAGCTCTCATGCAGTAATGCCAGCGTTAAATGTCATTACTAAACTGTCAGGATGCAGGGCGGAGTGTGCTGGATTAAAAGATATCCACAAGCAAGCAGACAAACCATCACCGTCACACTGTCAAAAACGGGTAATTGAAGAGTTTTGTATGCCTGCTGACTCTGAAAGGTTGGTGTGAAGGTGTCTATAGAAATCACCAGTCAGACTTAACAAGCTGCATGTCAGCGGTGGTATGCACGTCCATACCTGTGCTCCACTATCTGCTGTCTGATCATCTTGACGTATTCAAAGCTCTCCACACAGCAGATGTCATACACCAGGATGTAGGCGTTGGCGTTGCGAACTCCTCTGCAGCGCAAATCCAGCCACTCCTAATAGATACAGACACACAGACAGAAACGTGAGCATTGGACCGAGTAGATATACAGTTAAAGAATGAGAATAACATTTAATGTATTTCGATCTACAAAACCAGCAATCAGGCCAAATCTGACTGTAGTCCATGAAGATAGGGCAGGGCAAAAAAATGATAATTATGTATATCAAAAATTAATTTCCCTCGATATCGATCAAGGGAAATTAGCATGGTCAGTGTAGGAGCCAAAATATATTTGTTGAAAGTATGATTTCTAATGGGTACACAGTTGTGGTAAGCTCTGATAATTTTCTGTTGACCCTTTATAAGCTCTGATACTGTTGATCATTTTTCATAATTTTTCACCGTTTCATTCATCCTGTTTTAACCCCTTTTTCAGCATATCACCTTTTCATTCCAAGGCAAAGTTTTGGACCTGGCTCAACATGTTTTCTTTTCTTTCTTGAACAATAAATCACTTTTTTAACACTAAAGCTGGACTGATAATTGAACGCGTCACAGATGCAAGCGAACCTAAACCCCAGCGGCCTTTTTTGTTGAAGGAAAGTAGTCGCTACAGTCAATATGCTTTTTGATAGTCCTAATAGCCAATGAAAAGGGGAGTTGCTCCGGGTCCGCTTTGCGCTGAACCAATCATGTGCTGAATTAGAACCAAGTAGAGAACAACTGCGTAGTAGCAGGCTGCAATCATAACACGCCACTTGTAAAGCTGACAGCACTGTTGGTAAGAAAAAAGAAAATGAATGCTACCCCCAGCAGAAATGCAGATGAAGGCTCAACAGATGACGACATCGTCAACAAAACATCGGTGGTGTGGAGGTAGTAATTTTTTTTTTAGGTCGGACATGAAGCAGAGTAATGAGCACTGTAAATCATATCAAGTACATGTTTTCGCAAAGTCGTGGAATACCTCACTTTTTTTTTTTACCTCCTGAAGCAGTGCCACGTGGCAGAGCACACGCAATGCAAGAGTTTACGAAGGAGCCCACGGCGCCTGTGCAGCCGAAACAGCCAACCATTCAGTTCGCTTTCTCTAGCGCAACACCTTAAGACAAATCATCGAACAGGGAACATTTAAGATTGACAAGTGATTTTTTTAATATCCTGATATATATTGATATTGACTGATATGAAAAAACTATATTTTCCCGTATCGCCCAGCCCTAGCTTCAGAGAGTGTTTCGAGTTACTAAATGTGCAAATTTCAATATAAAGTGTGACACTGATTTGTTGTTGAGAGAGTTAAAGTTTTTGCAAATAAAAATACATACATCACAGTTATACTATCTTTAGACTAGGCTGAGGTTACCAACCGAACCACAGCACATTTCTTCACCACAGTCTCAGAGATCCACCAGTGTTTAAAGCATCTGCTTATAGAACAGACTCGTGGTAAAGTCACAGTCTGTGGCATGTGTCTCTGCAAAGTTGTTCTCAGGCGTTTTGACTCAGTCATAGTTTGCCTGCCTCCTCCGCTTAGCCTCTGAGAAAAAAGCGCAGAGTCGATAAAGTCCTGGAGCATTCATGGCTCTCGAAGTATAACAGCTCCCGAAATAGTTATAAAACACGGTGACGCGGTGGCCCCGGCAGTAAGCCCTGCACAGTGCCCCAGCTACACATGTTCAAGGACAGAGAGAGGGTGCAGCTTATGAAAGATAAGAACACACAGCCTTCTGTCTAACTCTTGGTTTCCAGCAGGACCGAGCTTTTAAAGAGAGTGCACATGCGGCAGGGCAAACAGTAACAATCATTGATGGTAATAAGCTTGAAAGCACAATTAAAACATAAGAGGACACTTTTGAACCTTACTGGGGACCGTAGCTTCAATAGAAAGCCAGCGACCTATTCTTCTATTCATGCTGTGTTTCTCAGAGCTTTTTTCAACCCACCACCTCAACCGCCGACACCGCCTCCGACAGCATGCAATGAATTTATAAGCATTTGATCTGATAAAAGAGAACGCAGGAAACAGAGGAACATCATGGGCTGGGAAGAAAAGATCTGCTGAGGGAGGGAAATGAGAAAACAGACGCATCCCTGAGGGAATGTCGAAAAGATGAGAAAAGCAGCAGTGAGGGGATCAAGGGATGAGCAGAAACAGTGTCAACATAACCTCTGGGGGGCTCGCACTCTGCTAACGAAGGTCCTGAGACCCGGAGACTGTCAGAAACTTGGAATATGAAATCAATTCAGACTCATTCAAATTCATACAGCTGGCAAACAGCTGATACTACACAGAAGGTTTTCTTTGCACCTTTTACTTTTTACTCCTCTGATGTATTAAAGAGTCCGAATAAAGGGTCAATACACACTCTTGTACTCTACCACCGACTTAAAACAAAAACAGACTTCAGCATTTGTTTGATACAATCGGATTTACTTATATCTGTCAGTTCAAATAGCCTGTCATGTGTTTGTAACAGTGACAGCACTGATCTGGAAAAGTGACATGGTTTTATGAGCGGACTAGATCTGCCTATAAAAGTATGATCAAACAGGACTGTCTGTTTGTCAAATCTACTCTGTGCTTTTGACTTTGAACCATGCAAGGAAATCATTAGCTCTGCTGCCAAACGAAAGACTCTATCCCTGTTCTGTGAGGCCAAAAACATCGAGGATATAAAGACCCACTTTGAAACCCGAAGACTTTATCCTCCCAACTAAATGCATACCTTTTTAGGGCGCTTTAAGTCCCACTCCCACTGTTTTTTTTTCCTACTTAAAGTGTTCTCAGTGTTCTTTAAACTGTGATTATAAAGTTTTAAGCCAAAATCAAGACGTCTGTGTCATTTTCAAAGACTTTTTTTCTGCAGAGCTCCAGCAGATCATCAGCAATTCACCTCCGAGTCGTGGGAGGAGACAGCGCTGCTCAGCACACTCCTCCTTGAATTAGCTTGCAGCCGAACATTGCCGCTGTAGTGGAAGAAACAGGTAACACAGGAGCTATTTAGCTCTCGGACACGATTGTCTTCAGGGACATGAAGACAATCGTGCATTGTTCCGCGATCGTCCTCTCTATTTCTCCAAGCCTGGCCTGCATAGTGGGACTCTGGGGGCGGAGCTTGGGTTTGTGATGTATGAAATCTCACAGTTTCTGATCCTGCTGTTTGGGTCTGCCAAAAAACATGATTTTCATCAGAGTGGGACTTTAAATATGCCGTCAAACTCACCAACAATTCGCACAGCCATCCAACTTGTGAAAGGAAATTTAGATATTTTTGAGAAGCTCAAGCAAAAACTCAAATAACCCGTCATAGACAAGACCTACAGCAATCCTCTTGCACCCATGTCCCAGACCCAGCTGGAAATCTGGTGCTAAACATCAAAACCTGAGTATTGTAGACACATTTAAGATCAAACTTAATCAAAAGCTCATCTGAAAAAACATTTTTCCCTTTTCTTGAGTTACATTAAAGTTAATTTTTCCATCATAATCAATCATTTCTATCCTTCCTCTTTTAGGCCAGTGGAACTTGGCCTGTAAGAGGCAGGAAGTCTTGCTTGGCAGGATTTCGGGAGGATGATTGAAGGTGTGCTTCACACTTCAGGTTGTGTTTCAAACACAGAAAAATGGAAAGCCATTTCAGAGTTTTTCTTGGTCAGATAAAGACACAGCTGTAGATACACGGTTTACTCATTATCTGGCACCAGACCCAGACATGCACAGAAGTGAGAGAGCTTGTTCATCACCACTCCTGGCTTTAATTTGATCGATGAAACACAGTCTGTTTTCCTCTTTTTTTTGCAGAATCACGATGGGCTTAGTCAGAGCTTTCTCTGGTGTTTGCACAGCATCTTTTCACTAAAAGTGGAGGTACATCCTGGAACAGCTGCTTCCTCACTCCCTCAAAATTTACAGATGAAAATGTGTCATATGTCACCGGTTTGATCGTTAAACCAGTAAATGAAGCATATTAGATTTTAAGAGGGGGTTAATTGCTGAGCTATTTCTTGGCCGGGTCTGGTGACTTATCAGGCAGGGGAAGGAAGGAAGTAGCTTCGCTGTATCGTCTCCAAAATGTTTTTTTCTAACGTGAGAGTTGTCGAGCCATGATCCTTTTTCAAGGCTGATTTACTTTGTGGTCCTGACATTGAATTATTGCCCTATTTTTTTATTGTTTCAGAATTTAGGCCCAAATATAATCCCATCTATAAACACATACCGAGGACGTTGATTTTATGGATGTTGTTGATCACTTGACTCCAAGACTAATGCGCCTCACAGGCAGAGATTGATTAGTCTCCTGATTGTGTCGCTTTAAAAACAAAGTTATTACACATTTTCCTTTGTACGCCTTCAACAAGCTTCAACAAATCCTGAATGCAAAGTGTGTGATGGTGATATATTTGATCCATTTCAAGTCGATTTACTCGTGGCGTGCATGCTCCCTCTTCTACCTCCTGCAACAGCTTATGTGATTGATATTAGAAATGTGAGAAATTCGATAACCACGCTCTCCTGATTGAAGAAAATGTGCATTTCGAATCAATATGCAATGCAGGTATTCTGCACAAAAAAGACGAGGTGACAATCTGTCACAGGGAAGGCTTAGGGAGCCGGGAGTGATCAGTACAGCTTCTAATGATGATAACACTAACACATCTGTGTCACAGAGGGGTAATTTGCCTTCAATCAGATTGGAGGAAGGCGTCGGTGGGTTTGTGTTTAGGTGAGAGGGGGAAGAAAAAGCCTCACACATCGGCAGAGAGATAATGAGGACCATCAAGCGCAAAAAAAATATGTGGGAAGAGGATCACGGCCATCAAAGTGAAAGAGAAAGCAAAAGAATAGAAGAGGATTGTTTCTTTTTTCTCCGGGTTGAATCAGTTTTTATACAAAGAGGACAATCTGTAAAGAGGTTTTTATTTCCACTGCAATCTCCTGTCACTTGTGCTCCAGCGTCCAGTGCTATTTAAGATCTGAAGTCATGGCAGGAAGGTGAATCACTCAGGGAATATTCACCTTTTCTGCAACGCAAACAAGACACACATATTATCACAGCTTACCATTCTCCTGATAATTGCAGCAATTGTCGACGTGAGATGCACGCCGTGGCTTCAGTTGAAGCCTCACATCCCTGTGTGGCTAAAAATAGCAGCTTGTGTTCTCATCTCATATCTCTTTGTCATCCAAGTCCTGTTTTTAAATGTGGAGGAGGGGCTGAAAACAGGAACAGCATTTCAAGCCAAACAAGAGGCGAAATGTAGAAATTAAGAAAACAGGTCAGGAAAACAAGAGAGTGTAGCGGTATACGGCTGAGAAACTTAAACGAAACGTGTTTAAAATGCATGTGGGGGCATGTTTATTTGTGTGCGCTTGCAGGATGTGAGAATGTGCCCGTGGGAGCGTGAACGTGTGGTGCCACTGTCTGTATCCTCCAGTCGTTCTTCACACTGAGCGCAAAAAAAAAAAAAAAAAGAGCATCTCATCTATTGCTCCTCAAGAGCCAAACAGTTCATGTTTCCCTGACAACGGCAGGCTGTGGTCACTTTTTAGCCAGCTTTGACAAAGCTGCCATGTCTCCTGATATTAGGAGATATGCAGCTTAACTGACTGAGTGGCTCCGATGAATCAATACTTGAGCGCCACTGCGAGGAGGAGTAACCTGTTGGGGGAAGGGTGATGAGCACTTAAAGATAGTCACACGTGGGTTGAGGTTGCCAATTCAAAATTTAAATGCACCATATCCCCTGGAGATGAGGCTCCCATTACTCAGTGGTGACCTATAGCAGGCAGCCAATGACACGTGTCCGCCTGATTGTCCTCATGACTTATTCTCCATGCTTGAGATGACATGAGGGGACGGCGAGCTACTTGTTTCTTCCTTTACAGACTCATACGGGGAAACTTAAAGTGTAAAACGTGTCCTTCAGTCTCAGAATTTATGATTTCATTTCTCTGAAGCGTTTGGTTGTCATCTGTCCTGAGTCCTGAGGCTGGGTCCATAGACTGTATATACTGTGGACAACTTGGTTCCGCCTTCCGGTATATGGATTTGAAGCCGAAAAGCTCTCTGTATTTTCTTCACTTACTGAAACCAACATTGCGCAGTAGCATCGTACGATTCAGCGGTAGAGTCGCTGTGATGACGCTTAGCTCAAACAGCGTAACCCCGGGGTGAGCTACGCAATCTTCCTACGCCCATAGGCTGTATCAGGTGTCAATCATTGAAAACATGAAACCCCTAATAACTTTTAAAAGACAAAAGAAAAAAGAGGACTTGAGCACAAACCAGTCTTACGGTAACTACATGTCAACATCACAACCGGGGGGAGAAACATCTATGTTCTGTGTAATAAAGTTCTAAAGTTTGTCCACAGCTCCATAGGGATTGCTGGAGGAGGCGGGATTTATGACCTATACTGCAGCCTGTCACCAGAGGGTGCTGTTCTCACAGTATACAGTTGGGCCTATAGGATCCAATCCAATCCAAGTTTATTCATAAAACACATTTAAAAAGACAACAAAACGCTGACCAAAGTGCTGTACAGTAAAAATTAAAAAACAATAAAAACAAACACAGGACCAACATTTCTTGATCCAAAATCAAATAATCCGATCATGATGTGCGTATGCACAAAGTTTTATTCAGATTAGAAGCGTTCGGACATGCGCAGAGTTGTCTGATTTCACTAAAACTACTGCAGAAGAAGAAGAGTTGTATTTACGCCTGTACTGTCAACAAACCAACAAACAAGGTATCGGAATAACGATCAGCATAAACCACCCCTCGCGATTGGAAGACAATTTCTTCATGACGCATTTTTATTCAGATTATTTGCACCCATGTAAACGCAGCTATAGATGGTTCAATAAAAACATGATTAAAAGGCTAAGTTCTCAAGAGTCAAAGCTCAAAGAGTAAAAGTGCGTTTTCAAGTTTGATTTAAAAACGGGCAGTGAGCGGGAGAGTCGGATATGAAGAGGAAGAACATTCCAGAGCTAAGGCGAAGTAATGAAAAGGCTCGGTCACCCCTGAACTTCAGTCTTGACCTAGGGACAGTCAGAAGGCACTGATCAGAGGATCTGAGAGTCTGGGATAAAGTGTGGGGTTAAGAAGGAGCAAGCCCGGACAGGTTATAGTGCTTATAAACACTTGTGTGAACAATCAAATTGGCTCTCATCCACAATCACATCTGTTGCTGGAACGGTTGTAGTACTGGGGCGTTCCGGTCACAGACTGAATACAATTTCTACACAGCCTCACATTTGCGAATCTTCCTGGCAATGCTGGGCTAAAAATATGACTCTGTTTGCAGGAAAAGGGTAAAGGCTAAAATAAAATCCAGCATAATACGGCTCAGCTCACACCCTGAGTCATTTAATCACCATTTAGCTCTAGTTTATGTGCATTAATAGACATCTCCCCTCGAAAACAGCTAATAACCCTTACTTGACAGTTGTTTCTGAACTCCTCTCACTCTCACACTCCTCAAGTCAGAGTCAAAGTGCAAACAACGGCAGCACACTGAGAGAAAGAGGCTTGGCCAGAAAGATCTTGATGGTTAATCGTTGAAAAAACACCAGAAAACCAAAGAAGAGTACTGTCTCTGCTAACTTGCATCGTTCCGTCGCAAACCGCTGCAATGATAGGATGCTGCGGGTTTAATGCACTACTTGTTACATGCTGTGTCCTATTGGATGCAAGTTGTTGTGGTTGCAATTTAGCAGTGAAAAAAAAAAGGTAGTGATTCGTTCGTCAAGTGATTCAGGCGTCGGTGCATGTGGTCCCTCGTTCCCCGGTTACTGGCCTGGCAATGCTGTTTCTCTTTTCAGCTCAACTAAAGTGAGAAACGAACAAATCACTGTAGGAAGTGATTCAGTTCAGTACGTTCACTTAAAAGATTCAGTTCTTTTGAACGAATCGTTCACGAATGAGACAACACTAACACCTACCTCCTCACACCAGTTTCAGGCATTCGAAATTAGGGAACGAAAATCTCCAATCATGTTGCTGATGGTCTTGATTGTTTTTTGTATCATAAAAAGGGATTAATAAGAATTTTAGTCTATTTCATTAATGTTAAAAAACTCCCCACAGGAGCTTTAAATTCACAGACATGGACCCTCTCATCTATCTTCAAACAAATGAGCATCCTCTCCTCTCAAAATGATTAAACTCCCCCCTCTAAGTAAGCTTATGATGAGATACTTCTCATCCCTGCAAACTGTTTATATCACATTTAAAAGGCTCTATTTTAAGAACACGGCGTGATTCATTTACTTACAGTAAGTTGTGTAATGCTTATTTTCCAACAACAACTTATGTAAGTGAAGCTTCGGCAAACAAATACTTCAAAGCTTGGTACACCTCCACATACACACATCTGTGAGAGTCAAATTGATGCAGTTTTTGACAGGAAAAGCTATCATTTCCAGCCTGTTATCAGAGCGAGGATCTACAGAGATAACAGAGAAAAATGTCCAGAAAGAGCTGGGGAGGAAGATGGAGCATTATGTGTGGGAGGAAGTCACAGAGATACGTGATGGCAAAGAACAACAGAAAGAAAGAAGAAGGAAAAAATCACCGCTGAATTTGCTGTCAAACTCAAATCCATCTGTCATTGCATCCTGTAACAGATGCTGTCTAAATGCAAGGCTATCAGCAACAGACAGATTCACCACGAGACAAACAAATCATTACACATCTCAGCCACCTCGCAGTGAAGTAACAGAAATCTTTCCCCGTCTCTTGTGTGGAAGAGAATAAAAATGGCTGTCTACGTGCTCAAAATGAGGTCACGAGTAGCGTGCCAGAACATTACTGTTGTTCCTTCAAATATAATCTGAACAGATAAGACGCTGACATGCTGCACAGGCATGGAGGCGTACTGACTCACTCCACTCCTGCAGCTTATTCATCACTAATTTCAGAGGACGTTAGAAAACCTCATTTGGTCGTCCTTACGTTGATGCTGTCCATTAAACTCTGTGCAACCTTTACTAATTGACTGCAGCAAATTCCTTCTGTCTCCTCTGTTGGTCTTTTATTCCCGGGGGGGTTTCTAGCAGGGACCTGTGCTTTAATTCAATCTGCTGTGTGCTGCAAGTAAATTTCAATCAAGGTTTCTTTATGAGAGTGCCTATTGTATCCACTGCCCCTGACCCAGGGTGTGCTGGGTAAATACAGACCGGAGGCTGTGAGTCAAACATGCCCCCTGTCTCATCACTGCGAGAATAGAGGACAAAGAGCGAGCAGGACGGGAGGAGAGAGAGGAGAAGGTGCAGCTCGCCTCTGAGGGTTATTCCTCTGCAAATGAGAAACCATAAATCTGTGTGTGTGAGACCTGTAAGAGCTGAAACCTCCTAATGGTTTTCTCCGCCGGTCTACCTTCAACAAAGCAGGAACCACACTCTGGAGTCAACCTAAGTTCTCCATCAAAACGTGGAGGCTCTTCTCACACTCAGCGGACTCTTCTTGTCTCTCTGTTCACACCTGCTTTACCGCGCTCGTTCCCTAATGAGGGTTAAGCACCGTTTAGTAGAAGAAAGAAGAAACTCAATCAGGATGTCTTCACTGAGGGTCTCTGCGGACAGGAAACAATGAAGCAGACCTCTTAAGTCTCTATAACTAAATGTTAAATCCAGCAGAGCAGCTACATGTAACTCAGCAGCCTGACTGAAGATCTCCTCTCAGTCCTCCTGTCAGATGTTTTCCACATCAACACGGGTGGGCTCACGTTCAAGCTTTCCTTTTTTGTTTGTTTCCTCTCCGGCCTGATCTCATTTTCTCAGTGGCACCTCGTCTGTGTAGATAACCACAGCTGTTACAGGGAGGGCTGCGTGCGAATAAAAGAGCGAGAAAAATTGGGGAAATGTTTAGAAGCAGAGTCAGGTGTGGTGACCTTGGAGATTTCTATCTTGAAAGCCCCTCCGCTGAGGCTGCAGTGAGGTGAACAAACACCTCCAGTCAGCTGAAGCTTAGAGTCGACGCTGCAAAACCCAGTGACCTTTGACACTCACACATACATAGACTTCATTTACACTTTATGGGACTATAAAGGGATATTCCAGCGTAAAATTAAGTTAGGGTCAAACACATCGAGTTAGACACCCTGTGGCGAGAGGAATTTTGCCGACCACTTGCTTCTCTAGTTTTACCAACTTTAGTAACTCGCTCAACCAAAACGCCGCTCTATAGCCACAAATAATGCTCAGAACAGCACCTAACTTCATCAACAGGACATATAGGGTCCTAGCCACTTCTTTAGCAAAGGGACTAAACACAACTCACCTACTCTCTTACAGCAGCCGCTTGTTTGTAGTGAGACCTCTAGGCGAGTCCATCTAATGCAGCGGGGTTTCGCAGCTCAAGGAAGAACATTTATGATAATTTCTTTATCATTTCCTTGTAGTAATAATCATCACATTAATCATTTTGCACTGCAGACATGGCAGTCCTTCTGCCTTAGCATCTCGGTCTGATTGCATTTCCATGAAGAAATGATCATAAATGTTCTTCCTTGAGCTGCGAAACCCCACTGTAGTCCATAATGGACTGGCCTGAGGTCTTGCTACAATCGGCTGCTGGAAGAGAGTGGGTTAGTTGTGTTTAGTCTCTTTGGCTGGGACCCTATATGTCCTGTTGATGAAGTTAGGTGCTGTTCTGAGCATTATTTGTGGCTATAGAGTGGCATTTTGGTTGAGCGCACGGCTCCATGTATTGCTTTCATGCAGTCGTTACTAAAGTTGGTAAAACTAGAGAAGCAAGCGGTCAGCAACATTCATCTCTCGACGGTGTGTTTGACCCTAAATTAATTTTCACCTGAATATCCCTTTAAAGCTGACCAGATCTCACTCACTCTAATGTGTTTAAGATGAAATTAAAAGCTTTTCTTATGTGAAGAAATCGGTTTAATTTAAGCGTCAAATTAAATTCAATTATAAAGATATCTCTTAATTTTACCAAATCTCTTTACTTAAAGAGTGTAAGTTAAAAAAGGTGTTTATGAAATATGTCTGAATCATACTGCTGAGGGCTCACTTTGCCTCGGTGTGAACTGAATCAATAAAACAGCTTTCTTTATATCTCACTTGGGGGCCGCTTTGTTTGGAGCAGCGCACTCATAAAAACTTGAAAGACGCATTCAGGGAACAAATGAATCAAAAACGCGTGTAAAACTTTAAACAAAGTGAATAAAAGATATTTGGACATTATAGATTTTGCTCGTCACAGCTCACACTGGAAAGGAACGGAGAAGAAATACACTTTCCACTGGTGCAGTCACACACTTAAGATTTGAGTGTTTTCGCCCACTTTAAGAGCATGAAGAGCAAAAATTTAAACCATCTTTAAAGCATCAAAAACACCTGATTTAACTTCTCACTGCCCCTGCTTTGCAAACAAACCTTGTACATTCAGAGCTCGTGGTACATGACCCTGCAATCAGATGTGTCTGCAGCTAATGAGGTGTGGCATCTGACCTGTAGCCGTGAATAAAAGGGCAGCCTGTTCTATTTTTAAATCTGGACTTTAACCAGGTGATGCCTGCAGCAAATCTTTCCATAATTACCTGTGTATAAAAGCCACCTCCATCTCCTACCAGAGCTGGCATTACAGAGAGATCAGCATGACTCAGAATGCTGCTCCAGATAGGAGACATGCTGTGATTAAAAAATAACAATATGCAAGCTGGCATTTCTGCCTCACAAGAGAGAGTTTACAGCGTCAAAGTGAAGCTCTCCAAGGCTTTAAGTCAGTCGGGTCTCCATAGCAACTAGTAGACTTGTAGACTAGGGACATCTGATAGTGCGGGGAGAATAAATAAAATAGGTGGAAAAGGCTAAATCGGCATTTTTGGGTGATATTTAATTGATAAGTTGAGCTAGTATGAACCTTCCTCTGGTGAATTGAAATTTCTCTACAGACAGAGACATGATACCTGACTGGAACTGGATGGAAAGGACGAGATTGGCGGGACGTCCAAAACCTTCAGCTCGTACATGTTGCCGTTCAGGATGACGGAGGGTCTGTACACATATCTGGTCCTGGTCGGCGTGTACACCTCCGAGAAATCGTTATAGATGAACTGGCGGATTATAGAAGTTTTCCCCACTCCGGGAGCACCGATGACTGCGATACTCAACGTCTCCACCATTCCTGGAGCTCGAGTTCAGCACCATGGACAGCGGCGACGACAACCACAGATGTGACCGTGCAGAGGAGACACATACACAGCTGGCTGACTGCTGCCGCTGCTGCTCTGGTGGAATTTTAATCCAGCAGCCGCTAATGAATCACCTTAACCGGGTTCAACTGACCGGGCGGATCATCCAGAGCGCAAAAACTTTATCTCCACCGCAGAATCACGCAGCTTATATGCTGTCAGAAATAAATCCCAACCATGATCACGCAGATAGAGAGATCCAACATGAAAAGAAAAACTCTTGGGACATCCCCAGGCGACCCTGTCCCCCGAGTGGAAGCGTAAAAGTCCGATCTTCTCGTCCCCGTACGGACATAATCTCACCCAGGCTAGACTCTGACCTTGTCCGAGCGCACTCGATCCCTCGCTGTCTTCATTGATTATCTCCTCCTCTGCACCTCTCACTCATTCCCAGCGATGCACCGCAATCACAACCACAACCTCCTTCGCGCGCCTCCATCACGGGCAGGACGCGCGCAAAGCAGCAGCAGCAGCAGAAACCGGCCTCGCAAATACGCTTTCCACGTGCTCGGGAATCGCACACGGCCCCATAATCCTGAATGCCCTGCAGATGAATATGAGGTGGATCTACAGCAGCGTGCGTCAAACGGCAGGAAGGGAGCCAAACGGAGAGCGGACGCGCGTTTTCAGTGAAGGCATCTGGAGCGTATTAACGAGCATTGTGTGTGTCTCCCTTCAGAGAGACAAGAGCTGCTGAGACTGCTCCCTCTCTCTCTCTCCTTCTCTCTCTCTTTCACTCCCTCTCTCGTCCAATAGGATCATGTCTTCTGAAAGCTTGGAGCTCCCATGCGCACGGCAAATAAATGGCAAGGGAGCAGACCACACACGCACACATACACACACACCGTACATCATGTCGTTGTGAGGGGTCATGGAAGAGCAGCGCGACTCTGAACATCATATCTCTGAAGAAGATGACCTCTTATTGGAGAGGCTCCTCCAGGCAGGGCAGAGGCCCACAGTCCCATCAATCACTGCGGGATGGCACACCGCTGCGGCCACACTTCATTTCAGTCCAGGGACAGTCTGAGGAGTCGATATGAATCATGTGAGAGAAATGAGTTTGCAGCCTCTGACGCAAAGCCTTCTTTGTGAACGGATAATAAAACTCTGTGTACTATTGACCTATCAATAAGTAATTCACGAGAACTAAACACACTCCAGGGTTCTTAAATCCCCCACACAGAGTATTAATATTCATCGTCTGTAGAGTTTTACCATTGTTTGATTTTATGACAGTATAAAGAATGATATTTGGCTCCATTTCGATCTCAGTTTCAACCCTGAAGACTTGGACCTGATGACCCCTGAAATAAGAGAAATGTCAAATAAGGAAAGGGCAAAAAGAAAGCCAAGCACAAACAGAAAAGTCTTCTTTAAACTCCCTCAGAATAACTGTCTAATCTGTTCCCATTTGACACCAGGAAAATTATTCAGATTGACTGTCAAAGGTCCAAACCTCTGATCTAACAGTGGTCACTTAAAAGGATCATTTATAAACACATTTTTAGGTCAAGTGATGTGTATGATTCATGCCTTTGATTACTGTAACGTACTTTACTTTGGAGTCAGCCAGTCCTCCCTCTCACTCCAGCCGCCCGGCTCTTAACTGGAGTATGTAAGAGGAAGCACGTTCCTCCCATCCTGGCCTCAGTCCACTGGTTACCTGTGCATTTTAGAGTTAATTTTAAAATCTTTTATTTGTTTTTTAATCTTTAAATGGCCTGTTTCCATCGTACCTCTCTGAGCTTCTCCACCCCTACACCCCTGCTCGGTGCCTCAGGTCAGCTGATCAGCTGCTCCTGGAGGTTCTGAGGTCCAAACTGAAGCTCAGAGGGGATAGATCTTTTTCTGTTGATGCCCCAAAATTATGGAACGAGCGACCCCTCCAAATCAGACGAGCCCTCACACTGTCCATTTTTAAAACTCGTCTTAAAACCCATTTTTATTCACTGGCTTCGGCTCCTGTTTTAGTGTTTTATGTTTTGTTTTTAGTTTCTATATTCTTAAATTAGTTTTTAAAAACATTGAAACTATATTTTACTTTTTAATATCTGCTTTTATTTTATCCTATTTGTGTACAGCACTTTGTTCATCTGTGGTTGTTTTGAAGTGCTTTACAAATAAAGTTGAGTTGAGTTGCTTGACCAAATTCTGCCTGTGCTCGTGAAACTGAGGCTGTTATTTTAAGGCTGTATCTTTCAGGGACAATTTTTTCATGTATCAAGCAGAGCAATTCTGAGGGCAAACATCAGGAAAACAATAAAAATCAGTAAATAAGATAAAAACATAAACCTCCAAAGACCTGGGATGGGGGGCTGGATGAGAAATACGGCTCAGTACACGGCTGTGGAAAAAAAATAATAAATGCGCTTTCAGGGGAAAATTGAAATTGTATGAAAAGATGTGAAAACCTTTTGTGTCATTTCTGGAGCGTGGCGACAAAGAATGAGCTTTCTGAAACTAGCTGGGCTTCATTTAAGTCTGCTGAATGTTCTGCTCTTGTTCGGTTTTATTCACTTAATCCACTTTGCCCCTTTTTTTTTTTACTTCTTTATTTATTTCATTATTAAGATACTATTTTAAAATTCAAATCCAGTCTCTTTTTTTGCCTGTTTTTCCTCTTTGATCTAAGGGCTTTTTGTGATGGGTAAAGACACCAGGGTGTGAGGGATTGAAGGATAATCTGCATACTCTTGTTTTGCACTTTTTAATGAATCGATAAAAATAGATGATTTATTTAGAAAACGAGTGGAAGGATAAAAATAGGATAAAAGCAAATGACAGTAGCGAGGGAAACAATTGAACTTACCACGAACACCAGCTGCAGATTCATATCCCTGCAGGTAGAGACGCATTAGTTGAGCAAAATTGCAATAATTTACCTCCCTAGGTGGAGTTACGGGTTGGTTTATCAGTTACTTACTCACCTGGAGAGAGCTTGGTCCACAATAACCTAAAATTTTAAGTATATTTTTGTTAAAATTATCTCAGTTCAGTTCTTTCATTTTAGTCAAACAGCAAAATAAACACTATTTGATTGAACATCTTTAGAAAATGAAGTATCATTGTTTCCTGTTTCTGGTGTTGAAATCAAGTTTCTCCTTGTTTGCAAATTCTAGCTTCTTCCCTGTTCACACAAATGTCTCTCAGCCTGTTAAACCGAGCTTTAGAGGATAATAACCATCCCTCCGAGCACACTCAGCCTCTAACTGAAGGTAGTGCGCTAGTGCCCCCTGTTGAAAAGCATTCATCACAGGATCAATATTATAGATCACTTATCTAAAAGCATAAAGGAGAGACTGTCACAGCTTGAAAATAACGGACTCACTCCCTGTCAGTGGGTTTGTATCCGACCTCTTCGAGAAACTGAACTCAGAGCTGTTTGGTGATGCAGCTAAAATCCCGGTTTAGCTCTTTTCCAGGCAGCTCGGTCTTTGAAGCCCCACAGAGGAGCTTCTCGGGCTCAAGCCACCGCAAGACTCATCTCATTTCTCAAGGTTGAACAACACTAGAAGACTTTGTATGCAGCAGTGGAGCAGAGAGCTGAGCCGAGCCACTGAGAAGAGGAGTGAACGCCTCAAAGGTCATCGATGATTATAAAGTATGATGTGTGAAAATGAGGCACGCTGGCTTCCAGGGACCGAGGGCGAATGAACTCTGCCAAGCAAATAAAACAGAGATAATGTTTGGCATTCTGTGACACTGGAGCTTTGGCAATAAAAGACTGTGACACAAAAACAAAGTGTCTGTGAACTTTTTTTTACCTGTCGGCATCCAAAGAGTGAGGAGAAAAGACTGAAAGTGTGAATTCATCAAGACTTTTAATAGGTCTTCTTCAAATGATGTACACACAATGAAAAAAAAAATCAAAAGCATCTGATTAAATATTTGATTTCTTTTTTTACAGCATTTCATATGAATCAGCCGTCACCACACACACACACACGCACGCACACACACACAAAGACACACTCAGGATACACAGCCTCCTCCTCTGTTGTAATCTTTACAAGGTTTCAGAGTAAGTACGTACATCTTGTAAAGCTGATAAAAAAGCTTCAGTGTGACGATTTGAAAAACAGAAACCCAATTAACCTCGAGTCGACCGTGAAGCAGGGACACTGGGAGCCGTTTCAGCCTCCTCTCAGACAGAACTACATGTACACATATTACTCAGGTGTATCAAAACATGATAAAATTCTCACCTGAGCCTTCATCTCAGGTGGAACTTGAAAGAGAGCTGCTATCAGGATACACCGAGAGGGGGGCAAAGTGGCAGAGAGCACCCGAGTGGATGTCAGTGACGCAGGAGGAAGAGGAGGGAAAACAAAATCCTCGACACCTGAGGCTCTCTCCTAGTCTGCCGCATGTGCGCTAACAAGACTACAGACACCAAATAAAGCATGGAATGGCTAAGTAAGAGAGCAGGCAGCAGAAAACCGCTGCGAGTCTATAAAACATCCAAATTAACGTAAAAATTAAAGGAGACTCACATCAACGCAAAGTTTCCATGCACACGGCACGCGTCAGACATTCTGCTTCACTGGAGCAGCCGAGGATGTGAACCCACCGCTAACCACAGACGCTAAAGCCAGCTACGAAATGACAAAGACAACAAATATGTAGTTTGTAAGTAGTAATATGTGTTATGAGGCCCGGGCAGCTGTCTCGGAGGGTTAGAGTCTGTCGCATCCAAAGTGAAAGTACCCTAAATAAATGTGCCGACAGCGATGGTTCACCTGCTGATTTGCAGACGCTAAAAATAGACTCAATTTGAAGAGAAGTGGGGCTGGATAATGATTCGAGAGCCTCATGCAGAGAAAACAGTCACGGGAACACAAGTTCCGCTGACGTCTGTCCACTAAAAAAATCACAGGACGGCTCAGGAAGAGACGAGTGGGAAAGTGTTCGTTCAGAAACTGAAGATATGAGTTTAAAAAACATAGAAAGGACTGAAGTGTTCAGAAAAGACTGTAAGAAAAGGGGCCAAGATGGAAATCATTATTGATCCTAGTTTAATAGCTGGATGATAAACAGAGCGCAGCCTCCAGAACCTGACGCAGCAGGAGGAGGCGGCTCCGGCACTTCATGAGTGTGTAATATTGTTGGTGGGTCAAGATGAGGAGAGAGCAGGAGGTGTAAGGGGGTCTGTGGGGGCAGCGACTGGGTCCATGAAGGTTGTGATTTCTCTCAGTTCTTCAGCATGGCCTCGTAGCTCTGGAACACACACTGAGAAACCTCTGGAGCTCTGCACTTCAGCGAGACCTGAGGGAGAGAGGACAGGAGCAGGGGTGAGCATGACTGGACTCATAAAGTTGTGGATTAAAATTCGATAACACCGAGCAGGGTTCATAAAGACTCGCTGAGGGACATACACAAGTTATGGAGGCAAAAATACGACGCAGAGAGAACTGAGCATCAAGTGGAGTGATGGAGGAACAGCAAATGGGGCAACTACATCTTTAACTCATTCAGCGCCGGGTTCATTTATGCAGTTTTCACCCAGTGCAGCCATTGACCAAGATAGAAATTTCTGTATCTTTCAGGACCCACAGAATCTCTTGTGCTTGGACTAGAATTAAAAGCAAAATCTCAAAAGAAAGGGGTGATTCTATTCTTTCACCAGAAATAAACATTAGTCTCTAACCCACTCCTGTGTTTGGTTATTGCCTGTTCAATGCAGCCTGGTTGTAAGATCTTTGCCGATCTGGAAAAAACACACAGACTGGTCGCGTCCTCCCCACCCGGACTGACGCTGAATTCCGGCTCAGTCTCTCTCACCAGTACCGGCAGTGGCGGCACAACGGCAATCAAAGAAATTGGTTCTTTGATTGTCTGCTGACGATGTGAAGGTCCTCTCCTCAGAGGAAAAAAAACGCTCCATAACTAGGCTGATTGGCACACTTCTCACTGGCGAGTACTTGTTTTTGTTATTGTGACAAAGTTATGATGTATTTGTCGGCTCTTCTGCGATCAGAACGACCCCAAACTTAATCACATGTCGGGAAGAGGAGCGCCCTCTGGCGGAAAACAAAAAATCTGAAGAATCCGTCAAAATCCGTCAGTGGCACTGAATGAGTTAACACAGCTTTGATAAAAAGACAGAGAAAGGTACTTCTTACTAGAGAAATCATTATTTTCCAACAGAGAATATTTTTTTATTATTATAAGACCTTCTCATCATCCATATCAGACACAGATTAACAGGCAGACAGAATTATAGACAAATAAACACTCTAAAAATATAGACAGCCTCTCCAAATCTTCTCTTTGAAGTCGATCTCATCTGGGAGTAGGTGAAGGATTTGATACCGCCTCAAAAAGACAGACTCTTATTCCCTTCAGCGATCAGAGCTGACGATGTTTCCTCAGACTCAAAACCACAGAACTCACAATGCAGAGAGGATTTTTGGATCAGGACAGATTCTGCTTCCAACACGACATAGTTACTACATGAGACAGCGCTCACCAGTAATACAAACGTTCACTTATTAATTAATGCAAAATTTAGACCTGCTGTGCTGTCTCAGATGATCAATAGATCCCACTAATCCTGTGATGTGACACAAGTCTAGAGACAATCTGCGTGCTCTCTGTCTGACAGAAACACACACGCACACACACCGAAACACACAAACATTTGTGTTCGTGTAAAGCTGCTCTGCCTCTCAGTCACAACATCGTTCGTTCAGCTTTAATTAACATCATTTCAGAGTCCTATTTGTTCCACTGGAAAGTTTGCTGGGTCACAGCGTGAGTCTGCTAAAGGGAACGAGTGGAAACTGTCGTCTGTGACTGTTTCTGAATGACGAATATAAAGAATGCAGAAAAAATATCAGGAACTTGGTGCTGCACTGAGGGAAACATCCTGCTGTTTTATTTATCTGCATGTCTGCTTTTGGCTTTGAGTGATTTATTTCCTTGGTTTTTTCCAGGTATGTCAGGACTCTGATTTTTTATTAGACAACAGAAAAACAAGCTGCAGTTTTGCCAAACCAGAGAGATTCTGAAGTCAAATCTGAGTCCTTGTATTATCCATTTTTAAAAACTAACCTCAGGACTTGAAGATGGAAAAATCCACAGGATAGTAAACACCTTAAGTTACAGACTGTAACCATGTTTGACACTGTATTTTACAGGCCTGTGCTGCTGTGAATTGACGAATAAGAGCAGGAGTGTCCCGATACAACTTTTCGACTTCCAATACGATACCGGTATTGTAGCCTTCAATATTGACCGATACAGATATTGATCCTATATTGGCACATAATTGTGCATGACAAGTTCTTCACTCAGCTGCAATGTCTTTTTTAGACTGAAACAAAAAATACTGCCACAGGGCCAACATCACTCTTATCCTGAATTTCCACCACCTCTGTAACGGAACGGAAAGAAGCCGGTGGAAATGGACACATTAGCTTGAATGGTTACAATCAGCTACGACCGGCGGATAAGACCTTTTTGTAGCTGTTCCTGGATTTGCTGGATCAGGGCGCTGCTAGATAGAGGTGCTGGAGCGGAGTCTGGTATGGACTGCTTGTATCGCAGTGCTGATATTGGAGATTTTAGATGCAGGCCGATATAATCCGATATTCGTTTTTTTGCTGATGTCTGACTGATATCAATATCGTACCGGGACACCCCTAAGTTGGAGATAAGATCAAACTGCAAATAAGATCCTTTTCAGAGTGAGAAAAAGACCAAGACTAGATACGATATTTGGGGTTTGAATCTAATTAAAAAGCAGGTATCAGTATTTGAGACGTGTTTCTTCCATCATTAATTTTAAGCGGTGGCCCACCCGCCGCACCCAGCAATGTCTGCTCTGCTCACATGTTCCCACCAAGGGCAGGGCTCAATCATGCTTTACAAACACACACTGAAGGCTTGACTTTCATCCTGTCAGCATGTTAATAAATCAGAGCTTCCGGACTGCCGGGGGTGACTCTAGAGAACATCAGGCTCGCTCATTTTTTATTAAGAGCCTCATATACAACCTTATATGAGTTTAGTCCAGGACAGTAGAAAAACTTTACAGGCATGAAACATAAAAAACTTTCTGGATGATTTTCAAATTAAGGCCCAATCTGCTCTCATCCTTTCCCCCTTTGTGTCTTACATCCCTGCATGTAGGATTTAAGTGTTTTGTCACATCCTCAAAACAAGTTGTACAAGCACGTATACTGAGTGTTAAAGTTTGAAAACAACATTGACTCTCTGTCTCTTTAAAGTTTATGACATGCAGTACTGGAGGCCTTTCTGTCTCTGCTGAACTATTGCGATTGTGAGTGGACTTATCGGACTCATCAGCTAAATAACATGGACACGAGCTGTGGAGCAATAGGGGATCATCCACTGATTAATCCACCCAAAGTTGTGTCATTCTCTCGGGAGGTTAAATAAATAAAAAGGCTAAAATGGGTCAGTGCGTTTATTCCTGCAGCTGTTGATAAATCCGGGCTGAACGCCAAGGGAAGTCTATGTGAGTGAAACACTGCAGGCATATTAACAAATTGGTCTGGAGTTTCGAGACTCGTAAAGACATATTTATGCATTAGATTTAATAGAATATACAGCTCGTCTCTGATTGTGCTTTATCTTAATCATGTTCTTTTTTCTGAATCTTAATGAATGTTTTTGCCTCATTATCTTCTTATTTAGTTTTCCACATCGTCAAACTTTCAGAGGACTGCTTTAAATCTTTGCTTTTTTGTTTTCCTCCTGGGATCTAATATCAACATCATTCAATCAACAGAGTCTATGTTTGAAATTCAAGTGATGTGACAACACTGCGATAATTTCTCATTAACGGTGGCACCATCACGATAATTAGAAGATCAGTTATTCACTCGAGATCTTCTTAGTGCCCCTCCTCGTCTCGACGGATAGGAATATCAAACTGGAGTGACAGGGAGGGTTGTTTTGGAAACCGCAGAGCTGCAGAGGAATAAAATGGAAATACTGCCCCGCTCTTTAAGCGTTGCTTCTGTGCACCCGGGGCTCTTTACTAATGCATGCTGCTGCTGGCAACATTTAGGCAGCCGTTCTACTGTCAGCATGGGGTATGAGATGTGAGGAAACGCTCAGGCCGCTGCGTCGAACCTGCTATTAAGAGAACTTCAGACTTCAGCAGTTATGTGTTCAGCTTCAGGCTTACTGCTGATTATAATGGTAATGTAAGTGGTACACGGAAAAAATAAGATACAAACAGAAGGAAAAAGTGGTAGCAAAGACGAAGAAGGCTTTAATCACTTCATATGGACTGAAAAACATCCAGCTGACTTTGATCTTTCAGAGAAAATAACCACTAAGTTTGAAGTTATTTATATATCTGTGTTACTCACGGTTAATATCAAGACATGATGTTTTTTTCCCCCCATCTAAAATGTCCCAGTAATAGATAGAAAAATGGATCGCATTAGTGGTCCATGAGCAGCCTGGAACACTGCAGGGGTCTTTATGAAACCTGCTTTAATGAAAATCTGAAGCAGCTGCAGTTTTCTGATGCATCAATGCAGCAAAAGGGCAAAAACAAAGAAAGGTGGCTGTTTACCGCCTGATCCTGATGAAATATGATGCATCGTAATGTTCACATCTGTCCCACGTATACGGCTCGATTTCCTGAGCAAAAGATAGTGATAAAGACGGAGCAGTGTCGAATTATAAATACGATCAATCATCAAAATTGTTCTTTCGCATGTACGATTAATGTCGGCTCGGTCAGTATTCATCAGGTCCTCAGCCACAGTGCACACAATGTTATATTTTGTTTGGAGTGAAGTGTTATGCAAGATGTTTTCTGCTAATTTACTTTGAAACTTTGGAGAAAGAAACAAGACAGCTGTGCTACATTTTTGTTAATCCACTTAGAATTAAAAATAAAGACCCTTTCTTACTGTATTTAAAATCAAACACAAACATTAGTATTCAAAGCGGTCCTCCAGTTGTCGGTTTTGCTGTCTGGACCACTTTTGCTACAACGACCACCTTTATTCCCACCGCATTAAATGATCTAATCGTATAAAAACGTTAATTAAAAGCATTAGGAGGCCATGCACATCCAAACCCCATCAGAACAAGAGAGTAAGGAGGGTGTAAATAGAACACAGCTGAAAGCGACGCCACGCAACAGAGCTGAAACATATCGGTGTATGAAATATCAGAAAAAATAAGCAAAGACAGGATGTGTGAGCAGAAGCAAAAATCAGAAGTCCTGCCATACGTTTCAAACCCCGGCTATGATTTGAAAATGTTTAATGTTTCGTGCGTATAACCACATCAAACCATGAAGATCCGCAATGGCAGGGCTTTGCTCCTTCAGGTCTAAAAATAGCCGCCGACAAAAGGCTTGAGCAGCTCAGCTTTCATGTGTTGTGCCAAGAGAGTGCAGGGACCATGCAGCAGCCAGCACTGCGGGGAGACGAGCATCAGAGTACACACTGTACATGCAATTGAGTTAGCCCTCTATCGTCTCTTCACTAAACGATTCATGATCCCCGCACATAGAGTCGGGGAGCCCGCCAACCCCCGCGCAGGAGTGAGTTGAGCTATAAAATGAACATGAAATCAGAATGACAGTGGGAGAACAGACTGCTAAATGCTGAGAATAACTTGTGGGATTAATGAGATTACACCACGAATGGGCGCTCAGGGGAAATAAAATGCAACTAATCAAGAGAGAGAAAATGAAAAATGCAAACCGCTCCCTGCAGAAAGAAATTTCATAAAATAGATGCTCGACAAACAATCATAAGGCAATTATTTTTCCCATCACTCCATAGGTTGCACACTAAAGCTCTGTTCAACAGTACCTATGCTTTTGAAACGCTCTGATTTCAGGTCACGTTGTACAGAAAGGAGAATCTTTGAAATTACAAATTCTGAGGAGTTACTGAGCAGGCTGGGCGAGCGACAAATTGACTAGTCTAGACAGGAGAGAAAGGAAAAAAAGACTTAAATGCTGCCTTATAAAATAAAACCATCATCTGAAAGCAGACTGAGGGATGAGAAGGGGAGCAGAGTCGCATCAAGGTCATCGCCCCCCACTGGTGGCAGAGAGTCTGTGAGCCAAACACGATCCATCATTTCGCAGAGCGTGATGTGCTGACGAAGCAAAGACATGCGACTACACAATGAAGAACGCAAACAAATAGATGCGCACACACCGAACAGGCGGGCACAAACACGCATGAGTCACCGGCACTACTACCACACTTCAATCACTGCACAATCAACCAGTCCGCACCCTTCAGCGCACTTGTCACTCTTTACAGCGCATGGGTCTGTCTCTGCTTGTTCACATCAGCAGCTGCTCCATCATTTGTCTTTATCCATGAAGCTCAGTCATGACAGTGTTACGTTCGCTGCATCCCGTTGATTTAATTCGGCGTGTCAGCTTTCACTTTGAACTCGGGCGCAAAACGGAGGCAGGAACTTCTTTAAACTGTGTATGATGAGAATGTCCTGCTTTTAAGATGCAGACAACCTGGACGATTTGGTCCAGACAGTAAAACGGACAAACTCTTTGATTTATGGTTGGACAATACCGCTCAAGCATTTTATTTATAGCTTCTAAAAATAGCTCTGTGATGATTGGGTAATGTGGTGTAGAAGAGTGAAACTGTCTCAGCGACGTGTTTTGGGTTATGATTAAGAGCCTGATTTGGTTTCAATTATTGATATGAACCTCTTAAAATGAGGAATGACTTTCGGTGGGTTAGCCATTTTCTGTTTGTTACACATTTTTGAACATGAACTCCTAAGGGGGAAAAACTTAAATTGCATTTTTTTAGACAAATTACGACTGCCTCATGAGTCGCAATTAGTAAGTCATAAAGCAGTTTGTGGTGCAGAGGATCATCACAGAGTGAACGCCTTAAATTTTAATAGAAAAAAAGTGTTTTAAATAAGCTTCCTTTAATAAAATACTTCAGGTTATGTCTCTGTCGATCTCTGTTATCAGTGAGCAGGTAACAGGACCACCAGTCTAACAATGACGTGAAACTCTTCCTTTTTACTTTCATACCTCGTTTATCCCCCTGACTTATCCCCCATTCCATACATTCACACTCTGGCAGCGCCTACTGCATCGCTTGTGCATTCCTTTTATACTTTTGATATCTTTGTATCCTTATTTTATTGTCTTCTTCTTAGTACATATTGCGTATGACAAATAAACCAATCTTGAATCTTGAATCTTGAAACCCCGCTGATACAACCGTCCGAGTACTCACTGTGTAGTTAGGGTTTCCTGCCTGGACCCGCAGCTCGGCCAGCACCCAGATGCCGTTGGTGAGTTTCGTGGACTGGTAGAGCATGTCCTGACCCTCCACTGTCCGTTTAGCGATGGTGAAGACGTTGCTGCCCTGCAGTTTGTTGGAGGCTGCATCTGTTGAGGGATCACAGTGATGACATCCAGGTCAACATTTTAACTGTTTAATGAACTTCTATTGTTTTTAAGACAGAGACTGTATTTAATTTTCAGTTTCAGGATTATTTCCCTCCAATCATCTGCTGACATTTCACTCTACGCTGTCAGTGCAGCAAAGATTTAGTCGCTAATTTGTAAATATCTTTCCAGCTCAGACTCGGCGTTGCTGCGCCCCAGCAGGATGTGAACCCCTCTCTCTTTGTTCACCAAGAAGAAATGTAATCTGTGGGGAGGGGGGGATCTCCATTAAGCTGTCAATAGGAATTCTTCTCCAGCTTGGCTGCTCTCAGGCTCGTGTGAAACTAAATAATCACTCATAAATAGAGACTACAGCACTAAGTGCCCATCAAATCCTATCTGCTTCATTGGCGAGTATCTGAAAACGGCCACTTCTCTGTTAAAACGTTTTCACAGATTTGGGAGCTGCAGGATGGAGGTGAACCATGTCGTCTGATCCCCAACTTTCTTCTCACCTGAGTTGAGATGACAGTCTTTGATCTGAAACTGGGACTCATTGTCATTAGGAATGTCTTTCCATGTGGCGAGGAACACCTGCCGCTCTGCAGATGAAGAGACACAATCACAGGATGAGTCCAAAGACACAGGGAGAAATGTACTGTATGAGAATAACAAGAGGAGGTGTAGTAACCGTAAATCTAAACACACACTGAGGGAGAATATTCATGCGGTGTGTGAAAAGTTTAATTTCACATTACGCGTGGAGCCTCCTGCTGCGACTCGGCCCCTGGCAGCCGCCCAGCTGCTAGTCCCCCATCAGGAGGCTCCACGGGGGAAAATGCCATCATGTTTTTTTCACAGAATAAATCAAACCACAGCACACAGAAAAGAGAACAAAGACCAGAACTGGCACTGGAGCACAATCTGGGAGAAAGTGTGCAGCTTGAGAGGTGAACGGGTACAGGCAGGTGGATGTTTCTCACATATCTGCGCCTCACACTTGGCCTCACTTTTCACATGTTCATAATTCAACTCGGCTGAATGACTGATGTGTTTGCTTTTGACGTCAGCAGGGTTCTGACGCTCTCACGAGCGAAGCCAAGAGACACTCACCCATCTTCCCGTCCTCTACAAACAGCATGCTGATGGGGTACTGGCAGCTGAAGTAGAATACGTCAATGTTGTTCTTTACAGCCACCTGTGAAAGTGATTACATCCCAGGGAGGGGGGGGTAGAGGCAGAGGACAAGAGGAGAAACAAGAAGCAATATATGGGTAATTACTTTTTGAAGTGCCTTTCAAGGATAGGCATGCTGGTTTATGTGTGCTGTTTACTGAACAGGAGGGATGCAGTCCTTCAGGCATCTGATCCACTCATGCAAACAAAACGGAGGCTACATTAAAGCTCACCAGCATACATAAAGCCTGTGTTCTTCTCTGTCTCTCAGTGAGAATTTAATTTGCAACGATGATCAGAAAATACTTAACCTATCAAAAATGATCTATTCTTCAAACTGGGCTTAGCAAAGAGATATAAATAAATCAGAAAACACAGAGGAGTTGAGAATCGCAGGCTGTGTTGAAAAATTTAATGCTCAAGAAGAACAGGCCTCTACCACAAAAACAACATCACTTTTCAGCCTTTGCTCCCCAGACAGGACTTCACAGTTTGTGAACCCGTGTGGCACCCAAGACACTGACACAGCAGAACAACAGGAGCATGATGGAAGCACCTAAAGGAACAAGTGGCAGCTAGTGATATCGATCCAGAGGCTCAAAGAAGAGCCACTGAGTAAAAGACGGGGAGAGTTCGGCCAGAGGAGAGCAGAAGGACTCCTGAATTATTTATCAGGGTGTCTCATTCCTGGTTGCAATGCGGGGCTGCCAGTAACACGGTGTGTCACACACTAAGTACACAAGCATCATTTGTTTGTAAGAGGAAGAGGTTTTCTCACAAGAGGAGGTTAAACACAAAACTATCCCTGGGTCGTACTCACAAAGCTTCCCAAAACAAACGTTACAAAATCCTTAGAACAACAACGTTTATTAAGACGTTTTTCCCCAAAGAGTTAAGCTTAGGAAAGATAAAAGTTATTCACAAAGCATTTTAGCTCCTAAGAGAGCTCGTAAGGTGAAAAACTGCTGGGAGGAGTGAGGACGACTTTTAGGAGGCTTTAGACAGAGTCTCTCGAGCTGAGGTGGAAATGATGGTGAAATAAGAAATGCTCACCAATAAATAACAGTGAGTTTATATATCTATATTCTATATTTTAACTGGGTAATGCACGTTTAGTACAATATTTTATAGATCAGCCTCCTGTTAGGATGATTGTTAAAAATGCTTTTATCTCTTCCATTAACTTCTGAGCAGCATAGAGCCACAATCACTCTAACACATTAAACCTCATTCACATTATCGTCCTTATAGATCATCATTAAATAAGTGAAAGAGAGCAGACCTGGTTCAGGTACGAACTCAAAGTTTACGGACTGATCCAGGCTTTTTCATGTCCTCAATTCAATCTTTTTATTGTTTTTAAACTTATCTCTGCCTTTAAGCTCTTTAAGAAGCACTTTGAAAATAACAAAGAAGAGTGAAACATCCGTGCAGATTATCATCAGAATATTCAGTTCCCCTAAAGAAGCAGTCAGAGATTATCAGGTTTAGCACAGAAAAGATTTGGGGGTTTTGGACTGCTTGTACGATGCTTCAAGTCATGTTGTGGAAAATTGTGTTAAAAATCTTTAACGGCTTCATTAATTTCACTCCCATTTGCGTTACAGATGAAAGATGAATCTAAAAGTGTCATTAGCACTGCTGCATGAACTTTACATTAACATTAGAAGAAATAAACACACTTTCTATTCAACCTTCAACTCCAGGACGAAAAAGATAGTCAAGCTTCAACCATAAAGCTAAAGACGCACATTTAACAAGACAGCTGCTCATGTCTCCCAGTGACTAAACTAATAGAGCAGATCGTCTGTCAAATGGAGCTTTATAAGTAATTGATTTATGGATCGGTCTCAAATTATTTGTGCAGAAATTTACTGCCAGAAATGTGGAGCAAGCTGCTGCTGCAGTGAGTGAGAACTTTGATGTCTTTAAATTTAGTATCTGTGTGCTTATTAATAATCCTTCAGCAGCAAAAATAGCAGAGAAACCTTCCTCTGAAGTTGTGCGGTTTCGTGATGACAGGGTTTCATTGAGTGTGGTGGTGGTGGTGGTGTACAAACATATTTTTACATATCAGTAGTCAAAAGAGCACCCACAGTAATATTCGGGGAAACAATCTCCTGCCAAGACGAAAAACCTCTCAACATAAAAACATCTAAGAAAATGTCAAAACAGACGAAAGTATTCATCAAAGCGAAGCCTGGAGGCAGCAGAGAAGAAAGGTTAGCAGGTCTACAGAGGCCAGCGAAAAACAAAGGAGCCATGTGCTGGGTGACCACTAATGACCACCCCCACCTCTATCATCCCCCTTGACTCTCTTATCTTCTCCCTCCAGCTGCAGCAGCCGTTCACCACTCTGCCCGGTTAAAAAGAGACCACCAAGATCAAAACCGACCCAGTGTTTGCAGCCCTTTCTATTTGCTGCTTATCAGAGCGCCTCTGAAGGCCGTTTCAAGATTATATTCTGTTTTATCAACAACATGGGAATTCAACGCTATAACTGAACGACAGGGAGGATGCATAACCGATCCTTTCAGACACCGGACGGTACTAAATATTTCACGATACACAATACTGTTTTATGAGCATACAATCATGAAGCATTTTGGTGTTAAAGTGCTAAAAAAAAGTTACTGTAAAGCTCAAAGCTCATCCCAATATTAGGAGAAATGAAAAGTATCACCACATTTGAGTCTGTAGATGTCCCAGCTTTGCTCCCTGTGTTTCAAAATATCTGTTTATTTATCAATGATCACATGAGTTACACACGTGGACAAAATTGTTGGTACCCCTCAGTTAAAGAAGGAAAAACCCACAATTCTCACTGAAATCACTTGAAACCTACAAAAGTAACAATAAATAAAAATTTATTGAAAATTAAATAATCAAAATCAGCCATTACTTTTGAATTGTTGATTAACATAATCATTTAAAAAAAACAAACTAATGAAATAGGGCTGGACAAAAATGATGGTACCCATAACTTAATATTTTGTTGCACAACCTTTTGAGGCAATCACTGCAATTCAACGATTTCTGTATTTGTCAATGAGCGTTCTGCAGCTGTCAACAGGTATTTTGGCCCACTCCTCATGAGCAAACTGCTCCAGTTGTCTCAGGTTTGATGGGTGTCTTCTCCAAATGGCATGTTTCAGCTCCTTCCACAGATGTTCAATGGGATTCAGATCTGGGCTCATGGAAGGCCACTTTAGAATAGTCCAACGCTTTTCTCTCAGCCATTCTTGGGTGTTTTTGGCTGTGTGTTTTGGATCGTTGTCCTGTTGGAAGACCCATGACCTGCGACTGAGACCAAGCTTTCTGACACTAGGCAGCACATTTCTCTCCAGAATGCCTTGATAGTCGTCAGATTTCATTTTACCTTGCACACATTCAAGACACCCTGTGCCAGATGCAGCAAAGCAGCCCCAAAACATTGCTGAGCCTCCTCCATGTTTCACCGTAGGGACAGTGTTCTTTTCTTCGTATGCTTGGTTTTTGAGTCTATGAACATAGAGTTGATGTGCCTTACCAAAAAGCTCCAGTTTGGTCTCATCTGTCCAAAGGACATTCTCCCAGAAGCTTTGTGGCTTGTCAACATGCATTTTTGCAAATTCCAGTCTCACTTTTTTATGATTTTTTTTCAGCAGTGGTGTCCTCCTTGGTCGTCTCCCATGAAGTCCACTTTGGCTCAAACAACGACGAATGGTGCGATCTGACACTGATGTACCTCGGCCTTGGAGTTCACCTTTAATTTCTTTGGAGGTTGTCCTGGGCTCTTTGGATACAATTCGAACGATCTGTCTCTTCAATCTGTCATCAATTTTCCTCTTGCGGCCACGTCCAGGGAGGTTGGCTACTGTCCCGTGGGTCTTGAACTTCTGAATAATATGAGCCACTGTTGTCACAGGAACTTCAAGCTGTTTAGAGATGGTCTTATAGCCTGCACCTTTAAGATGTTTGTCTATAATTTTTTTTCGGATGTCCTGGGACAATTCTCTCCTTCGCTTTCTGTTGTCCATGTTCAGTGTGGTACACACCTTTTCACCAAACAGCAGAGTAACTACTTGTCTCCCTTTAAATAGGCAGACTGACTGATTATGAGTTTGGAAACACCTGTGATGTCAATTAAAGGACACACCTGAGTTAATCATGTCACTCTGGTCAAATAGTTTTCAATCTTTTATAGAGGTACCATCATTTTTGTCCAGCCCTATTTCATTAGTTTTTTTTTTTTAAATAATTATGTTAATCAACATTTCAAATGTAATGGCTGATTTTGATTATTTAATTTTCAATAAATTTTTATTTATTGTTACTTTTGTAGGTTTCAAGTGATTTCAGTGAGAATTGTGGGTTTTTCCTTCTTTAACTGAGGGGTACCAACAATTTTGTCCACGTGTGTACCTCATTTGGACAGAAAACCCAGAAATCTGGATAAATTTGAGATTCTAACCCCTGATACTGTGTGTCACAATGTCTGAGGCCCCGGGCTGAGTAAGAAGCAAAGTGAGGACAGTCAACCCGAGGCTTCAGTGTCCTGATAAGGCCAGTGTTGAATTAATGAAAACAGTCGGTTTATGTAACTCTGAGCCCCATGTGTTTTACAAACTCAGTTCAGCTTCAGAAGGAAGAAAAACTTGAGATATTATTCCAGTGAATGTGTTACCTGCAGGTTCGTAAGAGGCTCCATCTTCATGACTGGTCCCACTGTGCTGAGAGGAAGGCTCACTTCAATGCTCTGGTTTGGGCTGAGAGGAGTAAGAACCTGGAGTGGACCAGCTGGAGCAAGACCAAAGCTACGGAGGGACAAAAAAGGTTGAATAAAAAAAGTCACAACAATCTGTAAATCTTCAGAGATCACTGCTCTTCCTTTAGCTGGTGGCTTTACCTGTTTCTGTTAAACTGGATCGCAAAATCAGTCATAACACTCATAGCTTTGTTAGTGAGGGTCATCTCCATTTGGATGACCCCAGCACGACGCGCAAATGTGCCTGATATCTCCAGACCCTTGGCCTTCATAGCTGGAAGCCAAACCTGGACAAAGACAAGATCAGTTATTTCATCACAAACCCACAAAAGTACTTCAGTATCATTCTCTGCAGTGTCTGTTACAGCGGAGCTTGTCAGGACTCACTGTTTTAGGGGGGCTGTAGGCTCCCATAGGCATACCAACGCTACCGCCAAGGTCAAACAGGTCATCCAGACCACCGCTGACCGGGGCATTGAAAGAGGCTGGCATTGCAGCTGGAGCTGCACCAAAACCAGCCCCCATCTGCGGGTCACAGAGCAACTCATTACACCAGGACTTCTAATGTCACTTCTACTGACCAATCAAAGATGAACAGGAACTCAGACTTACTGCGGCACTTCCTCCAATGTCTCCACCGAGCTGTTAGGGGAAAAACACTGTTAGTTCATGTTCTTTAATTGAGTTACGTTTGTTTAAAGGGGTAATGAAGGGATGGTGTGAGGGTGAAAAATGTCTCTGTGATTTACAGCTACAGGGTTTAAAGGTTAACAAGCGACAACAGGAAGGAAACACCAGTATGTTTGTGGGTCGGTTTGAATCCAACAGGTTTTATGTCAAATATCACTCAAGAATTGTATGTCCTGTGGTGGTGAAAAGCTTGAGTGCCCAGTGACGAAAACTGGCGGTGCAAAAAAGTAGTGGTATAAAGGTTTAGGGGCTCCACATAGTGACTGAGTTGAAATAAAGAGCATTTAAAGAAGAGCCCCAGATATGATGGACTGAAGTTTCATTGACATGGATTGGACAACAAACACTGAACTACGAAGTGCAAACAATCACAAATGCCAAATGTAGGACTACTCTGAGGACAACAGGGGTCACCAGGGAGTCTAGACTGATGGCTGGTCTTTTCTAACCCAGCCTGGTCTCATGGACCGACCTCAGTGGGGCTGTAATCTGGGGGTGATGGTGACTGATGGAGCTGAGGCGACTGTGGAGTGTCTGTCCGCAGAGGAACGGGTGGCTGATTGAAAAAATGAAACATATCCACAGCCCAAAGATGAGAAAAATGGATGATTCAATGATTTCACAGCATGCTGACGATAAATTTACCACAGGAGTGAAAACCATAAGTAATGGAAAAAGGTCGGACTGATGCATAAAAACAGCAAGGGTAAAATGAATCCTATGAAATGGTTTGACGTGGCTCATAAAAAAATCGTGCTTTCTGCTCTCAGGTAGTTACCGGCTCTGACTCATCCCCCATCTGCAGGTGCAGCATTGAACAGAGAGAGGAAAACACACAGGGGTCAAAGGAAAAAAAAGCAGGAAAAGGCACCAAAGGTAGAGAAAAAAAAGACGAACTACAAAGGAACTTTTAAATCCTGTAAAAATAAGTGAAAGAGTGTTGTATAGGTGTTTCCAGAAGTTGTCAGCTCCAGTCAAACGATGATGTAGAAAACCTACCAGGCTGTCCAGTCCACCCCCAAGAAGGTCCATAGCACCCAACTGCATCCCAGAGGAGGGGGCTGGTGGTGGTCCGGTTGCGGTGGGAGGTGTCAGGTCCAGATTGAGAAGATCACCCAAGAGGTCTCCCTGGGATGGAATAACAGCAGGGGGTGCCTCAGTCACTCCAGCGGCGGAAGCAGGATCTGGGCTATCAACACTCTCCCCACTAGAAGAAATAAAAGAAATAATTGTGGTTATGTATTTGATCTAATTCATCTGAGGACCATTTCGAATGCACTGTACACCTAATTTGTCTTCAAATTGCTGAAATAACCTCAATCTAATCTTCCTTAAAAGTGGGAAGCTCATAGTATGACATATTATGGGCAGGAAGGAGCAAAGTAAATCAGCTGCACAGTTTGACAGAGCAGGAGAGTGTGCTCCTCAGCAGACTAATGGCAGAGTCCAGGGGCTTGATGGATCCACTTAGGTAAACAAGCTCCTGTGCAAACAGTGTTTACAGGAAAAAGAAAAAAAAAACAGCTCATGACTCACGATCCGGCACTGCCAGGGAGTCTCTTGTGCTGAACGCCACGGCTTCCCTCCACAAAGGCACTGGGGGGCTTGTGGTAGACAGAGGCCAAAGTGCCGATGTGGCAGATGAGCTCCTCCAGTAGTGTGGGCTCGATCAGGTCTGTCTCCTCGGAGATTAGGGGCTTCTCAGCCAGGACCACCTCCTTAGCAGCCACAGGGTCGGTGGAGAGTAGACGCCAGTAGATGTAGCCGCGGTCCCTTAGGTCTGGGTTGTCGGAGTCCTGCAGAGAGAAAGAGAGAGCCATTAAGAAGAAGGATGATTATTATTCATAGAGCTTCTTTAATAAATACTTAATGTGATTCTCTTTTCTGTCTTGGCCTTTATGAGAGAATGAGCAGTGATTCAGAGATATTAAATAGCTCAGCCTCTGTGTGTCTAGGATTTGGCTGATGTATAGATATACTGCTTTAAAACTTGGAAAATGTTCTAATAAATAAACATCATGTGGCGGGAGCAGGTTATTTTGGCTACAACACAGAAAGTCTCAAGAATGTTCGTGACATTTTTAGCACAAAACAAAAAAATGTGATGCTATTTTAAGACGCCTCAGTGTCATTTAATCCAATACAACTCTTTGTAATAGACATAAAAGTAAAAATGGGAGCACAAATGATAGTGAGTCAGAGTACAACACAACAGAATGAGGTCAAAAATCCACAGAAACAGATGATAACAGGCAGAAAATGACTGATTTTCCTCACCTGAGTAGCCAGGCTCAACACCTGCTGCACCAGTTCCTGGGTCTCCGTCGGCTTTTTCAGGAACAACTTGACGATTGCTGTCAGCAGCTGCAGCTGCACCTGAATGTCACAGTTAACACATACAGTTCATGACATACAGATATTTAAGGTGCGGTGAAATAAAATTAGTCTTAAAACATTATACATCAGCATAGTGCATCTTTCCGGCAATCTTCCAAGAGTCACTGAGTATGACTGCAAGTAAAAGCATGAGAATAACCTAATTATGTCTTTTACCCCTGATGGACTTCGATGGATGCAACATCCTGTTTTACAGCAAATATAACTACTTCTCATATCTGCCTCTACCTCACAGATTAAAAGAAAGCATTTACTGCACAATAAATTCCTTTCATCCCACAAAATCTCTTGTCGCAGCGAGGAGAGATGTCGGCTATTATGGCCTATCTGAGGTGATAAAACAGAAACAAATATATGACTGAGGTGTAATGTGTCAGTATAACAAACTCTGCCAGAAGACTCCCCTTAGAGTGAAGGCTGGTTGTCTTTAACCTGTGTCTGTCAGATGGATTAAAAAATACGTCCCACTTCTTTACTATCTTCACCTTCAGCACAGTAAGTCACAGTCACACAAAATATTTCACTCAGCGATGTTTTGTTCATTACTCTCATGGTGTGCTGCTTGGTGCGAGCACTGACTGCAAACGACGCTGACGCTGTTATCATTAAAAGCTGACTTCATGGTTTTAGTAACAGTCTCCTGAACACACCTGAGTGCTTTCATCGTGGAAACCCTCCAAAAAGCTCTCCAGCAGCTCATCTGCGTTGTCGATGCGTTCGGCGTACTCTCCCACGATCCAGATCATGGCAGCACGTGCCTCGGGCTCATCCAGGGAGTCCAGATTTTCACAGAGAGTGGCGATCACACTCTCGTACCTAAAAACACAGACGCACAAAAACAGCATCTCATACACTCAGGCGCTACAAAATATATTAAGAGAAACAGTCAGGGAACATGAATTACAATAACTCATAAAAAGGCAGAAAAAGTCTTCTGCAAAGGTTAACATATTCCTGTTACTTCTGTTTTGTGAAAATGCTTAAAAATAACCAATCACATTTACATAATAGTTTTATAAGAACGAATAAGCCAAAGCAGAGCGTTTAAGTTGATTTCTAATTAATAGAGAAGGCAGAAGTTCAAGTGGGGAATGACTCATCCACCTAAAAAGGCTTGAGCCAAGCTGTGCTGGATGCTTTACAAATCTGCTGCCTTTGAGACTCACGACTCCACTGTAATGTGTGGGTGAGGTTTTTGTCTCACACATGAAACTGTCTGGTGGTGGATCTACAGCAGAAGTCACGTCACAACCAATTCTGCCTGACCTCTGACCAGGTGCGATCAGAAGAGGGTGTTAAGCTGTCCACTAAAACACTCAGAATTATAGAGGACATTATTCTTCTGAGAGCGCTCTTCAGCAGACTTTTTGGGATAAGCACCGATATAAAACACTTCCCGTTTTTTTTCCAAGCTAACAATCTGACCATTCAAAAACCAGCTGGAATAAAAGAGTGCCAGCAGAGCCCAAATCGTGGTGTGTCGGCATGTGTAACTACAGAATGTTTGGGTGAAAACAAAAGCTTAGAAATTAGGTTGGAACATGAAGCATCTTGAACTGGACCTACTATATAACTGACCATCATGATGCACAGCACTGATGTCTGTAAAGGGACCTACTTGTTAGGGTACTTGCGGAAGATGTCCTTGATGACCACAATGGCCTCCTGTACCACATAGTTGACCTTGGTCTGGATGAGGTCTAAGAGCGTGCTGACACACCGCTCTGCTGATTGCTGACGGACAGAGAAGAAGATAAATCTGTTATGAGGAGTCTGCAGGATGAAAAATTAATGGCATCCACATTAAATATGTACATTTTATATATTCATTAAAATATATGACCTAAAAAAGAGATTTCTCAAACTGTGGTTCAGACAGTGAAAACATGTTTAGGATTTAAAATCAGTTTAAATTAAAATTGATTCTAAATGAAAATCTGAAACTCTAACAATCTGCTTAGGTTTCTTTTTTTTAATTACTTGACAAGGACATTATGTTTAACAATGGTTTTTTTTGAATATTTTCAATAAAAACTTTTATGTTAAGACATCATCTTATACCCTTTATCTAGATGTCTAAAAGTTTATTCTTATAAACTGTATTATTATTTATTTTGTACATGAACAGGAGTGCTGTTTCTGACTTGGAGTCTTTTTATAAACTGTTCAAAGGTTTTCTTTCTCACTGAACAACATGTGCAGAAAAAGGATTTGAAAAACAAATCAGAGCAGTGCCTGCTGCTACGATGACATCATCTTCACCCACCTCCACTTTGATGGCACAGCGGCCAATAGCTCTGACCGCTTTGCGAACAAAGTCCACATCCACTTCAGTGGCGTACTCCTTTAGCTCTGCAAGGACCTACAGCACAACAGAGGAGCAGCAGTCACTCACATGATCTTTTTCATATTACCTGGATGTATTTTAGACAAGCTGCCACAAGCTGTGGGTGCGTTACCTGGGCAATGTTGGCTTGAGAAGCTAAACGAATCATGATATCCAGCTTCTCCAGTTTGACATAGATTGGGTCATTGTACTTCACAAAGAAAACCTTCATCTCATGTTTCAGAATCTCTGGACTGAAATGAGACATCAATATTTCTGGTCATCAAGGACACGCATACAACATGACACAATATCTCCAATTTTAGTGAATTCTACTACAACCAAAGCATGAAGAATAATGTAAATTTAAGACCTTACAAAGTCATTTTCTGGCATTTACCGTCTCTGTACGATGAGGTTGATGTTTCTGAGGGCGACGTATTGAAGCTCAGGCTCAGCAGAGAGAAGAGTAACCAGAGGAGGGGCGAGCTTCTTGAGCAGGGTGCCATAGTAGTCCAAGTCTTTGGGCAGCATCTCCATGAACTTCATTAAAACTTTAACCGCTGACAGCACCACTGCAGAGTTGGCGTGTGAGAGGCGTGGGGTCACACGCTCACAGATGCTAACAGGTGATGATGATAAATAGAGGGAAGGGACAGAATATTAGACAGGTTTTACAGGCGTTACCTCCTTGCTGACATTCAAAGTTAATGAATGCAATTCCTGTTCTCACCTTTGTGACTCGCGGTCATCACGAGGTGTGTAATTAGCTAGACAGTCGAGGATAAAAATCTGTCCCCACTCTGTGCACTCATTCAAAGCAGTCAGCAGCTTGTTGATGGTCTGGGGGTTTAAGTCCAGGAGATTACTGTTTGGGTGAGACTCTGCTATCTCGGACAGCGCTGCCACGGCATTAGCAACAACCTGAGGATGACAACAGCAGAAACATTTACCAATGAGAGAGTATAAGACACCGGTTAAAAAAGAAATGTCTTGAGGGGACTGTGCTGAGAAGATTCTGGCAAACCATCTAAATTCCTGTATGTCAAATCGTACCATGGGGTTGGAGTCAGAGATGAGGTCTTTGAGGGTGTCCAGGAAGCCTTGGTCCTCAACCAGCTGTGCATTGATATCATGGAGTTTAGCTACACACACAGCGGCGGTCTTCCTCACATACGGGTCTTCATCCTTCAGACATTTCCTCAGTGGCTCACAGAGGTACTCAGTGATCTTATCCACACGGATACAACCCATTGTGCGCACAGCAAGGGCCCGGATTAGAGGATTAGGGTCTTCACAGTCCTAGATGTGTGGTAAAAAGAGGCCATAAATGTTGTCAAAACTTATGATTTATTTCTACTGCAAATAAATCCAACAGCTTGTTTAGGAGCATTATGCAAAAAATTACAACTGTTACAAGTTCTAAATGCACTGATTTCTGAACTCTAATCAGAGACTATTTCAGTTTATGATAGATTCATGACAGATTGAGCCTTACCTTTACAAAGGTGTTGACGGCCATGATAGCCATGTCTGGCTGACTCTTGGCGTAGTTCATCAGGTAGAGGTAGACCAGCTTTTTCAACTCCAGGTTGTCCGTCTGCATGCAGTTGACAACATCTGGGAACAGTGCGCTGTAAAAGGGACAAGGTGCTACATCACTATTGTTTCATAGGAGCAGAGGAGTGTAACAGTGCATCACTAATGTCTGTATGCTTCTGACATTTTCCCCATGCTCACCTGACATCCTTGCCCACTGTCATAGATGCGATGACCTTCTTTACTGCCTCCTTCTTCTTCTCTTTCTTATCACTGTTGAGCTCTGCCTTGAGCTCAAAGATCTCCCCTGAACACATAAAAGAAACAAAAGGGAACTGTGTATCAGGTAATCCACTTGTGATAGACAGGATGAAAGTACCATGGAGCAGAATGGCCATTATTATAAGAATCCCTGCATATAAACAGTCAAGTGGATACACAAACATACAATTTACAGCGCTCCTTTGTTTGGCAAACACCCTCATCAAGACAAACAAAGACAACAGCCAGCAGTTTCAAACTCCTCACATCCTTGATATGACTGGCAGCGCTGCTTTTATCAACTTTCCCCCCCACTTCATGTCAAACTCATGCATCTAAAGCAAAAACTCTGGTATATTTGTTGACAGTTTTTGAATACAAAGTAAGTAAACATATCACATGAGGTTGTAAAGACACTACCTATTGCCTGGAGCATTACAGAAGTATCTTCTGTTGGACAAACAGCTGACTATCCACTGAAGTCAATCAGGCAAATACTCGGTTGTGTAGTAAGCATCGCTAAGTCCAATGCCAGGGGACAAAAATATGTCCTTTTCAACAAAAAATTAACATCACAGTTCAATACTTTGTTCTTGATTATTGTGATTTAAGTATTCATCTGTAAGTAGTGCAGAGAAATCTGAAATATTGACATAACACAATATTTTCCATTGAAATGGATTAAGTGTTGTGAATACATGTGAAACCTTGTTCCCAAGGTTTTTTCTCTGTGATTTAAAATAAAATGAAAGAGACTCAATCTTATTTAGTTTCCTGTTCAGAGCAGAATCATTAAAACGTCTATCTGAGTGAATATAAACTGTCAGTGCACTGACAATTTTGGGCTTAACTTTAAGTCTGCCGACTTAAGAGTTTTCCAGGCAAACCACTAATCACTTCAAACCTTTGGGATGTTCGCAACAGACAGGAGGATAAAAACATTGGGTAGATGTACAAAAAATGTTCTCTTTTGAGTCGAAAGCAATCCTATAAGACATGACTCCTTAAGACCCTGACTGAAATGCATCAGTTTATGTTTCCTGGGGATCCGTGTATGGCAAGATGAACAGCTTTGGATTGTGCGACAAAAGCCACTGTCATACAAAAGGAGGAAAAGTAGGAGAGTCCCAGAGCTAATACTTTTGTTCAATTTGTCTAATCTGATTTAGAAAAACCATAGCTTTTCAGCTGCTTGCAACACAATCAATACAAAGCAGAGGTACGACAGCTCACTTAGTTCATGTATTTCATCGTTATTTTAGTCAAAAAGATTCCCCTTCTGAGATCTTCTTTTGCATAGATCAGTACCATCAAGCCAAATGTACCAAAAAACCCACAAAGCGCTTCCTGAAAACTTTGATATCAACAATCACAAACAGACCTTTCTTGGTGGTGGTGAAGTACTTGGAGTCCGTCATCTTGGATCCAAATTGTCGATTTTCCTGCAAAAGCAGAGACAGAGACAGATGAATCTTTTTTCAGACTGGAAACTTGGAACATCGTGAGGGCCACAGGAAATACTTGAAGTGCAGGCACAGGGAAATAAAAGGAATTCCTGTCTTTCCTTGTACAAACGGCAGTGAACTATCAGAGAGGAAACAATGGATTTTGCTGAGAAAACAACACTTGTATCTCCTCTTTAGGCATTTTCTTCTTGGTCAGTATGTACACAGCCAACAACATCTCTACAACAGAGTGAATATTTTTAATCAGGTGTTTTGAAGAAAGGTCTTCTTCCACACAACAATGTTCTGTAGTATAACAGTGAAATAATGCAGTTTGAGTTAACAGTTAAACATACTCCTGTTTCAGGGAACATAAGACTTACATTTATTTATTTAACATTCTGTCTGTACTGTTTAAAAGGTTTATACTGTAATTTCACAAAACAACTGGCTCATTCATGTTATTAGTACATTTCCATATGTTACCTTTGGCTTTTCTACAGTAACCTGGATTATACATTAGATCACTTTGGAGTTACAATATGTATAATTCTTAAAGCAGCCATAACACTATGAACACCTGGGCAGTCTAATACAACAGCTCTACCACAAATTCTACTTTAAAGAAGCGTCTTTATTTTTAACTTTAGTTGACATGATCAGACAACCTTCTCATTGTTCTTGAATGGTTTGAAGTATTGTAGGGTCTTTCTAATAATTTGCTCCCCTCATGTCTGTCGATTAAATGGACATTATAAAAATATCAAGTATAATAATCAACTGTTTGATCATATCAACACACAAAAAAAATGAAAATGTAGAAGCTTCCTGACTATTCAACTTTTTGTAGAGCTGTTGTATTAGATTGCATTAGATCATAATAACATCTCAGATATTAATGTGACTGTGCTGCCTCTAAACTGGGATCATAAATGATCCTTAATGTACATCACTAACGACATCTACTGAAGAGTTCATGTATTGGTTTGTTGCTGGAATTTAGAAGAGAGAGACAGGTGGAAGTCTTTTGTTTTGTTTTTTGTTTTTCTCAGAAAAATGTGTAATAAACTTTTCATTTCTTTCGACTGACTTCCTAATACTCTCAATTTTAATTGATGTTATTAGAGCAGAATCCAGACCTCTGAAAAACAGATACATCACCTTTATTAGTCTCGACATTAAAACTATTAAAGGGATAAACTACATTTTCAACAGGCCACTTTGGACATTGAGGAAACCTCAAAACGACCATTAAATATGTGGGACAGTGAAAGTTTCGTCCCAAAATAAACCTGTTTGTCTCAATGTTGACTGCACTGTTGGTAAAACAGCCGTTAACATCTGACCGGTTATTAGCTTCAACTTAGCTCATACTAACGACGACCGTTAGCAGACGTTAGCTAGCCATCTTCGGTGGAGCTAAACGACATTTCACACGGCTAACATTAAAAAGTGATAATAAACTTAAAGTGAGCGTCTGTATATTTATCAGACTATCGCTGTAAATAAGTCACACCGGCTGACTTTGAGTTGTACTCGTAACTGAACCAAAAATGAGACAGAGTTGTTGGTTAGCTCCCTGCTATCATCACTCCAACGTTAGCACAGCAGACTCGACTTTATATCGCTCAGGTTAGAGAAGCTAACCCAAAACAGGCTGAAGTGGAGGTTCGGGCTGTTCGACGATAAAACCTCGACCTGTTACTTACGCAGAGTTGATTTGCCCATTCTTGCATGTTTGCTTTAGTCAGGGTTAGCTGAATGAAAGAGATGCTAAAGGGTTAGCCGTGTGGTGCGGTGGTGTTCCTGTCAGTGTCAGCTAGCTCCTACAGCTGAGACATGACCTTCTAAGTACGGGCTTAAGGAAGCCTTTGCCGGGTTAGTTAAGCTCTTAATCTACTGGCCAGATTTAAACCTTACCCAACGAATTAGCGTACACTCTGGAGGTAAAATTAGACCCGCTTCACAATGAATTGGAAGAGAAAATCTCCACAAACATCTTACCGTGACAGGCTCAGTAGGGGCTGTGATGGCCTTCGTCCCCTCCCACCTGGTTTACTTCCGTGTTTCTACTAAATAACGTTTGCAAACAGACGAGCAACGTCAGCTTTAATTCACTGATAATAATAGAGGACACGGGTTAGACTTCCATACAAAGTTTTCATTATAGGCAGATTAAAAAGTTTATAGAATAGGCGCTTTCTGCACGTAAAAAGTCACACAATATATCCTCCTACCTGTAACACCACAAACTATTAATTCAATGTTGTACAGTAGGGGAGAGTGGGGTAAGATGAGCCAAAGAGTAAGTTGAGAAGCACATGGGTTAAGGGGTTAGACATGTATTTACAAAAAAAAAACAAATCACTTTTCTCTCTTGACAGTGAATTTAGTCTGTCATGAGTTTGATTAGAATTGAGTTCAGACCAAAAAAAGTAATATTAAATTTGTTTTACACACATCAATTGTGGTATCTATGACCTACAACATGAGGTCAAAAACCTAACATAAAAGTCCACCATTTAAGTTTAGAGGACTAATAAAGTCATAATAGTAGTTCTGGGGTAACTGAGAAAGTAAAGGAGTCTGATGAGAGGATCAGAGTTTCAGTTCAGATTGTTGAAATGTTTTTACTTTGTCTTTTCAAAAATACAGCTGTGAATGTTCTGAATCACTTAGAGACATTCTCATGTTAAAATGACCTTTTAACAGTTATATGCGATGATAATAAAAAGAATTATTGTACCAGTTGAATAGCGTATAATAGATGAAAATACCCATGAATGTGAAGAAGTGATCGTTATCTTGAAGACTCCAAAAACGGGCAACTGGACAAAAAAGTTCTAAAAAGCTTTTAGAACTGAAGAAGCTTCTTGGATAAGAGGCGAAACGTCTTCTTAACTCTACACAGTCCAGTTGCCTGTTTTTGGAGTTTTCAAGATAACCATAACCTGGATGAATGAGAATCTACATGGACAGAAGTGACTGTTATTTACCCATACATGGGTAAGTTGAAACGTCTTCTCAACTCTACACAGTCCAGTTGCCTGTTTTTGGAGTTTTCAAGATAACCATAACCTGGATGAATGAGAATCTACATGGACAGAAGTGACTGTTATTTACCCATACATGGGTAAGTTGACCCTTGGAGACCACTTTTTTTGGCATGCTTTATTACCAAGTCAGTTATGTTTACACTCATTCTGTTGGTTTGCAGGGATGAACAACATCTTAAATATATAGTTAGAGACAAAACTATGATTGCCTTGATGTAGTGATCCGAAATATGAAAAATGGCTCATCTTACCCCACTCTCCCCTGTGTTAATTAATTCTGTAGTGCCAATTTATATTATTAAGACCCTCATTATTCAATCTCAATTCAAATTATCTCGGCGTTTCTGTTCATCCTCTGTGCACCCACTCAGATCATATGAGAGTCGATTAAATAAGACAAATTCAACAAAAAAACTCAAAACTTCTAGACCCTCTAAAATAACAAGGTTCAACAAGGAGTTTCTGCTACTATCCCATTGGGTATGTAGGAACAAAAAGTCCTTTACCACAATTTCTCAAACAATCTTTGCAACTTACCCCCAAAGCCAATTACTTCTGCAGGCTGTTTTACTTTGAAACTTATCTTTTTTTTACATATAAAATTGATTCAATACCACTTACTCACTTCAGAGGAATTCTTTTTATTACAAGAACAACTTGACAGCATTTTTTAAACCCGAAAAAACAGTGAAATGTTGCAGTATTGCTATTTTAAATGTACAAATTCCACAATGTCAAGCAATCTGTACATTAAACTTAAGTTTAGTTAAAGTAACATTAGCAAACAATGAATTGTCTGATCATAAACATTCAATTTCGCCGATAAAAGGATAGAGAGAGGAAGAGAGAGTTCCTTGAAATTTTCAAAGTTGTGCTGGAAAAAGAGCAGGCTGTGAATGGACAATCACTCTTTTAGTGTAACCAAATATAATGGCATATTAAAGTTCACTTAACTGGTAGATTGAGAAAACGGCTGATCAACACACACATATTCTGAAGCAATAACAATTTTAAATTTTGAAATAAGAATAAATTAAAAAGACTTCCTAATACAAGGGAAACTATTATATTATAATTTGTTTGTAGCATTGAGGAAAAAATTTAATCTCTTTGTATTGCAAAACAGCCCAATCATGTTTGGTTCGTCTCTCAGGTCAAGCAAGTTTTTCTTAAATGGGTGAGACTTCTGAAAGATTGTGTCTCTCTACAGTAATTTGTCGAGAAATTTCCTCCTCATGTCAGTTTCCCTGCACACTTACAACTCACTCATGTCACTTGAGCCCTATGAGACACAGTTTCATAAATTATTCCACAAATAAATTATAAACCATCATCACTTCTCTTACTCTGTACATATAGTTTGTACACAAATGTATGCACACTCTTTTTTTCCATGCCTTTGATTGTGTTAGTGCCCTACAGGGTACTAACACTTCAATTCCCAGTTTTCCACCTTCAAATAATTGAAGTCCACACCTCTTCAAACCAAAACCATAAGTACTGTATCGACGGGGATCTGGCTTTTGTAATGTCTTCCCCAGCATTCTGCAAAGACCTCCAGCATCCAGTTACATTATCTATTATTTATGCCTTTCTGAATACAGGAAGAAACTTAAGTCACAGTCATCCATTACCCACTAAGTCGTGCCAATTTTATTGGCTCTATTGGCTTTAATAAGCACCACTAATTCAAAAATGATGGAAAAAGGGCATCTCTCTTTTTTTCTGAGGTAAAAAGACCTATCTTTCTTTAGCCACTAGAGGTCACCACAGATTGTGCCATTACTATAAAATCTCTGTTAAGTAGGTTATCTGGCTTCTTATGTTTCAAGACAACTAATATGATTCAGAGGCAATGGATTAAATGTCTTTAGCAGTAATTGTAAACCTATATCAAGTAAAGTTATCATTAAATTGGCAATAATCCTCACTTTTTTTCCCAAAACAAATCTCAGTGATGTCGAGCAAAAACATTCAAAAAAATGTATCTGTGAATAAAATTTAAGGCAGAGGGAATTGTCAAGGCATTTTCAACACCAATATTGCATAGCTAAGGCCGCACAGAACTGATTACAGTTATTATGTACATTAAAATGTGAATTCAATGCGTGCTATGGACAAACACCCACTAACATTAGTGAGCATAACAACATATATTTACACATTCATTCTCTAGACTTTTATACATATATACACATATGTAGTATTGTTTATCCAGAGTACATTTTGGTCAGCGGGAGAACTCTTTACATTTCTGTTTCAGTTAACATGACACAAATCAGTTAAACCTTTGATGCTCATATATTAAATCTACTGAAAGCTGGATGAGTTAGTTTTTGAACTGCATAAAACATAAGCTTGAAAAGCTGAAACACAATGGTCATTTAAAAAAAAATAAAACCGTCTTTTATGACGACATTGATTTTTGTAAAAGGTGAGATCAGACAGCAATAAGAGCAGACAACTGTACAAAGACCGGTAATGCATCTTGTGTTAACGGAGTCAGGGTAATGATGGGGGTACCTTACCTATGTTGTATGAGTATATGATGAATATGAGTCATACATGAAGACCACGAATGTCAACAGACTGATATGATCATAACTGTACCAGTATTTTGACTGTCAAGGCAAAAAGAAACGCTGTGGCAGACCACAAGAGGGAGCTGATGTGTCTGACTAAAGGTTTAGTGTTTTCACTGTTTATAGCGTCGCAGCTTTGAATCCCTGGCACTTCACCATGCCCCTCAGTGGGGCACATGGCAGCACATATGCTCTCTCTCTATCTCTGTATCAACCATGAGAATTTCACGAGTGTCCTGCAAAGATAAAAAAAAGACACCTAATGATTGGCAAAAGCATCCCCATGCACACATTAAAAAGTACAGTAAAAGTAATAGTAAAGACCATTCCTTTGGTAATAAATAATTTGGCTTGAGTGCAAAATAAAAGCAAAGTGAACTCCTGCAGTGGAAAGGAGAAACTAAGTGAATAAAAAGAGTGTTAGACATGCAGTGAAAACAGTCTATAGCCCAGTCTCTCTTTACACAGTAGTCAAAGTTCATGATAACAACGACAACAACCCTGTTTCACTTGTGCTACATCCAAGCTTCCGAGTCCAGGCTCGTAGACTGTCCAGGGTAGGTGCAGTCTTTGTTCCCCATGGTCGGGGAACACGGTTGAGTTTGGATCAAACCTGCAAAGGCCTGGTGCATGCTCTTGAGTGTGGTTGGACGACCAACACAGCGCGGGCTCTGAGGAGACATCGGTGGGGTATGGCGTGGGGACAGTGTGTCATGAGCCTGTGTGTCTCTGTAGCTGACTGGGGTGGGGATACGTGAAGGGCTGTTCTCCGGCCTGTTGTCGATGCGAGGTCTGAGCCTGCCTTTCAGTTTGTGCTTAGAGATGGGATCTATCCTGTCAGACTTTTTTTGACTCCTCCTTGTCTGCAGCACTTCTCCGTCCCCGTTAGTCATGGGTGAAGCCGGCGGGGGGGATTCAGAGTGGGATTCACTCAGGCTGAAGCACATGGAAGAGTTTTCGCTGGAGGAATCCTGGAAGGAGCAGTCCTCAGAGGGAGGGAGGGCGACAGGTGATGGACAGGCCTCTGGGGGCGGGAGGTCATCGCTGCCATCCCCGTTCTCTAGGTCATAAGGTAAGTTTGGCTGATGATTCCCCAGAGGAACATCTCCTTCGGGTCCTGTGCCCCAAACAAGCTGTCCTTGCTGACCTGTCAACCCCCCGTGGTCTCCATTCATGTTCCTACAGTTAAAAGCAGGCTGTGAAGGGACCTGATTCATCAAACTGTCTGATTCTGTGTCTCCAAGACCAGGTAGGGTAGTCGGAGGTTGCCTCTCCTCCAGGGAGCTAGAGATGGCCGGGAGCTTCTTCAGCCCCCCTCCACGCTCCCCCCAGTGCTCAGGTTCTCCTTGACTAAAGTTTGGTGGTTCCCTAATATTTTGTCCATAAAGTAGATTCAGAGGGTCGTCGAGCTGGAAGTGCCGGGGTTGAGTTCTCTTGGATTCCCTGAGTTCAGGCAGAGTTCCTATCTTTGCCCCCACATTTATGGAGGAGGAGGAGGAATTCGAGGAAGAGTAGGCGGAGTCATTGACATTAGGATCAGCGGGTGCTGGCACTAAATGTGTCCCAGCTCCCACTGGGGCTCTATTAACCATCCCTTTAGCCTGCTGTGTGTTGGCGAGAAACTCAGCCTCGAAGCTGCGATACAGGTCCTGCTCTCTCTGGGGGTCGAGTGCTGGCAGCATCTGGAAGCCAAGGCCGAGTCCTTCCTCTTCGGGTTCTTGGCGCTCCTGGCGCTCTACTGCAGACCAGTTTCTATGGTGGCCTCGACCAGCAGGGCGTGGGCCCTGTACGGCTCGGGGAGAGCGGATGGCATGATGGTGAGCACTTCGGGGAGATGAGTGCGGTGAACGTCGACCTCCTGAGGTGACTGGCGGCAGCAGTCTACCCTTTGCCATGGAGGGGGATTTGGGGGCAGGAGGTCTGGGAGTAGTGATAGTCTTCTTGTTGGGGCTGCTGGTATTATTCTGAACCCCTTTAACAGGTGAATTAGAGCATGACGATGACTGTCTCTTGGTGAACCCAACACCCACTCTGGGGGAGGACTGGTTTACTTGTTTGGCGCGAAGCTCCTCTCTCCTGTCTGTTGGGGGCAAAGGCTCTCTGTGGCAAGAAGCTGGTCCTGGACTTGCATCACCGGACCGAGTACGACTTGATGTCTTAGTCTGGCTGTGTGAACGCGCAGGATGGAGCCTCCGAGGGCCATCGTTTCCCAGGGAGCGCCCCCTCTCGGTGCGAGATGAACGCGATCCATCAGTGGATCCCTGTGGTGGGTTGGGTTTGAGGATTGGAGCGAGGGTAGAACGCTCCCGAGACTGGCTTCGCGCACGGGGAAGGGAGGGACGCATGGAGGGTGACTGATTTCCAGCGGTGGGCCTTTCAACTAAATGTTTCCCCTCCTTCCGATTGATGAGCAGGACTACCTCTTCACCAGAGCGCCTTGAGACACCACCTACAGATTGACGTCCACCTCCGCCTCCTCCCTTAGAGGACGCTGTGGAGGAGTCGCTGTCTCCAGACATGCGTCTTGTCAATGGTAACTTTGTGTCCTTGGTCCTACAGGGACGGGAGAAGACAAATAGAGATTAACTTGGAGGTTAATTAACAGTCGTGTTATCGTAAATGAAGGTAAGTGAAAGCATGACGTCTGTTTCAAAGCGTATTGACTCGCTACTCGCTTGAGTTTTGGAGAGGAAAGTTCAGTTTTGGTTTAATTTAGATTGCAGCTTGTGTCTTGAATTGCCCTCTATAACCTTGGACTTCTAAATTTATCCCCAGAAATTAGATTTGCATAAATTCAGGCGTGGTCATTAGCCAGCACGCATCCCACCTGTTGACCTACTTCCCCAGTTAGCTGCGACCAGTTGTCCCAGGATAGCTGTCAGATTAGTGTTCAGCTAGTCTGGTGAACTTGAAGGGGGGGATGCCCCACCCACGCAGGGTTAATTCCAGTGAGCTGATAGCTTGATGTCTGGTCCGAGCCAAGTCAGCAGAGTCATTTTAAAACATTCATTCAGCTCATCACAAAAAAATGATGTGTCATTTCATCTGTCAGGAGCTTCTCACTAATTCAGACCATCTGCTGGTTGTGGTGGGAGAAGATGGGCTTGCCTTGAGCAGCTTAGAGAGAATCACAGACATCTCCAGGCAGGTGATTGTCTAACAAACTGTTTCAAAGCAGAAAACTAAAGAGGGAATCTGGAGTTTAGTAAACATGTTTGTTTTTTCACACTGAAGCCACTAGGATGTGCTGTAGAGAGGCTGAGTGAGACGGATTTATCTGGTCAATGTCACCTGAGATTAGATAAATCTGCTCTGGTCTAATCTGTGGCTTCCTGACATGTGTGTTTGTGTATACTCCCAATTCTGTTTGTGTGTGTGTGTGTGTGTCCATGTGTGTGTGTGTGTGTGTATCTCTGGCTTTCTGTTTGTAAGCACAAAAGAGCAAGTAGCAAAATCCCAGCGTGGCCTGCCAGACTACTAAAGAGATTAATTTCTTATCATGGTAACACACTTATTCCCACACTTGCACACACAAGTCACCTGAGAGGATTAAAGTGTCGGGGCTCTGAGCGGTCTCGGGGCGGCCGTGGGAGTAGAGTACGAGCTGAACCGGAGTCCTGCTCAGACGGTACAGAGGGGTTCTGGGAGCGTCCAGGTCTTGTGGAGGAGGAAGACGCACCCGGAGTAGAATTAGGCTCCAAGGAGCGCCTGTCAGGGGGTTTGTAAGGTGCGATGCCTTCATTTCTCCAGTGTGGACCCGGGCTGGTGGAGCGGGAGGAGTGGGCGCTCGAGGACTTGCTCTGAGCTCCCTGTCCTTGACCACTGGCTTTAGCTTGGTGGTAGCGGTGAGCTGAGGAGACAGATTGATAGTGAGTGTGTTAAACAGACCGACACAATCAAAGAGCCTTGTACTTTAGAGGTGCATTGATTTACTCTTTGCATCTTCGACAGTCACTCTCTGTGTCAGCAGCTGCAGATATTATATTTTATACTTGGCTGAGCAATAAATCAGAGAAATGCTGAAGCTCACATCAGTAATGGAGAACATTTATAGAACACAGAAGGCCATTTTGTGAGGCCACTCGAGGCTCTATAATCTTCAGCCTGCTGATAGAGATGGACACTGATCATGATTTCAGCTGGTCAGATGTCCAACCACTTGACCCCTGATATCACCACAAAAAAGGAGCGACAGACTCGCCCTGCATAGTTATGAGCATGTGTCACAGCTCTGATTATCAAAGTGAGAGACCACTTTGCTATTGTTGATTTATTTTCAATTACTCTCGTCTCTTAATATGTCTGCAGTCATGTACGATCACACTGTGCATTTCAAATTCATTGTTTGAAGTTTTGTTGATGTTGAAACACTGGGGTGACCGAGCCTTTGCAGTTGCTGGTTTCAGGCTCTGGAATAAACTCAGAAATGCAACTTTTTTCTGACCTGGGTCTTTTCAAATCTCAAAGTTGCTTTTATTGTTTTTATTTACTCATTTTTATTTATTACGTATTGTAAAGCACTTTAGTTCACCAAAAAGGTTGTTGTAAAGGTCTGTATAAATAAAGAACATTTACATTTGAAGTGTCTGAATGTACAGTGGTCGGAGTTTGAAGCTTGGAGCTCACTGATCAAATTCAACCACCTGAGAGTAAATTGTTGCTTTTCAAACCAACCAATGGTGGAGCAAACCAGCCAGCAACAAACAACAGACAAATACAACCAATACATTTAATCTGTGGCCATATTATTGAATTCTACACACCTGTGTCAGTATGTTATTAAGGGCATACTAACCATCAAGTTTGCGGGTAGTATTTCCAACATACTGTTTAAGTGTGTAGTTGGTATCTGAATATGTGGTTTGTGTTTCTTGCTTGTGTCTTGTTAATTCATGGTTGTATATGTTACACACCAGCCACAACATTATGACCACTTACCTAATAATATGTACCAACCCTGACCTGACAAGACACTGACTCCACTCGACCTCTAAAGGTGTGCTGTGGTATCTGACATTGAGACACTGAGACACTAGCATTGAGTTCTTTAGGTTCTAGAAGTGGAGGTGGGGCCTTCATGGATCAGATTTGGTCGTCCAGCACATCCCAGATGCTCAATTGGATTGACAGAGAGGCCATCACCTCAAACATGTCACCAGGCCAACATCTTCCATTGCTCTGTGGTCCGGTCTTGATGCCCATTGCATGTGCTTTCTTTAGTTTCTTTCCTTTGTTGGACAATCTTTTGTAGGCGCTGAACCCTTCAGACCAGGAGCACCACACAAGAGCTGCAGTTTTGGACTTGATCTGATCTGATCCAGTAGTCTAACCAACCCTCTTCCAGCTCACAACACATCAACAAATAAAATGTTGACTTGCCTCCAAACATATCATACCCACTGAAACCATATAACCAATTTTATGCTCTACATCTGTCAGATGTCATAATGTTATGGCTGTTGTGAGTATCTTCCCTTTTGTTCACTTAATTGTGAGTTTCCTTGTGCATCTATTGAATTTTTTACCATCTTAGGTTTGATTTAAAGACAAACCCTCGTGTAGGTTGTGCAGTTTTTGGTCCATCATTTTGTTTCCAAACAAAGTAGACATCATGAAAGGGACTTGTGTTGTTTTTCGAGTTTTGTGCAATTAAATTTTCTCCAGTTTTACCTCAAACAAAATTTTGATGTGACAATGCCAGCTAAAGCTGAAAAGTGAATATATGAAATTACTATATGATTATGAGAGAACGAATTTTTGTTTTAGACAGAATAAGTATTTGTCAACTTTTCTGATCCTCATAGTTTCTACTTCAAGAACAAACTCAGAACATCATATGTAAATCATTTGTTTACAATCTCCAGTATATTATAAATTATGCAACACTGAGACACAACAATGAAGTTGTTTTGTAATGGGCTGACAGGGAGGAGGAAGTGACCTCACCGAAAGCAGCACAGCGGCACGGGTCATGCTTGTCCAAATAGTGCTCTAATGTGTCCCAGCCCCCTCCAACACGCACCATCACATGAGTACGAAGGACCTAAGGGAGGAAAAGAGAGAGCAAGGCTTAAATGGATGAACCCACAGTATTCATGCACGAGTAAAACAGCCAAACCTTTTGATATACAACACCACCACACAAACTGCACAAGTCAATAGATATGCAAATTCCACAAGTGGGGTAGCTTGCTGTGGGCCGGCTGGCCTTCAGTGTTACATAACATCTAGATGCACCCCTGCCTGTGCCCCTGCCTCCCCCGACTCCTCCTCTTTCTCCCACATCACCCCCAGCTGCTGCCTTTATGAGGCCTGTTCATTGGCATGCCAGCTCACAATTAAAGCAAGTATGGCAGCATAATAAAGAGCCAAAGTGCAGTGAAAGACACTCTTTTTCTGGCCCCTCTCTCTTTCTCTCATGCCTCTCAGCTGGCATCCCTGTGTTTTCAGAGGGGAGCGAGCTGAATTAGCATGGTAACAACCCTCCCCTGCTGTCATCTCTGCTCCTCAGCTGAGATTTCAGTTATTAGGAAGAGGAGCAGAGAGGAGAGGGGGGCTCTGAGTAGCCAAAACAAAGGACTAGGAGGAGGAGGAGGCTGGATATGTCACTTTCTACCCTTCTCTGTTCTTTGAGGCACATACATCCACAAAATCAGAGCAAAGAGCCGCAGTCCCTCAAGGCAGAAGCTGCCTCCGCTGAAGCAACACAATCCGACTGATGTGCGAGCCCTGTGGTTGAATTGGCCTGCCTTGGGTTGTGTAACAGGGTCTGCCAGCCACATGTTTTAAAGGTTGTACCAGTGTCTGAGAGGGCAGGCAAGGTGAGGCTACAATGGAGCATCTGTGTGGGCCGGCGCAGAGTTTAATACACTAAGTACACATGGCACAGTGTCTCATCTCTGCATGGCTGGCTGTGATCAGAGACTCAGCACCAAAGTCTGACCCCGCCTCCTCTCTGAAACAATCCCTGCCAATCCACTACAAGTCACTGCATCAAAGCCGTCAAAACAGCTGATCTGCTTATCTCTATCAGACCTGAGAGTATAAACTGATTACACTTTACGGCCCTGGCCTTATGTCAGTAACAGGTTTACTGTTTGTTTGATGCTGCGTCACCGTCCTGCGGCAGCAATGAAAAGCTGTGCTGGGGATGATAGTTATTATCATCGCAGTGATAAATTACCTCAATAAGAGCATCGTAAAAGTCGGATTTTGCAGCGGGAAGAAGAGGGAAGGACCCAACACAGTAAACCCATTTTAGTTTGCATTCGCTCATGCTAGTTTTGCATCCTGCATAATAATACATCGAAGCAGTTTTATATCGGTTTATCATAAATCTTTTATTGTTATTGCGAGTGTAGGTGGAGTAGCCCTCATAATATTAACAGCTACAGGGAATTAAAGTAAATATGCCTGTGTCACCGGAGTGGGTTATTATTGCACGGCCATAAAGGGAGTTTCTGTGGAGGGTCTTAAAATGTTAATTGCAGTACAAATTTCCATTCAGCTCCTGATTTAAATCTCTACGCCCTGTTGTCGATGGCTCTAACGGCCTCTTTGTTCTTGGGTCTTAACTCGCAGCAGAAACAGAAGCTAAATGATCAGAAATGTATAAACACTCAAATCTCTTTCATTTCATCTGCATAATTTGTTTCCATATCCAACAGATTCAATTTGCATATCATGTTTTATACACTAAGCACCTCAGAGGCTAAAAAAAAAACTGCTTTGGGACCATGTTTCGCCTCAGATCTGTTATTTAGCTGCCCGGTTTCCCAACCACTGAAGGGGTTTCACAGACTACACCCGCGTAAAGAGAGCGAGAGAGAGACCCAATCCCTGTTTCTATGGCAACAGCGAACAGAGATTTCTTGTCATCATTGCGGGGGTGTGCTGAACTGATTTCTTCTTAAATCTTGCTGCTGGTGAGTTGAAAAATTGTGACCGTGGATCATTTCAACTGTTGTGCCCCATGACTGAAGGCATCTCCTCCCTCTGGGGATCGACCTCCCTGAATACAAAGACGCCTTATTAACTCCCCCCTCTGTTCATAAGGCCTGTTTGCCCATTCGCTCTCTCCACTACATCCCTTCCCTTAGCCTGGGATCTTTGTCTCAGCTTTTACGGCTGAATAGGGGTTTGCTGGCTTCAAAGTGGCTGCCCATTTCCTCTCTGCTGGAGAATGAGGGAAGTGTGTTGGCTGCACTTGTAGCTGCTGGGGCATATGCATAATCACTGTCATCCCCACTGAGGCATCAGGAGCGGGCGCAGACAGTGTGAAGAGGGCTAATCTGACAAGTCAAAGGCGCCCCGACAAACACGGACAAACACGGACATCACAAACAGGCACATCTGAACCAGTCAGTCGCATGGAGACGACCTCTTTTGCAGCACATCCTCATCATGGTTCATCTTGGAGACTCAAGTAGAGGGTTATTTTTCATTTTTATTGTTCTATTTTTGAATGAAGAAGGGGAGGTCTGGTTCATTAATGTGTGTAGGTGAATATAGGAGCAGTAAAGGCCTCATATTTTCATACTTTATTTTTCTGTATGTATGTTTCATGGGACTTGGAATACAGATACAAATCCTGTCTGTGTTTTGGGAAAACTACTTTACTCCACATTAAAACAGTTTAATTCATGACTCACAGCTCAATGCAGCCGTCCTGTGTTTATGTTGGTGGTATTCTAGCACTTTTCTGGCTTTTACAATCATTTTTTTAATATTTTTGGGGGGTTTGTGTTAAATCTGAGTCTGATAGTTCTGTTTCTATGTATGCATTGGCAGCTAGTATGAGCCTTATTGATCAAGATTCATTTTCCTCTGTGTTAGCATGCATAAACAGGACAAAATACTGCTATACTGGCCCACAGTGGTGCACCTGAAAAGACATCAAAATATCACTAAAATAACCTCCCTTACATAAATGTTATATTTAAATTTCACATGAAATTAAATCTGTTATAATCTTTAATATTGATAAATAAAAAAATCACATAATTTAAAGTCCATTACAGTACATTTGAGGGAGTTTTGATACAGTACACAAGACTTAACCCAAGTATTTCACTGCAGAGACATCTCTTTCCATCAGAGTGTGCCAAATATTTCATCACATAATGCATTTTATCTCCTTTTGTCTGGACTGTGAGGAAATATTGACAAAACTAACAGTCAGGTGGAGCTGAAATGTGAACGCAGACAACTTCTAATTTCATCCAAAGAGTCCATTAATCCGGGAGGGCTGCATTTGAGGTACTTAAGTACCAAATCGATTCCTGGTATCCAGACCCAGCCTTTCCTGCCTGGTCCTGTGAGGCCTGATGTGGGTAAAGTTTCAGCTCCTATACTGAAACTGAGACAAACAGTCTCGCAAAAAAAAACAGGCAACCGGCAAGATAAGGGCCAACGCAGGGAATGACCTAAAGCTCTAATTGTGTCCTCCTGAAAATAAAAGGTGCAGTACAGAGGTGGGAGTGGGCTCCAAAGAGTCAGTTTGTAAACACTCACATGAGAGAGAAGAATCACAATGCTGTTACTAAATCTGTACACTTCACTGAGTGTGTTAGCAGCCAAGCAGCTGAGGTGGTTTTTCTGTTGCTACATAACCCTGTTCACCTTCAAACAACATATGATGCCATATGTCCACGCCGTATGGTTCCATGAAACCACTGCAGGCCTCACAGATTTCTGCAGGCTTACCGGTCTGATAAATTCAACTGAACATGCTAGGAAAAAGCAGCATCAAGGATCATTCTGAATCACGTCTAAGGTTTTTCATGAAGAAGTCTTAGATGTTGAGTTAGAGGAGCAACTTTATCTTGAGATAAAACTGAAAGAAGGAAGACCTGAAACCCATCATAGCAGAGGAAAGCTGCATCTGTGTGCTCACAGTGAACCAAACTTCTTATCAGGCAGAAATCAAGAAAAAAACCTTTTAAATGTGATAATTAAAGTACCACAGACCAATTTAAAGAGGTATTTAATAATGCACAAAGACAGTTTAAATGATAATGATTATAATGATGACTTTTTGACTGGCAGGACCAAACTGGAGCACTGACTCATAAATTAATGACTGTTAATATTGAATAAAATAAAAACATTTCATCATATCACCTTTGGCTAATTTCAGTATAACACAGATGTTCTTCTCCTTTATGTATCTTTTCGACATAAAATGATAACAGAAGTGATAACAGCGTTCAAAATTTACCGGTGATGTGTCAGCGGCCTACCTAGTAGTTGCAAACACATGTATTTTTGCCATTTAGACAGTGTTTAGCAATTAACTTGTTGTTTCTGACGGACTAATTCCCCTCCTATGGACGACGGAGTATCAGGGCCACATTAAGAAAAAAAACTTTGAGATTAAAGTTGCGAGTTTACGAGAATAAAGTCGTAATAAAATCATGATGATACTTATGATAATGTGGTGCCAAAAGATTAAGTATCTCCTTGTTTGACGAATTTATATTGAAGTGTATTTTCACGAAATGCTCCATGGCTCTGATTTCAACAACTGTCATCTTAAACAGCAGGTTAGAATATTAGGACTTTATTCTGACTTTATTCTTGTAATTTAACGACTTTAATCTTGAAGTCTTATTTTTCTTAATGTGGCTCTAATGCTTCATTGTACCTGTGCACTTATAATATGTAATATGTGATATCAGACATGAGGGGCCGAATATGAATCTCCAAATCTAAAGAGACACAAATCTTTCCTGGTGACACATCTTTATGTTTACATTGGTGATGGCCTACCCTTATGAAGATCAGTGCGCTGGAGTCTCCCACTTTATATTTCCCCTCTGACACCTTGATCATGGGAAACTGAGCCGGACAGGAACAGCGTCCCAGGATCTCCCGAACCTGCGAACAAAACACAGCACATTAAAAACATGACACACACATCCTCCAGGAACCTCACAGTGATTCCTCTCTGTGCTTCAGACTGCTGGCCTCTATATGATTTCATGTTTAGTCACAAACTTGACCCTTGTGTGTCGACAACACAATGACGTTGTTTTATTGTGTTGGGAATGAGCACTCATGGCTGCCTCGGTCTGTGGGCGAGTGTGAGTGCGGTGTGTACGCGTCATCTTCCTGCCAACCTTTCTCTCCAAACACCTCCTAGGTGCCCCGCCCTGCTCTCTCACCACAATAGAAACCACATATCTTGAAGCCCCCAGCAAGACATTTCAGTCGTTTAGTTCACCACAGAGTGTCAGAAAAAAGCTCGAAAACACACGTGTGGACTCACTAATGAACACTTTCCCTCTCTGGGATGTTACACGACAATGTTCCTGCTCTTGACATCATAAACCCGACTGGTGCCGGTGATGTCAGCAGGCCGGTGCTGCCAGCTGGGTTTTCAATCCTCAGCCGGTGCCCTTGCTGTGGTTGGGGGTACTTATTAAGCAACTGGAGGAGTCAGACGTGACTGCAGGGTGGAGCGAAATCTGCCTGTGTTGCACAGACTTGTGCTCTCACAGGATTGGACAACTTTTGATGTTTTTCTTGGCATCGCTCGCAGACAAAGGCGTATGCACACTTGCCGACCACGAGGGAGAAAGCGGCAACGAAGAGGAGGAGGCAGGGAAGAAAAACGGCTCAATATCTGTGCATGCAACAGCAGCCATTACGAAGAGGAGAGATGCAGTTTAACATAGGAGAGTCAAAATGAATCCCAGTCCTGTTGGTTGTTTTGTTTACATCTTCTGAACTGTGTACAGGACTGAAGAGACATGGCGCCTGAACCTACATTACAGTGTATTCAGAAGACTAAAGTGGCACCTTGTTATTTTCACAAAACAGCACCCTGCTTTCCATCCCGTCTAATTTAAGAGGGTGGTATCAGGGCTAAGCCTCAGCGCCTCACCTGTCCCTCTGTTCTTCCTCTCACCTGCTTCACTGTACCCTTCTTTTATCTCTCATCTGCTTTGTCGTCTTTCAGCTTTATTTTTAGCCCGAGCACTTACTGACCTGACCCATATCTCTATATTTGTCTCGGCCTTTTCCTTGTTTTGATTATATTTCTACATCTGCGCTTGCTCTGTTTCACTCCGCTGTGTCACTCTTCCCTCTTTCATTGTGTTGGTAGGTGGACAGCACTGTTTGGAAAAAACCCCCAGCCAATGAGTTAATGGAAATATTGCTATGGCAACAGACACATATACACACACAGCCTTACCCTTCCCTTTTATAACTGTACAGTTTGCCTGATTTTTTCACCCTTGTAATAGTAAAGCCTTTCTCTAGCTTCACAAACCTCCCCCAGAGCTGTTCAGCTGAGGTCATAAGTTTTCCTCCAGAGAGCGATGAAGGACTCACACACACGGTGTTTCATGAAACACGGAATAGGATGCACAAAGTGTTTTAATAATGACCTAATTAAAAGCAGTCCGGACACTTGGAATATTTACTCTGTGGAGCCGCTGGCATGAAATGTGTGCACTTCCCATGTCTTCGCTGGGTCAACAATGGCTTCACTAAGATACAGCGAAACCACAAACCCTCTCTTTCTCACACTCACACACACCAGAATGAGATAGAGGAGGAGGAGGAGAGAAAGAGAGAGAGAGAGACAAGGTCACACAGAAAACATGCGGAAGTGGAGCTGGGACACTGAGAAAAACTGAAGATAAATTATGAATGCATGCTGGCCAAATGTAAGAGTCTTTCAGTAAAAGCTGCAGATGTTTGTGAAGGAGGGACTAAACAATCCGCAGCATGCCTCTCCACTGACAATCTGCAACTTCTATCTAGATATAGGACTGCAACAATCTTTGCATGTGTGAGAGAAACATTTCTATGAAGATATTTGCAGTGAGATTACTTTTTCTTCAGCTGTGCGAACGCTCAGCAAACATACGGTGCATATTCTTTTAAGATCCCACAGCTCGGATCACGTCATATCTGCTCAATGTGAGTCAACAAGCTCCTCATTCCTTTCCTTCCTGACCCACAAACATCTGAAAGGCCATTCATGGAAGAGATAGGCTGGGGGCCGAGCACTGAGCGAACCCTGGGGATGAGGAGAGGAAATGGGAGGGAGGAGATAAAGATGTTCAGGCTTTATTCTCCATTTACTTCTGTGATTTGAAATGTGGGCTAACACTGAATGTTGTAGCTCTGCAAAATTGTTTCACAGCAAAGGAATGTGCCCAGATGCCAATATTTTTCTACAGTTGCTGCTCTAGGATTGAAATTTATTGAGTGTTATTATGTGATTAAATAAAATACAGTGTCGGTTTTCTGGTTTTGGTTTTCTGACTAAAATTCGTATTTCATAACTGCGCTCTGAAAAGCCACACATCTGTTTGAATGCTTGTAAGCTGTCCTCGTGTGTTGCCTCACACTCTCAGTCGTCAAACATAGGTGTGCTCCACTCCTTCTATGATTGCTATGTGGAGGACGATGACTGCCAACTCCGACAATAAAAACTGAACATTAAAACCACTCACTCCACTGGAATTTACACAAGGGTGTTTCCAGGATCTGACTTCTATAAGACAGTGTAGATGGGAGGATGTACAACAGAAAACAAACAGCATTACTCTTAAAAGAAAACCCGCAGCATTAAAGGATTACAGAGTATTTGGGAGGTACATTTCAAAAAAATTTTAACAAGTCTCCTCTCAGCTTATCGCCTTGCCCTGAGGATTTCCTGTCATGACTAGAAACTTCCAAGATAACACAGCCTCTCAATCAGATAAGTAAAGAGAGACAAGACAGCGCGGCACTGGGGGCGCCTTCTTGGCAGGAGGGAAATTTTCTGAAACTTGAGGGGGTTATTGCTCCTGCTCCACCACCCACAGCAAGCATTCATTAAGCTTGTCAGAGCACATTGACGACAGCTACATATCAGAGCCTATCCTCGAGCAAACCGCGCCTCTGTGAAACACCATGTAACATTTAATAAACACAAAAAAAGCTGTCTTTGCTGGAATGATCCGTTAAAATAACCTGAGGAGGGCACAGGGAGGTGACAAATGATTGCATTGATGATTTAAGCGGCGCTACAGCTGGAGCCTGGAGAGATGATGGAAATTATTTAGAGACTGTTAGCATGCAGGTCCGACAGGGCAGACCAGCAGGGATGAGAGGGAAAAAGGCGGGTTGGATCAATGCCTCAGGGTCAGGTGGTAGATAATGCACAGAGTAACTAAACTGCAAGTAACAAACCCAGAGAGAATACAGAGCTAGCTAAGATAAATCAATTTACTTTCCAGCATGAAAAACCTAACCTGGAAACATGCTTTCACTGATTTGTGGGGAGGTAGGGGTTAAATGATAGTTATTTTCTTTGCTAGAAGCAAAAGCAACCTGTGGGGACCTGAGGAATGTGCCGCTCCCAGAAGAGACAGAGTGCAGCACTGAGATGTGTTAATTGTGCAGTTTTAGACAGGCTGGTATACACATTTTGTTTGGGTTGGACACAAACAGGCTCAAATGTGAAGCTTCACCAAACTGTAGTTTCATATTTGTTGTACATACATGAGGGTGATAACAAGCTTTCTGTTACTGATCTCACAAAAGCACATGATCACATAGCAGCCATTGTCTTCATTGCACTCAGGGTGCAAAGCTCAACAGCATATTTAACTGCAGTGTTACAGAAACAACCCATATTAACATTTGGCTGCTGTAATGAATAGTGAAAGCTATCTTATCTCAGCTACATTTACAATTAAATACTGTTGTAAAATATCATTATAATTCAACACTATCTCAGTTACAATAACAGTTAAATACTGTTATCAAAATCAGAATCAGAAGGGGGTTTTATTGCCATTGTCAATGAACAGGATTCACAGACTAGGATTTTTTAACGGCGTGATGGTGCAACATTAAACAGAGAATATTATATAAAATACTAGAATAAAAACTAGTAAGAGCATGCAGGACATATATAAAGTATAAATGGCTATGTACAACTACACAATACAGAACAGCAGTGCAGTGGGGGGAGTGCAATTAAAAAACAAGGTACATTAAACTAAAGTCACCAGTGATAAAGTGACAGAGTTAAAGTGACTGAGTTATAAAGTGTTCATGAGTCCAACGGCAGAGGGGAAGAAACTGTTCTTATGGCGGGAGGTTCTGGTCCGAATGGACCGTAGCCTCCTGCCCGAGGGGAGTGTCTCAAATAGTCCATGTGCAGGGTGAAAAGGGTCAGCTGCGATCCGACCTGCTCGGCCCCGAAAATATCATTATAATTCTACACTATCTCAGCTACATCAACAGTTAAATACTGTTGTAAAATATTATTATAATTCTACCTTATCTCAGCGATATAAAAAGTTAAATACTGATGTAAAACAAAAAGGGAGGTTATAAATGTTTAATTTTCTCTTTGACTATATGTTCCCAAAAATGCTCAATATCCTCTGTCCCCTCAGCTGATGATAAATGTTGAAGCAGTAAATGTGAGTGTCTTTAATCAGGTGTAAAATACAATAATTCTATGTCCAGGGTTGACCTTATCTAACGTTCAGAGGAAACTGTTCTCTGAAAATCAATCCCCATCTCTGGGCAAATGACAAACTGTCCACTGGGGGCTGCAGAAGATAGAGGAATCTAATGGTTGTCGAGTGCTGCAAGGTGAATGGCTAAAAAATCTATTCATCTACGTCAGTCAAATGGAAGTACAATCACAGCGATAGAGCAGGAAGTTGATATCAGATCATCGCCTCTATCACTTGCTGGTTTATTGATGAGGCTTGAGAATAATCAGCGTCATGAGGTTTGAGGTACTGCTGTGGTTCTTTCCAGTGTCCCCTCCACCTGAATCAAGGTCAGGGAGGTTATAGACAAAAACAAACTACACCCAGACACGAGCCAATTCAGATAGATATCCAATTAACTGATAATCATGCAAAAGATCGGGTGATAACACCAAACGCTGCAATAAAGACACACACCAGTGATATGCAAAGTGCAGAGTCAGCTGTTTCTGCGTGCACCCTGGCGGATGGAAAACAGTGAGAGAGGCTGAGATTTGGTCTCTACGTATCATGGTAAGATTCACGAGGATAAAAGAAGGAGAATCTAAAATTACAGCGCCCCTAAAAATCAAGAGTGCTTTGACAATAGAGGGAGAAAAACTGAAGGATGCCACGCTCTCTCAGTAAAGCGTATAAGTGTGACCCAATGCAGCGCATGATGACCTACTTTTCTCTTTCACTCTGGCTCCCTCTCTACTGTAGCTCTGCCTCTCGGAGCCACTTCCACTCCAGTCAGGTTTAACAGAGTGTACAGTAAAGCCACTCCAGGCACACTATCTGTTGTCTCCTCTTGTTATTTACATCCTTAATACATGAATTGAAGCATAAGGTTAATGGAGTCCATACAGCCATAATAGAGGCATTTTCTCCCTTTATTAGCCTCCTTTTTAGCTCTGCTGGTGTCTCCATCTATGATTGAGACGTCAGCCGTTGATTACCTCGCTGTCTACACCAGCGGTCTATTCACATCTCCTGTTCAATGCCACCAACAAGACATATTGCTCCACTCTTTGCTTTATCATCACAAGCCGAGCCCGGAGTGGGGGATGGGAGAGGGAATGGAGGCTCGCACATTTATGAACCAAACATGGGCTGGATCTTGAAGCCTAGGGTGACTGAAAACATGAACTAATTTATATGACCGAGCAAGAAGAAGGACGGAGGTGACAAAGGCAGCGAAGCTCCTCTCTTTTTGTTTACAAGTATCGCGCTGTATTGATGCCTATTCATGCAGGGATCATGTGGACACACAGCGTGTGCATTAAGGGGTCAGCAGGTGTCGCTCATATTATTTATTACATGTGATGAATGTATGCGTTTCCACATCTGAGCCCGGGGCCTAATTGCAAGACCCAGAAAATGAACTAAAGGCCGTTTTTGAGCTTTGGCGTTTCTCTACCTCGGGCTGCTTGTGGCAATCAAAGTTGCTTTCATAATCCCTATCAAATAGGGATGTGAAAGAAAATCCCTTAATGCAAAGGATAAAGTTGATTGAGACGTGTAATGTGACATGTCTATCTAACCATAAGCTGCTGTTTCCGTGCCTCCTGAGATAGAAAATATCCAGGAGTGTTGGAGAAAAGGAACATTAAGACACATTTGACTGACTCAAACTACGATGAGGGGAAATGAGACGCCGGTCACTTCCTCAACTTTAGAGTGGAAGTCGGCCCACGGTGAGATGAGTAATAATCCCTGCAGTGGAAGATCAGTGGGACACACTGTGGGACACAGAGTGACTGTTAGTATTTGCACTGAAGGTGTGTTACAACCGTCTAAACAAACAGGAACATTTCTTAAGATTAAATATCTGTTATGTACAACTGAGGTGACACATCATCTGTTTGCATTGAGAGTCAGGAGTTTACCGAGTCACCCCAGAGTTATATGAGCTGAGTGTGCCAAGGGCGAGCAATTTATTATGTTTATATCTGATCTCCCTCAAGGTAATTGTTATGAAAATAATCTTACATGTTTGTCTGCAGAATATTCTGTTTAGAATAAAATCCTGTAATCCTTTCAGGACTACACTTATTTTGTCCGCATGGATGCAACAAGATTAGCTTGATCATCCAACTACAACACACTGCACAGACGGACGCACAGCTGCCAAACGGACAAATCTCATTGAGATACTGTGAGCTGCACAAAGCACAAAGAACAAAGGCCAGGCTTAATAAACTGGACATCAGAATTAAAAGTCAGGATGGACATATTATTCTGAAGTTTCTTTACAGCTGCAGTGCACTTGTTTGCAAACACTTCAGGTTCATTCCTATATATTATGGTTCTTGTTAAGTTAGTAATTAGTTGTTTTATCCAAAAGTCATAGGATAATAAAGAGAAATATTTACAGCATTTTGTTTGCACAGACTTCTAAGGCTGCTGTGCTCATCTCTGAGGGAGGTAATGGCCTGGTAATTAATTCATGACATTTTGTCAATAATGTGACTGGATGTGAATCAGATGACGGCTCATTAACAGCTTCATAAATTATGTATTTTTCTCTGGATTTAAGGTCATAGACTCAAATCAACAGTTGTTTTAAAAATTGGATTAAACCATTCAGAGAAATAATTCTTATTCTGGATGATTCAGACATTTTCTGCACAGGTGAGTTTAGTGGTAGATTCCAAGAATTACAAGACACTGATGGTTTGAAAGACTCTTGTAAAGATCCTTCTAAGTATTTCTGTATGTTGTTCCTCAAGGACAGAGAAGCTGAATACCTTACTGCAAGATCTGAGTGGGTAGCTGATCTTAGAAGTATTGATCAATCTATTTATATCAAAACACAGATTTCATTTTGAGTGTTTCCTGGTAATATTTTGCACTCAGTTGGTGTAAATGTTTCTCTCACAAATTCTGGGACTCTGGTACAGACAGAGTACATGTTAGTAAATAAGTGAGGTACTCTTGATAATACTGTGTCCTATATTTTAATATTTCAGTCTCTCCTCTTTGTACCACTGCAGCTTTTAGTTTGAAGGGCCTTCTGCTGCTGATGTTGGCTGTTTTGTACTGTGAACATGTAAGCAGTTTTGTTTTTTAAAGGTTGACAGAGAGGATGGATGAGATGTTATTCTTCAGACACATGATGACTGGTCCGAACCAGTCAGAGCCAGTCAAATATGCCCATCAGTCAGAGTCAGACAGTGTGTACAAGTATTCTGAGGTTAAAAGGAGAAACAGACGTAGGCTCTGATATAGTTTTTGTTAAAAACTTACAGTCAGTTTCTTTGAATCCTCATTTGAGTGAGTGAACTCTGAGTCTGGATGCAAACAGCACACATCCTCCTCCTCACGCTCTCCTATTTCTGTCTGCGGAGGTCACACTCTCTGCTCTGCTGCCTGACCAGCATGAGTCTGACTGTCCACCTCTTCCCCTCCTCCTTTGCTGCCCCTCACCAACATAAAAACATTAACTTCTGACTCTCTCGCTGCTGCGCACGTGTTCCACTGACTGTTGGCCTGTTAGCTCCTCATCTCTGCCCTAACAAGATCTCTGCCTGAGTCAAAGGTCAGACACTTAACTGGGCAGGTGAGAAAGGGTTGATGTTTTGAAGTCTACAGGAAGGAAACGTTTGGAAGATTAAGTGAAGGAGAAGAATGTCATTGAGACCCTCCTCTGCAGACATGTCTTGATGCAAGAGGTCATTGAAAAAGGTTGAAGATGATCTATTACTCTGAAAAATGTTCCTGTAGAGGCAGAGCTGGCATTTCCACAAGAATGCAAGAGAAATGTCACTGAGCTGACCTACACCTCCTCTCAAAGCTTCCCTGTGGCTGTAAGCAGGAATTTCTGTGTCAAACACACACTGACCCTAAAGGTGAGCAAGAATCTAAGAAGCACAGATGCACACAGACACCCACACCACAGGGGGAAAAAAAGGTGCTTCCCCTCTTCATAGCACTGACATGATACTTTCAGGCCAGGTTCCTCACTTCTGACACATATCTACGCTTCACTGTCAGCTGATTCATTCTGTTTGGCACATCAAGTACACTCAATATTTACTTCTGACAAAAGCTGAAGAGCCTGGGAAACCAAATCTACCTCACTTCACAAAACAGTTCTGGGTATGGATGATTAAATTTCGTGAGGATCATGACAATAGCTGATGATGATATGGATGAATCATGGTGCAGTTGTGACACATTGGCTGGAGTTAGAAGCAGATTGTGTTTTTCTTATTTCTTGGGACTCACCAACTCATCCAAATTGCGCATATCACATAAAATTCTCTTCTGTGGCCAGATGTAGGGCTCTGGATCAGGTTCATCCTCATCCTCCACAATGTGACTGCTCTCCTTCCTGCTGAAGCACCTGCTGGGTGGGCTCTGCTCAGCGGGCTCCCCTACGTCGATCCGAAGGCTCTCCTGGTCCCGGATCTCCTCCTCTATCTCCTCTTCAAGTTGGATCAACATGGGGGCCAACATGCCAAACTTTGCCCCACGTCGAGCCACCTCAAGCAGACACAGAACAAAATTCTTCTCGTTGCACCTCTCCACCAGGTCGTTGGTCTCAAACATGAGGACGTCCTTGATCCAGAGCTCCTGCCTGCACCAGCTGATGAAGTTGGACACGTTATCCCGCGCCAGAAACGAGCCCGGGATGACATTGCGAGACTGGAAGACCACATCTTTCGATGGTAGCTTCATGGTTTGAGCAGCTTCGGGATATTCCAGCTGGAAGTCCTGCGCGGCGCGGTTCACGTTGTTGGCGTGCCGACACAGAGCACAGCCGGTCTCCAGCCCGTCCATGAAGGTGTCCGCAGTGATATCTAGGTCGTAGAGGGTGTTCAGCCATTCGGCCAGATCTTCCTTCATGGCGTACAGGTACTCTTCACTGGACTTAAAGGGCCGGATACTCTTAGAGGCGGCAGACTGGATGTTGCTCTGATCAGCCATATTGTCGGATTTTGTCGCCTATCAATAGTCTATTTGATAATTCCAGATCGTCTCATTGCACAACTGCGCTCCAAAGCCTCATCCACATAACAGAACGATATAACCGAGTTGACGCACCCATGCCGATCTGCATGCGTGGTTTCTTACCGGAGCTCCTCGGAACCAGGCTTTGTGTTGTCAGAGGCATATCGGGATGCGGGGTGGCCGTGGCGCATGGATGCGTTTTCCGGATGTCTCTGCGAAACACGTTTCCTTTAAAGAGCGCATCGCAGAGTCCCGGAGAGAGGAAAGGAGATGAGCAGACCGGGACGCAGACGGTACACACCCATGCGACGGGTTGTCAATCCGCCCGGTGACCGGCGGGAACGATCACCCACCGAAATCCACGTGTCACCATATCGGTGTGTCTGAGGCGAAGTGAGCTCCTCACCGATGAAATCACCGACACTAAGCAGCTCGGGGCTCTCAGCTCATCGTGTCTGCAAATAGGCCCGCCTCTCTGAATATGTTGACCTGCTGTAGCTTAGACCGGCAGAGCGACTCGGTGGCACATCCCATTATGAGGGATAAACGGCCGGCAGAGGAGGAAAACTTAACCCCATGTTCTCCTTCACACGCACAGATACACACTCTTTACATCTGTGTCAACTTTAGACCTGACACTGGATTTATTTCGCATTTCTGATGATATCAAATCAACATCATAACAAGTCATTACAGTTAAAAAAACAAGTTAAAGGGGAGAGTGGGGTAAGTTGACCCACCTCCTGTTGCTTGGAAATGGTCAAAGAAATTGATCATGTGACCAAATATTTAGGAGATGGGCATCAATTCATGGAGTCTGTGAAGGTTAGAAGCACATGGGTGAATGGGTTTGTACGGAGGTCAATCAGTGCCATCTGATTTTGAATTTGAATTATTAAAGCTAAAGTTTTTGCATCAAAATCAGACTTTGAATTTCAAAACTATTGAATTTCAAGCATGCGTTTTTATTTCTTACACTTATTTTTTTTCACAATGATGAAATAATTTAGTGTAAAAAAAATCGGTCCCTCAAAAGATTTGTTTAGTAAAAATCCAACTTTAAAAAAAAACTGGAAATAAAAAAATATATTGTAAAAAATGTAAAAATTGCTTCTCCCTGATTACCCTGATTTTTTACAAAACAGCTTTTTAGCTGTTATATGCAATAATAATAAAAAGAATTATTGTACCAGTTGAATAGTGTATAATAGATCAAAATAAACATGAATGTGAAGAAGTGACTGTTATTTAGGGAGAGAGAAGGGTAGTAGGGATACGGCTCAACTTACCCCGCTCTTATGGTCAACTTACCCCATACACGGTGTAAGTTGACCATAGGAGACCACTTTTTTTGGCATGGTATATTATCAAGACAGTTATGTTTACACTCATTCTGTTGGTTTGCAGGGATGAACAACATCTTGAAATACATGCAGATTATCTAGTGAGAGACAAAACTATGATCGCCTTGATGTATTGATCCAAAATATGAAAAATGGATCATCTTACCCCACTTTCCCCTAAGTATCAAAACAAAAACGCGGTGGGACTCTCTGCAAAGACGTGGCATGTATCTATGGGGTTGTTCTGCCCTAATTCGGAGAAGGCTGACAATTTTCCGTAATTTATGAAATTTCTTTTTGGGTCAACACACAAGCATGATTCACAGACTCTAAAGAATGACATCTTTGTATTGCATCTTTATTAAACAGCCTCCAGTGATGAAGGCCAATAATGCCTGAGTCACTGAGCATCATGAGACAGCAACTCTGAAAAGCACAAGAAACTCTTGGAAAGGAGGAATAAGAAACTTTTAGACCTGTAAACCATAAAGCTTTCCCAGCCTCAGCTAAATTCCTGATAGTTTCGTATTGAATGATTATTGGTTTGTAAGACGAACATCGACAAACAACAGATCTCTCACCTCCGTAATCTCAAACAGGAGGTTTGATACTACATTGGCAAATAGTAAGAGATCAATCCATAGAGTGGCTGGACAGTGTTATCAAGGTGAGTCAAGCTGTGACCAATTACCTGGCACATGATCAGCTGTCTGCATGATAAGAAATGTGTCTGGATATGATAACAGGCCAGTGCAGGACATGGACCTTAGGTTGGAGGTTAGAATTGTCTTAATAAATTGGGACTTTTAATCCTTTTTTATGCATAAAAACACTCAACATCCAATCTCAGACATTCTCTTTTCACTACAGTCGAGTGCTGACACGTTTCCAGAAATCCTGAAGGTTTGAACCTTGGGTCAAACGTTGGTGCAGAGTTCCTGATTTACAGGTTTTTAGGGTATGCTAACATTTTGAAAACATGAGGGAAACCTGCTCAGGGCTTTGAAAAACCATCTGTGACCAAACTGTACACAAAACACTGCCCAACCCCAACAGTTAAGGCACACAATTAGAAACCGCTGAATGCATCCAAACTTTCAAAGGCGTGGGCCTCTATTTTCAAAGTGGTCGTGAGAAACCATTTCTTTGCTGTTTGACAGTTCAACTTGTACACACACTTTAAATATTTATGAAATGAGCAGTTTTTTAACATTAAACTTTTCACTGTTCTCTTATTCAAAAGCCCGGGTGCGCCTCTTTTAGAAGAGCTCATGCACTCTCCCAGTGTGATTGTTTGAACTGAAGCAAAACTCTGCTCCGCTTCAATTCAAACAAGAGGGCGGGCTTGTTTTCATTTAACAAGAGGGATGTGTCTGTTAAAGAAAGAGAGAGAGAGAGAGAGGAACGGAATGGGTGGAAAAAAATGAGCGAGAGAAAGAGTGAGAGAGAGAGAGAGAGAGAGAGAGAGAGAGAGAGGGTGGGGGTTGATGAGATCATTTTCTTGGCCTGGATGAATCAGCTTTTCTGTCTGTGAAGACGCAGAGAATTCGGCACTCTGTTAATCCAGACAAGGACCAGGCTACAGCAAGTGAGGCACCTCCAAGATGATCGCTTCAGGGTTTCCCAGAGAGGAAACTCAGAGGACCAGAAGTACGAGAGACAAAGACAGGCAACTTGCTAACTGTGTGACGGCAAGAACACAAAAAACTTCCAAAGCTGAGCCCCATCTGAGGAGTAAGATCCATAAAAAAACAGTTACTTCGAGGTTTTTCCCCCACAGGGAAAACAGACAGACAGATTAGGAACAGTAGAAAACTGGAGCTGGAAAAGTTCTATGTTGCCTTACAGATGGATTCTTTGAGATCTTTTCCCCCTCAGACAAGTTACAGAAGTGTTCACTTCCCAGTTCAAACCCACAACGGAGCAGCAAGAGTGAGTCTTTGATAACTGAGGCCGATTTTAAATTAGCCATCAAATAGGTGAATGAAAAGAAAATATCAAAGGACTCAAAGATGCTCCTTACAGCCATGTGTTTGCCAGATGCTAATAAAACATCCCACAGGCATCTGTGATTAATAAATACTGAATTCAACTTGACTGCCGGAGCAATGTTTGTGGAAAGCTGTTTAAGTCAGGCACTTAATCAGAGAAATCAAAGGAAATAGTCCCTGTCTTTGCAATTATTTACTGGAGTTCTTTGATTCAAAGTTAACAAACAAAAGACAAAAAGGCTCAAATTGTATTTGGCTCTTCAAAAGGAAACAGACACAAACTGCATGTCACTGTCAGTCTGTTCTTTTAGAAATTTTATCAAAGGAAATCTTTCAACGTCCTCTGTGAACAAGGGGTCAAAGGGTGACTCCAAGTACCACAATACAGGGCGCAGGAACTATCCTCTGATTCACAACTGCTGCATCAAAACACAGATCCAACATGCGCCACCTCCTGGCATGATAAGTTGCTGCAGCCTCAGAGCTACTTGTGTTTTTAGCTTCGGATGAGTATCCTAAAAGTAAGCCGTGGTGGATCACCATACCACCATTGAAGCCTTTGTGGGCCCTTTAAGTTCTGGGGGCTTCTTAGTTTCCTACATGTGACCAGAATATAAATGTGACTTTGCCAGCCACATCAGATGCCACCGTAAGTGATATACCGTATGACTTTCTAAATTTGTTTTGACTCGTATTGTAAAAGGAGAGGACCAAAGACTCAAACATCAAATCAGTAAAATTTTATTTTTCCCAAGTATGTCAACATACAACTGTCAGTAATGGGAAAGAGGAGGCAAGTGTACTAACAAATGAAAAACTCTGCATTACAATTCAAGGGCAAAACTAAAAAGCATACATAAAAAAACAGCAAAGAACATGTACAATATGAGACGCAGCATAAACATGGGTAAACTAAAATAGAAAAATGGAAACATGAGTTAAATGAGACTGCAGTAGATGTTTGAAAGCAGTTCTATAACCATCACTTTTTATGGAATCATAAATTAAAAATTCCTGTCTTAAAAATCAAATTCCAAAAGAGGAACGTTTATGAAGTCCTCCTTTAGTAAGGGCGGTCTCGGCGCTCCTGGCGATGGTCCCTAAAAAGAGATCAGACGTTTTAAAATCAGATTTCTACAGTGTCTTTGCTGCAGGTTTGTATTTATTCACTAAATTAAAAAGGTTTCCACACACCAGAAACCTACCTCATATCCATCTTGCCACCTGGTGGACCCATTCCTCTTCCACCTCTGCCACCCATTCGGTCCATGGGTGGCCCGCCACGCCCAGCCCCACGAAATCCTCCCCTATCCATTCCACCACGTCCCCTGAATCCACCTCGGTCGCCTCCCCAGGATCCACGGAAACCTCCAGGGCCACCAGGTCCTCCGCCCCCTGCTGGCCCACCACGGTCCATACCTCTGCCTCCACGCATTCCCATTCCTCCTCTGCCTCTGTCACCTCCTGGGGGGAAAGGAGGGCCACCTCCTAACCCTTCAGGTTTGGGGGCTTTGCACTGGTTACACTCCATCCTCCAGGCAAAGTTTTGATTGCCACAACCCCTAAAAGCAGACCATTAAACCGATTATAAATAAAACTTTGAGATGAGAATGGTCAGGAAAGAAGACGAGGAAGAACTAATACATACGGGTTAGGACACTCCCAGTCCCCTGCCCGCTGCTGCATGTTTCCTCCTGTGGGTCCACCTCTGCCCATACCACGTGGACCACCACGGGGGCCAAACCCACCACGGTCTCCTCCACGGCCCATCATACCTGGTAAAAGCAAAGTACAGCATTCAGGTTCTTGGGCAGAATTAACATTATTTCTAAATTTACTCAGCAAATGAGGACAACGTTCACTTTGAGTGTGCATCAAAACCCCACAGAACTCCAGCCTCCTTAAGAGATTCCAACACTACACGCACTTGTTTGAAACATTAAAATGTGTTAAGTTTAATCACTTTGTGGATAATATCTATACATGTGACTTAACCTCAAAAAGATGAAAGCTATCGTATTGTAACAGCTCCTCAAACATAGATAAATGCTGTTGGTATTTACCTCCACGCCCCATCATGCCGTCTCTCATGGGCATGCCTCTCATTGCGCCCATCATGGGCTTGCGCCGTGCCATGGATACCTTAAGCCTTCTGCCCTGGAACTCCTTCCCTATAATTAGAAATCAAAAGTCATCAGATAAACATATTTTATCCAGTACTTTTAGATTAATTCATGTACTTGAGAAACTCTGTTTAGGACTAAATCATTGACATGTACCATCAAAATGCTCCACAGCTGCTTTGGCACAGATTGGCTCCTCATAGGACAGGGTGGCATCTCCTTTGGGCTTTCCAGTGTCCTTATCGGTGTAAATGTTGATCGCTGGCTGTCCGAGTCTGCGGTTCATCTTCACACATAGATTTGGTTTTGTTTACATTCTGCATCAGTTTTAGTGGAAGCACAAGTTAAGATTGAAGTGTAACTCTTACCCTGATTGGGCCGACGTGTTTGAAGAATTCAGCCATCTCCTCCAGGTTAGCTTTCTCAGTCAACCCTGTGATGTAGATTGTGCTGTTCTCAGAGTCATCCTGCTCTTCTGGGCGTCCTACGACAGACACATCAGAACGGTCAATATGCTTTAAAACCATCTTTTCTGATTACACTATTTAGTTTATTATCCACCCAAGTCAGGGATTGATGGGATGGTTTAAGTGTGATACTCCTTACCCATTTCACGCTCATCCCCGCCCATAGGTCCTGTGGTCCATCATTGGAAAGGAAGAGACACAAATTGAGAATTGTCAGTGTGAGCAACAGAGATGCAGTGTACAACACCTGAGGAGTACTACAAAAGATAATCCACATTCCTTATCAAGGTGGTCAGCCATATTGGGAGGTCAAAAAAAGTGGCACCTTATGGTACACCAAAAATCCCACAAGTGATTTATTGAATTGAAAAATAAACACCTCGAACCCTTTGGCAAAAAAATTGTGTTAAAAGCCTCTTAGACCAGTAAGAAATCCTAATAGACCCCAGGAATTCAGCTCATGAGATTTTGTAAAGCAGTAACACACATTTGAGTGAAAATTTGTCATTAACCTCAAAAACTCATCAGACCATAAGCAGTGACTGAATTATACCAAGTACCCTGGAGAAAATGGTCTCAGGCATTGAAAATAAATTCCCAAATATTTTCACATGTGTTCACGTATATTAATTTGCAAACCACAACGTAATGTCGGAGGATATTGGCTCTATAAGTTTAAGGCTTTTAAAAGGACTAACCAGTGTAATACTCGTTAACTTACCACCAGGCTTACTGAAGCCACCTCTCTCTCCAGCGCTGCTAGGGGGAATAAATGGAGATATGAAGGCGATTTCCTTTTACAGCCACTTCCATGGCTCGAGCAAAGTGGCTTGATTGAGGGATTAATGAAAACATTCTAACTAACCCAACAGCAACTAAGAAAAAAAAAACTCCCCCAAATCATAAATACACAATCTTATTTGAGGAGCTTAGAGTATTTACCATGTGCCATGTTTGGTTAGCTCAGTACAACTTCAGTTACAGTTTGCAGAAGTGGACACATAGAAGTGCAAAAACATGAATCACTATCTAACATATGTTCACTGCCTTTTAAAATGTGACAAAAACCCAACATTTGTACACAAGTAGACAAACTTCAGATGCATTGTTAGCATTAAATCTTAACCAAGATTAAGTTACCACCCTGACAACAAAAGCTCAAACATTTAAATCTTAAAATTGTTGTTTAAAGACAACACATCTGAAATGTACAAAAAGCTGATGACATTCACCATGTGATAAAAAAGAAATAAAAATACAAGTATACACTGTGAGAAATCAACACCAAAAACAGTTTTACAGATTAACCAGTTATTTTTGATTAAACAATAACAGTGAACAGTAACCATCATGCTCATAAAAACCACCATCCTCAGTTCTTGAAAAAAGGCAGACCCCCGAATCTTTGTTAAAGCTCCCTCCTGCTGCTTAAGCTGGCGGCTCTGTACTGAGTACAGATACTTTAAAGAGAATAGATGGTTTTAAATGGCTCTCACTGTTACCTGTACGGTATAAATGTGACAAAGCATGTTAAAAAGTGCTCAAGGAATAACCAAACATTTGTATTTCAAACCACAAAAACAATTTAAACATTTAAAGTTACAATTAGCCCCCCAACCCCCAACCCATGATTCACATACTCCTGTGCCAGGCTAGAGATACCCTACAGTAATTACACTCCTAATACATCAGTGCTATGCCATATATTTAGAAAGGTTTAGGGCGTCTCTTCTGTTCATGGCGTTTGCTTGTTTGGCCTCAACCCTACCGTGATAAACAAATCTGAATCCTGTATTGCATAAGCTTATTTCCTGCACTCCAAAACTCCCAAAACCCAAGTTTATAACAAAAGTTAAAAGTTAACTGTTTTTTTTTTAAGTGCCTCAGTAGTGTTTGAGAAAACTAGTAATGACCCGGGGAAAGAAAAGTTATGTTTTTTAACAATGTGGTTGACAACCTACACCAAAGTTAAAAACAACATCTCTCTCCGTAAACCCTTCAGTTTTTTATCAGGGGGGTTGCATCACAGATGAATCTGTTTTGTAATCAACTCAAACCTTTAGCATTACAAGAAAATAGTAAATGATGATTTAACGTGTAAAAACTTTTCCAAAGTCCAATCCAGGATAAAGTGAGTTTGGTTGACATTTCAATGAGGGAACCATAAAAAAAGGTGTCAAAAGACCCAAGAAACTGAGTTCCAATCTCACCATCAAGAGGAATACACACCAAGACAGTTTTTGTTGCCATTCTGAGATGACAGTGGATAGTGCTTTACCAAAATGGACTCAATGTATGTGCACCGTGATAATCTCATAAGAGATTTTAAAATGCTGATTAAGAGTAAAATTGGCCCATGCAAAGTATCTCATTATGTTCTGTGGTAATCTGTAGTATCAGTAATCCTGCCTGACCCTCTTTTCTGATCAACATGTGACACCTGGGAAAACTCCAAGTGAATGCCTGGAAAACAAAACTATGGGTATGAGCAAATGTTTGCATGAAAAAAAAATATTTAATGTAATGTTTTTTGTATTTCATTGAAAATGTATTTCTTACAATTTAAACTGATTTTTTGTTCAATTTTAGTACGACATAGAACCAGAAACAGGCATAAAAAAACCTTGGAAGTTCTAAGCACAAAAGATTTTTAAAAAATCTGGTGAATTCCTAAAATCTTTGAGGACAAATGAGGCTTTGGACCAAAAACTTGACAAGGAAATTCATCTACATGGTTGATGAGAGTAATGCTTGACCCCAGTATGCTGTTGTGCCATTTTCCCTCATTTTAATATGATAGATTAGGCTGACCAGATAATTAGAGCCAAAAAACAGCCTCACAAATAAAACAGCCACAGACTGAAAACACCAGTTAATGTTTCTGCAGGTAAAGAGGGGAAAACCTTCTTAGTGATGAAATGTATCAACCAAAATGTTGCTCTGGAGTGAGTTTATTTTGTGTATTTAGAATTAAACAATTCCTATTTAGAGACAGCTTACAATAAATTATTTTAAGTTCTCACAGAACAAAACTCCAACTTCAAAATACCTCAGAAAATCTTGCTGATTTTCCACTTTTTTTGCTCTGATGGCACCCTTATTAGAAAACTAGGGACGTCATGCTTTGGGAATATAAACAGCAGAATGAGAAGCTAATTTAAAGGGGTGCTTCTGTGATAAGATGTCTGAACCTTCCCTAAAGAAACCTTTCATGGTCAGCAGTTGTGATTCTGCCACATATCCCTAGAAACCATTAAATATCCATACTTTATTGGCCTAAAACTTTTTGCCATTAGCTCACTGTCAAAATTTTGTCTGAAGATACAAGCTGTTCAATCTAAATGTTTATGCACAGGTCCCTGGTTAAAACCTTATTCGAAAAAAAGACAAAAAAAATCCCCATTTTCTTACCTTTGGCCAATTAAGAGGCAGGGCTGAAACTGCTGCCAATTTGGCGTGAACTTTACATTTGGTCATGGACCTTAACAATTTATGAAGCCTATATTCTGTCTGTTGACACAACCATATTATTCAAATTACAAAAGTCTAGGGCGAATTGTTTTGAGTTTTCATCAATTGCTGATGGGAACTTCTTTCAACCCTGCCCCATTGGCCTCAGCACCTGTAAAACGAAATGCGATTAAATGCTCAGGAGAGACACATACCCCATGCCACGGCCCATGCTTCCACGTCCACGATGCATCATTCCACCTCGATCAAAGCCATCCCTGCCACCTCTTTCCCCTGACCCGGGGTACCTTGAAGATTCAGAGCCCGAGTAACCGGAACCTCCACCCTGGCCATCCTGTCTGTAGTTGTCTTCAAAAGAGGCGCACACATTGGACAATATACGTCAAATGGAAATCAAATCAAACTAAACTTGTGCACACAAAAATGAAGGAAATGGACAAGCAAAGCTTACTGTAGTGGTTGTTCTGGTTGTAACTGGGGGGTCCTCCTTGTTGGCTGTACTGGTTGGATGGCGGCTGTCCATAGGAACCAGAAGCCTGAGGAGGGTAAGCTGGAGGAGCCGCCTGCTGCTGCTGGGTCGATTGCTGGTAGCCCTGCTGCTGACCGTAGCTGGTCTGCTGGGCCTGGTAGCCAGGCTGCTGCTGACCATATGCTGCTGGCTGTGAATAGCTACTCTGATTGTAACTAGCTGGCTGGCTGTTCGCATTGTAACTGACAGAAACAAAGAGAAAGCATGATGTGACGAAGTAGGTACAAGAACAACTAAGTATTTGTGTAGATTTTACTGGTTGTTCCTTGGTTATCTACCTCTGTGGTGCCGTGGGAGCAGCCTGTTGGCCATATCCTGGGTAAGCAGACTGGGCAGTATATCCTGGCTGAGAACCATAAGACTGAGAGGCAGCTGGAGCAGCAGCAGCAGGAGTACTGTCATACCCACTGGCTCCATAACCCTGGGCTGACTGGGAGTAGCTGTGAGTGGTAGACTGAGCAGCAGGATAACCAGCTAGTGAAAGAAAGAAATAGATAGGGAAACAGTGGTTGCATTACAACTGTAATTGTTCCAGTTAAGAATGAAGGCAGTCCATCAACAGCACAGGATGTTCAGAAAACAGAAGTCACCAAGCTTGCGTGTGTCATTTCAGGGTATCTAGCTTTGATCTAACATGTCGAAATTATTCAAGACTTTCTTCTATCGAGTCAATAATAGCTGACCTGATGCTGGCTGGCCATATGAAGAGCCATACTGTTGTTGCTGCTGCGGGTAGCCTCCAGCAGCAGGTGTTGTCTGGGTGTAGCTGCCATCAGGAGTGGCAGGTTGGGCGTATGATCCATAATTCTGTTGGCTATAGCCCTGCTGGAAAACACATTTCATTGAAAAACATTTAGAAAGGAATCTACACTTTATTTCTTCTGATACATATTTAGCAATAATAATAATAACTTTATTTGCACTTTTAAAAACAGAAGTTTGCAAAGTCATAAAGCACATGGAAAAAGACATAAAAACAAAAAGCTCAGCTAAAACAGAATTGAAGGCCATTTTCATGTCATAAGAAACCCAGACAATAACAGAACCATGCGACAAAAAATGAGAGGGTCAAAAGCAAAAACAGGATAGTAAATATAAAAGGCAATATCAACAATGATAATAAAATAATAACAGGTAATACTGATAATAATGGTAATGATAGAATAGAACAGAAATGAGCAAGAAATAAAGCGATAAAAGGCCTAAAATGTTTAAAGAAAAGAGTACAAGAATAACAAAAGCTAAAATAAATTAGATGACAGATAAAATATGGAGAAGGAGACAGGAAATTAGATTATCAAACATACCATTAGTCAAAACAAATGCCAACAATCCCATACAAATGTACTCTTGCTTTTCTTGAACCAGTGTTTGGTGAAATTATTTTTATTTTTAACTTAATCCTTAGTTAGCAATTTAAAAAATACATCTGATATCCAAGTTTAAACAAATTTGATATAATAACAACAACTACTCGTTAGTCAAAGCAAAGCAATCCACATCAACAACAGAGTAGTTTCCTCAAATCTCACCTGTGCAGATTGCCCGTAATTCTGAGAGGGCTGGGCAGCGTAGGAGGCATACCTGTATAATCACATTTCAGAGTTAAGAGTCAGATAATGAGGCGTAATTATTATTATTGTACAATTCAAACATAGAAAACATCCACAGAAAGATAAAAGTGAGTTACTGCTGTTAACCATTGAGATGGCGTTAGAGGGTCTTTCACACGATCGCCACAATCACTTAGATTTACTCCCTTACTTAAAAATCACGCACATTCACTTAAAAACATTAATTCTTTAACTTTCTTACCCCTGCTGAGCGCTGGTCTGATTGTAGGAGCTGTAATCTGCCAAAAGAAGAAACACCAAATCGATAGTTGAAAGCGACACAGACGACCATCAGAGAAAATCAGTTTGCGCGCGAGCTAATGCTAACAGCACGTTCCGCGGCCCGGTCGTCAGGTCGCCATTCAGCTTCACACAGCCAACGTTAACTAACGTAAACCGACGGGAAGTTTTCATAAAAGCACACAGGAGAACATAAATAACGTCGAGTTAGATGGAATACAAAAGTAGGAAGGAAACCAGGACTCGTTTTCTCGACCTTAGACTGCTGAAAGGAAAATCTATCCGGTAAAAAATGACTGCAACGGCTCAATGAGAAGGCCTCGCGCAGGGCGCCTGCTAACGTCACAATGGCTTCGAACCGTTTCAGCCGAAAGAACCGTTTTGCATTCATGAAGTCTTTGCAGACTTGTTTAAAAGCTAGATTGTTCATACTATACAACATAAAAGGAATAACACCAAGAAACATATCACAATTCTTTACTCACCCGGAGCCGACGCCATTTTAGTGAGGCCGTGAAAGACGACTGGACGGAACTGGCTGCCGGAGGTCTGCACTTCTTCTCACAGAGACGATGGAATCTCGCGAGACATGCGAACCATCGCTTACGCAGTGATAGATATATCTAACGCTAGATGGCTGACGCACGCTGTTCGCCAACGGAGACGGACGTCCGCGCATGGTGGCCATTTTGCTACGGGACGCTCGCCCACTCATAACATTACAGTCTACGGTGCATGTAGTATTTAAATAACCATAGATTGCTTAATTTGAAATCGATTTCGAACGGTTTGGTTTGTAACAAACCTTAGAGTTTTAACTATGTTCCTGCATACTCAAGAAACATTCTAACCAGTGATTTTTATGCATAAACATTAAGCAGATATCTAGAGCAACAGCTATATAATATATATAATATAATATAATATAATATAATATAATATAATATAATATAATATAATATAGTATAATATAATATATAATATATAATAGGCCTACACACACAAGGCAGTTGTATTTAATCATTTATGTGTAAAGCGTTTAATCATTCCATGTATATTAGTAACATTTCTATTAAAGGGATCACTATAATAACATATAGCAATAACATATAGAAAATATTTATTTTCAACATAAATCTCTGCCTCATTTTGCCATTTTAGATGTTTTAGAGTGTACCAGAATGGTATACTGGAGTAAGATGGCCGCCGGTGACTCCGCCCAGAGTCATCTAGCCTTTCTTTTCATGTCTATGTACGCAGTGCGCTAAGGAAAAAACACGAAGAAGAAATCGGGGTGACGTAGGCGGAACTATATTTCTGTGCTGCTCATTATGTTAGCGCATTTCGTGTTTACTTTCACGATAGATGTCTCTACTTATTAAAGCACGAAGTGATTTCAGGATATCTGTCAAAGTCTGTCTGAATACTGTTATAGTTCTGCCTTTGTGATGGCTGGGGGCTCAAACAGATGCTTGTTTCTTAGAATTATGACTTAGAAATATGAGTGGACAGTCTTCAGCCTGTCTGAAATGATGTTCGGTCGTATGACGTCAGTATGGTTCTGGTTCGGATCAGATCGGCCCGGGTTCTGTGTGGGGACATGTGGTCTGATAACACTTATGCTGCTGATGTATGTGGGGGGCATCCAGGCCAGTCTGAGTGTAGGTCCAGGTGGAGAGTTCCCAAGGATCAGAGGTAACTGTGCTCTCTCTGTGATGACAGATGTTATATTTTAGTGATAGGATGTCAGATCAGTGTAATAACAGACTTTTCTCTCCTCTCCTCAGATGTGTTCCTGTATGCTTTCAGCCATGATGACTCGCCCTCTCTGATGGTCAGTGTTGTTTTCCTGCTGGGGGTCGGACCCTGCCAGGAGCGTCGTTGGGGAACCCTTGCCTTCCTCTCCCTCTCCATCCTCACACTCTTCTTATTACCTTTCATTTACACCCTGGTCCTCTTCATTGGCGTGGGTGATGCGAGTCGGATCTGTGGGTACTCTGCCATCCAGCTTGCTCTGTTTACAGCTCAGTGCCGACAGGTGGCACAGAGGAGGCTGCTGAGGTGTTTACCTGTCTGGTTTCTCCCCTGGCTCCTCTTGCTGATTGGTTTGCTGCTGCTGCCTGGGACACCTGCCCTGCTTCACTTCTGCACTATTTGCATTGGACACAACTGTATCCTTTCCTATTGGATTAACAATCTTATCTGGAAGCATGTTTATTTTTCAACAGTGCTTGGACAAGTGGCCCAAATAAGTACACGGTAAAACTTTAAAAAGCGGAATCTGCAGTCACTGAAGACAAGTGACGACCTTTTTACAATTAAAGTATGTCGATATAGATATATATCATGATAAAAAAATAAATTTAACAGTGCTTATTGGTAGCATGTCTTTTGCAATACAATAAGCTACTGCATCTGTGAGGTCTTTTGCGTTGTGCATGCTCTGCTGCATGACACTGCTTCAGGTGGTGAAAAAGATTTGAGGTATTCCTTGACTTTGCAAGAACATGTTCTCGACATAATTTGCAGTCCACATTACTCTGCTTCATGTCCGACCTCAAAAAACAAAATACTTCTACACCATCGACATTTTTGTACCAGTGTTGTCGATGATGTCGTCATCTGTTGAGCCTTCATCTACATTTCTGTCAGGAGTAGCACTCATTTTCTTTTTTTTTTTCACCAACAGTGCTATCAGCTTCATTTGTTAAAGTGTTATGGTTGCGTGTAGCTGCAGCCTGCTACTACGCAGTTGTTGCTACTTGGTTCTAATTCAGATTGGAGCAACTCCCCTTTTTACTGGCTATTCATATAGTCTACCAAAACATGGCAGAATGTCGCCTATTGAAAAGGATATTGACCATGTTTTATATTGATATTGAGGGAAATTAATTTTCAATATGTATCATTATCGTTTTATCACCCAGCCCTAATTTAAAGGTACGAAAAGAATGTTTTTATGTTTGTATGTTGCACAGGGTAAATCTCTCCTTTCAGGTTTGTAGTAAAGCATCTTCCTTTATGAATATAACAAATGTTCAGAAATCAAGTTGTGTTTTTTAAGATCCTTAATCATCCTCTCAGATCATCAGCCATTCATCGTGACGTTACAGGAGTTAGAGGGGTTCAGGGTCTTGGACCGCATCCCTAATTGGGCATATATTTCAGTATCATCCGGGCTAAGATTACCCACTTATTCTACCTCAAAGAGGTGCAGTGAGTTTTGTTTCTATCTAAATATTCACTCGAACCAGTTGCATGCATGATAGTGGTTGATTTTGTAATTTAACTTCATCTTTCGTCACACATCTAGATCGTGCCCTCGGATGGTGTCTGTAGACCAGGCTGCAGCTCCTCCTGTGAGAGATCCCTCTTTTTTTAATCACCACCCACATGAGTATCCTGCGCCTGCCTGGGCAATGGCAGAGTCTGCTGCACAATCCGAGGCTGATGTGTTGGAGGAGCAGATGCTGAGAGCAGGAATACTGGCCTCATTACAGGATGCACCTGACAATCCTGATGCGAAAGTGGAGGTCCCTAAATCATCCGTGTCTTCTCTGCGGTTTGTAATAATTTAATCAAAGTTTTCCCATACTTTCCCATGTCCTGTATTTAAGAGTTTTGGTTGATAATACTTTACTTGACTGAAAGTGTCCCCTCTTTTAGACTGCAGCAGTTGGAGAAGATGGGCTTCCCTACAGAGAAGGCTGTAGTGGCATTGGCAGCCTCCAAACAGCTAGATGGCGCCATTTCTCTGCTCATTGATGACAGCATTGGAGAACAGGCTGTAGTGATATCTAAAGGAAAGACGCCACAGCCGCCTCAGAGTACATAGTTGGCATCACAGCCATGGATCGGAGGACTGTTTGCAGTACACTGGAGATAATGCTTGGGTTTTGCTGAGCGTCAATGTAAGACTTTCCCTGTGGGCTTCTTTTACAAGTATTTAAATCATCAAGTGTGAAGACAGGCTGAAATACATCATTTTTTTTCTGTATCATTAGATGTACACCAGAGAGGAGGGATGACATTACAAATGAAAAAAGACACCATGTAAAAAAACAGTGAACATCATTTTATTACATTAATTATTGAGACAGGATTATCTTACCACAATAACACATTTGCACAAAAAAGCTTGAAATATGAATGGTTACACAACAGCATACAAAATAAACTAACAATGATGACTTTTAAATAGTTTCACAATACGTTTGATATAAGATGAAAAAACACACGTCAAGTCTTTTCATCAGGACAGTTTAAGCAGTTTACCAGCACAGCAGTGGTAAAATATGTTCAAGTTCCCGTAACAGGTTGGTTATTTCCTCTGAGTGTGTGTGTTGACAATCTAAAAATGGACAGTCAGCTGGCACAAGAGTTGTTTTGTTTGTTTGTACATATGATTTTTAATGTTCACATTCAACCAATTTTCATATGTTTGTGCTTTTTTTGCCGCACAGAGTAAATGTAAATATACCTAAGTCTAGTAAATCACTTTATCATTGTGTATTTTAAGGGGGAAACACTTCCATCAGAAAACTACTTACACTGGTAGCAACACATATCTCAGTAAACGTGGAGATGACTTCATCTTCTTAGTGCACTACGTAACATTGAGTTAAACAATATGATAAAGGTATAACAAAAATGAATACTACGAGGAGAGGTTTGTTTGTGTACTTGTATCCTGCAAACTGTACATGCACAATATATTTAAATAGTGGAATTTCTTCAGATTGAAGTTACATACAATGTGAAAGCAATACAAACTAAAATCCAGTCTGTCTCCACACATCTGATTCCTCCTTCAATTGATTACTCTAAAAGACCCTTATTATCCAGAGCTGTTTGAGACTCGAGGAGCACCATAGAAGATTCAGATTTTCCTTTTTTTTCGCACATGAACATTTTTAATTTGAGAATACAGCGCTGTGGCCAAATAACTGAGACACAAAAGGAGCTGCTGAGTGTTTTGTTTAAGTGTTCAGTTAAAGCGATGAGTGGGGGGGTCAAACTAGTTCTCGGGGTCCTGGGGAGGAGGATTGTGGAGTATCAGTGGAGTTTCCCTGAGGTGTCCCCCATCCTAAATCTGACAGTCAAGCCTAGAAAAGTTGTCAGAGAAGGTCTTAATCTGTCGAGTACTGATGAGCGCTTTAGGGGGGGGAGTCAACCCAGCCTGTGATCCTCAGAGTGAGCGGAGAAGGGGAAAGGGGGGAGCTACTTCCCTCGAACCTTGGTGTCGGAGGACAGGGGAGAAGCGAGTCGATATGGAAGTGCACCTGCTCGCTTATCTCTGTAGAAACTAGGGGAGGCTGTGCCAAACGGTCCGTCCCCAGACCCTAGATCAGGCTCTGTTGAAGAGAGACAGCAGTTGGAACGGGGCCTCCCTGTCCATCACTCTGTGTGTGTGTGTGTGTGTGTGTGTGTCTTAACATAGTGATGTAGCGGCTGACCTGGAGGCTGCCCCACTTTCTCTGTTATAATCTTAATAAACCACCACTGAGTGAGAATGTAAAAGAATTGATCAGACCTGTCAGTGTTTGATTCGGTGCGCTAGAAGGGCTGCAATGATCAATTTCAGTTGTCTTGTGTACAAAAATGTCATTAGATAGGTGCACCTGTCAGGTCCAATAAAGTGGAATTTTGATGCATGCCCAAATGCACACTTTGGTGCAGCAAAAATAGACGATTAGCATATTTTCATCTTAGCAATTAATTAAAATAGTCTGTTGATAATTTGTCTCATGATATGGATCTGTTTTGCAGCCCTTCTAGCAGGACTTTCATACTAAACATCCATTAAACATCCATTAACCCAACAAAGCATCTCAGTATGTTCTTAATGACAACAATTAAAGCTTTAAAAAAAATTAGGTGTCATTTATTAAATCAGTTTAATACCTTATACAACCCCATTAAAAAGATGGAACTATCCCTTTAAGTTAATTACAAGTTGAAACACCAAAAGTGAGCGATTTAAGTGAGTGCAGCTGCAGAGTTTGACATGATTCGATCAACAATTATTGAATTATCACAGACCAAATTTATTTCAATGTTGCTGATTTGGTTGAAGTGTTGTGATTACATGTTTCCTTTAATAACTGAACTTATAAAGATTAGCAAGAGCCCAGAAAAAAATACACATATCAGGAAATAACTTGTGAAATAAGTGAAAATGTCCAAGCTTTGGCAAAATAGATCGACCATGTTTGCCACAGCCAGAAGCATTTATGGGTAAATATGTATTCATGAATATAGTGCTGCTGTCATCATATTATACAGTTCACATTTCTAAAGTGTGGGGATCAAAATCTAACAGTGACAAGTGTAAATCAGTATTTGAAAGCTTCTTAAACTCTATCAGCACTTTCTAGATCTTGTCGAAAAGGTGAGTGAGGGCCTTCAGAGCTAAGGGTGAGGAAGTCTCAGTGTTACCTGGCCAGATGATCGCCTCCAGCAGCGTCACCCTGCGAGCCAGAAGCTCAAGGTCTGCCTGCAAGTCGTGGAACATCTGCAAGCTAATGTCCTATCAGAGAGCAGTGACAGGGGGGGAGGGGGACTTTGTGAGGGGTTGGAAACACCAGCCTGAGTCCTGGGGCTGCTCGTGACTGTACAGGAGTGGGAGTTTAAGACCACCTACCCCCACCTTTAACCCCCTGCCTAAAGCTGACCCTGCCTCAGGCCTCCTACTCACCATGAATACCGATCATAGTCTCGAGGATTAAAACCCTCTCGGCTAAGATCTTCAGCGCCTCTCTGATCTGATGTATCCCGTCCCCCTGTGAAGATAGATACAGCCGTCAAGGTAAGGAGCACAAGCCAGAGAATCGCACGCCAAGATGCAAGTCATTTTCTCTTCTGTCAATACACTTCAGGAGTTAGAAGGTTAAAAACAATCCACAGATCTGCCCAGCGCTCTCAGACATATCTTCCTCCTGTATGTCTCTGTTTCTCCTTCAATCTCTGACCATGCTGCTAGACGGAGTCAGTCTCTGCCATGCTGGGCTGGGCAGCATCAGCATGCACATCACAATCAGGCCTCACATTGAGGACATAACACAGCTGGGTTTAATAATTAATGTCCGCAGATTGATCAACTAAATCATGCCGTCTGCATTCCTGTTGTCGGGTTGCAGTGAAGCTAGGCGAGTGTTTCTTTAACAGAACCACAGCTTTCACTCTAAGTTACCCATGAAAGGCAGCTACTGCAGACTGAGAGGTAGTTTTTTTAAGACTCCTAGATCATACCTTAAAAAATGACGAAAGGAGTTAAAAAGAGAAGTAAGCAGACCATCACATAATACAACATGCAGGGGAAAGCAGAAGCTTTGATGCCGGGGCGAGTTACTCCCACTTTTTTAGGTTCTCATTAGTAAGTCAAACAAAGGACATAGTTGATGATTGATGAAATAAGGCAAAGTTTCCCTCCGTCGTGAAAAAACTCTTTATTTTTAGCCATGCAAGCCACAACTACGCTGTTACACACTCATGTCCAGAGCATGGATTCCCTGACTTCTTATATTTGGCACATCAGCAAAATCCGTATCTGAGCGTATCAAAGTTGCTGATTTTTAATTAGAAAAATTTTGGCATGCTGAGAATCTAAACTTAAAAGATGAAGTCAGTGAGCGTATCTGCAAAAATCTGCAAGCGAACAGTCATTTCGAACATAAACGCTGACGTTACAGAAAGGCGAGCATGACTCTCAATCTCTCGAGTCTTAATTGAAGAGAACGAATCCATTAACGGAGGAGGTACTTTGCCTTTTTTTCTGTCTCATCATCACTGTTATGTCACTATTTAGAAACTTCTGTAATTGTTTTTTTTGCATTTAGGAAAGAAAGTTTTCATGGTGCAGTGCTCGAAAAAGAAAATCATGCAAAGTTGTGGGACAGAGGGGGATAGCTGTATCCACTCCACTCACATCATAGCACAATATCCTAAACCCAACACAACCCCCCACTGAAACATATGGAGTGATTTGGCATATACATTTATCTCACTGCCGTTAAAAGAGATCATGTTTTGAGCCAAAAGTCGTCCTGAATGGTTTTTAATATCACTTTTTAGTTACCAGAGCTGGTGTACAGTGTTGTAGCATGATCAGTTTAGTTTGATTTCATGTATATGCCAAACTGGGATGCTGAAAAGGTGACTGTGAAAGGTAGCCATGGGGACAGTAGCTTGCAGAGGGAGTCAGACAGCTTTAGGGTCAAGAGGACAGTGTCGGTACAGGGGACAGCAGTCCAGAGCACACCCCAAAGACCAATAAAAACAAAAACACATTAAAGGTTTCACACACAAAAACACAACAGACACATAAACCACCAAAGTCAAATATAAACCAACAATAACAACAATGTCATAAAACAGTAAAATAGACACTCTGGTAGAAGAATATGGAGTAGAAAGAGAGAAAGAGAGAGGGACTCATCCACAAACAGGGTGACTGTAAAAAGATCATAACCATAACCAGAGAGGTGGATCATGGTTAGACTACTTTACGGTTACTGAATTACAAAGTGAACACGTGATGACTTAAATGAAAAGATCTTACATTTAGATTGCTCTTGTAAAATGTAAAAGAAGCGAGAAAAATAAGGGTTAGACAGACACAGAGGAAGTACTTAATGCCCAAAAATGGAATCTTAAACTTTTCAGATATACTTCACAGTCCATGCCCTGTGAGGAACATGTGAAGTCTGATTTACTGACTGCTCTTACCGGTAAGCCCTTCTCTCCCGGCTCTCCTTTTGGACCCGGTGCTCCCTGGGAAGAAGTATCAACAACAGAGTTAAAAGAAAAGCTAATGAAAACAAATCTTCAGTTTACTCCTGCAGATACATCTCATTCTTCGTGATTCAGAGCGGTTTGTGGTGCTGCTGGGTAGTGTAGTTTACAGTAAAATAACCAGCCATGACATGTGTTGATGCTTCCCTGAAAACTCTCACACACTCAGATCATAGTCCTGGAGGCAGCTTACCGGCTCGCCTCTGAAGCCCCTCTCTCCTGGGTAACCTAGAGGACCCTAAAAACCAAAAGGCACATTACACACAGTTTTTCAGGTGTGTAAAATAAATAAATAAATGAGTCCTGATAAATATTATGACGCTCTGAGTGTACTCACTCTCTCCCCACGTTCTCCTTTTGGCCCCACAGGGCCCTGCACTCCAGGAGCTCCTGGTTTTCCCTGAAACGTCAAAAGAAACATTAAATGACAATGATAAATTTGTATTTTGTATAACTTATACTTAAAGGGATATTCCGGTGTAAAATTAATTTAGGGTCAAACACACCGTAACACCAAGGTAGACACCCCCTCGCGAGATGAATGTTTCCGATTGCTTACTACTCTGGTTATAACCAACTTTATTAACAACCGTATGATAGCAATTCACAGCGGTCTAAGGAGCCATTAACAAACCTCAACTAAAACACCACTCTATAGCCACAAATAATGTTCAGAACAGCACCTAACTTCATCAACAAGAACATAGGCTAGGGTCCTAGCCATAGTACTAGACACCAAACATCTTTTTAATTTTGCCTAATTTCTTCAGCAAAGAGACTAAACACAACTCACCTACTCTCTTCCAGCAGCCGCTCATTTGTAGGAAGACCTCAGACGATTCCATCACCGACTACAGCAGGGTGACGCAGCTCAAGGAAGAACATTTATGATCATTTCTTCATGGAAATGCAATCAGACTGAGACACTAAAGCAGAAGAACTACCGTGTCTGCAGTGCAAAATGATTAATATGGTGATTATTACTTAAAGGAAATGATAAAGAAATGATCATAAATGTTTTTCCTTGAGCTGTGTCACCCCACTGTAGTCGGTGATGGAATCGTCCGAGGTCTCTGTACAAACAAGCGGCTGCTGGAAGAGAGACGGTGAGTTGTGTTTAGTCTCTTTGCTAAAGAAATTAAACAAAGTTAAAACAATGTTTGGTGTCTAGTACTATAGCTGGGATCCTATATGTCCTGTTAATGAAGTTAGGTGCTGTTCTGAACATTATTTGTGGCTATAGAGTGGCGTTTTCGTTGAGTGCATGGCTCTGTGTTTTGCTATCCTTCGGTTGTTACTAAAGTTGGTTTAACTAGAGAAGCAAGCAGTCAACAACATTCATCTCTCGAGAGGGTGTCTAACTCGGTGTTATGGTGTTTGACCCTTAATTAATTTTACGCCTGAATATCCCTTTAATATGGTCTCTCAGTGCAGCGATGAGCTGTTAGCATACTTACATTCTGTCCTGATGGGCCAGAAGGTCCTACTGGGCCTCTAGGACCTGGGGGACCTGTGCAGGATATCAAAATAATTATTTTTGTTCCAGGTTTTTAAATTTTGGTTTCAACCCGACTCCTGCATTTCAACTGTAAATGTTTATGACAAGATATTGAGCAGCTCTCAGTGTGTGGATTTGTTGTTTTGTGTTTGGTTGTAAGAGAATATTTTTGTGTTTAAATCTACAAAACTGACAGAAGCAAAATGAGACAGAGTGATCAAACAACGTCTGACTGTGAAATCTGAATCACAATAACATCACAGTGTTTCAAAATAATAAAATCATTGGTTTTCTCCTCTTTCTGTGTTTGCTTGGGGGTTTTGAAATATCTGTCCATCACAAGAAAACTCAACACAAACACACTCTGTACCACACGACATGACTAGAGACTCACCAATCGGCCCAGGAGGACCCTGAGGCCCTGGAACAGGCGATCCTCGTGAGTCATGGAAAGTGTTGGTGAAGAACGGGTCTTTTCCACGACCTGCAGTTGGGACCAAACGAGAGAGTTTAATGAAGGAGCTACTTTCCTGGCTAAGGACTTTATTTACAAACAGGAAAAAGACTAAAAAAAGAGGAGCGCTCGGACTGTTTTACACAGGCTGTTTATCTTTGAGGAGGTTTGGTTTGGTTTTAGTTTTTCTTAGTTCTGTCAAAAGAAAAGTCACACAGAAAAAGAGGCGGATTTAATGAAATCACATGAGCAGACCAGGTTTAAACCTAAAGAGGACTTATCTCCAAACCTAACCAAGAGAGAAAATCCAGAAGAAATAAAACAATTAAAACTGTAACAACAGATTTTTTTAGTTATCATGGAGTTTTCTGCTGTTTATTTGCCTCAACTGGAGTCACAGAGACCCAGACCTGGTTCTTCTCATAAGCTAAAATAAAATATCCCAAAAGCATCACAAAAACCTGATAATCATTCATCATTTAGTAGATGCAGGTTTGTGACATCACTCTGCTTCTTTCTGTTTCGGATCTATTTATAGGAGTCGATGTAAAACCCACAGCTGCAGTTTCAGGTGAAGAGTATAAACCTGTGAAATATCCTGATGATTTGTTTTAGTTGTGGTGAAAGTTGTTTGCTCCTGCAAATTAAAGGCTGTGTTCAAAGCTGTGTGAGGAAAATGAAATCTGTCTCTACCACCAGGGGGCAGTGTTTTCCAACAAATGCTCAAACTTACTCAATCGACTTCGACGGTGTAAAAATCTGCATCTAAAAGTTGTTAATGGAGACAAGTGTTTCACATAAAAACAAAACAATTGACTTTTTTTTTGTCGTTTTAATGTGTAACATCTACATCTAGAAGGAGGAAGGGTCAAGAGGAAGAGGGTGGTAAGCGTGTGAGTGATCGAGGAAATGTGCGGTCACTGGGTCACTCAATGCTGACAGGAAACACGGATCCAATAGCAGCGTGAGACATCAGGAGATACAGAGAGGAGGAGGAGGAGGAGGAGGAGGAGGAGATTCACCCCCAGCTGCATGAAAGCTGCACTGTCCGAAATATCATAACCAGAAATGACACCCAAAACAGAGCGTCTCTCTCTATTACTTAACTCTTTCTTCATTTCCTCATGAGGAAAGCTCTGGGATCTCAAATAAAAGTGTACCAAAGCCCTTTAATAACACTTAAGTCTGATTCTCCTCCACAGCCTGTCTCCCTGTTCTAGTGAAGGGGATTCTAACCTCCTGGAGCAAACATGAAAACCAAATAAGCCAGTGTTTTAAAAAGGAAGCTCAGCACAGACCACCACCCCCTCTACGTCCCCTACTGTTACTTTGATGTGAATGAAATTGCTCGTAGTCTTGGAAATCATCATACCAACTTCAACCTACCAAAACTTTCCTCTCACAGGAACTGGGAGCTTAAATCTGTGTGCTGCATACTTTGTTTTACCCCTGAATCCACACGTAAAATCCCCCCGATGTGTTGACCTTGAAGGAGCCGCTGAGGGCCCCTGTCTTTCTCTCACACTCCCCCCTCCCCTCCCCCTGCTGTCTGATCACGGGTCTACATCTGGAAGTTGTTGAGTGACATCAGTGATGGACAGGTTCTCATCGCAGCATGTGAAGTCTGCATCAACCTCAGACTGTGTCTGACTCGGTTTAATACTCTTTGATTCTGCTCTACTTGGCCGGCAGACAATAAGGAGCAAGTAGCAGTTAAGGGATTACCACCATCCTGTCTGCTTTCCTTTCTCTTTGTTTCTTTTGTTCCTCATTAGCCTTAAAACCCGTGGGAGCTCTCATGCAGCAGGAGAGAACATGCCTGCTAAACACACACGAAAATCAGCAGTTTGAAATGTGTGTGAAAATTATGTAAGGCTACCTGATAACAGTGAATTTATGTTCTCGCATTAGAGCAAAACTTGTGATGTTACATGAATCAGTTTGGGTTGGAGGAGTGGACGACAAGTTTGATTTTAAAAAATAAGAAAATGTGAGACTTTAAAAGTTTTTTATACCAGAACTTTGTGACATCATCTCTGCTACATTAGCTGCTACAAGCATAACAAACATGAATCACAGTCCAAACTTTCAGAAGTTTTGTGGGTTTATCAGCGACAGGTTTTAAAAGTGAAGAGGAATTTATTAAAGGGATATTCCGGCTTAAAATAAATTTAGGGTCAAACACACCGTAACACCGAGTTAAACACCCCCGTTGAGAGATGAATGTTGCCGACTGCTTGCTTCTCTAGTTATACCAACTTTAGTAACGACCGCACGATAGGAATTCACAGTAGTCTGAGGAGCCACAAACAAACCTCAACCAAAACACCACTCTATAGCCACAAAAAATGCTCAGAACAGCACCTAACTTCATCAACAGTACATACAGGGTCCCAGCCACAGTACTAGCCACCAAACATCTTTTTAACTTTGACTAATTTCTTTAGCAAAGAAACTAAACACAACTCACCTACTCTCTTCCAGCATCCGTTTGTTTGTAGCGAGACTCCAGGCCAGTCTATTACAGACTACAGCAGGGGTGAGACAGCTCAAGGAAGAACATTTATGATCATTTTTTCATCACTTCCTTGAAGTAATAATCACCATATTATTCATTTTGCACTGCAGACGCGGTAGTTCTTCTGCCTTAGCATCTCAGTCTGATTGCATTTCCATAAAGAAATGATCATAAATGTTCTTCCTTGAGCTGCGTAACCCTGCTGTAGTCCGTAATGGACTGGCCTGAGGTCTCGCTACAAACAACCGGATGCTGGAAGAGAGTAGGCGAGTTGTGTTTAGTCTCTTTGCTAAAGAAATTAGGCAAAGTTAAAAAGATGTTCCTATATGTACTGTTGATGAAGTTAGGAGCTGTTCTGAGCATTATTTGTGGCTATAGAGTGGTGTTTTGGTTGAGGTTTGTTTATGGCTCCTCAGACTGCTGTGTATTGCTATCGTGCGGTCGTTACTATAGTTGGTATAACTAGAGAAGCAAGCAGTCAGCAACATTCATCTCTGGAGGGGGTGTCTATCTTGGTGTTATGGAGTGTTTGACCTAAACTTGTTTTACGCCGGAATATCCCTTTAAATCGAAAAAAAATGTTTTGAATTTTTTTAAACTGCTCAGTCTGACAGTCTGAAAGGCCAGATTTTAATCATATTGACCTGACTCCAACCTTGAACACAACTGAGGAAAACACATCAACTATTGTGTGACGACAGTAAATATCAAACACAACAAGAAGTTTGAACTATGTGGTATATCGTGTGTTTTATGGAGATTTTATGTTAGGAGTCCAGGTCTGGATCTTACTGTGGTCTGGATCTGGGATATGGGCACTAGCCGGTGCTGGAGGCCCTGGGGGGCCGGGTGGTCCAGGTAGACCCCTATCTCCTGGGAGTCCTGGTGGACCACGTGGGCCTGAGGGTAGGAAAGACAGAAGCAGACATGTGTTGATAGGTATGAGGGATGATAATGTAAAGTATGATCGTGATTGTTCCCTCCGGAGAGGCTGAGCAGAACAGCAGACTGGTAGTGATATATCACCTGGTGAAAGGAGGATAAACCATGAGAAAGACCAGAGAGGAAACAGATTAGATAAAGTGCTGAATGGTGCAACATAACTGCCTGGCAGGAGTGTGTATTCCTTTATATCTCTGTGCCTCTGTGTGTGTGTGTGTGTTAAACTCAGCAGCTGGACAGAGGAGGAGAAGTGAACTGGTTGACTTTCTCTGTAACTAACAGGAGGAGAGTGTTGAATGGTCCAGAGGAGGGGCGTGGGAAAACTCAAATAAACACCATTAAACTCTATAAAGTGTTACTGGCGAGGGTTCATAGTGAATTAAATGTTTATTGCACGAACTCCGCCAGCTTCTCCACATGTGTTGGTATCACAAACAGCCTGTAGCTGGTCTTAAAAAACTCTCCTGAGGTAATTCTGCTCATCTTACTCTTAACTGGACCCAAACTCACCACTTCTCTGTTTATGTGCTGATGCAACATCCAATGACAGTTCTCTAATTACTACTTTACAGACTAATGGTATTACAGATTTGACACCTCTCTGGGCCATTTTCACTTTGCCTTGCTAATCATTACAGCATGACTGAGTGTGTTTTGGCTGCAGCGAGGGAGTCTGTAGGCTCTAATCTGTGGCACGGTGGTTCAAATGGCCAATCAGAGCCGCCCTGTAAAATCTATGTGACACGACGGGGAAAACAATTTTCGTTTTGCCATCAGAATTATAGCACCCTGGAGGACGCCGCGTCAAAATACGAGTCAAAGCTTGTAAAACAAATCTCCTTTAACTTATCAGGATTCATCATAACGTCGAATATCAGTTCTCCCGACACAATGAGTTCATTCTTCTCCCATCTTTCCCATAACCTCAGACTCTAAAACATATTTATCTACGTTTTCCACGAAACTGGACGCATTCCAGTCCAATGTTTATCTTTCTCTTTGAAATGAAAAAATCAGCACAATAACGAAAACACAGCTTGGGATGTAAGACACAGCACCAGTTTTGGGTACTTATGAAGTAATGGAGATAGAAAAAACAATAACACCACAAGCATATGGAAATCATAAGGATCTGGGATTTGTGTATATATAGCTCATGTTCGGTGCAGATTGAAGTCACATGGCGCTTCTCGGAAAGTGGGTTTGTAGTTTAACTTTTGCTCTAAATCTCATGGTTACCCAGCAGCAGGCACTGAGCAGGGGTCATATGTTCGCCTGCGAGAGGAGGCACTCCCTTCATGATCCTGAACAGGGATAACAGCGTATAGACAGAGCAGATGTTGCTACACACTCATACTGACGTTAGCAGAGAATTATTATTCAAATCACAGCTACCTATGGGTTTGATTTTTCCAAACAGTTCATTTATTATTTGTACATACGCAGAGAAACTAGAATATAAGGAGCAGATTAATGATTCACTGTGTGTTCTCGGTCTGCAGTCTAAATAACAAAGGCTGTTTTTAGTAACATGTGATTTTGAAATGCCCAAATGCCAGCGAATTTACCACCAGCAGGCCTCAGGGGCCGCTGGAATGCTCCGACATTCACCACTGGAGGGTCTGTGGGCGAGTCGAGCGGTTTAAGAGAAAGACAAATAATGCCAAGTCAGAGTTTTGTTGGAGATCTCTGGGATTTTTCCACAGGTTTTAGGTCAACAGCCATTCAAATGTCTTTTTCAGCAGCCAACACGGCAAGTGGACTAGCAAGTCGGCATAGAGATGCATTTGTGGTCTCTGTCCTCTCCTACCTGCAGGTCCGGGGGTTCCCCTTGATCCAGGAGTTCCAGGCGGACCCCTCCACCCATTATCCCCTCGAGGCCCACTTGGACCTGGCAGCCCACGAGTCCCTGGCTTCCCTAAAAAGAGGAAACAGTCATTAGTAATCATGCAGCCTTAGCTGGTTTATATTTCAGATGGTTTCACTTTCATTGACTCAAAGGTAACCATGGCTACAACTTACCATCTCTGCCAGGAAGCCCATCTTTCCCCTTCTCACCCTGAGGACCTGTAATTAAAACAGAGAGACGACTTAACTGAGGCTCAGATATTGGACCCACGCCACAGAGAGTTGGTGTGTAACCCACAGAGGGAGGATGAAACTCCTGAAACTCTGTCAAAGTACTCGAGCAGAGAGACAGTGTTTATCTTTGATTTATATTTCTGTTCCGAAATACTTCGTTAACTGGGATATTTTAAAATCTTGACCCACTTCAAGGTCAATGAGGACTGATTGCAGGCTGAGTGGTTTCAAATGTCTATTGTTGCAGGTCAATGATGCTGTTAAACTGACCCTGGTGAAAGGTTCACTGCGCTCTCTTCATTCAATAAGAATTAATCCAAGCTTTGCACAAACAAGAATTAAGTTATTCACTGTTGGGTCTGTGTTCAGTTCTCCAACAGCTGCAGAGAGCTGAAAACGAGCAGCACAAGTGACTGGACTCACGGAGCAGCACAGTCATTAGCAGCGTTTACATGGGAACAAATAATCGGAATATAATGCGTCATGTAAACATGTCGATCGGAAGATTCTGATCCAATTCGGCTCAACCGGAAAGAAATTGTATTCCGATCCAGAGGGGTCGTTTATGCCGATTGTTATTCCCAAACGCGTCCATGTAAACACTTACTCCGATCTTGACTCTCTAATCTGACTCGATCTTCACTTTTTATTTATTGAGGTCATTTCAGGAGGTTTCATTATTAACACTCTGGCATAAAACACAACCACAGGTGCTGTGTCTGCTCCTCCGGTAACATAACAAGGCTTACGTACGGCGTAATGATGTCACATCTGCACGCACAGTGCAACCTTTGACAGAACAGTAAAATAAGTATGCAAGGGCGCCATCTAGTGACAACATTTAACAGGGGAAAAAAAAAATCCTGAATTGGATGAAGTATTGGGATTAACGATTCTCTGTTTCACAAATTTCAAGAGTTAATCTATTTGAATATCATATACACAAGAATAAATGGAACAACAGCAAACCCACCATAAACTGTTTTAGGAATGAAATTAAAAACTAATATATGAATGAACTGTATGAGACAATGTCAAAGTCTCTTGTTCTTTAAATTTAATCCTATTTCTTTAACATGCTTAAAGCACTTTTTGTTGAAATGTCACCCCCTGTTATTACTTTTTTTATTTTATTTAGCTTGTTAATGTGTTATGGGTTTGTGCTGTTTGGAGTGCAGGCAGTTATTTCCTCAGATGAGTTCTTTGGAGATTGTTATGTATTTCATTATAAATTAAAATGTACCACATATCACTAATTCAAATTAACTTTGGGGGGAAAAAAAGAGCAACTACCGCGTTTGTTGGTTTGTTGACAGCACAGGCCTAAACACAACTCTTCTTCTGCAGTTGTTTTAGCGAAATCAGACAACTCTACGCTTGTCCAAATGCTGTGATTGTGATCGGATTATTTGATTTTGCGCCCATATAAACAGTGGATTCAGATTTTCCGATCCCCCAAACTTTTAACCAGATCAAGACATTTGGCCCATGTAAACGTGGCTACTGTGAGTGTGTGTCGTGGAGGAAATAGAGTTGAGCAGGTAGAGAGCTGGAAAAGAGTCGCTACTCTTTGAGAAAAGCTTCAGTGAGAGATTTCTGACTCAATTATAAAAACCGAAAAATCCACACAAGACTTGTTGAAGTTTGCAGTGTGTAAAAACTTTAAATGTCTCCATGACAGATAACAGTGGACTTTACTAACCAGCCGGCCCCTGCTCACCGGGAGCTCCCTGAGCGGGCGCTGCCCCCATCAGTAACGAGGCCTCTGCTATGGCTCCTCCTTTTCCCTGTAAGTGGCGATGAGACTCAGAGGCTGGAGAGGAGAGTAATTGGACCTGGGACCAGAACACATAAAACAAGAGATGGTAATTAACAATGAGCTTGTTTACTGAAGATCTTTAGTATGTCTCAGTTATTTAGATAACGAGAGAAGAAGAGTCCATACCTTCGACTCCAGCGAGTTCAATCTGTCGCTTAAAGCCGTGATTCGACTGCAGTTGAGACAATCTCCAAAAAAACAAACACAATAAACCTCAAAACTTAAAGGAAGCAGACACTCAAACCTGTAAATTATCTTTGTTATATGGCATATGAACAAAGCAGTCAAACACATAGCTCTTACTTGAGATGGACTCTCCTGATCTTGTGGGCGGGCGTCTCAGCGTGGACGGTTTCCTCACTGCCTCTTGGGCGACGAGTTGGTTCGCTCCCTCTGTAGAAGTTAAACACACAGAGTACGTCAGAGTTAAAGTGGTTTCCTGACCTTGAAAATATGATCTTCAAACATTTATACACATCATGACTCAGGTGGACTCTCAGTCTCACAACGATCTGTTCACTCTAATAACTCAAAGAGGAACTCATGCCATGTCTGGTTACTGTTAAAATTATGAGAAATGTGGATTATCCAAATAATCTTTAAACAAGAAATAGACATTCTTTTGTTTTAGCTGCTAAAATATGAAAATAATTGTGTGTTTTTTTCATGTTATGCTCCTCAAAGATGACATCTTCACTGCTGGAATGACAAAAAAAAGACATCTGAGGACATCCCGTTGGGTTTTTGGAAGCTATATTAACATTTTCCCCTGACTGAAAATGAATGAAAACAATTGAGTGATTATTCCAGAGGATAGGCATTAACATAAAAGGTAATGAAAATGTTAATTTCAGCCCATAAATCAGAGGAACTACGTCCAGACCGAATGATTCTGCCAGAAGCAGTTTTTCCTTTCTGCAGAAATTCTGGAAACAACAGTGTGGACGTGGCCTCGATACATGGGTGTGTAGTAGATCAGACTTTATGAGGAAGACCAAAGTCAGGGTTCGCTTTAATAGACACTTGTTTTCATAAAGTAACGATCAACCTGTTACCTTACAAGGGATAAATGCAAAACCTCATTAAAGTTTGTTAGAAAAGGCAACTGTTTTCTTTCTAGTGGAGCAGGTACTGGAGAAATAAATCGATAAAAGTCGGTAAATAATCAATGACTCTTTTGTTTGGTAGTTTTAACACATGCTTGTGTAAATTTAAGCCGAAGTCCCACAAATATTCATGACGATTGTGGAGGGGACAAAGAGAACAGAGAAGAGCAAACTGGTCCTGATCCTTCAATGATCAGAAAAATAACTCCAGTGGTTCTGAATGAAACTATACGCCGTTTGTGTGTTGACTGAAGGTCTGTCGCCGTGGGAGACTCCAGAAAAATCAATGTTGTGTTGTTCCTCTGCTTTCCTCCAGGTGAGCCTCTGACTGTCAGCCAGGAATAGCTGGCACAAAGTCGTGAGGTTGAAGCAATGACAGAAGTGAAAATCAGCAGAGACACAGTCACAGCTTTTGTCTGTCACATTTCCAAGAGACAAACAGCGCGCTCTGTGCCTCTTTGCCAAGTGGCTTTTCTTTTGCCTTGTGTCTTTAGAGAGCATAAAAACTCAAAGCCTGGGAGAGAGGGCGTGTAAAGACAAACAATAGTTTCCTTGTGCAGACAGAACGGGTAGCCTCAGCTCGCGTTCTGTATCTTGCCTTCATTTTATGAAGTGTGGGAGGTTGTTTCTGCGGGTTCTGGGTGTTTTGAATGGGCAGACCTTTGTGGGAAACCTAGACTGACTTCTTTGTCCGGCTTGGTCTGGCTCTGGTCGGCCCAGGTGCACCTGATACAAACAAGAGGCCGGGTTCAGCACCTCATTACCCACCAGGGAGCACAACCATTCAGTGGCCAGCAAACACAGACAGGGCCAAGTGCAACACTAGAACGCAGCCGTGATACAGCACATGCAGTATTGAGCTATTACAGGAGATTATGCTCCGAGAGCAGCATGCATTTATTGAAACATTAGGAATCAGGATCTGTCTCTGACCACTGTAAACCCCAGACAGGGAAACGGAGAGCTTATTGTCATGAAGAAAAATAAACATAAGGGAACCTAAGACAGGAAAACATAACAGGTTTGGTGATTACCCGGGCTGAGAGACAGAGAGGGCAAGAAAACACATGGTTCAGGGTAAAGTGAGACTGCACAGACGATTCCACACCTCAACCTCTGCACTCATGATTTCACTCTTTTAGGCTCTTGGTGTTCCTCAGAGGTTTACCAAAGTGTGTGGATTTAAAGTATGAGCGATTGGATGTACAAACCAATTCCAAAAAAGTCGGTGCACTGAGTAATATGTTAGTAAAAACACAATTCAATCCTGTGAACCCCGTATGTGATTTACAGAGTGCAAAGGCAATTCATCAAATGTTGAAACTAGAGAAACTCGATTGTTTTATGACAGAGATTTGCTCATTTAGAATCTGATACCGCAGCACGTATCAAAGATTTGACAGAAACACTAAAGAAAGTTATGACGAGTACGGTTAGTCACATGATCGGGCATGAATAGGAATGCAAGGATGAGGAAAACTGCATGGCCAGATAGTTCAACATTTTCAGAATAATGTTATCAGGGTAAAACTGCAAAGATTTCAGGTATTTCATTAACTGTGACGCATGATTTGAAAGATTTAGAGAATCTAAGGACATCCCTGTACAACAAAAACCACACCACATGTAATCTAAGCTGGCATTGCATTAAAAACAGACATGAATCAGCAGTAGAAATCACTGCATGGTCTTAAATTCACAGCCCTCTGGGCCTGAGTCTGCTGCTTCACTGAGGAGAAATGAAAAACTATCCTGTGGTTATTGGTCTGTTGGATTTTGAGATCCTGAACCCTGTACTATCTGCAGCATGTTTAACCCTCTGGATCTCAAAATACTCACCTCTGATTTGATGACAAAACAAACAGATATGAAGAGAACACACACTTTAAATTCTAAATTAAAGAGACGAAGAAAGATGTGTGTGTGTGCTGAGGATGTTTTCTCGGAGCAAATGGCTGTATTCAATCACAGAGGATTGCTCTGGATAGGAGATCTATCTTTTTCCCTGAACGGCACCTCCATTTTTCCCTCCAGAGAAAAGAAAGCTTGAGCACCAGGATCCCCTCACCCACACTGGAGTCACTGTATGACGCACTGAGGCGACTTTAGTCCAAGGACAACTGTCTTCAACACACAGCAGACCTTTTTTTTCTCTCTCTCTCTGTCTGTCTGCAACAAAACAGTTTAGATCCTGCAATCCCCCCGCTTTCTCTCTGGGACTCCCAGGAGTGTGTGTTAAGCACGAGGCTGCAGTGTGTGTGTGTGTGTGTGTGTGTGTGTGTGTGTGTGTGTGTGTGGAGGATGACTCGAATACCTCTGCTGCTATGATCTATTGCTCTCTTCTCCAACAATAACATCATCACGGTTAATGAATGCCCCCCAACAGACGCAGCATATTGTATACCTCTTTGTTCTCAGTGGGCTAATTGCCTCGGCAGGGGGGTTAGAGAAATGTGTGAATGTATTTGACCTTTGACCCCAAGTTGCACTGGGCCATAACCAGTGACAGAGTCAGAGCTCTTCATTAGGAGAAAACCCCCGCGGAGAGTTCAGCGGACCAGAGGCCGTCCTGACATCAGCACTCTGTCTCTTGCTCCACTTTTGTATCACACACACACACACACACACACACACACACACACACACACACACACACACACACACACACACACACACACACACACACACACACAGAGTTAAGTAATTTGTTTACAAACACACTTTAAATAATCCGTACCCCTGCTGGTGCAATAAGAGCTTATAGGAAACTGAGCTGGAGATGAGGGGAGGTCACATCCAGAAGGTTATCTTCTTTCCCTCTTTCATAATTGGGTTTGTGTATCCAGCAGATTATGAAGGATGGCCTTTGGGACCGCTCATACTCAAGTGCATGATAATAAGCGCTGTATACTCTGATAAAGATCTAATACAGCCCCGAGAGGCCTCAGGACCCTGGCAGTCACCAGAAAGGATAAAATCAGATTTTGCAGAACACCTAGTGCAGATAAAACTGATTTAAAGTCGAGTTTATGTAGAGCTCTGAAGCCATCCAGAAGTCAAGAGGAGCTCTACAGGGTACGGTCTTTTGAAGCATGTATAGCTGGGGGCTCCAGATAGACAGGCCGATGAACAAGCGGTCTGCCAAGCCACACATGCACTCCCGTATGTCTGTTTTCCCTCCGCTTGATGAAACAAAAACACAAAACCTGAGGAAACCGACCACCAGACTCTCATGCTTGAAGAAAACACAAGATTTCAGGTTAAATTCAGTCAAACTATCGGAGTTAATCTTATTTTCCCCAACAGAACCCTGCTGATTTCTGCTGGGAGAAAAAAACGATACAGCATAGTATCGCGATATTTTGTCTGTTGATATATCGTATCGTCTCGCTTACCAAGTATCAATTTTTTCAAAGTAATTGCTAATATGAAGTCAAATCTATGATAATGGAAAAATAAAATAAACTGTTTGTCCAGTGAGGTTGGCAGAGGTGACATCGAGAAGCAGGATAAATTTAGTGCAATAAATATATGAAAGGTTTGCAAGATGTGCTACATGAAAATAAAACTGAAACCGAATAAGTTACGTGAAGTAAGTAAATATTTCCCATAATATTCATGATACTAGGGGGCATTTTTAAGAGCTTTAAATTCGGGAGTAACAGTGAAAAATCAACATTTGTAAATTTGACTGTAATCAAATTATGATTGTGCCAAAAGCTAACCTCTTTGTTTTAAATACACACTCCTGACTTTACCGCGCGATGCTCAAAAACAGGAATAACATGTATCAATGTGAGTTCGGGTTTCATATGTGGATATAATTTGGTGTCATTTATATTTATTATTGTGATGTACTATTAGCATGTCTTTTAAACGTTAACTGTTTCTAACTTTAGTCAAAATTTCTTATTTTCTAAATTTTAAATGATGTTTTTCATTTGTATTATCACAGACCTCTCATCTTTAACTGCCTGTGCATCACTCTGAAATTTCATGTGATTAAATAAAATTAAATAAAATCTGATTTGTGTTAGTTCCAGTGTCTTTACATTAAAACATGAAAGGTTAATAAATAGGGAGTATCATAATTAGACAGGCTCGACATAAAGGAAAGACAAATGCTAAATCATCTAGACAGCTGAAAAAAGTATATAATACTCACTGTATTGCAAAATACAGTACAACATAATTACTATAATATCGTATCGTGGCCCAAGTATCATGATAATATTGTATCGTGGGGCCACTGGTGATTCCTACTCCTACTGCTGATTGTATTAAAGTCCCTAATTCATGTTATATTCTTTGTGTAAATTGCTAAAAACACATGTGCATTTATAGGACACATTAAAAAAAGCTTAAGACCTCGTAGTGTTGACAGAAAGAGAGAGAGAGAGAGAGAGAGCTGCTCTCCTCAGAAACAGACTGTACATTAATGCCAAGTGTGAACAAGGCCAGAGGGGAAACCCCTCGATCTGAACTGACTGCATCTGAGACTAAATTGCAACACCACATTAGCAACCTTCTGTCACTATTATGTCATTATATTATCATTAAACAGCTTTGTTCCAGACTAATTATTATTATTGGCCTCAATGATCCCACTTGGAGCTCTGCTGGGACCACCGCAGAGACAGCCAAGGGGGCAATGACTGCAGCTGCACATCTCACTCTACACACTGAGGTGTGTATGCACGAGTTATTGCGCAGGGTTTCTCCATTTGTGAGTGAGTGTGTGAGAAAGTGCACGCAGGCTGTATTACTAATGGGCCAGGGTCATTCTTTCAGTGATATTCTCCCAGTGAAAATAAACTGGAGGCCTCACGCTAAGAGTCCAGTCAGTCCTGCCAACCAGAACACACATCTCACACTCAGCCGTGCCGACTGCCTGATGCTCCGAGCTCATCACCTCCAGAGGTTTATTTGTTCTCCGACAGAAAGACGGGCGTGAGACTTCTGTAGGTCTCTCAGGAAGTCTGCAGAAGTTTGTCGAAAAGTTTGTTATCTCAAAGTTTGAAAACAAAGTTGGTAGATTTAGTTCAGGTCTTGGCAGCAGCTCTGAATGCAAACATCACAACACACGTACAAACACACACAAACACACAAAGCAGTGAGTAGACACAGCAGAGTGTAAGGTCCTGATCCATCTCTGTCAGGTCAATTAGCTGAGCTCAGCGCTGCAGCATCATTAGTGACCTGCTGCTGACAGAAAAACCCGAGGAAGTGTTTGTCTCTGTCTGAGCTTTGCTTTGGACAGACTGAGAATAGACACACACACACATGCACACTCACACACACATCCAATCTACTAAAGGGGAGCTCTGCACTCCTACAGACACACCAAGCTGAACAGTGTTGAGTCAGACCACGTTTGCTGAGTGTGTGCTTTCTTTTACCTGCGTTAACATCAAACTAAGATGCTGTTTCATTCAAGTCTCCTCCGTCTTTCTGTTGTATTTGAAGTCCTTTTAAAAACTCAACTCAAACTTTATTTATAGAGCACATTTAAAACAACTGGGGTTGACCAAAGTGCTGCACAGATTTAAAGCAGCAGGGATGAGCAAAGTGCGAATTCAACAATTATAATAAATAAAATAGATTAAAATCAAGTTAAAATTGTTCCAGAAGTCCATTTGAACTTGATTAAAAGCCAGGGAGACGAGGTGAGTCTTTAGGGAGGACTTAACAACCTCAATCGATCCTGCAGAGAGGATGTGCAGGGGCAGGTTGTTCCATAGCCTAGGGCAAAGGCTCAGTCACCTTTGGACTATAGCCTTGTTTTGGGGGTGACCAGTAGCAGCTGACTAGAAGACCTCAATGTTCTGGCAGAGGCATGAATATGAAGGAGCTCAGACAAGTACTGGGGGGCTAGGCCATTGAGAGTTTTAAAAACAAACAATACAATTAAATTACATTTAAATAAAATCTAATCTAAAAGCAACTGGGAGCCAGTGCAGCGAATCTAGGACAGGGGATATGTTCTCTTGCTTGCGTTTAACAGTGGGGAGACGGTCAGCTGCATTTTGTACCAGCTGCAGGCAGTATAATAGTGAGTGGTCCAGGCCAATATAGAGCAACTGTATCAAACTTATTAGCTGCATTTACATGGGCACAAATAATCAGAATAAATGCCCGATCGGAATAAAAATGCATCATGTAAACATGTCAATCGGAAGATTCCAACTCGGCTCAATCGGAAAGAAATTGTATTCCGATCGAGAGGGGTGGTTTTTCGTTGTTCCGAAACGCATCCATGTAAACACTTATTCTGATCTGAATAAAGCTTGGTGCATGATCGGATTATTTGATTTTGCACCGATATAAAAAGTGGATTCAGATTATCTGATCCCTCAAATTTTTAATCGGATCAAGAAATTTTGCACATGTACACGTGGTTAGTGTTGCTCATTAATGTAACAGCTGATAGCTCTAAGTCATCTGGTTTTGGTGCTCTGGACACGACAAACCTGCGCCTGAACTCCAGTGTTAACCTCTGTTTCCCTGCAGGTCTCCTTTATGAGGTGATGGACACACTTCATCATTTCCTTCCCCTGAATTTCCCCCCCGAGCTTGAGAGAGAGGAAGCCCACACACTGGACAGGTTCAGCAGTAATCACAGGTGAGAGGGAGCACTCCTGTTAAAACAACCGGTCAGGTAATTGATCCCTGAGGATTCAGAGCTGAGCTGAGCTGAGCCTGAATCCTCATCTCTACTCCGTGTTCGGGCTGAAAACAAGTGCACCAAGGTTTCAGGTCTACATCTGCTCTGGTTTACGAGTCTATGTGAGGTGTTGCAAGGACCTGCTGCAAATGAAACCACGCTAAGGCCTCTAAGACCCTGAGGTGAGAGCGTGCAGGGTCACACACGCATTGCACCTCATCAATCAGCACAGACACTTAGGGTAAGGCAGAGTGGGGCAGCAAACAGTCGTCCCTGAACACACCCTCCACAGAGCGAGGCCTCCATCAGTCACTACAAAGGCGGTAAATAATTGATGATGTTTAGACTGGTCACTGCACTTGAAGAAAAGATTTATGCACTTGTACTTTGGACGGAACATTTTATGCAAGTCACCTTACTTAAACGTACATAAACGCTGACGTCTCATGAAAACTATCGACCTTTGTACGTTTAATGTTTTATAAGTTTTGAACATAAACAAACCACAGTGTCAAGTTAACTAGGATTCTCTCAGCTGATTGGCACAATAACAGCAAGCTCAACCCTGATGAAAGTGGTCTCTATAGCAACTGTGTGTCATCAATAACAGACCGTTGCTATGGAGTATTAGCTAATCATAATTGAGTATTTTACACAGCTGTGTAAAGCAGCAATTACACTTCAGAAGGACATTGTTGTATCATGCGTCACTTAGAGAGGCCTTATGCTGTGTTTCAGTTGTACTTGGAAGTCTGGATTTCCGAGCTTTCTGACTTGGAAAGTCAGACGATCCTCACCAACCCCGACTTGATGACAACGTCATAATCCAAAATGACAACGCAGTACATCAACAGTAAAGAGTAACAGTGAAAGCTCTCATAATGTTTTATTTATTAGCACTTCTCTTTTGTTTTTGTGAAATTATGTAAGTGGTTTATGTTGTACTGCCAAACATCTAACTGTGAACATGGTGCTATGGTGTTTGTAAGAGTAAAATACTGTGTTATGCGTTGTTTACAACTGGTATAACTAACAACAGCTAACAACAGCTGACAACGGCTAACAACAGCTGACAATTGTAAACAACAGCTAACAATGGCTAACTGTAGGCATTCATCTCGGTTTTCCAACTTGTTAACTGGAACGCCGTCAACTTGGGTGTAACGTCATTCCCAGCTCCGACATTCGACTTCCGAGGTAACTGCGACGCAGCATATCAACTCTTGTACGTTAAATTTTTAAAAAGTTTTAAACAGACGAACCACAGTGTCAAGTTAACTGGGATTTTTCCAGTTTATTGGCACAAAAACAGTAAGCTTGCCCCTGATTAAAGTTGTCTCCATGGCAACTGTGTGTCATCAATAACAGACTGTTGCTATGGAGTATTAGCTAATCATAATCAAGTATTTTACACAGCTGTGTAAACCAGCAATTCCACTTCAGAAGGACATTGTTGTATCGTGCGTCACTTAGAGAGGCCTTATCCTGCTAACTCAGTCATTAACCGTCATTTTGATGTCAGTAGATATTTCACAAGCACATCCACTCAAACTGAAACACACACTGCAGACAGAGGCCTGTTCGGTGTGACCAGCAGTGTTGTTTTACTAATCTTCTTCAATTTGGCCCCTGCAGATTCTCACATCAGTCCTTTCAGCTCCTCCGGCCCCTCCAGATGTGCTCGCACACACAGCCTGTAATCTTTCCCAGGAAGGAGGAGGGTCTACTGCCGCTCCCCTCGCCTCTCTGCGCCAGACAGGGCTGTCTTTAGCTCACCTTCCCTCTCTCTCTCACTCTCTCACTCTCCCTCTGTCTCTCACTCTCTCTGCTTTTCCAGCACATGCCTGCAGTGATGCTGATGGCAGCGATGGGGTCTGCATCTCCCCCTCCTCAGCAGGCGGCGGTGTGTAATTACAGAGTGGCGTCGGGGCTGAACGGTCTGACTGGTGGGGTGACTGCGGTCTGCTGACAGAGGTGTTTGTCTGGCCTGAAGACATGTGCTCCCACTGGCATTCTGGGATGGAGACTGGCCTTGCTGGGCACAGGCGGCTGCAGGATGAGACCTCTCTGCACAGGATGCAGCTCTCACCCTCCATAACCTTCCTCCTGTCAGGCTTCCTGCTTTCTGTCATGAGACCTGCAGCTATTTACCCCACAGAGGTTTTGTCCAGACTGCCGAGAAACCTGCAGGGCACTTGTAGATAGTAATTACAGGAGAATTGAGCTTTGTTTCAGAATCACTCACCAGCTTCTGCCTCTAATTACTGTGCAGAGCAGACCGTCCTCCTCTGTTTGTTAACCGTTTGTTTTTAGGTGTAGCAGTGCGGCGGTGTTCACTCTTTTTAACACGAGCCTCAATTGCTCTCCTTGGCCGTCTCAGCGGGTGAAACACAACAGCAATAGAGGCAGTTTGTGTTTGGAGACAGAGCCACAACACAGACACACAATCTGCTGTTTACACGAACATGAGAGAGCAAAAAGCTGCAGGATTTAAAAACGGAGTAACAGATTTGTACTTGCCCAGAAAACCCAAAACAGAAAAATATAAGCTCATGGCAAAATGGAAACAACTTTCTCGGTGCAATCAAAGCAAACAAAGCTGCGGTCTGTGTAAAGTGGCTAAAATGAGTGGTAGGCACATCTGTGGTGCTGATTTGATATAGCGTGTGGTCGGGAGAGGCTGCACTACAACTTCACCCAGCAGCCTTTTAATGTTTCCTCCACTTGAAAGCAGCAGATGTCTAATAAAAGCGCGCAGCAGCTCACACCCAACACTTTTTATTAAGACAGACACAATAACACAGACTCACGATGAGACCCAGCACCTCCCTCATGACCTCGCTTCACCCAAATAAAAGCTGCTTTGTAAACTTTTCCCTGGCGTCACTCTCCCTGTCAGTGACCTCGGCTGGCATCCTCTCTAGTGATGTGCAGCCCCCTTCTTTTTCTCCTCATCTGTCTTTTTTTGTGTCTCATGTGGTCGCCAAGGAAACAAATGAAAACAGGACTCCGGAGCTGCAGACCAGGACATGACTGGATGAAGTCACATCATCTTAATCTTCTTCTTCTTCTCCTCCCGTTGTTGCGTTTGCGCAGTAAGGAGGGGTCTGTCTTGTCTGTGACCTCTCTGTATAAAACTCTCCTGACACACCACAGTCATTAAACGCCACACCTCTCACTCAGCCAAAAAAAAAAAAAAAAAAAGCTGCTGCAAGTGGCCGACACACAATAACTTTAAAAACAGCTGTAAGGAGCAGAATTAGACCTCTACACACACGCATATGCACTTCATTTAGCACGCCGCTGCTGACTGCACAAGTTTTTAACACCAATGATGCTGCACTGAGCTGCGCCTGCCAACCTTAAATGTGGAGGCTGTTTTAATATTCAGACCTTAAAGCATTTATCCATCACTCCGTATGGTTTTGACATCACTGTGGACAAAAATTGCACGAGATCTAAGGACATTTTAGACACTTCCAGGGCAGATAAGTTTGAAGTTGTCAAGTTTTATTTGATTATATTTGACAGACTGGACTCAACCTACAAGAAATAACCCTCAAACAAGACGAGGCAGTAGGTTATTGGTAATTATTATCTCGTCAAGACTTATGATCATCATAGCCTCATCGTGCTCCCTCTGTCCCTCTGCTTTACTATCACACACCTCTAGTTTAGTCTGTTAGATTACTTTTGATACAGTCAAGATTCATCAGAAAATTATCTTGAACTTCAAAAGATTTGATGTACGTTGCATTAACGTTCTGCCAACTAAATGTTTTAACACTCTAGAAGTCTTTAGCTCTCCCTGCCCAAACTGCACACTCCCTTTAACTGGGTTAACCCTGTCTGTAACGAGACTTTTAAAAGGTTAATAAGCAGTTTTAAGACCCAACTCTAGGGCTGGGCGATATGGCCTCAAATCAATATCACGATATATCCATTTATTTTATATAAATGGACAATAATTACTCCACAAGCTGCTCACCCCCTTCCACATCAACCTCGTCTACTTCAGCCGCCGCTCCAGCCGCTCCAGACCGCTACAACTTTTGAACCGCCCTCCGTCTCCTCACCTGTCTTTCCCTCTTTGTTACAAACTGGATGGGGTGGAGTCACGTCTCTGATGTAGGACAGCATCTTAAAAAGGGACATGAGACCATAGCCTACCTACACACATCCAAAAACAACTTTTATTTATTTATTTTTTCTTGACACTGAATATACTGATACGGGCAAATTGATGCTGATTATTGTCGTAAATTTCAGTATCAGTAAATTTTCAGTTTATCTCCCAGCCCTACTCAACACTAAACAAATCCATCATAACTCGGAGTACTTTTTAAGTTATCACCAAAATTCTGTCTGTAGTCCTTCAGGTACTCTGAAAAGTTTTTGTTATGACTTCCTCCCTGATGTCAAAAGTTCATAAATGTGTTTAGAAACAAAGTTTTGCAGGATCAAAAAAATGACAAAAATAATGAAACATTATTTTACAAAAATGTGTTATCAATGAAAAGCAAAAGGAAGGAGTCAGTGTAGTCTACACACTGCTGCTCTCAGCGAAAACGTACTCCTGCTTCATTCCTGTCCTGCAGGCCCTTCACTCTGACCCTGTTCATTACCATCCAGAGGCTGACAGGCGCTCAAACTCTCTGCCCACAGCTGCAGCCAAGCACAGCGCTGGCCAATCCACAAACCTTCAGCTAAACATCCTGCCCCGTGTCCGCTGCTAAACACACTCAGCGCCGGGTGAGTAAATCCTTCGCCCTGACTGTTTGAAGGACGCGTCTGGTCCAAAACACGGTTTATTTGTCCAAGGTTGATCTGAACGCACCCATATTACAACTTAGAGAGCTGTGGCCAACACACCGTGGATATAAAGTCAGCATGTAATCACACACAGGAGAGAGTTTATGATAACTGATGCGTTCTCTTACCCACAATAAAAAGATCTGTTCTCTTTACGAAACGATGCAGCAGTATCCATGACAACCAAACACAAAAGCTCCACTTGACACAGTGACTGATACGGACTGCACACGTCCATGCAGAGCCAGGACATGACTGCTAGACTGTAACCACTCAAACTCCCTTCAGGACAATATTCTGCTTCAATAGCAAACTATAAACCTGCCTCACCCCGCACTGCTATAAATGAATAGAGAGCAGCAGACATGTGTGGTTAGACACGAGCCAAGACTTTTCTTCACGATTGTTTCCATTGTCCTCATGATGCAGCTTCTCTCTGAGAGGACTGTCCATCTCTTACACCATAACAAATCATTTGATTTGTCAGTTGCCTCTGGGACGTTTCATGTTAACTCCCTGATCTCCATTTTAACTGCATAAGTTTGGATTATTTTTCAGTGGAGGTATTCAGCTGCGCTCTGAGGTTTGTCGGTTTATAAAACATTGGATGTAACAGCGCTGAAATGGCTCAGGACCACTGTTTCAACACTTTAAAATGGGACGGCGGCAGAAGAGGTGCTGAGAAGGAATTTTATTTGCAACATCCTCTCATCAGATAATCCCCCTGTCCAAGTAAATACGCTCCACTGCCAGCATAAACAGTCTGTAAGAACATAAACCATGGTCCCCTCAGAGCACTGCACTTTTAGGAATCACCCGTTTATTGCTGCAGTTAAATGACGAAAATGTGTGAAATTTACAATGATGGGATGTTAACTCAATTTGGGAAATCAATAGGGTTAGAGCCAGAGGAACTATGACATCCAAAAACACTTAAGGGCCGGGACTACCTTCACATGAAAACATTTCTTTTGAAAACGCACCACTTTTTCTGTTCACCCTGAGCGTTCACACTGCTGCATGTGTTTTTTACCCACAAAGACGACTCAAAAAATAAAGAACTTTTTCACCTTGAAAAATCAGGGGCAGTGTTACAAGAGTTTGACTTATGATTTATTACAAAACAAACTAGATCTAAAGATTCATAAAGAACTCATAAAACATTCATAAAAAGTTATAATTCCATGACTTTAAAACTTTTTATGATATGTAGAATAAGTTCTTCATGAGTGTTCATAACCGGGTTAAGTTTTGAAAGTTGTAATGTGTTATTAAACCTAGAATTAAAAAAAAAAAATCTTTTGGTAACTCTTTATGTGACGCCTCTCTCTATAACACATTATAAATATATTAAAATGTGTAATAATCACGTTATAGCACTGTATAACTGTAGTAATAAACACTTATCAATTATCATACTTTGTAGCAATAATCATAACACATTATAAAGCATTTTATCATGACTTACAAGGTCAGGTATTATAATGTTTTATAACTGTGTTAACAACAGTTGCATTACATTGTCTATGTGGAAATTGTCAGTGAGTTTTTAACAGTTATAACACATTATAATACCTGACCTTGTAAGTCATGATAAAATGCTTTATAATGTGTTATGATCATTTGTGAGTGTTTATAACTATAGTCATACAGTGCTATAACATAATTATAACGCATTATACATATATCTATAATGCGTTATCGAGATAGGCATCAAATAAAGTTTTACCAAAAGTTTTTTTTTTCTTAATTCTGGGTTTAATAACAAATAACGACTCTAGAAACTTAAACTTAACCCGGTTATAAACCCTCATAAAAAAACTTATTCTACATATCTTTAGATCTAGTTTGTTTTACAATAAGCACACTGAACCCTTAGACCATATGGGTTTTCGCATCGTACCACTTCAGAGACACAAGTTATCATATCTGCACCTCAAGTACCAGATCTAAAAGCAGAGTCCCTGACAACTGTTTCAGCAGTGCAGACATGGAAGTCTGGCTGATAAAAGTTAGGTGTGTCAGACATGCTGCATGTTTAAGAAAGTCTCATGTCGTGGACTTGGATAAGTTGAATACAGTGTCCCAAAACCCCAGACTTTGACGGTTCATGCTCTCCTCTCAAATAGAAAACCTGTCAGATATTGAAGTTTCACAGTCCGGTCTTAAAAACGCTGGAAAATGTTAAGAGCGCTCACAGGTCAGAGAGAAGAGGAGGCAATAAAGTGCGCTGACATCAGGCATCTCATCCATAACGTGGTACTAAATCTACTAACTGATGCTCCGTGGCGTTATAACACACAAACAGACACGTATGGGTGAGCCCTCGCTGCGGCGGCACAGAGCCAGAATCAACATCACTCCCTCCACTCTGCAGCTTCAGCGACAGATTGATGTGTCTGCTGCACACCGCTGCCTCATTGTCTTCACCATCAACTCCCGACATCACTCTTTACATTATTTTACATTTGAGTGAATCTGCGCACCTGTTAAAACACAACACACAAAACCGAGACCGACCACGACACCGTGCATGTGAGGTGTGCGTTTAAATAACACAGACCTCCACCTGATACTACTGTTACATCCCTCTGACAGCGCAGGCCTCTGCTCTCCGTATATTCTTGTGGACTCTTACAATCCGGCTGCTGCAGAAAATGAAACTATAATTAAAAGCAGCAGGTTTGTGTTTGCAGCTCTCAGCTTTCTCCTCTGAGGATCAATATCAGAAAAATCTGCTCCGAGCCGGGATGGTGTGATCAAACTGTATCAGCTGCTGGTGGTTTCTGGGCTCCAGATGTTTATGGAAGTGCTTCAGGTTCCAGACTGACAAATGAGCAGATGGTTATCTAATTACAGAGGAAACGCCGATTAACATCAGACATACAGTAATGTCCTAATACCTATTTGGCTTATAGTGTCAGCATCTGCGCAAGGGCTGGTTTATAATTCACTATCATTCAGTTACAGCCTGTTGGCTTTCTGTGGACCCGTGTCAAAGTGGATCAGTATACACAAGTCTGTCATGCAAATTAATAACTGTGAGTCATGAGCTCACGGATGGAGTAATTGCAGGCTTGTTTTACGTGTGTTTTGTCTGATATGATAAAACATTGGAAAGCAGCAAAGTTCATTTCAAGAACCACAGGAGTAAGTTTAGACTGTGAACCCGTGCGATACACCGAGCCCTGGTGTTTAAGGAAAGGTAAGGTCGACTTTTTTAATCCTGCATGAGGGAAACTATTTCACCACCAGGACAAGAAGACTCATACAGACAACAAACAGCATGGAGACATCAGAAAAACATAAATTTAACAACAGTTACACAACTAACACAGGAAAAGCCGATGAAACATGATTTAAAAGTGGTAAAATAAAAGATAAGGACATGATTAAATACAACAAACGCCTGATAAAAATGAATAAATACTAAAATAAATACCCTGACAAACTATGCAGCAGTGCCAAGTCAGACCTTGCATACCGAGGCATCACAAGTCGCTCACTAAGTGAGCTTTAAAGGCCTTTAAAGACAAAGTGCAACAGATGATCTTTGTAGCCCAGGATTAATTTTAATTTAGACCTGGTCCTCCTCTCAACAATAGACTCAAGAGACTCTGGGACTAAGCCAATAACTGATCCAGAGGGCTTACGATGAATGTCTACATCTGACTTTATTGTAATAATTTCAGTCAAATGATAATAATGCAAACAAAAATCACTGATAATGTCACAATAAAGTATTTAGTATCTACTCTTCCGTCCAGATCTGTTTTTTTTGTTCCAAAGTAACAAAGGAGAGACTTGTCGAGGAGCGCTTATTTGTACATCCAGCCTTTTTTGGACTGATGATCATGTGTTACCTTGTATGAACATAATTTTTCCACCAAGTAGTACAGAGGCACAAGACAAGGAAAACAATCAAACAACCAGCTGTCTGCATGGTTGTGAGGAAGTCAAAATAAAAGTGGCGCCCAAGTAGGAAAGACAGAATGATGAGCGACAGGCTCAACATGATAAAGACTTACTGAAAAGACAGAAAATAATCAGTATATGATGCGTCTGTTGCTGTTTTGGATGTTTTGTTAATGCAGGCCGGGAGGTTAGCTAATAGTTGCTTTTTTACGACATGACAGTAATTGTCTGCTTGAAACTGTTTGTGGTTGTCGTTTGTTTGTATACAGTAAGTGGGCATCTGTTTAGAGTTATACAGAAACCCCAGATTTATGCTTTTATGGGTGAAAGATGCAACAAAAATAAAGTTGAATTTGATTAGGTACAAAACAACAATCTAAAACTATTTACAATCAACATTTTTATCAAACAGTCTCGGTATCAGAAAGGGAAAACATTCACTCTTTATCTCTATTTAAAGAATCATCAGAGCCTGATTTGGAAGCAGTTTTAACTTGGCAGCCTAAATATTTGTTTTTGGAGCGCTGCACAATCTTGGCACACAGGACTTGGCCTCTTTCGAGCTCCTGCTGCTTTTTTAAAGCCCAGGGTATCAAAGAGCTGATTGCCAGCCCTCTTTTTATGACCGACTGCTAATTAGCATTCATCCTTACATGACCCCGCTCCCTTGGCAGAGTTAGAAAAGTCCTCTTCCTGTTTGAGATTGTCTAACCGTTGCATGCATACATGCAGAATTTGCATACATGAACGTATGCATGCACACACACCACCAACCCACGCGTACAGAGTAGCGGAGTAGGTGGAGTAAAAGTCTGTGTGAAGCTGAGCTCCTCCGCTCTAATCCCCGAGTGAATGGTGTGCTGTGTGCCAGGCATTCCTCTGTGTCTTTCTGAGGCTTTTGGGGATTAGACCCCACTTACTTCCAGGGGCCGCAGGGCGGGATCAAAGCTGATTGGGCTTTTTTTTTTTTAGGTTTCGAGTGATGGCGTGCGGAAGAGTGAGCTTTACTCAGGTGGATTCTCAGGAGGCACCGGAGAACACGACACCACCACCACCGCCGCTGAGAAGTGAGACGGTGACACAGGCCGCACACACCTGGTGGAGGTCAAACCTGCGCTAATCCAGAATGGAGCGAACCTATCAACCGTTGACTGACAGCCCGCCTGCAGGACATAAAGCCTTAAGTCCAGCAATAAGACAGGTATGCCAGACCTGGGATCACTGAGGTTATAACAACATAAATCACAAACGAGGGAGATTTTAATCACAACTCCCCTCCTTCCTCCAAACAGGACACAATGCAGGGACTATCAGACGTAAATGAACATGCTATGTGTGAAACGAAGCAGCAATCTGGACCTCATTCCCCTGATCGCTCGCATCGCGCCGCAGGCTTAACACCGGCTAAACTTACATCCAGTAAAACAGAAGACAGACAAAACAAACACGATGAGTGATCTGCAGTGACCTCGGAGCAGATCCATACAGCGTCTGATCTTTACCCCAGCAGAAACAACAGGAGGTTTTCCATAATCTGTCTGGAGCAACACAGAAGATGTGGAGCAGGTCCTTATCGTGACACAATGTGTTAAGTATTTGAATTACTGAATAACCCGCAGCAAGAAAAATACACGGAGATCTGAAAGCTTTGCGCTCTGGTCTCCTGTCAGAGATACAACAGCCGGATTAGCAAGGATAACAGGGGGAGGCCTTGTGGGCACTCTGAAAATAAACTGACTGTATCCTCAAATATACACACATATTAATGGGATGTATGGACAGTGTGTAGAGAGAAAACGCACACCTTACGCTGACACACAGTGCTCGAGGTGAATGACACTAATTACCAAGTGTAGATACTTCAGAAGCTGATCCTGAGTTATCTGCAGTATCTCAATCCTAATGACAAACACATACATGCTGCATGTTTTGGAAACACCCCAGGAAATCAACAAACTGACCTTTGGAGGATTTCAGCAGATAAGAATAACCACAACAGGCGGGGTCACGCAAACCAAAGAGAAGTGTTGATTATCTGTTCGGGCTACTTAAGCAATAGGAAGATGTAAGGAAGTATCCCTGCTCTTTTTAGTCAGCTACATTATCAGTATGCATCAACATGTTTTAATCTCTATTGTATAGAAATCACACTCCAGACTACGAAAGAGGATTAGGGCCACATTAGGGGGGAAAAAAATTACAGGAAGGAGATTAAAGTCGAAATTTCAACATTCAAAAAATCGAAATTACGTCAATGAAGTCCAGTTTTGAGATTAGAAATTAAAATTTCAGAATTAAAGTCAACATGAAAACAGTCAAAATTTTGTGAATTAAATCAGAATTTTGAGATTAAAGCGGAAATTACAAGATTAAAGTCGATGTGGATAAAGTCTAAATTTTGTGAACTAAATTGAAATTTTGAGATTCGAGTCGAAATTTCTAGATCAAAGTTGACATGAATAAAGTTGAAATTTTGCGAAAATGCGTTTTTTTTCATTTCAACTTTAGACTTTAATCTTGAAATTTTGACTTTAATCTCAAAATGAAAATTAAAGAAAATCTCCTTCCTGTAATCATTTTTTTTTTCTTCCTGTGGCCCTAATCCTCTTTGTACAAGACACCTCAGATCTAAGCAACAAGTGGTTCTGTCTCATGTCTGGGACTACAGTGGGCCCTCAAGCAAGCGGGGGGGGGGTCATGTTCTGTGATCCACAAAGGGATGATAAACTGAAGGGGGGGCGTCCAGATCAGAACAGGACAAAACTGCAGACACAGCTGACAACAGGTGTTTAACTCTGACTTAGAGTCAGAGCAGCAGGGTGGTGGAGTTCATGAGCGTGAAATCAAAAGAGAAGACATAAAGGAGCAGAAGGAGAGGGGCTGTTTGTGGTCGCACCTGTGTGTGAGACGAGATTCTGGGACATCTTCACCGACTCTAAGACAGCGGGGACACGCTAAGATTTAGGGCTAAGACCGAAAATTTATCAATACCGAAATTTGCAATGATAACCTAAGTCATTTTGCCCATATTGGTATATTCGCTGTTAAAATAAATGAATAATTAAAAGTTGGTTTTGGATGTGTGTAGGTAGGATATGGTCTCATGTCCCTTTAAGATAATGTCCTACATCAGTCGGTAACAAAGAGGGAAAGACAGGTGAGGAGATGGAGGACGGTTCAAAAGTTGTAGCAGCTGAAGTAGACGAAGTTAATGTGAGAGGGGGTGAGCAGCTTGTGGAGTAGTTATCGTCCACTTATCGTTATCGAGGTGAACTGATCAATATATCGTGATATTAATTTGAGGCCGTATCACTCAGCCCTACTAAGACTTGTCTATTGTCTCATGTTTGACCCTGTGATTACTACCTTTAATTGATCACTGAGCACAAATGCCAACATCTCCTTGGAAACATCCTTTAACTCTCCATTACAATCAAATAAAAAGTACAACTAATGTAAAAATCCAGCCTGGGAAAGAAACAGAAATAGGCCAAAACAGTAAAATGAACTGTTTTATACTTGAGGATATTTTAGGCCTGAAAGACAGATTTATTAACTCCAGTGTGGGGGATTTAGAGGGTTTTTTTGCTCCTTTTGGCAAACACAACACCAGTGGGGGCCGCTGGAAATCTTTCAGTGATGCACTGCTCCTCCCTGTACTGTTATTTTAGATCCAACTCTTCTTCCTTAGTTCGCCAAGGCAGAAATGCTGCAAGGAGTACTCCGCTGTTAATGTGACATCCTTTGTCAGGCTAAAGACTTCGAGAAGTACAAAGAAACTCTTTCACAGTTCGCAAGTGCAATTTACTGCTTCTGCGCTCACAGAGAGAGAGAGAGAGAAAGAGGGAGAGAAATGAAAAACTGCTGGAAAAAGTAAAAAAAAAAAAAGATTTAAGATAAGGGAAAAGAGGGGAAAAATGAGACTGAAGGAGGAAGACTATTCACAGTGTTCTCCCTCCCCTCACACTAAAATGAGGGTCTTATCTCTGAAAGGCTCTTCAGTACAACATGCCCACAGACAGGGCGAGCACACACTGATGAAAGAACACACACACACACACACACAGAAGAGGAGAGGAGTGGAAGCAGATTACAGGATCAGAGAAAACACACATCAAACCTTCGCAGCAGAACCACCACCGTCTCTTCAGCAGAGAGGGAAAACATCAGGACAAACGAGAGGCGGACAATGCAGAGCCATCCATCACACCTCTCCTGTCGGCTAATAAAACAGACCGTGTGATCACAGTTTCAGGTCAATGAGGGTCCGTCGAACCCTGCAGGGCTCCAGCAGGGGCTGACGTGGTGATGCTGCTGCCTTATCTCAGCACTGCATTACAAAGGAACACCCCCACAAACACACACACAGAGACGTGCAAACACACACACACACACACACACACTCCTCCCTGCTGGCATTCACAGAGTTCTTTAAACAACAGCCTCCCTGCACTCCTTCACAGCCACTCTGTGAGAAAGTGCTGATCCAGAAGGAGAGAAAACTTTCGGACAAACTCCAGAGTCAACACTTTGGAGACGTTCGTGTACAGGAGAGTGTGTTGCAGCACTTTTAAACTAGAAGCACTGATCAATTCCTGATATTGGATATTAGTCCAATAGTCACCCAAAGGACCAGGACAGCTTCTAATGACTGTGGGCCAATCTGTGGGCCTGAAACATGGACACTAATTCATTTAATTCAGTCTTTACTATGTGTGCATTTATCAGGGCCTCAGTAGTGTACCTTCTACATCCTCACATTAAACACAGAGGACAAGAACAGCAAAGGCTCATCAGTCTGAGTGTATTTCCTGCTTGTTGGATCAGTGATTATGTAACACAACTAACTTCAACAAGGAAACAAAAGAATCAACCTAATTAAAAGGACAAAACAGCTTCTTGATCAAAGAAAAACAAGAAACTTTCTGGTAATAGTTTGAAAGCATCAGAGAAAAGTTCTCGGATTTCTTCATGTGGACAAACAACGGGTGGAAGGGTGAAAATAGAGCTGAGTGATATGGCCTTAAATCAATATCACAATATATTGATCAGTTCACCTCAATAGCGATAAATAGACGATAACTACTCCACAAGCTGCTCACTCCCTCCCACATTAACTTGTCTACTTCAGTCTCTACAACTTTTGAACCGTCCTCCATCTCCTCACCTGTCTTTCCCTCTTTGTTACAGACTGGATGGGGTGGAGTCAAGTCTCTGATGTAGGACAGCCTCTTAAAAGGGACATGAGTCCATAGCCTACTTACACACATCTAAAACCAACTTTCGTTTATTTATCTATTTGACACTGAATATACTGATATGGGCAAGATGATGTTGGTTATTGTCGTAAATTTTGGTATCGGTAAATTTTCAGTTTATCGCCCAGCCCTAAGTCTGGGTGTATTTCCTGCTTGTTGGTACAACTTCTACAGCTTCCTACAATATCTGCAAAGCTAATCTTTTGAAGAATCAGTGGTTATGTTACACAACGAACTTCAACAAGGAAACAAAAGGATCAACCAAATTAAAAAGCCAAAACAGCTTCTTGATCGAAGAAAAACAAGAAACTTTCCTGAAATAGTTTGAAAGTATCAGGGAAAAGTTCACAACTGACCCCTGAAAGTCTTTAAAAAAAAATGGATCGGTGATCAATTGGACCCCAGTACTTGGTGTTAGGGATACCCAAAAGCAAGGTACTGGTATTTGTATCTGCATCGGTGCCAGGACTAAAAGTTGGGTTTGTGTATTCCTCTCCTAAACAATGAAGGGTGGAAATGAATATTTTTAGGTTTCAGGTTTCTGTCAAGTTGGTCTGTGAAGTAAAGTGGGTTAAAGAGAAGTCAGGATCCTCCAAGCCTCAGAAATGTAACCATCACAGCCTCATTGTTTTGTTTTTTCAGCTGATTTAACACCTGAGCAGGGATGTGATACAGCGGTCTGAGCTCTGGATGGTCAAAGTCAAAGATCAAGTTCCTTTACCAATCACAGGAGAGGTTGGGAGGAGGTTACATTTACCCTGTCAGAGATTTGTGATGTATGGGAGTCTTTTTCGACTCCTCTGGTCTAAATCACGGTCACACAAGACCCCCCGTGGTCGGCGTGATGTAATTCATCAGACGGTCACAGCAGCCGTGGCGATGTGCCGAAGTTCCCGCTCCAGAGATTAACACTCCTCTGTAAGAAGGAGCCAAACTCTCTGACACTAACACACTGAGATAAAACATCTGGCCTGTCTCCACTCGATTTCTCTCCTGTGTGTGTGTGTGTGTTCTGGTGTGTATATGTTCTCATGTGTGGTGCGTGTCTGGACTGTCCTCCTCGTTTAGTAGCTGATGTCTGGAGCGTGAGTTGTGCTCTGAGCAGACGTGGAGGTCTTGGCTGAGGTGTGACAAGTGGACGGATGTGTCCCACCGTCTGACTGTGAGCCAGAAAATATAAAGAGGTAAATCAACCTGTACTCCTCCAAGATATAAAGAGAGTGTTTGAGAGTTATCGGCCCTCCTCTAACAATGGTTTAACATCGAAAGGTTGAAGTTCAGATCTACATTTTATTCCAGAAGGTATGAAGTTTTTACAACTCGGAAACAGTGTGGAAATAAGAAGCCAGTGTGGAGATCTTTTAGAGCCTTAAAGATAGGGTTGGTAATGTGATTTACCCCCAAGCCCACCTCCTCCAGAGCGGCTACGAAAAGGCAGTATCCGCCAATAGTAGCTGATTGTAGTCCATTCAAGTTAATGTGTCAATTTCCACCGGCTTCTTTCCACTGGATCCCCAGACTCTGCAGTTGATCGCAAGAGTTCAATTTTTTCAGGACGCCAGAGCATGCCCGATAAATTCAGAAGGAAGTCGGGCACAGACACAAAATAAAACATCTGGCTTCTTTCAAAATAAAACACTCCGTATTTCACACCATGCAAAAGGCATTCATTGACAGCATTTCATCACGATGACACCATGAGGAGATGCTGATTCTAGAAGTCTAGAAGTAGATTTTTAGAGCCATTAGAGCCATTCCGGATGCAGTGGAAATCCCGGGTTAGACACATTTTTTGTTATTCTGGTTAAAATGATCTTTATGGTCCGATGGAAATCAATGTGTGTGAACATGATGTGTTCTTAAAAAAGAGCGAAACATAGCCGCTTTCTACAGCAGGAGTAAAACAGGGAAAACACCAACCAATCACATCATGTGGGTCCCACAGATTTTATCCAATCAAATCTCGTGCTCGCCTCCTGCAGGTACATGTCACCGGTGTACACTGACCCTGATCTAAAGCGCTGGAGAATGGCAGAGAAACTACCTATACCCAGATTAACGATGACCACTCCTCCTGCAAAAAAGAGCAAGAAAAGAAAGACGGAGGCAGAGAAGGCTGAAGAAAGACAGAATTCGGAAAAAGCAAGGTTGAAAATGAAAGTCAACATCAGGACTTTTCAACGATGGAGAGGACCGAAAGAGGTCAAAAGTGATGCCATTGTCGCTCATTTTCCGTAGGAAAGGTAAGTTGAAGGTTTGTTTATTTTGATCAAGTATTTAGCCATTTTGCTAGTTATGTGGTCATCCTGATGCTAAGGTTACCTTCTTTGTCTCTGTTATGCAAAGACTTCCCAATCTAGAGTCCTAAAGTTTCGAGTCTGTGGTTTTGAATCAGCAGACAGCAGCGCTCGTGCATGTGAGCGTTGTTTTTGAGGAGCTCCAAGGAGAGAGGTGAGACGAAGTCATGCTAGTTTGCCGCGATTACCAACCCTACCTTTAACTTCAGATATCTGAGAGGAGTGCCCCGGTGTAGTTTGACTGCCCAAGTATATGAAACACAATTATGTTTTTCATTACCCTCTATTAATGGCCGCCCCCCCTCGCTGTGTGCATCACTGCCATGTCACATTGTCAAATCAACGTCCAAAATGAGTCTCTCACGCAGAGTTGTCGTATGTCGTGCAAACCGACAGTTGGTTAAAGATTCTGAGCTGCAGTGGTAGACCAAATGACGTCTCTCATGAGCTCTTAATCCTTTAATTCACCCTCTATCCTTTGATATTTATCGCCTTTAAAACCGATCCATAAAAGCAACTATGAAAATATCACTTTTTTCTCCACCCACAAATGACACGCGAAAGCTTAATTGTGCTGACTCAGGGCTTTTTTTCTCTGTTTCATCTGCTGAGCGTTAAACTACTTATGCAAGCTGTAAAGTTCACAAGTGACAGTTAAGAGCAGAGCGCCCTTTAAAAGTCATTATACACCCATCTGCATAACACGATATGCCAGACTCCCATTAAAAATTGTTCAAGCTTAAAAGCGCCACAATTACACATGACATCAGTCAGTGGTGAGATGAAAAGATTCGACAAAATCAGAATAAGAGTCTGACTGCAGAATTAAAGTCTTATTCTCTCTTTTTGTGAGGCTAACAGAGAAATTAAAAAGTACTGAAGGTTATCGACTTCAGCTGATAATCCTTAAATCCGAGCGCCGACTGAGTCATGCAGACTCAGTTAAAAGTAGAAGTCTCTCACAGGCTCCATCAAGACCTCAAACCTTCACATAAAATATTTTGTTTATTATAGTGTTCCTACAAAAACCACCACTATTGTTTTTCGGATCTGATTCTGGAGAGTTAACAGAACAACCCTGTTTGTTTTGGCCTCAAAAACACTCACAAATGACCGGTAGAAAAATGATTCAATTGTAAACTGCGGTTTGTGTTCGGCACAAAAACTTGAGGCCATGGTTAGAAAATCCTCTTAGTCATCCCTGAAAGATAAATGTCTCGAGAAAGAGAGAATGAACAGAGTGTCCTGTGACAGAGTTATGTTTCCCAATCCATCCACCCACACACGACAAGGCTTTGTGGCACCATTACAGGATCCCGCTATTCCAGCCATTGTTCCAGAGGATGAGGAGTCACAGCTTACAGGGCCACTAAAAACTTTAAATATATTCATGTAGGGCTGGGAGATAAAATGGAAATTTACTGATACTGAAATTTAAGACAATAACTGACGTCATTTTGCACATATCGGTATACTTATGGGTATCAGAGACGTGACTCCACCCCATCCAGTCCGTAACAAAGAGGGAAAGACAGGTGAGGAGATGGAAGACAGTTCAAAAGTTGGAGTGGTTGGAGCGACGGCTGAAGTAGACGAAGTTAATGTGGGAGGGGGTTGCAGCTTGTGGAGTAGTTATCGTCCATTTAATGTTATCGAGGTGAACTGCTCAATATATCATCATATTGATTTGAGGCCATATCGTCCAGCCCTAGTTCACCTAGATAATGACATAGGACAGAGTCTTAAAGGGACATGATCATAGCCCTCCATCACACATCCAAAACCAACTGTGAGTGCAGCTCTGTCTAATGATTGAAGACCCTCTGAGGTGACGAACCAGAGCATGTAGTTGACGCATATGTCCATAATAAAACACCATAGTTGTCGATCTTTCCTTGCTTGAATTTACTTGGAGGTTTACTTTGCATAAAAAAACAATACTTTATTTATTCATTTATATTTTTTACACCGAAAATATTGACAGGGCAAAATGACGTCGGTTAATGTTGTAAATTTATGTATCTGTAAATCTTTGGTTTAATAATAATAATGCATCAGATTTCATATAGCGCTTTATCAGAGACCCTCAAAGCGCTTTACATTGGATACATCATTCATTCGCTCACACAGTCACACTTTGATGGTGGTGGAAACGTGGCTGCCATTCTGCGCCTACGGCCTCTCCGACCACCACCACACAACACTCACAATCATACACCAGTGGAGGACACACACTGGGAGCAAGGTGGGTTAAGTGTCTTGCCCAAGGACACAACGGACAGACTTGGATTAGGGGGGAATCGAACCGCCAACCTTCCGGTCATTGGACGACCGCTCTACCTCCTGAGCTACTGCCACCCCACAATCGCCCAGCATGAAAAACAATCGTTTATCGCCCAGCCCTAAGGTGATCTTTATGTATTTAAGCAAACAACACCAGGCTGTTATCTTCAAGTGAGGAGGGATCACTTGAGCTTAAAACATGAACATGGAGCAAGACGGAGCTTTTATCTAGGAGTGGGAAGAGAGTTTTATCATAAAGCTAAACAGGACTGGATCAGGGAGGAGATACAAGGTCCCACACAAACCCAAACTTCTTCACAGGGGCTGTAATGTTAGAGGGCAGTTTTTAAACCTCTACGTCCAGAACAGCCACTCTGCGATCAGTAATAACTGAAAAACTGTCCACAGCACATCATCGAAGCGGGGAAAGTTTCCAGCACTAAGCATCCGATGGCCACGTTCCTGCAGTCTCCTGTCTCCTGTAAGTCTTGGACCGCTCATGAGACACATAAAACATCCTGTAAAAACATGAACTTTGCATCCAAACAAGTTAAGAGATGTTTAAATGTTGTTTCAGGGGGTGTCAGGGCCGACTTCCTCTTTATCAAAACACATTCTTCAGCGGCGTCGTGTTGTGCTTTGAATCCTATTGCATGGACCTCGAAATGAGCCGCCAAAGCTTGACCTTTTACCTCTTCTCTGTGAGGAGAATGAAATACCGCCATTTAACGCTGAAAAGCTGCACCTCTCTATACAAACTCTCATTAAATAACATTAACAGGAGAAACGGGTGGAGTCAAACTGCTGCCGATAGCGATCCTAACTCCCTTCGAATCGATCTTTCAAGCACAGGTGTGGGTTCTTCGTGCTGACAGAAGCCGCCTCACTCCGAACAGAGAAGAGAGCTCCTAAAAGTCCAGCAAACTCAGCTGCACTTTTGGAACAGACGGCGGATTGGCTGCAGCCTGGGCTTCGGTTTCTGCACCGTCAGGAGCAGCCAGGGGAAAGGAATTCCAGCTTGGCAAAAAGAAGTTGCTCTGATGGATGAATGATCCCGAGCAGCGTTTGTAATTCATCTCCCTCGTGCCCTCTGTAGACCCGGTGTGGATCAGGGAGTGTGTGAGGCCTCCGTCACATCTACTCACCCACAGTTAAATTAAGAGAAGCTGAGACATCACTGTCACTCATTGTGGGGTCTGGAAGGTTTCCCGATCCAAACAAAAGAAACTGATCTTAAAAAAAACTTGTTACTAAATTCTTTCATTCCTTCATGTCAGCCTCCATCTTCACTCTGACTGTGTGGGCTCTTTTTCGGTCTTCTGATTCGCTGATATTCCGACGCTAAAAGGGGGACATTGTACTCAAGTTAGCATGACAAGCTCACAACATAAAGCCCCAAAGTGCCTCCGAAATTTAAGACTGACACCGTCGAGAGATTTTCTTGACACTTAAGGAACAATACTTGCCATTATTTGTCAAACCCCGCACCCCTCAATCCTTTGCCCTTTCACCTCCATTGGCGTCCCGTTGGCTGCCCATCACACCCACAGGGTAGTGGTGCGTGGACCGTGAGAGAGTCGGACAAAAAGAAAGGAGAGCCTCGGATCTAATTTATTTTTTAAGGTCAGTTAAAATTCAGAAAGCTTGTGGTCATGTCTGCGGTAACGATGAATGAATGATGCTCATAATGGCTTCAACTTCAGCCTGTCCTTTGTCCTTTCGAAAACCCCTCTATTTTCCTTCACCTCCATGCCCCTTGTAATATTTTTCATGCCATCTCGTTCCTCTGCGAGTATCGGATTGTGACGATACGAGAAGAGAAAAACATCCTCTCTTTTCCATTCTTGCTCTCTTGCCTTTTCTACCTGGCAGCTCATACAGGAGCGTGTCCCGCTGGATCCACGCCACCCTTTCACTAGTCGTCAATCTCGTTTAACACACTCATCTCTTAGAGAGAAAAAGGAATGAATTTTCAAACCCCCCAGCAAAGCCAGAGGAAGGAAAGCCACGCCAAGAGCAGCTCACATACTCTTCGGACAAACTGTAACTCTCCACTTTGTCAAAAACCCATCTGTCTGCAGATTTAGTAACAATGAGGCTCCCTTTACTGGAGCGGTTCAGTTTACGCAGGAAAAGAGAGGGGTTCATATAAAACGCATTAGCGGAGAACAATCCTTCTGGTCTTCTGTAAATAGGATGTAATGATGGGGAATGTCCAGAGAGGGTAGGCACTTTGAAAAGGCTCATCGAGGCTTTTCCCTCCAATAACGTGTACTTTCTGACTCTGTATCAGCCGGTACTGAAGTCCAATCAGAATAAGTGTTGACAAGGAAAAGGTAACAAACCTGAGAACGAGGGATGGGCGATAAATTTTCATTCACGATAAATCATCAGAAAAATCCTCTATGATAAATATTTGCCATCTCATGATAAATATGATAAATGCAGGTGGATGACGTAAGCGTGAGCGAGGGAATCGTAGCAATATACTGTGTTCGAGTTACCTGGAAGTCAGATGTTGGAGCTGAAAATGACGTCACACCCGAGTTCCCAGCGTTTCAATGACCAAGTCGGAAAAAAGCAAAATTGGAGGCGTAAACAAGATAGCTACATCTACGAAAGAACATAAGACAAGAGCTAAAATAACTTTCGTAGATGAAGCCATCTTGTTTCAGGTAACTGAATCAGCTTGGACTTCTAACTTCCGAGGTAACTCCAACGCAGCCATAGGTCACACAGAACAGAATAACAAACAAACATGGCCGAAGGTAATGAAGAAGACGGTTCTGAACGGGGCTCCACATGATCTCCTCATGTGGGGCTTAGATGAGCGCAATTAGGTATGTCAGACATTGGACGATCTGCCGCTTTTCACTCTGTGCGATAAGAGTTTTTAACAAATGTTGAAAATGTTTGAACATTTGAGAATTGTTTGATGTCATTAGTTTTCTCCATAATCTACCACTTAAACTTGTGGTTAAGTACCTTGACAAAATGAGTAAAAAATGTAGATTGGAATTATAATATTTTTTATCTGTACTTTTATCGTTATCGTCAGAATGGCAAATCTTATCATGATAATTTTTTTTTCACCCATATCGCCCATCCCTACAGAGAACACACCTTTGAGGAAGATAACAGAAATAAAGGGTTCATGCATCATCCTCTTTGGCTCAGCCTACAGAAAGCAGACGGAGATCTAACTTTGGCACAGTGAGAGTGATTTACCGCCCTGTCACTCTACATGCAATAGATATGCATTGCGTATGTCTGCAGGAAGAGAGGAGGCCTTGACTGTTTCACTGTTTCCTGTATCGGGTTCATTGATTACACAGACTCAGCATTTTCAGCTTCTTCTTTTTTTGCATGTTTGTGCGACCAGAGTCAACCGAAGTGTAAAATTTTATGTTTTATTTTTGGTCTGAGTCACGCGCCTGCTGTATATACAAACTTGATATATGTGTCTGTTCCTGTGAGCGCAGGTGTATCTGAGGCCTTAAGCATGTGTGTGAGCGCCTCACTGTGTGTTTGCTGCCAGACTCTGGCTGTGCGCTCAGCATGTATGAGTGAGAGAGCCATAAACACCTGAGGATGCAGGAACACACAGACACCCTCACTGGACTTTATTTATGCTCCTGACTGCAGAGGAAGAAGGGGGGGGAGTCGTCATGCACAGCTCGGCTCTGGTGGTGGCGGGGGTCCAACCAAAACACCAGGGCTGTTAAAGCCCCCGTGGACGTGTCTCGGGACTGGGGGGGTGGGCAGCAGAGCAGACTGAATGCAGGCCTGGATTTAAAGGTTCAGGGGTACGTCCTGTTGTTAATGAGCTCACCCTGCTGGGCCTCTCTGGTTCTCAGCTCTCCCGATACTGCCTCACCAGACACACCAGCGCTGCTACAACCCTCCTCCTCCTCTTCCTCCTCCTCCTCCTCCTCCAGTCACACAGACTGGACTTGGACCAATCAAGCATGACACACTTCCTGAAATATGCACACGGCAATCTGTGCCCCCAGTTTGATCTCATAAAGTGTGAGGAGGACAGTAAGAAGAGGTGAAGTGTGCCGTGTGCCAAGTGCAGCCGAGTGTGTCATGCTGAAATGTCTGCAGAGTGAGCACACCTTAATGCTGAGTGTCTATGGTGTTTGTGGATCAGAGAAGCCCCTGAGACATGACCCCAGACAATCCATGATGGCAAAGGAGATACGAGCACTCTCCTAAATGATGCATGACTTACATGCTCTATTAACACAGAGTAAACAGCTCTCTGGATATGTAACACACACACACTTTCTGTGTGAGCTCAAGTGTAACAAAAGCTGCAAAAAACAGTTTTTATATATAGATCATTTTGTATAAACTGTGCCAACAGAAATTTCTTCACTTTATTAGAGTAAAAAATATCGTTTGAGACATCAAACAGTGTGAACCACAAATAAATGCTCCATAAAAGTGAAATGGGACACATCTGGGATGGAAACAGCGTGATTTTTCCCAGTTTATTGGCAGAGTCGACAGTTTTTAAAGGAAAACTGACTCTGGATCTGCAATCAATTACGCTCTCTTATCACATTTCTGCTTGGATCTTGTTATATAGCCATTTGTCACCACTCTACAAACTCTTACTAACTTTATTCCCCAGCCTGACTCCAGGCAGAGACTGTTTACTTGTTTGCTTACATGCGAGAAATTACAGTGTGCTCTGCAGAAGGGTTGCACAATAAATTACGAGTCACTTGTTATGCATTATGAGCCTTTGCAATAAATATATTTAAAGTATGTAATAATAAAAGAGAAGAGGTTTTTCCACATGCAAAGCCTTTTCTCACAGCTTGACTATAAATGGAGACCTTGGCGATGGCTATTCTTTTTTTAAATAGTCGACGATGCTCAAGCTATAGCAGTACTCTCAAATATAAGACAATTACACGGTGAAATAGGTTTTTGTTTTATCTATTTTGGATTTTAAACATAAGTTGCACACTCAGGTATTGTGCAAAACAAGAATAACAGAGGCTACACATTCACCCTGCTCAATATCGCACTACTTTTCCTCTAACTATTAAAACAGCTTCCTTAAAGATCCTTCGATGCCGGTGGTGCACAGCTCTGTCTTCATACGCTAAGCTTCTCATCCCCAAAGACAAGTTCTGTTATCCTGCTCTTCTCTCCTGTCCTCGCCAATCAAGTGAGATCATTTCTCTTTGGTCCCTAAAACTGGCTCCCCGAGGGGAAAGGTCTGCTCCTCCGTCAAGGCTGCGCTCTGAAAGCAAACCAGCAATGACTCTCATTAGTCCGAAAGCTGGGCCAGCTCATCCAAAACCTCCCCTCTGCTCTTATCCTCAGTCCAGAACTAATCACTACCATCAGAACCACCCCACTCGTCCCCGCTCATCAACCACATGAGCGAATGGAAATTTATGCAAAGACCGGCTCATATAGCTGGAGAATCAGATGCAAAAACTTTTAAGTTCCTCTCATTGTCAGAGAGCGCAGCAGTAAGCAGCTGTGAAACTGATCTGGAGGGAAGAGGAGGGTGGTGGTGGTGGGGGTGGGGGGGTGTTTGGGAGGTCTGCGATACGAGAGGCCGTAAATGATGTCATCACAACACCACAGCCATGTCTCTGTGATGTGGTGATCTGTTTGTGGTTTTGTGTACATGGGAGTGGAGGAGGTTTGAAGGTCGGCCTCGTACCCCCCCCTACGAGGCCGCAGCGCTCGGGCCTCTCTTATGTGGTGTTGTATATGTTTATGAACTCATAACAGAGACAAATGAGCAGCCACATCATCGAGATTACAAAGAGGGTGGAAAAGAAAGGAAAAAAAACAAAGAAGTATGCTGTAAGAGAAGATTATATGACATAGAGGCAACTGCTTTCATTCTGCTTTTCTCCTTTTGTGTTCAAGAGTTTGGTAACAGGGGCTGGGTGTAAGACAAAGAGAGAACTGGAAAGATACTGGGATTCTGACTAAAACCATTAATAAGCAGCAGGTAAATGACATAGCCAGACCATCTGCTCAACGTTATGAATCCGGTCCGTATTTCTGCACGTATCCTTGAAGTTTACTGATCCAGGCCAGATGAAGCAGTACCAAAGCAGTAAACCGTTGGGGCAGTGTTGCTGCTGTCACTACCTGATATACTTCTCTAGCCAGAAACGAAGAAGACAATGGTCAATTTCTCTCATCGGTACTACTAGAGAAAAGAATTCTCCGTCCAAGAAGAATTCAACATTCTCTCCGTCAAGAGAATTGCGCCCAGTTTTACGCTCAAAGGTTCCTACTCCAGCTAAATTGTAAAATTGCAATGTAGTTATAAAAGACTTGAATGAATGTGATTATTTCAGTGTTGAAATTGTACGCTGTATAAAAACGCTTAAATTTATTGTCCATGATGTGTAGGCTTCTTGTTAATAAATTTAATTGATAATATAAACAAAATAAATCCCCCCCTTGATACTTTGAAAAGTCAGAGAACCAATAATTTTGGCCGGGTGGCGGCGCTCTCTGTGGCCCTAAAGGTCTCACTGTGCTGGGCAGGAGCTCTGGTGATTACCTCGGCATCACCTCTGGAGCCTTCTTCTAGCTAGCCTGTCACAACGCTAGCTCGTTTCTGAATCGATCAGTAGTTTAAATAAAGTTTTTAGGGTGAAGTAAATTTGCACTTGCGCAGTACAAACCGGGTTTCCGGGATGGATCGGGTAGCGACAGTTGTTGTCAGAAACTTTTGACTCCAGTCTGCCCCCTGGTGGATGTAATGCTTAACATCCATGCCAACGTAAAGGACGCATGGAAGTGTGTGGGTAGTGACGGAACCATCGTTTGAAACAGACACACACACTTTCATACGTATGGCGAGCAGAAACGAGCCTTTAGTGGTCTACAGGGTTCCCTGAACTCACCCCAACAGGACCCTGAACCTACAAAGCTCCAGCAATATATCACCAACAACATGCCGCTCTATATACCTGAGGGATGGGGGCAGACAAGGTTAAATCCGCTTTAAGAGCAGACACCTACCTCCATTCCTGAGGAGGATTTAAATAGAGCAGGATTTTAAAACCTTTTTTTATCTTGCTACGTGGTAAAAAGCCGTGTCTCGAGTTCATATGGTCTTATCTTGGACAGGAAGAGAGTGTCTCTTCTCCTCTCTGCTGCTGATAGCGTGACCTGTCAGGCTGTAAAGAGTTCGTCTGTTTGTGGGTCACTCAGTCAGTCCACTTAAACTCCTGGCTGAGGGGAAATGCCTCCGCTTTATTAGGGACAGAAGAATACTCCAGCTGCCATGGAGGATGTGCATATGTGTGCGTATACAGAGCAGGAGTGTGTGCACCTATTTTCATCCCTAAAAGTTATATATATATTTTTTTTGTTGTTGCTGACTTGGCCCACTTTATTCCTCTCTGGCTGCAGGAAAATCAGTTTTCAATGCAGTCTCAGGGGAAAGTAATAAATAAATCAGTGAGCAGAAGAGGCATTTCCAGCTCAGGAGCCAGATACATAAAACTGAACTCAGAATCAAGGCTGAGTGTGTATGAAACTTTAAAAAAAAAAAGGTTCAACTGCAGGACTGTGCAAGTGCAGGCTTTTGAAATTTACTGCCATTTATTTTAGATTTAAGAACTGACTCGACTCTTACGGGTCAACAGATGGAGCTGCGTGCAAATTTCCTAGATTCAAATAAAGCTGTTTCATCGTCAATCAAAGTCCTGTGTATTCATTTGTCCTGCGCACTGTTCTTTCATAACAGTCTGTCTTTTCCCTTAACTTTAACAATGTCAAACCCACAGAGGAATAATTACAAACTCTATTATTCAAATCCCGCAGCCTGCAAAGTTTTAAGCTCGACAGTGTGAGCCCTCGATGCGGTTTTCATGGAACATTTCAAACAAATGTTGCTCTAATATTATCACGATAATGAGTAGATGTATATTCCAATTTAAATACTTGAACTCCTCTATGAATCATAATTACAGGATGGTTTATGTGCCTGATGTACATACCAGCACACACTTACATAAGAAGAAAGGCAGGCTGGAGAAGGAAAACGGGTTCGATCCTCTGTTTGGTTTCGTTCTTTTCACACTGGCTGGTCGTTTCTCTCTGCGCTGTTGTTTGTTAATTAATGGCTGTTATGATAATTCCCCGGAGTAAAGCGGCGTAGGCTGAAACGCTGGACGCTCCCATGTCTAATCTCTTCTGAGGCCCTCAGCCCAGCTCGCCGTCACTTCAGCTGCTTCCAATTTAGATTCGGCACTTGTGCTGCACTGGCCATTTACATAACAGAGGAATATCAGCTGCTGTGGCCTTTTCTGCACACTGCCTGCCTGCGTGTATGAGTGTGATTTATGTGTCTTTGTAGACCTCCTGTTATTATTGCGTAAACACTCTGGATGTGTCGACTGCTGATCTGTTTTTTTTCTTTTTTTTTTGTGAATGGATTACAGCAGGAGAGGGTAACATATTTAACACCTGCTTAAGCAAACGGAGAGGGATGCAGGAATGTGACTGAGAGGGAAGAGGAAGCCTGAATGAAAAGGTGGCTCCATGTTTGATTGTGTTCTCTGTGTGGTCTAAAAGTAGTGGGAGTGGGGGGTCACCTGCTCTTGTTCCTCCCCTCTGACCTCAGGCTCCTCTCACAGCTACTAAAGCCCGCTGCCATTAAAGCAGCTAATCATGCTGAACAGCTGCATCTCTCACTGTACAAATCCTCAACACCTCACTCACTCACTCACTCACTCACTCTCCCACCCACACACACACTCGCTCTGGCAGTCAGACAGACACATAAACCAGCATCCACGCACACCCACTCCTCCTTTCGCTAATGGCAAGCTGCAGCCGACGGATGTTTGAAGCAGCGGGTTTAGGGTGGAGGCCTGTGATAAGCTGCACTGAGCTGTGAAAACACAGATTACATTTTTGCGGCTTATTACGCGCCTTTGCCTCCAAGCTATACTGTAATTGGGACCCAAAAAACCGCAGCCTCCGCTTGGCTGTGAGATGCAGCTTGATGGGGACCCCCGCGGCACGGCTTTGACAGCCATGCTAATCCAAGTCTGTGTTCCTCCTATATAATCTGCTGCATGCAACACCCCCGCCCCCCAATACTTCTTTTAAGTGTTGTCCTCTGTTAATCAAACAACATTAGCAGCTGTCTCTTGATGAGATGAGAATATCAATATAAAGACCTATTTTGGACCCACCACTAATGAAATAATGCTGCTTTATAGGTTAAATGCAATTTTCTCCAAACACAAAATTGCTTTTTAAACGAGGTTTAATTTGTTCACTTGTGATGGATGCAGAAAACGTTGGGATATCCCACCTGAAAACAAGTATTTGCTTGCGGAGAATGCCAAAAGCCAAGCAGGCATATATTAAATCCCCGTTTCTGGCAGCCTATGAAAGTGCCTCCATCTGCAAATACTTAGTCTTTTTTTTTTTCCTCCTTCTCAGGCTCAATCAGAGATAAAGACCATTGTGTTCCTGATCCTGAAGTAAGACAATATCTCCCAAACCTCATAGAAAACAATTAGGACTCAGTAATTACACCATAGGCCTGGAATTCAAGCCAAGTCCTGAGGTCGAGGAAAAAATAAGAAACAAGAGAGTGAATGTGAAAGGTTGCTGTCTGATGCAACGCAGTCTTTTTCCAAGATGATGGAGTAAGTTTGCCCATGAGCCTCAGAGCGCTGTAATGTTTTGCTTTCGGGGCACACGATTTGAATGTGACAGGAAACGTCTCGGCTGTCTGCATCTTTAACTCAGACTGAGACGGTATGGTATCTTTCCTTTTAAAAACGATCTGTTGATTTATGAAGCCGACTGACCGACACGCAGAGGAGTGAGAACGGAGGGACTCCAGAGAAAACAACTCTCTCATCTCCATCTGATGAATGAACATTAAAGGGACTGAGCTCTCTGCCTGTAACATAGCAGAACTTCCTCTCCTCTCGTGCACCCTCACATCCCCTCAGTTCTCCCGCTGTGGACATAGTTTAGATCTGCTGTAATGCAGACGGGCCTTCAGGGCTTTTGCCGTGGCCTGCTGAGAGAGCGGGAGAGTGAAGTATGGCAGCATGAGAGGATGAGTGGATCATACACGCTCTCCAGGAGACGAGAAGAGGAAACATGTGAAGGTATATGACTCACAGAAATGGTTTTTGACAATGTATGCATTAGGGCTGGGCGATAAAACAAAAATTTAACAATATTGAAATAAGCGATAATAACTGACGTCATTTTGCCCATGTCAAGATATTTGGTGTCCAAAAAATAAACAAATATAATAGGGTGACTATATGTCCTCTTTTACCTGGACATGTCCTCTTTTTTGGGGGGCTGTCCGGTCTTGTCCGGCTTTATCTGGGGAAGTTTAGAAAACCCTTCAAATGTCCGGGGTTTTGTATGAAGTTTCAAGTTTGTGTCACATGGACTTACTGAGTTAGAAGCTAGTAAAAGACACTCAGTCCGCAGTCGTGTCCTCTTTTGGGGATTCAGAATGTGGTCACCCTAAATAAAAGTTGGTTTTGGATGTGTGTAGATAGGCTATGGTCTCATGTCCCTATAAGACGCTGTCCTATATCAGTCCTATACCTATGTCCTATAAAAAAGAGGGACAGACAGGTGAGGAAAAGGAGGATGGTTCAAAAGTTGTAGGAGGGAACCGCTCAATATATCGTGATATTGATTTGAGGCCATATCGCCCAGCTCTAGTTCACCTCGATAACAATAAATGGACGATAACTACTCCACAAGCTGCTCACCCCCTCCCACATTAACTTTGTCTTGCTTGCTTCAGCAGCTTGTGGAGTAGTTATCGTCCATTTATTGTTATCGAGGTGAACTAGGGCAGGGCGATATGGCCTCAAATCGATATCACGATATATTGAGTGGTTCCCTCTTACAACTTTTGAACCGTCCTCCATCTCCTCACCTGTCTTTCCCTCTTTGTTACGGACTGGATGGGGTGGAGTCACGTCTCTGACGTAGGACAGCGTCTTAAAGGGACATGAGACCATAGCCTACCTACACACATCCAAAACCAACTTTTTTTTTTTTTTAACACTGAATATACCGATATGGGCAAAAGGACGTTGGTTATTGTCGTAAATTTTGGTATCGGTAAATTTTCGGTTTATCGCCCAGCCCTACATAAAGATATTTAAAGTTTTTGGAAGTTATTGTCTATTTATTGTTATCGAGGTGCGGTATCAAACTGCTCAATATATTGTGATATTGATTTGAGGCCATATCGCCCAGCCCTTAGATGCATCCAGTGTTTGCCTTTTTAAGAGCACTTAGATGTTGAAGTCAAAACAGTAGACCTCTTTCTTATCTATTTGATGTTTTAGAACATAAAACTTTTAGTTCGGTCTATCTCACGGTCAAATAAGCTTTTCAAAATCCCACAAAGAAATGTGTGGACGTCACAGATACAGGTATTTGAAACCTTCACCCACTTAGCTGCAGCTTTTACTTCTCTTGGCGACACTATGGCAACAAATCTAAACACAATCCAGTCGACAGCTTTACCAGTGTGTGTGCGAGATTTCATTTCTCCTTAAAGCGAGCGAGCGAGGGAGGCAGACAGCAGTGGGGTGTCAGGTTCTGCGCTGGCAAGAGGTTGTGCTCACGCGGCAGGAGCAGAACAAAGCGCCGGTGGCCCGGGATAGCATCCATGGTGCCGGGGAGTAAAGGCCCTGTGAATGGAAGCTGTCACTTCCACTCAGCGCTGCCTGTGATCTGAGCCACCCGGAACGACGCCCTGATAAGTGGCTAATCCCAGCATCCCCGCTGGCTCAACAGCCCCCCACTGCCATGACAACCGCGGGGGAATCTCCTCCAGAAACAACTTAATTGGATAATTTCCTCCCCGTTTGACTGCTTGTTCTTCAGCTTTGTTAAGTAAAGTCTAGGTTGTCTGAATGTGAGTTTGTTCTTTGACTTTGAGGGATGGAGAAGGTCTAAAAATGAGGAGACCGCGGCTTTTTTGATGTGTTAGCAGGCGGGGAGAGTGGAGAAACCACACTTGGGCAGACTAACAGGCCGCAGTGAGTGCTGAAAGTTGTTCTTAGCTCACCTTGAAGTGGGAAAATTGAAGAGAAAAACAGCTTCTGCTTTCTGCACCACAAACAAGCACCCACTTATAGCTCTGTAAACATTTATTGTCCTTTGTGTCGCGAGGGCTGACGATTTACGTTACACCCAGTCAAGTCCTGGGTCCCTGCATAAACAGACACTCCACCCTTCTCCCCAGACTGCAGAGACATGGGGGCCAGTGCCAGGGGAAGTCATTACACACTGTGTGTCTCTGTGTGTGTCTGTGTGTGTTTATGGGCAGCTACTGTAGTTGAAAAATGAAAACAGCAAGACTAGCAGGGCACTTTAGGAGGATGTGGACTCAGTTGCAGCTGGACAATAAAACTAAAAACCACACCAAAGAATCAAACCCTTCGCAGCACCCTGACTCGAATAAATGAGCTCATTAAAAGTGATTAATAAAGCCGAGGGACCTGACTCACATCGACGAGTCCGAGGGATCCGATTTCTTTACTTCATTTGGAGGACAGAAGCAGCCTTATGTAAGTCTAATGGAAATCACTCCTGTTGTAAAGTATCACTTGCACACATGTGTTGGAGGGAACACACACAGACTAGGAGACGGAGGGTACGGATGTGATAAATGAGCACACTTTAGGACAGAAGAAATAAACAGACGGGCAGGTGATTCGACCTTTTCTACAAAACCATTTCGCACTCCTAGACCGAGACCTCGTCCCTCTAAGAGAGTCTCAACAGTCTCTCATTTCCATCTTCGCTGCTGTAAGAGTCTGTCTGTTTAAACTCACCTTCCTCACAAGCGCTGCCGCTGTATCCCGGACAGCATTTCCACTCCAGAGAGGTCACAGTGCGGTAAACCACTTTGTAGGAAGGTCTGACCACGGTCCTGTAGCTGAAAAACACACCCAAATACTCAGTCGTCTACACACACGAGGGTAACAACAGCTGTCTTTGTGTGCAGAGTGAGACTGTTTCATGTGAAGTAAAAATACGTATTTGAGATATTTCTGGTTTATTATCACCGCTGCAAAATTTGCTCAAATTAGGTATGATATTAGTCTTGGTGGATTTAAAGTAATTTGTATGCACCATTATTTATTTTCCATGTAAGGAATAATGAAGAGTAAGCAGGTGGTTACTGAAATAATCTGTTTTTCTGTCTGTTTTTCACAGATGCAGAAAGTAACAGCTGTACCACAGAATGTAGGAGCCAAATATGTTGATGTGATTCCATAAAATGGGTTGTAGTCCACTTTGTGTGCCTTAGGTGTCGCTGACCTGTTATCATGAGGTTCAGGAATAAAGGTGGCCAAGTCACTGTTATAGGCAGGTGATCGAACCGGCAGGGTAAAAGATTTTTGACCGCTGTGGCGCTAAATGCCGGCGTTTTACTTCTTCTTCTTCATAATAATAATAATAATAATAATGATAACTTTGTTTTTATAGCACTTTTAAAAACAGAAATTTATGAAGTCCTTTGACAAACAATTGCAAAGCACAGAACATCAGCACATGGAAATAAAAACAAAAGCTCAGTTAAAAACAAGACCTCCACTTTGAAGGCCACTTTCATTTGTCATAAGAAATCTTCGTTCAGTGTCGCTCGATATCAATTGTAAAATGTCTTTTGTTAATGTTCATCTCAATAAATTCTTGTTTTCTACATCTGAGGAGTGACGTCCAAATTTCAATGATCATCAAAAACTCACAGCAGTGTGAGAAACCAGTAGCGCGGCGTGTCAACAAGGTTACTCTGGCTCAAGCATCTCAGTAGCTTAAAGTATCGACTAAGTTCCTACACAGAGTTTTTTTCACTGTAACTTTTAAGTCTGTTTTCTTCTCCTTCAACTGGTCCTGCAGCTTTGTTAAATCCCACACCATGTTGCTGTTTGGGGTTGTTTTGTGTATGTTTTCTCAAATTTAGTCGGTGTCATTTTCACTCAGATCCTCATTTGATTTTTTTTCTTCTCTCATCTTATTTCCTCTGCTAGTAACTGATCAGTCATTAACCAATCTTTAGTTCTCATGCTTACCAAACAAATTCAGAGTAACAGTCAGAAATATTCAGAGCTAACATTTTTGACACATGTTCAGTAGGAAAAGGTGAAATGATCAATAATTTAAGCCCGCCCTGGTGTTTGTAGATCGATTTTGTACGACCAATCAAAGTCAAGTTTTTAACACGGCGGATAATAAACAGAATCAAATGAATGTAAAAGTGTCAGAAATGTTGGCGGATGAAATTAGCCACCATGACCTTCTGACTTCTGTTTTACAGCCTGTGGTTCAGAAAAATACTGTTTCTATTTGAGATTATTAAAGCCAGAAGTTATAATATTTATATACAATATTTTTTTAACTACAAATAGCCAAACCCTAAAGCATACCTTACAAAGAGGCTTAAAAGAAGTGATTCAGACCAAAAACTCTGCAGAAAAATATGCACTGCGGTGGTAAAAAGGTTATTTTCTCTCTGCTTCTGCTGACTGCAAGAAAGACTGCACAGCTATCCCACTTTTGCATTGCCTTCCCTTTAAAACTCAAGACCCTAAATTGGGAGGAGTGTATGTACAGTATGACCTGGTTGTTGGTTCTGACTGTGACCCAAAAGTGTAAACATACAAATCTGAACATGGCATAAGCATCAACAACAAATGGTGATGCTAAAAAAGGTAGACGTTCGAGTGGAACTTTTTTGAGAAGGATGAGTCCATCACTACCGAGGGAACATAATATTTAACAGATAAAGTTCTCTTAGAGGAAGTGTAGTGTGACTCCTTAACATCTGGAGCTGCAGCAGCTGCAGTGATAATCTCCTTTCGCAGTCTCACCTGCCTCCTGTGCATCCCTGTGGCCAGCGACATGTTTGATAAACCCGCTGGAGCACCGTCCCATTCTGCACCTGGCAGGTCACCGTCTTAGTGACTGTGTGAGGACACCAGTTCCTGCGGGGAGAAACACAATGATGGGGGTTATAAATGCAGAAAAAGCAACAAAAGCAAATATTCGGAGTAAATACAACAAGGAGGAGCAGTTTGAAACACCTTAGGAAAGTAAATTAGCCATGCAGTCACACTCAGGGCGCTGTTTTCTTCCCGCAAAGTTTTGATTCCCCCTCCCTTCCTCCACCCTTTTGTTTTGGAGCTTCTTTATTGTGTTTACACGCTTTTAATCAGCCGTGAGATTTGCGGGAGTGCATTGTGGGCTGTATTTACACTGAGGTCATGCTATCAGTACACATCCGTTTGCATTTGTCTCTCGAAGGAGGTAAAGTCCTGAGAGGGGAAGGGAGAGGAAGACCAAGTCCTGTGTGGATTAGAGTTTTTCATCACGGGTTAATGCTGGGTCAGGAGTCCACTCCCTTTCTTCTTCCTCAGACATCAGCAGCAGGACTTTCTGAGGCTTTTATGAAGCGGGCCTCCTTGTGGGGAAAGCTTCTGCAAAGGTCAGAGGTTAAGATCTTATAGCGGGGAAACGATCATTGAGAGCATGAGAGAGTCAAGTGTTCCTACTTACACTCTCACTCGAGTTATTCAAGCAGCCTGTAAAGCTAGTTGCAGTGATTTCAAACAGGAGAAAATGCAGGTAAGAAGCAGAAGATTATGTAAAGGCCAAGGGTTAATTAGTTTTCTTAACTCTTCCATAAAAGCTCAGAGATCTTTCCGGCATGGTGGAAATATCTGCAGAGTGCAGAGTAGGGCTGGGCGATATGGCCTCCAATTAATATCACAATATATTAAGCAATTCACCTTAGGGCTGGGCGACAAACCGGAAATTTACCAATACTGAAATTGACAACAATAATCAACGTCATTTTGCCCGTATTAGTGTCAAAATAAATAAATAAATAGAGTTGGTTTTGGATGTGTAGGTAGGCTATGGTCTCATGTCCCTTTACGACGCTGTCCTACATCGAAAACGTGACTCCACCCCATCCAGTCTGTAACAAAGAGGTAAAGACAGGTGAGGAGATGGAGGGGCTGAAGTAGACAAAGTCAATTTTGGAGGGGGCGAGCAGCTTCGGGCAAGAGACATGCGACCATAGCCTACACACATCAAAACCAACTTTTATGTAGGGTGACCATATTCCAAATCCCCAAAAGAGGACACGTCTACACAGCGGCGAAGTCACAGAGTTGCACATAGTTAATCTTGAGAGTTTTTCGGGTCGGATTGAGTGTCCTCTACGCGCTTTCAACTCAGTAAGTCCACATGACACATAGTCGAAACTTCCACACAAAATCCTGGACAGTCCCTAAAAAAGAGGACATGTCCAGGTAAAAAAAGAGGGCAAATGATCACCCTATTTTATTTATTTACTTTTTTGACACCAAATATATTGACACGGGCAAAATGACATTGGTTATTGTCGTAAATTTCTGAATCTGTAAATTTTCGGTTTATCGCCCAGCCCTAGTGCAGACTTACTCTTCACAAATTTGGAGACCTGGATAACTTCTTGAAGCTGTTCAGGATATTATATGTTATATTCTAGTGATGAAGTGCACAAACAAACAGATTAGCTGCATATGGAGATGAGAACTGTAGAAAACTGCTGCTATAGGCTGTGTGTTTATCCAATCAAAAGGTGTACAGAAAAGAGGCTTTATGCAGAAACAAAGAGGACCGTGTGGCTCATAGCTCAAAACTACACTTTGTGTGTTCTGGTGCCAATGTGTTCACAAGAGAAGAGAGGGGGGTGTATCCCACTGGAGTCTGTTTGTCAATATGCAAGACCATATGTTTGTATGTGTGTGTGTGTGTGTGTGTATGTGGGTGGGTGGGTTTCTGAGACCATTTACACTAAAGGAAACTGCCAAAGGCGGGGGATGCCAAGCAGCCCCCAACTGCTCCTGTTAACAAACCGCACATGTGGTGGCCGTCGCACACCGAGTCCTGAGCGGAGAAAAGAAAAAACACCCTCAACAACATTCATGAAATAATCGTTTAACCTTCAGAAATAATGGTTTATTTTCTAAAATGCAGGTCAAACAGATTACGTTAGAGTCTGGCGGAGTGTTCTTCAGAGATTAACAAAAAGAAAGCAGCATTTCCTTTATTTCTCAAAGGTCAAACTCCCTAAGTTACTCTCAGATATCGACTTTCCTGCCTCCTCAGCAGACTCATTCTGCTACTGCCCCAGCCTCTCCACTTACTGGAGCTCAGACTTCCAAACAATATCTGATATTTTCGATTTAGGAGTCCAAACTGATCCTGCGATTGCTATCTTTGGCAAAGCTGGAGAAAAAAAACAGACTCTTTTAGGGAACCAATCTCGGAATAACAGAATGTGTAACTTTGTTAGCTCGGAGGCTGATCCTTCTCCAGTGGAAGTCCCCTTATTCCCTGAGCTGGACTCTGATGAAGCACTTCAGGGTTGAAAAACTGAGATTCATGATACATGAGTCCTCTGATAAGTTTGAGAATAACTGATAACCCTTTGTGGACTATAGAGAAATCAAGCTAAAATCACTACAAATCTACAAAAGATATTTCACATCCACAGTTTGGAAAATGGGTTCAAAAATGAGACATGTATGATTCGGATATGTTTAAAATATGTACCTGAGGATATCCATTAGGCCAGAAGACCACCCAAAAATGGAGACAGATCTTTCTGATTACACCATGATTACTTTCCCTTCACCAGAAAAAAACACTCTTGCCATGGGTGGAAAGTTTCAGACATTGAAGGAGCTGTGGTCAGGTAAAGCTGTGGGTGAGGGGAGGTGGGGAGTATGAACCCTAACTCCTCCCCGCCACTTATCCTCCAGACCCAACAGATAAACATCTGAGTTTCCCAGGCCGGGAGGAGGTTTCACCTGGGAACAGCTAAGATGTTCACCAGGGGGTATGAAGAAGGAAGTGGGGGTGGGTTTTATGGTCTCTCCCTCTCTCTTTGCATTGCACTTATGCAATTACCAAAGAGGAAATGCCAATCGCTGCTGCCCCAGTGAATGAAATAACAAAAGAAAGTTTACAATTTCACAATCGGCTTGAAACTAAAACCTGAGTGACCTGCATATCTCACCAAAACTCATTTAGACTTGATATGTTATATAAAAACAAGTCCGCAAAATCAATATTTTGAGGATCTAGATAGAAGAGGACAGACCTTTGAAGGATGATTTCATTGACTGGGTACAGGTAATGTTATTATCTTCTCTGGGAAGTGATTAGAAATCTGTCTCACTTACAAGCCTGAGGCAAAGACGGACAACACAATGGTCCATTGAATTTAGTCTGGATTTAATCATAAAGGGCCACAGGTGCTCGGTGCACTCCGTCTTTCACTCTAAAACGTTTCATTATCAACACCTTCCTCTTACTGGAGGCGTCCCGGTGTTATGAAGTGTGAAACCCGCCAGCACCACGCTGTTTCACAGGCAAAAGCACCAGGCGGGCCCTCAGAGAGTATCAGGTCTCTAAGCACACATGGCACATTCGGAGCGCTGATCCCCAAGCTAAATAAATCATCAACCATCTCTAGACGTCGCACACGGCGGCAGCAGCAGCAGCAGACAGTCGAGAAAGAAACACAATCTTTGAGGGACAGACACATCACAGCTTTGTCCCATCTGTTCCTCCGTGCTGCGAACGCTGCGACAGAGAAACAGGAATAAAAAAAAAACAAGAGTTAAAAAATTCAAACAGGAGGTTTAAAGGCTGAGAGCGGCACTTCAAAACCTCAAAGTAGACGTTTATGATTATATCAGCAAGCGTTTCTACTTCTACCTTAGTCAGACCCTTAAACTCTCTGATTTACAGATCTAAAATAAGAAACTTTTAGTCGCTTTCCCTTTAATCTCTCTCCTCTAAAAATAAATTGCTCTCTTGTAGTTACAGAGATCGGCCTTATTTCGCCTTGTAAGCTCTGCATTCTGCATCTTTCATGACCAAACGACAGAGTCAGCGCACCTTCCGCAGAAGCACAGGAGGAAGCAGCTCGGGTTTAGCTGTGGGAACTGACAAGAGGGCAAACCTCTGATGAGAAACATTCACGTTACTCCCTTTCCTGCCACCCAACCATTCATGTAGGGGGAGGAGGAAAAGGGCCAAACATTCAAAGATATGTTTGAAATGCAGAAATCTGGAGGAATTTCTCTCTGTGTGGGAAAAAATACAAAGGACAAAAGACGAAAGCGGCCAAAAGCCAGAAGAGAGGAGAAAAAAACAATGGTGATTGGATAATTAGGTGGTCACATAAGGGGAACTTTGAATGGGGACATAAAAGTGAAAGTAAAGACGGTTATGAAGCACCGCAGGTCCCACAGGACATAAAAGAGGGAGAAGATAAATGTGGTGCAACAACACATGACAAAGAGGGAAAAAGAGAGTGCAGTCACAGTGAAATTAATGAAAAGAGAAGAGTAGGACATTCCTGAAATCATAATCTGCAGCTCCTGACAGAAAAAGGAGGAATCAGGTGGTCTGGGAGAGAAGAGGGGTGTAAGGGTATCTGCTCCGTTTTTATTGAAGGATTTTAAAACGTAAAAGAGTTTCTGGGCCGATGATGAAGTGTGTTTTCTTCCACACATGGAGGACAGTGAAGATCATCAAAAGCAGAAGGTCTTTAGAGGTCATGGCTAAGTGCCTCCTCACAGCAGCCTCAGAGGAACAAGGAAAAGCCTCATTTGTCTCTGTCTGTTTGAGCTCTCAGGCATGGAAACCTCTGAGCCTTAAGTGTGTCTGCGTGTGACAGCTGTTTGCTGCTTCAACCGTTAAAAGATGGACGTAAAAAATGGATTCCCCCTGACTGAAGGGTTGAACATTATCACGTCCAGGACTCTGTCATGATCAATCATGTAGATCTGAGCTGATCACCTGCAGGAAACTCTGACTGGACTGGTCAGCTGCACACAGGCCCAGTCAGGGTTTATTTACAGTATTTTAAACAAGAAGAATCACAAGCTAATGCAAAGACATGAGTTCTACTAAACAATGGTTTTAAACGTTCAAGGGTCCAGACCGTCCTTGTATGAACAGATATAGATAGGGCTGGGCGATATGGGAAAAAGTTTATCACGATTAGGGCTGAAATGATTCCTCGAATACCTCGAGTACTTCGATTACAAATAATGATCGAGGAGTTTTCTCTGCCTCGAGTTCTCGTTTATAAGCTCGAATCGTCACTGTTTCGTACGGATTCTTTTGAAGGTGACACAATGCGCTTACGTCACCACGATAGAAGAAGAAGTAAGCGCTGTTTAGGTTTTGCAGAGCAGAAAAAATTAATGATGAGAGGGGCTTTTCATGCAGTGTTGCCAACCTAGCGACTTTAGCGACTTTTCAGACCCCCCGGCGAATTATTGTCTTTAGAGACATGATGAAAGTTAATATCATAATTAGCTTTCTTACGAGCATTGCAATCCGCTAACGCACACGCTTGTTCCGCGATTGTCCTCTATTTCTCAGAATCTGGCCTTCATTGCGGGGCTATAGGAAATCTAACTTTATATGAGTCTGAGGTTTGGGTCCAATTACTCAAGTCATCAATAGAATATTCGGTAGAATACTCGATTACTAGAATATTTGATAGCTGCAGCTCTAATCACGATAATCACGACTTGACTCTGCTTCATGTCTGACCTCAAAAAGCCAAAATAGCTCTACACCACCGATGTTTTCCTGGCAGTGTTGTCGACAGTGTCGCCATCTGTCTGGGGTAGTGCTCATTTTCTTGTTTTCTCACCGACAGTTCTGTAGGCTTCATGTGTTAAGGTGTTATGGTTACGTGTAGCTGCAGCCTGATACTACGCAGTTGTTTGCTACTTGCTTCTAATTCAGGACACGACAGCGCAGCGCGACCCGGAGAAACTCCCCTTTTCATTATTCGTATCATCTACCAAAACATGGCAGAATGCTGGCTATCGAAAAGCATATTGACCATGTTTCATACTGATATCAAGGGAAATTAATTTTTGATATTATCATTTTATCACCCAGCCCTAGCTATAGACTTGACATGTCCAAAGAATATGAGCAGCCACTGCAGAAAAATCAGTTTTGTTGAGCTTGGATCTTGAAGTCTCCAGGAGCATCTGATGTGTTGACCTCGGTGCTTTGACTCGAGCGTGTTGGTGCAACAGCTCAGATTGTTATGACGGTGCCGGCCAATGCAAAGTTTTGGAAACAAGTAGTCAAATCTTGAGCTGGATTCTGAAACTGACAGGAAGCCAGGACTGATGTAGTGTGGTCCTCATGTCTCTCTCTCGTGATCTCTCAGGGTAATTTTCTCAAACTCACTTGAAGAGGATATGCTGCAACGATTTTTTGAAGCTTGTTTTCATCAAAAATGTCGAGCTACAACTGAAAAGAAAATAGGAAAAGCAGTAAATGCTCCTTAAAACTCAAAATAAATGTTTTTGTTGATATTTGTTGATTCTTTGCAGCTCTTTGAGGGTCTCTGGTTTAATTCCTTGAGACTAGCCCAGATAAATAAATATTTTTCACCCACCAGATGATTATTAAAGGAGCAGTGCCTCCTAATATCTGTGAAAAATGTCCTTGAGAGCATACATTAACTGAAGCTCTTTGAACGTCTGGATCTAAATCCATTCTGCTTTAAGCCACTCAGGACTCAGCCTCCTGGAATCTCTGCCGTATTCATCCCCATATGCAAAGAAAGCGTGGACACGGTTATGATGGGTGAGGAATGAGGGTGGCCACAGGGTTCAGACTGCCTGTCAGACCATGACAAGTCCTCTGAAGAGGAGGATAAAGAAGCGGGCGAGACGAGAAATGAAGAAGCAGCTACCTCTTTAACCCGTCAATGTACCGAGCTCATACAGTTGTTAAGAAGGACAGGGGTGAGGGAACACTTTATCAGCTCCACCACAGAAGAGAAATTACCCAGGAGCTGCTAATCCCTTTGGTTTGGATAATCACTGTGTGAAGACAGAGAAAGACATTCTTGTTGAAGGTTTTCTTGTGATGGAATTCTTTGTCTAAAATTCAGATTCACTTCCTTTCAATGACAAGTTTCTGTCTTTGAATACAAAGCTGCAAGTGCTCATGGGAGAACATTCTTCACTCCAAAACTCACCGCCACTGTTCGGCATTGTTGACACTCTATAAACTCCCACTTCTAGGCCAGACAACAGCAGGTGGACGATGACACCGAACCCCCTCAAACCCGCTGACCTCTAATGCACCGACAGCAGCTTCAACTCTGTCTCATCCTGCGGCGCACCAACTGTAAACTCCTCCACCTTTCCCACAACAAGCCCAGATGTGGTCGAGTCCCAGCTGCATGTGTTTAGTAAACACATCCACAAACCTTTGACCGCGAGTGACAGGGGGATCTGAGCGGGGCAATGAGCCAGGGGAGGACTGAGAGCCACCTGAAAGGGGTCTCATGAAAGCAAAGGGGGTCTCAGGCTGCACACACTTATAACCTAAAAGATAAATATTTGTATGAGGGGAATGGTCTTATTGATGGTCTCCGTGCAAGAGGTAGAGATGGTTATGTGAAGTCAAAATGCAGATTCTCAAACATGCATCTTAGTGGTGTTAGAGGTAAATGCATATTTTCTGCTGCAGGTGAGATGGTGCACCCTGCACACCTCACGCAGAGACTAAGGAGGTGCTCAGAAGGAGCCGAACCGAGGGGAGGTGGGTGAGCTTGGGGACAACAATGAGGATGGGAGTCGACAAAGCAAAGTGTGCTGCCAGCACAGGAAAAAGGAAACAAACTGTCAGGAAGACAATGGGACATGGTGGATGGATGAGGATGGGAATAGCTCTGCAGGGTCATGCATGAAATTAAAAATACAATAAGTGACTCTTTAGGGTAAAGGTAAATGAAGACATACTGTGCATAAAAGAGATTTCAGTGCGTTATGAAAAGACTTTCAATATATCATAAAGTGACAATAAAGTGGTTCCCCTTACCTTTTCTGATAGACTGAGGTGTGAGAGGTTACAGTCCCGGTTGAGTAGGTTTTGTAAAGTCCCGTCTTCCAGGTCCCGTCCACAAATGTGCTGAGGCAGAGGATCAGCACGGTCCAAAGCAAACTTTTTCTGCACAGCGAGGACACGCTCTCCGGTTGGCGCGCTCCCATTTCCGTGGCATCAAAAGTACAGCCAGAAAAGTTTGAATGAGCCCGACTTCCCCCGGTTAGAAAGCAGACCGGTTAGTGAATCCAGCTCGGTGTGTGGGGGGGTGGGATTGTGTCACACGGTACTGGGTCGGCTGGAAAAGGCGCACATCCTATTCGTACCAAAAAGAAGTCTGACTCTACTTTTTTGAGTTAAATATCCCGTATTGATAAACTAAACTGAATTAAAAACACCAATGCTGCTCTAATCTACCTCAACCCGTCTATCTACTCTGTCTGCTCAGCCCTCCTCTGTTTGTTCGCTTGCATATCGAGCTGAGTCTCTCCTGCAGCGGGCATGAAAGCACTTTTATAGTCTCCTCGGGTCTTTTAAAAGCACAGCCTGCCTGCTGCTGCTGCTGCTGCTGGGTCTGTTTTACCCTGCCCCGTTTTTACCTCTCACAGTCAGAGGACAATGCACGCTGGAGGCGACGACGGCACATTACGCACATTGTTTTTGTTCTGAATGAACTACGACGAGCTGCCTCTCAGATGCCCACTGAAAAAACAGAGTCTGTTAGTGAACGAGTGGGTTTTGAGCCAAATTATGACTAAGTTCTGGATCTAAAACACTTTAAAAGTTTGGTTCATCATGGTTTGATGCTTTGACATTTATGGTAGGTGTAAATATGGGAGAGTGGGGTAAGTTGAGCCACCCTGTGTTGCTTGGAAATGATCAAAGAAGTTGATCATGTGACCAAATATGTTGGAGATGGTCATCAATTCATGGAGTCTGTGAAGGTTAGAAGCACATGGGTGAAGGGGTTAGAACATTTTTCACTCGTAAAGTGAATTTAGTCTGTCTTCAGTTTAATTAGAATTGTGTTCAAACCAAAAAAGATCATTTTAAATTTGTTTTATACATCAATTGTGGTATCTATGAGCTACAACATGAGGTCAAAAACGTAGTGTAAAATAAGAATAGGAATAACTTTATTGATCCCTGAAGGCAAATTAAATTGTCTGTCTTCTCATTTTATTCAGAAGATTCAGAAGATCTTTTGAAGATCTTATTTAGTCCACCATTTTAGCTTCGAGGACTAATAAAGTCATCATAGTAGTTCAGGGGTAACGGAGAAAGTAAAGGAGTCTGATGAGAGGATCAGAGTTTTTGTTCAGATTGTTGAAATGTTTTTACTTTTTCTTTTCAAAAATACAGATCTGTGAATGTTCTGAATCACTTAAAGACATTCTCATGTTAAAATGGCTTTTTACAAAACAGCTTTTTAGCAGGTATATACAATAATAATAATAATAAAAAGAATTATTGTACTAGATGAATGGTGTATAATAGATAAAAATACACATGAATGTGAAGAAGTGACTGTTATTTAGGGAGAGAGAAGGTGAGGGAGGGCTGGGGTAGAGAGTAGAAGTAGGGATACAGCTCAACTTACCCCGCTCCTATGGGGTAAGTTGACCATAGGAGACCACTTTTTTTGTCATGCTATATTATCAAGACAGTTATGTTTACACTCATTCTGTTGGTTTGCAGGGATGAACAACATCTTAAAATATATGCAGATACACTAGTTCGGAGACTAAACTATATTCGCCTTGATGTAGTGATCTGAAATGTGAAAAATGGCTCATCCTACCCCACTCTCCCCTATATCCTACTCTTAAATGGGCTGTGATTCTGTTTCTCTGTCAAAGCCATCAGAGTCCAGGCAGGCAGACAATGGCACCAGAACAGTTGAGGTTACTGTAAAGTCCCTGAGCCCTTCCCTGTGGGACATGTAGTTTTACAGTGCAAGCAGCCTGCAAACCACAAGGCTGCAGTCCGGCTCCAAACTAAACACCTGGTACTGCAACCAAAAACTTTGGCCCCGAGATGTATATCTGATCTGTGGCCGGGGTGACTGCACCTCTCAGGCCTCATGGAAGAGATGCAAAGTCTCCACAGCTGCACAAAGATGTTGCAAAGAGAACTTGAGCTGGTGTACTTTCAGTTATTCGGTGTTGACACTTTGACACTCACGTAAGGGCATTCGGACTGGCACTAATCATCCTCCCTGTACTTAAGGGAGAAAGCTTTCATGCATTTCAGTGGGGCTGTGTAAGCCCACCTGCTCTCAATCTCCACAAACGGAAACAGTTAAAGATCGAAGGGGAAGGGCTGGAAAATGATGTGTCAGAGTTTTTTGTTTCAGGGCACCCTCGGTATTTTACGAGTCCACTCTGCGCAGGCAACAGTGCCAAGCAGGAACTGGAGCACTTTGGGGTTAATATAAATCCCTGCAGTCACGAGCAGCTGAAAATAATTTTGACCTCTGAGGAGAGAGACGGGGGTCCGCTCCTTTGAGAGGTTTTTCCTTGAGTGGTTTCTCTCCCGCTTCTTTAGATTCCTTCCCTTTTATTGTGCAAACAGAAAGCTGAAGCACCTTTTGTCTGTGTAGGTGTGCTTTGACTGAGGGTCTGTTCACTCTCATGAAGTGATGGTTCATTAAACAGCACACTATTCTTTCTTTCTTTTCAACAGAAGAGACACAATTCCTCCCCTCCTGTGTTTGGTCGTAAACATGTCCCGATCTCCACTCTTTATGATAGTCGTACCAGTTCAAGCTGTAAAGCCTGTCTAACCTTTACTCAGTGCTTTTTCGTGGGGTGACACAATACTGTAGTAACAGAATAGCAGGACAGTGATCTCATATAAGGACTTTAGAGAGAATAGATTTAAGTTAATGCAACACTTCTCTGTATAGTTTACTTCAATTAAGTCTGGTCAGCATATGATTACAGCTGCTCTCTCACAAAGCTACATGATATATGTGTGACTCGTGCTATGGCTCAATGCTGTAGCAGGTTTAATTTCTGTGACCTCACTGCTACACCAGCTGCCAGATCCTCCGGGGGGCTGTTTGATTTTTAGAGTAAACTTCACCTGCTGTGCACGCTGACCTCAGCAGCCTCGATTACTCAGCGCTGCACCAGATCTGTTTGTAAAAAGTTATCATGAAGAATGCACTTCTATTTATTCTGCAGAGGAAAGCTGAAAAGCTACTCGGCTCAAGTGGAAAACTTCAGCGGCCTTTGGTCAGTGGTACGTTTTCCACTGTGCACAGCAGGTTTATGTTTTCCCTACAACCTCAGCATAAAAATAAGCAACTGATGTAATCTGTAAAAAAAGAGAAACGTTAATATGATTAAGCTGAGCCGCAAACTTTAATTAACCTCAGACTTTAATCTGATTGATTTAAGTTTTTTACACCAGTAAGAAATCCCTGGAGTTTCAGCCCAGAGTGAGGAGCTCTGACTTGTTGTGTGCTGCCATCTAGTGTCCAAATTGTAAAAGTAAAAAAGTGAAGAATGATCAAAAAGTCTGTTTGGTTTTTATATGTGTCTCTATTAGTACATCTTGAAGAACATTTAACTATCTTTCAACATCGATTTGTGCTTCCCAGTCAGAGGTTTCATCTGAAGGTACCATAAATATGAATCCAAAACTAACAGCATGAAAGTGAACCAGCTCAGTGATCTGTCTTCAGTCAGCGTTGAGGCATAAACACACTCCCTGGAGCACCCAATGTGAGATATGCATAGTGGTGAAAAGGTCGGCCTCAAACACCAACCCCACACCCATCGCATTCCTCCGTAAGGATGTGGTGTACACAGGTGTCCGCAGAGTATTCTGTGATACAAAACACACACACAAAAAACACAAGAGTGAAGAAAAAAATGCTTAAAAGTAAATGATCGAGAGGTCAGCAGAACCATTTTCCTCACCTGTAACCTGAGTCTGCGTGTCTCTATAGGGATGACTTTGAGAATGGGCAGTTCAACCACCAGAGCTTTTGGTTTACTCTTCACCAGGCAGCCTTTCTCTCCATCCCAGTCTGCGCCCTCCAGGTACAAACCGGACACAAAGCAGCCTGCAGAGGAAAAACACCATCATCAGTTTTTATCGCTCATTACTAACCATGCAGCAAAAGATGATTATTTCAGCACCTTGTCCAGGTCTGTCACTGATTTCATCCTCATGGCGATGCTGGGTCACTTGTGTGTACAGTGTGGAAAGATCTAGAGGCCAGCCGTTTTTTCTACAAGCTGCTTGGACCAGAGCCGTCAGGTAAGATTCTGGGATATGGAGTCCTGAGAGCCACATGACCTTCGGCTCTCCATTGTCCACCTGAAACAAATGAAAATGTATCCTCATCGTGTCTGCTGCCTTTTCTTTTTGTAACATTCATATTAATCTTTGATAGCGTGTCTGTCTTTACCCAGTAACTATACTGTTCAAAGCGTCTCCTGAAATGGACCATCCAGTTGCCGAGAGACTTGAGAGTGTCAGGTGCCAATTTCTTCCAAATGGCAGGGATGTGACCGTTAAACAGAGCCCGAGCGACTTCATCCAACTCACTGCTCATACCAACCTCACCAGCCAAAGCCTAGAGGACATGAAGTTAAGAGTTAGTTTTCATCAGGTATCAGGGAATGGGTCTTATTGTGTGCTCTCCCTCTCAGTTGTCATCCATCTCTGTGCCAGACCAGGTTCTCCCGGTTCCTTCTTTCTCACCCTTTGCAGCTCAGCCAGAGAGCGCTGCATGCGGACCACCAGTTTGTTAAAGCGCTCCAATTCTTGAAGCAGCACCACTGACGTCGGGGATATGTCTGTGCCGAACTGTTTCAGGATCACATCCATGTCGAATAACACGGGCAGCTTGTTCTGAATGTCTTGTGCCACCTGACCAATGTACTCGTCCCTGCTGACACTTCCTCCAGATTCCCCTGAGGAATAGGAGAGCATTTGAAGGACATGAGAAGGGAAACACTTGAGGCAAAAAGCATGAGGCGCAATGATTCAAAGGCACTACAGAAAATAGAAAACACTGCTTTCATGGTTGATCATTTGCTCTCAGATCAGTGTGAAGCTTGTTCTTCTGAGGTGTTACCTGTCTGAGGCTGCAGGTCTATGAGGTGAGCCCACATGTCTTTCGCTGCCTGTGTGTAGTATCCGATCTCTGCGTTGGAGTGAAGTCCCATTACCTCTGGTGTGTTTACCAGTGGCAGGGCCTCAATCTCATCTGTAAGGATAACAGGATAGAGCTGATAAGAGAGTCGCCTTTTTTTGTAAGGAAGAATAAAAACAATGAAAGTAATTGACCGAGGTATGTTGTCTTTGGCCCGTTTGGAGGGATCTTGTAATCGACATCCTTGTTGCTGAAGAAGTGGAACTCTCGAAAGGTGTAGAACAAGAAGTCGCCGAGGTATTCATCCATGTAGACAGTCAGGATCCTGCGGTCGAAGCTGTCGATGGCTCGCCCGCCATACATCACCTACATGTTCACATTGTCCGAATAAAAAGAGCTTAAAGCATCAACCAGACCAAAAAAAAATAACCGTATGATCTTTTCAATATGATGAATTCAGTCTGACCTCCCCAATAAGGTACTTCAGACTTCCCCAGGGAATATCGGCGTCTCCTTGATTGTGAGCTTTAGTGAGGTAGGTGTTCAGTATCTCCATACACACCTGTCGAGCACAGTAACAATATCTGAATTTTAAGCTTCTTGTTCAACTTGATTGATGTAAAGTATAAAACACCTACTAAGAAGTCAGACTCGTTAAAGTCGTACGGGACGTTCCAGCCGATTTTCCCGTACTTGCGTCTTTCTTGGACAACCGCATGGAAGAAGGCCAGTACATACACCAGGCTGCGGAAGGCTGGGTGTGGACATGCATTAAAGGTCCCATGGGGGATTTTAGAGTAAGTGGCTCTCATGTTCAGCTTGAGACCGTTGGGAGGCTCTGTCACCACCTGCACAAGAGATTAAAGCGCATGTAAACACACAGATCCTCTGCTGTTACTGCAGTTTTTCATCAATCATTTTCCTGTATTAAAAAGGAAACAATATCCTGTTTTCCTCATCTCTATTGTGCCCGTTATCGGAAAGTGGTAAATCAAAAAGTCAAAACAAAACACAGCTGAAGGGGAAATGTTTTTTTTACCTTTAGAGACTTTTGTAGTATGCCAATGGGAAAATCTTGGATGGGGTTGGTTGTGATCCATAAGCGGAAGTTAGGGTGGGGCTTGGTGATCCTCTCTAACGCCTTCTCCAGTTCCTTTAACCATTTGACCAGAAGGTGGCAGTTCTGTAGCATCAACCACAGACCACAGGCAACTGCCTTCTCCAGCAACTGCAGTGCCACCTGTACCACAGACGACAATATTACAGATAATATTTGAATGTTGCTTTGTGTGATTTAAGCTGACCATCATTAGGGTTCCTTATCTATGTTATTGCAGGGAGGTGTTAATTACCTTTTCCTGGCCTTGGCCCATAGCAAGGAACTTGAACTTGTGTCCTTCAAAGCCTGCCCTCTCTGATAGTTTCATGAGGTCACTTCCTGGGTCAGATCCAGGGCTCAAGATGAAGACAATGGGGGAGTAGGGTGTGCTCTGCTCGTAAATAGCATCATAGCTGATCACAGGAGGCTGTACATATCTGAGCGAAAATAGAAGAGACTTCAAACGTTAGTTCTTTTATATGTGTTGCTTGTATCCTCAGTAATCTTTGACCGAAGTTGTACCATGGTTTACATATTGGTACTTAAAAGTCTCACTTCTCGCCCATGGTGACGGTGACATAGTCGGTCACAGCTCTGTAGACTCGATCAACACGAAAGCAGCGCAGCAGCAGCAGCTTCTGAAAGGCTGACAGGCTCTCCCCGTATTTCATGGGGAATGGAACCTGTTCAGGTCCATCTAGGTCATACCACTAAGGAGAAGAGAACAATAGTTTTACTCTTAATGGATCAAGTGTAATGCCTCTTGTGATTCCTGTTACTGGGCTCACTTACAGACTTCCAGTCGGTGGAATTTTTCTCCACATCATCAGGCAGAGAGCCAAACTGCTCAGGAAAGAGCTCTGCAAGTTTCACTATGTCCTCCCAGCCCTGGTCTGGAAGCCAGTCACAAGGCTTTTTACGTGTGCTCTTTTCCAGTGACAGATTACCTTTACACGTGAGGAGGACATATCAAACAAAAGGTTTGGTCATGGGCTGCAACAGAGTTCATGTGCTGTCATTGTAATTAGCATGCTTACATGGGCAAAATTTCTTGATCCGATTAAAAATTTGAGTAATCGGATAACCTGAATCCACTGTTTATATGTTGTCTGATTTCGCTTTACCAACCGCAGGAGAGGGGTATTTACACATGTGCTGTCAACAAACCGACTAATGCGGTATTGGCTCACTCCATCTGATTCAGGAGTTTTCCCTCTACTAGATATTGTCACTAGATGGCGCCCTTGCGTACTTATTTTACTGTTCTGTCACAGGTCGCTCTGTGCGTGCAGATGTGACATCATTACACTGTATGTAAGCCTTGTTATGTTACCGGAGGAGCAGACACGGCACCTGCGGTTGTGTTTTATACCAGAGTGTTAATAATGAAACCTCCTGTACTGGCCTTAATATATAAGCGAAAGGCTAATGAGTGAAGATCGAGTCAGGTAAGAGAGTCACGATGGACGCGTTTTGGAATACCGATCGGCATAAACCACCCCTCTCGATCGGAATACAATTGCTTTCCGATTGAGCCGAATTGGATCAGAATCTTCCGATTGACCAATGTTCTGATCTTTACATAACGCAGTTTCATTCGATCGGGCATTTATTCCGATTATTTGTGCCCAAGTAAACGCAGCTACTGTCTCATATAGCAAGCATGGTCTAACTTTTCAGGATGTCTCACCCTTGATAAAAAACTCCAACTCCTCCTGAGGCGCTCTCCCCTTCGCTTGCTCTATCTTGATGGTCATATTGAAGGAAAAGAGCAGCTTGTGTCTCTCAAACAGACCTGAGGACATGTGGTAAGATCAGTAAACTTGCCAAAATAATCAAAGTAAGTAATCGCACAATTCAGTCACTGTGATGTTACCTGTGCATCCATAGTTGTACACACTGTAAGTTAGAGTGTTCATGATGTTTTCCAGTCTACGAGGCAAAACTGAGTCAGGTAGAGACTTGCGCAGAGAAAAGTCGAACACTTCCAGGTAGGAAGCAAGAGAGTACTGGTACATGCTGTTCACCAGAGCCATTTCAGTCAGTACGAAGAACAGGATGGCACCACGCTCAGCTGCAGGTCTGTAACCATCTCTGAGTTTATCAATATCCATAGATGTCTTCTCTGCCAACTTTAGTTTCTCAAATACCTGGGGGAAAAAACTGAATTAACGTCTTCAGTAAAATTTAAATGTTCACAGTTGCACACTGTCGACAAACCGACCTCGCTTGATTTGGACTTAGTCTCCTCTAAAGTGTAAACCAGCTCAGTGTTATCCAGCATGTTCCCTGTAGACATGGCCAGCTCTCTGAGCAGCGAATCCCCGAGGTTCTTCAGCAGCTTCTTATTGTTGCTCGTCTCTTGGATCAAGTGATCACGTTGCTCCTCCAGCTCCTTCTTCTCAAAACCCATGATCACACTCAGCAGCTGATCCTCCAGACCTTTCAGGGTCACTAGAGATAATACAGAGACAATAAATTTATATACACGATGGACAGAACATCAAACATATACTGATTCAGTGGCACACAACAAACTGTGGTTGATCATACCGGTGTAGTTAATGACCATGGCTTTTCCAAACACTGATGGGGAGTATCTGGGGTTAGCCAGCTTTGTATTGAGGTACATTTTAAAGTTGGGATCATAGTTGACCTCCTTGTCCCCCAGCATGATGACCTGTCTGCCCTCTGCTCCTTTTACGTTCTTCTCCAGGACATTGTCAATGACAGGGTCGATATACTCATCCACATCTTGAAAAAGGAATGGAAAGCCATATTTTATGGCCATCTCAAGGTGCTTCAGGAAGTCTGGGTCATTAAAAGATGAAATCTGGGGACAATGGACACAATGTCACACACTTGTTGTTGTCAGCAGTCATTTTAGAGCTCAAGAGTGAAAATGCAATATTACTGGTTTCTACACGACAGTTTTATACCTTGAGGTTGTTGTTTTCTTCTTTCTTCTTGATCCAGTTGAGGGCCTGTTGTTGAGGGTCGATACACATTGGAAACCGGCTTCCTCTGGTTGTGAGGATTCCATTTTGCACTGACAGTTCATCAGGAGGTAAGCCTTCTGAGCCCCATCTGCCATATAAAGTATATTCAACACAAAGTTAGCCTTGCACAGTGTTAAAGATATTTGAAACAAGCATAATCCCTTCTACAAAGAATGAGCTTCACCTGCTGATTTCGACCTCATCGGTTAGAAGGTTTTCAATTCTGAAAGGCTGACTCAAAGGGACGCCTCTCTCTTGTACATCTTTAACCCACACTTGGTAAACCATTTCATTCCTAAAAACCCAGCTGAAGGCTCCTTCGTAACTCAGGAAAGCAGCAGATATCAGACAGTCACCCAGGAGGCGCACACGTCGCTGCCGTAACTCCTCCAAGTCTTGTGTCCACCTAGGTGGGCAGAAAAAAGGGAAAGGTGGGAAAATAAGGAGGCGAAGAAAATGTAGGGGGTTAACTAGATGCATAGCTGCAAGTGTTGTGTCTTTTTCAGTCTCACCGTTCATTCTCAGAACTCAGGCCTGAAATAAGTTTGTCAGCTGCTATCAGCCTCCGCTCCATGACCTCAGCCTCCTCTTGCAGAGTCTCCTTCTCAAAGATGGCAGCATGGTACTTGTCTCCAAGAGCGCCCAACTCTTGCTGGAGATCGCTGAGCTCACGCTGAATGCCCTCCAACTCGCGCTTACTCTGAAAGAAGTTCTTCTCTAGGCGTGCCACCTGAAGAAAATCAAATATTATCCTCATCCTTTCCTCCTTACACAAGAGTGTAATGAAGTAGCACTTATACACGTTACATTACCCTCTCTCTCTTGGGTTTGATCTCCCTGGCAACATCACAATATCCCACGATTGCCTCAACAAACTTTAGCATTCCTGCACCGGCCCTACTTATGCCTTGCATCTCTTCGAAGCTCGTCTGGAGATTTTTCAGGAAGCCTGACCAGACAAAGGCATACTTATCAAATGAAAATGCAACTGGTATACACAGTGCATTGTGTTGTACACTTGTGATCATGAAGTCAACTTACCTTTGACGGTCCTGACTTGGTTGTTATTTATAGAATCAGGGTCCATTTCCATCAGTGAACGCAAGAAGTTAGCTTCTGACATCATCCCCTTAGCTGCCTGCCAGCTGACCTCCTTGTGGCCACGTATCACCAGGATGCATTCACAAACCACCTGCACCTGTTTGGGTGGTTTGGCAAAGGATCTACATAATAGTTATGAACAGGAAAGGCAGACAGAAAGAAAGGGAAAGATTCGTGAATGGCAAAGTTTCCTTTTTTGGTAAGGTACAAAGTCCTGCTTTTGAATGATGGATCAGTACAAACGATTAAACCTTCTGAAATACTAAACAAGGTCTATTTTCAGCATCAGTTTTCTTTACAGGATTTTCATATGGATATCTAATTACAGAAACCTTTTCATCTTGACCAGATCGCAGTTTTTTTTATGCAAAGTGAAAATAAGTTTCTGACTGAGGAGGAGATTTTACCGGATTTCTGTGACATCTGATTTTTCGAGGTCTTGCAGGGCCAAGCTGGCTGCCTCTAATGCCGGCATAGCTTCAGCCAAGGAACTTTCAGCCTCTGTCTTCTCAACTGCAATCACCTTGTTCTGCTCTTCAATCTCTTTGGCCTTGTCTTCTGCCAGAGTCTTTTTCTCCTCGGCTACAAAAACACATCATTAATAAATGCTTTGCAACAACTGTGTTTGACAACATAACCCACAAAATACTGTTTCTGGTACAACTCGGCTAAAGGATGCACTGACCTACTGCTGTGTTTGTAGTAATCTCATTCAGCAGTGCCTCACAGGCTGTGGACTTCTCAGCAAGGACCACCTTCTGATCTGCTAGTTTGACATTCAGTGTCGCCAGCTGTTCACTGGCCTCCTTCAGTTTGTCCAAACCTCCCTCCAGACGTTTGCACTGAGCTGGTGCAGGAAAAAGGTAAGATTTTGAAATCATTATAAATATATGAATACACAGCAGCTGAGCGCCCTCCATAGCAGGTGCTGGTTAGTTTCTCACCCAGGATACATTGGTCCTTCTCTTCCAAGAGGGTTAAATATGTATGAATGAAGTCCAAGTAGTTCTTTGGAGTAACAAAGTTGCAACGTCTGAGTTTCTGCAGGAACAGTTTGCTGTAGTCACCCACAGAGCTGTGAACCATGCACACATGAGCTATCACTGCTGCAGAGTGAGCCTCAGGAATCATCGGACTTTCCCCTGGACAAAAAAAAAATTAAAACTCTTTTAACAGGAATCCTGCTGTAGTTCTTTACATCAGACAGATAAAGATGCAAGTAAAGTGAAGCTCCCTGAAAGATATTTATAAAGATACAATTCCATTAAATTACACACCAAGGAAAGACTGAGCCACTGCAAGTAATGCCTGCGGAGGCCACGGCAGGAACCAGTCTATCACAGTGTTATTCATCAATCCTGCAAAAACAAACATAAACACAGTTTAGCTGAGAGAATTAGGAGTTTTACTAGAATCACGTAAAGCTTAGCACTAACTGTCACCTGGGAAGTTCCTGCAGCGTGTCCTTAGGGTGTCTCCTACTGGAGACATGCCTAAAACAATATGGAGATTGTTGGCGCTTTTGTTGACAAAGTACTGCCATACACTCTCCTTAGATGGACCTGATCCCATCTTTAGAGCCTCATCACGCAGCTGGTTGAGAACCGAATCTTTCTCATCGTCGGGAAACAACGCAGGAACAATGCCTGAAAAATCACAGCATGATCAGAATACCACAGGTGTAGCTTTGATTAAAGATAAATGAATGAATGCCAAGAGGTCAAAGTGATGTCTAACCTGAGGTGAGCATGTTGTTAATGAGCTCCAGGAAGCCTTCCTCTGCAACATGGGCGTCAGTGAAGAGGAAGACTGTTTTCTTGTTTTCAATTCCAAGCTTCAGGTAGAGCGTTTTCAGGTCCTCCCGGAGGTTAGACTCATTATATCCTCTGCTTAGTGTTATCTCAAATACCTAAGATAAGCAGATTTTGTTAGCAGATGGTGGAGATTTATCAAAATGATGTTTTTAAACAGTAATTTTCTGTTTCAGCTTCTGAAGTAGATGCTCTGAAGTTCAAAGACTGATTCCCATCATCGCCTAAATCAAAAAGTCATTTTCTCTTCGTTCTTATGGTTCTACGAAACTTTAAACATACTGATTTAAAAGTAAAAACTACTGGAGATCTCATCCTAATTCCTGACATTTCTATTTGTGTTCATTTTGCGCTGCATCGTAAGACTTTCCTCTTTAAAATCTTAAGAAAATCTTTGCAACAACCTCACAGCCAGCGGCAAAGGCGGCGAGTTTCGTGAGGGACTGCTTGCCCGAGCCCCCGACACCGACAAGCAGGGCATGGCCACGATCGATGCGGATGATGCGGTGAACTCGGGTCAGATGTTCCAGAGCGTCGTCAAATAGAACGAGGTTCATCCTCGACTTGGTCTCATTGTATTCCTCAAGAATCTCCTGCAGGTTGTAAACAAATCTATCTTTTAGGTATGTCAGTGAATAATGCCAGAGATTGTGGAAATATCACGGCAGAGGTCAACAACTTGAATCATTGAAATATTACTTAAAAAAATACACAAAGGCTCCTCATAACGGTTAATAACTTATCCAATAATTAGATTGAACCTGAAAAAGGGCTTTTGAAGCATCGTAGTCCTGCATGTCCTCATAGACCCTCGGTTCAGTCTCACTGAGAGCTGTCCTGTAGTCTCCAAACAGAATTGGGTCTCTCATGACTGCCTCCAGATCTGACTTGAAATGCTCCTCAATCAGGTTCTTCAAGTGTCCTTGGACCTGAAGGTCATATCAGGGACATTTCCAAAGAGGAACACACAGCTGTTTCACAGTTTGAAGAATAATTATCGATAAATACAATAAAATATGTTATTCTCAGTCAAATTACCAAGGCTTTGTCAGTTTTATCGATGAGTCTGTCGTGAAAGATTCTCAGACACTCGTTCCTCCAGACACGCACAAACTGAGTGACGGTCAAAAACCTGTAAGAAGTAAAGTAGAGCAAAGACATGAAGAAAGATGACCCTCTAACTGCGTTGTCTGTTAGTGTGAGCACTAACCTGTCTGGTTTGGTCAGAGTCAGCCCGTTGTACACTCTCGATAGGTCCCGTAAGTTAAAGATATAGTGGAACTTGGATGGAGTGGGTGGCAGATCTTTGATGATGTTGCTGTACAGCTCCAGTGTGCAGGAGGTGACTGTATCACAGACGTTCTGTATAGCATCCTCAAATGTCTGAAATATTTAATGAGTCCAATAAAACACACTGGTTCTAGCACTTATTGATTTATGTTGTAATGAGGTACTCACTCTGGTGTGACCTTTGAGAATGGAGGCGTAGATGAGATGGAGGGACTCCACTGAGGGGAAAGGGATGCTGAAGACACTGAAGAGGGAGACAAACCGTGGATCCACCTCATTTCTCCCACCTCCTGCCTTTCCCATGGCAGCGATAAAGCCAAGGTCCTTCAGGATTTTATAGTTGAGCTCCTTCCCTCTGTCATATATGCCTCCTCGGTCCAACAACAGCTTCAGGAGAGCGATCGGCTGCTGTGTGCCGTAACTATCCACCTGGAAACGCACAAGGCATGAGCCAGTGATGTCAAACACACAAGTATCACAGATAGTGGACTGGATTTAGAGCTTAGATTATCTACCTTTGGCATATTCATGTCATCCATGAAGACCAGCAGTCTCTTTCCAATGGTGGGCCCGTAGACCTCTTTGGTCCTTTTCTCCACATTGGCCTCCAGGTTTCGCTGCAGATCCATGGAAGTTGTCCTCGATGAGAAGTTGATCATCAGTGTAATCTGGGAAGAAGAAAAGAAAAGTTAGACTCAACTGGCGTATCAAAAATGTTCATGCGATGACGGTTAAAAACAAACCTACTCTTGTATCTGCATTGAGGTTCTTCAGGAAGTTATGGATGGTGGCCGTCTTAGAAGTGCCAGACTCTCCAACCAGAAGCACCGGCCTCTTAATTTTCACCATCTGTTCCAGGATCCAGCTGGTTCGTGTGGTGTCGATAGTCGGCACTAAAGCAAAGGTTGACGTGAAGAGAACCAAAGTGAAAGAAGTCGTGAAAAACTTCAAATTATATGTGTCGTGGTCGTACGTATGTGGGACACAGAAATGACCTTTACCTAGAATATCAGCAAACTTCATGTCAGGGTTGTGGGTAAATTTGGGGACCAGTGAACTCCAGGGTACCCACTTTTCCTGTTCACCATCAAAATGAAACTCATACAGAGTTGGCAGGTATCCTGGATGGATGAAGATATTTTGTTTTTAAAATAACAAAATATTTTCCTTATTTACTCATTCTTCAGACCAAATTCTTGTGTTGTACCTGGTATCTCTCCGGGTCCTGCCAGGCTTGTCTCATCATGCACTGTAGTCAAACGGGAGAGCTTTTTGATGAACTCATCGAACTTGAGCCTGCTGGGCTCCAACAATGTGGCCCCCAGTGAGCAGTACAGAGCCTCCAGGAAGTAACACTCCAGGACGTCAGCACTGCTGGCCTCACTCTCGAGCAGTGCATCCAGAGTCAAGCACAGCTGAGTCACCTGAACACACAGCCAACACACACACACATTTCATCTGAGTGCTCTGTATACGGCACCAAAATAACATTTAAGCACATAACCATTCCCACTTCATCTGGGAAGGGTGAGGTGGACCTACCATGTTCAGATCCGTCTGAGGTACAACAGTCTTTAGTTTCTTGCCCTGTTTGCCATCAACAATACCGTCCACGATCATGTCAATAGAGCTGTGCACATATTTCTCAAACAGGTTGTTGAGCACTTCTTGTTCCTGGTGAAGACAAAGACAGTGTTGAGATCTTATCAGACTATATAAAAATGTGCATAATTCTCTTTTCTTACCCCAACAGGTTTGTTGTTCACCCATCTCTGCCAATATGGGGTGTATCGTAGGTTTTTTGGGTCCACAAAAACCATCCCGCAGCGGGAAACAGTGGCAGGAGAGGCGTACTGAAGATCTCCAACCTGAAATTATTCCATCAAGCTCTGAAAGTTGCTTTATTGAAATGTGTGAGGAAATACAGACTTCAACTGAAGTTCAGCAAACCTCAAACAGAAGAGCACAGTGACTCTGTAATCGAATCCTCTCTCCATTGGCAAGTGTGAGGAGCTTATTGTCATCCATTACCGAGTTCATGTTCTCCACCCACAGGGCATCCACATCCCCATCAAACAGGATGTACCTGTGAAACAGAGTGCAGGTTTTTTTTCTTATTGTAATTCCCCTCTCTATGTAAATGGTTGTAAATCTGCAAATTAAGTTATTAATCAATGTTTCCTCTACTCTTCTCACCTCCGCTCCTTTTTGTCAGTAGGCTTGTTGATATCGCGGAAGATGTTTGATAAAATCCCGTCAGTCCAGTCTCGAGTGTCCGGGTCCAGAATGCCATAAAGCTCAATGACACTCATGGCTTTAGGGTTCAGAGGATACAACTTGGTATGCAATCCCAATCTGATAATGAGATAAATACACTTTTTACAGTCTACAGAAAAAAACAGGAGGGTGGTAAAAAATCAAGGTATGTACTCTGTTGGTATGTACTTTGTCTGAGCTTGACATAATGTACTGATCACAACCGATTTCCCTCCACCTGTTGGGCCAACAACCATCGTGGTGTGTCTGGTCATCATGGTTTCATACATCTGCACCACTTTGTCGACCTGAAACCACACAAAGCCCGAATACCTTTATCTGTATCTGTGCAGGAAAAACGAGTATCTAAGAGAATCATAATAAAATCTCAGACCTGGTTGGGAAGTAAAACATATTTGTTGTCTTGTAGAATCTGCTCCACAGCATCGTTGAAGTTCGGATAGCGAACACGGGCGCAGTCCAGCCCGGGGAACAAATCTGAGATCAGCCCGAGGAACAGAGGCACATCCTCGAACACAAACTTTGGCAGGTTCATGTCTCTCAGAGCGCGCATCAACACCACATCCTGTGAAGATGAAAGATGACAAAGTGAAAGAAGAAGAAATGATAAAAATATATTAGAAGAAAAAAGGTGAGGAGAAGAGAAAAAGTTCTGATTTATTATATGACAAAGAAGCATGTTTACCTCACTGAGGTTTGGGGAGCCTCTCTTCAGCTCTCCTGCCATCACGAGGACAGACTTCAGAGCTCTCAGACCAAAGTCATAATGAGACTGTTTGGACAGCTGCTCACGGGCCAGCTTATACAGAACTGTCATCTTCTTTGCCAGGACCTAAAGTAAACAACAGTGATAAAAGCCTCCATAAGTTAAATTATATCAATTATTTCATTTAATGGTACTCCACTCCTTAATATTAACAAAGTCATTAGTGTTCGGTTTGTGTCCATCACCTTGGCCATCAGGAAGCCCTCAGAGAAGAGCATGATCTCACAGATCTGCTGCAGGTCAGGCACGATAACCACAACCGGCCTAAAGAGAGCTTTGACCGATTCTGGCAACTCCGTGCGTCCCGCGTAACCTGGGTTCATGGTGATGAAAATTCCCATGCGGTCATCTAGGCTGATCCCTTGCCCTTCAAACTAACGGTAACAGAGCAGTGATCGCAGAGAGTGAAATTGGAGAAGATGATAAAAGGAGAAAAAAGGTCAACACTGCTCAAGTTTGACAATCGAGCAAGCAAACACAGTGAAATGAAAAGAAATCCTTTTAAAATAATCTTCAGTTTCTATGAAGTTTTCTACGGAAGCCCTAAGCAGACATGGTTTATTTATTTATTTATTTTACCCCTGTTTTCTCGAGTTCACAAGATAGTTTTTACGCATCAAGAAGCACCAGAGCAACAGCCTAATAGTGATGACCAGGAATAATTTTGGGGTGATCTCGTCCTGTAAAGTTCAGAGGGTGTGCATCTTACCCCGTGCATTTTGTGCTGTCGCAAAGGGGAGACACCACGGACACGTACAGTGATCAGCCAAATGTTTCTAGTCCATCGCAAAATAATTCGTAAAAAAATAAACAAACCATGTCCAGGAAGCCTTGTTGTCTTGAGATCACGACAAAACTATCTTGTGATCTCAAGAAAACGGGGGGTAAAAAATAAACAAACCATGTCCGCTTAGGGCTTCCGTAGTTTTCAGTTTATGTTTTAAAAGTTCTTTATAGCTACAACAGACTTACATGAAACCTTTTAAGGTGCAGGATCAGAGCATTGCGGATTGTCTGGATTTGAGAAGAGATCACTGACAGGACAGAGGCGTCGATACGGTTGAACTCATCAAAACAGCCCCAAGCTCCACACTGGGCGAGTCCAGAGAAGATCTTACCCACAGCCTGCAAACACAGAGGAGGCAAATGACACAAATAACCAAGACCGTCTGTTTTGTAAATGAAGACTTCAAAAACCTTTAAAATGTGAAAAGGTGGAGTCTATGTTGAGAAACCAGAAACCATTTTGAGTGCGGTTTTCTTACCATATAGTCCATCCCTTCACCGCAGTTTGTTACCACACACAGAAGACCTAAAGCTTTAGCCAGATCTTTAGTGGACTCTGTCTTTCCTGTACCAGCTGGTCCAGCAGGAGCTCCACCCAGGTACATAGAGAGGGCCTTCATAACAAACATACATCCACATGTAACCATAATGTCACCACGCCTAAATGTTTACGAACTGAGAGTTCAGTTGATAAGAATGACCTGTGTGAGGGTGAGGTAGATTCGATCTGTCAGGGGAGTTATCACCAGTCGGCCATTCAGCCCCATGTATTCGTAGCCGTAAGAGAAGGTGGCGCTGCACTGATGCACAAAGAGGTCGTCATGTTTCCGAGTCCAGTAGAACTTGAGCTGGCTCTCCCACTCAAACTCTCGTGCATCCATTATACTGGAGAAGGAACACAATTTCAATTATTCATTCAACTACATGAGTTCTACTGAGTCAGGATCAGTTCAAAACAGAATTTACCTGTTCAGTACAAAGCTGTCCACTATATCTCTTGCATGAACATCAATAATCAGCACGGTGTTGATTTTCTTTCGGTCGTTTTTCTTCAAAGGTTGAGTTATTCGTGTTACCAGCTCGTCGATTTGTTGGTGCATTTTTTTGGCGTAGTTCTTCAAGGCGTGCTTGTCTCCTTTCTTCACATTTTTAAAAACATCCTCCACCTCCCAGGTCCACCACACCTGATTTGCAGCCAGCACGACCATGCCCTGGTAAAGCAACATCCAGTCCACCCTGAGAAAGATGGGAAAAGGTAAACGGATCATTTACACAAAGAGAATTAAAAGACAAAATTCACTGACTCATGTTGGATCTACATGCACCTGCTCCTGTCTTCACAATAACGAAAGATCGCCTCCTTAGTGATGAGTCTGTTGGTTCTCCTCATTTCATGCAGGACTCCCGTCATCCACTCCTCCACCCGGCCCTCGACTGGAATGGGCTTCTTAAGCTCCATCACTTCACCTTCAGCAGACACCATGGCTCCAGCTACTGTTTCCCCACCGCTGTCCGCATCAAACCTCAGGGATGCTATGTTGTCGTACATCTTTAAGAGCAAAGAAAACAGATCTGTGAAGAAAAATTCTTCAGAGACACAAAGAAGAAGTGATCTTCTGCATCTCGAATACCTTAATCATGTGCTCCTGGACACAGGCAGGGTCACTGCTTCCCAGAATGCTGAGCAGCTCATCATCAGAGATAAAAAAGAAGCGAGGAAATGCATTTCGCTTTGAGTCCAGGTAGTCATTCAGACTCTTCTGGCACCTCTCCAGACCGTCACTCAGGGCCTGCAGGTCTGTTAGCCGGTTAGGGACCAGGCAGCTTTTCCTAATGTTCGGAACCCTCACTGTCTCACTCATAATCTGCATGAAAAATGAAGTAAGCACAGTTATCTTAAGATGCCATGTGACAGGGTCATTTGTTTTCATCCGCACTGTTACTGTGAAACTTACATCTCTAAATCTTTGATCAATTTTATCAAATTTCTTGGCCTCCTCGGGTAACTGTGAGCGAATGTCTCCACCGATGAATATGCTCTCCAGGTACATCCATTTTCGTTGCACCAGCAGCCAAACCTGTGTAAGAGTCGGTTTTCAGTGAGGTTTAAATAAGCAGCTGCAGCAAGATTTGAGGGATCTGTACGAAAGAAGATGAGGGCCACATGAAGAGAAACAAAAGGATTTCAGGAAGGAGATTAAAGTCAACATTTTGAGGTTACAGTCAAAATTTCATCTTAAAAAAAAACCACAATTGTGTCAGTAAAGTTGAAATCTTGAGGTTAAAAATTCAAATTAGAGAATTAATTTAAAAGTTCGAGATTAAAATTGAAATTATGAGATTAAAGGTAACACAAATAGTCTACACAAATAAAGATTAGGTTATTGGTTATCGATGGTTACACCTACATGCTATTACAGTAAGGCTATTGTTGTATCGCAAGACAATAAGACAACTAATCAAGTTGATTGATCCTGAAGGCGTGTAGCAAAGACAATCCCGGAGTCTGAGGCACAGGCAGTACCAAAGCTGAGGACCCAATGCGCTCTGGCCCATGGATGGCGATGACAAACTTAAGCCAAACAGCATTTCACTTAGACTTTTTTCAATTTCGTCTTTCATCCCGAAATGTAAATTGAAAAAATCTCCCTCCAGTAATAATTTTTTTTCTCTTCTTGTGGCCCTAATCCTCTTTCATAGATCTGGCTGACCTCTATCGTCTCACTGATAAGGGACAGGTCTTTTTCCCATTGCTGAATGGGACCAAGGAAAGGCCCAACAAAGCGGCTGCCTGCCATGCTCTGTAGGTTCATGGCATCGTTGTCCACATTCAGAAGGATCTCATCCACAGCACCCAGAATCCTGCCCCGCTTCTCAGTGCCTTTGACATAAGGCTGAATGCTGAACTTCATGTTTTCCCAGGTCTCCACCACCTCGTTCATACCCTGGAAGCCCAGATACAAACATACAGAGACAGAGTTTAGTAATCGTACATGATGTTGTTGTTACGTCTCATCTTTAATTTAAGTTTAAATCACCAAGACTGAATCTTACCTTCTCAATGCCGAGCTCTTTTACAGCAGCAGTAACAATGTCACCAATGACATTTGCATGTTTGTGCAACTCCATGGCAAACATGTTATCCAGGGTGAAGCTGGCAGGGTTCATCTCAAAGCTGGTTCCGGTTCTTTCCATTAGGTCTTTCCAGTGTCTGTAGCAAAAGACAGTCCACACACACACACACACACACCCAAGGGTTTAATTTCACTTCATCTTGACACATTTACGATGTATTTCACATCTTCTGTTATTAATTGTTCACTTCTGTATCTCAGATTTATCACACTTGGGTTCTGGGGACAGACTGACCTCTCTCTGAGGGCCTCGTTTTTCAGGTCCAGCAGAAGAGGCAGGGACTCCTTGAACTCTTTTAAACGCCCCTCGAGGAAGAAGGCCACAGGTAGACCTCGCACATCTTTGGGCAGCCGCCTCAATCTCTTGGTGAAACCCTCAACACCCTCTTGTAGGAGCTGGATGTCTAAGTCAACCCATAAGGTCTGAGACCACTCTGCTTTTGCATCCTGAAAGGTACCAGGGAGAACATAAATACAAGTTAAAACCAAAACGGATGATACACATCTTTAGCCCAAATATGCAACTTTTATTTAAATCTGTCAGCCACCACATCTGACCTCCTGAGCTTTGAAGACGTCATATATCTGTCTCAATCCTGCTAAGTCCTTCTGCATGCTCATAATCTCAGGGTACATGGTGATCGGAATTTCCAACAGCTTTTCTGCATTTGCTAGCTCCTGTCGATCCGCCACCACCTTGGCAAGGTCCGCCTCGTATTTCCTTAAAATGGAAAATCCTGCAAACAAAAAAATTCTTTGTTTTTTTTCCCTCTCTACTGAAAGCACCAACACTACGTCTGTCTCCGTTTGAGTCAGAGCGCTCTGGTACCTTTGTCCAAGTTATCTCCCACAGCACCGGGACCATGCATGTTGAAGCTTTCAGCAAAAATGAGCAACTCCTGCTTAAACTCTTCCGTGTTCTCCTTTGTTGTCTTGAAGTTTTCATGGAAGGAAAAAAAAGGGAAATGAGCGACGAAAACTGATTAAAAAAAGAAAACAGAATATGCTTTTTATTTTTTGTTTTGATGGTCTGATGTCTTACTTCGGTAAATAATTTCTTGACAGGTGCCAGACCTCGGTCCACTTGTCTGGATTCTGCACACAGATCACTCCAAATCTGGTCAATATTGGCAACCAGTTCCAGTTCATCCTCTCCAACCTTGACCAGGAGTAAGGTCATAAAAAGTGTTGAAGAAACATGATAAACTTGTTCTTTCTTACCATTAAAGTTGGGAATATTTCACATACAGTACCTGAAGTTTGTACATGGCCAGTGTTCTGTATCTCTCCTTGAGATCAATCAGTCTCATCTCCACATCCAGAGACATGTCCCTGATGTCTGAGATGGTGCTAAGGACAGACTTCAGACCTTCGAAAGAGTCCGGGCTCTGTTTGAGCTTTGTAGAGAGTTGCTGTTGTCCAAAAAAAGCGTAATGATCAATCACCTTAAAGAAGTTACACATAAACACATACGACACAATCGGCAAAGATTAACTCAGTACCATAAATTCATCCTTTAGATTGAAGAGATCTTCTTTGGTCGGCTTGTGGAGGAAGCTACAGAGTGAGCTGATCCAGGAATCGGCGTTCTCACGCACCGCAAGTATCAGAGGTTCTAGGTTGACATGCATGATGTGCTCACACCTGAATAAGGGCTCCAGCGACACCTCCTGATTGATACTAGACAAGAACTGCAGCTTGTCATCATACACGACGCAGGGTGGGTGTTTTGACGCAAACTTCTCATTGACGATGGCTTTGTTCTTTTTCCACAGGGGCAGGTAATGTTTCCAGTGGTTCAGGTAGCGATCCGTGGAGAAGAGCAGCCGCTGGATGTTCTGGGACACTTTCATGGCGCTCTCATTAATCTGAGGGTGTTTCCATATGTCAGTAAAGAAGCTGAATATTACTGTCTCATCTTCACTCCCCCCTCGTTGTGGAGGGCACTGGATGCAGGTGCCGCGCATCCAACGCACAAATTGCTGCAACATAAATATATGGGCGACTATTAGCTCTGAAACACAGATCTATTACTGATATATTCGAGAATCCTGTTGACCCCACCTTTGTGCTCTCCACCCAGTCTCTGATACACTGCATAAGTAGCCAGTAGATCTCGTTGCTTTGAGGCTGAAGCACGATTGTAGGGGCAGACACAATAGCATCAACTTGGAAAAGAGGAGTGTTCCCCAGGAGCGCCGTGTTGAACGCCTCAATGTTCCTAAATGTGACAGCGACAAAAGCAAAGTTACAACGAGAAGCAATTACTGCAGGGTTCCAACGCAAGTTTGGAAAAGTATGGAAGTAGTTTGATCATTTTCCAGGTCTTAAAAAGTATGAAAAATGAAAAATAAAGTATGGAAAAATATTTATGTTTCCAGACTACTACCACAGTTCAAAAATACTGTTTTCTAAAATAGAAAAGTAGGTATTTTGAAAAATTATTCTAAAAAGTAGGGTATGGAAGAGTATGGAATTTTCAACTGTGCAGGAACCCTGAAAAAAGATAACCTCAAAACTCTGACCATGTAGAGTTACCTCAGCAACATCTTTACAAGGGAGTCCATCACCCTCCGCTCCCAGTGCTTGTAGTAATCTGCCATACTTTTGGCTTTGCCGCTGCTGGTTTCCAAGACCAAGTGCTCGATCTCGATGATGAGGGCTCCGATGGCGGCGTACTTCGTGCTCAGCGCCTTCACAGTTGCTGCTCGTTCTTGCTCAATATGCCCAAAGAACTCCTTGACACCTGAAAACTCATGCAAGTAAGTTTGAGTGACTGTGATCCGTTCACTGTATTCCACAATAAAGATCTCTTTACTCGCTCTACCTGGTAAGTCTTTGGATTTTTCCGGGACAGGATATTTCAGTAAGTTGGCCGTCGCTATGGATTGCAACTTGGACTCAATATCCCGCTCATTCTTCTGAATCTGTTTTACAAGTGACTCCAATTTAGAGACGGCCTGAAGACCTCGGTCCACAAAGTCAGAGATGCCTAAAACAAAACATAGTGTGACTTAAAATACCAGAGACGATATACATTTCATCAGATCGTGAGGCCTCTCTAACATCATACCAGAAGAACCCCAGAGGAGTCGTTCGCAGCCGGATTGTATCACCTCTGTGACGGCTTTAATCTGTTCAGCCAACACTACAGACTTTGCTCCGCTCAGGCAGTCCATCACAGAGTGGTAGCAGCTGACCAGGTTGTTGAGATCATTAACGTTCCTGTAGATGAAGAACAGGTAGGACCAATAGGTTCTATTAGCCAGTAGAGCAGTTAAGGATACGCTTTGAGTGAAACTGCGGGTAAGTATCATTACCTGGTGAAGTTGTGCTCCTGGGAAGCAATGACCTTAGCGATTTCAGGCACGGATAAACCCAGTGGCTCAAGATAGTGTACCTCGGATATCATTTCCCTAATCTCTGGAGGAAAGTTCACAATGAATCGCACACCCGCTTGGCAACTTCCAATCGACGGGACATCCTTAAGTTAAGAAAAAAACATATATACATATACGTGAGAGTGCCTTTTGAAACGGTTTTGCACAGAATGTTATTTGTAAAAAGTTATTTGTCAAAAAAAGACTCTTTTTCATACTACTTACTTGTTTTCCCTGGGTTTGGTTTTCATTGCTACTAACAGTCAATATTTTCATTGTCACCAGCAACTGCGAGTTAGCGTTTGTCTGATCCAGCCAGTCCTCGTGTTTCTTCCTCTCATACTCCTTCATCTTGACTGCCACTTCCAGATAGTTCTTTTTGATCTGAGCAGAATGCAGCAAAAGTCCCATAAAGGCTTCAAATAATGTTTTGACATCAGAATAGTCTTGTATACGTACTCTTTTAACACTCTGGAGCAGTGATATTACTCACCACTTTGGCCTGATCGCTCTCAGCCATCTCTGGCATTTGTAGAAAGGGAAGGATGGTTTTTTTGAGGCGGTGGAGGAGAAATCTGACCCATCTGATGGCTCCCGCCACAGGGGGCTCGTGTTTATTCAGCGGTGGCTTGTCCTTCTGTGCCTCAAAGATGCCATCTATACACTCCAACTAAAACGAAGAGACATCATCAGTCTTTAACCGTTCTCGTGGCAAGTCATGCTCAATTCATTTGGTTGAAGGTACAGTACCTCTTTGCAGAACTTAGGAAACATGTGGTTCAAAGTTTTGATCAGATGGTTATTGATGGCCTCTCTGGAGCAGATTTGTTTGAATTTCAGGAGCATTTCAAGGCCAGCGGCTGAAGAGTGCAGTGTTCTGAAGGACTGATCAACGAGCTTGATAGCGTCTTCCTCTACAGCCTGAAAGAGGTGAACAGAAAATCGTATTTGAACACACTTACACTCATGTCCCTATTCCTGTTTGTCTGGGTCTCAAACACAACTCATGAATCCTAGAGGTCCCTAACTCACCTGAACCATACTGTCGAATTCCTGCATGGTTATTTTCCAGCTGCTCATCTTACAGATGTCGAAGGGATTGAAACTAAGACTCTCCGAGAACTGAGCCAAACCGTCCACTTTGCGCACCAATTCCTCAATGCTCTTCGGGTCTCCGGTCACAGCTTTGAGCTCAGGCCCTAAGATGTTAGAGAACTCCTCCAAAACCTGCACAACACAAATCCAGAAGAACTGTTTCCAAAGTCCTGCTTTTGCTTAAATGTGAGGTGCTTGAGTAAGGAGAGTCTTTGTGAATCAACCACTGACCATTAAAACATTGTACAGGTCCTGGCAGACAGAGCTCATGTAATCTGTCTTCTCAAACAGTCTCTTGCGATCGAATTCCCAGCGTGGATAACTGTTGGTTTCTTCGATTTCAGCACGCACCTCGAAGTAGGATTGCCTCCACTGGTCTAAAACTCGCTTTGCATCTTGCACCTTGGACTTGGCCTCCTCCCTGTCATCTCTGTTGTAGGCAGTCCAAATCATTACGTCATAGACAAACTGCTAAATTAACACGGGTCAATTAAGTGTAAATTATCTAAAACCTGAGCCTTACATGTAAAAATGTTCATATAATCACACATACTTTAAGAGTGTTTGAAAACTGATTGCTCGATCCACACGATCACAAAGCTGCCAGGCAATCCGCTCCATCAGAGGGACCATACGCTCATTTTTGGTGTAGTGAATAGACATCATCCACACTATCTGTAGGCTTTCCATCAAGTCTGGGATGGTCTCCAGGATCATACTAAAACTCGCTCCACTAGCCAGATTCTGAAACAGACAGCAGTTACTTTCTTATAGTTGAATTGATAGACCAGTATTGTAGTCAGGATTTTGATTTGAAGTATTTTTTCCAGGTGTTTTGGTTACAACTAGCTCTTCATGATTGGGTATTGCATTGGAAAGAAAAATAACTCAAAGAAATCTTAGCAAATGTGTATTTTTAAAAAGTTTACCATGAAATGTCTTTCAAGAATGCTAACGTAGCGGAAATTACTCTCTGCCTCCTCCTTGTATTTATGGAGCTCAAAGGTTGTTCCATCCAGTGTCTGAACAACACCTGCCTCCGCTTCGGTCATCACCCTGAGGATCTTCTTCACCACGGGTCTTTTGAGCTGCGCACTCAGGGCGCTTAGAACGACCGCTCGCTCCTGCCAAAAATAGATCTCAGCCATAGGTCCAGGTGCCTGAAGGGAAAACAGATGCTAGTGGTTTAAATTGGTCTCTGGTTATCAATGTGTTTGTTTTATAGTGTCATAGAAAGAACATTTCATGAGAACTCTGGGCTTCACCTCAATCCATCTGCATACAAGAAGGTTCACCAACCTGTGGTTTTTTATTTAGCTGCTCCTCAACAACAATCGTAATGTGTGTCTGCCAGTTCATCACACATTGCTCTAACTTCTCAACCATCTCTGGATCAGAAAGCAGCACATCCACCTCCTGATCCAGGTCCAGCTCAGGGATATGCAGTGCAATGTCCTCTGTGTCAAAGAGACTAAAAATTAGCTTGACTACGTTAATTTTAGAGGGCATGCATTGTGTCTTCGGTGCCTTTTCTTCTCCAATGAGGCTCTTGCAATTATTTTTTTCATTTTAAAACAAAACAGAGTAAAATCCTATCAAGTTAAAAGTTTTAATTCTTTAGATACTGAAGAGAAAAATGTGGGATTCCAAGCAGCTGCTGATTACACTGCTGCTAACATCTTCTCTCAAGTGAAAAAACTGAGAGCATTTTTTACGTCTTCAATGACAAACCTTGAATCTGAAGCTTTGTGAGAGTTTCATTAATCAGACCGGAATACTTGTGCAACTCGTTGAGCAACTCATCACGATCCGTGAAAGGTCGACTTAATTTCACTGTACTCTTTTCAGCTTCTAGACTCGTCTCCTCGTGATGAAAATCTGGGCTGATTTGACAGCCTTCACCCTTGATATTCATCTGGTGGGTGGTTGACAACGATGCAAACACCTGAAAAAAAAAACAGTAAGATGCCCAGTTTGTGAGAAGAAATTATTGCTGTGCATGGTTGCTGGCTTAGGTTTTTCTGCAGACATTATACTAAGTTTTATTAGTGCTTTTCCAATGTGCATGGACTCACAGGGATAAGTTTTTGCTGTAGCACACGAAGAGGATGGCCACAGTTCATGCCAAACTCAAAAAATTTTGGCATCAGAGAACTCGCCTCATCCATGTCCAGGGGATCAACAATAGTCTCTGTTGAAAATGCAAACAATGATCTCTTTGTTTTACTGTCTTTTGTGCGATACTAGTTAAAGGGATATTCCGACGTAAAACTCATTTAGGGTCAAACACACCGTAACACCGAGTTAGACACCCCCTCCAGAGATGAATGTTGCTGACCGCTTGCTTCTCTAGTTATACCAACTTTAGTAACGACCGCACCATAGCAATACACAGCGGTCTGAGGAGCCATAAACAAACCTCAACCAAAACGCCACTCTATAGCCACAAATAATGCTCAGAACAGCACCTAACTTCATCAACAGGACATATAGGGTCCCAGCCAAAGCGCGTGCAACCAAACATTTTTTAACTTTGGCTAATTTCTTTAGCAAAGAGACTAAACACAACTCACCTACTCTCTTCCAGCAGTGGCTTGTTTGTAGCGAGACCTCAGGCCAGTCCATTGCGGACAACAGTGGGGTGACACAGCTCAAGGAAGAACATTTATGATCATTTTCTTGAACTAATAATCATCATATTCATCATTTTGCACTGCAGACACGGTAGTTCTTCCGCTTTAGCGTCTCGATCTGATTGCACTTCCATAAAGAAATGATCATAAATATTCTCCCTTGAGCTGTGTTACCCCGCTGCGCTTGGTGATCAACTTGTCTGACGTCCCGCTACAAACAAGCGGCTGCTGGAAGAGAGTAGGTGAGTTGTGTTTAGTTTCTTTGCTGAAGAAATTAGGCAAAGTTAAAAAGATGTTTGGTGGCTAGTACTATGGATGGGACCCTATATGTCCTGTTGATGAAGTTCGGTGCGGTTCTGAGCATTATTTGTGGCTATAGAGCGGCGTTTTGGTTGAGCATGTGGCGCTCTGTGTATTGCTCTCCTGCGGTCGTTACTCAAGTTGGTATAACTAGAGAAGCGAGCGGTTGGCAACATTCATCTCTCTAGGGGGTGTCAAACTCGGTGTTACGGTGTGTTTGACCCTAAATTAATTTTACGCTGGAATATCCCTTTAAGAACAGCTTTATTCAAAGATACCACGAAATTATCTTACCATTTGTATTCCTGATAAAGTAAAAGACTCTGGATTTTAAGAATCTTTCTTGATGCTCATTTACTGTGACATGAAGCTCAACATGATAAACCACTTGGAGCTCCACCCTCTGGAAACACAAGAAGACATGAGTTATTACTTTTATACCATATGAATAGATAAATTAATTTTTTTCTATTATTACACATGCTGATCTCAAGGACAGAGAGCCATAGTGATAGGAGGATTGAAATAAAAGTTAAATCTCACATTTCTCAGGCTTGGTTCACAGGTCTCCTCTGACTGTAAGGTTAACTCCTCTCCACTTTGGGTCCAGGACTTCTTGCCAGGATCCTCGGAGTCGGTGTCTTCATTTTCTGTGTTCACAAACATTACTATTAGATGAAGTGCTTATTCATGAACACGAACTTTTCTTCGTCAACTTACCTACTGGAATTTCAACCTCAATTTCTTCCTCTCTAACAGTTTCAAAAAACTGAAGAATTGACACCGACTCTTCATCGGAGACGACGTTTAAAAAATGGGTAATTTTATCCTCCTCCTCTCCATCATCCCGGCTGAGAAGTTCGTCGAAGCAGTTGGGACCATCCGGTAAATTAAACCCTGCAGTGACACACTGTCGGATCCACTCAACTCGCAAGTCGTCGTGGGGCATGTTGTTGTGTTAATTACAACTTTGACGGAATAAAAAACAAAATTTGCCTCAACGGCTCCACATTTCCAGCAGAAATTACAATACAAAGGATAGGTGGAGTAGATCCGCTTGGAGTTTCAAGTTGCTTGGCAACGATCAAACGTCTAGCGCTGACTGACACAACGGTCAGGAGACAGCAGGGGGGAATTTGTTCCCAGAGTTCAGACTTGAAGGCAGCTTTCTGTGGCGGTCTTGGGTTAGACCACAACCAAAGAACTGTTCATTAGAGGGTATCAAACCCTCGCTTTGACCATAAGTTAAAGGGATGTTCCGGCGTAAAATTAATTTAGGGTCAAACACACCATAACACCGAGTCAGACATCCCCTCAAGAGATGAATGTTGCCGACCGCTGACTTCTCTTGTTATACCAACTTTAGTAACGACCGCACGATAGCAATACACAACGGTCTGAGGAGCCATAAACAAACCTCAGCCAAAACGCCTCTCTATAGCCACAAATAATGCTCAGAACAGCACCCAACTTCAACAACAGTACATATAGGGTCCCATCCATAGTACTAGCCACCAAACGTCTTTTTAACTTTGTTCAATTTCTAGTGCTGTGGCTGGGACCCTAAATGTACTGTTGATGAAGTTAGGTGCTGTTCTGAGCATTATTTGTGGCTATAGAGAGGCGTTTTGGTTGAGGTTTGGGTATGGCTCCTCAGACCGCTGTGTATGGCTATCGTGCGGTCGTTACTAAAGTTGGTATAACTAGAGAAGCAAGTGGTCAGCAACATTCATCTCTTTAGGGGGTGTCTCACCTCGGTGTTACGGTGTGTAATTTTATGCCGGAAGATCTCTTTAACTGGCCACAACGTATGAGACCTTAATGCTTATTAGAGAGAAAAAAAATCCTTCAACAATGTGATAATGTGAGAGAGGAGTCCAACACTTTTTGGACAAATTTTGTTTTCTGCATCATTCAGTTTTTTTTTTTACACTTAATGAAGCTGGAAGGTTTTAGAATTATCATTTCTTTTAAATCTCAAAATGAATATTACTCCACTACTGAGTTACTTTTAAACATGTTAGTACAAAAGAATTATTAATGTAAGTAAATGAAGAAATAATCATTTCATATGACAGTTTTTAATTTTTGTATCCAGTTTTTGAAACTTTCAAATGTGCATGTTTTTCAAGAATTAGCATGGCATGCCTTGGACCGATTGCAACCTCCAGGTGCTTGGTTTTAGTGCCAATAGGAGTTACACTCACTGAACAGCATTTTGACACCGTGCTTTCAGTTAAGTAAATATTAGCACAGCATATCTCATGAAAGAATAACGTTCCCCTTTATTTTCCAAGACCTATCTGGAACATTGTCTCAGGCCAAGGAAACCAGAACTGTAATATTTTCACCTTGAAATATTACCAATTACTTTGCTATGTCCTGAATTTGTATCTGTATGAAAGAAGCATGGAGGTTAACTTAACATGAATATAGACTTCTTCCTAAGATAGCTTAATTAAAACTAAATTAATGAACCCAGTCATTCTGTTCTGAGAGCTAAAAACATGCACAGATACGTTAAAGCCACTGAGTTAAGTGGGAAAAAAGTCTTACTGTTGGGTTTCTTTCAGTTCAGAATATCACGCAAACAACTCAAAGAAGTGCAGTTTATTATTGAAATGAGGATCCTCCAAAAGAAGTTCAGCATGGAGTGTTTTCTAAAGATTTAAAATCTTAAAATTAACTGCAAAAGAAAAAAAACAAACTACAAAACCACTTGAACCAACCCAGGTAATTCATTACTGCTAACTAAAGGCAAAATTTGCTCATTAACCACTACTCTACTCAGTAGATCAGCCGGCTCAAGAGTTGTATTTTCAATATTTTACCACATACTGTTCATTTTCAGAACCTCAGGCACAGAGTTGAGACTTTTAAACTGTGACAGCATCTTACTGCCGCTGACATCATCAAATAAAATCATAAAATTAACAAAAACTACAAAAGCCCAACATTATTTATTTCATCTTGACCTCACTGAATTCGATACAGCTGAGCCCCTGTGCAGAATTTGATAGCAGAAATCTCAGAAAACGAGTAGAGTTGAATCAACAAAATGAATGATTGAGTTGTCCAGAGGAGGAATGTTAAGTCTTACAGTAAGTGGCAGACCCATAGGCAACACTGTGAATGCATACATGTTAAATCATCTGCTATTTACATTCATACTCAATTCTGCTGTAATATTTTAAAACTTAATAAATTAAAAAGTAATTCTTTATCGGTATATACATCTCATGGGAACACCCCTGCCTCAGTATTGTTCAGTACTGAAGAGTCACAGATCCTTTGCAGTGCTTTGGTACCACAAAGTGAAAAAAAAAAGAGAGAGAGTGAAGAGTAAAGATACAGTATGTCGTCGTTTGGTTGGACTTCTGTGAGGCTGTCAGTGCAATAAAATGCTTAGTTAGAGTTTCATTTCTAAAGAGTTGCTCGCTGCCCGCAATAAGGAAAACTGATCTGCTTGAAGCGTAACCGTCAAAGTTATACCATCTTTACAAATAACTAGACACAGAAGAGACAAAAACACTGAAGTCGATAATCAGTTATTTTCAGAGGGAAGGGTGTTGAATCCTTTAAAAAGAAAACAGTATGAACTTATTTAACCTTATAGCTGCTGTGAATTTGGACAAACAATGGTGCCATTGAAGTGAAGTTTTTTCCTTATCTGCTGTAACTTTGGGTGGAAGTTGTTCTCCATATGAAAGCTAAAGACAGTTGATATGAATACATGCCTCTTAACAGATCTAACTGTGTATGCGACTCATGTTATATTTCAATTCCAGAAAACAAACTCCTGTTTAATTTACGAATTTGGGTACGAAAAATGTTTTAGGTTTTAATTTGCAAAGACAAATACAGCAGTTTTTCCAACAACACACTCTGTGCTATCTGTGTTTTTAGTCCCTTTTACATTGGTATGCTCTTAGGCTTAGTGTTAAGAAGTAGCAACACAAAGACTGTGTGCGGGGGCGTATTATTTCACAGCTAGCAGAGAGGGCAAATGATTGGGACAGCAGTACTTTGCTACAATCAGTAAAAGGAAAGAAAAAAGGATAATTTTTGAGGCAATACTCAAAAATCTGTTAAAAAAAAACAAAAACAGCTCCGTTGGTAAGGCAGTAAGTCTGTGACGCTCTCCTCACAAGTTCTTCATATGAAAAGATGTTAAAAAGTTTTTATTTTAAAAATCAAACATTTCTTAAATCTGTCTTAATGTTCATGGCAAGCTGCCTGCTGAGTTGTCTCTGTTTACCACTGAAAGTACGAGTAGACCGCTCTTCACAGTAAGCCTTCGTGCTCAAAGCTGGAGGGCAGCAGGGAAAAGGAAAAAGGGCAAAACTTGAATCCAGTGCCGCTGTAGAACTTATTTTGAAACTCCACCCTGGAGAAGAAACAAAAATGTGAAATAAATAAAACTGAGATCACTTTAAGCACCCTGGTCCTCTCAGTGACACAGACGCTCTTCTTACCAGTGCAAACGCAGTGCATGTAGGAATGCAGATAGACCCTCCATCACCAGGAGGATGGACACTGTGAGAACGGCAAAAAGACCAAATACAGGCACCAGGAATAAGACCCCGACGATGCTGTTCATTCGTAGTCCGACTCGCATCACCATGGTCCACAGCACCTCTGAGAGCTCTGTGAGAGCAAAAGAGGACAAATGAACAACCTTTTCACACATTAAAGGGATATATGTCCTTTTGATGAAGTTAGGTGCTGTTCTGAGCATTATTTGTGGCTATAGAGTGGCGTTTTGGTTGAGGTTTGTTTATGGCTCCTCAGACCGCTGTGTATTGCTATCCTGCGGTCGTTACTAAAGTCGGTTTAACTAGAGAAACAAGCGGTCGGCAACATTCATCTCTCGAGGGGGTCTCTAACTCGGTGTTACGGTGTGTTTGACCCTAAATTAATTTTACACCGGAATATCACTTTATTTGGGCCTTCAGTGTCTCCGCCCCCACCCTCTGGACCGCCCTCCCTAAACGCATCTGTGCATGCCCGGACCTCATCAGTTTCAAATCTGCCCTCAAAACCCACCTTTTCACACTCGCTCTTATTACCTGACCTCCCCTGACTCACCATTATCCCACCTCTTACATCTGCCCCTCCCACCTGTGTTCTTTTATCCTTTTGATTTGATTTTACCTTGTTTTTAGCTTGCTACTATTAATTTTGCCTACTGTATTTTTATGTTTTTGTAAAGTGTCTTTGAGCTATACAAATAAAATGTATTATTATTATTATTTACAGTTGGATATTAACTATTTTTCTCAAGAGTGTGTGTACTTGGACAGGTCTGTGAGATGGATTCACTTCCTCTGTGTTTTATTTCAAATACAGTGATACTCACGAGCGTGTGCAAGACTCAGAGCCCAGAGTCGTAGGTAGGAGGCTGTGTTTGAGATGCAACCAAGACAGTACTCTATAGTGTGGATGGCCTGATGCAGGAGCTCATCTGCAAAGTCAAACTACAACAACAAGAAGAAGAAGACAAAACTCAAGACAAAAGAATCAGATTTAAAGCCTGTGTGTTGGTTTGAAGTTGGCGGATTATGATGCGCTTGATTTTCTGCACACCTCTTCTGTCTGGCGCTCTCCGCTAACAGAGAGATCACTGTGACTGCTGCCCTCCTCCATGTCATGAGTCCTCATCAGGTAGAGCTCCTCTTCACTGTTTCGCCGCACACGCTCATATCCCTGAAACCGCCCGGGTGAGAAAATCAGATCATCATTTATCAAACATCAGAGGAGGTTTTACACAAGGAGTCAGACATGGATTCAAACCCTCACCCTGTACATTCCCAGCCGGTGACTTCCATTGTGAAGCCAGTAAAGGTAGACGGGTTTCCCCAAGAGTAAGACAGGCACAGTAAGAACGGCTATGACCACCAGAAATATCTGCAGGCCGGTCTGGAAGAAGCACAACAACATTTAATAACGTCTTTAATCGTGTCTGAGCGAGATCAGCTTTGCTGTTCTCACCTGTCCTGGGTAGAGAGGCTGCACAGCGTCACCCTGCATCAGGAACATATTTATGAAGTGGATGAGGATGCTCGGCGCCTCAGTGGAGTCCTCGACAGAGAAGAAAAGCCACTTGTAGAAAATCATGAACACCAGGTAACCGAACAGGCACAGGAGGAACAGGAGCTCAGGGAGGAAAACCAAGTACAGGTTGTACTTCTTCCTGAAGTACCTGTTGTTTTTAACCAAAATAAAGAGCCTGTTAATGAAACCTCTGAAGTGTGGGAGGTTTACTTTGTGAAAAAAACAAAACAGGTTCTTACACATGATTGTAGGTGCTGAGGATGACCCCGAAGCTCATGTGGAAGATTCCCATGATCACTGACATTTTCATCTTATAGGAGTTCAGAAATGTTAGCCGGTTTGTCGCCAAGTTCCAGATCTACGGAAGAAAAAACATACAGTGTATTACACAATGTACAGTTTTCTATAAATTGATGTTAAAGACACATTTAGACAAATTTCATCAGATCAAAAATTCTGGTATTGAGGGCGTTGAGGTTTATTTACCTGGAGTGGTTCAGTAAAACTAATTTCAGCAGTTCAAAAAAGTTTGGATTTATTCTTTTTATCATTTAATTATGGTTTATTGGTGTGGACAAATTCATCCAATTGATTATGATCCAAATATCAAACTGTTGACAGCAGATGCTAATATGCAAACCACTTACGGACGCAATATGGAAACTTTAATTAAAGCACAAACACAAATTTACAGCTAATTAAACCAGATTGTTCCTGATTTAAAGCAACAATGAGGATTTTTTTTACTGCCTTTTTTTTGTTTTAATTTGCGTTGAGCTGAATTTACATGTAAACCTCGTCCATTTTCATATCAAACATCAACTATTTAAAAAAAGTTTTCTTAAATATTCTGATTCAAGTCTCATCAGGATTCAGAGGTTTAGAGGTTTTGGTATAATGTGACCCTGAACATGGGGTACGATCCAAACACAGGACTGTACTAACATATTAAACTGCACTGGATCAGCCTGTTCGCTGCGATGATCCGACACACTGAGGTTTGGAAACAGCATCAGAAAGGAGAAAGTGACAGTGACTATTTGAACACATGGTTCACTGAGCGCTGACTCTCACGGTTATTGTGAAGCAGGTAAGCAAACAAACACGTGCTTTTTTCTGATGATGCAAGTATGATGAAGACTCTGTAGAACCACATTAATACAGCACTCGTACAGTACTCGTCACTTACTGGGTCTATTCCAAGAGGGTATGGTCCGCGGAAAACATCTGTGACATTTGGATCCAGAGTAAGTAACCGATTTCCATGGATATCTGCATCCCTATTAAGGGGAAAATAAAGCACAAGGGTGTGCACATGTGGTTCAGGATGACACTCAACAGCGTTATTTTGTTTCGCGGATATTCCTTTTTGGCACTGAATACTTACTTCCACACTTTTGCTTTGAACATGGCCTTCACACTCCACCGAGAACCGAAGATGTTTAAAGACTTGGAGAAACAGTCGTTGTATATGAGGCCGGTGTAGACGGAGAACAGGCCCATCATCAGGATGATGTAACGCCCCTCGAAGAACGTGTTCCAGATCTGAATGCACGCACAGACGCACTCATGACACGCTGTTTGCTTCGCTCAAGCAGTTCAATTTGGAAAAATAAAAAAAGACCTGAAATTAGTGATAGTGCAAACAGAACTCACCTCGTTCCTGGTGTTCTTGACTTTGCGGTTGTTCTCATACAACACCATCCAGAAGGCAAACAGAGCCATGATGATTCCATGACCCAGGTCCCCGAACATCACGGCAAACAGGAACGGGAAGGTGATGATTGTAAAAGGAGCTTCGAATGAGAAGAGGACATTTGAAGCATATGTGAGAATAGAACGGTCTGAGCTCTGCAGTTTATCACGAGTAATAAAACGGACTTTATCATGCGGCACACGGAGTCTGATCTGCTGATGCGTGTGTTAATATGCAGAGAGAAGACAAAACAGGGGTTACTCTCACCAGGGTTAACCTCTCTGTAATTTCCCACTCCATATGCGTCCACGATGTTCTGAAAACCTGACGTGAATTTGTTTGTCCTTATCAAGGTGGGGGGCGTGTCGCTGGTGGGGATACGATTGACAAATGAAGGAACAGTGGCTCCACTTTTTCTCTGGGAACAGATGAGAAATGAAAACGTCAGCATGGCAGCGCCTTATAAAAACAGGCAGCACATGCAAGTTAAAGAGAAAAAGACATCCTTGTGGTTCACAGCTGTGGCGTGAAGCCAGTTTTAGAGTCCAGACAGAGTACAGAAGAACCTCTGTAGCAACAGTTAAGGCATCTATTTCTTTACTCTGAATACACACAATATCAACAATGGCGTTTCTGTTTCCCTTCCCCCTCTCTAAAACCCTCGAACAATAACGGGTAGATTAAGTACAGCGGCTGCTTTTATGATGCATTTGAATGAACCGCCTCGATTACTGATCAGATAAAAAAGTTCAGAGTGAAGTCGGAGAGTTCCCTCACCGATCCTTCCTCCAGGGCTCTCCGTAGAGTGGGAATATCATTGACGGGACACCAAACCTCAGCGATCAGACACTTGTTGGTCACATCAAAACTACACAAGTTCAGGATGTAGTAGATGGCCTTCATCTTCTTCACCTGGATGACCCAGGTGTAGACCGACTCTGAAGCCTTAATCAGGACCTGTCTCAGGTAGTCCTCGGTTCTATGAAGCACCTGGACACAGTAAGAGAAGTGCAGAGTTTTTTGACAGCAGTGAAGACATTTAAGAGCTTCCAAAAAGGAGCATTTCACATAATTTTATTATACTGTACATAAAATTCCCACTGACACATTCATACTCGTGATTCTAACAGACGAGATTTGAGTGTTTTTTTGTGGAGGAGCAGTCAAAAAAAAAGGAGGGAAAAGGAGGGCGTGAGAGAGAGCATGTATGAAAGAGGAAAAAAAACAACAGTTCAACCCTCAGCCGAGGTCTCATGTTGGTCATGTGCTACAGAGGGTGAGAGCAATTCTGTTTCTCAGTCACAGCGGCTACAGCTGCCAAATCCTTCATGGTAAAATGGGACAAACCCAATAACTGCCAGAGCAAACTCACAAAAAAGAAAAAAAAAACTGGGTTAATCTTTTAAAAAAATGAGTCAGCCATTCAGTTTGTTCTGTTTTTTAGTTTTTTTAACTATAAAGGTGGAGGTGAAAAGACTCGCTGGATACAACAGAGGGGTGAATATTTAATTTCCAGAAACTTATAAACTCTCTTAATAATATTAGATTTGTAGACTAACATTTTAGTTAAATAATCCATGTGCTACCATAGATTGATTCAAGAGTAGAATAAATATATTTTCTGTCATGAATTCACTTTTAAATTCCTCAAAAAAGCTGAAGACAAACTAGGGCTGGGCGATAAACTGAAAATTTACCGATACTGAAATTTATGACAGTAACCAGCGTCATTTTGTCCATGTCAATTTATTCAGTGTCAAAAAAAATAATAATAAAAGTTGGTTTTGGATGTGTGTAGGTTAGGTGTGTAGGCTATGGTCTCATGTCCCTTTAAGACACTGTCCTACGTCGGTGGGAGGGGGTGAGCAGCTTGAGAAGTAGCTATCCTCCATTTATCGTTATCGAGGTGAACTGGTCAATATACGGTGGTATTGGTTTGAAGCCATATCGCCCAGCCCTAAGACGTACCGTGTGCAGGTCCTGAATGCGAGTTTTTAGTCCTTCCACAACATCGTTCCTCTCCTCGTTGTTGCTGGGGTACGGGTACAAGTGACAGTGGTAGCTGTGGAGGAATAAATACATAATACACTCTTTTAAAAAAAACAAAAAACTGCTCCAACATTTATTTCATTTTACAATAATTGTAGCTTAGGAAACTGCTGATTGATTACCAGTCACAGATCTTCTTCACTTTCTGTCCGATTTGGTCTCCCCAGTAGGAGATCAGGAACACCACACTTTTGGTGGGTTCACCCTGCAGATGAAAGCAGATAAGAAAATATGTGCCATGTAAAATACTGAGACAACAAATGCAGAGACAACAAAATCGTTTGTTTTTTAGAATCAAGCAGTTTGAAAACTGGAGAGTGAAATAGGTAAGGCGTGACTGCTCGTAATTTTTCTCAATTTTCTGAATAAGTGTGTCTAACATTCCCTAAGTGATCAGTCACAGCCCCGCATGCCTCCCCTCTGGTGGAGCAGAGGGAGTGGATAAGTGGATTAGTGCTGTCATCAATATGAACGGATAAGATCACCACATTCATGAGAACAGCAAGTTTCTGGACTTTTCTTTTCCTGTTTTTCAGTTTACCAACACTCGCTCTGAGGCAACGCTCACAGAAAAGGAAATGACTGAGCTGATGGTGTGATAACTTCAACCTGTAAAACCAAAAGAATATATATCTGTGTTAACTGACCCACATACTTCTGCATCAATATCTAAAATATAGACAACACAAACAGAGCTGGAATATTTCTTAATGTTCTGTATCCCGAGTGTTTTTGATGATAGTTTAATCTGCTCCAGGGTTTCATTTTTTACACTGAACTTCAATTTTAATTCAATCTAGAAAACTCTGGAAACAGAAACTTACATTAGTCCCAAAAATGTCACATACACAAAACTTTGGTTCTGATCTCCTCACAGAGATTCTTTGTATGGAACCTAAAGTGAATTATCAAAACAGATTTACAGCTAAATAAATAAAATTATCGAGTCTATATCAAGAAGATTTGTTATTTTGATGTTTAGAGATAAGAACCTTCGAACCCTGACCCAGGAGGTAAGATAAAGACAAAACATGTCATTCATACAAAAGTCTCTGAGGACACTTTCCTCTCTCACTGCAGTGAAGTAAAGACACAACTATAGTCATGTAAGTGCAGCGTACCGTGCTGGGATCTTCTAAGTACTCCTCCACCTCAGCATAGCTGAGTATAGTGTAGCCTTTGCAAACCCTCCAAAGCATCCGCTCAAAGGCCTCGATCTTCGCCCGCTGAATGAGCCCAGAGATGAAACTGCAAGAAAACCAGGAGAACTTTAAGACCACAGGGAAGCTCAAATCTTTATGATAACTTTTATCTGATTACTTGAAAATATCTTTAAAAAACACTAAGATCAACACTGGATCAATTTAATGCTACATGATCACATTTTCAGCTTTCAAAAAGGGTTAATCCGACTCCAAACTGAATTAAAACAAGAATATCTTCCACATGAAATCTGCTATAAATCCTTTTTTTCACGTTGAACTCTTACAAACGTCTCCACATTATCATTCAAACTTTAAAACACACAGTTTCAAAATAATTAACAGGCATGAAAGTTTCCCGGGTTAATCTTTGGTGAGGGGCTGAGTGTGTTCGCAAGTGTGGACGTCATCACTGACACAAGTATATCTGAACAGTCCAGTTAACATCACAGTATCTGTGACTCTGACCTGAACAGTTTTATAAATGGGACTCTGGAGGAGGTGGGACACTGAGAAAAAAACACAATTGGATGTTTTGAAAATCGTTGAAAAAGTCCAACTGAAAATAAGGAAAATATCATCTACAGATTATATTATCATTACAAGATTTATTAAGTGTTCAGGCTCTTAGGCAGCACTGCTTCAAAAATCAGACATGACTCTGCACTAGAATTCACTGCATGGGCTCAAAATTGCATCTAAAAACTGTCATCTTTGATCACAGTTTGTCGCTTTACCATGCAAAGAGGAAGTCATTTATAAACACGAGTTGCCACGGGTGACCTCTCCAGGCCAGAGTCCTTTTATGGATCAAACTTTCCCGTGGTCTAACAAATCAAAATTTGACTTTTTTTTTGGAATTCATGGGGGAGATGGGAGGGACCACCTTACCACCTTACCACCTTACCTCACTGGTTGCTTATTTTCCAGGGAGACTTTGCTTAATACAGCAAGAAGATGCTAAACTACATTCTGCATGTATTAGAACAGCATTTGAAAGCTCTACTGGTCTACATGCAGCCCTAACTTGTCACATATTAATAACATTTTGTACCTCATGACCCAGAGCTGTTGAGTAACTGAAATCCTCGTTCAGGCAAGAATGAAACATTATTAAACTTGCGAAACTCCAGGAACTGATCTGCTCTTTTCCCAAACGTCTACAGTGTGTTGACAAATGAAGAGGTAATGCAACCCACTGTTGGCATGTCCCTGTCCAAACTTTTAAAATAAAAACAAACATGTTGCCGGCATCAGTTTTAAAATTAGCCTAAAATCTTCATAAAAGGAAAAAAATTCATAGAATAAGTTTCAGTTTCAACATCTGATTTGCTTTATTTGCACCAATTTCAGTTCGTCTTGATTAATCATTCATAAACCATCAAATTTTCCACTCTTTTGTTGTTGGGGTTGTATATTAATGTGACTTTGTGCTCTGCTGAGTCAAACCCAGTCTGCCTGCTCGGCTCTGATCTTTTCACAGAGTGCCTTTGTAGTGATTACAGGAAATGAGACTTTGAGATTAGCTGCCTTTTCCTTTGAACGTTCACCGTCACTGGATCTTAGAGTCAATTAAAACTCACATTCAGTCAAATTTTCGTTTCTTCCATCAAGTCGAAACTGTTCCCCACACAAACGACTTTTTAATACAGTAAACAATGGATGTTTGTGCGAGCAAACTGTCATTGGCCAAGAGCCACAGCTGCATTTTCAGATCTTGCCAACAAGCGCGAGGGTGCGTGTGCGTGTGTGTGTGTGTGTGTGTGAGCTGTGTTTTCAAAGTATGTCAGTGAGTGAGTGTAGCGACAAGAAGACAACAAATGAAAAGTGCCTGATATGAACTCTACACTGAATTTACAAACAATAACATGAAGCTTGTATGGGTGGTAGAAGAGTATCCCTCACCCCAGTTTGGCTCCCAGCCTCTGCATGCTGCTGTAGTCCATCATGGTGTCTTTTTCTAGGAAGGGAAACTCCTCATACTGGACTTGGAGGGGCTCTCGCTAAAGATGAGCACAAAGAACAGGCAGGTGAATATTAAAATAAATCAAACCATAAACGATAGTGCTGTATGTTAGATATGTGTTAAAAAGTGTGTTTTGACGGTTCAGAGTGATACACTAACGTCAGAAGGTCTCTGGACAAAGTTGCGGGTGATTCTCAGCATGTGTGTATATTCAGTCAGCTCCAGCAGATTCCTCTGCAGCTTCTCTTTATTCCTGGTCACTTCACCTAACTCCACTTCAAGCCTCTGCAGCTGCTCCTGTAAAACACACACACAGAGATTTAACTGTGTTACAAAATTAAACATTTCAAATAGAAAATACAGATTTTCGCAGACGTTAGCAGCCCAAGAATTTGTAATTCCTACTTATTATAAATGACTGTACAAACCATTATTGTCATAACGTGCTTTGGTAGAGGAGCCACAGGGTTCACGTCTCCCTCTGGAAGTGAAATATCTGCTTTTTTAACTTCTCTCAGCAGGTATCCTGTTAAAGTTAAAGGACAATCATTCGTAAGACAAGAAGAACAACTAAAAAAGGTCTCAAAGTACTTTAACTGGACTTTGAATAACACTGGGCTGGATTGTCTTTTTGGCTTAAATGTCTGACAGTGAGTCTGTCTCTTCATTTAATCTAATAATGGAGGCTTCAGTTAACCAAGCATTTCATTCAACCAAATCTACAACCAGCTGACATTTCTCATGACTGCAGGTTCAGCAGTTTAAAATTTAGTGAAGTGAGGCGTCTGTGCCAAAAAATGTTCCCAACTTTGTCTGAAACAAACTGAACTTCCCAAGGTTTGAGCTTAAATAGTAAACAGAAAATAAAAGGTGGAAATATTCTTACCGAGGATCCTCTCCATTTCTTCACATTTTTTAATCTCATTGACATATTTCCGCTGGAATGAGTTAACTGAGGGGTTGAGCTGAAAGAGGAGGAAGAAACAGAGTCAGCAAAGACTTGAGAGATAAACTCTCTGAGCCACAACTAATCATTGAGCCAAGTCAGCAAGCCGAGGACAAATCACCATAAACCTCACAGTGAGCACATGTGTGGGACACTTAAACAGCTGCTCTTATCTATGATCTGCTGGATCCTTCAGTATCTTAGAAGACAGACTGATGTAAAGTTGGTAACTACAGTTACAAAGGTGCAGGTCGTGTGTGAATAAGAAATTAGTGACTGTTCCTGTGTTTGTAAACTCTGCTGTAGGGGAGAGTGGGGTAAGATGAGCCATTTCTCATATTTCAGATCACTACATCAAGACAATCATAGTTTTGTCTCTAACTTGTGTATCTGCATATATTTCAAGATGTTGTTCATCCCTGCAAACCAACAGAATGAGTGTAAACAGAACTGTCTTGATAATGTAGCATGACAAAAAAAAGTGGTCTGCCCCATGTTTGGGGTAAGTTGACCATAGGAGCGGGGTAAGTTGAGCCGTATCCCTACTGTTAGAGCCATTTGTGCACTACTGATAATTGTACTAGTTGTATAATTGTACTAGTATAATTGAAGCCAATTACTACTGCAGCTCTCCTATTGGAGGAGACATGCAATGTGAGACCTGCCGCTTTTTCTTGGGTAATTAGTGCAGCTGTGGGTCTTTGAGAGCACAATAGTTTTGACTGTGTTTACATCGAGTCTCGATTTCTTCATTATTATCTGTAAAATGTATCGTTTTGTTATGCAAAGTAAACCTCCAAGTAAATTCAAGAAAGGAAAGATCGACGACTATGGTGTTTTATTATGGAAATACTCGCCAACTACATGCTCTGGTTCGTCACCTCAGAGGGTCTTCAATCATTAGTCAGAGCTGCACTCAAACCGACTACTAGGACTGGGCGACTTGGCCAAAAAGATGATCACGCTTTACTTTATCGTATTGTCTGATCGCGATTATTATCCCGATTTTTTGTAACTGCCAGTTTTAAAGCATCTGTACTGAAACTAAAAAAATAAAAAGATAAATACTAAACAAGACGTTAAATAACTTTTCTTCTCAACAACAACATCTTCGGAGGATAACTCAAAGTCATGGCTGACATCTATTTTCCTGCCCTCAGCTCCATGTTAGGTTACTCTGTTCACTTCTCTGGCAACTTACAGAAGTGAGCAGGAAAAGCTTGACTCTGATTGGCTGTTGTGATGCACATTTTCACAATGTTTGATCGAGTAAATAAGCTCACAGCTGATCACCGTGATTGAACTGAAATTTATCACGATCATTAACCTCGATCATATAATCGCCCAGGCCTACCTACTACCCCCCCACTCTCCTCCCCAGCCCTCCCTCACCTTCTCTCTCCCTAAATAACAGTCACTTCTTCACATTCGTGTGCATTTTTTATGTATTATACACTATTCAACTGGTACCATAATTCTTTTTATTATTGTATATAACTGCGAAAAAGCTATTTTGTAAAAAGTCATGAGAATGTCTTTAAGTGATTCAGAACATTCACAGCTGTATTTTTGAAAAGAAAAAGTAAAAATATTTCAACAATCTGAACAAAAACTCTGATCCTCTCATCAGACTCCTTTACTTTCTCACTTACCCCAGAACTACTATGATGACTTTATTAGTCCTCTAAACTAAAATGGTGGACTTTTATGTTAGGTTTTTGACCTCATGTTGTAGCTCGTAGATACCACAATTGATGTATAAAACAAATTTAAAATGATCGTTTTTGGTCTGAACACAATTCTAATCAAACTTACTTCAAGAGAGAAACATGTTTTTTTGTAAATAAGTGTCTAACCCCTTCATCCATGTGCTTCTAACCTTCACAGACTCCATGAATTGATGCCCATCTCCTAAATATTTGGTCACATGATCAATTTCTTTGACCATTTCCAATCAACAGGGGGTGGCTCCACTTACCCTTTGGCTCAACCTACCCCAGTCTCCCCTACTCTGCTGTTTTAAGAGGTCAAGTTTTTGCATTAAAGGACTCACGTCTCTGAACTCCACCAGTCCCAGTTCTCCGAGTTCACTGATGCAGTCGTAAGCGGATCCGGACTGCAGGAACAGCTGGGCCAAACACATCTCCTCTCCTCGGAGCAGAGAGCTCATCTTGACAGCAGAGAGCTCTCGGACCTCCTACCTGCTCAGACACGGTGGTGTGTTAATGTTAGCGAGCTAACAGCTGAGGGATTACAGACGCATCAGTGACGCTCATAGAGGTCCTTTCTGTTGTCTTCCATGTTTTGGTTCAGGTGAGAATCTCTCTGACTTACATAACGGACACTTCAGGTACAAACACTGTTCCTCCTGTTAGCTTGTAGGCTAACAAACCCGCTGATCTTCGCGCTCTGAGTTTCCGGATATCAACTTGTTTGGTTAAAGGTGAAGCTCAAACAATTCCGGACAGCTTTAAAAACACATCCAGGGATGCAGTCACGAGTCTTCTCACACTTTGGGAAGTTCAGGCAGGTATCCGGCTGAGATGTCCACGGTGCTACACGTCACTTCACACTGTTGAATACGATCAACTTCCACGGCAGTGAAAGTACCTTCAACCAATGACCACAGCCCTCGGGAGTCTGCGCAGTCACGCCTACACCCACACGGGCATATTTAACCCTCAATACTGTCTGAAGGCAAACGAAAGGAGGCACGAGTTAACAATTAGGACTTGTCACAGCATTAGATACGCTGTTAATCGATACACTAAAGTTTAGAGTTCTATTTTCCACCATTTGGCAAACTTTGCGTGACCTCGGGAGTCTGAAATGTGTTTATTGTAATGAAGCAGTACTGATTTGGCAATTATTGCTTGTAACTGCGCAGGTTAAAACCATGACTATCTTGTGAAGGATGCTAAGGGTGAAAATCCAAACTAATGGAAAATTCAGTCCTCACCTGAGCGACTAAGATAGTGTTTTTTAACCAGTGTTTAACCAATTTCACTTCATTGGTCAAATTTTTTTTCAATAACTTATTACCTGCAAATAATATGCAATTGTCAAGTGTCTGTGTTGTAATCTACTGCTCCAGGTTTCACACATGGTGAGTATAAATAATCTGAGAGACTATATTGTCATTGTATAAACTGTATTTGGGGCTACCAAGTGTTATTTGGTAAAATTTTGGCTGATGGTGTGCCTCGTGATTTTTTTAATGAAAAAAAGGGTGGAAAAACACTGAACCAAGAAGGTCTTTAGTTCCAGCAGCAGTGAGATTTTTTAACAGCGTATGTTAGGGTCTGACTTGGCACTGCTGCATAGTTTGTCAAGGTATTTATTTTAGTATTTTTTCATTTTTATCAGGCTTTTGTTGTATTTAATCATGTCCTTATCTTTTATTGTACCATTTTTAAATCGTGTTTCATTGGCCTTTACTGTGTTTATTGTGTATCTGGTGTTAGTCTATGTTTTTTTCTGATGTCTCCATGCTGTTTGTTGTCTGTATGAGTCTTCTTGTGGTGAAATAGTTTCCCCCATGCAGCATCAATAAAGTCTACCTTACCTTACCTTACCTTACCTTACCTTACGTTACCTGTAGCGCAGTGGCGGCTGCTGGTCTTTCAAGGAGGGGAAGCTCAGTTTTCTGGCCTACATCATAATTGTATTTGTTTATTAGTATGTAACAGAACAGAGTCGCCAAACACAACGGCAGTCGTTTTTAACAAAGACAAAAGTCGCTGAGGATCGGTAAAGTCTCTGGAGCAGTTAAGAACAACGGAATGAATGACTTAGAAAATGCTCTGGTAGATGTTTTATTCTTCAAGATCGCTGATTCGCTTGTTTAGCTGTCAATCAAAAAAGGATTTCGCCTCAGACAGCTCATCCAATCATGAATGCAGAAGCTTGGAGTCCGGGAGAAAGTCGGGACCGCCCTCTCGCCATAGAACTCCAGTGAAGCTTAGCTTCCATTGGGCGGGACAAAGCCCAGCATTTATCCAATGAGCGTCTAGTTTCGCTGCTGGAACAACCCACTTTAAGCTTCCACATTGAAGTCAGCAGAAGCCCAGCGTCCGACTGTTTGAAGCGCTGAGGCGCTGCGAGGATGAATGAGAACGAAGTTATGCCGGTTACCTGTGATTATCAGCTTCTTATCACAGTGTCTGAACAAAAGTTGAAGGCTTTCTAGTGCGTATTTAGTTAATGAAATGTACACACAGCCGTACGTATTTCACCACTTTTTCTTTTTTTGGGGGGGTGACATTTTAAGGGAAGCTAAGCTTCCCTTGCAGTCTTAGAGCAATCGCCACTGCTGTAGCGTCAGTTTAGAACTAGAATCTTTGCCGTGACATGAGCCACCCTTAATGTTGGCCAGAGTTTAAGATTACTTCACAACTGCAGATAAGTCACGAATTTTATTGTTAGCAGAACATAAAACAACATCGTGTTTGTGGAGGATGACCTTTTTTGGGTGCATCTAAAACCTAAATAAATGATGCACCAGAAATGATCCCTGCTGCATTTCATTAAAAACAAACACAAACTGGAGGACTCCACATAAAACCTACCCACTTTTCAAATCTGTTAATAAATATGTATATTGAGTAAAAGTATATTGAGTGCCTGAGCCTTCCAATGTCTTATAAAAAGTATCTTTATTACAAAACGCTGCATTAACACAACTATTTACATTCTCGCAAATATAAACATCTAAAGACCATAGAAACACTAATAATGAAAACACCAGATTGGTCATTTCCAAGCTTGTCGTATCTGTTTCCACGGAGTCCCAAGGATCGAAGCAGTTATGAAGAAAAAAACCAAGATGAGACCCTTTGCCAGTGACTGAGAGTACGGCTCACCTGGGGAGGACAACGTCAAAACAAGTGAGTAGTGGCAATATTGTTATGTTGAATTTGATATCTTAACTCAATTATTGTTCATATTTATTTTCCAAGGACAAGGTAAATTGCTGTTCTGCTACCTGTGTAATACTTGGTGATAGGAAAGGCGAGCTCTGGCCAACATATATCATTCCTACTACAGTCATACTCTGTGAAGTTGATCTGGAACCTGTCAGGGGGGACAACATCATATTGAAGGTTAGAATTGGTCTGGCTGCTACAAAGAGGAATTCAATGAGGACAAACATGCTGTTCGATAAGAGACCTGGTTTTTGGCAGCCCTGTGTTTATGGGGATGTCAATGAAAGTGACAGAGGAGGTGATGGAGAATAACTGAGTCTCCATCTGGTCCATACATGCAGGGACATCTCCACCTCCACAATCCAGTGCCCAGGAAGACAGACTAAAGCTGAAAATGACAGTAGAAGACAAATGAGACCCCTCAAAAACTCAACAGTACCTCCTTTGTGGAGAAAACAGTTTAGTAAAAATACACACCTGACTTGCAATGAAAGGATTTCTTTTTGAGGTATCCCATCCATTATGCCAGTGATACGACTCCATACATGTATCTGCTGATGAGAGGGAATCCCATGGCACACACCCGGGCTGTCCTCCATAGCTGTGCTTGAATTTGGCATCATATCTGGGCATTAAACGTTGTAATATTTAGTTAGACCAAAGCAGAAAAAACAGACAATTTTCTAATTTGCTTGAACATGCACATGCAAGACAATTACTCTTCTCAAGTTTGTCTTTGCATCATTAACTCACAGCTTATGTTCACCCAGTCCGTCAACATCAGAGGATCTGGGTTTCCACTCTTTGCAACATATGTAGCTGTGACTAAAGCTGACTGGAGAGAAGCAACAGTCTCTCTAAAGAAGAAGAAGAGCATTATAGTTGAATTCAACACATGGGTATCAAGATTAAAAATAAAACAAACTCATGCCCAGCTACTGACCTCAGGAAATCACACTGACTCAGATTCTGTTGGCCGACATGTAGCAGACATCCTGATGTTGAATTCAGCCCGTACAGAACTGGTTTTGTTTCCACAACGGAGCAGAGTCCATCACTCACTGTCAGTCAGAACAGACAATAGTGCTGTCACTTTCATTCACCTTGTACATGCAGTAGGCCAGTAATCAGCAGCATGACTTATCCAGCTTACCTGGTTTCCAAAGGCTGATTGATGTTCTTTGTATTGAGCCCGTGTCATTGCCCAATATGTCCATAATCCCAGCAATGACAGGTCTTCCAACCTGGTAACCTGTCAGTTCAGATTTTTGTGTTAAGTTATTCATATAAACATTCACCTGTAATGATTATTTGATCATCCTCTCACCTGGGTTCCCTGAGTTAGGATCACCTGGGTATCCATTTAGAAACTCAGCAGAATACCTTGTAGCCAACGTCACTTTTAGGACAGAACAGAAAATACAGTTTTAAACACAATTTTCTTAGGCTATGATGAATCAAGCATGATTGATATTTACCACTTTTATTTAAAGCTATGCTCCCAACGGTGCGAGTCACTGTGATACTCGTGATTCCATTTTCTTTCCAGTAGAATTTGTAGTCGAGGGCGAGGGTCACATTCTCACACACCAGACTCTTATCTGTAAAAAATATGAAACATTTCTCATCCAAATGTCTTGGTGTCAGTTCAAGTTGTTTTGAGAGTGATTTTTGTGACGGACATACCTAAAGAAGAAACAGCATCTCTTCTTGAAATAAACTCACTCAAGTCAACGGCAACCTCGTCAATAACATCAACCGTTACATCACCTGGACAACAAACACACAAACAGAACAACAGTCAAACATACGGAATACAACTGCTCTTAAGTTTATAAAAGTGCTGATGATCAGCAGATGAAACATGCCTCCTTGGCCGTTCATTACTTGAACCCTCAAATCCTCTAGTTGTGTTTGTAAAGGAGGTTCAGTTGGACAGAAGCGCAGCAAAGTTAAACAACTGACTTCAAAGTTGTTCAAAAATGCCACAGGGGCATTGTTCACACACTGTCCAAGCACTGTCTGTGAAAGAAGAAACACACAAGAGATTGTTTGTTATAGCTTTAGTAACACAAACATAATAAACTACACAGCAGACACACAACTCACCTGTGGGATAGTGAAGAGCTGGTCGGTCGATGTGAAGATTGGACTTCCTTGTATGTAAGAGATAACCGGCACCGGAGCTGGTAAAGCAGGCTTTTGGAAAGACTGACCAGGCTTAGGTGGACTAGAAAAAGGTTAAAAAACAAAAGATAAATGATGAAAACGGGAAACTCAAAAGTGTCGAATGATTCACATATTCCAAAAACATCATTCAATGATTACTCACATTACGTGTCCCTGGTAAAAGAGCCCGAGGTAAGGGTTGTTTTCAGGTGGCGAATTAACACACAAAAATGGAAACCAATCAGGGGAGTTTTCAGCTGACTGCACAGAGCACTGATAGTCTGGATCAGTGGAGACCTGCCCACCAAAGGGCCCTGGGAGGCAGTTTGATGTGAACAGCTTCAAGTCTGCAGCAGAACAGTCCTGGTGGAGTAAAGATGAACAGAAATATTTAACACTGAGTTTCACAGTTGAATATTTTTCCTCACCAAAATTTGAATCATGTGGAAGCTGCAAATACCTTGTCACAGCAGCAGCGTACATCACACACTCCTAAGGTGAGGTCACAGGGACATGCGCCCAGTGGTTGGTACACTTGGTTTGGAATGACTGATGTATTATCTGAGATGACAAAGAGATTTGCATTAATGTCAAATGTATCATATACTCAATATGAGTGTCTTGGCTGTTACTATTGCGTTAAGTTTGTATCACCAGATGCAGCATTCGCAGGGACCAACACTGCATGTATCTTGGCCTGGATCAGCAGTGATGCCAGAGGTGTGGCGCCCACACAGGCAGACACCTGAAGGGTCTCCAGGACACAGAGTGGTTTAGGACAGCAGTCTGTCTCTGTCTCATTCTCACCACACAAATGTAGACTCCTATTCAGACTCAGCTGAAACTGAACTGCATCCTAGAAGAAACAAACATGAGGAATATATATAAAAAAGCAAATGTTGACATTGTTTTATTTTTGAATGAGATGAATCAAAATGGGTCTCTTACCTTTCCCACCTGCTCCTTTGTAAGCACCCATTGTGTTATTTCAGCTACACATGACAGAGGATCAACGCTTCCTGCAAGATGGGGGAAACAGGAACCAATTATTTTATCTGCATAAAAAGACCCAACCACCTTTGGATGAATGTGAAGAAGTGACTGTTATTTAGGGAGAGAGAAGGTGAGGGAGGGCTGGGGCTTTACCTCATACACGGGGTAAGTTGACCATAGGAGACTACTTTTTTGGCATGCTATATCATCAAGACAGTTCTGTTTATACTCATTCTGTTGGTTTACAGGAATAAACAACATCTTCAAATATATTCAGATACACTAGTTAGAGACAAAACTATGATTGCCTTGATGTAGTGATCTGAAATATGAAAAATGGCTCATCTTACCCCACTCTCCCCTACTTTATCTGCATAAAAATATCCAACCACCCTACCCCCACAACCATACAACTGGCTTTCAACAGTCACATATGCAGTCACACCCAAAGCCAAACACACACACACACACACACACACACACTAGCAGAGTACAGATGAACCAGTTAAGAAAGCACCATCAGAGGAGTCATCTGCACCAGGAGCAGAGAGGACACTGACTCAGGACCCAGAGGAGAGATGGAGGATACACAACCCCCCCCCCCCCTCCCCCACCCCCACCCTGAAGCCACTAGACTGGGTCCTGCACCTGCAACCACAGCTGACAACCACTCCCGGTGCAGTGGACTCCCAGAGGAAACACAGTATAGTTTACCTGTAGTGTTGGAGGCAGAGACAGTCCTCACAGACAGAGAGATATCAGTCAAGTTTCCCACCAGAAGAGCAGAAACATTTGGTCCACTTGTACTGAGATATGACGGCTGGAAAACTGTGAAACAACAGGTAAAAGAGTCTGATTAAATTAAACAATTAAACCACATAATGAGTTGATTTTTATGGATGTTTCTTTGGTATAAGATCGGGATGTTAAGGTAATTAATCAACACTAGAGCTCTAATAAAACATTCGATGAAAATCGCGTCTAAGTAACATTAAGGTCTTACCGACTGTGTTTCCAGTGTGAACAGAGGACATAAACAGTAAAATACAGAGAGCCGGACGTAAAGTGAACTTCAAAAAGTCAATTCTATCTGTAGAAGCCATTTAGTCCGAAAATCATGAAGGAGACATATTTGTAAACCGTCCTGATGTCTTAGCAACGAAGATTTCCGGTTCTGGGAACATAAGGAGCAAAGTGACAAACAGCGCCCCCTCTGATCGGGAGGAGATTTAAGAAGTGTATATGAGAGGGTACTGTACATGAGTACAGACCACAGACTGTTTATACTATTCTATATACAGTCTATCTCATTTACCTGAGAGAAGTGCTGAGGTAACAAGACTTATGTCAAATCCCAGGGACTTGACTGCGATATGTGTTTTAATTTAGGCATAAATAAAATGCCATAAAAAGGGTAAAGACAGCATTTGGAGATTGACAATGAAAGCGGTATACACAACATACACATTCATACCAGGTACAAAAAGAATAAAAATACTATAAAACAAATTGAATTAAATTAAAAAATGAATAAGATAAAATAACAGCAGTAAAAAAACGTATGTATGTGATAATGATGATGATGGTATTGATATTGCAAATGATTAATAAATATCATGAAATGAATGTTTGATTTAAAGCAACAATTTCAATCTTGTTCATTTTTAGGTGAATCTTAATTCCATGGTATTGATCGTTATTGGTTGTAATTTGGTGATATAAAACTTATTTCATTCCCATTGTTTAATAGATTTCACCAAAATTCAAATGTCTGAAAATCCACCACTGGGTGGCAGCAGGTCAAAGGTACTTCTCAACAACTGCTAGTTTAAGGATAGTAGAAGGAGAAATGTGTCACGTGACCTGTGCACCGGCGTGTTTCCCATGTTGTAGACAGCTGTAGTTGTATGTGGAGTTTTTTAATGAAATGTTGTCTTTTGAGGAGCTGATAACAAGTCTGCAGGACTGTACCATCCTCGACGATCAAACACCCGAACATGTTTGTCAAACTCTCAAGTTACTCTGTGAGAAACTGTCTGAAGCCTCCAGGTTTGTACCTTCAACCCCAAACATGTCATGTTTATACTCAGTTTGTTAAACTCTGTATATGCAGTAATGGAATATGATGATGATTCTGCCGGTATGAACAGAAACAGCGTTAAAAGATGTAAAGAGCGGAGTTTAGAGGAGGCGCTTCAGCTGCTGGGACACATTTCAGAGGAGCAGCTTCACTCTCTGGAGGAACATCAGCTCCTGCTTCTGGTCAGACTTCTGCTCTCTCTGCAGCTGAAGATGGTCAATATCTCCACAGCCTGTCGTAAAGTGGACCAGGTCAGCTTTAACAGTCTATCTGTTCACTGTACAGAGATTAAAACAAATGAGAACTCCTAATAAAACTGACATGTTTGGTTGGCAGATGCTGCAGCAGTTGGTAAAGGTGAAGCACAGTTTGGTCTATGAAGAAACTCAGCTCTGTTTAAACAGCATCATCCATCCTGAGCAGGTAAAGACATCTCACTCAGCTGTAGGGTTGCAAAATTTTCAAAGTTGGAAACTTTACATGGGAATAAATCTGCATGCACTGTTCATCCCTCTATCACATGCACAGATGATGGTTTTCTGTAACCATACAATAATTTATACATTAATCGTCAAATATTTTAAAGACCATTCCAGTTGTATTGCCAAATATATTTCTGTTCATGGCATTGCATAAGTGTTTTTACAACCTCTTTTTTTATTTTATTCAACAGAAAAATGCCACGTTCGCCATCTGATGTGTGGAAACATTTCACACAGGCTAATGTCTGCTTATGAAAAACAAAAATAATTATATTTATGTTTGGATATGATGCAATTTGTTTAAATTACCCCTAATTTCCAGTTAATTCCCATAAATTTCCATAAAATTCCCATATTAGAAAGTTTCCAATATGGACTATTTCCAGAATTCCCCAGCTTAACTTCCCATAGAAGTTTCTGGAATTTAACCAGAAATTTTGCAACCCTACTCAGCTGACCGTAGGTTTTTTCATAGTCATGCCTCAGTAACTCTTACTGTGTCTTTTTTCAGATGTTGTGTATTGAAGATCTACAGAGAGGTTGGTACCTGCTGAAGTTAATATCTTGATTTACTCATCAGCAGTTTTCTAACATTTTTCCCACCTTGTTCAGCCTGTATGTTTCTCGAGGACAGCACTATTGGTCGTGAAGTGTGGACAGAGTCTCACATCCCCTTCCTGAATAAAGTGTCAGAGCTGTTTGGGGTTGTGCTGCAACAAAAATCCCACAGAGATGGACCGCTCTGTTACATCGCTGTCAAGGTACATGATAAGCTGCGTGTTACTGATCCAGTTATACGCATTCATTATAGCAGTGTAGTGTGATCCATTCATCTGTCTCTGCAGGTCTGTTTGCAGATCTTTCAGCTGTTACCTGGTGAAGTTGCTCCTCTGGTGTGGAAGAAGGAGCGAGTTTGCCCAGCTGTGCAGAACATCCTGAAGGCTCTTATGGACATAATACTTGGAGAGGTTGTTCCATCCTCTAATTCAGAAAATAGGTCGTTTTGTTTCCTGTATTTTGTTTAATCAGTTGTGTGTTTTGTCTTGCAGTGCACCAATAGGGACACACGTCTTTTAGCTGGCACTGCTGTGGCCATGCTTATTAACTCAGCACCAGAGAGCAGAGCAGGAGCGGCGGCTGCCTGGAGTCTGCTACAAGTCTCAAACTTGGGTAGGTAAGCAGAAACACTGCAGGACAGTAAGCATGTGCAAATGTAAAATTTCAAATCCTAGATCATAAATTTCGATCATACATTCTCTCTATACTTCAGTTTTTACTTCCTTTCTCTCAGAGCACTGGCTGCTGACCGTTGGAGCTCTGCAGGTTCAGTGCAGACCTGCAGGGATGGATGGAGTGAGCAGGCTGGTTGTCTGCAGGGGCCTCCTGACCTGCTGTCGACCTCAAATCCTGCTCAGCTCACACGAGGAAGCCACAGAAGTAAATCTGTTTAAAGTACATGAATCACAATTATGTTCTCCTCTTTCAGGGCGCGCTCTTTTCATAGATTTTTTTTCTTTTCAGATGTTTTTACTGCAGAAAGGTTTGTTCCCTATTGTCTACACTCTGTGTGAGGAGAAGCTGGATTGCCACTACTTTGCCTTTGAAGGTGAGTGATCTCCATGTGGTTCACTCCTGAGCTTAAAGTTTAATATCTACTGCTCAAACATGAAATGTCGTTGCAGTTTTGACTCTGTGGCTGAAGAAAGTGAAAGAATGTCTGGCTGATATCTGGGAGATGATCAGTGCTCCACTTCTACCTGACGACAGCAGCCTGCTGCAAGAGCTGATTCACATCATCTGGACAAATGCAGAGAGCCCGGTGAGTCGAAGTAACATCACTGTATCATTAAATTGAAATAAATAAACTTGCAAACATTAATTTTCCTGTGTGGTAACAGGTGGAGGGCGTGTCAGAGTTTGTGCGTGCTGCTTTTGGCCTTCTGTTGGACCTGTATGAGATGGACTGTGAGCACTTCTCTAACACAAAGAAGACACTTTACTCAACTCTTCTCGGCAGGATTATTAAACTACCATGGGACGCCAAAGCCAGATATCATCATCTATGTGCTCTGCTGCCATATGTGGGGACCGACAAGGTAAGGGTCAAAGGTTAGACAGTGAAAACAGGAAATGAAACCCTAAAAATAACCTTTATTGATGCTTTAAAGGGATATTCCAGTGTAAAATTAATTTAGGGTCAAACACACCATAACACCGAGTAAGACACCCTCTCGAGAGATGAATGATCATAAATGTTCTTCCTTGAGCTGCGTCACCCCGCTGCAGTCCGTAATGGACTGGCCTGAGGTCTCGCTACAAACAAGCGGCTGCTGGAAGAGAGTAGGTGAGTTGTGTTTAGTCTCTTTGCTAAAGAAATTAGTCAAAGCTAAAAAGATGTTTGGTGGCTAGTACTATGGCTGGGACCCTATATGTACTGTTGATGAAGTTAGGTGCTGTTCTGAGCATTATTTGTGGCGTTTTGGTTGAGGTGTGTGCGTGGATCCATAGACCGCTGTGTATTGCTATCATGTGGTCGTTACCAAAGTTGGTATAACTAGAGAAGCAAGCGGTCGGCAACATTCATCTCTCGACGGTGTGTCTAACTTGGTGTTACGATGTGTTTGACCCTAAATTAATTTTACGCCGGAATATTCCTTTAATCCGTGTGGCCGGTGTGATGACTTCTGTACATGTTTCCTTTATCGATCAGGTTCTGGATCAACATGCAGAAATACCCAATCATATCCTGAAGTGCCTGGCGACCAATCACCTGTCACCGTGTGGCTCAGAGCTGTACAGGTGTCTGATCCAGCAGCAGAGACGAGAACTGTCTAACAGCTCACACACAGAGCTGGATCTGGCCGGTCAGTGGGCACGGCGCTGGCGGTCTGTCATTCACGAGGCTCTGACATCTGATGTGACTCTTCTCCAGAACAACAGCGCAACATACTTATTACCCTGCAGCTTCCAGGTCTTCCCCTCTGCTGTAGATCCTCTCTTGACCTCCCTAGATCCACTCGACCCCGGTCACCTCCATGCCTGGGCCTGCATCCTCAGTTCCTACAGAGCGGTGACAGGAGGCTCACCCTGGGCTCTGCAGGGGAGCTCAACCTTGGAGATCCTCCAGTTAGCGCTCGAATCTGCAGATGACAAAATCCGCCTCGCTGCTCTCAACCTCATCTGCTGCAGCCCCAAGACTAAAGACGCTCCAACTCCAGAAGAAATGTCGATAATGAGGAAGTTTATCCCTCAGAACCTTAACTGTGAGTCTTCACCCTTCCGCCAACATTTTCAGGCTGGAGTAAAGAAGTTTCTGGTTCGTATCAGAGATAGCTGTCTGTCACACGTCAAAGGACAGAAGAACAACAAAAAGAAAGATACCAGAGACTCAGCAGAGGCGCTGGACGCTCTGAAGCAGGGAATAGGTGAGGCTCAGTTCTTCTTTAGTACAGTTTTCTGTTATTTTGTCTGTAACCTGCTCATTCACTCCCTTCTGTGTGTCTTTCAGGGTTTGTGGAATGGTTGGGTCAACTCCCGTACAGCTGTCTGGCACCAGGGCACAGCTATCAGAGGAAGAAGACTGCGTTGCTGCTGTTGTCTGTGGTGCTGGAGACCTGCACAGACAGCTGGAGCCCAGACAGGAAGAAAGGACAACCTCCAGGTCAGACTGAAAACCCTTGAACACTACTTTTGTCTTATTCTTCTTCTCAAATGATGACTCTTCTTCTTTTGTTTTATATCACTCAGCCAACATCGGATCGCTCATTGGCTACGCCAGACAGACAGGACAGTGGGACTTTGTCAGCAGGACAAAACAGCTGGTCCTCATCAGCTGTTTGGAAGATTCGACAAATGAGGTTGGGCTGACGTGATCGGTGGATGTAATTTAAGCCTGAGTTTGATTTTGATGATGCAAAAGAAGAAGATAGCGATCTTTTCTTTTGCAGATTCGGGAACTTTCAGCCGGGTTATTGCTGAGGTTCTTCCCTCCCAGACTTCCCGATGACGTTGCCGCCGTGTTGCTCGCCAGGACTAAACAGCTTCTGTGCAGCCCTCGGGTGCAGGAGGCTCAAATGGGAGCGCTGATGATGAAAGTTGTTCTCTTCAAGTAAGTCTTCTCCCCTGAGTATCATCGTTCGGATTTATAACTTCTGTAGATAAAACAGATAACTTCTTGCTTTAACTGTAGATCAAAAGGAACACCTGAGGATCCCGCCAAGACTTCCTGTTTGGTTGAATTCCTGGTGACAGAGCTGGAGGAACATTATCTGACGGCCAAAGCTGACATGATGCTCGCTGCTAGAACCAAGACAATCCATGGTGACACTTTAAGACGCTTCTGACATCCACAGTGATTGATGGTTCATCTTAAAAAACGTTGTTCAGTCCAATGAATCCTGTCGTTTAGGTGTTTTGAGCGCCCTCCAGAGGTGTTTGCTTGAGGCGTCCAGCTGTGTTTACGACACACTCGGCCACAGTCTGACCATGAAGCTGCTGAACCTGATGGAGAAGACCTCCCTGCTCCTGCTGGGAGTTCTCTATGGAGATCTGGACACTTGTGCCAGTGAAAAGGGTAGATACCAAACTAAATTTGGGACATGGTATGTAACATTTCAGACAAATCCCTCTGTGATTGGCCCTCCTCTGTTGTAGATGCCCCGCCTTCTTTCTGTGATATGGGAAATGCCATCAGCTCACTCATAGCCCAGGCATCAGGAGGAGGCCAAGCAGATGGAGAGGAAGTTGTCCTGCTGTCTGAAGAGCACAGCCTCATTCTCACCTGCTGCTGGGTCTCACTCAAGGTAAAAAAAACAAAACAAAAACAAATATAGCTGTGAGCATTATTAGCATGGCTCTGCTTCTTCTATGTTTTCTTTTTGTTTGTTTGTTTTTATCAGGAAATAGGAATCTTTTTAGGTTCTTTGGTGGAGAAGCTTTTATCTGGATCCAAACCGAACCAGCGTCCTCTAACAAAAGAGGAGCTAATGAGAGCGTCTGAAGTCTTTAAGAATATTCTCCTCAAATGTCGTCACTGGGTAAGATTTAGCGATCTGTGTGGAGGCTGTCAGTCTGAATGATCTCTAATTCCTTAATTCTTCTCTCTCAAAAAAAATGCTTCTTGCCACCAGGGGGCAGTAGAGGGATGCTGTGTGGGCTTCACCAGGTTCTGTACCTCTCTGCTGTGCAGTGGTGATGAAGAACTGAGGGATATCCCAGCTCACATGCTGAAACAAGTGAGTGTTGACTCATGTATTCGTAAACAGAGATGCTGGACTCGTTCACAGATGAATGTCCTCTCTGGTATCTGTCCAGGGTTTGCAGGTTTTGCAGTCCCCTTGCTCGACATCTGTGACCCGGCGAGCTGCAGGGCTGCCCATGCTCATCCTCTGTGTTTTGACTGCAGAGGAAGCGAGTAAATCCAGACCTCTGTTAGCCTACAGTATGCGAACCTTACTGGAAACAGCAAAAACTCCAGTGCCTGAGAACTGGGACCAAACAGTGGACCTGCCACAGGTTTGTAATAAAGAAACAAAGATTGTTCTTCATACCAGTGAAAGCCGATGTGTTGATATGATGGTTCCTCTCCTCACAGGTGTGTGCGGTCCACACTCTGCAGGCTCTGGTCAGGAGTTCAGGTCTGGGAGCCGCCATCCTTCAGTACGCTCAATCCGTAGCTATCCTGTCTCTGACTTTGCTGAGCTCTCCATGCTGGGCCATGAGGAACGCAGCTTTGCAGCTTTACAGTAAGACACTGACACAGTTACAGGCTCTAATAAGAAGGACTGCACTAGGTCAAAAGTGACAAGTAGACAACTTTTTAACTCAAAGTTTCTTCATCTTTTAATTTTTGTATCTATACTATGCTGCTGTAATTTTGGAATTTCCCACTGTGGGGCTATTAAAAGAACATCTTATCTTATCTTAAGTAGCTATTAGAAAGTGCAAGTTTTATTGTTATTATTATTGACACAGTTATTTAAATCATTAAATAAGTTACAATGTGGAGTTATAATAATTCCCTTTCCTGATCCATGATCCTGTTCTCAGGTTCTCTGTGCTCCCGGATGCTTGGTCGGCGACCCACCAGTGAAGAGGGGGTGTCTGCCCAGCACGGCATGTCCCCCCTCGCCTTCTTCATCCACTACCCTGAGCTCCAGACGTTCCTCCTGGGCGAGCTGAAGGGGGCAGCACAAGACCTCCAGGGTCCATCTAATGAGGCCAGACTGCACCTCCAACCTTCACTGTACCCTGTCCTCACTCTGTTGGCGCAGCTGCAGCCTGGTGTCCAAGACTCAACACAGTAACTTCAACTATCTCATATTCAATCGCTTAACAAATTCAGCTGGAACACACAAGAATAGTTATTGTTAATGTTATTTTTGTAAGATTATTTTGCATAAATTCAAAGTGAAATATAAGTTAAAAATACATCAGCCTTTAGGTACTGGAGAGTGGATTTTGCTACCTTTGGCAGAGCTCTCTGTTTATCCCAGTTTCATGTCTTTTTCTGCTGGCAGAAGCTTCTATTTAGTAAAGAGACTTAAGAGTGGCAATAATCTTCTTATATAACTCTGCTAAAGGCTAAATAATCCAGTATTTTTCTGCGTTTTTGCAAAACATTCATGAATAGTTAAGATTTGTCCATTTCTGTTGCTCTCAGCTGCAGTAGTTTGACCGAGTGATTGTCGTCGCTGTTTTGTTTTTGTTTTTTTTCCCCCCATGCCAGAACTCTGTCAGACTTCCTGCCGCCTTTACTCCAGCTGTCAGCCAGTCCCATTTACAGCGTCAGAGTGATGGCTTCAAAGGCTTTGGTTGCCATGACCCCTCCTTCAGAGTACATGAACATCCTGGACAAACTGACCACTCAGCTGCCAGGTCCACAAGAGCGCTGCAGTCACAACCGTCTCCATGGACAGCTGCTGCAGATCAAAGCTGTGGTAGAGCGAGCTCTCAGCGAACACAGGTGAGACTAGAAAGAAGGTTTTTTTGTTCATTCATCTGACGCTGTGAGCTTTTATCATCCTGCTGTGTTTCTGTTCTAGTGTTGCCCCCTCAGCCGACCTGGGTGAGGTGTTGAGGAGGGTGGATGCTTCTCTGTGGTTGGTGACTGGAGCTCAGCGCTGCCCTCTAGTGAGAGCAGCCTACCTGGGAGTGGCAGACTCTCTGAGGGGGTTCTGCTCAGAGACCTTCCTGTCAAAAATCAGCGAGACTCTCATCTGTGACCTCCAGAAACCTCAGCAGCAGCTGCATGTATGTGAATAAAGGACACTTTATTTTTCTGTTATTTCTAGAATAGATAAGATGAAGGCAAGATAGGGCAATTTTCATGCAATCTAGGATGCTGAATCAGATCAGGGATATTGCATTAACTCTATATGTATGTGAAACTTTTTATCGTAAAGCAGCTCTTAATAAGGGATCTTGATCCAAAGTTAAACGTTAGCTGCATTTACATGAGCACAAATAATCGGCCCAAATAAATTCCTGATCGGAATAAAAATGCGTCATGTAAACATGCCGATCTGAAGATTCTGATCCAATTCGGCTCAATCGGAAAGAAATCGTATTCCGATTAAGAGGGGTGGTTTATGCCGATGATTATTCTGAAACGCGTCCATGTAAACACTTATTCCGATTGTAACTCTCTAACCTGACTCGGTCGTCACTCTTTAGCCTTTGGCTTATTTATTAAGGTCCCGCCCTCCTTCGTCTCTGATTGGCTAGAAGAACTGGGCTCCGATCGGTTATTCCTAATGACTGTAAAACGTCATCGTCTGTCGGGTTAGGTTAAGGGTCAGGGTTAGGGTTAGGACAGAGCCGACAGCCCGCGTTTGCCTTGAGTGTGTGATGACGTTTCCAACTTTTCTAGCCAATCAGAGGTGAAGGAGGCGGGACTTTTTCCTACCATCCTACAAAAAACAAAACAAAACAAAACAAACAAAAAAAAATATATATATATATATATATCGCCAACCACAGGTACCGTGTCATAACAAGGCGTACATACAGCGTAATGATGTCACATCTGTACGCAAAGTGCAATCTTTGACAGAACAGTAAAATAAGTACACAAGGGCGCCATCTAGTGACAACATTTAACAGAGGGAAAACTCCTGAATTGGATGGAGTGAGCCACTACAGCGTTTGTTGACAGCACAGACGTAAACACAACTCTTCTTCTGCGTTCGCTTTAGCAAAATTAAACAACTCTGCGCACGTATAAATGCTAATAATCTGAATAAAGCTTAGTGCATATATACACACATCATGATCGGATTATTTGATTTTGCACCCATATAAACTGTCGATTTAGATTTTACGATCCCTCAAATTTTTAATCGGGTCAAGAAATTTTGCTCATGTAAACGTGGTTAGTGTGTACTCAAAAGGGAAAAGGCATCACCTGAAGAGCAAACACAGCTCAGGGGAAACCAAAGCTGCTCCTCCTTTGGTAAAAACACCACCCTCCATGTTATCAGTCTGATCAGGAGGCTGCTGTTAAATCTGAGACACCAGGGCTTCATGATTTCTCATTTGCCAAGCATGTTTTGTTCTTCTCATGCTCTCTTGTCCTCTCCACACACAGGTCGGTTTGTCAACCTTTCACCATCAAGCCGTCCACTTCCTGTGTGCACATCCGAAGTGGGCATGTGAAATCTGGGCTGTCTTCCCCTCACTGAGCCCTGATCTGAAGCTCTCATTGGTGACGTGGTGTGTGGTGGATGGCTGTTTGGAGCACAAGGAGGTGATCCACAGGGTGTTACAGGTGAGACGTGGGCGTCTCTCTCCAGACTTAAGAGCAAAGAAAACAAACCCTCTCTAAAAAAAACCTGTCCGACATGTTCCAGCGTAACGACCTGCTTAGAGCACAATGAGAGGAAACCGAGGAAGCAGAGATTCAGGCTTCAACATAATTCAATCTGAGTTTGAGATCTGTGTGGAAATCTTTTAAGCTGCTGTGATATAACAGAGGGAGGGTCTGTAAGCGATCATATTCTGCATTAAAGGAGAGTTCAGTTCAGTCAAGCCGTTAGTTTATTACCTGCTGTTCATGAAGGTCATTTAGATAAGCTTTAGTGCATTACCTCATGTAGATAAGTTTTTGATTGTCTCTATAAAAAGGCTCGATAAGAAGTCATAAGAAAGAGTCAGACTACTGTTTATGTGGTGAGATCAGTTATTTCACCACATGTCTTGACTTTTATTAGTTTGAAAGTTATTTATGTGTGATTCATCCACTCAAGCTGTTCGTCCGTTAATTGATTACAAATGAGTCTCAGTTGGGGTTTACCTGTCTGTTATCTAAAAGCGCATTGAGGATCTAATAAGCCAATTAAAGGACTCTACTTATCCTCTTTATTCAAAGGCCAACCTGAAGGAGGCGTTGTTGAGCCAGAATGTGGAGTACCGCAGGACCTACCTCACCGCCCTGGTGGCAGTGACGGCTGGAGGGGATTCTACGTCGACGTCACCCCAACATCTGTCCCAGCCCCTCCTGCAGGACTGTCTGGATTTGTTGCTCAGTGATCTGGAGGACCAGGATGGGGGACCGGAGTTTCTGTCCCAGGCCTTGTGTGCTGCTAGTCTGCTGCTTTTCCAACTCTCAGACTCTCGGTTAGAAATGGTTTGTTTTCATTTTTAACATCATTTGGACACATCGAGCTGCAGCTCTGATGTTTTCTTCTCTGTGTGCTCCTCAGTTTGAAGATAACCACGCTCCAGCGCTGGTGTGGTGTCCTTGAAATCCAACGGTCCCCAGACGCTCCTGAGGTACTCAGGTTAGCGTGCGCTGAAGCTCTGTGTGAGACTGCGCCTTTACTAATGAGAGACCACAGCAACCTGCCAGCCATCATGATCAGGTATGAAGAGAGTCTAATACAGAGGATACTCTTTAAAGGGATATTCCGGTGTAATATTAATTTAGGGTCAAACACACAGTAACACCGAGTTAGACACCCCCTGAGAGATGAATGTTGACGAGTACTTGCTTCTCTAGTTATACCAACTTTAGTAACGACCGCAGGATAGCAATACAGAGCGGTCTGAGGAGCCATAAACAAACCTCAACCAAAACGCCACTCTATAGACACAAATAATGCTCAAAACAGCACCTAACTTCATCAACAGGACATATAGGGTCCCAGCCATGGTACTAGCCACCAAACATCTTTTTAGCTTTGCCTAATTTCTGTAGTAAAGAGACTAAACACAACTCACCTACTCTCTTCCAGCAGCCGCTTGTTTGTAGCAAGACCTCAGGCCAGTCCATGAAGGACTACAGCGGGGTGACGCAGCCCAAAGAAGAACATTTATGATCATTTCTTTATCATTTCCTTGAAGTAATAATCATCATATTAATCATTTTGCACTGCAGACGTGGTAGTTCTTCTGCCTTAGCGTCTCGGTCTGATTGTATATCCAATAAAGAAATGATCATAAATGTTCATCCTTGAGCTGTGTCACCCAGCTCTGTATTGCTATCCTGCGGTCGTTACTTAAGTTGGTATAACTAGAGAAGCAAGCGGTCAGCAACATTCATCTCTCTCGGGGGGTTGTCTAACTCGGTGTTACTGTGTGTTTGACCCTAAATTAATATTACACCGGAATATCCCTTTAATGAGCAGAAATGAAAATGTTGGTTCTCTCTGCTTCAGGCTGATCAACACGGGCCTGGTCTTGCTGCAGGACCAAAGCCAGCAGGTGAGGATGAAAGCGGCTTGCTTTGCCTCCAAACTGCACCATGTGAAAAGAGGAGAATTCCAGAGGAGCGCCTACATCATGCAGGTGAACCAGGCTCTGCTTCTCCTTCTGGACCTGCTGCTTGAGGAGTTCTGGGACACCCCCGGCACACTGGAGGTGCTGCTGTTCCACCTGCCTCAGTCTGACCTCAGATCTGTGACGAAGGAGGCCTCAGCGACGGCGTATGTCCCCTTCAATTTGAACAAATAAAACAGCCTGGATTGAGTTTTGCCTGACTGTAACTGTTGTTCCCGGATTCAGGTGTTCCAGTTTGTACGAGCAGGATGAGGCTAATGTGTTTGCAGAGCCCTCTGTCATGTCTGCACATGTGCTCCCGTACCTGCTGCAGACGGCTGAAAAACACTCAAAATCCTCGGCTCTGGCTCAAAGCTTGAATTCATGGGTAGGAGATAATGCTGCACAGGTGCTAGACGGCCTTTCTGTCTGCAATGAGATCCAGCCAGGTAAAAACATGAGCCCGTCACTCCTAGAATAAGAATCGCATGTTGATGTCTTCATCTGCGGTGCAACAATGCTCTTCTTTGTTTCCTCTTTAGCTGAGACTCTGACCCCTGACTGGCTGGCTCTCCTCAGAGACCCTCATTTCTACAACACCCTGTGCGGCCTGTTCACCAAAGCTGCCTTCCTCCTTCAGCTGTTGAAAACATCAGACGACGTGCCACACCTTTGTGACTCTTCATCTCTGCAAAGGAGCTTACAAGAAGTTTGCAGCCTTCTGGGTCAGAACGGTGTCCACTTTCCGACGGCTTTAACAGACGCTGTTGCTGGAGAGCTGCCGCGGTGATTGCCAGCCTGATAAAATTACCTCTGGGTATTTGAAGAATGCCTGAGAGATCATCAAGCGCAGTCTTATTCTTGAATGAGCGTCTCAGCTGCTGATGCTGCAGTACACCAGTGCTTGGCAGGCTATGTAAGAGGTTATGTAAGAGCTGAGGGGTTGCAGTCAGATGTATCATCACGTTACCTATACAGAGGAGATACCCACTGGTGGAGAGCGCAGTGCAGCAGAGCAGTTGGTTCTCATGAGCTGCAGAGGATTTTCTTATCAATGCGTTCCTTTTATTCAAAGTTTAACAAAAAACTTTGATCATTTTATGAATCAGTCTTTTAAAAACAGAGCTTTAGTCCTCCACAAGTCGCCCAGATCTTCATTTCCAAAAGCACTATATCTCTCCTCACTCTCAGCTCTGTTGTTTATTATGTCGCGGTGATAACAGTGGCACAGTTCCGACTAATAACACTGATGTAATCCAACAGTATCAGGAGATCCGGCTGCTTCGTGGCCAGCGGGGGAATATTGTGTATGTTTTAAGGCTCCATTAGAGGCGGTCTAACTCGGTAAGGATCCATTTTCCGAACCACATGTGGGATGAAGATGATGACTGATGGGGAGCTGATGGTTGCTCCGCAACAGAGTGCTCACTACAGAGTCTTACATCATCAGATAGCTCTCTGCTTTTGTTTGAGATGGGCGTCTCTCAGTGTCGGACAAACAGATCATATAAAAAGTTTTATTCATGCGGTAGTTTGCCGTGTTAGGCTATTAATTAAATGTGCATGAAACGCTCTATTGTTGTGCCTACTAAATGTTTCCACAGTCTCGAGGATATGTTTAGAATAAGGTGACTAATTGATCATCATAATAGTGTAAACTAGCAGAGTCACAGTTTTTAAAATGCTCATTAAATAAGCATTAAGGGTTAGGCCCTCTATTTCTGCCATCTTTACCATTTTCTTTGCATGAAGCGTCTCAGCTGTTTTAAATCTAGATGGTGCAGCAGCTATGATATCAAACTTAAGTTCATGATTTACATTTAAAACTTAGAGGAAGTGAATTGTGAATGTGAAGATTAACACCTTCTATTAAATGAACACACCCAAAAGACAGTCATAGTTAATATTTCTTATACTGTGGCTCCATCAGCATCAGAACAAACTAAGTATAAAGACATTTTTTAAAATAAACTTGTCATTAACTTTTTTTTGCACAAATCCTGAACCATTTCAAGTCTGCTTAAAACATAAAACCTTACCTCAAAGCTTCATAGTGGAGACTCTTTAAGACACAAAGAGGTTTTAATTTTGCTCCTCTTCAAACTGGAGGAAAGGGAAACGTGTCTCAAGGCCGCCCAGAACTTATCGGTTTGCCTGAAAACATAGGAAAGTTTTTAAAGTGAGGACAAAGACTTGATTATGTTTATTCTGATTCTGCTGGAACAGAAAGTGCAAGTTGTGTCTTCTGCCTCGACCTTGAGAACAATGCTGGCAGATTGTCTACAAAGTCAAGGTTAGGCGTTTCCTGCGGGCTAAGAGTTTCTAAAACCTGAAAATGACCATCTGCTATTGTTACTGAGAGAGCTGAGTCTCTGTGCTCAGTCTCTCTCTCTCTCTCTCTCTCTAAGCCTGCATCCTGCTAATAAAAGGATTAACTATGGCAACAGGGAATAAGGCCAAGTAGGTACAAACACACTTTTACTTTCACAGTGAGTGTGAACAAGCCGAGTGTGTGTACCATCTGGAGCACTAAAGAGAGTTTGCAAGTCCCAAGGATGTCCTACCTCTTTGGAATAAAATTGACTGAAGTCACATGATTTTTTTAAAATGTATTTTTATAAATGAAATGCCTTCAGAAAATTAAGGTTTTATTAGCTCAATTGTGTTTCAGTTGTTTAAAATAAAGCGGTGAATTAAAAGAGAATAAATACATATAAATGAACTTGTACATGTGTTTTCCATCTCTTTTCTTATAAGTGCTTCTCAGTGAAAATGCACCGATTGTTAATATCATCATAATGTGCGGTTAATAGTTGCATTTTAATGTATGAATTATTAAAAGCTTTGTCAGATTTTAGCAGTTTTCTCCTCTGGAAAATAAATTCAAACAGCTTTAGAAAATCGTTGCGGTTAACTAATATAATGTGTATAAAAGACTATTTCAACCCCTGGTGTCTGTTAATTTTAAGCTCTATTCAGCCTAATTTGTACCCAAAATGGACATAGAAGGGACCGAGGGTTAATGGGTTTGGTCAGATTTGTAAAAGATCAGTTAAAGGGAGTGTGCACATTAGTTTAAAGCTCATATGAGGAGTTTTTTTATGATTTTGACACTCATACTGATGCCTTTTCATAATATAAAGAACCAAACGGGACCATCAGAGACAATATTTTATAATGTAGTTTTTAACGCCTGAAGCCGGTGTGAGGGGAGAGGTATCAGCAGAGCAGCTCGACCCCAGTTTTTTATATTTAATGCTAAATTCTACATTTAAAGTCGGAATTATGAGATTTTTTGTTCAAAATTAAATACTCTGTCACCGTCTGTGGATGAAACTGATTTGCTGATATTGTCCTCTATATGCCAAAGTTTCCACACAGTAGCTTTAATATCATGAAAAGTCACATAACCTAAACCAAAGTTTGTGCAGCAGTGGAAGTCCAAGAAGCCAAAATAAACCAACAATTCAAATGGAAAAGTCAAGACTCGGACTTATGACCTATATTTGATTCTCAAAAACTAAATTTATCTGAACACATCTGTTTTTAATTTCTGTTCGTTTTGTAGTGGAAACAGGCCATAAGAGCATTTAGTGGCGGTTAGTCGCAGTGCATGCTGGGTGAGGCTCCTTAACATAGACTGTCCAATACACTGAATGAGCAGACTGTGGTGGTGAGTGCTGGACAGATGCAGAATGTTTGCTCTGGTAAAAGCCTGAAAAGTGGAAAGGCATTTATTTGAACAGTGACATTTACTGACTCAGGGGTTGGCTGCCCTCTTTAGCGATCAGCCAACAATGACACAGGGCCTCACTCCAGCTCTGAAATGATGTTGACAGCTGCCCTTTATTAAACTCACTTTGTTTACAGCAGAAAACTCCAGGCCTTGTAGCACAGAGGGGGATTTACAGGGAGGTAGAGGAAAAGGCGCTCCTGTGTCCAGATAAGACGACCCAGATAGAGTGGAAAGTTTTCTCTCAGCTCATCTAAAATAGAAATTGAAAGCATGATCAGTGTTCGTAAACAAATCCAAAAAATGTAGAAATGACAGAGCTGAAATTTTCTTTGGATGAGCATAAAGTGAAACTTTAGTTTTTTTTGCAGCTTGTACAAAAATGTTTGTGACCGCAGTAGAATTTCTGTGCAGGTTATTTTCATCACAAAATGTTTTCTCAGGTATGGTGGCCGAGAACTGCCACTACTGCAATTAAAAAAAAGAATGCAAAAAAGAAGAAGCCACAACAAAAGTTACTGATGCAAAAAAATAAAAAAAAAAAAGCCAGCAAACAAACAAAAAAAAAATGGTGCAGAAAAAAAAAAACATTAACGGAAGTTAACGATGCAAAAAAAAAAAAAAAAATTAACTCACTGAGAAAATAATAGGATGCAAATAGAAAAAGCCACGACGGAAGTGAGCTGCTGGGGACCAATAATGACGATGCACCAGTCTTTTACGATCTAGGCACAGAAGACGAGGGAGGATGCAGGTGTTAGCTAGTGTTAGCTTCAGTTCAACTTCATATCAACTCAGGCGCTACATAGACTAAACAAATGATTTTCGCAATAGGTAACTTTTTTTTTGTTTTGCATTGCCATTTTTTTTGTGTCGTTAACTTCCATTGTGGCTTTTTTTTTTAAATCTGCACTGTTACTTTTTTATTTGCAGCAGTGGCGGTTCTCTGCCACCGTAAGCTACAGTTGGGAGTTTGTCGTGCTACCCTACAGACTGTAAAGGTAAAATCTCTGAAAAAGTTGGCTGAATCACTGGTTGGGAGGGCGGTCGTTACGAACAAACAGACTTCGTTTTAGCGTAATATTCGGAGGGCGTGGCTTGTAAGCGTGCGTTTCTTTCACGCTAACCTGTGGAAATGTTAGCTAACAGTCACACGGTTGTGGGGAAGTGTGTTTTGGAACTTTTACACCTTTACCTGTGGTGGAACTTGGCTAAATCTGCTTCATAGGACACTTTAATCAGCAAGTCAATCGCTGCGATATCGGTCAATCGAGCTACAAACGCTCTTTGAAGTTATGAACGTAAATTTTCTTCGGAGTAGTAAGTAGCCGACCAGTTAGCCAACCATATTTTTTGCATCTGTAACTTCCGTTGTGCCTTTTTTTTTTTTTTTTTGCATTCATTTTTTTTTTTCATTTGCAGCAGTGGCGGTTCTCGGCCACCGCACTTGTAGCACAGAGGGGGACTTGAAGGAAGGACAGGAAAAGGCACTTCTGTCCAGATAAGACGACCCAGATAGAGTGGAAAGTTTTCTCTCAGCTCATCTAAAACAGAAATGGAAAGCATGATCAGTGTTCATAAACAAATCCAAAAAATGCAGAAATGACAGATCTGAAATTTTCCTTGGATGAGCATGAAGTGAAACTTTAGTTTTTTGCAGCTTGTACAAAAATGTTTGTGACCACAGTAGAATTTCTCTGCAGGTTATTTTCATCACGAAGTGTTTTCTCAGGGATACATGCCAGAAAAATTCTGTTTTCCAACATCTGGTGCTGTGTGCTCTCTGAGTAAACTGGGGAGTCTTTAGGACCAGGAAGTTTGTGCTGCAAAGGGCAGCTCCTCCTCTCCTCCTCCTCCTCCTCCTCCCACTGAAGGCTGTTTACGAAGAAAGCTGAGCTCCTCTTGACAAAAACAAGAGCTGGGACTCCGGCAGGCAGGAGCAGTGTGTCTGATGCTCATTCAGCACAGGCTCTCCGTCCATTTTGTTCACCCTTTTCTCGGTTTTATTGCGAAGGTAAAGTCATAATCAGGCAGCATGTTGTCGGTGAATTCAGCCCGTCAGCTCTGCAAAATCTTCTTCTCTCTGCACGTTGTGTTCCTGAGCGTGGTGGTCGTGGAGACCAGTGCATCAAATGGAAGTCAAAGAGGTAAAAATCAGATTGTTATTTGACTGGTTTTGCATTTATTATTCAGCTGTAAAGGCTGTGCACAGATGTGATCGGATTTAATAGAAAAAATCATCATGATTCCTCTGTTTTGTGTGTTTGCACAGTCACTGATGTTGTTGTGTTGATCCATTTTCCAGGTTGTATGACATCCAATGGTGTGGACTATAGGGGGGAACAACAGAGCTCCTCCTCAGGTCTGACCTGTCTAAACTGGGCAAACTCCTCCAGAGACTATGATGTGAACATTAATCCTGATTCACAGACAGGTAAACAGTTTCAACACACTTCACATGCAGAGTTAATATCCAGGATGAGATTGTGAAATGTCTGCTTCACAGAGACAAAGTTATAATGCCACAAACAGGCAGGATAACAAACACAGGGATGATATTTACAGCTCTCATTGTTGCTCCTGTGTCTCTGATTTATCTGTTTATGCTCATAAATGTCTCCTCCTCTGCCATTTCCTTTCTTTGTGTTCATGGTGGCCTGTTCATTGTGGTGTGATGAAGCTGTGTTAATGATTAATGAATCCTGTGGTTTATCCAGACAGCAGGACTGGCACACATACAGAGCCTTGTCTCTGTTCGCACGAGGCCTCGACAACAGATGTGGACTTTTATTTATTTGTCTATTTTTTTTCCCTCTAGGTGTGGGAGATCACAACTACTGCCGAAACCCAGACTCCTCTGAGAGGCCTTGGTGCTACATTACTGGCCCAGATGAGACAATCCAGCGACAATTCTGCGCAATTGAGCTATGCAAAGGTAATTTTACACAGGACATTAAAAAAAGGTGCAAAAAATCTGAACCAGAGCTCACTGAAGAGCCCTCTTGGTGCTACAGGCAGAGACTTTCCACTCTTTATTTAGTAGCTCTCACAGTTTTTCACTTTCAGCAACATCTGGAGGAAAATATGAGCTCTGATGTTTGTTTAAAGAGTTTTAAGGTCCTTCTCTGTGGATCTTTACCTCAACTAATCTTTGTTTAGGTGGTTTTTGAGATTTAGATCAGTGACATTAAGTTTGCTCATGTTCTCCTGTGTAAGAGTATTAGTCTGCAGGTCAGTTGGTCAGGTTTAAGCCACCGTGAGAAGTCTTTTCTACTTTGCTCTTTGTTTCTCTTTTGACTCTCCAGCCCAAGTCAGAGAAAAACAAAGCCTTCCAGTCACATGGTAGAAAGTTCAGTTTGAAGAAAAGCGTTAACCACACCCCGCAGCAGAGCTCATTGGTAGAGCGAAACACTCTTCCCTCAGAGACAGCTTTTAATTGGCCGTCTCAGTTTATGGCTTCATGGGCTTTAACTCCAGCAGAGTTCGTAAACAACAACCTGTATGGTGGGAATGGAAAAAAAAAAGATTTACAGAGCAGATGTTGACTTCTGCCTCTGAACATTCCTCCCTGTCTAAACATAGTCCGGCCTGAAGATGCTGTTTATGTTTGATACTGTTTAAAAAGTCCCTCACTTTGATATCTTTGAGTGGATTTATGTTCTGGGCTTCATGAGAGCAGATTTAGGGGTTCTGCTCAGCTGTTTAAGAGGAGATATGAAACTAGATCTTCAGTGTCCAAGAAGATCATTACAACAAGTGTTGCCAGGAAAAGGATCAGTTCAGCAAGAGGTTTTTCTGATGTGAGTTGAAAAAGTTATGGAAGTTAAAACAATCATTTTGATAAAATATATTGATTTTTATATAGGTCCCCAAATAGGAAAGTATCATGTAAAATGTTTGTGGCTAATTAAAGCTCCTGTAAGGGACTTTATGGTCGCCAAATTGATCATTTATTGTAAATATTCTATGTGGAAATTGTAAAAAGGGGCTGACACCTACCTTTTTACTCAGGTTGGTTTCAGACATTAAAAATTAGGATATAAAAATTTTCCATTTTGTTTCTGATCGTCTTGTTTGCTCATGAAAAGGCGTCAATATGAGTCTCAGTCTATTAAACACTCCTCACTGGAGCTTGAAACAAATTCATCAACTGACAAAGACCGGCTCTTCGAATGTCTGACAGAAATAAAGCAGCTTTGCAGCTTCTTGTTGCTGCACCGTCTAACCCTCTACAGTCTGAGGTAGAAACGACACTTTCTTAGCGGTGCTTTTTCATCTCTGGTGGTTAATCCTGGTGTTTTTCTTGTGCCTGTAGAGCAAGCCTCTGCTGCACCAAATGAGGTCAAAGCCCTGAACCAAACAGGAACCACTCCCTCGATACCTGCCAAGACAAGAGCGTCTCGGGGGGAAGTTGCTGCAGTGCAGCCGGTGATGGGAATCAGCCAGAGAGTGCGCGCGGCACCAAAGAAGAAAAAAGACCTGGGCACCGTCGGTATGTTGTTGTAGTTTTAACTCTGAAACTGTAATGTGGATTTTTTAGATTTGTTTATCTCCTGATTTACCATCTGTCTTTGTGTCCCACTTTTGCTTCCCAGGCTATGTAATTGGTGTCCTCATGATGGCCATAATCATCATCCTGGGAGTAGGAATCACATTTGGCTACTTCTATAAGAGGTCAGTATCTGAACCGCGGCCAGGTCAGGGATTATTAGGTAAAAACTGGCAGAAATGAAGAGAAAGAAAACAAAGAAGAGTTTTTTTTCTGTTTTCCCTTCTCTAAAAAAAATAGTTAATCAGTCGTCAGGTGTTATAATAACATTGTGAACATTTGTCGACTGTTATTGGGACACGAGGATTGATACTTGAGAGCTGTTCTGCTCCTGGCACACAATGTTGTTTTTAAGATACACAGGACAAGTGCCAGTAAGGTTAACTTCACACACATGACGCCTGTCACCTGATTTCAGTACATCAGCTGCTGTTCACACCGCCTGGCCTCACTCTCTGATGATGCCACACGAACGCAATGCGACCACTCTGAAACCTTTATCAGGACAGCCTTGAAAGAAGTCGGGGAGGACCGTGGCGGGACGTGAAACGCCTGCGGTCTATTTTGAGCGTCTTTATTTGATATTCTTGAAAGTGAAGGGAGGGAGGAGGGGGTTCGGTTTTGCTTTTAGAGACTCTCACATTGCCGCAGTTACGCGATATCCAAAATAAGGAAAAGGAGCGACTTTGACTCCATTCAGCACATCACATCCTCAAGGATCTGTGTGGGGATTTCAGATCTGATTAGCAGTGCGCGGTTTTTGTTGTCTATTTTTAGCCGCATATTATGTCGGGGTTAATACTCTCCTTAGCTTACACTGTGATGCGATATTAAAGCGGTAAACACATTTATCACTCCGGTACGATCCAGTCACCTCTTTAACCTGCCAAAAGCTGCTGTAAAGCACTATTTGACAATATTTAAATGAAGCTCACTCCAGTTACAGTCAGGATGTTCAGCCAAAGTGGTAGTACTGCATACAGAGGATCGGATCACCTCCTTACAGAACAGACCCCATACCAACCAACCAGTGGGAGTACTGCTGAGGACACTGTTACCACGCTGATACAGACTTCAGCGAAGGGCTTGGTGGGAATGCCCCAATAAACACGCCGTTACATAACGTTGAAAATAAACCTCATATATCAGAGTGATGTATCTTACACTGGAAGCTGGAGCCAACAACAGTGAGGCTAGTTTAACACAAATACTGGAAACAGGAGGAAACAGCTAGACTGGGGTCAGAGTAAAATGCCAAAGTTGTCTCTGAAAAAAGATATTATTTAATCCTGAGCTAGATATGCTACCTGCTGGTTCTTCATGCATAAAAACAAGAGTATTATCAACATGTAGACTCCAAAATAAAGCATCTTGAAACGTAAAAAAAAGCACAATTGTAACCCAGGATAAATACTCAAAGCGACAGATTGTAGAGCAGCGTTGCACAATATGCTGCACTGAAGCAGGAGGTGAGTGAGTGTTTTGACTCCAAATATATTCCCTCGTTTTGGCTCCTGATCAGTGGAAAGCAACCTCGTGCCGTGTTGTCCCATCTCTCCGTGTTGCCCCGGAGTAGATAAACTCTTGGCTAGTTCTGCGCTCCGTTTCACCATCTGTCACTTGTGTACGCTGTAGTCCAGGCACTTATTTTAGTAGGCTCTGTTTTGTTATCTGAGGCTCTTTATCTTGTTCTGTGAGATAGAGTAGCTTCCAGAAATAGGGCTGCAAAGGGAGTTAGCTACAAGGCTACTGGAGGCATGACTCTTACTGCTGTTTTTTCTTTACAACAGTGATTGTTAAATAACATTTTGCACAACACAAATGTGAGAGGCTGCAAACATCATTATCCACACAAGAGTTTAGTCTTACGTGAACTTTAATTTTGTTAGTGTGATTTCTGCATGAACTTGTTCTGTGGTTCTCAACTGGTCTCACTCTGGGACCCACATGTTCCCAAGGTCCTTAAGTCATGACCCACTTTTATAGAATTCAAACCAAGTAATTTTTTTTGTTCTATATAAAAAAAAACTTTAAAGTAGGCCTGGGCGATTTGGCAAAAAAAAAAAATGATCATGATATATTTTGTCATATCGTCCGATCTTGATTAATATCATGATTTTTTTCTGAACTGCCAGTTCGAAAGTATCTGTGCTAAAAACTAAAGAAACTCAAGATTAGTTCGACATTTTATTAACATACACAATAAATAACAAAGTAAAATAAATAGGATAAACTTAGAAAAATATATAATAATATACATTTTAACTCAACAATACAACAAATGTAGATAATACTAAATAATACGGCTAAACTGCTAATGCTACTTGTGCCGTCAGCAGTGACAGGCTCGGGATCACTCAGGAAGTATTTCTTTAAATCTGATCTGTTGTGTTGCAAGTTTTTAAGGCACCGACCGCTGACATACCTTACACATCGGCTTAATTACTCAACATCACTTTGGAGATACCTGAACCACCGCCGCACAACCGACGTTGAACAACTTCTCAACAATAACATCTTCGGAGGACGACTCAAAGTCACGGCTGACATCTATTTTGCTGTCCTCAGCTCTGCGTTTAGCTCCACGATCATTGATCACGATATTATAATCACCCGGTCCAAGACTCAAATCTTTAACATAAATCCTCCGTTTAATGGAGTTAAGTGCATTTCAGAGCACATGAAGGCACAGAAAATATCAAAAATCAAATAAAAATTAAATTATTATTAAATTAAATATTTACTTTTTTTCGACCAGCTGTTCACGACCCATCCAGAATGTGTCCACGACCCACTTTTGGGTCGGGACCCACCAGTTGAGAACCACCAAACTTGTCCTTGCTCCAGATCTTTAACATCACTACTGTCTTGTGTTTTTCTTCAGGGGGCGGGACATAAAGAAGCAGCACGAACAGCGAGTGTACGAGCGTGAGATGCAGAGGATCACCTTACCTTTGTCTGCGTTCTCCAACCCCACCTGCGAGCTGGTGGATGAAAACACCATCGTCATCACGGCGGAGCACGAGGTGACCCCCGCCCAGGAGAGCGTGGATGGCGGGGACCCCCTCATGGGTCAACAAGCTGGAACCCCAGGAGCGTGAGCAGACAGGATGTCCTCCAACTGGACTGTGAGAACATTACTTTGTGGACCAAAACACTCCGATCTACGTTTCTCCGCTCTGTTTTTGAAGGAGTGGAGGGAACAGTGTTGACTCCAAAGACTTGAACTGAGTGCTGTGTTAGTCGTGTCTCCATTTCTTTTCCTTTACAGCAAAGACGCAAAGAAGATAAGCTAACACAACTGTCTCGATTAAAGACCTCTGAGGTAATTACGAGGTCTTTAAGATTTACATTTTGATCACCAAGAGGACAGAATCAAACGGAGGTGTGTGTGTCTTCATCTCGAGATGGAGTTTCAGAAAAAGGGACACAGCTGATAACTCTTTTGTTGATTAGTGTGATCATGTGGAGAAGCGCCCCCTACAGGAGGTGTCAGTTACATTGTTATCATTAGTTTGAGATATTTTTTTGTGTATTGACCCGCTGGCTGTGCCGAGGAAGACGCTGAGAAAACGTATCCAAAAATAGTCACCTCCTCTGAACCGGGAAAAAAAGGAACATGAGGTAAAAAAGGCCCACTGAGGAAAAGAGAAACTGCCTTAGCATGATACTTCTGAATGTATTTGTGTCTCTTTACGATCTTTCTCTTTGTACTCAACTTAAGGGCCAATGCGGATGCAGAGCATGACTGATATCTTTGGTAATCGACGTCAAAGAGGACTTGCCCTTTTCTTCCACAGGTTAAGGAGTGACAGGAAATTTAACAAGAGTGCTCTCAGGAAGCTTGAGAGACAGTAGTTAGTCTTCAGGATTAAAAACAAAAAAAGCACTGCCACAACACAAAGCAGACAGGACGGCGGCTGATGTCCTGTCTTTTTGCGGTGCAGCACTGTGAGTGAGCGAGTGATGAAACCTGGTGTCTAATAGATTAGAGTCAAACCGTTGAGATATGCACTTGATGCTTCAGGAATGGAGTAGAATAGAAACAGTCCAAAGTTTGGTGATCATCCAGAAAACAATCACAAAAAAAAGACATAAATGCATGTACATGGTTACCTGCTGTATGTTTGAATTCAGGGGCCAATTTTTGTAAAACTACTGATCGATGACATTTTAAGAAAACCTGCCTGAAAACAGAAACCGTCACACACGTCAGAGTTTGTTTCATTTTACACGTGATGCACCTTTACTTCACTGTGTGTTTGTTTCTCACTTCAGATGATCCCGTTTGTTTGTTTGTTTGTAGTTGGATCAAAAATCACTGTTCACCTTTGGTTCTCGCTGAGCATCTGCGCGCTGGTTGTGAACATTAGTTTCTCCACATAAGCAACGTGTTCTTAAAGTGTATATTGTTAAGCATTTGAATAAAGTGTGTGTATTTGTATGAATGCAGATTTTCACTGCTGGGACTGAAATAAAAATCTTCAAACACAATTTGATGTTGTGTTCTTAAAGCTGAAGAAACACTGTGGGAACTTGTCACAGGAGCGCCCTCTGTTGGTGACTCTGAGGTATTTTCCTACAGACACTGAATAAGTAGATTAAAGGAAGAAAAAAAGAGGTTTGAAGAGGCTCAAGTCAAAAACATTTAAGTTTTGTCTAACCCAGACAATTAAACTTATTTTTTTTAAGAAGAGGCTCAAGACTCACCTTTTTAACTTTTACACTAATTCCCTTTTTATATTTCTCTTACTGCAAATGTTCATTTTAATCCAAGTTCTTAATTTTAGGTCATTTTATTAATTATCTCTGTTCTTAGTCATTTTCTTAATTGCCGTCATAGTTTTTTTTTTACTTCTTTTACCTCATTTTTTATGGTAAAGAGCTCCTATCTGTTCATTTATTTATTTATTTCTTGTTTTATTCCATCAGGTTTTACTCTTTCCTTTTACCATTTATATTTTTTATCTCCAGTGTTTCCCTGAGGTAGCTCTTTCCTCACATAATGTCTCAGTGTCAGGCCATGTCTCTTTAACAATATATCCTTAATTCTGTGAGTGAGTGAGTGAGGGTGGGTGTGTGTTTTTGTGTGTTTTTAGCCTGAACTGCATTTGTTGTCTGAAAAGAGCCATAAAAATAAAGTTGAATTTAAATATATTTGAATAAAAAATAAACTTTACAGCAAAATGATTCATTCGGCGATCTTTTTCAAGTATTTAAGGTTCTTCAAGTAGATGAACTTATTTCTGGTTCTATCTGAAAAATTGAAGGATGACGAAAAAAAATGAATCCATTTTCAGAGGCTTTATTTAGGAAACACTACAGCGATATAAATAATAGTGGTTACAACTGGTCGTCAGTACCTTGCATGATCATAGCAAAAAGGCAAAAACACCCACTGATGACGAAATGTCTAAAAAAATCTACAAATCTAGAGTTCCCATCAGAAAATAACGTCCAATTAGAGGCTTACTATGTACACATCTATATACACTGCTCCAGAGAAAACATCTAACTCTTCTGTACAAAAACAACTTTTCATGGTGAAGTTGTGCATGATTGTGTCTCACACTCTCTGATAAAACCCACTTTCCTGCTCCAGGTGTTTGTGAGGAACCTTGAATGAAATGTCCGTGTGGTAAACATGAAAAAAAAACCTATTCGTGTTCATTCATAATCTAAGAAACTTCCTAAAGTCACGTGACTACAAGGTACAAACTACACTTGTAATCGTCTCGTCAGAAATCGGTTTAGTGGTGCTTAAATAGAGAGAAAAAACAACTTGAAGATTTGTGTCAAACGTCGGCACCCGAAGTCATACCTGCGCTCTACGATCTGTTTATTCAGACATGTCGATCAGCCAGACTGTTGTCATCTCGCCGCAGCACTGAAGTGAGCGCTCTAATTGTCTAAGACTGATCGGTAAATGCCGCGCATAGTTGAAAACCAGAAAAACAAAACTGCCGTCACATGGATGAAGCTCTCACCTTGGATGTGTATTATCTACACACACAGTAAACGTTAGTACAGGCCTGTGTGTGTGTGTGGAGTGGGGCAGAGAAGAAAGTCTTTTTGAAATGTGTCTGTCCACTCACATTGCAGTTCACTGACTCTCAGGAATTAAAGGTCCTCCGAGAAGGAAACCGGTCCAGCTACATCAGGTTATCCACGTCTAATATGGCTCGGGTTCAACATGATTTTCCTCTTTTTTCATCCACAGTGTTAGTGCAGCAGTTCAGAGGGGAAAAGCACGGGTCCTAGGTGCCGTTCTCCACCATGCTGGGAGAGTCAGGAGAGGCTACGGTCGGGGGTACTGGCTCTTCTGCGCTCTGTGATGGCGAGCTGTCCTTAGGCCAGAGGAGCCGACTCAGACTCTGGTGGAGTTCATCCAGTTCAGCAGGCAGTGGGATCCCCATATCCTGATTTAGAGAGAGGGCTTCAAACCAGTCCTCCAGCTTCTGGAAAGGTGGACTAAAGAAGGAGGGGGGTGGATGAAGGAGAGCACAAAGAGGGGTTTGAGGTTAATGCCAGACTGACAAGGTTGAGGGAAAACATGAGGAAACAATCTGACAGCAGAGGCACGGCCCCGCACAGGCAGGTCAACAAGACATCTGAAAGGAGGGTTTTCTACACAGAGGGGGCACGGTTCACATCATGTGCTGCGTTTCTTTATTTTAGAGAGAGTTATTTTATATTAGAGAGTTTTCTGAGAAGCATTTCTTTACCCCTCTCTGGAAAAAAAAAACCCTTTCATAAAAATACAACCTCAGGAAATCTTCCCTCTCAGATAAAGCTGCACACGAATGAAATCCTGCTTTAGTTTAGATCTGGGATCTCATCAGTCAGTACGTTTACATGACACTCGAGAAAAACGAATTATTGCCTTACTCTGACTATGATCAGAGTTTGAGAACGCCAATTGGAGTGCGCCACGCCTCCGTAACCCCTGAACAAAAATACCAGAGAAGAAGTGGCGCTATCATTTAAAGAACTTTCGACTTAGAAGCAACTACAACACGGCTGAAACACCAAAGAATCTCAACTTTTGGAACAACAAGGAGAGTTCTGTTATGTTTTCTGTCCTGACAGAAATGGACATTTCAGAGTATATGAACGGTCACAAAATGAGGAACAGAGACATCTTTAAAAACTTCCAGAAACAGCGCCGCTGAAAAGACCAATACTGACCCCTAGTTTTGGGGAGGTGGACACGTTCACGTCAATAATTCGATTTTCTCACCTGCATGTATACGCGGACAAGGAGAGAAGTCTGATTCGGCGAAAAAAAAAACGAATTATGAGCTTAAGTCTGATTAAGCTGTGCATGTAAACGCACTGACTTATAGATCCTCCTCCAAACTCCCTCATCAGCCATCTGCAACACAACATCTGCAGACACAGGATGAGATGTTGGCAGATTTCTACTCTGTTCTGGTCTGATTATTGTCCAATTTCCTTTCTGCAGACTCTCTAAATGAAAGAGACGAAATCACTCCAACTTCCCACTCTTTAATCAGAGAAAACACTCTTTCCCTCACATTCCCTTTGCCTGCCGATATTTGTCTCTGCTTTTTTTCTGTCTCTGTTTTTGTCATTCACTTACAGTTTCTTGCGTTTCACTTCACAGATTCATAACAAGTGACAATAAATCACATGAAAACAGCGGCGGTGGCAGGTGCTCACCGGTTGTCTGGTGTGAGGTCACAGCAGGCCACAGTCAGCGGAAAGAAAGCTGGCGGACAATCTTCAGGAAGAAACTTCTCCACAAACTTTCCGACATTCAGGCCGAAGTCCAGAGTCCTGGGGAGACACTCTGGATCTGCGTAGACTTTTCCGATGATCTGAAATACGACACAGAGGGAGGATGTGAGCTCCGATTATTCATGTAAACACAGATAACGTACACATGAGAGATGTTAGGGTGAGTAAATAAGGGGCGGATGTAAACATGTTCCAGCTTGTAAACTACTTTGCATGATGTTGAAGTTTTCTGACACGTCATAGTTTACGTTATAGAGCTGTATGAACTTGTCTGGAGCCAATATTCAATCAAAACTGTGTTGTAACATCTGATAACAGCTGTGAGGAGAAGCTCTGATGATAGATCCCCCAGACTCTCTGCAATCATTATATTCATGCAGATTAACTCAGAGAAGCTGGCCTGCTCTTACCTCACAAAGTACAATCCCAAAGGAGAAGATGTCCACCTTCTCGTCGTAGCGTTTACCTGAAACAACAAGAAGTCAAAGATTAAACTCCTTAAACTCAGTTCATCAAATTCAGGATCAGTTTTTTCCCTTTTTTTGTGAGGGTATCTCACCGTTGAGCATTTCTGGAGCCATCCAGTACGGGTTTCCCACCACGGTGTAGCGCTTCTTCCTGTCGACACGCCTGAACACCCTCTTCTTGTTGGAGGGTTTTTCAGGTGGAGGTTTGACTTTATCTTCGACGATGAGTCGTGACAGCCCGAAGTCGGCGACAACCACAGTGTTATCCTGCAGAAATATGACACGTAAGACAAAAGGCTCCCACTTCTTTAATAGTTATTGTTCTAAGTTTTAGTCGGTGACCCACCAGTTTAACCAGGCAGTTGTGAGAGTTGAGGTCTCTGTGTATGATGCTCATTGAGTGAAGGTAGGCCTGAAACAAAGAGGAGAGTAACAGAGGGTTTCATTCATGCTGTTTCAGATTTTCTTTGCTTCTTAAAGACCCACTCCGATGAAAACCATGTTTATCTTGTTCTTTACATGTTCATATGGCATTTTTCTGATTCTACAGAACATATCATGAGAAAAATAAGTGTGAAAGTACATTTCTGAGTATTTCTGCATTCAAATTGTGATTGCGGAACAAGCGTGTGTTTTAGCGGATTGCAATGCTTGTAAGAAAGCTAATTATGATATTAACTTTCATCATGTCCCTAAAGACATTAGTGTCTGAGAGCTGAATAGCTCCTATGTTACCTGCCACTTCCACTACATTGGCAATGTTAGGCTGCAAGCTCGCATGAAGAGGAGTGTGCAGAGCAGCGCTGTCTCCGCCCACGACTCAGACAACTGTCTAAAAACTTCATAATCACAATTTAAAGACCACTGAGAAGACTTTAAGTGGCAAAAAAACGTTAGGAGTGGGACTTGAATCTCAATGAAAGCAAAGTCTTCGACCCAATCAGAGAAGTTTTCTCTGCTTTTAAATGCAGGTTTTTACTCAAAATTATTACAAATAATTTAGCAAATAAATAGAAAATAAATAAAACAGCATCATGTTTCTCATTCTTTGCTACCCTAGCTGTTCCCTTGATTCAACTTGGGGCCTCATGTGTTGTCTCTTATGCCCACAAGGGGTCCTGTGTGTGTCGAGTTGTCTTAATGTGCCCCCAGAGCAAAAACACACATTTAGGCAGCTGAGAGAAAAAAAACAGATTTCACTGCTGAAAATGTCTGTGCAGGAGGCCAACTCACCATGCCAGAAGCGATGCTCTTTGCAAAGCTCACTCTTTGCTCCCATGGAAACGGGTCCTGTTAGTCCAGAGAGAAGAAGAAAAAAACAAAAAAAAGCACAAAAGAATGAAATGAAAAGAAGCTCCTTTGGAGGCTGTAATGCGAAACATGAGTAAATACTTCAAGGTTTGGCACCGAGGCAGAAAAAGGAAAGAGTATCCAGCAGAAACTCATAACAAAATAAAACCTGTATGAATAAAATCAATCCTAGATCTTCCCTATTTCTATGAAAACACAAGCAAAAACCCCCTCCCCTCGCTGGGTCGTCTGGTGAGCTGAGCTGCTGCACAAATCAACAGTCAGTCAGTCGTGGAGGAGGAGGAGGAGGGGAGCTCGGCTCTTTAAATTTCACCTGGAAACACTTTCTACAACTTTTCTCATTCCACATCTTGGCCTGTTGACACGCCAGCAAACCCACTACAGGACCCTCTGTCAAGAGTGTACTCCAGGTCAGCGCCCCGCTAACAGCTCTCCGTGGACACTGAAGGGTGTTTGTGCTCGAGTGTGGGAGAAGAGAGGGACAGACTTAAGTGAATCAACTCCTTTAACTCACCGTGTCTCTGATGAAATCCTTCAGGGTGCCTCCCTCGATAAATTCGGTGATCAGATTAAGCCTCTTGTCCTTGTACAGCACACCGATGAACCTCAAAACGTGGGGATGATCCAGGCTTCGCATGACTTTGACCTGAACGTACGGCGGGAAAACAGAGGAAGAGTTGAAGGGAAATCTCGCATTCCAGTTGGAAGCTGATAAGCTCTAATCAGTTTCCACGTTAAACACAATAAAAATCGGTCTAATCTTTCCCACAAGACTGAGGCACTGACCTCAAAATAGAAAAGGACAAAGAGGGCATTGTGGGAAATGTGTTTAGCGGTGAGTTTTTTAAATAAATCAAGGAGACTGAGGGTCTCCTGTCGCTCCTGTTGACAAACCTCTTTAAGGAAAGTCTTCTGTGTCTCCTCGTCACAGCGGATCAGCTCCTTCATCACCATCACCTCTCCTGTGGCTTTATGAGTGACCTGTTAGTGGTACAAAAGCAGAATATGTGTCACTTTAAGCCACAGCTATGAGACACCAGACAGGGGAGAGTTAAAAACTTGTAAAAGGTTGACCTTGATCGCCTGTCCAAAGAAACCTTTCCCTAAGATCTCGCCGTGGATGAGGTCACACGGCCGGAAGATACGATGAGAGCAGCTGCTGGAGGATCTCAAAGACTCAGAGCGTCCGATGTCTCGGCCGATGAGTGGCATCTCTTTAGGAGAATTAGGGCCAGGTGATTTACAGATGCTGTTACTGCGCCTACAAGCAAGAAGAAAGAATCATGGGTATCAAAATCCGCCCACATAAACATCAACCACGTCATGTCTGCAGATCTAACCCACCTCAAAGACCTCCTCTTCAGTGTGCCTTCATCCACCAGGTCAGTTCTCTCCAGGACTGCGTCAGAAGGCGAAGACAGACGCATGCGGGAGGTTGCTGGGACTCCCAGTCGGCTTCTGGGGGATCCCAGCCTGAGCCGGTCCAAACGATGCCTGACTGGGTCATACTCGATCAGCAGCTGCAGCGTGTGGCTGGTGCGGTGAATAAGATCATCCACCTGGACAAAAACACCCACGGTTCAGAGATCTCGGACAAATGTGCCACACTTCCACACAATCTTACAGTAAAAAAAATACATTAAAACATGTTATTTTTTTTATTAAAAGCTTGTTTTGTTTGATCTTCCAGTTAGAATAACTCAGCTCTGATAGATTTCACGGTGGCATTATGATGGGTGATTTACGAGATTGAGTGCAGCCTCTGAACGTTGTGCAAAGATTATTTATTGAAGGGAAGAAGGCTTGGTTTATTTAACTGTTCTTACACTCTGCTTCAAGCTTTAACTCGTGCACACTCTCGACAACTTTGAAACAAGCTCAACACAAAACCTTAACACCACAACCATCATGGAGAAAAGTGATTTCTGCACAATTTTTATATTCAGACTAGGGCTGGGCAATATGGGAAAAAGTTTATCATGATATATTTTTTTCATATCAGCCAGTATTGATATACATCAGGATATAAAAAATGAAATTTAACAGTGCTTATTGGTAGCATGTCTTTTGCAATACAAAAGACATGCTTTGTGTCTCTTGCGTTGCGCTAGAGAAAGCGGACTGAATGGTTGGTTCAGCACGGCACGACCTGGAGCAACTCCCCTTTTTCATTAGCCATTTGTATAGTCAATCAATCAATCAATCAACTTTATTTCTATAGCACATTTAAAATAACCACAAGGGTAGCCAAAGTGCTGTACAGTGATACATAAAAACAAATAACACAAAGAACAAGATAAAGCGAGCAGAGATACATTAATGCAACAGGATAAATAAGTAAATAAATAAGCAGGCTAATGGCAAGTGCTAAAATGATAAAAAACAAAATAACACTAAAAAGTATCAAAAGCCAAGGAGTAAAAGTGTGTTTTTAAAAGGGATTTCAAAACAGGAAATGAGGAGGCCTGTCTGATAGTCTACCAAAACATGGCAGAATGCCGTCTATCGAAAAGCATATTGACCATGTTTCATATCAACATCGAGGGTTAATAATTTTTGCTATATATGACTATTGTTTTATCGCCCAGCCCTAAAGAAGACTATTTGTTTTGACTGTTTTAAAATGGTAAGAGATTCACTTCTTCTTAAACAGCAGACTGCAAAAGAGTTAGATCGACTCGTCTGCAGGAAATGTAATATAATCTGAAATGACGGAGCGTTATATCAAAGTGAAATTGCAGAGGAAACAGGATATGGGAGCGGGACAATAGAAACAGAGCTGCGAATCATGACAGAGTCGGTATGAATACAATAGGGCGAGGTTGTGGGAATGAGCCTGTAAGCGCAGTCATACCACATACCGTCCTCTCCCACCTAAAGAATGAATAAATGATGGAGGAATGTGAGGAATGCTAAAAATCACATGTGCAGTGACTGTAAAATAAGAACATAGCTGTGCAGGATGAACTCAAGGAATGCACTCGCACTTAGCGGGGACATTAATTAGCTTCATCGGAAGAATTTCACATCACACATTGATTCTTGAGTGTCGAATGTGTGTGTGTGCGGCGTGAACCCACCTCCTCTTCCATGAGTGTCCCAACTGGAAGGCCATTAATCTCCAGGATCCTGTCGCCGACATGGATGGCATTTCTCACCTCCGGACTAATAAGCATCCCTCTGACTCTGCAACAGGACCGCACCAACACACTAACTGGTGAGTTTCAGCACTCTACAAGTTATTATGAGCTTATCTCAGTCTGACGGTTGAGGAAAACTGGGTCAAACTCATAATTGATAATCATCTTTCAGTAAAAAACAAACAAACACGCCATGTCCTAATATTTAGCAAAGCTATAATCAGTCTTGTGTAAAGTATAAATCACTCTTTCTGGCGGTCATCATCTCCCACTTACTCTTTGACTTGAACGCTAGCTGAGCCGTTTCCGTCCCTCAACACCGAGACGGAGAGGCCCCTCTTGCCGTTGGCCGCAGAGGGCATCGAGATGAGAGTGACTGTGTGAGGCAGCGAGTCGAGGATGGAGTCGTGGGAGCGCTTTTCCAACACGGGTGTAAGGATGACCTGTTTGTAGCACTTCCCGCTGCACGCAACAGAGCAGAGAGGGGAAAAGTGAAAACACCCGAATGCATCACGATGAAATAATATTCATGCATTCATTTAACAACCACACAAACAAACACACACACACACACAAACAGGAGATGTTTAAAGAACTTCACTTCCACACACTCTCAAAGTTGCAGGTGTGAGCTGCAGGTGTCTTACCAGTAAAGTTTGGAGCGCTCCACCAAGGCGTAGGTATCCCTGTCTTCAATCACCACCTTGCAGCTCAGACACACAAAGCACTCAGGGTGATACTTGTGTTCTCCAGCCACCTGAAACCACAAACAAAAGGACCTGATCTTCAGATCGTTCACCAAACTCACAGCAGAGAGCCGTGATTTGCTGACGGTTGTTCTTCTCGTCCTGCTCTCACTCTGTCAGTCAGAGATGAGTGTGTCGCTGCTGCCTGTTGCTTTCCGCCCTCCTCCTACTCTGACACGGTCTTAACACCTGCTTTACTCTCACGCTGTCTGGAATCTGCTATGATGTCACCTCCCTCCTCCCTGAGCCGCACGTCTCACTGACGTCCTCTGAACTCTCTGAAACTAACCCACGCTCTGTCATGTGCTTTCTCTCTCATTAGTGCTGTCTGACCAATTTCACTTTCTGAAATTTCTGCTATCGTCTCATTTTATGCTGATTTTTTCACTTTTCATGCAAGATGAGGTGGTTTTTTAAATTTCTCTTAAAGCAGATAATTTAAAAATGTTAAAAATAAAGTTGATTTCATGTTTAATATGTGTGTAAAGAGTTAAGTCCACACTCCAAATGTCTAAATCTGTCTCTGCTCCATAAAACATGAATTAGTTTTTCTTGTCTGTTTTACCTCAAATTACTTTATTCTGACATTTGTGCATCTGAACTTGTATTGACTATTTCATTATTACCACTGTCACTGCGCCCTTTCTGTTACGACCACAATTTAGACTGATGAAAAATACAGATATCTTTTCCCGCTCTTCACCAGTATTCAAAAAACAGTTTCAGGAATTTAATCAAATGATCAAAATAATGCAAATTATACAATCTTAATATGTGGCAGTGATGTTATCTCTATGCATTGTTCTTAAGGTTGAGTTGTACTAACACACTTTTTAATTTCTTTAAAGAAACCTTCCTTAAAATATGAAAGAGGATAAGGACCACATGAAGAGAAAATAAATAATCACTGGAAGGAGATTAAAGTTGCAATTTCGAGATTAAAAAAAACTAAATTATGTGAATAAACTCGAAATTTCGAAAAATTAAAAATTGAGATTTTGAGATTAAAGTTGAAATTTCAAGATTATGAAATGTCGTGAATAATGTCAAAATTTCAAGATAAAAAAAATAAGGTTCTGACATTAAAGTAAAATTTTGAGTCAACACAAATAAAATTGAAATTTTGATATTTTTTTATTTCTGTTTTAATCTCAATATTTTGACTTTAATCTCGAAATGGAAACTTAAAAAACTCTCTTCTATAATTATTTTTTCCTCCTCTTGTGGCTCTAATCCTCTTTCATACGAAAAGGATTAATAAAGTTGTTTCTAATATAATCTAATGTAACAAGTCTGAGGGGTTTAGCTCCACTCTGTGATATAACATACAACACAGGTGAAATTAATAACTGCATGCATATACAAATGTACAATTAAAACAGGACTTTTAAAGCCACTTCTCTGTCAACCACAAAAACAGGCAAAGATTCTGAAGTTTCCTCTGAGCTGTTTCACCAGGATGAATTATTTAATTTTCCTCCATTTCGTCAACTTTAGTCATCAATCTTGGTAGTTGATACCAATAATTTGTGAGTTTAAAGAAATTGTTTATTTTTCTATCATCGTAGGTCCAGAATATTGTCTTTGTGTCAGATCTAAACTGTTAATTAATCAATTACAAATTAATGACAAATACCAGAACAATACAATGCTTTAGTTCCTGAATGTTTACAAGGACAGATGACATCTTGTAGTTCAGGGTGGTTTGGCAGAGCGCTCGTTCTGCCACTCTTAGCCACACTCATTGATATTGATGATTTTCCCACTCTGATGTCCTGTGTTTAGCCAAGTTGAGTGAATTGTGCTGAAATTTTGATTGTTTTCTGAGCTTTTACGAATCGTATTTTTGGTCATCTTGGATTATCCCTCACATTTACTCATTGCAATGCACTGTGAGAGGACACTCTACATAAACACTACAAAAGAATCAAAGGGTTTTCTGTTGAGTTATCTGTGTTGTTTTTCCCACAGCTCTGAGTCAGTGTTGAGAGAGGCCTCCCTGCTGTGACGGAGATTTAAGTGTGATGTAAGCCGAAACGTTGTGACATCTCAGGAGTCTGTCTGTAACTCCTTTCAACACGCAAACAGCCACCACCTCCAACAAACACAGTCATCATAACTCTGCTCCAGGCTGTAACAGCCAGACTGAGATTTCCAGGCAAAACAAAAACCAGAGTGGAGAACTGATAAGTAGATCTCACACAGCAGATAAAGACCAGTCACAGATTTGTTTTTTTTACTGTAAACATAACTTTTAAAAACTGAAAAAACATTTTCACCCAATCAGCAAACAAACCAATAATTAAAGGCAGGACAAAAACAGCAGTGTCCACGACTTGAATGCCTAACAAGCTGCAGCAGCTCTGCATGACCCTCCTCCGCTGACGGCCCACAATGATTCTCTTTCTGACCGAGGGGGCTGCGCTGCCAAATCAGCTTTTGCCAAAAACACTTGGCTGCAGCGGCTGATGGAGCGGGATGCCAATACTAAATAGAAGAGTTCATTGTGTTTGTTGCTCGGTGGCAGAAAGAAAAACTTCAGTCTGGCTCTGTGTTACTCAAGTGACCTCGATTGTGACCAGCGAGAGCCGCTGCCACTCTGGGTTTCATGTTTCGACTCGCAGACACTAAATCAAAGCTGAGTGATGTTTGGGTTGAATTCAGCTTACACTAATGGTTCGCTAATGTCAGGAGTAACATTCAGGTTATTTTAAATCCACTCAGACTGAATCTCAATATCAGAATCTGCATCGTCTGAGTAGATGATTCCCAAAAGAGTAAGATTATATAACTTTTGATGGGCTGTGATGATAAATGGCAGGTACGGCATAATAAAATAAGCCTCAGACAAAGCATACACAACAAGCACAAGCAGAAATGAGTCAGTTACATAACCACGTCTAGCTAAAGTTTACCAGCCTCAGCTGATAAGCCATTAGTCACATCAGACCAAGCCTGGCTATAGACTTAAAATCCCCCTGCAGGGCTGAATGAAGCAAATATGTCTTCAAATATAGAGAAACTCCCAAGTACAACATCAGTGCAGAGGATGCTGAGAGCGGTGGACTGTGGGTAATATCTCCAGAGCCGCGTCACCACAGAGGACTGAACATGATGGGCTCCAAACCGCCTCATGTTCTTGTGTCTCTGCACTGGATCCTGTGTGCACCCGGGTAAGTGAACTGTGGAGAACTTCTGTACTGAGAGGGAACATAATGGGGCCTCGAGGGGGGAATTCGCGAGTGAGGTCTAGAGCCCCATGTGTTATGTTCAACAGCAGCCAACGTAAAGTATCATTCATCTGTAAATGCAATAATGCGTCCCCCCTTCTCCTCCTCCTCCTCCTCCTCCAGATTAGTATAAATCTGGGGCAGCGGGGGGAGAAACTGGCACACAGAGAGAACCAACGTGCTCTGTGGGCTTTCTGGTATTATTCAAGCAGAGGAGGAAATCGTTGGCAATTGTTGTTATACGATCATGGCTTTAAAGGTTTGGCAATCCCGTATAGTAACAGAAGTAAGAGTTTTGACTAGTCTGTATTGGGCTTTGTTGAGGAGAGCGAGCTCAAAACTCACGTATATATTTATGTTTTTAACACGAGTGGGCCAAGAACATTAAAATACGGCCTGAAGGATGCTGCCAGGTCCATATGTCAGCATGGAGTCTCCAGCATTTATGATTGTATTTTCATATGCGCTAATAACAAGTCCGTCACAGCCCAGTTAATGCAGCTCTGCTATCGTCACGCTTTTATACTCAATTGTAGGACTGGGCGATGCGGCCTCAAATCAATATCACGATACATTGAGCACTGAGTATTAACCTAGATCACGATAAATGGACCATAACTACTCTACTACTCTGACTACACTACTAACTAACCCAAAAATTACTGATACCGAAATTAAATAAAAATAACTGACGTCATTTAGCCCATGTCGGTATATTCGATATTTAAATATTAAATTCCCAGAAACCTTTCAATTTGAAACCCTCTTAATAATATGAGATATGTAGACTCACATTTTACTTAAATAATCCATGAGCTATCATAGATTGATTCAGAGTAGAATAAATATATTTTCTGTCATGAATTAACTTTTAAATTCCTCAAAAAAGCTGAAGATTCACTAGGGCTGGATGATAAACCGAAAATTTACTGATACCAAAATGTATGACAATAACCGACGTCATTTTGCCCATGTCAATATATTGGGTCTTAAAAAAATAAATAAATCAAAGTTGGTTTTGGATGTGCGGAGGTAGGCCAAGGTCTGATGTCCCTTTAAGACACTGTCCCATGTCAGAGACGTGACTCCGCCCCATCCAGTCCGTTACAAAGAGGGAAAGACAGGTGAGGAGATGGAGGACGGTTCAAAAGTTGGAGCGGCTGAAGTAGAAAAAGTTAATGTGGGAGGGGGTGAGCAGCTTGTGAAGTAGTTATTGTCCATATATCATTATCGAGGTGAACTGCTCAATATATCGTGGTATTGATTTGAGGCTATATCACCCAGCCCTACTTCTTAGCCGTTACTTTTAGTGAAAACACTTTCTCTCTCTCTCTGGACTCGGTCAAATGGGAGCAAGGACATGCATCTGCAGCCAGCCGGACACAGCAGGCCTGTTATGAGATTCAAAAGGGACAGAGGCCAAACTTCCCACAATGCAACTCGACAGCTTCTTTGTTTCATCCTCCATTCCTGTTAAATACCCCACCACACCCTGACTTTGTGACTCAAGTGAAAAAAGGGCACCAAAGAGTGAAATCTGCAAAGTTTCCCTTTAATATTTGAGAATAATTAGAGCTGGTGAAGGTTTTTGGAACAGGTGGATTTAGCATGATGAGTTTCATCATTAATCTTGCAGCAGTTCAACGCCTTGGACCGACATCGCCTGCAAATCTTTTTGAGTATTAATCGAACAACAAGTGGAGCAGCAGCAGCAGAAGTCTCACCATGGCAGGTCCAGTCATGAGCAGAGAGCAGCCGTGACACAGCTCCCCAAAGTTCTCCCAGTAGTGTTTGCGACAGTAAAGCTTCCCATCCTTCTCATAGTACCAGTTGGTCAGGTGATCACAGCACACAGAACACCTGAGAAGACAAGAGACAAGTCCCGGGTCACGTTTGAGCAGAACAAAAAGGAGATGAGCTGAATAAACATGAATAAGACAAAGGCTTTTGGGCGTGGGCTTCACCAACGGCAAACACTCGCCTTGGAGGTGATATGGCGTGTTGTTTCAAAGACATGTTGATAATTGCACAGGTATGCGCTGTGGCTGATGTCTGAAAGATTCCCATGAGGCAATGTTTCCACTGCTCTCTTATAATAACAGATCATCTGCAGCACGTCCGATCTGTCTACTACAGATTTTCACGAGCACCTTTCACGCAAAGTAAAACATAACTTTTACATCCTAAAAGACATCAGAATTCAGCCTTTATTTAAAAAATGTGTGAATAAAAAGAGGAGATAAATTTACTTTGTTTTGACCTTATATAACACAATTGGGTAAGAGCTCAGAGCTGCAAAAACACTCCAAAAACATCATGTTTTCAGTTCGGTAAGAGTTAAAACTGGAACCATAAAAGTAGGTAATGTGTTTGTTCTTGTTCTCAAAACCCACATGTCGTATCACATACAAGACATACCATGAATGGCAGTGATTTATAAAACAGAGCCTGTCTAGAAACCATAACTCACACTGCTGAGCACTTTAAAGCGAAAGGTTGTAGAGAGAGGAGTGACTTTAGCTGGGGGCATGTTCCCAACGACAACAGCATGTACTCTTTTTAACAAGGTGTAGTAGGGCACAGTAAATACCTGAGATGTGCTGGATCCTGCATTCACGTGGAGCTACAGTGACAGGCGGCACATTCAGGGGAAGGACAATTGTGCGAGCTTTTGCAGGATTGAGAATGAAAAGAGTGTTTGGGTTTGAGCCTCTGCAGATTAAGACAATGAAGCTGCCAAAATAGAGCACCTTAATCGGATCCATTTGTTTGAGGGGAAACTTGACTGTTGCTTACACAACAACCAGCAGACCCTGTGAAAACTCTGTTAAAAATTTAAAGGGGCAAAGTCCTCGGATTACCTGGTTGTTGATTGTGCAGTTTTAACTTGCAGAAACTTGATTTGTGCATTTCTTATCTGCAAAGAATAGATTTCCTTGTGGTTAAAGGTGCAAACTGCACTGTTTATCCACAAAAAATAGGCAAAAATTAAGAGTTACACTTTAATGCTCCAAAAGCTGATCAATCTTAGCTGTCAGCTCGAGAGGACTGACGCATATTGGGGGGACATTCCTGGCGGTGACGTTGGGACCTGATTTTCAGATTGAGGAATGCAGAAGTTGTGAACAGACTCGATCACACCTGCAGGTCGAGCGCTCCCTGAACTAGCTGCACTGGTTATGCAAAAACGGCGGCGGCAGTTTCGCCTGCCACTGCTTGGTCAAGGATGAGCTGCTCTGTGAGGGGTGAGGTCAAGGAAGTCTGCAGTCCTGGTTTTGTTTTGACTTTTGGTCGCTGGAATTAGATGTTAAAAATTCCTGAAATGTTCCCTCCACCTTTGTTTCTGTGTATTTTTATCTTTGCACTGCAGGTAAAGTTGATCCAGGCCCGTTTTGACTTAAGCAAAGACTTCACATACTCTAGAGTTTTCTGGCATTAGTTAAGAGGGAGCTGTCTTAAGAAGAAGGAGATCACATTTCAGTGTCCACTGTGGAGGGAAACATGGTGAAAAAGAGGGAAAGTACTGCCTCTGAAAAACACAATAATGATGTGAGGAAACAAACAGTCTGTTCCTCTGAGATCAAAGCAGAAAACATGAAAAACAGACATGAGGTCAGTGTTACACAGAATCACTCCGGTCTGATTCACCACACCGGGACAACATGATGATGATGAGAGGCGGAGCTGAGAGTTCACTGTGGTGAAGATTACATGAGTAATAGGAGTCGAGCTGCGGGGGATACAGCCACACGTCTGATGATCTGTGCGGTATGTCACAAGAACACTTTAGAGAAGGACCTTCTTACTGTGTAATTAAAGGACAAATACCACTAACCACACCATGTGCATCTACAGGTCTGGGTTCTGTTGTTTTGGTGTTGCCAAATAAATACTGCAGACTGCAGCATTAGATCCAGGGGGTCGACTGATACTGAATTTTCAGGGCCAATACTTACAACCGAAGACAGACTGAAACAGCATGAAAGGAACTCTTTAATTCATGTGTTTGGGCACTCCTGTAGACTTAATATGTCATGAGAACAGAGCGAGACATTTGCACAAGTTGAGCAAGTAAACACAGTATGTTCAGGTAAATACACATAAAGTGAGTAAGTAAACAATTGAGACAGGGGAGTCTGGAATGGAAAGCTTGTATCAGAGTGCTGATATTGGAGATTATAGATGCCATGTTCAATTCAGAGTTTTTTACTATCATACTACCATGTTTCTACCTTCGTCAAAAATTAGGAGTGTCCAGATGTAACTTTTTTACCTTTAGTACCTTAGTACACACTGTTGTTGTGATTACATGGGCTCTGCATACTGGATAGAGGAGCTGGAATGGAATTGGGAATGGACTGCTTGTATTGGAGTGCTGATATCAGAGGCACAGATTCAGGCCAATATGATCTGATTTTAACTTTTTTGCTGATATTGGACTGATATATCAATATCATATGGGGACATCCCTATCAAAAATGTTGATTTCAGCTTAGTAGTTAAAGCCTGCCTCTCCTCTACAGAAGCTACAGGCCTTAATGCAAAAGTTAGATTTAGCTTTTTGTTCCTGCCTCTCTCCAGCTCTCCAATCAATAACAGAAAAATATCCTTGAATAAATCCTCAAAACCTACAGCATGTTTTAAAAAGACGACGGATGCAACACCCTGCTTCTTCCTGCACTTTCAACCTGTGAGTCAAGTATAGAGTACAAGAGCAGAGCTGTTATGTAACATAACCATCATGGCTGGAGCAGAGAGCATCAGACCATCAGAGTAGAGAGAAGTTACAGAGATCATAAAAACGTATTAATGAAGAACTGCCTAAAACTTTTACTGCCAGCAAAGGAACCAGAGATTAACGAGGCTTAATAAGAGCTAACTAAAGTCATCTCTAAATAAGTGTGACGACACCGAGCTTTCAAAAAGAGCAACCAGACGTGCAGAGAGTTGTGCCAACATCGGGCCTTTAATACGTGCCAACCAGCCTGAACCGAGTGTGACAGAACCAGGATTTACAAAACCACCACTTTAATAAGCAAATCAGGTTTTTGTCAACTCTGAAACTCTGAAATGTTAAAATCACTGCTGAGTCAAAAACTCAGCTTATGCAAAATGACGTCACACAACAGTTCTCACATGATTAGCATCAGCACTGATACTTTCAGGTGATACCAGTGGGTCTAACGGGTTAAAGAGAAAAAAACTCAAGGCACAAGGAAGAAACAGAGCTGAAAACTGCGCTGCATTTTAACCAGAGAGTGTGACGTGAAAGAAAAACAAAAACCTCCACCTTGACCACCGTGTTCTGAACAAGAAGTATTCCTTAACAAAACCAGACGATAAGCCGCAATTATTGGCCATTATGTCTGTATAATAGACCCAGATAAAGGGATGTAGGCGAGCTTATAAAAACCCCTGACTTCCGTCCATGTGTAGTCGTGAATGGGGGGCAGACTCAGGTGGTTGTTCAATGAACAATGCAGCAGCTCTGGCTGCACAAACACTACAGAGTAAACATTACTCATTTCCTTCAATCCGCATTCCTGCTGGAGTGAATTCCTTCGCTGAATTATGGAGTGGAGATAGTAAGAGAGAGTGACCTCAAGTTTAGCCTTGACGACCTGGAGAGTGCTTGACTTTGGGCGTGGGGTTCTGGTGTGTTCCTGATGTCCTCCACAACAACGTCGTTACAGGGTGTGTAGGGAGAGTTATTTCACACATGGATGGTGTTTTAAGACTGTGATGCCCTCAAGCTGCAACTAACAACTGCTGTTACTAAACATTAACATCACGTCTTCAGTCATGTGATCATTTCCTCAAGATAAAATTCAGCGTTTCTCATCAACTTTTTCTAATATTCCAATCAACCTCATAAAAAAAGTGCCAAATCTGCACATTTAAAAAACTAGATCCAGCGTGTGATAAAAGCTTTTCAATAAATCAAACTGCATGCAATCTCATTTATTCACACACATTTCTAAAACTTGCAAAGCTCCTTTATAATTGGGGTTTATTTCTCTGTACATTTTCAGCCAGTATAAGACACCTCTCTGGAAAAAAAAACAAAGAACTCTGCAGTCAGTGTCTGAGACAGCAGACTCTCATCTCTGAATCGCTGTCTAGGAATGCAGAAGGCAGCGGAGTGGAGGGTGCTGTTACCTATAGGCCCCCCAAAAAAAAACTCTGCCAGGTTTACTGGAACAAGAGTGACGTCAGCTTGTAAGAATGTTACACAAGGTGGAGGGTAGAGTGGCAGTGTGTGGACAATGGACAATAGGAGCACAAGTGGGGGGCCGACATGTTTTCAAGGACGTTTTATTTTGGGCTTTTTCTGACAAGATCAGACACAAAGTCATCATACCACTGTTTTTATCTTAAAGCCAAAATAAACACATTGTACAGGACAATATGTATGGCAATAAAAAAAAAATGAATCTATCTTGGCTTTCTCACTCAGAATGCTAGGAAGGAAGCCTTAAAGGGATATTCCAGAGTAAAATTAATTAAAGGTCAAACACACCGAAACAACGAGTTAGACACCCCCTTCGAGAGATGAATGTTACTGCTTGCTTCTCTAGTTATACTAACTTTGGTAATGACAGCAGGATAATAAATGTTCTTCCTTAAGCTGCGTCACCCCGCAGTAGTCTGTAATGGACCAGCTTGAGGTCTCGCTACAAACCAGCAGCTGCTGGAAGAGAGTAGGTGAGTTGTGTTACAGTGTGTTTGACCCTAAATTAATTTTACGCCAGAATATCCCTCTAACTGATTCCAACTACATTGTAAAAAAAAATCTGCTTTTAAGATTTATTTTGGTGACACGTAGCAATAAAACCTTTTTGTTATGGCTCATACGTATGTATCTATGTTGGTATCATATGCTTCTCATAGTTATTGCAATACTGAGCAGTGATATCTCACTTGGCACGCAGCTCTTGAATGTGCAGGGAAAAACTCTCATGTTTTTTCATATTAGAAATATTGCCATAATAAAAGATATCAGTTTCTCCACATGCAGCCCTCTTTTGTTTCACATCTCTAAGTTAAAGAGAACAACTACAGATGTTTGAGCCAAAAATGCCTCCATTAAGACTGATGGCACAGACTGTAAGAGAGTTTTACAGTACAAAGGGGGGAGAGGATCAACGGTCAGTATCACAGGCTTTTCCCCTGAAGACGTTGACAGATGAAGCTGTGCTTAGTTGTGTTATTGGAGTTTGGAGGGAGTGAAATATACGAGGTTACACAGGGACAAAGTGCTGCAGGGATACTGGTTCCAAACTCCAAGAAAGCTATTTCAGACATCACAGTCAGCATTAAATTTGCTCTATTTTTAAGGCTTTCTGGACATGCCAGGAGTCCCCCAGAGCCAGACTTCTGTCAAACAACCCAACGGCTTTTTTTTTCTTTCGGAAAAAAAGCTTTGCTTTAATCAGCAATATCCAGACTCGGTTTCTTAGTACATTTTAGTGATTTAAGTAGAATTTAGAAGTCTTACAACTTTGGACAACTTCTTCTTGTTGTGGTGTTCCTTCAAATCTCACGACTGTTTAGACTTGACACACTTACATTAAGATCAGGGATCATCTTTCAGAAATCTGAACCATCATATCTGTGAAATGTAAACATGTGAATGTTACAGTCAGCAGGAGGGGCTGACCCTGTGTTTGTTACATAATAATGGCCTTTTTTTGCTATGACAACCTACTGATCCCCACCCCACACAAAGATATCTATCTCCCTTTACGAGTCAGAGACCTGTGACAGGCAGAGAGCTAACTCCAGCTCCACCAGGACAATTATTAAACCTCAGAGAGATTGGGCAAAGTCCTTCAGAGAAGAGAGACCCCTTCACTGGCCAATCTGTATCCAAGAACCAGGAGCATCCCTGTTCAGAGGGGTCTATCAGCCGTGACAGCAGCAGGAATGACATCCTACATGCGTGTGTTTTGTGCAGAGGCTTAAAAAACAATGGTGAATTGTTAGCACACATCTAAGCCCATGTTTAGGCTACAAGACAGAAGCTTCCAGGATTATCTGCAAGGCCGTGTCTGACTGAGGCAGCAGCCAACAGGTTGATCAACAGGAGAAAAAAAACAATAGGGAGCAGAATGCAAACTGCTCTGCTGCTTATTTCCATGAAAACAAAGTAGTATCAGAGTATGCTGGAGAAAACAACTCTCAACTCACAGTAATCTGGTCAAACACGACACAAAGTAAGTTACACAAGCTACAAATAGTACAAAATGAAGCAGCTCGAATAGGACTAAATTGTCCCTATAGAACAAGTAGCATAGCAATGCATAATCGATTAATCTGGTTAAATGTTAAATGTAAATTTCATTACCTATTGGTGTCTTTCCTAAAAAAGTATTATTATAAACAGAGTCCCAGAAGTACGCTTTAATAAACTAACATTTTTTTCTGAGGGACATCAGTATGGTACTAGGCAGGCGATAAAAAGGACTGTCCACTACAGAGCAATGATGGCATGGAATTTATTACCTAACTTTTTCATTTCAGACACTAACAGAAGTTACTTTAACAAACAATTTAAGGTGTAATTGTGGCGTACCAACTGAGTTCAGCTCTTCTCTATGATGGACTAAGTTTTCTTGTTATCCCTAAAATAAGTTCTGTTTTTCTTTTCTTTCTTCATCTTATTTATGTATTGGTTTATTTTTCAACAAGCAGGAGAGAATGAGAGCTACTGTATGAATGAAGTGTAGAGTGAGTGTAGGGCTGGACAATAAGGGAAAAAGTTTATCACGATATATTTTCTTCTTGTATCAGTCGGTATCGATATATATCACGATATAAAAATGAAATTTAACAGTGCTTATTGGGAGCGTGTCTTTTGCAATACAATGAACGACTGCATCTGTGAGGTCTTTGTGTCTTTTTGACTTTTTGTCATTAGGCGTTGCGCTAGAGAAGGCTGACTGAATGGTCGGCTGTTTTCGGTGTTAAAGTGCTATGGTTGCACATGATTGGTTCGGCGCGAAGCAGACCTGCAGAAACTCCACTTTTCATTGGCTATTCGTATAGTCTACCAAAACATGGCAGAATGACGACTATCGAAAAGCACATTGACCATGTTTTATAATGATATAGAGGGAAATTAATTTTTGATATATATCATTATCATTTTATCGCCCAGCCCTAAATGAGTGTTATGTCTCTAAGTACTTGACTAAATTCAAAATGAAAACGGAAAAGAAGATAAAGACCCCAGGAGGAGTAGTTACTGCATATTTTGTTGTGGATCCAAAATAAAACAAACAAACAAACAATACAGCTCATAGTTTCACTGCAGAATCAGAAAAACTGAGAACTTACTGAAAGCAGGAGTTGTGCCAGGTGTCCTGGAGGATTTTGACATGGAAGGTGTCCTGGATTGTTCCTCCACAGCCCGCACAGTAACGCTCATCTGTACCTGAAAGAGAGTGAGAGAGAGACCACAAAGTTCTCACTTCAAACTCAACTTCACATTCAGATTTACAGATAAACTCAGAACACAAATTTATGGCGACGATACACTGACAAAACTAAAGCATTATAGTGCAGCTGTGACACCTTTGTTCACAGTAAAGTAAAAATCTCAGTCTCTTTACCTTCTGGTTCCTCCATCTACTCTCTGAGCGCGTCGTCGACTTCAGAAACTTTCACAAACTTTTCATGCTGTAGTAAAAAAGCGGAGAGTTTTCTTTCCTCTGCGTCTTCTTCCCGGGGCTCCAAACTCTCAATACCATGAAAAAACGAAAACCACAAACCCCTTTAACTCTCCACAGCAGAAAAAAAAGAGTAATCCACCGTCCTCCTCCTGCTCCTCCTTCACGAAGCTGCTTTTGCCGCTGGCAACCAGGATGACTGACGTAATGCCGTCAACAAATTCCTGTACGGAGAGCGGAAGGGGTCAACTGCAGCACCTGGAAGCAGGAGAAAACCGAGGTTTGTCCCCAAACCGAGAGGAAACAACAGCAGCGCCATCTGCTGGCCAGATCACATCACTGCAGACTCAGTTTCTGTATGCTAGCTAGATAGCTAGATAGATAGACTTTATTGACCCCAAACTGGGAAATTCCCATGTTACAGCAGCAATACAAACACAAATTAAAATTAAATATAAGAAGTATGTACAATACTGACTAAATATAATAAATATATACAATAAATACAGACTAAATATACTAAACAGAGAAGAGAAAAAAAGTGAGATATGAAAAAAGTGGGCTATCCATTGGTAAAAGAAATGAGTATTAAATATAAAATGCGAAATATACAGATGGGATGATAAATAAACAATTTAAGGTGCTCAGTAATGTGTTGTGGTAGCTTTAAAAAAAATTGACTACACAGCAGACAGATGTGAGTCTCTGTCTGAGTGGTTTAACCCTCCTCCTGTGCTAGGGTCTACACCGACCTCTTGTTTTTAAAAGCTTAAAAGAACCACTTAAATTTGCTTTTTTGCATCAAGACTTTTTGACTTTTTCAGGAATCTCTATTTTAACTAAATAAAATAATAATAATAATAAACTGACTAAATCATAAAATGCTCTTATTAAAATGATGTCAGGTTAGGGTCGCTGTTGACCAGGTTAGATTGATATCTAATAATTAGAGCAAAAACTAAAATCATTGGTGCACTGTTAGGCACCAAACTGAAGGGCAGATCCTCTTCCAATCATGTGAGATTTAGGAAATTCTCATTTTGTCTGTTTTTTCCTGCACAAAAAAAAACAATGTTGGGCATGTCCAAACATGTGAGATCAATTCAGTGAAGATGTCTGTATGAGGGGTATACTGATAAAGAAAGGCCCAGAGGACCACAACAAAAATATTATCAGCAATACTTTCATAGATAATGAAGCCGAACAAGTTAACCTAGAGATGAAAACCAAATTGGATGATAGAGAATTGTTTTTAGTGTAATTTTCAGCTGTTTTAAGACGGGGGTTGAAACCGACCCTTAACATAGTGGGTGCGTGGAAAAAGTTACTACTGGAGGAAGGATAACAAATTTTAATTATTTTTACACTTTATTAAACCAGGATGCTGCAAAAAATGTTGGTTAAAAATTTTTTTATTCAAACATTTATTAAAAATAATCTGATAACTTTAGAAAAAGTATTGATGATTGGTACATGACACTTTTCTCAAAAGGACATTCATGCAGTCTGACAGGAGATGAGCTTCGACTGCGGGTCTTTTGAGCACTAGTATGGAGGAAACTTCTTTGTAACTCAGATATAATTTCTTGTTATACTTTTCTTTGAGAGTTAAGTCATTTTAATCAACTTCATATCACAATTTGAATTTATAGCTGCTTAAACTGACTCTGATGTTGGACGTTTTAGCAGTGTAAGAGGACTCCAGGGATTTCAGCGGCTACAACATCAATCCATGTGTTGACATAATTCATACAGTGAACTGTGTGTTTAGAGGCCCACTAAAGGAAAAGTTAAACACACCAGCCTGAGCCGTATCTATTCAAGTACAATATCAAAATCCCTTGTGTAAACAAATACGTAACCACCTGGCTCTGTCTTTGGTTTGGTTCATGTTACACCCCAAACACACCTACTACAATGTTATGAATGATTAAGGGACTTAATCCAACCTCTTTGTGTGCTGGGCCTTGTGAAAATGTGGCTCAAACAGAGATGTTAGTCCAATGGTCATCATTTAAAGCACTAACAAAAGACAATGTGCTTCGCTGAAATTTAAGGAAAGGTTCCAGCAGCTTGTCACAACACAGTGCAAACTGATTTTAACAAGTTCTACCTCTGCCCCTGGGAGACTCTAACTCCGACACTGAAAGGAGGAATGGAGTTGCTATTCTCTGTCGAGTCTGTCATGGCCACATTGAACTGAACTGTACTGGAATTGGGCAGATCTCACTCTTTATTCAGCAGGGAAAAACTCAGGAAACAAAGCAAGAGGTTAAAGACCAAAAACTGGTGGGTAAATGCAGAGTATCAACAAACAAATCCAGGGAGGAGGCAAAAAACCCAAAAAAGAAAATGCAATGTAAATACTGCCACAGCAATCACTGCAGCGTATTTCAGGACAATTAACTTGGAGAGTAGAGCAAGAGTAACAGTTAAAAAGACGGGGTATTTCAACTTGTACCAATATTTCCTTCAGTTTCTTTCTTTGGTTTGACACTGGAAGTCTGTAGGCCATTTTTTTCTCCAGTACCAAACCAAGCAAATTAGTTATTAATTAGTTCTTCACAGAGGAATAATACAACTTTTTTCCCTTATCAGGATGTCTGTTCGGAGTCCACATGCAGTCCTGAACTGGCTCTACCTCTCGAGGTCCTATATACTGAACTTTACCCTAGACTCTGTATGACTACAATCATTTCATCTTTGGCTTGAATGCACGTAATGTAAAGACTTGGCTTGCTTTGGTAAGTGTGGTTTTGTCTTTTACAGTCTGGTTTAGAGTATACTCTTCTTCACATGTATACTGTATTTGAGAGGAAGCATATCTTGGTATGTAGTCTTAATATATATTCATATTGACTTTAAGCCTTCAAGTTCCTTTGTGTTTATGGTCTGTTAAATGCAATACCAATGTTTTCTTAAGGTTTCTACAGAGGCCAGCTATTCTGGATAATTGTCTTGATAGCTATTTCAGGCTCACTGTGCCTCTATTCATTGTATTAAAAGATAAATAATTTTAGAAGGACGGAAACTGTAGTTCCTTAAGTGTCCACTTTAGGTTGGCTCCAAAAGCCAAGGAAACCCTGTTTAATCTCATTTCAACACCCATTTTTAGATCAAATTTAAACATGGTCACAACAGGCTTAGCCACTGTTTATTATTTCTTCGCTTGTTTTAATTGTGTCAAGTTTGATAGTCATGTATAACTTGACAATTTATATTATTAAGGAATCGATTATAAAGGAATCCAAAAAATGGTACCAAATAGCCAGTCATGATTCAGGATTTCTGTGGCCGGGTTTCAGCTAAATCCCTGACACCACCACTGTATTTGAGAAGTTTGTAGAAAGGCTTTAGGCTGTAGATCTACATCTGCCTGTTTTTGGATTAATTAACAGATTGAGTCTTTTCCAATATGGTGGCCATCATTGTCGGCCCTGTTCAGAAACAGTGGGTGGCTTCACTGAGAGTAAGTCATATTTTACAGGTTCTAGTCTCTGGCTACAGCAAAACAAACAAGGCCAAGATGTCAAACACAATGACTGAGCTGTTTTATCAGCTGAGGGGGCACCAAACAGAGAGCTAGTCGACCATTTCAAATGTATAAAATCACATAATTATGCTTAACTTAAAGACCAAACTTAAGACTTAAAAACTTAAAGACCAAAGGGCCAATGGTGGTGAACGACTCCTCTCTCTTTTGTGCCCACAGCCATCAGACTTTAAAACTCTTCTGTAAATAGTAGATAACTTTAAGAGACATGACAAATGAGATGACAGACAATTGAATTTGCCTTCGGGGATTAAAAAAGTTCTTCTTATTCTTATATAATACCAACAATTTATGAAAAAACCTACACAGGAACAGTGTGCTTTCCTCAACAATATTTTTATTAGTTTTATACAGATTAAACAAAGGAAACACATCACAAACACCCACTTTCCCTCAAAACCCTGTCTACTGCTGGATATTCCTATTACTGTGCTTAAATAACAAATTCTGGAGCTATAATAATAATAATAATACAAGTAAGTGCTGGAATTCGTGTTTTGTAGATTTTGAAATACATAAGATTTTGAGGAATAAAAAGTAAAAAGAGAATAAGTTAAATGAACTACTGTATGTTAAGAGAAATACAAATGTAGACGAGTCGCTGAAAACTGAAAAAGTCCATAAAAGAGATAAGAATTTAAATTTTGTGATTATAAAACATTTTAAAAAGAAAAAGACTAGAAGAGGAGAGTCCTGATTCAAAATGACAAGAGTTTCTGGATTTCTGAGTTTCCAAAACCTAAGGTCAAAGTGTAAGTGCCTTTAAGAAGCACATTCAGAAACAGTGTGCTTTTTAATGGCACAGATTTCACCTTAGTTTTTGGTGCTGACTTAGGGGTCACCTCAGAAGCTGCAGAGTAGGTAACTGAGTGTGTAGCTTATCACCACTTTAATATAGAGTTTCAGCTCTGCAGGTTATTGTGTGTTTACCTCCGATTAACTTATTGGCTGTCCATCATTGGAGTGTTTATCGGTTCACACAGCCACATAAGGAAACAGGCTTTTATTTTGGAGAGAGGCGGGTGTAAAACTCGCGGACTTGACGGCAGTTGAAGTGGTGATAATGGAAAGGGGCACTTACAGTTATGTCATATTACTCCACATTCAAGGCGGCAGACGGGCTGGGTTTCTGAGTGTCACCGGTGTTTGTGGAGGAGTTGGTCCTGCCTTTCATATTTACGCGCACCACTTGAAAAATAAGCATCACTGAGTCGCTTTCCAAACAATTACGCAGGAGCTTAGCTGTTGGTTTGATAGTCAATTATCAAATTTGTTCTCAAGGTTTGAACATGAACCATTCGTTATGGTGTATTTGACCGGGAGTGGACGGTTTTACTCGGTTTAATCTTCACTTTTTGGTTGATTTCACACTAAAATTACGCATCGAAGCTTTGTTTGTCACCATTACAATCCGCCTCTTCACTGTTACCGATAAAACAGAGGCATGGATGTCGATGCCGAAGACTCGAAGGAGACAGACTTTACTCTGAAAACCATGGATCCCAAAGCGATGACCGAGACAACACCGGAGCCTGAGGCGCAGAGACCCACGTGGAGTGGGCGGCTGGAGTTCATCCTCGCATCGGTGGGGTACGCAGTGGGACTGGGTAATGTCTGGAGGTTTCCCTACCTGTGCTACAGCAGCGGTGGAGGTAAACATGACTGCAGGAGGTTTAGACTGTTGCCTGAGGTGTTGACAGAATCACAATCTACAAAATGATGTGATACATGGATGAAATGCTCTGCTACTGGTTCATGTGTTTGGAAATCAATTCCCTATTTTGCATTAATTGAGGATGTTGCTGTTGCGAAAGCACACTATAGCTACTTTAATCACTTTTATTGATAGGATATGTCTATTTATAAGTTACTTTTACTGATAAACCTATTTTAAAAGTCTTTTTATGTGTTTTTATGATTCCTTTATGATTAATTTTTTTACTCTGTACCAACATCTAAGCAGTAGGGGGGGCTGGGGTAGGTTGAGCCAAAGGGAAGTTGAGCCACCCCCTGTTGGTTAGAAATGGTCAAAGAAATTGACCATGTGTACAAATATTTAGGAGATGGGCATCATTTCATGGGTGAAGTGGTTAGACATTTATTTAAAAAATAATAATAATTTTTCACTCTTGAAAGTGAATTTAGTCAGTCATAAGTTTTATAAGAATTATGTTCAGACCAAAAAAGATCATTTTAAATTTGTTTTATACATCAATTGTGGTATCTATGAGGCATAAAAGTCCACCATTTTATCTTAGAGGACTAATAAAGTCATCATGGTAGTTCTGTGGTAACTGAGAAAGTAAAGAAGTCTGATGAGAGGATCAGAGTTTCAGTTCAGATTGTTGAAATGTTTTTACTTTTTCTTTTCAAAAATACAGCTGTGAATGTTCTGAATCACTTGAAGACATTCTCATGTTAAAATGACTTTTCAGCAGTTATGAGCAATAATAATAAAAAGAATTATTGTACCAGTTTAATAGTGTATAATAGATAAAAATACACATGAATGTGAGGAAGTGACTGTTATTTAGGGAGAGAGAAGGTGAGGGAGGGCTGGGGTGGAGAGTGGGAGGAGTAGTAGGGATACAGCTCAACTTACCCCATACACGGGGTAAGTTGACCATAGGAGACCACTTTTTTGTCATGCTATATTATCAAGACAGTTATGTTTACACTCATTCTGTTGGTTTGCAGGGATGAAAATCTTGAAATATATGCAGATACGCTAGTTAGAGAGAAAACTACGATTGAACTCATCTTACCACACTCTCCCCTAAGGCTTTGTGGGAGTGGTGCTGCTGGATTCACAATTTTTCAGACTGAAACTACACTGAAATATTGAAATAATGGCTGAGCTCTTGATACAGTTTTAAAACACAAATAAGCATGATAGAGGAAATGCTGATAAGTCGCCTCTTATCATGACAGCCGGGTTAAAATTGTTGACCTGTAAGACGAGCTTTTCCTTCACACAGTAGCATTTGGAGTGGTCATGTGAAGGAGGACTGATATGAAGTATATGTCACATGCCTGACGTCTCATAGCACAATAGTCTCAGTCATAAACAGAGAGGTCTAAAGCAGGCAGTGAAATTCAGACTGCAGAGTCAAGGGGGTATTTATTTTTCCTGCCATTACTGGTCCTGACTCATTGCATTGAGTTTTTCCATCTTAATGCAACCTGTGCACTATTTCACACTGCTGGTTGTACTCTATTACAGCACATGATGGGCAATGCGAGGCATGGTTTATCCCAGAACATAGAGTCCGAGATTCAGTCTCACTTTCAGGTCTGCTGGTAGTTTTACAGTTGGTCTAATTGGCATTTTCTTTCAACAAGGAACTAAAAGAAAGGAAGTATGGACACGTTCAGTTGAATATTCTCAGAATACAGCCACCTGTTTTCTAATCCTTTTACTAAGAAATGATCCCTTTGCATCTTTGTCGAGTGACTCATCTTAATCCAGCATAACAGCGATGAAGCTTTGTCAAGAAAATTTTCAGCTTCTCAGCCTTCAAGTCCCTGATAGAGAGAGGACACTGTGGCATCATATTTCTCCCTTATGCACCATAATGTAATCTAGACACACTCAAGAGGTCAAAGAAGTGTCAGCCATGCTTCCTTCTGTCCTAGGTGCCTTCATGGTCCCTTATCTCATCATGGTCGTGCTGTGTGGTTTTCCTCTCCTCTTTATGGAGTTTTCCATCGGGCAGTACACTCGCATAGGCCCAGTCCACGCCTTCGCGAGGATCTGTCCATTGCTAAAAGGTGAGTGACCTCTATCCGTTGGCTCCCCATATGTGGCAAAAACATGCATCCTATTCTTTTGTGTCTCTGTATATTTTATTCTGAGCCACATCAGACTGGAAATTGTCTTTTTTCCATTTAAACATATTTCTGTTTTGAGGACTTTTCTGCTTTTCTATTTTATTCTGAAAATCAGTCCTTTCCTGTCAGATAGATGGATTGTTTTCACTTGTTGATGGTTGAGAACTTTTTGAGAGGACATCTCAATCATGGCCGAAATTGTGAAATTTGGACATTTTAATCAATCTGTGCAATCATTTGATCCTGAAGGAAATCATGACGTTACCAAATCCTGAAATAACAAGATTCAACTTTTATTGATAAGAATGATCATTAAGTCAAAATGGGTGTGTGCCGATGTGCTCTCACAGTCTATAAATCATTTCGATGCTCACAAAGGTTATTTCTGAAAAGTTAATACTGCTCGTACAACATCATACTCATCAGGAGATGTTTATATAATGGTACTCAAACATTCACATAAACTCATTTGTGTTGACTGAGAGGACACTGGCAGACACCCAAGATCTTATCTGTCCAAATCAAACAAGAGCCCAGCCATCAACGATCAGCACCTGTGGGACTGAAATGTAAAACCAGCCTGATTTGTTCTAACCCAACATTTTTCTCCATAGTTTTCTTATCTCCTTAAAGACAGAGATTTTCTACCCGGTCAAAACGTCTTCACTTGATTTATCGATCATTTCTTCCTGGTTAATGCTCTGTGCTTAACAAGGGCCGAAAGCAGGTAGTTGTTTTCTGAATGCTCTTTTAATGTGTTTCTCTGTACAACTCAGTGCAGTTTGCTGTGATTTACCTGTGATCCATGATTCAAATATCCTTCACAAATCAACCAATGTCCTCCATCACAGAGTATAAACATTGTTTTTTTGCCGCAAGGACTCCGAATATTGTATTTGTTCAGACAACATCATGGTTATAATTTCTTAGACCTTTGATAGACTAATCTATCTGGTTAGATATGTAGCCTTAACTTGTACGAGTATTAACAATGAATAGTATGATGATGTGTAAGGCTAAAGAGGACATGACAAGTGCAGAAGGACAGGGTAAAAAACTGATTTTTGGACATGCATGTTTGCACCTGCACCTTTTCCACACGTGCATAAATCAGTGTCCACCTGAGCCGAGACTGTGGACACAAACTCAGCTCTGACTCCTGCAGACTCGAATGTTATGGCAGTTTGAAATGACACGGTACTTCCCCTTAGTCAGTGGATTCTGTATCAGTAGGGCCATAAACCATGTAAGCTGGACCATACACGGTGGTTTCAGCTGAACCTGGAGCTCAGAGGACCTTCTTTTGGGACCTTCGCTGTGATGATACAGACCTGTTTTTTAGTTATTTGATCAGGTAGTGGCACTGGGATCGATGGAGCATGGCATCCTAGTTTTTTCTCACTGAAGACGGCATGTTTTCAGGAGGTGAGGTTTGAATACTTTTGTTGAGCAAAGAAAAAAGTTAGTGATAATGTTTAGGAGCACTCCATGAGCATCACAGGGAACGCTGGTTTAGCACCTAGCTGCACCCTTTGCAGAATGTCCTCTCTCACTCTCTGCTCCCCATGTTTGCTGTCCCTCTTCAGCTCTTCTATCAATAAATGCAAAAAGGTCCCAGAAAGGACAGAGCTTGACTTTTACCACTCTACAAAGGATTCTGGGAAAATAGTAGTAGAAAGTTGTGCTGCCCTAAGGGATATAAAATTAATTTAGGGTCAAACACACCGCAACACAGAGTTAGACACCCCCTCAAGAGATGAATGTTGCCGACAGCTTGCTTCTCTAGTTATACCAACTTTAGTAACAACCACATGATAGCAATACACAGCGGTCTGAGGAGCCATCAACAAACCTCAACCAAAACACCACCCTATAGCCACAAATAATGATCAGAACAGCACCTAATTCCATCAACAGTACATATAGGGTCCCAGCCACAGCACTAGCCACCAAACATGTTTATGTTTATGTTTATTCAGCTTTCAGCATGATCACAGATGTTTAAAAAAGACAGATGCCATTAAAAACACTGAATTATTTTGCTGATTACAAAAAATAAAACTTCAAATATAAAATGCAGCTTAAGAAGCAACAACCTAAAAACTTAAAAAGCTAAACACCATTCTCATTTAATAGTCTGCACATATATGGGATTGGTGATTTCTTATATCTCTCAGTTCGGCATGTTGGGGTGTCCAGGTCATCTCCATTCCGTGTTTGTCGTCCAGAGATCTCTTTCCTGAGTGGGGGTAGCCAGTTTCTGAAATTGGACTTGAACAGCTTTCTGGCAAAATCAAGACATAGTTGAGTGCGCCTCTCTGCTAGGGAGCACAATTTGAGGGTGTGGAGAGCTTCTGTGTATCCTATATACCGCTGGCCCAGAATGATTCTGCTCGCCCGTTTTTGAACTCTTTCCAGACTATTTGACTGGCTGGCAGTAAGGGAACTGTGACATCTTTTTAACTTTGTCTAATTTCTTTAGCAAAGAGACTAAACACAACTTACCCACTCTCTTCCAGCAGCCGCTTGTTTGTAGCGAGACCTTGACCAGTCCATCATGGACTGAGGCGGGGTGACGCAGCTCAGTTTGTGTCTATAGAGTGGCGTTTTGGTTGAGGTTTGTTTATGGCTCCTCAGACTGCTGTGTATTGCTATCTTGCGGGCGTTACTAAAGTTGGTATAACTAGAGAAGAAGGCAGTCGGCAACATTCATCTCTCAAGGGGGTGTCTAACTTGGTGTTATGGTGTGTTTGACCCTAAATTGATATTTACCAGAATATCCCTTAAACCAGAAATTAAAGCATAACCAGATAGAACGAACTGTATTGATAAACCTCCACTCATACACAGGTGCACATGCAAACCTTTAAGTCTACTAATGAAGCTCCTCCACCTGCACTAGAGACAAGGCTTTTTGCTGAGTCATTGCTCTGATTTCTCAGAGGAGGAGACTGATGAAAACAACTGCAAACACACACACACACACACAGTAAACTCAGACACGCAAACCTCCCCCCTGGACTGTGATAACACAGAGCCAGAGATGTTAAAAGACTGAATAATTGACATCTGTTGGAGAACTTTGATCTCTCCTTTACTCATTTAGTCTGGTGTATCCACAGGCTAACAGAGAGGAATTTCTAATCTGTGGCTCCACACATAAACCTGTAACTTGGCCGAGTAATTGATACTCCAAAATGTGGATCATAAGGGATTTAATATCAGTTGTAGAAAGTAAAGTGAGCACCTTCTCCCTCACACACGTCACCGTGTTACTCTGCAGGTGTTGGCCTGGCCACAGTTGTTATCTCCTTTGTGTACTCCACCTACTATAATGTGCTCATGAGCTGGGCACTGTACTATTTGTTCAACACGTTCGGAGCGACCCTCCCCTGGACGTCCTGCAACAACACCTGGAATGTTGTGGCCAACTGTTCCAGTGGTTTCCCTGGCAACTCCACACATCTGCAGTCGGCCAGCCAGCAGTTCTTTGAGTGAGCATGCAGTCGATTACACCAAACCGTCATATTTATACAAATAAAGCACTTCTCAGATACTCATCAGATTTTGATTTTTTGGTGTTTAAGAGAAATTATGACTTTAAACTAACTTTCCAGAGTTAAATTTGGGAATTATGGGCTGTTTACTCTTCCTTTCCTATCATTTCCAGTCATAGGCTTCTGCAGAAAACCAATGGCATTGAGGAAATTGGGGGTCTTCGCTGGGAACTCTTCGGCTATCTTGTTCTGTCCTGGGTCATCGTGTATTTGTGCATTTTTAAAGGAGTCAAATCAACCGGCAAGGTCAGAAACATACCATAACCTGGTTTTATGTGTGGTCAGTCATGATGTTTTCGAGTCAGTAATTTCAGGGAAGATGGGAGTTTAAGTCTGAAGGCTTTCCTCTAAACAGTTAAAGCTGTTACTCTCAAATGTCCTCATTCAGATGGATGGTTTTGTGTCGTAGGGTTGGTGTAATGAGTAATGATTGTAATGATTGTTTTAAACCTTGCCCTTCATGAACAGATGCTAGCAGACGTCCTGTGTTTGATGACGGTCATCCTCCACTCTTTCCTCCTCTATTTACTGTCTTCTCCAGTCAGTAAAGGTGTAAAAGAAATTAAGTTTTATGTTGTTGCAGCCTTTCCTGAATGATTAACTAACACTCTGATCCATCTTTGCTTTTCTCTGTGGCACGCAGGTTGTGTATTTCACTGCTCTATTTCCATATTTCATCTTGTTTGCCCTTCTCATTAATAATGTTCGGCTTCCTGGAGCAAAGACCGGTATTCTCTACTTTGTGACACCGGTCTGGAGCAGACTGTTTGAAGTGAAGGTGAGACTCAGTGACTGAATAAATGAGTAACATTAGGTAGTATTTGAACCAACCAAATGGACTATAATTGTACATTGGCAGCTCAGTTTAAAACAAACTTTTTAAATATTTGGTGCTTGCCATATCATTGTTGTTTCATTAGAGTCCTGTTTTTAAAGTTTAATTATTAAACCCTTATTTTACCCAGAATAGTCCCACTGAGATCACAGATGACAACATAACTTAACACAGTGATCAATAAATGATTAGCTTTGGCTTTAAATACACAAAAATCACATGAACTTTAACTTAAATGTTAAATTTTACATTTTGTGTTGTGATATTGTTTATATTTCTGTTTTTGGATCTTTATAATAGATAATAATATAATTTAATAATAGTTTCTTATTAATCCTCAAACTCTCCTCCGTCTCTACTGAAGGTTTGGGTCAATGCAGCCGCTCAGGTCTTTAACTCCATTGGAATAGCGTTCGGCTCCATGGTCTCCATGGCTAGTTACAACAAGTTCAACAACAACATTTTCAGGTAATGAATAATTGAACACGGAGTCTGTGAGAACAGTCAAACCTTAACATGTTGACACTGGTCATTGTTGTTATTGGCTCCTTCTGAACATACTCAATAATTAAGGACTGATTCAGATGACACAGAATACAAAACAGATCCCACTCTTAGTCGGCTAAATCAGTAGTTTATTCCTACATGTGTTACAATGCCATATGGTGATATTAGGATGTACCTCAAAGATTATCCTCTTTAACCTCTACAGTGTCTGGTGAGTTGTAAACAGGCTCTTTGATTTGCTGTGTAGTAAAAGCAGCTTCTGTATTTCTCTTTGGCAAACAGCTGCAGATGAACAAAGAGGACACGCTGTTTACAAAACCTCCATTTTTGGTTCCCTCTCTTTGTAAATGTGCCGTGTTGACAGTTGGCGTACGTGAGCCACCTGCTCTCCTTCACATCTTGCAGTTAAACATACACCTTTTGTCCAGAATCACAATCATCCACACAGCACAGCTAGGAAATCAGAAATTACTGCTTCAGAGACACAATAATATGTACAATAAAATTTCTAACCACTGTGGCTTTTATAATCCAGCTCCTTTGTTTCTCTGATGTCCTATAACACTGAAACAGAGCTGCGATTTCTCACATTTCAGGGATGCTTTAATTGTTGTATGCACCAACTCATTTACGAGTATCCTGGCTGGCTTTGTGATCTTCTCAGCTATTGGCTACATGGCTCATATTCATAACCTCCCAGTGGACAACATCGCTACAGACGGTAAGCATAAAACTTGAAAAGAGCATTTATTTGCGAGTAAGATGAGGCACAATCAAAAATTTTACTCATTTAACAAATGTCTGTGAACATTTTTGAACTTTAACATCTTAAAATATGAGTAAACACTCTTGTATTGTTGTGTTTCAGGTCCTGGTTTGGTGTTTGTTGTGTACCCTGAAGTACTCTCCACTATGCCTGTCTTTCAGCTGTGGGCCCCTCTGTTCTTTTTCATGCTGCTGTGTCTGGGCCTGGACAGCCAGGTAAACTCCTCAAGGGGCCCCACTGTAATCAATGAAGTTGTACAGATTTATATGTGGGTGATTATTGTTTTACATACACGGTGACTGTGATCTGAGTATCACAGTATTCCTGATAACAGAGCCGCCCAGAATCAACAAATCCACAATATCAGTGCAGCTGCAGATTTTTCTCTCTGACTGTGACAGGTCACACATGGAGCAACAGAGCAAAAAAAAAAGTTTCACTGACTTAATGTAGTGCTAGTTCAGGCAGGCAAACTCCTCATCTTAATGCTTAATGCCATATGCTTTGTCACTGATACAGGCTCTCAAAACAGAGCTATACCACCAAATATGACAACCGCGTGCAAAAAAAATGATTCTCTTTGACAACAGCGGTCCTGACTGAACCTAAAAATTACTGGAGGTAACAGGACAAGCTGATAGTTGTCCTGTTAAAGTGTATTAATTGTGCATATTTTAACCATCACCATGGACTAAATCTCTCCCAAACAAAATATCAACTGCTTTAATAAGATATTTTCTCTCAATATGCTTTTGCCTCCCCTCCTCTTATCTGTTATTACAGCAAGTATAAGTATGAGAGATGTGATCAAATTTAAAGAAGTACGCTAAAATTTACGAGGGTCTGTATTTTGTGTAAATGGGAACATATCCACTCACAGTGACAGTGTTGATGTTTTCTGGTATCATATTAATAGTGTTTACAGCAGGTTGTTAGTTTTCAATTAAATTCAATCAAATTTTATTTATATAGCGCCAATTCACAACAGTCGTTATCCCAAGACGCTGGTATTTTGTAGGTATTTGGTCATAAACAATGTTTTAAAGTTGTTTGTTTAGATTTCTATTATGCTTGATATTGTTTATGAGTATTCAACTTTAACTATTCTTGCACCCCTGTTGTGTTACCATAGTTACTCAGGTCTTTTTTCACAGATTAATAATTGCACCACACATAAAGATAAAATAAGAATAATGACAAGAATCACATTTACGGAAGAGATCGCCAACTATTGTTGAGTACAGCATGTGTGTTTTTCTCAGTTTGGTACAGTTGAGGTTGCCATAACCTTTGTGAAAGACGAGTTTGGCCCCAGCATTCTGCGCGTCCTGAAGAGAGAGGAGCTGGTGACCCTGGCTGTGTGCGTTGTTGGCTTTATCCTTGGGATTCCTCATATCACAAAGGTGCAGCACGGTAAAGATTTGGACCTCAAAAAGAGGATGTTGTGTAGCTTAAATGTTGTAACAGTTTTTCCTGCCTCTTTCCTGCACAGGGTGGTATCTATGTGTTTCAGCTGATGGACCATTACACTGCTGTGGTGTCCCTGGTTTTCCTGGCTTTCTTTGAAGTAATAGCTGTCTGCTGGATCTTCGGTGAGCTCAACACAGAGTTCAAATGTCTTAAATCTGAACATGAAGACAATATTAAGTAGGGGTGGGAGAAGAAAATCGATTCACAAAAGTATCACAATTTTTTTGTTTTACAATTTTCTAATTGATTTTTTTGTTCAAAAATTTATTTTTCTTTCAAATGTAAGAATAAATCTTAAAAACTGACGGACATTTGATGTTTAACTTTTGGGGAAATATGGTTTCTGGAATAGTCAGTAGACAATCATAATCATTCAAATGCAGACTAAGAATCGATAATATCGTAGAATCGCAATTTAAATCGAATCGGCATCCAAAAAAATCGTAGAAGAATCGAATTGGAAGAAAAGCATATGGTCTCAGCCCTAATATTAAGGGTAAATGGTAGTTATGAGAATTAATAAAACACATTCTTCTCTATCAGGTGTCCCAAAAATCTCTCTAATGGTGAAGAGGATGCTGGGAAAAACTCCAAACATCTTCTTCCGTGTTTGCTGGTTGCTGCTGTGTCCGCTCTTGGTTATGGTGAGGTTTTAATTGTCAGATCTGCACGTTTTTGTTTTTTTTAAACAATAACCGCTACATGAAGACTTTAATTTTCTGCACACAGTGTATACTGATTTCCAGCGTCGCTCAGTACACTCCTGCTCGCTATGGGACGTACAAATACCCAGTGTGGGCTGAGTGTGTGGGCTGGGGCGTCTCACTGATCTCTATAATCTGGATCCCACTTGGAGCTGCTCAGGAGATGAAAAACAACAAAGGCTCCGTTCTTCAGGTGAGTAGAGGACTGTGATTATTTTAACAGTGTGAACTTTAATGCTATAATTATCTGTTATGTTAAACATGAAGTTTATCATATTAGGTTGAAGGGATAGTTCGCAATTTAATGTCTATAATAAGGTGATGATTGTTTGCGAGCTAATTTTACTAAAGTAGAATTTGATTTAATTTTGTGCTCTATTTGGAAATTTTCCAGTGCTTAACTTTGGTGTCGGAAAGCCTATTTATTTTTTTCCTTCACTATTTGAATGTCAGTATCAGAGTCTCTTAAATTAGCTCAATTTTGTGGTAGTTTTGATCCCGTTTGCTGAGGTTGTGGTCCAGCTTCAGTTTCAGTGCTCCTGCAGGTTTCTCAATCGAAGGACTGAGCTGAGTTTTCCTTATTCCCAACACATGACTGCCTCGAATCACCAGACATTCTCCCAAAAGTTTATCCATTAATGAAACTTTTGTTTTGTCTAACCCTCAGAGACTGAAAACGGCCATGACTTCCACCTTAGACCTCGATGCTGAAGATTATCCCGCAGAAAAACCGAGCCCAGACCACGCAGTGTCAGAAACTTTACTTCATTAAGTGGCCTAATTCAGTCATCTATATCTGTTCATACTGAACTATGAGAGCTTTAATCAAGTGTGTTTAGAGATGTGAAGAGCAGTTTTTTTTCACACTGACACACACTTTTCAGGGTTTTATTATGATACTGTATTTTTATATGTTTGTTTATAAGGTTTGTTTTTTCCAATTGTGCATTTATGGAACCAAACAGTGAAAACTTGAGATTTTGTCAATCAAAGGAAGTTTGTGAAAATGATTCATAAGTGTGTGATCTGCTGATGCAACATAGGTAGTTTTTTTATTCTATCCAAAGGCTGAAATTTGACGGACTGAGTGTATGCAAAAAAAATAAGTTTCTACTGCACTAATTGATCTTAATAATGAGTTTGTGTCTTTTAACTTATCAAGAGCCAATCAGGAGGCTACTTACTTTCTAGCCTAGCCTGAAACCTTTGCAGACTCAATACTCTGGAGGCCATCTATCCACTGTTATATGTGCTCCATATCATCATGTCAAACTGCACCTCATTATGCCACAAAAACACAGCCAGAATATTTCCCACCTCTTGAGAGCTGCTCGGATGTGTTTCTCCTCCTAAGAACTTTGCAGAGGTCTCTCCACTGTGCTGAGCTGAAACTTCAGAGCTTTCCCTCCTACTTCCTGGTGTTTGTACATCTTTGTTCAGTAGCCACACTGTAGATTTCATAATGTATAACTAAACATGCACTTCCTGAATGTACGCTGCATTGGACCTGTGAGAGGCTACACAGGATAAACAGTCTGTTAGGAGCAACAGGTTCACGGTCCTAAAAGCAGATGTAGACCATGAAGTCTCAGATGGTGACTATTTAACACAGCTATTGTCTCAAAAACTTTTTTTTTAAAAAGCAGAGACTTATTTCACCATCTTTCGTTCATTTCAGTGAATTTTTAAGTGATGTGACGAGGGCAGCAGGTTAATGTTACACCCAGAGTGACAAAACTCAGTGTGAACTCTTTTTTTTTTTGTGTTTTCTGCAAGTAAACATCATTATAACACATATATTATAACATATATTATAACAACTAGTGCCTTTGAATGACAATTTGACAGTCCTCGATTCAAAGTTGAATAGTTTTTCGTGCAAAGACATGCAGTTAATCACTGACAGATGTACTGTCACTGTGTTATCGGAAAGGCAAGTCAGAAGTTTCATTTTGGTCGAAACATTTGCTCGGGCTCAGACTTCACCTTCGAGACGGCGCTGTAGTGTTAGTTAACTTCTGTTTTAATGATCAACTCCTCGTTTCTGAGAGCATGTTCACTGATTGTTTGTTCCTCAGTTCATATTCTCTTGAACGCTGGAAAAAAAGGTCAAGTTGTCACTGTCACTGCTCCTGTTTTGTGCAAGGTTTCTCTTGTTTCCACAAGAAAAAGTTGAGCTATAGAATCATAAAATATTTCATCATGACTTAAAAAAAATTATATATATATATATACATATATATATATATATTTTTTTTTTTTTAACAAAAAAAGCTGTCACATACCTCTTATGTACCATTTTCTCATTCTGATTTAATAAGAAAACCAAAACTATTATATAATTTTAAGCCTTTATGATTCTATAACTGGCTGTTTAAAATATGCAGAAATACATTTACAATACATTAGACTTTGTTTACTTTGAATAATCAGATTTAAACGAATTTTAAAACAAACTAAACAGACTGAAGTATAAAGATTGCACTTATCTGGATCTCTTTGGCCATAGGACACTTTGCTTTAAATTCGTCTACAGTCCTCATTGCAGAAGTTGCTTGTCCAGGTACCATGCCTTATTCAGTGCTCGCTGCATTTTCTGTGCCCCTATCAGCAATGGCAAAAACAACTTTTTAAAAAGATAATTTATTCACACATTTGTCAATCTGATTATGGTTTTTAAACTATTTATTGATTAATGTAGTCAAAAATGTGCATGCTATTAAACTTTAAGTTACGCTGAAACTTGCAAAATTATGGGGTGTTTTTTTGTTTGTTGTTTTGTTTTTTTGTTTTAAAGCTTAAATGTCTGTTTTATTTTGTTTTTTTTTCCCTTGTGAATTAAACCTTCATGTAACTTTGAGTCCCTGAATTATTCGGTGTATATTTCTTTAGTCTGATCACTTCCTCTGAGAGCCACAGGGTGGCAGCATAGCAGCAGTTAAGTAGAGAAACTGTGCTTTATCCACTCTTTCACTTAAAATTAAAATAACCCACTGTGACAGCTACAAAGACTTCCCAGCCTTTACGTGTGTATAAACTTTTTAAATCCATTTATTGTGATGCAAATTATTTACATTTCAACTTCTGAATGTGAGCTGCTCCATACATGTTACTGCAAAGCGTCTGAATATCTTACAGTGAGACTCTAAATGTGCTCATTAGCTCCATCAAGTCTAATTTGCGAGAATTAAAGGTCACTGGGGATTGAACCAACACGACCACCAACACTTGAGTGGAGTCATCTTTAAACCACAGAGCAGTCAGACTGAAAGAGTGCAGACCCTGATCATATCTGAATGCAGTGCTGTGAGGTCCGGAACTTAATTAGACCCTTATTGTAAAGTGGTTCTCTGTGCAGAAATGTACATGAATCAATACTGCCTTCCCGCTTCCATCATGACAGACTGTATCATGTGCACTAAATTATCGCTGAGAGTACTGATCGTCAATACTTATAGACAGCGTAGCCCAGAGGGAAGTAAATTAATGGTTATACAGAGCAGAGGGAAGTATATGTGGGCCTTAAAGGGTGATTCAGAGGGAGATGGGTCACAGTCTACCTCCTGTTGTGGTGTGTGTGAGGACTTAAATCTGTGCCAGGCCAACAGTTAGACCTGAACTGAGTGTCACATTGGAGCTGTTTCAGATCTTGTCTGACCTTTCCGGAGGCAATTTGCGCAGTGGTCCAGGAAATTCACTCGAGTATCTAATCATCACTGCTCGACATACGTGCACCATCCTGAGTGTAATGAGAACTGTGATTGTAAAAGATGGCATAAAACTGTCTGACTGCCTGAGGAGAAACTGGGAACGGCAAAATCTGAACTCCTGCTGAGTTTTTTTCTCATCCATTCACCCTGATGCTGCGTTTTACTCGCCGTGTATCATGTGAAGGAACAAGTATGCCATCTGTTTCAAGCTGATGAGTGTGATTGGGTGTGTGAGTGAACAGTGTTGATTACACAGTATACTGCTGCTGGTCACTGCTTTATACGGATCAGGAAAAACAAGTTATTACATTTAGGAGGATGAGTTTTGCCTCATCTCCTTACCTCTTCGCTGCCCACCAGTCTGGGGGAAGGTTTTAAAGGCACCCCGTTGAAAAAGCCCTGAACCATCACTCCCCTAATAATGTTGTAAATATTAAATATTCATTTAAAGCTCCTTAGAAATAGACTGAGTTCATTTTGTTGCCATTTAATGAAAAACAAAAAGAAGAATGAAGATTTTTATGTCCTTATTTTTAATCATCTGAAACTGGTGTAAAGCAGGTAGGTCCAAAGTTTTCTTCTCTTCTGTGGTTTATTTACTGTACATTTTGCAGCACATCTAACAGTGTTTTGTTTGCACACACTTAATTATAGCCAAGGTCTAAAGGTCTGTTTTGATATCACACAGAATATTGATGTAAACTGCTGACGTCTTTAATCCGATTGGCTTTAAATTCATTCAACATATGCTTATTGTCTCTAGGATTAAACATGACAGTGTATATTTAATGTCTGCAGACACATTTGCTTGTTTATGTAATTCATTTCAGCTCATTAAAACACTAATGACTATATGGTGCCAACTGTTTCATATGTAGATAGGAGCTTCTGAGGCTTGGATGCTGCACAGTGTTGCCTCTGTTGATGAGGATTTATTTGTTGCTGTTTTCTTTTCAGGCTGATTGGTATGTGCATACATTAAAAGACCCTCTATAAATAGATCTCACCTCATGCCGGTAATGAGGCTACAGCCGGGGGCAGTGCTTGGCCTTTCTCCCAAACTTGATCTGCTTTAGTGTCCTCATGCAAAGATGTTTTTTTCTTTCTAGAAACAGAGATAAACAGAGGTTTTATAGAACAATATGAAGATTTATAGTCTGCGCAGGAAGAAGATTCAGTGGGAAGAATTACACCATAACATGAGTGAACACTCCTGGGCATGCTCAGAAGGGATGATGGAGACCAAATTCAGCTGCTATATTACAGCTGCTGGGTTCCTGGGTTCTTTAACATGTATTTAAAATAAACTTTTTAACTCTTTTAAACTTCTCTAAATCATCTTAAAATAAAACTCTAAATATCCTTTAAACCCCAGAGTTAAAAGAAAGATAAAACTTGTCAGGTAAATATTTGTAATAGCTTCTCCTATAAAGATTCAAGTACCTTTGTACCCAAACAGTTGGCAAATGAACCACGAATACATTTTTAAAACTGCCTTAACTCTCTATTAACACAATAAAACAATTACACATGCATTTTAGAACTTTCACTAGAATGTTTGTTGTTCAAAACACAGTTCATTTATAGCAAGCTTCAAAATCTGTGGGCCCACACTGTAAACAAAATGCACCTTGGACCTTATTTGAAGCCGGCAATTGTATATTTAACCTCTGTTGCAGGCCTGTATCGTGGCTTGGGTTCGGTTTGGCCAAAAACTCAAAGGGATATTACGGCTTGCTTCTCTAGTTATACCAACACAAAAACGACTGCAGGATAGCAATACACAGCGGTCTGAAGAGCCATAAACAAACATCAACCAAAACACCACTCTATAGCCACAAATAATGCTCAGAACAGCACCTAACTTCATCAACAGTACATATAGGGTCCCAGCCATAGAACTAGCCACCAAACATCTTTTTAACTTTGTCTAATTTCTTTAGCAATGAGACTAAACACAACTCACCTACTCTCTTCCAGCAGCTGCTTGTTTGTCGTGGAACCTCGGGCCAGTTCATTACAGAGTGTGCGGGGTAACACAGCTCAAGGAAGAACATTTATG